GAAGCGTGGGATAAACCAACAATTTAAAATCTAAATATAGCCGTAGCCTCATTACTGTAGAACAATAGATCAAAAGTGGAAACCCAAAACCAAAGCATCAAAAAACATTGATCATTCAACTTTTTGAGCTGTTTAATACATAGTAGAACATACTAAAAAATAAATATTAGTACATACTGAAAAATGTTCTACTGTTTGTTTTGTGTACTACTCAAAGCTAACTCATAGGTCAAGCATACATATAAAACAATGTATTAACATAAAACAGTTTGTATTCAAAAACTATAGTGCAATGAGTATCAAATATCCTCCTACAACTTGGCATTCAATTATTTTAACTAAAAGCTTTGTGAACAAGCGAAGAAGTTCATGGAGAGCATAGTTATAAATATATTATGTTGTTCAAATAATTCTGTGCTTCCTGTCTTTAAAAGTTATCTTTGAGAAGAAACACATAATTATTTGAACAGCCTGATAATAGTGAAGTAGATTATAAAGTATAGATTTTTTAATCAAGATATATACGTTAATGATGACTGCTTTTATGTGACAACTCAGACTGGGAAGGCGATGGTATTAGTCAAACTCCAAAAAGAGTTAAAAATTTACAAAAGTCATCATACAGACCAAATCAAAGCTCTGAAGTTGATAACAGATAAGTTAATTTTCATTAAAGCTTAAGTTAAGGTACTCATTAAAGGTTAAGGTAATTGGATTGCTGTCCGACCTTTAGTCGTTGGAAGGCGCGGAAGCGACGCGTATTTCCGGCATCGTATGTAACTAAGAATAAGATGAGTGATGTATTCGACCGGAAGAGGGCCTAATTAAAAGTTCGCCATACCGTAGAATGTGTAATTGTTGTTCGTGGCGGTCAAAGAGGCGATATGTGTTGTGTTATATTGAGATGTAGAATATATTTTGGTACTGTTTTCTGAGAAGTTGAGTTATATATATCTTGTAGATTACTCTAAACTATATCTTGTGGACCATTATGACTGGTCTTGTTGTTCTATGAGGCTGTGTGAGTCTATAAGGCTATATTAACTCTATATGAACACTATGTGTAGTAGAGTAAGATTTTGAAGCGACGCTCAAAATGTACCGGACGTCGTTTATCGTGCCATGTATTTCAATATAGTACTTGATTGTATGCATTGTCACGTACGCTATATGTCTCATTATTTACATCTTATAAGGTATTGTATGCTCACGAAGGACTGTTGTAACAGCTAACATCTCTACGTAGGTCGCTATACAGTATTGTATGTTTACATGTGTCGCTACATGGTATAAGGAGTATACCTTGTGACCTATATATAGTTTTATAAAGCTACGTAAAACTGTTTACTAACTTAGATCTGTGTTCAAAACGTATTGTAAGCATGTCGTGTTACAATGCTTATATTATCCGAAAGCACGGCACGATAAGCTTTGTATTGTATTGTTCCTGAACACGTAATCCTTAACTACGTTATACAGTGCTTGACATAAACATGTATGGTCACGCCAAGCTCAGTTTACATGATGACATAGCCTGAACGGGGTAATTAACGCTGATCTTTGTGAGTTTACGTAAGCAACGTTTGACTGAGCTTACTTGAGTTATATTGTACTGTAAGCCGTGATATTGAAGAAGTTTACATTTGTTATGGTATAGTTAACATATAGTGTATAGTTGTATATGATAATATAATTTACTACTTTAAACTAATACCAAAGCCATAAAATGAAAACTTATATTAACCAAAGTATTAACAGTGCTAACTAATCATAACTAAACAAAAATCACATCATTCCCCAACCCATAACGCACTCTAACACGAACATACTATGTAAACACACAAACATGCCCAAACCCTACCGTAAGCCCTAAACAAAAACGATTAGCGGGCATTCTTTGTTTCTCAACGTGGATATCACGTTCATCCTCAATGTACGTCATGTCGTTTACAGAGTGCCATCCCGTTTTGGTATTGCGTAGTTGTGTCGCTCATCTTCTTCATGAGCTAAAAATGTCATAATCCGCTGGAATTCGGCTTCTTAAGAAGTGTTTTAGAGTGTCATTATGTTGAGGACAAGATGAGTGATATTTGTTTATAGTGGCATCTTGAAGGTATGGGCAAGGTGCTATTTATACTTGCTATAATTTACTTATGTGGTTAAAGTAGAGGCATGTGTTATAGGAAGTTGAAGCTTCTGTATGTGATAAGACGTTAAAGCTTCTCAATGTGATAAAAGATAAAGCTTTCAGTACGTAAGCTTAAACTTGAGATAATACTTTTGTATGTAAAGGTTATGGCCGGCTACTGATTCTGATGTTTTGAAAACGGCTTTAAGCTTGTAAAACTTATTTTAGTCTAAGAGCCTTTACAGGCGACATTTGGCATTAAAGTTAAAAGTTTTATGTTTTCTGTAAACAACATTGTCTTATGTTGTATTTATATTCACATACATATGCACATTCATATATTTATGTACAATAATATCCTTGTATATATTCATATACTTATGTACATTCATATAATTCTAGACAAAACAATTTTTTATGTTTAGACCACTAGGGTTGTTGGTAATTTCTTTGATTAGCTAGCATTGTTTATCCTTATGAGTATCTATTAAGCTTTTCAACTAATTCTGTGCTTCTTTTCAAGGCAAATTTTTGAAATTATGGAGCACAAAACTATTTGAACAACCTTATACAACAAAATAACTAAGACTGTAAAGGCTAGGCGTTCAATAAATTATGTTTTTCTTGGTGGTCTTGTTGTATATTTTAGTTATTGTAAAATATTAGTTTGTTCAAATAATTCTGTGCTTCTTATCAAAACAAATTTGCAAAGTTAGGAAGTTCATAATTATTTGAACAACCTATTATCTTTATATTACAGTAGAGAGTATAAGTAACTTTAGCCTAAAAAAGCCTTGGACTAGCTCTAAAGTTAAGCTCAGCCCAGCTGAAGAATGTATTTTTAACAATATTTTACAATCATTATACTGTACCTCTAATCATGCCCTTACAGTAGCCAGACAATTCTTTGCGAGTTCACTTACTTGGCTCCCTCTTACCGTAGCCAAACATCGCGTCACGACCGGTCGAAAAGGCAGACGAAGAAGAAGAGTACAGGTAACGCCCAGTCGAACTGGCCCGTTCCCACGCCAAACTTGGGGCTTGTTTGTGGATTATTTTTGGCCGAGTATCAATTACCTGAGGCGTGAACCGCTCCCACGGCGTTATGACTAACGATGACAAACAGAGCGCCCCTCCCACCAACTCACCTATATCTACGGCTTGTTTATGTTTTACATTAGCATAACATTGCTGGAGCCGTGTTTGTGTTTGATATGCATATGTAGGTAGTCGTGCTGTGGCTTTGTTTGCGGTTTTAAGTATATATATTGGAGTTGTGATGAAGTAAAATGTTCTTATGTTAAGGTAATGGGTTTTGAGATATAATATTGATTATATAACTTTTATTTTTGATGCTTTTAAACGTATATATTACCATGTTATACCCTTTTTTGTAATCATAAAATTTTTCGAATAATTCTGTGCCCCTTCTTAAACGAAATGTTCCTTAGGAGGCACTTAATTGAACAATCTAATAATTTTAATTTTATACCTAAATATTCAAATTTTTGCCATTTCTTACCAGACCCCTAAATCAACTTCCATTCTGTTCAGGTACGATTTGTAGGTCACATCGATCGGGTTTGGCATAGTTTTTCTGACCCTTAAGGCATTATTAACTCACTGCCCCTTTCTGTCAATTCGCCGCTAAGCCACGCCCACATTTCGAAGCTTGGGGCCGGCTTCGGCCGGTTTCATTCAATGTGGGTTGTTCCTTTAAATCTCGACTGCCACATTATTACATTACTTACATTTCGGGGATGTTTTTTTTGTTTTTGTATACAGGAAAGGTGTATATTGGATATGTGGTTGTAGATTGAATATATATGTTGTATATAAGCCTTTAGATAAGGCATACCTTGTATATTTACTAAAGTAAAGGTTTCTCTTGTATATAACTTTAAATTGAAGCATAGTTTATTTACTTTTTTTTGCCATATGTTACAGTAGCCTTTATTTTGGGTAGTATAGTATATAAAAAGCTTTAAAGGGTGAGTTACTGAGCTCTCTCGATATATAGTTTACAGACCTCAATTGTATACCTTATCGTAGCTACATTTACAGTTTTTTCCATCTTACATTGTAGTCCATTTCCGACATTAGTCGAATACCTTTACTGTTACAGTTTCCCGTGTCTATTCCATTTGCTTTATACATTTACAATGTCTGTGTTATTTACTTTTACAATCTACTGTGTCTGTTCTATGACTTGACTTAAGTTTATGATGCTATTTACTCTTCCGTGCTTTACCATTAAGACATTTACAAGAAAACTACTGTCACTTTTTACACGTTTTTACAATTTACATTACGTTTTACAATTTACGAGAATCTGAGTAATTTACAGCGTAAAACGGTCTTTGTCTTGCTTTTACAACTTTCTAGAGCTAAAGCCTTCATTTACAATATGTTTTGGCTATGGGCTTTAAACTGAACCAGTTTTTTGTTTTTAAAGTTATATGGCAGCAGCTTGTTGTCTGGTTTACTGTTGTGCCATTTTACAACCCTATATGTTACTACAATGCTTTGAATTTCGTAATTTTTTTTAAATTTCAAATTCAAAAAGTTTTGCGCGTATGATACCCAAGTTTTTGCGAGATATTCTTTGTTTGCCCAAGCTAGTTTTACCTTTCCAGCATCTGAACACAACCAGATACGAACCTTCCTGTTTCTACACAACCTACCGTATATACTACAAACAAAGCTCTATTCATCACATCTGACCTTACATCACCCATTCTACCCTCAAGCATAACCCCATACATCATCCACCTTCTCCACCACATCTAGCTCCACTCCTCACCCCATCCCACCCCATCACCACTGACCCAACTCACATCTGACCGGACTCAACCGCTGGGCGCCTGAAATCATGCGCCTAGCCTCGATGACGTTAACCATCATCGCCTCCGCACAGTTCATGCTGGAAGGGCTGGCGATACGCCGAAGGCATCAACGCGACATCTCCAACGACCTCAACAGTATAATCGAAGAAGTGCTGCCTATATCGTCAAGTGAATCAGTTCAGTCGCCCGACTACTTCAAGGAGTATTTGTCCAGAGGCATGTTTCAGTGCACGTCGCAGTACGTCGAGACGATAACAAAACTGCACGAGTTTATTAAGGTATGTTATTGTGAATTTTGAACTTTTTTTCAATTTTTGAGAATTTAAAATAAAGGGTGGGGGGGGGGGGGGGGGTATAAAGATAGGTTTAAAAGCCTTAACTTTACTAAAAATAAGCCGAGTCAGACCATTTTTAAACCATTTTACATTAATCCTAACATCCTATACCATTATAGTACATCAAAAGCTCTTATATTGACCACCCTTCCCAATGTTAGCCATGATGCCTTATGTTAACCATCTCCTCGTTTCAGAAAGCACATGAAGAGTACAAACGCTGCGAACGGCGGAAAGGCCTCACACCCAAGTCGGAGCAGAATCCGTTCGAGTCGCTGAACAAATTCATAGGCCAATGGCAGCTGGACGAGGAAGCGGAGAAGGCGGCCGAGCCGAGGCCGCTAGCCAAAAACGCGCCCGTCTTTTGATGAAACGCCCCTTCAGGTGCTGTGGCCAAGCCTATTACGAGTCTCCTTACCTTAGCTGAGCCCCCGCGGCTCAAATTTGTTGAGTTTTTGTTCTAGCTGTCAATATTGGTGTAATTTATATTATTCTATGCTATTTGGGTTGGTCCGAAAGTCTTGGGACTTTTCGACTTCCCGCCACTGTTAACTTATATCGTATCTTGTACATAACAACCGATTTACTCGTGGTCTGGGCCTTTTTGGTTTCGAAGGGATGGGTACAAGTTTAGTTATAGCACGATACTATATAGTATGTTAAAGCATGATACTACATAGTATTTTGAAGCATGATACTAGTATGTTGACAATATCATTATACATGCTATATGTATTATGTACAGTAATGACTTTACAACCATAAGTACTATGAAGACCAAATTATTTGTAAATTTGCATAGAGTAGCTTCTCCAATACCATGTTTAGTACTATAGTAGCAGAGATAGTATCTTAAAGTCATTATCTGCATCATACAGTATCGTGCAGTAAAACATGTGTACCATAGCCTTCAGAAACACATACCAAACCTTATTCACTTAAATTGTCTATCATAACATCGGCCTTGTAATGTCATCTCCTCAACGATCCGCGTGAATCAATAGATATTTAATTATTGTTGTATTGCTATATGAAATGAACAAATGAACTTTTTATATCTATACTTGGGTACTATAATATAATACTTTGACAAAATTTTAATACAAATTTGAATTGAAAATGTACACCTACAGGTAAGAGTAGTATAACATTAATATAGTTCCATATTATTAGGTTGTTCAAAAAATTCTGAGCTACATAACCATGAAAATTTGCTTTGAGAGTAGATTATTTTAAAATTTGTTATGATCTTGTACGTTAACATCTGTTTTGATATTACAGTACCATTATCTTCTTATTATCCGTTTTATTATGTCTTTATATACCATAAAATATGAAATGTCGATTATAATGTGTCACCACAAAATGTTATCATAAAATTGTATTGATACGTTCATTATTTTACAGTTTATTACTTTATACGATAAAATTAGGTCGTTCAAATAATTCTGTGCCTTTCTCAAAGCGAATTTTCAGTATTGGATAGCTCAGAATTACTTGGACAAACTAGGAGTATCATTAATGGTGTTTATATATAAATATTAAGTCATTCAAATAATTCTGTGCCCCTTAACTCCAAAAATATGTTTTGAAAGAAGGCACAGAATTATTTGAACCATCTAATACTTGGAATTCACAGAGGAGGGAGTAAATTAGAAAATATTACCGTTTTCCCCCTCCCCTCCTCTCTCCCCTGCCTTTATAACATTTTAGTGGTATACTTGGCCAATGCAATAGTAATGCCATAAACATAAAAAGCAATGCCATTTAATCAGTATTTAAAGTTTATTTCTGCATACAACAACAATAATACTATCAAGTACTTTGGTTGACATTAAAACAAATTGTTTGACATTACCAACACAATCATCAAAATATTACAGTAGGCCCAACTCGTAATAACTATAGTAAGGCCTGAAAGTAGTATAAACAAAAAGGGAAAACAAGTACGACAACTTAAATGTTAATCACGCAATGGGCCTTAATTAATCAATGCCTGACATTTTACCGTGTTTTTAGATCAATTCTGACACGAGAAGGCAGACGGCTGTCAGAAGCACGCGACCGCCCCCACGCCGAATCCAGAAGGCGGAAGATACCGTAGCGAGGTAATTGTAGGTTTTGCAGAAATGGCACAAACAGCTATTAAAAACTTGGGTAATTAAAATGGGGAGGAGTATGCAAATTACTAGATTACTTAGGAACTTTAATATTATTACTTAAGGGCTTTAACACCTATTACTTGAGGCTTTAATACTTATTATTTGAAGCTTTAATACCTGCTACTTAAGACTGCATCTTTTAGTAACCGTCTTATAGTATCAGGGGTTGAAAATACAATTTGATAACTAAGAAAAGCCACTTTTACTAAAGAATGTCAACAAATATCCATCGGCTTTTAGAACAAAATCTATATTAAGATGAAAGAACATACAAAGTTATCGAGAAAACTATTTTCAAAAGCTGCTAAATGGCCTTGGCTAGCGAGATATTAGTAACTAAAGAATTTACATAGAAAAATTACTAGCCCTTCTCTTTTGCCCTGGGCAAAACGAATAGATTGAGGTATCAATCCAATGTCCCGAGAGCTAGTTTGTCGAAGGTACAGAAGGCGGTAATTTCAAATCCCGCTTATTGCATTTTGGTGTTTTGCCGTTATAACAAGACGTTTTGGCTAGCCAAACAATACTTTGATTAAAAAGGATATTGTTTAATCATAACTTTTGTTTTTAGTTAAGTTAAAAAAATTTTTATCAGAAAATATGATTTTTCAAAATTGAAAGCTATACCTAAGACATATAAGAATATTTAGTACTTATTTCGCTAGCCAAGGCCATTTAGTAGCTCTTAAAACCAGTTTTTCCGGTAACTTTTTACGCTCTTTCCAATATAGGCCTCGTTCTCAAAGCCGATGGATACTTGGTACAATTCCCTAGTTAGAAAACTATCTTTTAACTCGGATTATATCAAATATCAGATGCAATTCAAATATTAAATGCCAAAATAATTAGTTTTGAAGGAGAATTATATCTAGAATTACTCCAATTATCTCCAAAATTAGCTTTGACATATTAAAATAACATCATGTCATCATAATTCACAATATTTTTGGATATCAAGTATAGGATTATACTTTTAACGCCAAAAACATGATGTTATGCAACTTTTTGACCTATTTTAAATATTAGTTTAAATCAAAAGTGACGGGACACTATTCATTTCTTTTTCAACAAGAAAGTGTCCCGCTATTTTTGGTTCAACCTAATATGTTTTAGTCACAATTGTTAAAATAGTGTATACACTATCACTTTAAAGGTATCCTAAGCCTAAAAAGGTTTTAAACCGTAGGCGTCGGCCTTATCATTCTAATCCAGTGATAAGCCTACACTGTATTAGATCCTACACTGCGGTAAGGCCTACAGTGTTGTAATCAGCTTAACATTCAATCACAGGATCCTCACCGGAAGAGATAGTCCATCAATCCTCAACAGTCAGCTAATCCCGGAATGGCATTCGGCTAAGTGGATCAAGGGATTGGGACTGACAACGTCACACTAATCCCGTTTCCCCGCGGCCCAAAAATAGCGTCGCCGTGATGGTTTTAGCCCCATAATCCCTCAACGTGCTCGCATTAGACTTTTATATGATTCTGTTTATGTACACAACAACACAACAAAGGGCTTACATTTCACGAGGCCTACTAGATTATGAGGGAACGCAGTTTCAGTTCGAGAATGCCGGCCTAAAACAAGGTTAATTAGGCTTAAACACAGATTAATTAGGTCTAAATAAGACTAGTTAGGCCTAAAACTAAGTTAGTTAGGCTTAAAACCATATTAATAAGGCCTAAAACAACATTAATTAGGCCTAAAACAAGATTAATTAGGCCTCTAATTAAATAACTTACATTATACAGACGCACACGCGAATCGTAGGTCATAGCCAAGGCGAGTACGACCATTGAGGCTTCTTCTGGAGTGTTCCCGGCGGCGACGGACTCACGGCCAGCTACGTAGCCGGCTTGGCGTAGTCCTGAAGTTTCAATAAGATTTAGTATTTTTCAGCTATTAGGTTGTTCAAATAATTCTGTGCCCTATCTCATAAAAAAATAATATTAGAAGGCACAGCATTATGTGAACAACCTAATATTTTCCAACATTATAACTTTTCGCTAATTAACATAGCGTCTACCACAATATTTCGAAAACCTGTCTTCATAATCATATCTTATACCCTTGAAACCAACAGTAACCCCTTACTTTGCATAAGATCAGCTGGCGGATATATTTTCCCATCAGGCCGAACCAAGTCCTCAGCCGGCAAAGACTTGGCCCCAGGCAAATGAATACCAGGAGTAGCCGCTAGCCCCACAAATGGGGGATTCTGTGCTACTGTAGTTGGTGTGCTTCTTGGCTGGTCCAGGCCAATGAATTCCGGTTTGGGACGTGCGTCCAGGAAGTTGTACTAAAAGTGTTTTCAATTAGTCGCCTCGGGTTTTAAACATCTCAAATATCAGATTTTAATTGGTTGCACTTTAATTCGTAATTCCATATATCAATTAGTGCACTGTGAGGGGTGTATCATGTTTTAAGGTTGTATGAGGTTGTATTTTGAAATTTATAATATTATAGTATATGGCATTATATATATCTGACAAAGAAAGTAACCAACCTGCTTCGCTCAGAATCCGCTCAAAATTTTTATACAAATTCGTTGTACTACCAATAGTATCCATAAAAAATTTTAGATCGCGCTTTTTGAGTTTTAAAATTAAAATATTTGAGTTTCCCGCCAATTTGGCAAATTTGGCATTGTGTTTCAAGCACTTTTTTCGACTTTCCAAACAAGCTACGCTTACAAATTTAAAAATCTAGGTCAATTTAAAGGTTTTCTACTCGCCTATCAAAGAAGTATGATTAAAAGTCAAAAAATGACAAAGTTATAAGCTTGAAACACAATGCCAATTTGGCGGGGAATTCAAAATGTAATTTTTTAGTCTCGATTTTGTGGTGATTGACTGGAAAACGCAACTTAGTACTTTGCTAAAGGTTTTATATTTACATGGTCTTTCTATATAAAAAGTTTGAAATCAATCAGAGCGGGGCAGATCAAGTACTTTCCTTGTAAATTAATATAATAGTATGACATTATATTAAAAAATTTTTAATTTAACCTTAATAAAGTAGTAAAAATTAAAAACTACGGTATAATACCGTACACTACGTAACCTCTACGTATTATGCAAATTTTTAAAATTCGTATTTTCTCAGAACCTTAAGGAAGTCGAAAATTAGTGAATTTTGTAGCCTCGTCTTCAGAATTACGTCAAAAAACAAAGGCAGAAGACGTAGTTTGACAAGAAAATACATTTCCTACCCAGTAGAGCTTGTTCAGTAAACAGTAGCCATTTCCTTCCACGTTAGACAGCTCATCGAACCCAATTACAAGTCCCGGATCAAAGGCGGCGGTCCAGTTGCCTAACTCAATATGAAGATCCATGTCAGATATGGAGAAGTTGCTGGCCATCCATCTCCCGAGGCCTCCGTCCAAGATACTTAATCGTTGATGTCCGTATATCTGAAAAGTTGATAGTAATAGTACGGTACAGTATTACTGAAATAGTACGTTGCAGTACACAGTAAAAACATGTTCAAGTATTCAAGAACAACATGATCTTTGGTCCCTACCCTGAATAGATTCCACACCCTCGCACTCTCCAACGCACCTCCCAGGCTGCCACGAGAGTAAATGACTAAATGGTCTTCTTGATTGATACCTAATCTGCGAACGTATTCCTGAAACAGGTCTGGCGGATACAACGCCGAAGGATCATTCCAGGCGGGGTAGGTAGCTATGTCTAGGTTGAAGTGGACTGAGTTTGGAATGTGAGCTCGTTGGAAGTCGGCGTTGGCCTAAAATTGTAATATTATAGTCGTTTCTTTAAGTTGTTGTATATTTGTAGGTTTTTGCGACATAGCATGGTCAACATTGGAAGTTTTAGCATAAATAAGCGGAGCAGATCAGGCGCTTTTCTTGTTAGGTCCCACCACGAAAATCAGGAAAACTACAAAGCATAACACAAACTTTCTGGACTTTTTTTTGAAATTTTAGCCCTTAAGCAATTATGAAAAAAAGTCCAACAAATCAAATTTGCAAACCAATCATAAATAGAGATGTCTGTTCAAGTCTTACATTTTCCGAAAACAACCGGTCCCAGTTACCGTAGTATTGATCCCTGAAAACCTTGTAATCCACCGGCGGATGGCGTGGCGAGGCAGTTGCATCCAGGACCTTTATCGGCTTACGAGTCTGAAAGAATTACAATACTATTGCAATATATCTTTTGCAAAAGAGTCTAAAGTCGCTGAAGAATGTTATTTTTGATAAACAGGCTTCTAAAGCCTATAACAATATGTAAAGACTGCATTAAAAGCGATTGGTTTATGTCGGTTTACAGCATCATAACATTTGCCAATAGCATTATAAGCATCTGAATTGTGATTTGAAAACACAAAGCATAATATCAAAATATTTTACAGTGTAATGCCATAATATGTTATTAAATTGTTCAAATAATTCAGTGCCCCCTTCCAAAGCAAATCTTTGTAGTTAGAAGGCGCAGAATCAATTAAACAACCAAATAACTTCGGATTATGTTACTATACAAAAATTCACATTCAATAGCATTTTCTTTTGCATTTATAACTGTAACCACTTGAAGAAGTAGAAAAAACTACCATAAAATGTAAAAATTTGTAGTTCTACTATACAATTCAAGGTTGTAAAGTTTCAATGCCATTTAAAGATAGCCTACAAAACTAAAGATTACAACTTGTATACAACAAGCTTGTATTTAATATCTTATACAAAGGTTACTTACCAACAAAGCATCGTTTAGCCATTCCACGTCCACAATCAGCGGAATGTTTTCTGGAACCGCAAAGACTGGCTGGGGAACGACTAAAACAATATAATTTGACTTATATTATTATAGTAGCTGATTAGTCGTCAAGATCTATACAAATATTAGTTTGTTCAAATAATTCTGTGTCCCCTGACGACAAGAACTGGCTTTAAAAGAGGGCACAGGATTATTTGAACCATTTTAAAAGCTTACTTGGTCCAATGAATCCTGGATTCTGAGGGTTTTGTTGATATCCATGAGCTAAAAATCATCATAAAATAGCAAACAATACCTGATATATAGTATATAAGCTTTGGAATAAGACTTTACAGTTAGCCCAGTTTATAAGATTGAGCGAAATTTCTGACAAAGTCCTAAATATATACCTAACGAAGCAGAAAAAGAACCTTGAGTTGGTCTAGCAATCCCCGGATCTTGAGCAGGCATCTGAGGTGACGGTGCGACCGAAGGAGTCGGGCTAATCACGGAACTAGGCCTAATAACCGGAGTCGGACCAACAAATGGAGTCGGTGATATCACCGTCAACATAGGACTAGAAGCCGTTGGCCCCGTTTCGTTAGAATCAAACGCCATGTTAGACTGGTCTAGCCTCGGCCGATAGGTTTGGCCTTTAGCATAGTAGTTGGTTAGCGAAGGATCGGCCGGCTTGTTAGGATCAAGATAGCCTTCTTGATAACGCAACGTACTTGTCACTTGTGCTCCAACTAGTCCAGCCCCGAGGAGAAGAAGGGCCGTCAACATGACGACCGTGACTACCAAACTAGCCTAGGAGAGGAAAAAATCCACTGAACGCTAGCCGACGTGATGAAAAACTGGAAGTCCGACCTTTTACTTTTTACTCGTTTATAACGCGTAAGAGCTCTTAAGCGGCCCCAAAAATACGATAAACAAATACAGAGTGTTTGGATTGTAGTATACAATACAATGATACCTTGATCTGATTAACTCTCCGTGTCTGACGACGGTTCAGACGGCCAACTAAATTGGTAATTGAGGCTGTTATGCATCACAAAGACGGCTATTTTGGTGTGAGGGACGTGAGGTTTGATCTCCATGCGGATTACTTCGGATTCGGCTTCAATCGGGGCCATCTGAAAGGTTGATGATCTACTATAACATGTGAAAATTAATTGTCTACTATAAGACGTAAAAAGTAATTGTCTATTGTTAGGCTGTTCAAGTAATTCTGAGCCCCTCTCAAAGCAAATTTTCGAAGTTAGGGGCATAAAATTATTTGAACAGCCAAATATTATATGTGGAAAAGTAACTGTCTACTATAATATGTGAAAAACTATATATAGCACGCTCAAGCTTTGACCTTTAAAAGGCTGTATTAACCAAGAAAATAGAGTTTGTTACCTAAAATTTATATAAAAAGGAAAATTTTTTAATAAAAATGAAGCAAAATATATAAATTTAATTAAACGGTGAAGCCTATCACTACCTAAAACTCAATATTTACCCCTAAAAATCCCTGTAAAACCAACCCATCCACAAAACTTAATCCTAGCCTGTACCTATATATACCAAAAACACATCCCGACTCTAATATGCACTCGACGTAATGCACTCTTACCTGCGAACGCAGAATCTCTTCCAACTCGCGGCGCCGGCTGAGGGTACGGTAATTCTACGAACATATTCACTTAATGTATTCGACAAACCTTTAAGTCTTCGTAATCCTTCAAGATTAGCACATTCTGCCGGTAATCGGATACGGGCAAGCTGACGGAATTGTTGTACATGTTATACTATTCTGCTGCCCCCAACCACCACCAAATTATAATACAAATGGAATGAGTCATGCCCGTTGGCTGTAGTATGACACACTTTAACAAAAGGAATCGATTCGCAATTGCGAAGTTGTGTTATTGTGTGGTTGTGGTACACTAATCAGTCTGTTTTAATCAAAACAGGGTGATTAACGGGAAATGATGCCATTTTTGATGACATTTCAAAGTTTTGTATGGAAAATATTGTCTGATATTAAGTGAAATACCAGTAAATCATAAAGTAGATTTCAATTATGTTTTTCTTCCATTAATTAAACCTGTAAAAGACACCAGGCCCAACTTTTCGGCCCTGACCACGAATAGACATAAGGAACGGGCCGGGCCTGAGCAAAATCAAAAACAGGCCAGGCTTGAAAAGTAGGCCCGGCCGATCCCCATGTTTAACCACGGAACAGACTTTGGTTTGGGGCTCAGGTCTACATACAACAGTTCATATAACAACTACACAAAGATTTTTGTTTTAAAATACTCCCACACCAACCGGTTCAAGACCCTAACCTACATTAAGATTACTCCGCACTTAAACAAGTATAGTTTAAACTTTTACCTTATACCATAATACATATATATATACTTCTACCATAACTATACCTTTAGGCTTATATAGTTTTAGCTCAAGTTTAAGAGTTTACTTCTCATATTACCAATATTCTATATATATACCTTTATATAGTCTCTACTATAAATATGAATGTGTTCTTTACTATAATATATAAATATTAAGGTTGTTCAAATAATTCTGAGCCCCGCCAATTTGCTTTAAAAAAGGCTCAGATTTATAAGAACAAACTAATACGTTCTTATACTATCTACAATATAATATGAATATGTTCTTCTACCCTCTACTATAACATATATAACAAAAGTATATTCTTATACTCCATACTATAATATATAAAACACATTCAAGCTCTATTGCAACATTTACTCCGTTCTCACCTACAGTATATACCGACATGAGAATGAGAACCTGGCTTTTCGACGTCGTATTATTGTTTTCCCTAAAAATAGCTAAAAAAAGATTCAGATTTCCGGAGTGTTTCTGAACACGGTAATACCTCTTTGTGACAAAACGTGAGAGATTAACGCCGCTACTTTCATGGTAATTTGTGACAAACAGTTTTAGAATTTATAACATTTGGAGGAATAACTGAAGAATATATTAGGTAGTTCAAATAATTATGCGCCCCCTGACTCCAAAAATTAGTTTTAAGAAAGGCACAGAATAATTTGAACGTTATAATAACATAAGACATACTATAGTAAAGTTACGAGTATAAAGCATGCTAAAGTAAAGTAAAATAAGGTCAGATACAGCTATAACTAATAAAAAATAAGTATAAATCGTTCACAATAACAAGTACAACACCAAAACCAAACAAAAATGAAACAATTTATTAAAACTTTAAAAATTCAACCGCTTGAGGGCAAACAAAAGCTTTTACAAGCACTTTCGGTTCGAATCGGCATGGGAGGCAAATGTGCTGTGCTGGGACAATAACTGTGCATGTACTGAACGCATCGGTTACCTTGTCTGTGCCACCGTTCCGTCTTCTGCGGCTTCTCGTTGTCGGCTTCACAGAACGTTGGATCTGGCAACTTTTCGCATGTGAAGAGGTAGTTGAGGCCACACATGGGTAAGGGTCGACCTGGTGGAGCCAAGGTGCCTTGGATCGGATGCCCTGAGTGTATATCTACACACCAACACGAGCCCGAGCCTTTGTCACATTGCATGAAGCGGTAGTTGCCGTTCTCGTCGCATTCTGGTATGTAGCCGTTCAATTTGAACATGGCAATTTTTCGAGAGTTGCGGCAACCTAAGAGTTAGATCAGTATACAAAAGGTCTTAATGTTACTTGTCACTATGTTAACTATTAGCTATAACATTATATTATGCTTTATACTATTAGTTAGTTCAAATAACTCTGAGCCCTCTAAATCAAAATGTTTTCTTTGAGAAAGAGCACATAATTAATTGAACAACCTAATTAAATATGTCTTAATTACAGCAAGATAAACAATCAAGTTTTTTTCGTATATAAAATTATATCATGTTGAATATACAGAATACGTGAGTAGACTATGCTCACGTGTATGTTGTCATACGAAACCGGATATGTTACAATTTATAATGTTTCGTAATCCTTCTATAAGACATATCTTGTGCCATTTTCATACATGTGTTGGGAAATCACATCGTATTTCAACATTACTTGTCAACAATACAATTTTAGGTAACAGAACACTTTTAATATGGCATTTTCAACTTTTATTTACTTTTTAGTCAAAGATACAAAGTAAAAGTCCAATTACCTATCCTACAACACTATCAAAACGTTCAATTATCTATCCTACAACAATGTATATCACAAAACTTACCACGCCGACTCAACGGTAACGGTGTGACATCCTTGACATCGAACTGAACAGCTCGAGTGTCATGTCTACTTCGTGTTACAGTACGATTACTTGGAGGCTGACAAAAGCGATGTCGATGTTTTAGCATCTCCATGATCTCGGTAAAGAACTGCACCTCTTGTAGTCTACATGTTGTCTTGATTTCACCGTACACACAAGATTCTAGTTGTTCTGTTACTCCACATAGGACCTAAAAGAAGAGACGATTACTCGACATAGACGGTTTATGTAAAGGTAGAACCAACTATTATTGATCGTATTGGAGTATACCTGACCATACATATCAAGCCCTGTATGCTTACTATAGTAAAAAAACTCTTTATCAACCGTTTTTACAACAAAATACATATAAATATAATATGTATACCTATTTTCGACAAAATACTAATTTCCGCTCAAAATACCACAAGATCGTACCTTCGTACATGTACGAAAATAGCCGGATTAAATCCAAAAACAATCATATACTACCATAACCCTTTAATTACTGTTAATCCTCGCACAAACAGCTTATGACTTTATTTAGTAAATTAATGTAATTACTCGCCCCAAACTAATAGCTTACCCTTTCATCTTGAATGTCCGTGTTCTTGAGACATTCGCCCAGATTCGGCGACTGAGCAATATTACTCAAACATCCTGCATTTATCAGCCATTTCAGCTGCTTTTCGGTCTGAAATTTCAAAAATAAAAAAAAAAATCTCAAAGAATATAAAAATTCATGTTACAATTACATATCGTACTATATCATAAACAAAAAATAATTCAGTTTTAAAACTTTGAGTTGACGGTTTCTTGGCATTATCTTGCGAGAGTAGAGAAGGATAGAGTAAAGTGACGTAGAACAGGTTAGAGTAGAGTAGAAAAAAGCATAGTAGAGTATAAATTAAATCAAGGAAAGATAGAGTAGGGTAGAATAAGGTAGAACAAAGCAGACAAGAGTAGAGTAGAAAAAGATGCAGTAGAATAGGATAAGGTAAAATAGAGCAGAGTATGGCAAAGGTAGAATAGAATAAAGTAAAGTAATGTATAATAAAGTAAGTTGAATTGGAGTAAAGACAACATAACGCTACAACATTACCTCACAGAGCCGATCCTCAAAAGCAACCACAAATGAGTAGAATGGATCTTCACTGAGTAAATGTAGACATCTCTCATCGTCCGACAATGACAGTTCCATACATTTGCGGTAACTCTTCGAATGATCACAGTATTCGTTTATGTTGTTCACCTAAAAGCATGATGTATACCGTTTCAAATCCAATATGAATTGTTTGTTTAGATCAAGATACTGCACTGTTGCCATGTACTACAATATTAAGTTTTTGATACTTTAATATAACCTTGATTTACTTAACTTCCAATATATTGCAAAATGTTTTAAATCCTCACACAATTGCCATGTATGCTTATAATTGTCATGCTATAGATACAGTCAAGCCTCTTTTGTCGTACTTCAATCAGCCATAATCGGTTTGTGTACTTAGTACTAATTAAACTTATAAAATGTTTACATTACTATAAGTCATAGTAACAAACCCAAATTACAAAAACAAATAAACTCTTGCTGCGACAATGAAAATACTTTACGATTTACTACAAACATAACACGATATACCGAGTCAATTTCGCTTGTTTCAACATTGTTTTCAATGTAAAAAAGTCTATCGTATGTTTGAAAGCCATGGTATGTTTAACAAAATAATATGTTTAAAAAGTTTAAACTAAACTAAATGGATTTACATTTAAAATTGTAATAATTCCAATTTAAAACTTTAAATTCCCTTCATTTTTTTAAATCTTGCACTATTAAATTTAGAATTTAAACTAAATTTTAGCTTTTAAAATAGACTGTTTTAAAAAAGTGATATCAACATAGTAAAAAGTTGAGATCATGGCTAATTTACATTGTCTTAAACCTAGGATCATATATTAGGTTGTTCAAATGATTCTGTGCCCCTAAACACAAAAATTTACTTTGAGAGAAAGCGCAGAATTATTTGAACAACTAATAAATAATGTCATGTCTGTCTAATGAAATGTTTTGCAATTACTGTCCCTCAAATCCAAAGTCAAGATACCACAGTCCATCTAGATCAAAGTACACTACAATCTACAGTATTGCCTCATTTTACTTAAACTTTGCTCATGGCTAACATAATAAACATTAATTAGGTAATAACATGAGTCATCACATGTTAACAAACCTAATAACGCAGTAACTAAATAGAAAGGTACATAATAACATTGTCATTATATCAAAACTACATAGCAACTCTGTTACTGTACAAAAACTACATGTTAGCTCCGTCACTGTGCAACAACTACATGATAACGTTGGTCGTTACACAGTAACAAACATACTACGCTAGTCATTACACCATAACAAACATGTAGCTACGCTAGTCATTACAGCAATGTGCACCTTGATCTACTACAACATTGGCCTATTAACGTTAATTAAGAGTAGTAACGCAAATATGTGCGTAATAGTATCGTGCACAAGATACGTAAACAGTATTTTAAAGTCCTATAGTCAATATATTTAGAGCTAATTTTTACATTTGGCAGTCAAATATGAACATACCGTAACCCAAAAACTTACATCAAAATTGCTCAAAACAAAGTCGTTCTGAAGCCTGAATATCTCTCGAATCTTCCTGAATCCAATCAAATAGGTACAGCTCTCAGCCTTCTCCACATGCTCCCTCGGACACCTCCTATCTCGTCGTATCTTCACCTTCTTGGTCGTAGTGACAACTTGTGTTGTAGCTTCAGTTGAAGATGTGGAATCATAATCTTCTTCCTCACTCTCTTCATTCTTGTCTTCTGCACGATCTTCTACACTCTGCATCTTGTCCAAACTCTCGGTTTGATTCACACATTGTTTTATATTGGCCTTCAGTGTGGTGATGATGTTCTTCATCAAACTGAACGTATTTGGACCACATTTTAAGAGTTCGTGAGCTGAACATTGAAGCGTTTCGTCAAAGGCGCTGCAGATTGAATATTTGTCGAAGATGTTGTTTACCAGGCCTTTTTCGAGGTCATCTTCACAGTTTCGTATCTAAAATTATGGTTTTAGTTGGTGTGTTATAAAGCTATAACAATAACTTTACAAATCTGGTATGTAATGCACTATTTCGTACTGTACTACATACCATACGTACTATATACAGAAACCTTAAGCTTCAATTTTTGTCCCAAATACTGTGTACAATATGCTACTTTAAAACTCAACACCAAACACCCAAAGATCACTTTACTTTTACTGTAAAACGTATACAATACGTAGACCTACATAATACTTTATACAGTAAAAGTAAATTTAATCCCACAGACTTACTACAGCTTCTACAATCCATAGACAAAACTATATTATGACGCCTCAAAAACTATAATATGATGTCTGTATTTACGTACATTAATACCTACAAAAGTGTCTATTTCAATCACAATACGAATCACACAATGGCCGGAAAAGTAAATATTTACTGCATGATGTCTTATGTCATCATATTGTTTACTGGACTAGTATGTTAGCCTTATAATAGCAGCCATTTTCGCTTATGACATTCTTTATGTACAAAAATAATTTTTCTATGAAAGCACCGTGAATATATTGTAATATCTTCCTTATGTCATTGTTTACACATACGACTTTACAGTTATGTTAAAAATACATTTATATTCACGTTATGTTACTATTTATATTTAAACTTGCAAAAGATGATCACTTGTAATCATTTTATACATTGTACTGTAAAATAACATGTTATAGCACAGTAAAATACCGTAAAGTAACAGTTTTACACCCTTATAGACGTCTCGAATTCCACAGTAAACATCCGAAGCCAGACAATGAGAAAAAGACACAAATTGTAACATAAATCCGTGTTACGTCGTATGAACGTATCCTTTGTCGCATATTTCAACAGTTTTAAATAGCAACGTATAAGGCTTCGTAGGTCAAGAATTTTCTATGTACGTCCATCTACTAACGTATAAAACATTTACTAGAAGGTTTGGACCAAAAATCATTTTAAAGTTTAAAAATATTAGGTTATTTAAATAATTATGTGCTCCAACGCCCAAAAATTTGCTTTAAGAGGAAGCAGAGAATTATTTGAACTAAGTAATAGAATATTTTTAACCAATTCTACGTAATTTTGGTCCAAAAATCATACATTTAATCAATAATATGCTAACATTAAAAACAATATAATACAAAATCCAACCGACTTATACAATAACAACCCACCTTTTCAATTTTCGAAATCCGCCTCAAGCAACGTTGGTTTTCCGTACTCACAATCGCTTCTCGTACCACTTTCTGACATATAAACCCAAGTACCTGCTCCTTCCGTGACATTAGTGGATCCAAACAGGCTGCATTCGATGTCATCATGGTCAGACAGTTCTTGTACTCGTCGAACTTTGTACACATTATGTTTAGATGCTGTAAAATGTCGTCAAAAGTGAAGGGTTTAATAAAAATTTTAAAAATTTATTTAAAAATCGCACTAAATTGAAATTTTATATCAATAATAACCCTAAAAGTCATTATTAATATAAGCCTACATTACAGAGACAAAAAGTATCAATTTTTACCTGAATAATCCCCTCAGCTGATATTATCCTAGGCGCCTGCCAGATCTTTCTGACAACTTCCATATCAGTCAGAATCTGATTACAAGACTTTACCAATCGTTGCTCAATCGCCGGACATATCTCCACACTTCGTTTTATCACAGCCACATCGCTTCTCATCACATAGTTACTACCAAAATCTTGACTTTTAGGTATAATACCACTACCAACATAGTGAGCTTTCATTGTCATTCCAATGCCAAAGCCTTGACTTTTTGACCCAATACCATTGCCAAATGAACTCTTACCCATCGATCCCAATATCGTATGTTTCGATGACTTTTCACAACATTTGGCATGATTACTCAGCTGATGACACTCAAAATTGTCATTACAATCCAGTTCATCACAATTCTCAGCTACCAATACAGAAAAGTAGCCTTCGAATGAGGTACCTTCGGCTTTTTGACCATTAGGACAAGTTTCTGAGTAAAAACTCTTAAACACGTCTAAAACAATATCAAATTAGACTTATAAGGCAATTCATCAAGCACAAACTGCAGAAGAAATTAAAAAGATATTAATATATAAAACAAAGTTTAAATTAGCTTCAGAATTTGCTTTCCATTTCAAAATAACCCTTTGTATCATACTTATATCAACCATAAAACCAAAAATATTGGCTTACCTTGCACTGTCTTGTTACAACACTCAATTTGCTGTAAACCTTCATAGCATTCAAATCCTGGTGGGCATGAATACTTGGAGCACTTCTTGATGTTGTTCCTTGGAAACACTGGCCTTTGAGGGCCGCGGCAAACTGATCCATCAGCTAAAACATTGATTTATAAACTCTTCCTTTAAATTTTAGGTATTAAAATTGATTTATAAAAAATATATATAAAAGCAAGATTAAAAATATTAGTTTTTACAATTTATATTGTGTTATTCAGCTTGTAAAACTGATTTTGTTAAGAAGAAATAATGAATTTCTCAAAAATAAGTTAATTTTCGTATTTCAAAGCGAAAATAATCGATAAAGAAAACCTTGGCGTTCTGTAAAATAAGAAGTTTTTCACCAAGATTTCTCTTCGAAGCTTCGTCGTATTTTATGGACAGTCGAATGATGTATAAGATAATGTTTTGTTCAAAATCGACGTTTAAATTTACGAATTTTAAGTTCTATTTCATATTCTTAAGTTTTTATTGTTTTAGGTATCATTTTGGATTGAATTCGTTGTATTCATGTTCTATGTTCATATATAGAATTTTTTTTATGTTTTATGACTCATTTTTGTTTCTATAATTAGGTAACATACCAACTAAACACGCGCTTTCGCACTCTTCGCGCGACTCAAAGTTGTTCTCGTTGCCGCCGCAACCCGAGTACTTGAACACGAGACAGCTTTGCCATTCCGCGGAAAAGTAAAACTTTTGATGGTGGTCTGTAACGAGTCGGTTTATGTTTGTTGCAATTATCCACTCGAACCTCTTACCCGAGCAATTTCCGTGTTCCGGCGCGAGTCCGCAGAAGTCACGGCCGATGGGCGGAGGAACGGCGAAGAAACGAGCCGACGGTTTGGTTTTCTTGCGAACTTTAAAGGTTACCAAAGTTTATTTTAGGGAAAAGGAAACGTGAGTTATTATAGTGAAATGGCAGAGTTATTGTACAGCAAAGATGGCAATTATTGGCGGAGAAGTTTAGGTGATATTGTACAGGAAGTTTAGGGTTTATTGAAGGAAAGAACAGCCCAGAACACGGCTGATGGCAACAGAAGTTGTGTTAAGAAGAAATCAGGTCAGAAGAGAAGCTTATAGAAAGTTCTTATGTTTTAGCAACATAAATTCAGAAGTTATTGTACAGGAAAGTTGGAGAGGGAAGCGAGTCAATTAAATCCACCTTGAATAACGTCGTCGTCTAGTGGAGCGTCACGTTTGAAACCGTTCTTTGTGGTTGCGCAACATTTGGCGACGTCCTTGGCTACCTTCACACACTCGTGATTGCTACCACAGATGAGGTCGTCACATGAGCGGCCGATGGAGATGTGATAGAACTCACCGTTCTCTTCGCCCAGCGCACGTTCGCCGTTCGGGCACATTGGGTCGAACATGAGTTGGGAGAGCTCTGAAAAGATGAATCATTACTTTAAAACTTCATGTCTTGTTCATGCTGCACTATGGACAAGAGGACAGTATATGTTTACATCAAAGATGGGTATTAGTTTTCAATTTTTAATATTTTACACTGAAAAGTTGTAGCAATTTGAAAATGAAATTACCTTGAACTGTCGCGTTACAACATTCAGGAGAGTGAGCTCCTTGGAAGCATGAGAAGCCTGTTGGGCATGTCGTATTGTAACAATCTTGTCCAATTTCTAAGGCTTCGACCGGTGGCCGTATTTTGCATACTGACCCGTCCACTGAAATGATATCACTTATTGATTAAATGAAGACATATAAAAGTTATAATGACCAAAAAATATGAAACATACTTCGAAGACATTTAGATTCACATTCATGTCTACTGTTAAACCGATTGCCATTCCCTTCTTGACCAAGGTATTTAAACGCGAAACAGTTGTTCCATTTGGCATCGTAGTAGAACTTCTGGATTTCTTCTGAAATTTAAGGATAATTTTAAAGTTAGGGCTACTTTTAATTGCTTTTTGATTCAAATTTTAATAAATTGATATAATAGGGAAGGTATACTTAAAATACCGAGATAAAATTTGGTATAAAGGTTTACCTTTGCCAGTACCACTATCTTTTGGAGACATACAACCTTCAACATCACGAGTAGGCCGAGAATCTATCATAACATCATCTTCTTCTTTCATTGGTGTACCATCGTTTACTTCTGAAAAAGAAAATTTACAACTTTTAGTTACTCATATATAGTGAAACGTTACTCATAGTAATATCATAGTTACTGATAGTAGTATCAATTTTTTGCCCCACCCAACTATTAAAATAGCGTGTACTTTACTACTAGTTGTTCAAATAATTCTGTGCCCCCAACCACGAAAATTTACTTTGAAAGGAGGCACAGAATTATTTGGACAACCTAATAGTTTTACAACTCACCAGAATAACATTCACTCAGACAGTCGAGCTCGCTGCCAAAATTGTTGTCATTACCTCCATTACCAAAGTATTCGAATTGGCCACAACTTTTGTTGGCCGGATTGTAAAAGTAACGTAAAACTAAATTTGAATATATTAACATGATAAACATTTAAACTTGTCATTTTTGTATCGATAAATCCCATAAAAAAGTGGCAGAACAGAGCATGAATTATGTCACATAAGATATGACATAATTCATATATTGTCACAGTAGAAACAAACTAAATTGCCAAAACAAAAGACCACAACACTCACGTTTGTCATCGCCCGTTCCCTGGTCGGCGTTCAAGTTGCACTTTGCTAGGCTGTCGGTGGAATTGGTTGATGGAACCCGGGGCGAGTCGGTGGACTCATCGCTCTTATCGAATTCGAAGCCTTTCTCTTGATCTAAACAAAAGGGTCAACTAGGTTGGATTCGAGGTTTCATCATTGAAGCTTTGTTTTTGTGAAATGTTCAAACTCTTTTTTTTATATTAAAAAAATTGAAATTTTAAAATTTTTATATTTTGCACGGTGCAAACTTTAAAATAAAAAAAAATTTAATTTTTTAAACTTTTTTGATTTTATTTCAAAATTTTAATTTTTGATCATATGATAACGCGCCATTCTTTATGCATCAAACTATATTCAAAAAAAATTAAAAAATAGGCATAAAAATACGAATTTCATACCCATACCTACTAAAATCCCCCCCCCCCCAAAAATACTTACCAAACGCTTGTGCAATACTAATTATGCCAATCAGACATATCACTCCTCTCATTTCGTGTTGCAATCCGCACGTTTCACGGAATAATTAGGAGGAAAAGGGGCGTCGACTTTACCAGCGACAATTACTCGCACTTAGGGCGTTGTTGAGAGTCACAGCGAAAGGGTTATGAACATTTATATAATAAACCACTTCCAAGTGGTTTCTTCAAGAGGTTAAACGATGGGAAGAACGGTAGAGAATCGTGCCGCCGCCACAACGATTGATAGCCGGCTGGTAAACAAAAAAGCAGCGACTGTACGAGCAGCTGTTTTTGGAGGAAAGGTCATCTTATTTACAACACAACGTTACAAGAGATAGATGGTTGAACGTACAGTAGGGAGAAGTGTAATCTAAAGGTACAACTATAGTTTTTGCTTTGATTTTCTAAAGGCAAGTCGGTCGGTTTTGTCATTAAACCTTGGTTTTATCAAAAAATATCATTTTTTCTTCAAATATGTACCGTTTTTGATAATTACTGCCTTATTGTGACCTAAAAAGTCAAACGAAACTGCAAAATACAATATAAACGATACTCAACACAATTTCAAAGAAGAACTTCCAAATCCAAGTCAGTATTTTATTTTTCCACAAAGCAAAGCCAAAAAGGTATTGACCGGGCGATGGCAAACGTAAAATTAATCAAGATCCATGCCTCCAGGGTGAACACTCTTCTTCTGCTCCTCGACCAATCGCTGGTTCTTGTGGTCGTCCACAATGCCCCACATGTCAAAGATAAGTTCGTCAGGGAAGGAGAAAGCACTCAGGTCAGCAGAAGCTCTCAGCTTGTCGTTCATCTCCATCAGATCGCCACACTTCTTGCCCAACTCCCAGATGCTCAATGCCAGTTCGTCGTCGTTCACACCCAGGTACTCTTCAAAGACCTTGTTGATTTTGCTCAAAAGAACCTTGTTTGGAGCTTCTTCCACTTTGGTTTGGCCATTGGCAAAGAAGCGAAGGGTTTGGCAGCCATCCTGGACGTCGGCCGAAGCTTTGGGTCGGACTTCTGGACGTTTGGCCAAGAAAGAGAAGCCTGTCTTGAAGGGGGAGATCAGTCTCAACGTGATTCTGAAAAGAATTGTCATAATTACCTTACTTTTCTGTTCTATACCTTTCAAAATTTTTATAAAATATTTTTTTTTAATTTTAAAAAATCAAAAAATTGAAGTTTTACAACAACAACATTAAAAAACTCACTGAGCCCCAACAGGCAATGCCCTGAGGACACGTGCCACTTGGAAATGGCGTTTTCCGATCATAGATTCACCGTTGATTTTCTCAATGTGATCTCCAATGTCAATGGCCGGCTGAACTGTAGCACAGATTGAATCTGGCTGAATTCTCTTGATGAACGTCAGACCATTGGAATTGTCTGTCACAGTAAGACCAAGAACTCTGAAATATATTTTTACATAAAAAAGTTACCTTAAATCACACATAAATAAAAGGATAACGTTTAAAATGTTATTAAAGATAGATGGTTAAAGTACAGAAAAGATAAGTGTGAAAATCTATCCCAGAATCCACAACATCATAAAATCAAGCTTCTTACCCCGCCTTCTTCACAAACGTCACTTCCTTCTTCTGACCCTTGACGTGAGCAAAGATAAAGTCGTCCAAAGCCAAGTTACTGCTCAACAACTTTTCCATGTCCACTTTGTGAGTATTCACAGTACAGAAGAGGATATCTTCCACATTTACATCCGGAAACTGTTGAGCGATACTCTTGTACATGTCCGACAAGCTGCTCACATTCGTGATCTTCACCGTTTTACTGCCATGTGCCAATTGACATTCGAATACCAGCTTCGAGGGCTCTGAGTCTAGCACTAAAGTAAGATTTTTAATATTATAAAACTAGTTTTGTAACTTCAATTTTAAAATTTTTGGTCCTAACACGAAAACTTGCTAAAAATAAGTTTAAAAAACTTCAACAATTAAAAAATTGCAAATTTCAAAACCTACATGCAAAAGGATTGACAGGAGCAGGTCCATACTCACCAACCACTGGCACAGTGGATACTGGCGCTGGTGGTGGAGGTAATGGAATGGCCGACTGACTTCCAGTAAAACTTCTGAAGAACGGAATTCTGGAGCTCAAACTGGTAGCAGAAGTCGAGGGAGCATCTGTAACCTCCTGGGAACTTCGCTCGGATCCGCTGCTGCTTTCAATAACACGGCGACGGAACCATCTGAAGATTTTTGATATTATACTTGGGATTTGAGTAAAAAAATTTTAAAACATGTTAAAAAATTGTTAAAACAGCGCCCATAACGTAATCACCTTAACAAAATATAAAACAACTTACCCAGAACGACGACGAGATGCCCGAGAACGACGATTCTGTGAACGACGGTTGTTATTAACCTTGTTGGCAGAACGACGAGTGGTGTTGGTCATGGTAGTCAGTTACAGAGAAGACGGAAAGAACCGACCGTTCCTCAAATCAGTCGAAAAGCAGTATGAATAAAAAGCCCAAAATCGACAGAAAATTTAATTTTTTTATTCAAATTTGGTCGAAATTTCAAAAAATTAAAGAATTTTTCAAAATTTTCGCTAAAAATGATGACAACTTCAACAAATTGAACATTTTTAAAATAATTTTTAAGTAAAAAACTCATTTTGAATGACTTCCCACCACCGACCGGTCGTATGAAACTATCCGCCCTCCTCCAAATCAAATCATTCCCAACACTTTTAGGCCGTCGTGCTGACATCGTACTCAGTCGGTCGTGCTCCCCGCCACTCAGCCCTGATTCCAAATGGATGAAAAACGTGAAACGACCTACAAAACCTAACTTCAGAAGAAGCAAATTACACTATGAATTGGCTGTGGTAGAGGATTCGGAACGACTCACTGAAGTTATGTTACCCATAAGAAGTAGGTATTGAACTTTAAGCGTTTTTTTAGTTTTTCAATATATTTTATACAAAAATCTAAAATATGAACCTTTGAAAGAATAAAAAGTTATATCAGGTTCCTAATTTTCATGTTTATATATTAGTTTTTAAAAGAGTTACGTCGATTTGAAGTTAGGAAAACCAAAAAAGTTCGAATCCGGCCAGAAGACAGAATAGGTTTTTTCATTTTTCAAGGCCTAAATCTTTATAAATCGTTCTCATAGTTTATTGACCTAATTGCCATGTGATATATAAACCAAAAAAACATAAACTAACCTTGTTCAGGAGGAGAAAGTATTTTGTACGAGCTATATTCCCATATCATGCAGAAGTATATCAAGAAAGAAACGTCTTTGCTGGGCTTCTATCATGATCGACTTGTCGCTGCGGCTGTGACTAAAATACATCAAGTCAGGGTAGGTTTCATAACAAAGGATTTTGTTTTGGCTATTCTTCCCTTATTTTTTGGAGTAACAATTAATAATTTGACGAAGTGTCAAATCTTTATTGAAAATTATTTTTATTATTTTTTTAGGTAAAAACGGACAAACTTACGTTGGAAACGGAACTAGAACAAGGTATGTTGTATTTTTGTTGTCTTTAATCTATTTTGCTGTTATATTATTTTGATTTTTCAGACAAATTCACGCATTATATTAACAATGGCATCTACAACTTTCGGAGAACGCTAATGAACTCGGCGCTGAGTGGATTCGATGGGAAACGAGTAATGGAAATACAATTATCATGGACCAAGAAAGAAATGGATATGTGAGTGTTATGTTCATTTTTACGATTTTTAGAAATTTGAGCAATTTGCAAGAGCTTTGGACAGTATTTTGAGCTCAACGACAATATAAGAAACTTTTTTTGAGATTTGTGATCTCTGATTCTTGTTGCTTTTTGAGTAACATATAATTTGGCTGTTTATTTCTTAACAAAAGCTTGGGAAAGGATGTCACACTTGGGTTGACGAAATAAACAAACAATTATCACTCTTATTTACAATATACTTTGGCCTCAGGCCAAACTTTGTAAAATCATGCAAATTGATACCTAAAAATGCAAATTATGAAAAATGTTAGCTAATGAATGCATTTTGCGATGTTTTTTAAATTGGCATGAATAATTTGAAAGCTTTTGGATGTTTTTGCAAAGGATAATCAAAAAATGTCACTTTGTTACCTAAAATTATATTTGTGTTTGTTTTGTAGATAGAAGTGATAGTTTAGTGTATTTTACAAATAGAATAAAGAATTTTAGGTAACTTATGGCTGAAACTGTGTTTTATAAGTTTTTGTTACCTAAAATTACGTTATCTGTTCGGTGGCTACATAGTTCTGTTTGTTGATGTTTTATTTTATAATTTTAGCTATTATATTAAACTTTGAAGCTTTTAATAATGTTAATATGCTAATTGTTTTTAGCCGAGGAGTGCCAGAACTGTTGAGTAATATATTCGCATTTGCTCGAAGATTGAAGTGCGATTATGTGGTGGGATTAGCTGGAATGCCGTATAGAGAATTCAATTTACCTAATTCCGTATGTTCGCTGAGAAGATTATGGCTAAAAATATACAGTAAAGTCATGTAAACATAGTTTTGTCATCTTCTTGGCAAGATGTAATGTTCTTATAGTAGTATTATATTATAGTATCTTATTGAAAAGAATTTTGCAATAGTTGGTTAGGAAATTTGGTGGTAATGTTTGGCGTACTATAGGTGATACTATAGTGCACTATTGAGGTAAATATTAAGGTAAAGTATGATGATAAACATGTTTTACTTGGAAAATTCATAGATATTATTATATGTCATGATAAGTTAGCGTTGTTTTTAAAGCTTAAAATCATTCTTAAATAAAATCGTTTTGTAAAATACGATAAAGTGAATGAATTGTAAATTGTATTGTTCAACAGTCCATATATTGACATTTTTGAGATTAATCTTTCAGGAAAGAGATGACCGTTTGTTTGTGATAGAAGAGAAGATATGGCCTGCTGATTGGATTAACTCGGCGACTAGACCGTATCAAAAGGTCGTGGAGTATCGGATAGTGAAGTTGATGGCTTACAAAGTTTAGTTACACTCAATAAAGAACTGATTTTAAAGTTTTTGGAATTTTGATGGTCTTGAAGAGTTAAAATCTTGTTTTATCGTTGGTGTTAACGATTTAAAATGTAATTTTTTGGGTTCTCTTAATGATTTTTACTTTTTCATTTGGATTGGAATGTCTATTTTGGTAGTTTTTGTTGAGTTTGATGTTGTTATTAGCTTTTCTGTTAAATTATTACCTAAAAAACTCAAAGTTTAAAGAAAGATGTTGTTTTTGTGTCAAAACCTCTTTTTGCTCACTAATTTTTGAAACTTTTTAATTTTTCAAGCCAAAGGCTGTAAATCAAAGTCAAATTTTTGGCTTTACTGTTTACAAATACGATCTGAAGATATGGTGGACTCTTCTGATCTCTAAACCCGACAAATTTTGAAATTCGATCTTTGAAACGGATATTTATAACTCTGCTGACGTGATTGTACTATCGCGTCAACATTTTTATTCGGATAACAAAGTTTGAACTTGACAAAAACATGGTAAACATAATATTATTCTTGGCAAGTATAATATGCTTTTGGTGTTTTTGACAGATTATTTTGAGCAAACTTATTGTTTGTAGACTACCTGAGGACATAGGTAATTCGAATTTAACAAGAATAATGTGGATTTTATGTCACTGACTAACTTGGATAAGTAAAAGTTTATGTGAAAAGTACTATACATATTCTGGACTTTGGATATCATTGGTAATGCCCCTTTAAGTTGATTTCAGGAAGAAAAAAAGTGCAAAAAGCAATGTTTTTGATCTGAAAAACACTAAAAATATAAATCTTTGCTTGAAATCGACTCAAAAATCATCTCCAAACAACAAATTTCATTGGATTTACGTAGGTAACGGCACGATTGTTTACCTGTCAGCAACGTGAGCTGTTTATTGCTAAATCTCAGACTAGATCGTTGATCCAGAAACTCGATTTTTTGCTCGTTTTTGCTGTTTTTAGAGTCATCTTTGTCACCACGATCTTTAAAGTCATCTTTAATGTCTTCTAGTCGTCTATTTGCTGAGCAATATCTATTTCTAGTTGGCTAATTTGAACGTGATCTATATCTTTTGACTTAATTCCTTACAACGTGATTTATATTTGTTAACTTGATTATTGCTAACGTGATCTATATATATTAAATTAACTATTTCAAATCTATTTTTAATTCTAATTTGCTGGCTTTCAAATGATCTCTGAAACTCTGTCTATACTCTTTCAAACTCTTCCGGCCTTCAGGCCTGTTTCCATCTCTGTTCCGGGTGTGTCAAAGCCTTTTCGACCCGCTTTAATTGCCGGTAATCAGGAAACAATAAGCCCAAACATAACTCTTTTCGAAAATAGCCTGAACTTTAATGCTAAAAACAAACGCGCCCTAAGGTCATGAGCCAACTGGCCGGAAACGCGAAAAATAAAAAACATTGTTCACGTGCCGCCCCTTTGCCCGGCCGAAATGCCCCGAGGGTTTAAGAAGGGCGGGGATGCTTGTTTTGATTAGGCGAACGTGCCGAACAGCTCACTGATGTGACGAAATCCCTCAGCGTTCGAATTGAATGTTTTCGATGGCATTCTTAAGACTTTTGTTGATGACCTTTTGGGCGTTTGCGTCGAATATTGTCTATGGCATTATGGATTCTGGTCGAGGAGGGGGTTTAGTGTCACCAAAAATATGGTTGTTGTAGTTGAAAGGGATGGCTGTGTAGTAGAAAAATATGGTTGGTGTGATAGAAAAGGATGGCTAATGTAGGGAAAAATATGGCCTTGTAGTAAGTAGGGAGTAACGTATCTTAAGGGTTCTTTTGGGCTTTATAATTGGATGATACCCAGATTTTTTCTTACAACAGAGCTAGGTGTACTCAGAGGTTACAATGTTGTAGTAAAATCAAGAAAAATCTAAACTATTTTTACATTTTTGTTAATTTTATAACCTTTTATACATCACTTGTTATCAAAAAAGCTCTATATTTTACGAAGGTCTTTGCAATTAAATTCAAAATTTCAGATTAAAAACTTCATTTTTTGATTTTTCTTGAGAACCACTTTGTTTTTCAAATAGTTCTGTGCCCCGTAATTCTAAAAATTTTCTTTGAATTTTTTTTACAATGACTGCTTGTCACACTCTTGTTCAGATTCAGAATGTAAAATTCAAAAATAAAACCCACAAAAAGCCTTATTTATGAATGTACGTGCTGAACTTTACGGTATTCCCACAGGTATTGTTTTAGTTCATACCCGAAAATACATTGCAATGCATTGTGACTTAAAAAAGTGCATTTTATATATGTCTTCAAGCTTTTTTCACAAGAAATATCTTAAAAATGTGAATTTTATAGGTTTTTTGTATGAATTTATACTGCAATACCTACGTAAGAAGTACTGGGCGGGTTATTTTAGGATGACAAAAGGTATGAGAGGCATAGGGGGAGCGAGAAGGTGGGGGTGAGGAGAAAAAATTAAAGTTTTCTGAGAAATCTACGGGACCTGAAAGCCGCTAGGACCGCATCTGGGCTGGGTTAGGCCTGCGTATATGGGCTCTAGGGCGGGGTCCTAAACCAAGGACCAAGAAATTGGCCCGGCCTCTTTACAGATCTCTATTTACTTTCTTAACTTTCTGTAATATAATTTTTCCCCTCCCCTCCCCGTTCCTCTTCTGCTACCCCGTTCCAGCTCCGGCCTTTCACCTGCTCCCCATCCCCACACTGCTCCCCCTCCCCCGCTCTTCACTCATCACCTTTCCCTTTGCTTCAGTCTATATGTGGACAAAAACACCCCCAAATGACAGTATTATGCACTGCTTGAATCAAATAACATTTCCGCAGTGCCATTTCTTATTTTGGTATTTGCGAAAACAAAAACGGCGACAAGTTCTGAAGTGTTGTTCACGTTAGCATCCATGCATCAATTAGTGCAGTAAATAACGCTCGGAATAATTGCTAATTCAAAACAAATTCTGACCTTCAATCATTGTCCTGTAAACAAATGCCATCGTATTTTTGTGTGTCTTCGTATCTTGTGTACGTGAACGTTCGTTGGATCTTGTGTACTCGAGCGTCTTTTGCAGTCTGTTTTTGGTCTAACTTTAAAGTTTTGGGCTTGGGGAGGGAATTTTAATTTTATAATTAGAAAAAATAGTTTTTTATTTGTAAGGGGATGTTTTTTCGATTTTTATTGGGTTTTTGAGGGTTTTGGAGCTACACTTTTAATTTTATTTAAAAAGATGTGAAAATCAGAAAAAACTGAAATAAACATTTTTTTGTTTTGGTCAAAAAGACTGTAGAAAAAACAAATTTCTTAAATTTAAACTTATAAATCTATTTTTTACTTTTTGATCCATTTTCACAATTAAAAATTTTTTTTTCAAAATCAGTAGTTTAGTTTATGAAAATATTTTTTTTTAATTCGTTTATTCAAATTTTGTTTTTACGCGAATGTTTTAAACATTATGCAAATTTCTCAACCTTTTCAGTTTCAAAATTTCGTCGCCACGTTGTTCCCGTTCTCCCATCAGTCTGGAGCATCACCAGACACGGCGGTGTACGCTACCATCTTTACACCTGCCCGCTATGTCGCTAGCCAAACGATTCGTGTCGAGGTGGGTTTATTTTATTATTGTCTTATGATTTTACTGTTTTTTGACATTATATTTTGGTTTTTACATTTTGTTATGCTTGCTTGACACTATATTTTGGTTTATGAGAAATATATTACACTAGAGTATAGTTATGTATAGATTTTGGTTATGTTAATCATCTTTTTGTCAAGAACAAATTATTTTAATGAAGTAGTATAGGTAACATTTCTGGTAATCACAATTTCAAAACAAACATAAATAGCACCTTTTTATGGCATGCTAATGACTATTATAATTTTTCTCGGTATACTAATGACCATTTCCTAATAATTTCTGCAATAGTACTATTTTGCACGAGACTATAGTACTTCCAGCTGTGTAACCCTGTAAACATCGTTATTTTAGTGCCTAATAAGGCGAGAAGATTTTTGATGCAAAAAGTTGTTTTCCGAGGTTTTAGGAGCTTTTCACGAGTTATAAATAGCCACATTATGTTAACATTGAGGAAGTCTATAAAGTTATGTGACGCAAATCTCTGAAACGGCCTCAAATTGGTTTTGTAGGAAAGGAAATGGTCTTTTGGTACAAAGATCTTTGTCATCTATGGTCCGAAAGTAAGATTTGAAGGCTGGTTGGGTTAAGAAATGGAGAAAAAGTTGAAGAAAAGGTTAATTTGGGTATAGAACAGGGTAATTTAGGTACAAAAATACGGTTTTTAGTCTTTTTTGGCTAAACTATGGCCTGTTTTTGAACTTTTTTTTCAAAATTTATTGATTCTGCATAATTTTTGACCGATATTTCTAAAATACTTTATGAGTTATAATAGAACAAGCTTGGTTTAAAAGTTGATAGCATTGGCGTTCTACCTTGTTTTGAGCCATTACTGGTTCAAAACAACGTGGAAGACCTTCTTCCTTCAAAACTACGTGCATAGCTTTTTCCGGTCTAAAACTACGTAGAAAAGCACATGTTATCCTAGGTGTTTGCACTAAACAGCCCGGAAATTGTTTTAGCCGAGTGATGGACGTGTTTTGGTTGAGTTATTTTTGGAAAATATTGTTTTAAGTACGAGTATTTGTGGCAAGACCAAATTGTGTTATCTCTGGTCGAAGAGTAAATTGCGTTGTTCGTAAAGCTCGTAAATTATTTGAAACAACATCATTTAGGTTTGTCAGACGTTTTGGAAATGGAAAAAGGGTACGAACGTTGTGAGAGATGAGTTTGGATTAGTGATAATGAAAAAAGATTGAAATTTTAAAAATTTGACAAATTTTTGATTTTTTAAAGAATGAAAATATGATGTAACATCATTTAAAATAAGAAAGGCATAACGCTAAAGATTTGGATGCCTAAACTTAGAAAAACGGCCTGCAAATGACATTTTTGTAAAACTTTTGAGACTCTACGACAATTTTGTTAGACTACAGTGCACTTTGTTTATAAAAAATAACAAAATTTTGCACTTTTTCGTACGGGTACTGGTACACAACAGTCGGTACGTATAAACTTTTAGCATAATGTTTTAAGGGACTTTTGACGTTTACTATAGTGTTTTCAAGTACTTTTACTTTTGTTAGTACTTTTGTTACAGAAAATAGAAATTTATAATGACAAACTTAGTGTAGTATAGCTATACGTATAGTGTGATGACATAGTATTAGATCTATCGGTATAAAAAAGCAAAAAAAAATGGTTAAAATAAGGTCAAAAAATGTGTAGAATTAGCTTTTTTTGCAATTTTAGGCTCATTTTTTTATTTTTTAAACTTTTTTTTTCAAAATTTGTATACGTTGATGCGAAAATAATGGCACGGGCCGGGCTTGAAAGTTGGGCCCGACTCTAGGCTTGAGAAGTATGCATGGTTTGTTTCTCACCTCTACTATTAACAGTATTTTTTGCCAAATTTTTAAAGTTCAAGCTAGTTTTTGCAAGTTGAAGTCATGCTTGTTTTGCATTAAATTGAGAGCATGACATTCGGCATAAACATGGCTGTAAACATGCTCGAACTGATGGTGTCTGAGTGTTAACAGTTGTCGGATGTTTTGGCTTTGTTTGTGATTTGATTCTGCTCGCAAAACTAATTTTAGAGTTTGGGGAAAACAAAATTAAATTACAGTATGGCGGGAAATTGTGGCGCCGGAATTGACATGTATAATATACATAAAAAATGAAGGATACATAATATGCTACATCTATTTTTAGCAGCATATTGAGAAGATAGTTGTAGTTGTAGTAAACGAGCTCTTTAAAGCCTAATTGAGGTCAAAAAGTTTATAGAACGGAGTTTTGTTCAAGATTTTGGCTTATTAAGGCTAGCTAAGCTTGTGAGTTTTTTTTTCGTCTGCTTTCTACTTACTTTTTGACCGCAAATGTATTCAAAAACAAAAAAAATCAGCTTTGGTATATTATAGTAAGTATCAAGTTTAAATTTTCGTATACCAGCTAACCACATGACATATTGCACCACAGTAGATATAAAATAGACACAGTAGAGCTTTTGCAGCTCTGTAATGAATTAACTGTTTGAATGGTGACATTAATTTGCTGCCAGTGTGATTTGTTTACATCTTAAGTGCAAAGTGTCACGATCCTACTTTGCGTCGTATCTCGTTGTGAAAGTGCTTTAATTATGACTAAAAATAGAGCGAAAGTAATTATTAATATGTTTACATTCTTCATAGTACAATATAGGGTATTACTGTAGGGGTTTTTAGTTATTATAGTGGTTACTGCAGGTGATAGGGTAAGATATGATGGTGCAGATTGTTTGTTTGATGTTAACTAGCATGTATTGCTATTATATGTCTATACTATATATATATTAGGTTGTTCAACTAATTCTGTGCCTCTTCTTAAAACAAATTTTTAGAGTTAAGGAGCACAGAATTATTTAAACAGCCTAATATTATTATCGTAGTTGTATATATTGACTTTATATGCCATTTACACCTATAAAAATTTTACATACTATTTACACCTACAGTAAAATAATGCTTGGTATTTTAGGACCGTTTTGGCCAAAGTTTATGCAAATGACAAGTGTGCACGTCGCCTGTACAGTCACTCGCCCGTGCTGCCGGAGAAGCCGTACGGCCCATCGGATGGGTCGGTGTGGTCGAAGGTGACTCGACCAAAACCTCCGGAATATATCAAAGGCCTCGTCCACTACGAGCTGGCTGTAGATCATGACATTCAGCATATCGTCGACTTTTGGTCCGACAAGATCGGCGGGCAATCACCACTGTTGCAGTCGATCGGTAAGCTATTCTTTATATATCATAGGTTCTTCAAATAATTCTGTACCTCTAATTCCGAAAATTAGCTTTAAGAGGGGCACAGATTTAATTGAACTTTTGTCCAGTTTTTTGAATGTCATAACACAGAGATTTGACTATACCCATATCATATTGTGATTGATAATATTCTTTTTAGGCGCCAAAGCAGAAGAGATGTCAGATTTGGCGGTCCAAGTTGTTACTCGCTCGGTCAAAGAACATTGTTCACTCCTCGGCTTCGTCGGGGATGAACTTGTAGGCTTCTCAATGCATTCGATCAGAAAGATGGAGCCGGTCAGAAGCGAGCACATAGTGTATCCCGAGATTCTGCCAAGCAAGAACTATGTTGATGGTAGGCTTTGTAGGCATTGTAATAAGAATACTTTGGGTTGTTTTAAATTGTTAAGGCTTATTGTAAATAAGATTTTTATAGGTGGGTATTTGAAATTTTTGATGCGAAAAGAATGGCGTATTGAGTAGAGTTAACGTATGACCAAAATATGATGATAAGATCATTTTTTAGTGTTGTTAACATGATCTGGTTTTTAGAAATCGAAAACGCACCTTATCAATCCAGGCCAGCCAAGAAGATGTGGGTCTTTTGGCACACTTTAAGCTCGGAAATCGAAAGGTTGCTGCCCGAGGCAAAGAAGATCTTGTTCATCGAAATGGGTGGAGTTGCACCAGAATATCAGCAGTAAGGAGTTTTTTTTTTATTTTTTAATTTTTTTTATTTAAAAAAGCCAAAAATTAAAAAATTTTTAAAAAATAAATTTTCAAATTAAAAAATCTGCTTTCAGAAGAGGGATCTACTCGGACATGGCACAGCTGACGATCCGCTTGGCCAAAGAGAAGTTCGACTGCGACCACGTCCTCGTGGTCGCTGACTCAAAGGCCGCTCAGAAGATGTACGAACAGAAGCTGGAGTTCAAGTTGTTGCGCGAACTGAAGCTGGACCACTTTTACGACGGCGAAACCCACGCCTTCCCCTACATGAAGAACGAGATCTTCAGCGGAAAACTGTTGGGCAAAGCCTTGTAAGCGCGGGTCTCGGCCGTCCTCTGCTCCTTCTCGTTTACTATGATCTATATGTGTTGAGTAAAGACTTTTGTATTGTTCTCGGTCTGATGTTTCATTTTGAATATTGTCTTTGGTCTGGAAATTGATTATGAATGTATTAGGGCCAAGTTTCGGCCAAATGTTTCTGGTTTTTGAGGAAACATTGGTTCTATGAATTTTTGGACCAAACCAGTATAATTTTGTATCTTTTGTCACATTTTTTAAATTTTAGTTTGTCAACAAGAAACGTCTCTATATTGTACATACATATAACTATTTTTGCACATTTTCTTTCAAAACTTACTGTAATTTTTATTTTTTTTTACTTCAATAAGCCTTAGAAACAGTAAACACGTATTAACATACTGTATGGAATACTGTACTATAAAAACGAAATTTTTCAAAATTTAAAAAAAGCTTGAATCCTTCATCGAAAAAGCTATGTTAGAGTACGAACTCTATAGTACAAACTCTATAGTACGACCTCTATAGTACGTGTCTACTGTGTTGGAATCACCCATTCCCAATTACTAGTCCTCTCCCCGATTCAATTAGTCTAGCAATTTGTTTCAAACATAATTTGCATAATTCGATATGTTCTAATTAAAAAGTAAAAATAATTTGTGGGCATTGTGACATCATGTAGATGACAAACAATTTACATTTCTTCGCCTAAAACAATTTCGAGATGTTTTGGCACGTTTTAAAGTGTTTTTTAAATTTAAAAAACGATGTTTTGTTTGGAAATTGAAGAAAAAATAGCATACAAAGCACTTGACACGCACAATTTGGAAGACATTGAAAACTTGAATATTTTGCAAAAAAACTACTTTGCAGGCTGCGGAACCATATTATACGCAGAATTTTAAAAGTATATCACACTGATAAGAAAATACACATGTAACTATACCTCCGAAACATCTCAACATAAGTTACTCTCACCAGAAAGAGCACTTTTACAATACATCCTTTGGTTTTGCAACAGAATGCCAAATGCCCGCCAAATTCAAAAACCAATATTTTTTAAACCAAAATTATAAACTCTAAAGGACTCATCGATCAACCAAAATCATTCCCGCGAATGCAAAGTCAATTTTATGTAGCCTAATTTAGTTTCTGAATCATCGGAATACCTTGTTTGTCTCGGTTCACGATGTAGCAGATATCCTGACCAGAAGCGTTTCGTTCGAGGTAAACCCATGTCGAAGATGAAGGTTTGAACAAGAAATAAGCTCGAATCTTCGACGTTTTCACAAAATGAAGCTGGCTTTTGTCCTGGAAATCAATTTTATAGTCGTAGTTAAAAATTTCAGGAAGGATAATAGTTTTTGGCCAAAAGTTTATAGAAAAATTTAAAACAACTTAAATCCAACCTTTATGAAGACCAAATGTATATTAGATTGTTCGATTAATTCTCTGCTCCCCAATCCCAAAACTATGCTTTGAGAGAAAGCACAAAATGATTTGAACAACTTAATAATTTATGTAAAGCTACTTTACCTGATAATCAAAGTAAATGTCCAAATAAGGCGTAAACTCCCAAGCATTTTTAGGCACAGACTTCGAACGATCGTCTCCATTCTTGTCTTGAACTTCTTTTCTCAAGGCATTTAGTCTTTTCAATGCAATCGCTAGTAGCTCTCGTTCTTGTTTAACAACGTTATTCTGAAAAATTTAAACCCATTAAAACAATTTTTAAAACAAAAAAAATTTAAAAAACTTTTTTTTAAACTTTCAAAAAATATTTTAACTCACTTGTACAGCACTCGACAATGGTATTGACGCGACAGAACTTTCAGCCATCTAACTGCTCCTTACTATCGACACCTTTTCCAAGGTATGTTATTATAAGCACAACCGACTTTTTAGCAAAATGTCGTTATCAGTTATCAAAAATTGCTAAAGTTAAAAATTTATTCATTTTCCAAAATTTTTAGCGAAAAAAATAGTTTTCAGCCAAGAAGTTTTAGCCAAACATTTTTAACAAAATAGTTAGGGTTCCTAATAGACAATCGTGAGTGGATCAGAAGTAGACTGTGCTTTGATGCTTTTAGACCCGTAGAAAGCTTCGCGCAGCTGGAGATACACCTGATAGACGTAGAGTTTGAAGAGGATTGTGTACAGTTTCACCGTGAGGAAGAACTTTTGACTAAATGTGTTGGCACGCTTCAGACGATGTTCGAAGACCGTTCGACTACACTGTTTGCTCATCTGAAAACCCATCAGAAAAATCGCTTAAAAATAACTTGATCAATAGAAATAACTTAAATTTCTACCACTATACCTCAATTTCAAACCTACATTCATAAACTTTTAAAGCAAAACATATCAAAAGATCAAGTATTATATCAAATTAAACATAAAAGTGCCATAACGAAAAACTTTGCAACATTACCTACCTCAATAAAAGCATCAGATCTGTTTTGAGATCCCAGTCGATGTTCAATTGCACGTAGAAGATCATTTGTCTTTAGAATCAACAGCATTGCCCGAGGCATTTTGTCCAGCACTTGACTGATTTGAGGTATCAATGAGGCCGCAAACTCTTTTATATGCGTAGTCTAAAGCAACAAACATTGAATTTTGGACAATTTAAACTTTTTACGCCAAAAATTATTTTATAATATTACATTATTCAAATAATTCTGTGCCCCTTTTCGAAGAAAATTTTAGGAACTATAAGACACAAAATTATTTGACCAACCTAACAGTAGTAAAATATGAATAATAAAAGATTTAAAACAGTATGAAAATATAACCTACCTCAGCAGCCGTCGACTTAACTTTGGTGATTCCCTTGGTTACAGAATCCCACGACCGTGCCGTGACAATACAAGCGAACAGTCCGAACAACTCTCCTACACCCATTTTTGTGCAAATTTTTTGAATTTCATCCTTGTCCGGCTTCAGAATCGCCATCCACAAATTACAGTAATCCACTCGGAAGTTCTCCTCCAAAGTCTGAAAAGTATTTTCTTTAAAATGTTTTAAAATGAGGTTTTGTGATATTACAGTACTTTCAAAACTTAAAAAATTTCAAAAACTTGAAAATCTTGAAAGCCATTCGTGAAGAATGCCAAGTTTCAAAAAAGTTCAGTCGCAGCACCACCAAATTTGCATACCCATCGAAAAGTGGTATAAAAAGCAAAGCCGAAGCAGTGGCTCCTTTCACTGCGTCGCCGAAACTAGCTGTAGGTCGGTCGGTTGTTTGAGGTTGCGCTCCTTTCGTCACTCGCCATCATGGCGGACAAGGAGAAGATCATCAACATAGACATAGAGGAAGGAGAGCCGCTTGGTGCCACGCCGAACGACAAGCTCATCATCGTCCGTGTCCAAGCCGGTACCCTCGCCGAAGACAAGCTCAAAGTCGGTTTTTTTTTGTATTCTTTTATTTTTTCTTGTTTGGTCGGTATTATTTTAGTTTTTTTGTCATTTGACAAAAGCTTTTGTTGGGCTTTATCATATTTTACCAATTATGTTGCTCATTCTAGTAACAGATTTTTATTCCTTTGTCTTTTATATTATTTTAGCCACCTTTTCAATCGCTTTATTTCAGGTTGGAGATCAAATCGTGAAGATCAACGATACCACAATCCGCGACACGAACCACTTCTTCCAGCTGCTGCGTTTTGCTCCACCATGCGCCCGGCTTCAAATCATTCGTGATGAGAACAAGGCGGCCGAACTCGAAGCCAAGGTCCACATTCCACCAGAGCGCGCCAAGTTCATTCAACGTCGTGATGGATTCGAATACTTCGTAAGTTGTTTTAGTTCTTTGTCTGTTGTCTTTAGGTTGTTTTACTTATTGTAGGTAGAAATTACATTATCTTTTATATAGTTTGTTGTTTTAAGGCTCTAGTATACCTTGATATTGTCTATTACACGTTTTACTTTATAAAATATTGACCTTTTTCAAACATATATTGTTCACTATAATATATTTTTCAATTTTAAATCTTATTTTATACCATCTAGACCAATTGACTCATATATTATCTAATCTCTTCATTTTCAGTTGGTGAAGATTGAATGGAAACCCGGAGGTCCCAAGCTTGGTCTCGGAATTCGTCATTACCAGAATCGTGTGTTGGTGTCACGTTGTGACCCCAACTCGTTGGCGTCATCCCAGATGAAGGTTGGTGATCACGTGATCGACATTGACGGAAAGCCGGTCACAGACAAGGATGTGGCCAGGGAGTTCTTGTTGAAGTCGCTCCAAAGCCAGGGCTTTGCCACGATGGTGGTGGAGAGACCCGAGTCGATGGAAGCCAAGCACTGGACTCAACAGGCACTGCAGGCCAACCCGGCCCAGCCTCCATCTGTGGCCATGAACTCGGACGTGCGCGAAATCGCGGCCAAGGAGCGGGCCAAGTTAAAGGAGAAGCAGCCAGTAAGTTTTTGAGTTTTAAGTTTAATTGATTTTTTTCTTTAAAAACAGTTTACATTAGGTTTTCATACCTAAAGAATTAATTTGCTTTACCACTTAAGGCAAAAGCTAATTCTTTAGGTAACAACCTAATAATAAAGATATTGAAATGCCATTTTTCGTTAATATAGCTTCCAGTACCATACTAATGTTAAAATTTCAGCCAAAAAAGGGAATCTTAGGCCGTGCGACCGGAAACAAGCGTGTCCAGATCACGGACAAGATTGGAGAACATGTCATCGCTTCCGACAACGAAGGCAAGAATCTCCGCTCAGTCAGGAAATAGTGTCATTATCTCTTTTACTTACCGAATAAAGGCCATGATCTAAGAGTACCAGTTTTACTTGATTGTTCTCGTCTTGTCGTACCAATACGTTGCCGGGGTGGGGGTCGCAATGAATGTAGCCATCTTTGAATATCATCTCACTGTATAAGTGGCCAATTTTGCGGCAAATCTGAAATTTTTTCTGCTTATTATTTTTGCATGTTATACATTGATTACGTTTTAGTGTTACTTATTCTATTATAAAATGTTAGACTATAGTTAGCTGTCTATCCATTTTATCAGATATGGTTTTTTACCCGTAAACTAAATATAACCATTGAAAACCTACATCATGAGTGTCGATGTTATGTCTTTTGAAAAAATCAACATCCGTTATTTGAGCTCCTTCGCAGAAATCCATCGTCAACACCTTTTCCGAGCACAGGTCGTAGTGAATCCTAGGTATCTCGAGGAAGTCCATGTGTCTGAACAATGCCCGCACTTTCTCCGCATTTTTGGCCTCATGGATAAAGTCCAGTTCTTTTGGCAAATTCTTTTTTGTCTCTTCCACCAACCACATTAACTTGAAGTCGCTGAACAATCGATCTGCTATTCTTACAAACAATTCCATCGTAGCTACATCAACAACAGATCTGTCTTTGACATATGGATGTTGGATTTTGACTGCCACCTTCTCTCCTGACTTCAGCCGTGCATCGTGAACTTGACCAAGAGAGGCCGCTCCACAAGGAATTGTATTGAAATATTCAAAAACTTCGTCAAACTGGAACAAAAGTTAAAGTATATAGAAAAATCAGTTAAAGTAGATGACGAATTTTTGGGTTTACATCTTTATAAGTAAATAAACTCACATCTTTACCCGTTGTTGTGACAAAAACATTCTTAATATCCTCAAAATTACTCGCCGGAGCTTTTGAATGTAAAACACCAAGCACAGACGTGTATTCTTCAGGCAAAAGGTATTGTAAAGCAGCAATGTGTTGTCCTACTTTGATAAAGACACCGCCATTAGCTTTACAAAGGTCCAAGAGTCTGTTAGCTCCTCTCAAATGACACAAATGCATCCTAGCCTTGTATTCAGCTGATTCTGGATCTCCATTCATAGTCAACTTATAATCCACAATCATTCGTGTTGCCTAAACGCAAAAAAAAACATAAATATTATTGAAAAAATGTTTTTAACAATATCTGTTAATCAAGTAATGTTAAAAACATTTTCTTAATGCAAAAAAAACTGACTTACAGTGCATCCAGCACGAGCAAACCGCACAATCCCCAACTTTGAGGCGACATCGTTATTGTTAACCAAGTACCCAACGCCAATACCAGCTGTCCCAATCAAAGCCAAGTTCCGTGGTCTTAAAAGTCGTCGCAGCATATCGAATATCACCCAACCATCCGAGCTGATGGCTTAGATCAAGGATTCAGAACACAAATCGTAACATTTTCAACATTTTTGTTATTTATTTTTCGTAAATGCGAAGTGTCAAAGAGATTGAAACGAAATGCCACATTTTTATCGACATTATTTTTTTGTTACAGTAACTCATGAAGTTTGAATTGACATTGTTTATCTTTTTGACCTTTAAGCTAATATGTAGTACTATAAAATGTTATGCTACGTGCAAAATAGTTTTAAACATCAAAAAGCATGTTGTTGTGGAAGCGGAAGTCTAAAATAAGTTTAGCGAAGCAAAAATACATTCTTTAGCTCCAAAATTTCGTTTGAAGCCTTATAGTCATCTGTTTAATACAATGTCTAATATTTCTGAAGTTCCGTCCATTAATGATAATACTCTGAATGAGAATCTGAAGGCTGAAGTTAACACCGTGATTCAGCTAGAGAAATCATTGGAAGAACTAGTCAAACAACGTGACCAAGGGAAAGAAAAAGCTGAGAAGATTAGTGAGTTAAACAGTAGGTAAGAATCTTCTCAATAATGTAACTTTTTTGTACTTTAACCATCATTAAGACATTTTATTCTATACCATATTCGATACTGTGCAGTTCATGTAATACAACTCGTTTGTCTGTTTCAGAGAAATGGGAGACCACATGGTTGAATCCTTGCTAGAACTGGTCGAAAACGTGCGTAAAATTGAAATAGAAATCGACAGTACCAAGGAATCACTTCAGAAACTTGAGAACGAAGATCCAGGAGAAGCTGCGAGAGATTTTAACACAAAACTTGATGCTATTAGAGGCAAATTGAGTGCTATGAAGCGAGAACGAGAAGCAAAAGAAGTGATATACAAGACATTGCTGAATATAAGCCACGATTCTGTGAAACTTCCAATCAAACCAAATCACAGTGTTAAGACTGAAGTTGTAGATGACCTACAATAACGTTATTATCTTTAGCTTTGTAATAAATTTAAAGAAATATTGATATTTACTAAAAATTTTATAGAATTATATTTTAAAGTTACAGCTACAATATTTTGTCCGTTGTTTCCGAAAAACATCTTTTTTCTTTTCTTTCGTATATAACAGCGCTTTTGTGTGGGCGCACTTTGTAACATTTCATAAATATAAAAATTAATTTTTCTTGCATTTTTCAACAATGTTCAGGATTGCACCAAGCCTAAGATCTCTTCGTTTAGCTGGAAACAATATTAGATTGTTGTCCTCTTCAGTGCCAGAACAATCGAACAAAGTTAGCAAAGAGGTAAGTGTTTCTTTTGGTTTTGTGTTTTTAGGTACAAATGTAATATTAAGTAGATTCTGTAGAACTAATTAAAAGTGATAGAAGCTAAAGAAGGTGTTGAATCTTATAGTATTCATGCTTTTAATTTATGTGTGTTTTTAGGCATTGATAAAGTTGAGACAAAAGACTGGATTCAGTTATGTTAATATTCGAAAAGCTTTGGTCAAGTTTGGAGAAGAGAATGAGGCCGAAGCCATCAAATGGTTGAAGGAGTTGGCTGCTAAGGAAGGATGGGCAAAAGCTACCAAGTATGTTGACAAAAGTTTTATTTTTTTTTAAATTTATTAAATAATGAATGTTGTTGTAGACTAAGCAAACGTGTGGCGTCTCAAGGATTTGTTGGACTCAAATCTCGTAATAATGTCGCAGCTTTGGTTGAATTAAACTGTGAAACTGATTTTGTAGCCCGCAGTGATGAGTTCAAGAATTTGGTAAGTTTAAAACTTTTTTAAGGTTAATTATTTTAGGTATATTTTTAAGACTACAAAGCGGTTTTACGTGATATCTCAAAACAACTTGCTAAAAATTTAACCTTTGGTTTAATTTTTAGGTAGAAGAAATAACGAATGCAGTTCTGAAGGCTGGTGAAGAAATTGCTAGTGAGAAAGCTCCTCCAGAGGACAAGGAAGTTGTGGTTGTACCTGTTATCGAGTCAGCTTTACACACTGATAAAGGAAGGAACATTAAGGAAGCAGTAACAATGTTGGTCGGAAAATTGGGAGAAAACATTACTCTGAAGAAAGCTGAAATCTTGTTGGCCAGGGATGGAATGAACGTCTATGGCCATGTTCATCCTAATGGTAAATATAATTTAATATAAATACTGATTTTTCTTTTTGTATACAACGTTTATATTTATACTTTGTTGAAGAAGTTAATAATACCATGATCTTTCAGTTGGAACAGGAGATGTTCAAATCGGTCACGCAGCTTCAGTGTTGGCTCTAACGCGTGAGAATGAATCTTCTTTTTCAACTAACGTATTGGCCAATCAGATATGTCAGCATATTATTGGTATGAAGCCGACTGAATTGGGAATTCCAGCTGATGAACATACGAAGAAGAGGAACGAACATCTCGTGAAGAAGGAAGCTGAACATGTGAGCGAAGATGACGAACTCAACGCATTCCAGGAAGTCGCGGTAAGTTGACATTTGTTATTAAAAGTTCATTGTGATTTAAAAGGTAGTAAAACATGTTGGAAGAGTTAAAAAATTTAGTTTTAATGGTATTTTTTGAGGGTAATGTCTTTGGATTGACATATTTTTGATTTCTATAGCTGAAGACATGGTTAATATTGAATTAAGACATTTTCTATAGTATAACGTGAGATAGGTTTTTCTGGAAGATATTATTTTGATGCAAAAGTAAATTTTCTTGAACCTTATGAAACCGCATAGTTGGAGAGTAAATATACAAAACATTTGTTTTGTCGTAGAGATCAATCATCAGGTATCTTTTATAAACTTTCGTATAGCTATTTTTATATGGTTTTATATAAATATAGTAATAGTATAGACTTTGTTATATAATATGTAAACGATGGTGTATATTAATCTATATAATAATGTAAAATATGATAAACTAATGTTTAGTATGACTTATCCTTACTTTATATTTTTTTTGACACAGAACAATATATTGACAAGTGGTATAAACGTTAGTATAGCTATGTTTGCTATCTTTCTAACTTACAATAGTCAGAATAAACTAAAGTTTGTCAAAGGCAATAAACGATGTAAACTTTAGTATAGTAGAAGTTTCAATACGATTACAAAAAGTTACTTTGAGACGAATTATATAAGTGTTATTATAGTGTTTTGATGTGAGTTTTTGATGGTAAATCATTTTTTTGAATCACTTTTTATTTTTTCTTGATAACTCACTATTTTTTAAATTCAGAAGCCATTTTTATATCATTTACTATAATATTTACTGATCAAACTTTACTGTGTAATCACTTAGGCCTACATTTTTATTGTGTATTCACTTTCAGACCCCATACATTGACGAAGATGAGACTCAGTTACTGCGTCAGGCCTTCTTCTTCCACCCAGAACAGACCATACACGAATACCTGCAAGGACATTCAGCACAAGTCCATTGGTTTTTGCGGGCGCAAGTGGGCGGCGGCCAAGAATAGACGATGATAGTTATTTGTTGTTATTGCGCGGCCTTCTGAACTCTTGTCATGTTGTTGAGGGGATGTGACGGTTTCGTCAATGAAATTTAGAAATTTTAAAGATTTTTTTGAGAAATTTAGTTTTTGAAAGATTTCTTATGACATTTTGGATGTTATGTTAGGTTTTCGGTTTGGAATTGAGTCAGAATATGATAATATTAGTACTCCTTTCCAAAAGCATGTCTTGTTATGATTTTTTCAAAAAAACCCCTAGGTTATTATTGCGAAAAACATTACTCAGAACATGTAACCACCGTTCACGGCCAGTGTAATAGGTATTTATGTTTCTAGGAATTTATTTGTTCGATTTTCTTGTTACTTTATTAAAGTTTTGATTGTAATTGGGCGAAGGGAATTGAAAAGACGAGAGAAAGGAAGCAGTCGAGATTGTTTTTATATTCACGTTGTAATTGCTCAAATATCTCACGGAAACGGATTTTGATTTCAGGATGAGAAGAGCCTTGTTTGGAGTGTTATTGTTAATAGGTAATGGCTTGATTAAGTTTTTTGTTTTGAAAAAATATGGTTGAAAGGGGTTTTTTGTATTTTTAAAAGTTTTTGGTTAAAAAATTGGTAAAAGCAGGCTTTAAACAATCAAATCTACGTACTTTTTGACCGTGGGTGGAATCTTTTCTACTTTTGAGTTTCTAGGTATATTTTTAACTTTTTGGATATAATTTTGAGTTTTTAGGTATAACATTAGCAGTGAAAGAAGGACCATGCACAATATCTCAGCCTGCACATAAGTTTAAATGCACTTCAAGCGGTTACTTTGAAGTTGTGCAATGTATAGACGACTATTGTACTTGTGTTGATCCTAGAGATGGTACCGAAGCTCGTCATACTCGTACGATCAGCAAGACGACTCAACCAGAATGTGGAATGTGTCATAAAGAGATCGTGAAGGTGTTGGATAAGAAAGGAAACTGGTTCCCACAATGTAACCATAAAAGTGGTAGGTGTCGAGACGTCGTGCTATATTTTTAGCTGATTTTTAATATTATACATGATCAAAATTAGCAAGTCCGATATATTGGAAGCCTGACAATTGTCTTTGTCATGATTACTGGGCGTATATGTATATAAGCCATAATAATATATGCCGGTATAGACCTTCTTTAAAATAATACCTTTTTTAATTAATAGCGGTCTTAATACCAGTCCAAAGTAATTTTGTCATTTTCAGGAGAATACAACAGAGAACAATGTCTGAAGGACGACTTCTGCTTCTGTGTAGATCCAAAAACCGGCCGACGAATCAATTCTGAAGTCAAAAAGAGCTCGGACATCAATTGTAGTCCACATAGCTTTAATGGTAAGAACTCATTGTAAAATACTGATTTATTGGGTTTTTCAAATAATTCTGTGCCCTCCAGCTTCAAAAAATTGCTTGGAGAGGGCGCACAGAATTATGTGAACATCCGAATATATTTAAATACTTTTCAAAATACGTTGCTTTGATTTGTTTGGCTTGTAAAAAGACTACTTTGATCTGGCCAAGGTAATATGAGATTGATAAGCTAACAAAATGTAAAATAAAATATAAAAACAAATCAAAGTAACATAGAAATATAATTCAGACGGTGACGCTACATACAAACCAAAGAACAACTATCAAGAAGAAAGCCCAATTGGATCACCAGTATGCAAATTGCCAAAAGCGTTGGGAAAAATGTGTTCAGCAGCTCCTTCGATTAGGGTAATGTCTTCTTTTTACAATACTTATATGTAACTCATTTATATGTCTATATCAGGTTATATGTCTAATATATATAGTATGTGTTTAATAGTAACTCATCCAATATGTCTGTATTAGTAACCTATTCATGTCAAACTTGACACTTTGTATATACTTTCTTGGCTTTCATTTCGGCTCTGGGACTCAAAACAAACTGTAATGGAGTCTTTTAGTATATAGAGAAAACTAACTAATACCTGTTTTTTACAGTACTATTTTGATACGGAGACCTTTGAGTGTTTGGCATTCCGTTACAACGGCTGCGGTGGTAATGACAACAACTTTGATACACAAAGCGAATGTTGGAGTAGTTGCAAATTAGGTACGTGTTTAGTAGCTGCTCTGTATTTATTACGATTGGTGTTGTACTTATTATTTGGTACTAAACAGTACGAAGTTTTGAAAAAAAAATTAAAAATTAATATTTTTCAAGTTATACTGTAACTTTTTAGCTGATTTCTTCTCGTGCTCTGGCTTAAGAAAGTCAGCACGTGATTTCAAAGGAGAACATATCAATTGCTACGCTCAGCCAGATTCGACGAAGACTCAGAAGTGTCCAGCCGGCTACGAATGTATTAATGGACCGTTCACTGGTTTGTGTTGTGACAAGAAGAATCAAGGTAAATCAATATGCAAAATGCTTTTAAAAAGCTAACATTAAACAATGTCTTAAGATCAAAATAATTGTTATTACAATTATTCTGATCTTAAGAATACTTTACCATTTATCAATTTTAATAACTTTAAATTGTTGTAAACATGCATTTCAGACGTTTTTTCCCGCAATTACTCGCCCACATGTCGGAAAGGGAAGCCAGTCAAGGTTTCGTCGGATGGAGTCGACATGGTTTTACTCGGTAAATCATGCGACGATCAGTTTTGCCCCAAGAAGGCCGAATGTCATCAGTTGGAGCACTTTGCTCATTGTTGTATATAAGAATATTATAGTAATGTCTTGTTCAAAAAGTGCGTAGAATTTCTTTTAAATTGGCTTTGTGTAAAACAAAAAGCACTTTTTCTTGAGTTAAAGGTAAATTTGTTAGTTTTCACTACATATTTCTGTCTATTATCATCCCTTAAAGTTATCAAAAGCAGAGTATTAGGTAGTGCAACACGTTGTCTACTATAATATCGGTTCAATATTCAAGGTGAAACCTTTTACACACATTTTTTGTTATATTATCTATCATACGGTGCATTTTACTTATCTTCAGCATAATAATATACATATCATAAACTTGATCAACTAATAATCATTTTTTTTGAAATTTGTAACATTAATTTGTAAGTGAAATCTGAAGAATAAAAGGTCAGATCGGACCAAAAGTTTATAGAGCAAAGTCCTTCTTAACTAGAATTCGAACCCTTATCAATATACGACAAAACTTTTACAATAAAGTAAATTTATTAATATTATATACACTACAACATGTAATACTTTCCGAAATGACAAAATTAGGTACAGTACCCTTTTGTAAGGAACGAGTACAGTTATTGGGCAAATGAACAAACTGGTGCTGCGTTGCGTGGATCCATTAATTCTTTCGCCGTTTTGTGACGTTTATCATACAAAACAGCTAAATATTAGGTTGTTCACATATTTCCGTGCCTCCCCCCCCCCACAAAGCAAATTTTCGGGGCTAAGGAGCACAGAATTATTTAAACAATCTAATATTTTACAAAATAAAGTTTCATAAAGCGAAAACAAAGTAAAGTTAAGAATGACAAAACAAATAATATCTAACAAATAATGTAAAGACGAAAGAATTAACGTATCCACAATATTGTAAATAGAAATGAAGATTCGTATCACGCAAAGAGAACGGTAGTTAACAAAATATGTTAGGAATAATGTTATATTAACATAATATGGTTGATATATTGTAAGAACTTTGAAAAAATTGTACGGTTCTGTGTTAGACATTAAGGTGGTTTAAGTAAAGAGCTGTGTTGGGTACTGTAAGTTTCTATAGAAACGGTACTGTAGATGGGTACAGAAGGACTGGTTACAAAAGTCACTGTAGGTAAACATATTCATGGTTGACCATATACAACAAAATAATACAGACTTGTACCACAACTATCGAACATACCACCAAAAAACAGTAATTTGTATACGACCATGGTTTCATTGGAATGCATGTTCATCATTGTCAAAGTGATTCTGAAGCGCTTCCATCATGGCCACAACTTCCGTTTTGCGATCGTCACAAATGCCTTTGGGGTCGGCGAATTCGTTTACCACGCCCACCAAAAGGCGGATACGTTCATGCTTCTGATCGGAGGACAGTGTGCTGAAGGCTTTGCAAAAGTTGTGGCCAGACTTGGTGGCTTCTGTCATCAGGACCGACGGCTTTTCGCCATTCATGTTGCGTTCTCGGACCAGCGCTTTGTACAGTACTCTTTTCGACTTTTCCGCTTTCTGGAAAGATATCTTTTGTTATTATTTTTAAAATTAAAAAGTCATTTAGAGTTAAAAACCCTCAAGCATTTAATTTCCGAAAAAACCCTACCAAAAGCTCCAATTCCAGCTTTGCGACTTTGGCCTTCAAGCCATCCAAACTGTTGTCCTCCTCGATTGGCACGTTGTTCTGTTGATTCAAATGTTCTTGAGCTTCTGATGTCACTCCAAACACGTTCTCCACTTCACCGTCGTCTGGCGATTCTGGCTTCGACTTCTTTTCGTCCGACGGTCCCGGCTCTTCTCTATCGGATTCGTCCGGCTTCGTTTGTGATCTTGTCCTTCTTGTCACTCGTGGCTCGGCCTGTTTTGTGTCGCGCGACGTCTTTCTCGGCATCTAAAAGGGCTTTATTAACAATAATCGTGGTTATCAGTTTTTGTGGATATAAAACATGGTAGAAACGACAATAAAAGACGTATATGTATTGGGTTGGGAGCAAAGTTTGGTGTTTTTCATAATCTTAAAAAAAAGAGAAAAAAAGAAAAAAATATAAATCATAATAAACTCCATACAAACGTATATAAATCTTCATATCATAGCTCCAGGCCAAAGTAACGTAAAACAAACCACACCTCGTAGCTTGTTTATGACAATATACTTATATTTTGTACGTCCACGTCATACATAACGTCCAAAATACAAAATAAAAGATAATAAAGTATAAAAATACAAAACAACATATCAAAAGTAAAACAAATATAATAGGTAACAATCGGATTTAACCGCATAATCAATATAAACCATCGCCCACGAGTATATGTTGCTATTTATTGTGTTATTAGAGAAGAGACCATGTAGTGAGAATAGAATCACATAATGTAGCATTAATAATAGCCAAACATTGAGTTTTGGCACACTGCACTCTTATACTTGTACTGGTACCAACTATATTCTAGTCTTGATACTGTACTATAATATTGAAAAAAAACTTATAGTCTTTTTGGCTAAAAAGTAGTTTTTTTTTATATCAAAAGTGTAAAATTACTGTGAAATAGTAAAATATTAAAATCTACAGTATATAAGGCAATGTGACATATAAAAGTCTATGTATAAGCTTACGAAAAGACAAAGTAATGTGTGTAATGCATAAACATTGTGCATATGAACATAAAAAAAACTCCTAAAATAGGCTTTTTCCGCCACAAAGTGCCATTCTTTTTGCATTAAAGTAGTAAAAACATCATCGAGCTAGTAAAAAATCATCGAGCTGGTAAAAAAAGAAAAAATACTCAAGTACATCCATATACACATTTGACATCAAACATCTTCACATATAACTAAATTGCAGTATACATAAAGATGTTACCATCACATACGCCATACACACATCCATATGCAAATTAGAGGTCATTTTTGGGTTTTCTTGGGGTCCGTGCCGGTCGTTGTCGTACAGTGTTGTTGATGGGCTGACAATGCTCAAACTGTTGGTCGTTGATCGAGTTCTGATGATAAACCTCGTTCGTAATCGGTATCTCCCTGTCGTTGTGATGCATTTGTTGTACTCCCGACTGACTGATTTCTTGGTATGTTTCCACGTGCACACTCATCACTACATCTATGATCTGTCGCTCGGTGTACGTTCGTATGGGTTCGGGCATTTCGTCGAGTTTACAGGCTACGAAGTCGGCAAAGGCTTGGTTGGTGACCCTCCTCTTTTCCATCAGTCGGCTGTCCGTTTCCTCCAACATTACCGGGTTTTTGCGTTTTTGAGCCTAAAACAAGATAAACAGTCAAATCTTGTTATAGACCGGCTCTTTAAATAAACCGTATTGGTATATTCAACAGAAATGGTTGTCACTTCCTATATATTATATTAGGTTGATCAAATAATTATGTGCTCCTCTCAAAGCAAATTTGCGTGGTTAGGAAGTACAGAATAATTTTAACAACATAATAACGATATTATATTCTTCAAGGAATCTAAAAACAAAAAAAAATAAACAAAAACATACAGTTCGCCCTTTTGTACCATTACTTGACGTAGGCAAGACTTCACAGGTTTGAACTTCGACGAATTGTTGAGGTGGAGCTGGAGGAGGTTGACTGGTTTGCATTGGCTGGGGTGGAGGAGGATGATCACGGTTCTGGGCTTCTTCAGCGTTCGTCATCCGTTTTCTAAAATACAAAGTCAGATATAAAATATTTTTATACGTTATACAAGGATAACATAACAATATTTTTTTAAATTACTCTAAATTTTTTCTTTTAAAGACGCAAAAATCGATTGTGCAGAGCTTTCACTACGCCATAAAAACATAAACACAAATTAATGTTACCTAAAAATAACAATGAAAAAAGCGTCTAACTTACCGCTCTAACTCCAATACAGAAGGCAATAAGAAAGCGAGAGAGTCGTAGTAAGGCCAGCTTGACTGTTTCCCCTCCTCAACCTGATGATATTCCTTCATGTATCTCCACTTAAGTTTTAGAAACTTTTCGTTTAATCGATGAGCTGAAATTCTAATATTAAATCTTTTTCACTAAAAGAAGTCCGTTATTATCAATTGAAAAATGAGCTTTTTTAGTAAATCAGGGTAAAATGGCTCAAGAAACGTTATAAACAGCTTTGTATAAAATAAAAAATTAATATAAAAACCAACCTCAAAACATTAAATTCAACAATGAAAAAATACAAATTAATACCAAGAGCCCTGAGGCAATTTGTTTCGTTTGTACCAAACAAAATTAACTAAAATGTGAACAAAAAATAAAATAAACTTACTCTGTTCGTACGTAGCTCCGTGCCGTCGTAACTTCTCCGCTATACGCTCGTATGCCATGTGGCGTTCGGCCGAGTTAGTGAAATTGAGATTCTGTGAACGATACAACACATCCTCTTCGCGTACAAAGTCGATCAAGAGTGTGTTAAAGTCGTGCTGGTTCATAGTCATCCGGCACGACAGCTCAATTCCCCATTAACCAGCAATTCGGAAGACCGTAGACTAGTGGAACCAACCGTTTTGTCCAAATATCGAACGTCCTGTCCAAAGTTGTACCAACGTTTCCAACAAAAGGTAATATAACCTTGCCTTTTGGGCCGTATGTTGTGTCGTATCTTGATATTAACGTCTTTGTTGTGATAGTAGAAGAAACTGGTAAGACGCTTGGTAAATAAGATGTCAAATTGAAAGCTGTCAAACGTCGTCTTATATTAAAATAATCCTTAAAAGCCAAAAAATAGTTGAGTTTAGATGTTTTTAGAGTACTGCAACAATAATTACACAATATTACAGATATTAATTGAAATATATGTTATCGGACAATCGACATGCAGTAACACGCGCGAATTCTCTTTAAAGGCGAGAGCTATTCGTTGGCATTCCGTTTTCGTTTCTATATGGAGATCACGAGTTCGTGCCGAGACCCACGGTTTTTCTATGTTTTTGTTGTTTTCTTACAAATTTTTCCTTAAAAAAGTCAAAACATGTTTACCAAAAGTGCTAAAGTAGTTTTATCTAGTAAAAATGTAAAATTAAGTAAAGTTAACGTTTAATCAGTAAAAAAAGGTTGTAAAACCGCCTGCACCGTGCAAAAAAAAATTTTTTAATTACCCCTGTTGACTACACTGATTTTTAAAAACAATACTAAAAACACATCTGCCAGTTCATAATTGTAAAGTAAAAAACAAAAAATATGCTATAAAGCAGTAACTTTTAGTTAGTTTACAAATTTTTGATAACGGTGAACTGCTTAAACTGCCAAATTACACTGGTATGAGCCGTCATAAACAGCTTATTGTAGTTTAAGATATTAGATAATGCGAATACAACCATCTTGCAGGGGGAAATAAAATATAAAAAGGGTGAGTGAAAGTGGAAGTTTTAAAATAATTAAATTTAAAATTGAGGTAAGTAAGTCCAGAGAGACAAAACTTGATAAAAAAATATTAAAAGCCGCAAAAATAGATACGTATTTAATGTTAAATAATATACATAAACTCCAAATAATATAATTTCACCAAACTTCCATAAAACTTCAATATAAGAGCCAGAAGTAGACTCACTCATCTAATATAACAACAACATCAAAAATATGTGAATTGATGCCAATATAAATAGAAAAACATAACAAAAACTGCGACAATGATATAGTTGCTCGTATCAGTAATGCTAACATGCACAATTTTACTCAGCAGTACTGTTACCTATTATACAACAAGCTTAATACCCGTAAATACAAAGTTGAGAACATTAAACACTTTGAAATGAGTTCCATTCATCACTATCATCGTCGAACGTGTCAATGATGTCAGCCACGTGCTCAGCGTTTTCTTCAAAGTTCTGGAACGCTACTGGTACTAGGACCTTGTAGAAGTGGCTTTCGTCTAGCTCCTCGAAAAGTTGTTGAATATCTTCTTCTTTCAGAGTTTTCATGTCTTTCTCGTCGCATGGTACCACTTTCTGAAGCGAGGTAAGTTTAATTTAGTCTTTACATATTCTTATATCTCATTTTTCTATTTTATCTCTACATTCACACAGCCAGAACACTATTATGTAGCTATATAATGAACCGATTTAAAGTTATCAATGGAAAATTGCCAAATACCAAATTTAAAAAGAAACTTACTCCGACAAGATCCCAGAACGCCATCATCACAGAATATGCATCATAATGACCCAAAGTCTTTAATATTTCAAACAGTGAGCGGTACTTTTGTGGTATCACTCCACTCTAAAATAAATCAACATTACCATTGCCTATCATAAGCTATATAACATAAAATTTGACCAAAAATTTTTTTATTTTAATATGTTGTTCAAAAAATTCCGTGTCCCCTATCAAAGCAAATTTTTTAAATTAAAAAGTCCAGAATTATTTGAACAACCAATGAAAAATTTAGTTTAGTCATAAATATATTAAAGTCATCTCGACAAAACCCTTCTTACAATTAACAAACTACAAGAATATAAACTTACACACAACAGAATAGCCAAGACCTTGGCAATATCTTCTAGATTTTGTTGTGACAACTTTTCTGTTCTCCTTGGAGTTGACCCAAGCTGATTCGTGACCACGGCTAGAATACTCTTCCACAACGGCATACAATTGTAGACGGCCGTGTGGGTCGCTTCTTCTGAGAAGTACAACAACAGCTCGTAGGCTATGGGACAGGCTTCCATCTTTTTGTACACGTTGTTGTATCTGAAATGACACAGGTTTGAAAATTTGAATTTTTAAAAAGCTTTGTATTTCTAAAAATCCAAAAAAAAATATAAAATTTAAAGTATTTCAAAGTATCCCTTACTGTATGACAAATCCCCTTTCAGTGTCCCAACTGTCCCATCCAACCCAACCGGCCGCTGTGTCTTCGCAGATCAAGGCGGTCAGCTGAAGGCCCAACATGATGATGATCTTCTTCTTGTCAATTCCTTCCTTCTTTTCCAAAAAATTCACAAAAATGAACAAAAGCAGTTCTTTCCTTAATTCCTCCACATCAGTCCATCGCCTAGGTTTCTGCTTCGAATGCACAGATGATATTACTCCTGAATGTGCTAGCTCGGCCGTTCTTTTATTTGTCATCGGTCTTGCTCGTAACTTTTCTAATAGTCGTGACTCTTGTGGTACTTCTGCTTCTTCGAGGCAGCCATCTGGAAGAAGATTTTGTGGGAATTCAATGTAATCGAGACATTCCGAGCTTTCCAATGTTCCTTTTAGCGTTCCAAACAGGTAATGGGAAGCCTAAAACATTAAAACTTAAAAAATACTATATATAAAACTTAAACTTTTTTTTAATTTTCAATAAAAACTACAGCTAAAACAGTTCTTTTTGTTGGCATAGTACTATTATGCTAATCATAACTAAAAGTGTATACCTACATCAAAGATATTTTGTAGAAACTCCTGAAGAAATCGTTCCGTGTACCACTGTTCCAACTCTTTCATTTCTGTCTTATATTCAGCATCATAATCGGCCAAGACTTTTGAAGGACCAGTCTGTGAGTCACTGAACTCATCTGTCTGTTTAGCTGTTTCGATTTTTCTCCTGTACATCTCATCATTGTGAAGGTAGTCTCTGATCAACGCCAACAACAATTTTATCACAAACGTTGTTTTTTCTGCATCTACTGAAAACAATACTTTAGAAAACATTTTATAACATATTCACCATACTATTAATAAGAAAAAATTCAAAAACTAATTTTAGCTTTTTTAAATATCTCTCAACTTTGGCATTGTGTTACAACCAAGTCGTTCGCTTTTTTCTAATAAAAAGTCATCATAAACCCACATTCTTTCGCCAAATCCTTGATGACCGTAACCAAAATCGAAGCCCATTTCTCGATGACACTAGTCAATGTTGCAACAGCCACCCGTCTGCTGTCCACAAACTTCAGATACTCCATGTTCTTGACGTACTCTATGAAAAACTCGGTAAAGTCTTGAACCTTTTCGTTTTTCATGTTCACAACTCTGTCGTTCAGGACATTGACCAAATAGACTTGAAGCGATCCGTCTACAAATCCAAATTGAACTCCATAAATCAATTGACCCTCCTCCTTCGACATTGACATTTGATCTTGGATTCGAGCCAAGGTCGACAAATTTCGTACTAAATTCAAATCTTTTTCGTTTGTGTGTTCGAACTCGTGTGGGTTGTCAATGATATACTTGACGGCGTCAGTGAAGATCAATGGGTAGTTGAGGATGAGGACACGGTTGAAGGCACAGATGTTCCACAACTACAAGAAATATTATATTAGGTTCATACAGCTTTTTTTAAATGTACAGCATGCCGTGCAGCATAAATTTAACTACAATATTCTGCGACTTTCAAACTATTTTGTAAGTAAGATAAATAGAGAAGAAAACCAAAGATATTGAGAGCTTATATATTGTTTTTTCATAGAGATAGGTACATCTTACAAAAAACCATAATAATATATTATAACCGGGAAATATCATACCATCGTCAAATTGTTCTCTAAAAACTTACCTCTTCTTCAGTTGCAGCCAAAAACAACATTCTGGCCAAGGCTTTTACAGAAAATAGTTTCTCTGTCTTTATGCAAACCATACCAAACAAACGTGCCACGTTTACTGCTCTAAAATTCTCAATATAACGTCAATTTCAAAGCCTTGGTATTTTTTATCTGACCAAACAATGCTAAACTAAATCCTTAAATTTAAACTTTTAAGCTACAGTGCCAGCTCAAGCTCTGCGCACTTTTAAGAAACAGGGCACAGAGCTTGAAGCTCCGGGTTCTGATTCAAAAGACAACAAAACAGCTTCAAATTCAGCCTAAAACTACAAACCGTACCAACAAAATCAAGAAACGTAATCCTACCCTTTCTCATCCTTAATGATTTGTCTAATAAAAGCATCTTGAATTTGTTGTTCATCAGCAATTTCAATGATTCTGGTCACTGTTGTTATGTCCAGATTGTTGTTGTACATTAATTCGAACACTATTAATGAAAAAATCTCCGTCTGAAAATATTATGTTGCTCAAATAATTCTGCACCTCGACAACTGTTCTACAAAACATAAATTATAACCTTTAATATTTCTTCCTCTCATAAAACTTCAAACCCACCATCAATAATTGAAAAAGTTGAATCCGAGCATCAACAGTACTGTAAGTTAGTCCCAACACCCTTTCCGTGTATTTCTTATCAGCAGTCAGTGGTATCAATGTTTCGTACAGTAATATCAGCCCGTTTAGAGATGTTTTCTGCAGTAAAAACTTGATGTTATTCATATCCACGCCGACTAATACGTTGCTCCAGTATGGTGCATCGATCAGCTTTAGTACTCTGATGACATTGGCTTCACTTATAAACTTATCGACCATTCCACCGACCAAACCGTAGACTTCGGAATGTTTTAGAAACAACCTGGCAATGAAGACGAAGTGGGCGACATGCTGGTTGTTGCAGAAGTAGGCCTAAAAAATTCATGACAATGTAATACCTAAAAAAGTCAAAAACTAAGTTTTAAGCTGAAAACAGGCAAAAACTGAATTACTATATCAATATTCAACCAAAAATTTTAAAAAACCTACGTCAAGTTGATCAACTAAAGAACTCTTCAATTTAGGTGTTCGAACAGATGACAAAAACAATAAAAGGTCGGAAATAAGGCCAAAATGGTCTGTTTCTTTGGCCAATCCACTTTCATTATCCAACAACTGAGCCGTTCCTTTGACGCCAATCTCCATTAGTTGAGGGATCAATTGAAATGGGAATGTTTTCCTAAAATATTTTAAAGTTGTAACCTGTAAATATTATCATAAGCTTTTACTGCTAACTACAAAGCAAGATAAAAGCTCTATAAATAACTAAAGAATCATCAAAAATGCTCAAAAACTTCATTCAGTATATTTTTTTACCTAAAAATAATTGAATATCTTTACTATAAGCCGAAAATAAATACATTTCTATTGATACTAATTCTCTAACACTATTACTCACGTCACATGAAGAAATACCCAATCAAAAGCTACACCATATTGTAAACCATCCAGTAGTCGCTCCATAACCTTTTCTGGCTGTTGTTCCAACATTTGCATTAACAATGAGTTTAACAACTGAACCAGTTCTGATATGAAATTGGCGTTGGTTAAGATCACAGTAATTTCACTGGCCTTAACTTGTCGATTCACACCTTCAGTGTAGCACCTTGACAACTCTGAACATACCTTCAGGATCCACTAAAACCTTCTTATTGTTAAAAAATTGAAAAATGACGTTATTTCAAAAAGAATCTAGAAAACGTCAATAATATCAATAAGAATGATCAAAATGGAGCTTACAGTTAAGAAAGAAAACCGTAAATCATCAGAGTCAATGTTCTGAATATGTACATTTAGATGTATGAACAGTTTCGACAATGACTCGTCAAGTAACTTTTTGTTAGTTTCGTAAGAAGCAGCATCGTGTAATAGAGAATATCGACTACATTCATGTACCAATCCTCTTAATAACTCCATAACGGCGTCTCTAAAACAGCCAATTAAAAATTAGGTTGTTCAAATAATTTTGTGCCCTCTTAAAGCAAATATTCATGATTAGGAAGCACAGAATTATTTGAAGAATCTAATATAACGATATATCACAGCGAAGTTTTCGAAAATAGTTTTTGAAAGTATTATAATATAGTGTATACCAACAGAAACTATAATTTAAAAATCACAAATCGATCTTGTTCTAAACCCTTCTTATATAATAGTTATTTAAAACTGACCTAAGACTCGGTATTTTAATAAAACAACTTTCGGCCAAATCGACGATCTCATTGACATCTTTGTCCAAGAAAAAGACCGTGTTTCCATGATAATATGCTTCCAAATCGTCTGGCCCAATTAAGTTCAACAACTTTTCCATTGGCTGATTTGACGCTGTCACCGGCTCCATTAGCCTAACGTTAAAAACAATATTTATAACGATTTAATAAACATATGCAATATCATAATGCCAAAAAGATCCTATATCACAAATTAAAACACAAAATTCAGTCACAATATATCCTTTTTGAAAATTAAGATTTAAAAATAATTAAAACAAAGTATAATCAATGTAAGCCGACATAAAGCAATATCAACAACAACACTTCGCTTTGATATAAATAACCTTTATTATATTACAAAAGATCTGATATTTCTCGTAAGAAATCGTCGCATGCTTTATCAGCACTTCCAGCCACAGCTGGTGCCGTGTCAGCTTGTTGTTGCCTTGGCTTCCCTACCGGTTTTCGGGAAATCGGCTTTGGTTTGAATTGGGTAGCAGGCCTTCGAACTTGCAAAGCTGCTGGCACAAATTTGGTAGTTTCTTTTTTGAAATTTCTCATTTGTGGAGCGGCCGATATCACTGCTTCTCCTGAAGCCGTTGGTGGCGCTAAAGATGGACGTTGAGCTGGTACTGGTGGACGAGCAAAGGTCTGAAAAAAAATATTTTTTATGCCCAAAATCTTAAAATAAGTTTAAAACAAATTTTTGTTCGTTTTTAAATGTTTTTAAAAAGCTTTTAACGTTACAGAATAAAAACTGAAATCAAAACGCCTTTCTGCCCTCAAAATAACTTGCAAACGTACATTAATTGGTTTATGTATTGGCGGAGGACCACCAAACCTTCGTGTAGGATCAAACGACGGTCTGACAAAGTTTGGCGGCATTGGCGGCGGAGGAGGCGCCATGTTTGGAGGTATAATCGGAGCTGAAACCATCGACCTAACTGGCGGGAATCCAGACTGTAGTGGCATTAGTTCATCCGGAATAGGGACTGGTCCCATGTCGTCATCATCAACATCGTAGTCGTCCCAATCCGGTTCAGCTTCTGGTTGTTTCAAGTATTCTGGTTTTCTCGATCTACTAATATCTAAATCATCGTCAAAGTTGGGTGGAACTCCACTAGGAGGTCCTGGTGGTGTTTTCTTAACTTCTTTTTTAACTGGCTTCTTTTGTGTCTTTTGCTCCTCATCAAACTTTGGAGGTAGCGGTGGAGCGGGTATAAAAGGTGTCATAGCAGCTTCTGGCATCATTGAACCACAAGGAAGTGGAATATCTCCCAAATTCATGTCATTTGAAAACATAATCGCTTCTAAATAATCAGAAATTTGCATGAAAAGCGTTGTTCAATCATAATGTATTCCATTCTTTTATACGTCTAATGTTAAAATAAAAAATAAAATCTACCTTTTAAACAAGGTGTAACTTACGGTAATGTTCTTCTCTCCGCTTCCTCTCGACCTTATAAGCTTTGAGCATGTTCTCCAATCTTGAGATCTGGTTTTCATCCTTCTCCTGTTTATACAATTCCAGCTGTTGTTCGTATGCAAACAGGCATTTACCACGCTTATCAGCAATAACATGCTTGGACAACTCGCCATTTGGATCCAAATCTAAAAACATAAGAAAAAAAAGATATATTAACATACCTTGCTCATCTAACCGTCGTAGCTGAGCCAACAATTCTTCTGGATCACGGCCTTTGACCAAAGCTTGTCGTACTTGAGTTCTTTGTTTTTTGTTCTTCTTCAACTCTTGAGCACGCTGCTTCTTCCTCTCTCGATCAGCTGGGTTCATAAACCTATTGGACTTTCCCTTTGCCATTTTTAGCTTGGAAAAACGACTTAAGATCTAAAAGAAGCTACAGATCAAATATACTGGCTATTTTTTCAAGAAAAATTGAGAAACAAAAAATAATTTATTTTGTGCGCAAAAAGATAGGCTTGACACAAGAGAAAGACTCGTCTCACAATTGTCGATGTATGGCAAGGAAAATTCAAACAGCAAATATGTGAAAACGAAAGAATAAAATTTCAAAAATGAATTAGCATTTTTATTTTTGAAATATTGCAACGATGTTTTTACTCAAACTTGCCATTTTCACCTCTCACCGAAACGGTCAGTCTGAATTTCGTAGCCAAAAATGGGATGTAAACCTTCAACGACGCGGCCAAAGCGTTCCAATCTACATGAAATGTCACGAAAACCATTTGGGCATGCTCAGACCACTGTAACGGCGGAATCGAGCGAAGAAGATAACCGTGACAAAAAGAATTTCAGTACGGAGTCTGATAAAAAGAAAACGGCCAAAGTTCCATCGTTGCAGGTTGGTTTCTTGGGTAATATGCGGCTGTAAGATAAGATTTTTAATATGCAATTGAATTTTTTAGCGGAATTTAAATAGAAAAAATATTTAAATTTTTTGAGCGAAAAATTGCTTTGGTTTTTAAATTTTAGGTAACAAAGCAATCTATGTTCAATTGAGGTGAATATGATAGTTTATAAAAGATTAAGATTATACGACATTATTATAGATTCAACCGACTCAAGAATCAGCTGAATATCCTACATCCCATCAGAAGCAGAATGCAGCTAAAAACAAAAAGCCAGAGGAAGCAAAACTGAAGAATGACAAAGATCAAGAGTCAAGCGGGAAGAAGAAAAATTATGTAAGTTGATGATTCTAGGTCAGTTTTTGCCATTTTTTCATGTAAAAAACAGTAATAATCTTCTGGAGCTTATGTTCATCAATGTGCTTGTCTCTTGCAGATCAAGATTGCAAATTTTCAGAAATCGGATGACAAGAAGAGCAAAAACAAAAACGAGGATGGTTACCATAAGAAACATAGTAAGGAAAGAAAGCATAAGAAGATTGAGCACGTTGAAAGAGAAAAGGGCGAAGAATATGCTAATGGTATGTTTACTATGAAAAATGACATTTATATAGAAAAATCTAACGTATTCTCTGTAATTTACTCTGAAATCTCTCTGTAAATTAAAATTTTAAGGAACTAATTCTCCAATTTATGATCTTTTCAAAAAATATACTTTCAGAAATCAAGGAGCTGCGAAAGGACAAACATGGCCGACGAATACTGGCCAGGATGGACACGAGTGAAGAAGATGACACGTTGTACGAAGTCTACGAGAAAATGCCTTCGGTCAGCTACGTTGGGGAGATTCATCCACCTGAAGCTCGAGCATCTATACCTGCTAGAGTTGGCACGGACCGAGAACAACGACGAACTTATGTATAATCTGAATTTGTCTGATGTTTACTTGCTTGTTACTTGTGTATAGATTAAAGCATGATTGTCACTCACGCTGTTACGATAATACTGTTTACTGCACGAAAATAATGATACTGTTTATGTCGCATAAATATCTGTAGTATTAGTACTATTTATAGCACGAAGATTTCAAGAGAACACTTTTTACAACATGACGATATTACAGTGATAATGTTTACTGCATGAATACAAAGTCAATTACGAGTGCTGTTCGTTTTGGTTCTCTTTTTCTCGCCGAAAACAGGTCGATGTGTTGGGATTTTGGGGTGTAGTTCAAAGTTGGGGCTGTAGTTCGGCGGGAAAATGAACGGATTCAAGGCCCAGTGTCTGCTCTTCCTGCCAGCCGTTCTTCCAATTTCTCGCTCCAAAGTTACGATCGAATGGAATGGATAGGCTATGCCGCAGCGGACAATCTCGGCGTATTTTATCGGACAAAACATGCCTGAAAATAAACAAAAGGTGAGGTTTGAGTTCAAAGTTATTATACGATTTACCCCTAAAATAACTCAAAACCCAGCCCGAATGTCGACCAAAAAGAGAAGATCTAAGATATCAACCTACGCATCATGTAGCGAATAATGCCATCGATGACGGGGGCATGGGTAACAATGAGGACCGTGCATTCAGTGTCAGCTCGCAAACTGTCCAGAATACGACGAATGACAGATCCAATGCGATGGTAAAAGGAGTTGGTCGATTCCTAAAAAATAACAAAAAAACTACTACAACATCGTTCTGTATATTATCTTACATTCAAATGAATAATCAAATATAGTTCAAGAGTTAATACCATGCATTAGTTCATTAGGTTGTTCAAATAGTTCTGCGCCCCCTTTCAAAGCAAATTTTTAGAGTTAACGGGCACACAGAACAACTTAATAATATGTTTGTTCTTAAGTTGCAGTTAATGTCTCTTAAATTTTCGACTTACAATGCGACAAGCTGTCTTCAAGGTCTCCAGTGACACGATAGGCTTACGTTCGTCAATAGGGTTAGGAAACTTACTGCGTCTTGGATCAATAAACTTGGGGCACTAAAAATTCAAAACGTTTTGAAAATCTAAGCCGAATTAAACACAATATTTTACGCTTTTTAAAAAAATTAAATATTTCTTTTTAAAAATATTGTAGTAGGCATCAAACATATCCATAGAAGTTTTGTCGCTTCAGAACTTTTAAGTAAATATTCTTTGACTAAAGTACTTTTCTCAACATCTTATAGAAGACCCAAGTAGTTACTTACCTCTTCGTAAAAACCCATTGGCTCAAACAATCCTGGCTCAACCGTCAACTTGACCTTACTCTCCTCGCATCCGGCCAGAACTGTGGCAGCCGTCTGGAGACAACGAAAAGCGGGTGAAGAGAAGACGATATCTGGTGTTAGACCAATCTTCCTCATGTACTTGCCAATCGAAAAGTCCATGAAGGCTGATGACTAAATTTGAAAACGTTTTTGCTTTAAAATTTGAAAAAAAAAATAATTTTTTGATTAGCATGTATATATATGGGCATATATAACACACAGTGGAACCGTTGTATAACGAACAACTTTCAACAGACCGACTAACTCTACACCATACATTTGAAAGTCATGTATAATATAAGGAAAGTCATGCATAACGAACAAAGTTAAGACGAAACATACCACGGTCGAGTAGTCGTCATCTTTGTAGTGCTGTGGATCCCGGGTTAAACCTGGTGGCAACAGATTCTGATTACAGTTGATGAAGTTGTAGTGGTCGCTGCCAAAGGCCTTGTCAATAAAGTGACGGTCCAGTCGATTAACTGTTTCTCCGCTTCGCATCAACAGAAGGCGCAAACGATTTGGAGCCAGTTTGGGCAGGGCACACGGGTAAAAGTCGGTATCATTTAAGCGATCCTGCTTCGCTTTGGCGCGACTTTCCGAATGCTTGGGGTTGCCCATCAAGAACCGCCGCCCCGGACACTGAAACGACTGAAAAGTAAGTTGAAATTTTAAAAATACTTTTATACGTCAGCATCATTTTGTGGACTTGATCATGCGAGACGATTTGAATATTTTTGAAAATTATTCAAAATTCTCACAAAAAATTCATTGAAATTTGCATAAATTTCTTGAGAGAAGTGAGATATCTGATTCTTAGCCATTTGTTAGTTCCTTATATTTGAAGAGTGGTCGAATCGTCGCTCATGTCGCAGGAAGGTCGAACACAGAAGATTCAAAGCAGGAAGTCGGCCAATCGAAAATCGACCGAGAGAAAGGTATGTTATCCTGTTTTAGTCGTGTAGCAGTAATTTTTTGTTGTTCTTGTGCGGTAAACTTACCATGGTTTCCACTATTGGTACAGTAGCCTTTATTTTATTACTAGTGCCAAAAATACGTGTTAATAGTATTATTATACACTTTTTTTAGCATTTGCTAGTGTATTTTGTCTTTTGTGTTAACGCGTTTCATTTTCAGAAGTCTCGAGACGGTAAGGTCGAAAATAATACTCAAAGCGATGACGATGACGTGAACGGCTCGAAGAAGAAGTATTCTCCTGTAGCCACTAAGATGCTCTTTACTAAAACACCTCCGCCAGGCAAGCCGACCGGTCGTACGCCAATTGGCAAGATCAACAAGGTAAAATTGTTTTTAACTATACTTTATTATATTATATTGTCTTATATTATATATTAAATATATAATCTATGTTCATTTATACGATTATGCTGTGTCATAGACTATTAAAATATTGTGGTTGTATTTCTAGGAAACCAAAGATGCCATTCAACGTCGTAAAAAGACGACAATGGAGACGAGTGAAAGTAAAGTCCCAAAAGGTTCGACAGAGACCGCCAAAGCCAAAGCTAAGAAGAAAGCTGATAGGTAAGTCAATGTCATTACATTTACAAAATATGGCGATTAAAAGTAAATTTATTACCTTAAAATTTATGTTGGTATAGATATAGCTTGTCCAAGTGGCAAAGGTATTAATTTTTTCTATTTCAGGAATGTCAAGAAACGTACGACCAGAAGATCGCGTCGTACAAGAGCCCATCCACAACAGCAGATACAAACCCAGTCACCACCGCCGTCTGCACCAGCCAATCCAGGTCCTCAGTCCGAACTCCAGGAACACTCAGCTGCACCACCTGATGGTGGACTAACACCCAGCAGTAGCAGAGTAAAACGACGTTACCTGGATCACGATGAAGAAGACGTTGAACTCTCGGACCGTGAAGTCAACAAGAATCAGTTACAAGTGGCAGAGGAACTAGAAGTCGAGAAAGTATCTGATTTGAGAGCGAAAGTGATTGAGAAGTACTGTAAAGGAGGGTTACGGTCGTTGATCAAGGAGTACGGTGTTCTGAAGAATGTGTTGCCAGCTGATAGTGAATGCCGAGCCTTCAAGACGTTTGAAGTCAGGAATCGGTAGGTTTAGGCCATGGATTATATGTAAGAATATATATTAGATCAATGGTAACATATAACGCTTGGATAAGAAATTTATAATATACTTCAAAAGCTTAAGTCATGGGTAATATAAAAAGTATATATCCAAGTTTATTTAACTAAAATGTAATGCTATACATAACTTTATATCATCATAACTCCCCCTTTCAGCTACGCCGACGTCTGTTGTCTAGACTCGACTCGTGTAGTTTTGAAGACCCGCGAACAAGACGACGACTACATTCACGCATCCTATGTCAACGTTACTAATCACCCTGTCCCAAAGTACATTTGTGCTCAAGGACCGACCGAAGATACGATAGCCGACTTTTGGCACATGGTATACCACGAAGATGTGGCTGTAATCGTCATGTTGTGCCAGTTTGTGGAGCAAGAGGTCGAGAAGTGTGCTGAATACTATTGTTTGGAGCCTGGAAGCAGCACGACGGCCGGGGAGTTCTCGTTGACTACGGACACGAGCGAGGTACTCGAGCATAAGGTCGTGTGCAAGAAGATCACTGTAAAGCATCGGTAGGTGGTTGTAAAATTGTGTAATCTTTGGTGATAATTTTTAAGTTAAAAATTTGTGATTTTTAAACTTTTTGAGTTGTTATTAACCTTGTTATCAAAAAGAAAAGTTGTCCTTTTCAAATTTGTAAATATAGCTATGTTAACATCGATTTTCTATACCCTTGACTAATGTTTTGATCTTATAGAACCGACGAAACAATGTGTAAGTCAGTGTGTCACTTGTTCTGGGCCGAATGGCCGGATCACTTGGCTCCAATGGAAAGTCACGCTGTTTTATACTTACTGCGACAAGTCAAGGCCAGAGTTGGTGAAAAAGTCACGTTGGTACACTGTTCGGCTGGGATTGGCAGGACTGGCACTTTTGTAGCCGTCGATCAGTTTTATGACCGATTAAAGAGCGCGACTAAAGGCACCAATGTCTTGGAGGTAAGGAAGAAATTTAAAAAATGATGTTTAAGGTTAGCGTGAAGAGAATGTGATCTTATACAGGTCAATATATACAGTTTTTGATGGCTTATCTTGATATTATATAGTTTCCAGTTGAGACTACACTAATTTTTTCAAATTTTTTTTTAATTCTCAGTTGTGCAAGAAGTTCCGCCAACAACGTGCCCACGCCGTCCAAAGCCTAGTCCAGTACATTTTCCTCCACGTTTGCGTAACAAAGCTAGCCATTGAAGACAAGATCATCAAAGAGGACAATGACTGTGTAGTCAAGTTTCTGGAAGACTACAAGAAGTACATGAGCAAGCTGCTGAAGAAGATCAAGCAAAAGAAGAGTAGCCCGAAACCTGCCCGTTTGATACCAGTGGAGCCAGTGGAAAAGGATAATTCCTTGAACAACAACATGGCATTGGGACCAGGTATACCTGTGCACGAGGAGAATAGAAACTGTCCGGCACAGAAACTCGAGGACAAGGAATAAACTTATTTTGAAACTTTCTATTAGGTTTTTCAAATAATTCAGTGCCCTCTGATGCTAAAAATTTACTTTGAGAGAGGGCACAGGATTATTTGAACAACCTATTATTATTAACTGTTTAATTATCAAAACCACATCAACCATAAGTGATATCATGTACAATATAATACTATTTTTATTAGAAAATCTTTTTTTACTTGTGCTTCAATGATTCATGGCAGTACTAAAAAGGAAGACTTCAGTTATATTATTGTATACAAAATTTACGTTTCATGTGTAATAATGTCTCAAATCCTTCAAAAAACCTTTACCTACTTGTTTAATACCCTTGTCTGGAAGATAAATGTCCGTATTCTCCTTGAGCTGTTTCCATGATAACGTCTCTTTGTGTAAATGCTTCAAAACATTCGTTACAGTACCCTTGTCGTCTCTGTAAAATATTTTTAATGTCGGGTCTCCATGTTTGTCCATCCAAAGTTCGAAGATCAAGCATGAAGCGGGGCCAGGGTACCCGTCTTTGTCCAAGTTCATCTTACCACCCAACATACCGAAGATTGCTGATATGATCATATCGTGCTGGAATGAGTAGTTTAGTCATATATTGAAAATTTTCTGTTTTGAAACGTCGAACTTACTCCAGAATACACATAGTAACGTAGATGGTCATCGACTTTCTCCCTAACAGATTTGATTTTTGCTTCTGTTCGATTAATAATGTCACTCCAAATTGGGCCACCAACAACTTTTAGTATCTCAAGAGAGAAGTCAACGTTTTTGTAAGGTGATAAACCTAAAATTACATTGCAATATAACGTAATATAATGTGTTAAAGCTTACATCAGTGTAATATTATGCATCATGCTGGTTTAAGCTTTTGGGAAAAAACTAAAAGTTGTTTCAACCATCAAAACCTACTGAACCCGTTTGTAAAGTTAAGTACACGATGATCCAGAGCCTTTAACTCTTTGTAGTTATCCTTTACCCAAAGTGGTATTGGTTTGTTCAATTGTAGCTGAAATTACTATCTATTTTAAAATAACGTATTTTACAAAGAAGCTCCTTCCGCCAAATTGGCATTGTGTTCAAGGCTTTAGCTTTGTCAGTTTTTAAATTATAGTCATTTTTCTTTGATCACTAGTAGAAAATCTTTAAATGCACCGACATTATTTAATTTGTGATTTGTCCGGAAAGTAGAAAAAAAAGGCTTGAAACACAATGCCAAATACTCAAATGCTTAAATTTTAAAACTCAAAAGCTCGAGCTCAAAATTTTTTATGTGTACTCTTAGTAGTACAATGAATTTACATAAGCACTTTGAGCTGATTCTGAGTGGCGCGGGTTGGGTACATTTTTTAGCAGACTATGAATACAGCTTACTTCAATTTCAGTCAACTCTTCGACCACCCAATAGTTATCCAAATCAATTTCCATTTTGGCATGTTTCGACAAGTTGGCCAACAAATTAGCGTATTGCTTTTCCGTTTCCTTGTACTCTGGAGCTTCTTTGAACAAACTCCATAATTCTTTACGCCTTTTACACTCTGATCTGGCGTTTAATAACTAAAATAAATTAAAAATTAATTTTTTACTCTTCTGCATATCTTTTTTTTCAAATTTATGCAAGAGTTTATTTTTAATTTTTTAGGGCCGGAAATAGTTAAAAAGCCTTACGTAATCAGTTTTGTAGTCGACAGTTTCAATCTCAGGCCATATTTCATTGTGTGGTCCTTTGAAGGTCTCCCGAAGGTTGATTTTAGCACTTTCTATCGTTCTACTTTTGTTTGAACTTCTCACGTGTATCTAAAACCAGCGTTATATTTGATCTAAAACAGTGTTATATTAAGTTGTTCATATAATTCTGTGCCTCCAAATCCCGAAAATTTGTTTGATAAGGAGCACAAAGATATTTGAACCACCTAATACTTTATAGTACACAAAGTTTGGCTGTTTTTTTATCAATATTGCCCATTTTTTATCCATATTCTTACAAAGGAAGCTATACAAAACTAGAATACCTGACTTTTGTCGTACGTATCATTAAGAAAATCATGATAACGTTGTTTCAAAAACTGTGCCAAATGTTTTTGTTGCAAACGTCCTTCATCTGTCAATGATCCCAAGTCTTTTGGCCATAATTCTAGGTTCAGATCAGTAGGATATACTTCTAATGGTGTACGAAGTCCATGACGAAACAGCTGTAACACTTTACTTGAATACTCTTACTCTCACAAATGCACAAAAATCATATGGAAAAACTTACAACTTGTACCAGCACCAACTCTGGTTTAGCAGCAACATAAAAATTGTTCCATAAAAACAAGCCCAAGATTACGGTAACCACCAACATTGCAAAGAAGACGTCAACGCATGGATCAGCTGTTCTGAATGCTGGACGACTGAAAATGACAAAAAAAAATTAATTTTATGACTATATTGAGTATAAATAAAGGTTGAAAAAGCAAGTAAAATGTCATTGATAAGGCCGGGCAAGGCTTTAAAAGCCCTTTTTCATGCTGAGCCTGTTAGGTTGTTTAAATAATTTTGAGCTCCTTCTTAAATTAAAGTGCCAAGGTAAATGTGTATGGGGGCACAGAATTATGTGAACAACCTTAAGCTCAGCATGAAAAAAGAACATTACTTTTTTTAAGTTTATATTAATAAATATTTTATTTACGACCATTAATGATCAGTTGAGACATTCTAATAGTGATAACAAAGATAATTCTGATATTATTTTGACTTTTTTTGTACAAACTACAAAAAGATGTTTATACTATAATAAAAACTCATACAAAACACCTTCTGTTAGGTTGTTAAAATAATTCTGTACCCTCTAATTCTAAAAATTTGTTTTGAAAGGAAGCACTGAACTATTTAAAAAACCTTCTAGTATACCTCTGTTTCCTTCTAACACTTCAGCCTTAACTCAAACAAAGTAACGTCGGTTTAATAAAGTTCAAGACACAAACCTTCTGACTGCTTTTAAAGGCGCTTCGTTGTTCTTAGTATTTTGGTTTCTTAGAGTCATTTTAAGGTCAAACTAGTCCATCAAAAGTCGACTGTTTGTTTAATCTGCTACAATATCAATGCAAATACCTTTTCAACGTATTATATTTAATTTATAATACAATCTTTTTTAATCTGCTTACATTAATATTAATATTATGGTGATTTATGTTATAATGGAATCAGAAATATATTTTGAAAATGTTATCATCTTTCAATTTTAATGCTAATATTCTCGTAATTAACATATTGTAGGGTAGGGTAAGTTAAGGTAGGGTCGAGTGGAGTAGCCACTCGACGAGTCCGGTCGGGTAGGGACTTACTTTATCAAATATCGCCATTATTTCAGTACAACATAGCATAATACGTCCATCACATCGACCGTGTGTTTACTGCCATTCCAAACCACAACTTCTCCTTGCAAAGTCGAAAAACCAAAACACTTAAACCTTTGTGCCCTCTGGTCATTCGCATCCCATCGTTTGAAACACTTTACAACAACAACGTTGTCGTACGTGTGACACGTGAAACAAACATGTTGCTGTTATTGTAAAAACAATAAAAAAGCGGTGCAGACGACCAACTCAATTACAATTTTGTTTTTAAGCTCTAGCAAAGAAACTTATCAGGAATGTTAACAGATCACTTAATTTAGTGAACTAATAACCAGCCGAACCTTCCCGAACACCAGCCCATATAAAAGTGTTTACAACATTGGCAAAACAAACTTATCGCTTATCATTCTTTGTTCCGGTGCGAGTGTACGGAATTCGATTATTGTTTTTGGGTTTTGGAGAACAACTACTCGATTTGGTGGAAATTGATCTGATTCCAAACGAAACGTATGTTACTTTAGAAACAAATCCTATTTGAAAAATGTCAGCGTTAGCATTAGAATGACTGGGTACTTGGCAAGATAAAAATAGAAGTCGTGTAAACAATCAAAAATCCTTAATACGGCTTCGACGAAGCCAGAAGGCTAAAAATACGAGCCACACAAGTATTAGTTTGTTCAATTAATTCTGTGCCCTCTAATTCCGAAAATTTGCAAAAATTATGGGACCTCCAACTCTGAAAATTTGCTTTGAAACGAGGCACAGAATTAGTTGAACAACCTAATAGGTGGCATAAATTTTGATATTTAGGTAACAAATTTAAAAAATTACAGCTACAGAATTACTTTAACGGTTGATCTAAAAACTTTGAGCCGTTTTGATAGCTCTTGATAGGGGAACTTCCAAAATTTAGAAAATTTACGTTTTCTTAAAGTTGTTACCTAAATTTACATTGGACTAGAGTTGAAAAATTAATAGCAGTTCATGGACATTTTTTTGTCATTTCTCGTTTAGCCTATTATTTTTTGAAAAAGTCCAAAAACTGGACGAATATTTGTTGTTTTCCATTCGAAAACGTATTTACACTTGGCCAAAACACATCCACAAAGTTATCTCACTCTCTCCAACCTCTAGGACAATGTTATAACACTTTGCCAGAGCACAAACCTTGATGTGCATGAGGAGTTGTCACGGACATTCAGTAGACTTTCACCTTGTTTTGATTACAAGAGGATTGCCGGAGAGCATCTGGTTCGTTTCCCTGCTTTTTAAATGATTTTTGGCCTTTTTGGCTGCTCAAAAAACTATTTTTCGGGCCAAAAATAAGGGAATTTGTTCGGGGAACGTGCGTTCCTGTAGCTAACGCGGCCGTTTCTCCTACAACTGCTTATGTTCCGAACTCTAAGGGATTGTTAAAAGGGCTGAAGAGGTTTATATTGTTGTTTCAACGTATTTTTTGAACTGTTTTCTGGTGTTTTCGTGGATTTTTGAGGTTTTTTGGGGAAGTTTAGGTAACTCTGTCCATTTTTTTTGTTTTTAAGTCTATTTTGGGCTAGTTTTAGGTATCAATGTACGCTTATAAGTACTAGAAATCTAAGCTAGAGTCTTGAGGATTAGTTTGCTTATTAAAATCTTGTTTTAGATGGTTTTTGAGACTGTTTTTAGGTATCAAAGCGGAAGTTTTTCGGCCGAGTTTTTTTAATTCTATTTTCGAGGCGTTCTTTGCATTGGCACGTTCGTTTTTAGTGAATGTTTGTGGCCAAAAGACGCAAAATTTTCCTTGTTTTACTGCCATCACGTTAAGCTTTATATCTAATATAAGTTGTTATTATTTTAGCTATAAGGTTACGTCCAAAAATTGAGCTTTTGCTAAAAATTAAAATGGATCAAATTTTAAGTTTGTTACCTAAAATTTAAACTGAATCTTTATTACCTTTGCAGCTTTTTTCATTTTTGGAACTTTTGATTCCGTTACCTAAAACTCTAGATTTTAATTTTTTAAGTATCAGATTTAATAGGCAGATTCAAGTCAATCTCAATTTTTTGTTATCAAAGTCTAAAATCGGCCAAAACTTTGTCCGGAATCAGACTTTTGATTAATTTTTGACCAGAACTGATTGTTTTAGGTAACAAAACAATTTTCCACTGATAAGATAAGACTATTTTTCATCGATAAAACTGTTTTTTTCCGTAAACAATGTGATTGTAACATTTTGGCGGTCAAGTATCATTAAAATATTGGATGTTACAGCCCGCCTTTTCATAGTCTTAGTTTTATCACAATAATATTTTAACTTTACCACGCCTTCAAAATGTGTTTATTAATGTTTTTTGAACGATATAACTTTAGGTTTGTAAGGTTTTTTGTCAATATAACAGCTGAAATGGTAAGATTACTTTTACCTTGCCAATACGCCCTTTGAACGGTCTAAAAGTTTCTGACATTTGCCTGAAAAGCCTTGTTTTAGATCGAGAAACACGTGAAAAACGTGGTGTGGGCCTGATTTTGAGGAATTGTTTTCTCTTAAGTCCCTCTCTCTCCCGTTCGAATCATCGTTCTGTCCATTCATTCGAGTGATTGGGAAGGGGAAGAACTGCCCCAAAAGTGTAATCATTATCAATGTTATCATTGCCGCTGTTTGTTTGTAAATAGCGGCCGATGTGATGAAATTGGGTTAGTTTTGAGTTTGGTTTCGCACGGTGCAATGGGTGCTGAGGAATGCTTGCTGGGGATGAGTAGTAAGAGAATGGCTTGCGTAAGGTAATAAAGGCATGATAGGTTGTAGGGAAATAAAGCATGATTTGATAGGAATGTGATAACATGTAGAATGTTATGTTATATGTAGGACTTATAAAGAAACTATTATAAGTAGCTGTAGGAAAACGAAATTTGTATATTATAGTAGATAAAAGGGAAGAAAAGTGATTTTTAAATGTACAAAAAACAAAAACCAATTTTTGTTTAATTGTACAATAACACACTTTTATCATATAGGTAGTATAAGAATAGCTATTGTAGTACCAACATAACAGTAAACAATATAGTATAGCTTTGATCAAAATTTGGCAAAGAAATTGTAATATAATGATAAGCATGTTAGGTAAACAGTGATTGTTTACGAAAATGATGATAGGTACATAGCGAAAATATACTTTGAAATTGCTGATAATAATATTTATTGTTTACTGCCACTTTTCGGTTATTTAAAGTTTGCACGGTGCGAAGTTTGGAACAGTTTTAACCGCATGGTCGTTATTATACCATATGGGATCATTACTATATCATAGATGTTTTCTCATTTATCTTACTGTGGTAGTCTTGAAATATAACTCTGTTTGTTATGATAAACAAAGTTCGTAAACAGATGCAGGTATCGATGTTTTAATCCTTTGCAGTTCGAAGCGTTTGTTTGTTGATGGAATTGCCTTTGATAGTCTTGTTTATCATCAAAACGCTTTATTACTTGCACGCCCAATGAGTTTCTTTAAAAGTACGGGGTCACCTTGCAGAAGCTGCAATTGATAAGGTGATTAGTTAGAAGGGATGGCAGTGGGTTGGGTTGTGGTCAGAAATGACAGTATTTTAGGTTTGAGATTGTAATATTAATGATTAAAAAGTAATTTGGACACATTTATGTTAGAACAATATCTTTGGTTTAGTTGTTGTTGCTGTATATTTTTGTTTATCTAGTGTAATATTTTCATAGTTGTAATCATATTTTTGTGATAATCGCGTTTTTAAGGTCATGTTTAGGTATCAAAGTCGTTTCACATGTTAATGTTGTGAATTTCAGGCAGCCCAATACTGATCAAACAATATGGCTACGGACCAAGATCGTCGTAAACAAATCAGTGTCCGTGGGATCGCTCAGGTCGAGAACGTGGCCAACATCAAGAAGGCCTTCAACAGACATCTTCACTTCTCTCTGATCAAGGTACGTTCTTGTTTATTGTTGATGTTTTTAGATGGTGGTAAAGTACGGTAATGATGTAACATGGGTTATGTTGGGAAATACGTCAATTAGCTTTTTATGTAATTATAAGGTTTGGTGTCGTAATAGTGCTTTCTGTAGTACTAAAATGGAAGTATATTAGCCATTTCTACTTTTACTATAATTCCAGCCTATATTATAGTAAATAAGTAGGATAATTTTATGACAATGTATTATATTAAATTATTTTAGGACCGTAATGTTGCCACCCCACGCGACTACTACTTTGCCTTGGCCGACACCGTCCGCGATCATCTGGTGAGCCGTTGGATCCGTACCCAACAGTACTACTACGAGAAGGACCCAAAGAGAGTGTACTACTTGTCTCTCGAGTACTACATGGGACGTACCCTCTCCAACACCATGCTCAACCTGGGAATGCAAGCCACCGTGGATGAGGCTCTGTACCAATTGGGATTGGACATGGAAGAGCTCCAGGAAATTGAAGAAGACGCTGGACTCGGAAACGGAGGTTTGGGCCGTCTGGCCGCTTGCTTCTTGGACTCCATGGCCACTTTGGGCATCCCGGCCTATGGCTACGGTCTGAGATACGAGTACGGTATCTTCAAGCAACTCATCAAGGACGGATGGCAAATCGAAGAGCCAGATGACTGGCTTCGTTTCGGAAACCCATGGGAGAAGGCCAGACCCGAGTACATGTTGCCAGTCAACTTCTACGGCAAGGTCACCAAGGATGCCAACGGCAAGAGCAAGTGGGTTGACACTCACGTGGTCTTCGCCATGCCGTACGATACTCCAGTGCCTGGATTCCGAAACAATGTTGTCAACACGCTTCGTTTGTGGTCAGCCAAGGCCGAGAACCACTTCCATCTCAAGTTCTTCAACGATGGTGACTACGTGAACGCCGTCATGGACAGAAACTTGACCGAAAACATCACTCGTGTCTTGTACCCTAACGACAATGTAAGTTGAGATCATAGTGTTTTAAATATTGTACGGTATTGTATTAGTTCTAGTTGTCTATAGAATATTGTGTTAGATTTTTAAAACTTTGGAAGCCCCATGAATAATATAATTTTATAGGTATTCGTCGGCAAAGAGCTCCGTCTGAAGCAACAATACTTCTTGTGTGCTGCTACACTCCAAGACATCATCAGACGCTTCAAGTCCAGCAACTACGGCTCTCGCGACACCGTCAGAGTTGACTTCAAGCAATTCCCTGAGAAGGTTGCTATCCAGATCAACGACACTCACCCAGCCATCGGAATCCCCGAGCTGATCCGTCTGTTGGTCGATGTGGAAGATCTTTCGTTCGATGACGCCTGGGACATTTGTGTCAAGACCTACGGCTACACCAACCACACCTTGTTGCCAGAAGCCCTCGAACGTTGGCCAGTCACCATGTTGGAGAACCTGTTGCCACGCCATCTCCAGATCATCTACGAAATCAACCAACGCTTCATGGATGTGTTGTCCAAGAAGTACCCAGGAGACTTCGAACGCATGAAGCGCATGTCCATCGTCGAAGAGGCCGACCAATTCGGCGAGAAGAGAATCAACATGGCTCATTTGTCCATCCTCGGCTCTCACGTCACCAACGGTGTTGCCGCCATCCACTCGGACTTGTTGACCAAGACCACGTAAGCTTTGAGGGTTTAAAGTCTACTAGTTTTGTAAAAAATGTCACCGAATATTGAAGCTTAGCTTTGAAAGTATTTTTTTTTGAAAAAAATGTTAAAAAATCTCAATAATTTGTTCCTCTTGTAGTTTCAAAGACTTCTACGAACTGTTCCCAGAACGCTTCCAAAACAAGACCAACGGCATCACCCCCAGACGTTGGTTGTTGCTCTGTAACCCAGCCTTGTCCGACCTGATCGTCGAGAAGATTGGCGAAGAATGGGAAACCGACCTCTCCCAACTCAAGAAGCTGAACCAATTTGTCGATGACAAGAGCTTCCTCGACGAAATCGGCCGCATCAAGAGAGACAACAAACTCCGCGTTGCCGAATACCTGAAGGACAACTTTGGCGTCGAAATCAACCCATCCTCAATGTTCGACATCCACGTGAAGCGTCTGCACGAGTACAAACGTCAACTTCTCAACGCCCTCCACATGATCACCTTGTACAACCGCATCAAGGCCAACCCAGACAAGAAGATCGTCCCAAGAACCATCATGATTGGCGGAAAGGCCGCTCCAGGCTATCACATTGCCAAGATGATCATCAGGTTGATCAACGGAATCGGCGAGATCGTCAACAAGGACCCCATCGTCGGAGACAAGCTCAAGGTCGTCTACCTGGAGAACTACCGTGTCTCCATGGCCGAGAAGATCATCCCAGCTTGTGATTTGTCCGAACAGATCAGTACCGCCGGAACCGAAGCTTCTGGAACCGGAAACATGAAGTTCATGTTGAACGGAGCCCTCACCATCGGCACCATGGACGGAGCCAACGTGGAGATGGCCGAAGAAGCCGGCGAAGAGAACTTGTTCATCTTCGGAATGAGAGTCGAAGATGTGCAGAACCTCCAGAAGAAGGGCTACAACGCCTCCGAGTACATCAACAAGAACGCCGAGTTGAAGCAAGCTGTAGAACAAATCGAGACCGGCTTCTTCACCCCCGACCAACCAGATGCCCTTCGTGATCTCGTCAACGTCATCAAAAACCACGACCGTTTCTATGTGTGCGCCGACTACGAAGACTTCATCAAGACCCAGGACAAGGTCAACGAATTGTACTTGGTAAGTATGACTTCAGGGTTTTCGTGGAGGGCTCAATTTTAGTTTTGGTATCAATTTGTTGTCCATGGTTGTATGTTGTTGTAAATCGTGGGTTTTGTTATTGTCATGTTACTAATTGTCAATCTTCAGGACCAAGAAGCATGGAACAAGAAGTGTTTGATCAACATTGCAAGCTCAGGAAAGTTCTCCACCGACCGAACCATCTCAGAATACGCTAAAGACATCTGGGACGTGCAGCCTGGCGCTATCCAACTGCCCCCACCATTCGAAACCCACAAGCCAGCGGGTGATGACTAAATCTCTAATACTTTACTAACTTTACATTTTCATAACTTGTTAATTTCGTAGGTAATTTTTTGTATCGATTATTTAGATACCAGATATATTGTGTTAGATTGTGTACTATGACAGCTAAAGAATAAATATTTACAAACGTGTAATTGTGCATTTGTACTTTACCGGTTCATCTAAAAATTTAATATATATTTTTACATTAACAGTAACAATAACGAAAACAAATCAGGATTAACAGGTCAACAATCCCGAGTCGGCTCCGATTTCCATTGGCATGAAATCGAACTCGTCGTCGTCTTGGGTTTCGATTTGGGTTTGTGGTGCGATCGCTGCTGAGGTATCGAAGTCGTCTTCGGCTGGGTTAAAGTCGCGGAGGAGGGGTTGGATAAGGTCCGCCATTTGAAACAGTCCACTTTTCAGGAACGGGAAATAACATTCCAGAGGGCCGTTATCACTCAGGTTTATGATGTGACTGCAGTAGACGATCTGCATGTAGCGACTTACACTGGCAAAGCATTTGGCCAAAGGCGTGGCAATGTAGTTCAAGGGCTCCAATTGGCAGTGGACGATTCTTCCCAGTCCCCATAGGCGGAGTTCGTCGATTTCTAAATAATGCAAAGTTAGTTTGGATAACAAAAATAATATTTTTCTTTGAAAAAAAGTCAGATTAATACAACAAAGTATATATTTTTAAACAATCACTGTTATTGACTTACGCTTGTTGTCCACAAATTCTTTGTATCTGAAGCAAATAACGAACAAAAACGCTTGGACAATCGCATAGAACGTTCCGTGTTGATGACCACCTGGTCGTTTCACTTGTCCAGCTTTGTCAATATAACGAAGACACCAGTTGGCCATTTGCTTCAACCAGAAACACATTACTCTGAAAATGATATTTTAAAAACAATGATAAGCAAATAATCAGCAAATTGTTACCCAAAGAATCAAACATAATTTCTATTCACAGGTTGTAAACTAAAATCAACTGTATCAAAGTAATTGTAAAGTAAAAACAGTTCCAAATTAAAAACTTACTGATAGTTAACAAAGTTAGCTCTGGCCAAGATCCCACTCAAAAAGGCAGCCGCGTTGTGGGCCTTTTTGAATTCGTTGGGACGTTGAGTTGGGGTGGTCATTACCCTCCAGAAAACTCTCATCAACTTCATCAAGTTCTCTCGAGAGTATGAGGCCATATAGAACCACAAGAATGGGACATTGTCCATCTCATGACAATAGAGAATATGGGTCTCCAGAATAGGTAACAATCTGTTGAAGATTCCCTTTGGAGGCTCGTAGGACTCCAAGAACTTTGTGTGTGGTGCTGAAAATAGATTTTTAAAATATTTCTTACCTAAAAACAAAGTAAGCAGCGCAACTTTTTTTAGAAAACAAGCTTACTGTCATTAGGTTTCACGATTGGATTCTCAGATCCCAACCCAACGTAACAAAGTAACATTGTCATGCAGACATCCAACTTCTCCTTGATCTTCATTTTGTACCCTTCTTCATCGTATTTGTCTTCGACATCAGCGGTTAAGAAAAGGCTTGCACTATTTCGTGCAATATCTACTCCAGAATATTGAGATACAATACCCTAAAATGCCATAAATAAAGCTTTTGTAGACAAAAACAATATTTACTTAAAATAACTAAATTATCAAATTAAAGAAGACATAAAACCGGATACTGATATAGTTTTAAAAAAGAAATGTTAGTAAACTTACATCCATTTGAAGTAGGCCATTAATCAAAGCTCCAAATAATTCTTCGCTGATTTGAGGATATTTATCAGCCATAACAATAATAAGCCTAACGTGAGCGATCATCTTCTCCAAAGGTGCCGTTCTGTGAGGTTTGTGCTTCAAGATTGCCGAGCTCAACGAAAACACAGCTCTAAAACAATATATTGTTTAAATACAGTAATTAAGAAATTTAAACTAAAATGAGTATTAAAAACATTAAAACTTACGGCGGCAATCTCTTAACAATCATCTCAATACAGTCCATAGCTTTCAAGTACAGAAGCTCCAACTCAGCATCTTGTAAAAGGCAGATAGCTGTGACTTCACCTTTTTCATTAGCTTGGAACTCGATCGGAGGCGACAGATTCCTTACACAAGACTTAAGAACAGAATCAACAAAAACCGGGTTAAAAATACAAGCATCAGTTAACATGGCCAAGAACGGTGAAAGTTGAGATTTGGGAATGTACAGCCAGTCAACATCCTGAAAAGAATGTTAATTTAGAAAAACAAAAAAGGCTAATGTTAATGACTTCAATAAACCCAATCAATTAAAGATTCAAGGTCATACACTACATAACAAAACATGTTGTACAAGTTTCCGTACAATATACGTAGCTTAAAAACACTTACACACAAAGCTCTGACCATGTCCAAGCAAGAAGCATCGAATTTACTCGCCAAATCCAAGAATCCATGCAAGAATTCGACTCTCATATCCTCTTTCCACATTTTTAACTGGCCCAATGCCCGACACAACTGTTTGTACTTTAGTTGGCCCGTAATAGTACCCTAAACATCAATATAAACCATAACAACCTTAACATACCCATTTGAAACTGTCGATAACTTGTGCCACCGTCTTTTCCTCCTTCACTTCCGGCTTCACGTCAGCTTTCTGTTCTACCGACATTCCTGGCTTTTCCTCTTCCATTTCCATATCCATTTAAGTTGAATCTTTCCAAGTTTGGACCCCAAAGGGCAAGTTTTACGATCTAAAACAATATAATCGTAATTAAATGGTCGAGAAATGTCCTCGAGTTTTTTTGAAACAATTGGACTGGAGTTTCTGGCTCGTTTCCCTATCATAAGCTCGAAAACAGCCGGCTCCGGCTGAAAAAAAAGCGGGTCACGCATAAAAAAGTATTGAGGACGGAACGCCAAGTAGAAGCTTTTCGTGTTGGGACCAATTTGCTCCTATATGTGTGCGAAGAAATCCCTGTAATTTGAAGGAAAATGGTACTGATAATGTTAATGCACGTTTTTTACAAATATTTAAATTTGAAGTAAGTATTTTAAATGTCTAAATTAAAAAATTAATTTTTTTATTTCAGTTTTTCGAAACTTTTGATGAATATATTCATCGTAAATCGTTAAATAGTTAACTTCTGGTTAATCTTTTACATTTACTGCGTTTTAAATTAGTATTTTTACATATTTGAACTATTAAGAAGGCCACGTCCAGGCGTTGTTCATATAATATTGTGGCGCGAAAGTTGAGGTGGGTACGGTCGAGGTTACAGGAAGATATGCGGCGTTGGGGAAGACATTGTTCATGTTCAAGTTCGAATCCCTCATAATGACAGGAATTTGCATTCTACGGGTTGAGAAGTCAGCTGGAGCATTTTGCACCGTGTTCGAGGATTCGAAGCTGGACGATGAAGCCGGCTTTTCTGGAGTCACCTTCTTGTTCTTGTACCTGCAAAGGTATTGTTTTAGCTTAATGTCTTATTCAAGAAGAGAGTTTTCTGGTAAAATACAGAAGCGATTCCAGAAGAACTCACCTATGATTCTGGAACCAAATCTTGACTTGTGTAGCCGTTAGATTGATTTCCCTGGCTAGTTCTTCTCTTTCTGGAGCCGATAGATACTTTTGATGTCTGAAACGTCGTTCTAACGCGAATGTCTGAGCTTTTGTGAATAGTACTCGTCTTTTTCGTTTCCTCTTCTTTCCATCAAACGATTCTTCCATATCTTCTCCGCCGTCTGATTCACCGTGATCTGACTTGGCTCTAAAAGTTGATGGTTATTATTTTTTGTTCTATCGATATGTTAAAGCAAATTAGTACCAAATGTTTAAAAAACGTTTTTTTCAGAGTAAAATCTAGGTTCCATAGTAAAAATATGTTATCCTTATGATTAAAACTTACTTTTCATCGTCGATTTCGGTTTTAAGTTGAGTTTCAATTGACATTCCAGGAAGTTCTGAATCTATACCTTGTGTAGCTAGTCGGGCTCCAAAAGTGTCGCAGAATACACCGTACGATGGTATATAACCATTGCCAGTAAAGTAGGCAGGTTGGAATGATTGGTCATAGACATAGTTGTTTCCGATATTAACATTGCAGTCTAGAGTTGAGGTGTAGTCTAAAAAAGATCATTTTTGTTTTGTAGAGCTCATATAAGAATAATATTAGTTAGTTAATAAATATAAGGTTAAGGAGGGCTGTTATCATAATTTTTAGGTTAAGGAGAGGATATTATCAATTGAAAAATATTCACTTACTTCCTAGTAGTGGGATATGTTCAGCCCAAGGGTTTTGATTAGTGTAAATCGATGTTGTTGGAGGTTGAGAGCACAATTCAGAAGTGTCAGGCTTGCTTTCAGCTCTAAAACAAGGTAAATATGTTATGATAGACTAATTATTAGGTTCAGATAATTCTGTGCCTTATTGCTTATTTTTTACAAAGAAAGGTACGCAAGTGATCTCTAAAATTGTAGAGTAACACGGTTCACTATCCCTCATCTCTAGAACAAGATAGCTATTCACCTCTCAACTCCACAAGGTCAAAGTTAATCCTCCTATCGACCCTAAAGTGCTATTATGTTATTGTACTTACGAACAACACACTTGTTGATGACACTTACCGACTATCACTTGAAGAGGAGGTTGGAGTGCCTAAGGCGGCCACAGCGTTCGCAAACGCCGTGTTCATGATTCTGAAAAGGGGCAGGTCTTGGTTAGGGTGAATAAGTTTTCTAGTATAACTCTATGTTGTCATTGGCTCTTTATCGGCATTTTTGGAGTTTCCAATCTACTGGATATAAACAGTGTGCTATTTTTAGGTATGATGTTATCATTGGTTGTTAAAAGTTTTTTAAAAAATTTGTTTTCTGCTAGCTTTTTAATTTTTTATTTAGCTAAGCCTTGGCTAGGTAAGACTACTGGCCGCATCATAATGAAAATTCCTGGCTATCGGCCGCTTTTTGAACCGTTTAGTACTCTTAACAACGCTGTCGAGTACCATCTTCTCGTAACAACGCTGTCGAGTACCAATCATCCGTCTCGTACACTTCAGACGTGTCGAGATGATATTAAAATAAAAGTACTTACTTTAATTGACTCGACTCTTCAACTTGAGTGGCAATATGGGCTGTTATCGATAGGCCACTCCTGAGGATGCCTGCTCTTGACTTGGCGATTAAGTGGATAACACTGGCTTAATAAAAAGTTCAAGTCCGGCTATGACGAGTCGATGTGCTGATTGTTGTTGGGGCGGGCGGATAGGGGGGGGGGAGTGTTGCGCGAGATCTCTCGAGCCCCATATTCTTGGCAAACATTGGGGCTCAAGTGGCTGCTGTCTAATATAATAAGCGAGGCAGCCGAGATCTCGTTGTGTAACTTAACGCAAGCTACAGTAGTCAGCCACTCCCCCGCCCGACCTTTTTTTCGAATTTTGATTTGTTTGGGCTAGCAGGTCAAAGGTGGGAGCGGCCGATGAGTTGAGGTGGGACAACATGACCGGTTGATTTCTGTAAACTTTGAAATTAGCCAAAGTGTAGCTTTGTGTAAACGTAAAGACTTAGTCTTACAGTACTCTAGCGACTTTTTTAAATTGCCTTCTAAAGTTCTACAGTACATTGGCTTAAGCTTTTACAGTACATCGGTCGAAGGTTTACAGTACTAACCTTAATATAGCGGAAAAAAGTAAAAATTAGTATATATTGTTATAGGTATTCTATGAATATATTGTTAGTCGATTTAGCTTTTTAACACTAAGTTACTGTAGTTTTTTTTTTAATTTTAAAACTAAATTACTGTAACTTTTTTAAATTTATACAAACTTTCAACCAAAAAATACGAACATACGTTTCCCTAATCCGACAGCTTCGAATTGCGACCCCAATTGACCTGCGACTCGAAACGTCAAATGTCATCTTCAAATCGCCGCTCGTGCTGAAATGCAAACAAAACTGGTACTCTTTCATCTTCATAACACTTCCGTTCGCTTCTTCTCTTTTCGGCACATTTTGCCGCATTTTCTCGACAAATACTCGGTTTTTGTAACCGAATACGGTACGTGGTTATGGAGACAAAAGATTAATTAGCATTATAATTAATTGGGAACGGCATAGAGATACAGTATATGAGTTTTGAAGGATATACAGCATATGAAAATAGAATAAAATTGCCAAACATGGACACTAAAATGAAGAAATGGAGCCATACACTATCCTATTTTACCTTACCCTAGCCTACAATAACCTACCGTACCCTACACTACCATATCTCACACTACCCTATTCTACTCTAGCTTGACCTATCCTGCTCTACCATACCCTACTTTACTCTAAACTAATTTGTCCTACCGTAATCATATTGAAATAGTACAAGTTCTCTTTGTACTGTACGATGCCTTACTCTACTTTACCATAATCTACCTCATATAAATAACGGTTGATAAAAAGACAGTATAAGGACGAAACCTTCAACTTCTTTCAAAATTTGCATATTTAATTTGAAAGTTCTTCTAAACGACGTTCGTTGCCAAGCTTCTTTGAAGAATGCTGGTTTAACAACTAGTTTTGTTACAATTATATTGTCTTTATGTTACCTATTTTCATTTTTTGTTGTTTCTTATCTTTAACTGTTACTGCTAACTTGAAATGTCATTGTGATACCAATACGACTGTCGGTGCTTACTGTGAGGCAAAGGTGGGTTAAAAATGTAAAAAAATGTGAAAGACTGTGAAAATATGAACATAATATCATATTATTATATATTATATACTTTAACATTCAAAATAGAGTAAAAACCAAAAAAAAATTCTTAAGATCTCAAAAGTTCTCGGACAAGACGTAATGTTAATCTCAAAAATATTGTCAAAATTTACATAAACATACCATACTTTACCTTATCCTACGAAAAAGTTCGTATTTTACAATAAATATTTCCAGCACGACGCCAAAGGCGAATTGCTTGTCTTTGACGAATGTAAATGTAAAAATGGCTTTGAAAACATTCAAAACAAAGTGGAAGAGCAAACAGTGACAGTGTATTGCACCAATGCAAATACATCTTCAGTCCGGTGTTTCTGCGACAATAAATCGGCATTAAGTGTTGGCAATCATTGTCTGGCTAATGTAAGCGCAATATTTTTCAAATTAAAAGTGTTTCAGTTTAAAATGAACTTTTCAAAATTTTGAAAAATTAAAAAAAAGTTTTTTTTCCCGCCTCCAAAAACCAGCTTAAAATACCCGCCCAACACCATATTAAATAGTATAAAAAAGATTGAGCTACTAATATAAGACAAATTTTTATATGTTTAAAAGTCAGTCTAAGCCAGAATTTATATTTTAAAACATGTACTTACAGCTCAACCCCTCAGGCATAATAACATACGAATCAGGATGTAAATGCTCTCATCCATTAGCTACTCCAAGCATTATACCAGAATTCTTTTACAGTAAAATTATGGTGGTTCATTGTACGTGGAATCGAAAAGAAGATATACATTCATCAGCGAACAATATGTTAGTTACTTCAGTTGCTTATATGACCATTTTGCTATTCTTATTGTAGTAGGTCGTACTATGTAGTTCACTGAGTATTGGCAGCTTATACCTTGTAAATTTTTAAAATTTAGTGTTGATAATCTTTTTTTTATTGTTTGATATTGCTGTACTACTGTAGTAAATAGTTTATACCTTCAGACGGCGCTTTGAATACGATAAACAAAAGATACGAAATGTAAGAGCAGCTGAAGATGAAAGTACCAGTACAGCTTCCAGTACTACTACTGATTCTACTACTAGTCATACAACAGGTAGTACAAGTTCAACGACATCAAATACTACCACAGTATCTACAACACATTCCAGTTCTACTACGAGTCATACCACAGTCACAAATACTACAACAAAACACACTACAGTAAGTAGTACTGTAACTGCTAGTTCAACCACACCAGCTAATAGTACTGCTAGTACTACTGCTTTTGAAAGTACAACATACGAAAGTACTACAACACCACATAACACTACAGTATCTACCACAACAGTTAATACAACATTGTCTACTGTAACATCAACTCATACATCAACCCACACTTCTACATTAAATACTACTGTTTCTACAATTACTACAACATCCACAACAAAATCAACATCCAATACTACCAAAGCTACAGCAGTAACGTCAGCAAACACAACTAAAACTACAGTAACCGCTACCGTATCAGGTACGACAAGAAACACAACAGCAAATGCTACTAAAGCTAGTACCGTAATCACAACTACACCTTTATGGTGGGCTGAGAATGACACAACAGATGAGAATACATTCGGAGTCTGTAACATCTCAAAGTTCTCGGACAGTGACCACAAAACGGCCGAGATCATACTGTACATTGGTTCGGGATGGGTCGTGGTTTGGATTTTCTTTACCATACTCTACACTATGATTGCTGGGTAAGTGTAATACAAATTTGAAGTAACAGAAACTCAAATTTTAAATTAAAAAAAAAGAGATTATTAGCCTGATCTTTATCACGATCTGAATTGTACTTGTTAATACATAAAAAGTGGCAGAAGATCTATATTGTAATCCCTTTAAAAGTCAGTGTTATATTAGGTTGTTCAAAGAATTCTGTGCCCCTAACCCCAAAAAGTTGCTTTGAGATAGAACACAGAATTATTTTAAAAAACCTAATAAATTCAGTAGATAGTATTGATACAACCTAATAAATGTAATAAAATTACTTTACAGAGTAACAGGTCATCATCGCTTCCTAGATTTGTTTCAAGAACTTGTACTCATCATTATATTTGCTTTTATGGGTGTTTTTACAATGAAACCTGATTGGGTACGTTGATATGATTATAGTGAATAGAAATATTACATTTGGTGAAACGACTATAGTAACCTTATATACGATGACATGGTTATACTGACCATAGATATCATATTATTTTTTTTAAGTATGATATGTTACTATGTTTTTTTATATTGATATTTATGTTTATATTTTACAGAGTACGTGCACAGCAAACAAAGTAGTGTTACAGTTCTGTATGATGTGTATTCTACTATTGGCTATGATGCAGGCTTCATTTTTGTCTAGGTAAGGGAACTTGAGTATAGTTATCGCAAGCGAACGTTCAAAGGACCCCCCCCTCAGCCCAAGAACTCAAAAAAAAAATAACCCACCTTGTCAAATTTTGAAAAACCTTTTTTTTCACCCCTCCCAGACCAACGGAGACAATATTCAAATTTTTTGATTTTTTAATCTCTATTTTTAAATGTCTTTTCAAGATAATCTTCTTGACTGTTTACTTTAGCTTAATCAAAGGGCGCAGCTCAAAAAACAGTCGATTACCCGTTATGGTTAATTATATTTGGCCTCCGTTTTTCGCCGCCGTGGTCGCGGTTGTGGTGTATTTCGCCTTCAAAAAGTATTATGACAACAATGGAGTGCAGTAAGTGTTTTTACAGTGTAATACAAATACATATTTTCAAAATTTGTATGATAAAAATCCTGCCAAAGATTTACCTATTAAGTTTTTCACATAATTCTGTGCCCTCTCTCAAACAAAATTTTCGAAGCTAGGGGCTCATAATTATTTGAACAACCTAATATAATATCTTAACGTTTTCTTAAGTTAAACTGCATCTACTGTAATATAACCCACACTTTCAGCTGCTTCTGTGAAATCTATGAAAAGCTTTACTGGGCCTACGCCTTCCCTGCGGCAATCTTATTCTTCCTCTCCCTGATGAACAACCAGATGGCAGTAACCGCATGTCGTATGACAAGACAGAACGTCGATCGTGTCCAATTATACTGGGCACGAAGGTCTTGTCGTGGTATGCCAATCCTCATCACCTGGTTCCTGTTCTGCTTCTTCTGCCTCTTATTTGCAGTAGATATGCAGAGGGTATGGTTATTTGGTGTTTACCTCGGGCTGTGCATCATCTTTGGTCCCATGATCTTTGTTCTGCATACCTATTGTTATGAGAAGAGCTGTAGACGGCTTTTTGAAACTACTGGATTCACGTTTTATAAACCTTGTCCTACGAAGAAAGGAGATCCAAACCATGTTGAACAAGTCATCGAAAAGGTGGATTTGAGGAAGAAAAATGCTGTAAGTTTGTCAGAAAAGTAAAAAAGTAGTACTATATTACCCAGATTAGGAAAACTAGAAAATACAGCACATGATATTAACATTAAAATCACGTATAGACTAAACTTCGATTATCTAAACTGAACAACGATATTATTTTAGCTAACCGACCCTCTGCCACCAAAGAAAAAGGAAGAAGAACCACCTCCAGTACCAGTTGAAGCAGCAGGAGTCCTAATACCACCTTCAGAACTCGCTCCTCTTCCTTTAGGTGCACCAACAGTACCACAAGTACCAGTGTCGAATGTCGCTGGACCTTCGGACTTGGCCACCAATCCTACCTCATCACAAGAGTTCTACAACTGGCTAACAGACAAGAACAACGTTCCAGGGCAAGCTGAGAATGTGCTCTTCAAAAAGAATGTATAGGTAGTGTAATATAGGTTAAAATTTGCCAAAATCCAAATTTCTTTAACCAAAAAGTCATCGAAAAAGGATAAAATAACGTGATTTCCCAAAGTTTTGTTTAAAAGTTCGAAAAATAATTAAATTTACGCAAATTTCCATCAGAAAACAGAATTTGATTACCAATAATTTATTTAAAAAGTGTAAAAAATAAATTATTACATCGACAAATGTAGATATTGCATGTTGAGAAAGTGAAAACTGTGACTTAATATATAGGAAAGAGTATGACTATTGCCATGACTAGACACACCTTATAGATCCAACTTTTTGAGCACAATAACCTTGTTCTTGAACTTTAAACGCGGCCAGTAATATGGAAATTTAGACGACTTGACATAAGTAAACTTGAAGAATGCTTCGACAGAAAAGAGTTCCTTATGCGTGCTACTAAAGTTGGCCTGGAATATATTGTAGACGTTCTCTTTTTGACTTCCAATCAATAAGAAATCAAAGTCCCGAAGCGCTTCGACCGGTAAATTCTCGGTTTTGTTGTATTCCCAAGCTGGGTAATTGTTCAGAAATTGATTGATACCAGTTTCAGCACAAAACTCATCAATATGAATTCGTCGTACATCGTTACGATGATACCTTTGAACAGTTTGAAGGTGTGCAAGGGCGTCTCCTCCTGGATAGTTTCTTGCACTTGCGTATAAGAATATACAGGTTAGTATAACATTGGCTATTAGATGGGTAGCAACGCCCAAAGCGACAATGTAGCGGAGCCAGGACTTGTTTTTGTTGATCCAGCTGTAAAGTCATTCATTGCTTATGTACTCAATAAAACATCAAAACCTCTCCCCGAAAACCTTACATTCTAGCGCAAAAGTTGGCGGCCGCCAAGTTCAGCAGAGGAAAAGCATAGATAATAAACCTGAGCTCTTTGTGAGGCAAGAATGAGTACAGTCCAACAAAAGATACGGCTACAAATGCCCATCTCCATAGCCTTCTATCCATCAGCAATCCAAACGGTACCAGAAGCAAAGACCCCAACAAAGCTCTCGGAATTACAGAGTAAAAGTACCAGAAGAAGGGTGTTGTACCATAAATATTACTCTTGTTTTCAATAACATTAAACTTGATTACCTGACCTTCAGGCCACAACCATTCTTGCCAAAATAGAGAGTCTATCGGAATTGTTACGGCTATAATAAGTAATCATAGTTTTTGTAGGTCTTTTTAAAGGTACTTTATTTATAAAGCACCATTTTAAACTTTTATAATTAAATTTTAAAGTAAAAATATAAAAACTAGCAAAACCTACTCAATTACTCTTTAAAAATCATAAAAACACCAATACTTATTGTACGAAACTTACCTAAAGCAACAACACCAGCAAAAACTCCAGTCTTAACCGTCGACAAGACATTTGCTTCCTTGGTCAAGAACAACAACAAAAACAGAGGTCCAAACAGTAGAACCAATTCACATCGGTAGATCAAAACCGCTACTGTAGCCAGCTTTGTCGCAGCATTGTATCGTTGGTCCAAAACGTTCCGAAATACTTGTAATACTAAACAGAATAATACAAATATTAAAATAATTTACCCAAAAACAAAGCAAACGTATTCGGAAGAGGCCGAGTGCTGTAAAAGATAAAGTGGAATTGAGATGCTGTTATCAACCTCAAGAAATCTGCAGTTTCTGGGCCAAACTTTGATTGCACAGCCCGACAGAACGACAGAAATGAACCGAGGACGAATACTCCAAGAGTAAAACGAGCTGAAAAGAAGTTTGATCGGCTATGCCATCAACTTTAGATTTGCTTTTTAAGATAATCTTTCAGTTCCTAAATAATCAAAAACTTACCTAAAAACAGATTCCACATTTTGTGAGCATCAAAAAATGATAAAGCTGTATAAAATGGAAACATGGTACCAGCGACGACAACTGGCCCTGAGAAACTTCGTGGTACAACTCCTGGGAATTGTAGATGATCATACTACAAAAATTAACATTACTGGCCTTTAACTTTTTTAAATAATTCAACTTTAAAAGCCCTTAAAACCATAAAAGAGACATAATTAACGACCTAGCTAATTAAACATGTTTTATATTGTTTACCTGTGAAAAATTGTGCTTTAAAAAGAGAAGATCGTGAATAGCTTGAGTGTTAAAACTTTCCTCAACTTTTGTGAATGGACACATGATTAAATGGATGATCATGGCCATAAAGACCATCCATTCCGTGCCTAAAATATTGTCCATAACGAACAATGTTTAACGAAGGCCGAGTTTTGGTCGGAAGCTCGGAAAAATAATTTTATTTATTTTAGTCCCAACACGAAAGTAAGTCTTGGCATTCCGCCTAACAAAAACCTGACTTGTGTGGCTCTGAAGTTGTTGTTCGAATCGTGCGTGTGAATCGATAAGGACACGGTTCAGAAGACTGATTATGGGGGCAATTTTAGCCGCTCCGGCCTGTGCTAGCTCTGTAAGTATTAACATATTGTTTTAATGATGTTAACATAGCTCTTTTGATACTTTAAAGAGCTTTTCTTTTAAAGTTATCTTTTCTTACTGTTATCTTCATAAAGTCGACGTATATGTGTATCCTTTCAGATGGCGTGTTGCTTTGGCAGTGCAGCTTGTCAATTATGTTGCTCAGTTTGTCCAACATCAAAGAATTCTACAATGACCAGGATCTCCTATGCTTTCATGTTGTTGCTGGGGACAGTTGTGGCTTGTTTGATGCTTTCTCCTTGGATTCAGGAGAAGATGTCGGATGCGGATTGGTTTTGTGAAAAGTTTGACATTAAATGTCAGCAAGCTACGGGATTTCAAGCGGTTTATCGGTAAGGTACTTGTTTTTGGTTTTTTTGAAACTTTAGGTATCTAAAACACTGATAACACACTTCCTACCGGTTTAATAGAATCTTTTTGAGTGTCAGAAAATATGCCGTTATCTGCTTTTTGTATTAATACTTAAGTTTGCTTTAATTACAGGTTATGTGGTGGAATGGCATCGTTCTTTTTCATCTTCATGTTGGTTATGATTGGAGTGAATTCGAGTAAAGACGGCAGATCATATATTCAAAATGGTTTTTGGTTTTTTAAGTACTTGCTTATGATTGGACTTGTTGTTGGCTTCTTCTTTATTAGAAACGAACACTTGGCAGGACGTAAGTTTTACTTTATTAATGATATTGTTTTAGTTATTTGAAGTAGCAGTAAATGTTTTATACCTTTATTCAGCATTTATATACCGTTTAATCGCTTGTTTAGCATTCATCTTATAGTAATTGTATTGTTTTAGCCATGATGTGGGTTGGAATGATTGGAGGCTTTCTTTTCATCTTGATTCAACTGGTCTTGATTGTGGATTGGGCTCATGGTTTGGCAGAAGGTTGGATGGAGTCTTATGAAGAAAACGACAGCAGAGCTTGCTTTGCCGGTTTAGTCGGATTTACGATTGGGTGTTATGTTCTGGCTGGAGTTGGGGCTATCTTCATGTACATTTGGTACACTACTGTGAGTTTTTTCAGCTTTTTATACCTAAAAGTTGTTGCATTTTCTACGTTTTTCGATATTATTAAAAAAAGATTTTTATGGGATATTCAGTTGTAAGAAGTGAGAGAATTACAATTTCAGGGCGGAGGATGTGGTTTGCCGATCTTCGTTATTACTTTCAATATTCTTTTGTGTATCGCCGTATCTGTCATCTCGATTCATCCTAAGGTCCAAGAAAGAATGCCAACGTCAGGGCTTTTGCAATCGAGTTTCTTGACAATGTACACCATGTACTTGACCTGGTCGGCTTTGATCAACAATCCGGATCGTGCTTGCAACCCATCTTTGATGAATATTATTAGAAACGGCACTACTCCTGGTCATGATGAACATGTAAGTTTGATTATAAATTTTTTAATCAAAACTGACTTTAAGATTTTTTAAACTTATTTTTAGCTTTAATTATAGTAATTTTTAAATGTGGAAAGTAAAATTTCAAATGATGATATCTATATTAACATACATTACATTTCAGTCGTTCGCCACGCCAATTCCCACCAACTCTATTGTCTCTCTTGTCATTTTCTTTGCCTGTCTTTTGTACGTTACTATCAGAACCAGCTCGAACACGTCATTGGGAAAAATCACTGGAGATACAGGTAGATCAAATGATATACCGTTGAGTGAGTCTCGTCCTATCGTCGGAGGTATTTTGAGTATCTGAAGGTGAATAATGAGAGTATTTTATAGATACGGACGAAGAACAAGGTCGTGTGTACGATAACGAACAGGAAGGAGTCGCCTACTCTTACAGTTTCTTCCATTTCATCTTTGCTTTGGCTTCGCTTTATGTTATGATGACTTTGACTTCGTGGTATAAGTAAGTTTTTGTTAATTACAGTTTTTTATACTGCTTAAGGGCATTTGTGGTTACTTTTTTGATGTTTTTAAAAACAATTGGTCATTTTAAAGCTAGTATACTAAGGAACGAATGAAGTAAATTAACATGTTATTTTAGGCCAGACAGTGATCTCTCGCATCTGAACAGCAATATGGCTTCTTTATGGGTAAAAGTCGTGTCCAGCTGGCTGTGCATCTTCATCTACGGTTGGACTATTGTGGCACCGGTTTTGTTTCCGGACAGGGAATTTAATTAATTCAATTTTACTTAGTCTAAACACAACGATCTTTGATAAAAGCCAGTCAAAAGTGATGTAATCTGTTCATTTAGGTAGTTCTTTAAGGTTTTCGACAGTCAAACTAGTCTATTTTTGGTGCTTTTCAGTATTATTGTGTTTAAAAGTGCTGTATTACATTACTATCTTGTGGTACTGGTCAAATTTAACGTTGAAACCTTGATGACAATCTAAATGACATATTTTGTGATTTCGAGTAACATTACTTTTGTTTTGGCCGCATTACTTTATTTTTCATTACTTTTATCTTTGAACTGTTTAAAGATATTTGGACTGTACATATGTGTACATTGGCATAAACTTATTTTACTTATTATGGTGCTATGATGGTGTTCAGCCTATTGTAATATACAATATGATATATCTTGTGATGTGTTTTTGATTTTTATTTACATTATCTTTAGGATTTAACCATGGTTGTTGACATTTCACAGATGGAAAGATACGAAGCTCCAGTATGTTTATTGTGTGGTTTCACGTTTTCTACTGTAACTTTGCGGTATTTTTGTTCAAAAAGCAGCTGGACATTTTAGAATCGTTGTCGTTTTTTGAATATCTTTATGATTAAGATAATATGTTTATAGTACTCTAAATAATATAGTAAGTTAAAGCTATATTTGTCTTTTTCTTTGTAGGTAGCTTTATTTTCCTGTTACAGGTCAGTCCAGCGCTGTACCCTCAACTCTCGGTAATTCTTCTTGGAATTGGCCTTCTGCTGACTTCATTCATCATTATTGGAGCCTTTACTACAAGCAAAAACCGCAATTTCTTGAAACAAATTGTGAACGCTTTCTTCGCCGCTGCTTTCCTAGGATTCGGCTCGGTATTTCTACTCTTGTGGGTTGGTATCTACATCTGAGAAGGCAATGTGAACGTAGAATCTTTGGTTTGAAGAGCTATGTTGGAATACGATCGTTAACTGCCTTATCTCCTTGTTTTGTTTGTGATAATAAGCTTAAGTTATAATAAATATTATTTATTCAAAAGTCTGTACATTAATATGAAAGCGAAGACCCGTGGACAATCCTAAATAAAGACACTGTGATTATGCGGTAACTAATTCTAGACTTAATATCCCAGACAAGTTAGTATCATGATCGAATAAGAGTAACTTTCTAGACAATCTTACATTAAAACACAATCTTATTATATTGATATAGAAAAGCTCATCTTAACCTAGATACCATATTATACAGGAGTCAGAATAGCTCTTCTTACCCTAGATGACATATTAAGCTGGAATTAGATTTGTCTACAAAAACTGCGGCATTTCTCGAGTGAGGCAAAGTTGTTGGCGTTCTTGGAACAGTGAGGCATCAGAAAAGCGAATGGATAACATTCCTCGGTTACAGTATCGAAGTAGTACCGTGTTGTTGTTCGTACTGACGACTTTTTCAGATCTGATTTCGGGCTCTCTACTCCATTATCACAAGCACCGGAATCTGGAAGTGAAAAAGTATTTTATGAGGACTTTAAAGAGGTACAATTCGTTGTTTTACTTGAATTTCAATTACTCTTTTGGGTGTTCCACTATGTTTTATACTCATTTTAACTTTCACAAAATCATCTATAATAACATTAAAACATGTCTAAGATAGTGCATTTCGATGCTAGATTGATGTAAATCCTCAATTATAAAGCTCTTCATGATAACTTATACTAGTAAATACTGTATTATAAAAATAATTTTAAAATTACCTGGAGGCAAATAGCATTCGCTGGCAAACGTTTTGACTTTATAAAACACTGGAGGACCTGGCATGGGCGTCGCTAGTGCTAATGTTATTAATATTACACCAACTATTAGTTTCAACATCTGAAATTGAATTTTATAAAAATGTTTTTGAAATCTTCGTTAATTCTTGAAAACTCATTTTCAGAATTTAAAAAGCGAAAAACTGGTCAATAAGTTTATGGAAATGAAGATTTTAAATATTTTTCAAATGTAAAAAGCAAGATTAGACATATATGTTCTCATTTCCAAGATATGTCGATATAGCTTGGCATTTCAACGTAATATTTATATTATCTTGGCAATCAGACCGCATTTAGGTAACAACTTAATATTATTCACTCATACCCGTGAATTCACATATCCGCCTCCGAAACTTGCGCAAGATGATTGGAATAAGCGCCTCCGGAGACGCTACACAATATTATTGTGGATGGTGGGCGAGAAACTGAAAGCGCCCTCGATTCAAATCAAAATTCGAGTGAAATTCGGCGCGCGCCGCTTCGAAACCCTCGGGGCAATAGTTTGTGGAATTGTGCAAAAATAAATAAAAAAACAAAGAGGTAATTGCGGGCGGCTAGCGGAAAGAGAATGGCATGGTGAAGTGGAACGACATAATCTCGGTATTACGCCGACAATATCCGATGTTCCGGAATCTGAAAACACACTTCACTACTTCAGCTGTCTGGGCTTGAATTTTGAAAATTAGGGATACTGAGAGGGAGTAGGTAACGAGTTGGATCAATGACTAGAGGTAACAATTCATGATGGTGGGGCGGGGTGAAACAAGAATAAAGAAAGTTTTTGCCATTGTAGAAAAGGTAGGACAAGGCAGGATAAACTAATCAAGGGTATGATATGGGAGGTTGTGGTAAGACAGGGTAGAGTAGGTTAGGGTAAGGCGAAACAAGAAAAGTTTTTATAGGGCCGGGTAGGGTAAAATAGGGAAGGGTAGTGCAAGGCAAGGCAAGGCATGGCAAGGCAAGGCAAGGCAAGGCAAGGCAAGGCAAGGCAAGGCAAGGCAAGGGTTGGGTTGGGTTGGGTTGGGTTGGGTAGGGTAGGGTAGAATAAAATATATTTGAAAAATTTAAAAATTAAAAAATATTCCCAAAGTCCCAAAAAAACCCAAAATTTCTACAAAATTCCACAAAAATGACATAATAGTAATACTGACAAGACACTCATGCTTTCCAAACAAACAAACCCAACCGAAATCCCGAAAATCGAACGAAACAGTAACTCCTTCGACCTTCTTTCTTCTAAATCAACAAACGTTTTATTTTGTTAGGTAGCTCTTGAAAAGTGCGATAGTCAAGACGAAATGCGCGATTATGACCTTTTGACTTTAGGGAGTGAAAAGGATAAGCATCTGATTGCCGGAGATAGTGAAGGTTTCGGGTGAGATATAGAAATGAATGTTATAGTTAAGAAGAGATTTGTCATTTAGTATAAAGTAGAGATATAGTCTTATATTGGGGATGATATAGAGAAGATAACTACATAGTTTGAAAAAAGAATATCACGTAGAATAGTGAAGATATCAGGGTAATATCAATGGATACATTGAAGAATATTATAGATAAGAAAAGATAGATATATCACGTAGTAAAGTGAAGATATATACCAATATTATAGGTAACATATAAGTAAATTAATAAGATATCATAATAATGTCACAAGATATAGAGAAGAACATTATAGTCCAGAGATTTGTTTATATGAAGACATATCGTGTACGTCTGAGGTGAGATAATGATATTACAGTTAAGAACAGATATATCACGTGCGCACCCCAAGTGAAAAAGAAATCGTTCAGTTGTTCAAGTGGTGATAAATAGAACGTGTACGTGTCAAGTTATATATTTTTTGTTTTTTTAAATTTTAAAATAAAGAAAAACGAAAAAAAGTCTTATAGTTTACACTTTTTATAAGCTATACATTATCCTTTACCCCTTCTCCCAGAGAATCCTAAATTTGATTTGTTCTTAGCCTTAGTCCAGAGCCCTAGTCTAGAGGTCTAGTCAATAGACCTAACCTGAAGTACTAGATCAAAGCCCTAACCTTACCTCTAGCCCTAACATCAATAAAAATTGTAATTCTTTCAAAAAGTTGATGTTTCAAAAAATTTGTTTTGAAAACGAAATGTAGAAGATATCACATGCGCGGTCTTTGATATAAGGTTTTATGAAAGTGACTCGTTAACAATGCATTAAAGGTGTTAATCAAATTTTGAAAAGGTTTGAAAGCAAAAACAACGTAAAACGTGTTACGGTTTACTTACAAACAGTCTGGCTAGCTAACACGGAAAGTGCCGCTTTGCTCTGATAGACTTCAAACTTGTTATATACTAGATCTTTCATCATGTAAATAGGTCTTTAGTAAAATACTAAATCGCGCTTTCCAGAACATCTCGATCCGAGACATCAAGAAAGGGTCCTTGCAACAAAATGCCAAAAGTTTCAAACTGACGGGAAACTCAAATATTTAAATATCGTATTAAAAGCTTTTGTGTTAATCGTATGTTCCCTTACAGTTCAAAAATTCAAGAACTTTTACCCCGGATAACAGCTGAAACTCTTATTGAAAGATAAACAATATCGCTGACCTGGTTACTCCCCTAATCCTGAAAGAAAAGAATAATATTTTAATTTGCGCTTTACCAATTCAGATTACTTTCATCACTCTAAATCAACGCTAATTTTTACTTTCTTTGCTTTTTATTCGATTTTTCAATAATTCTGTGCCCCTTCTTAATGGAAATTTTTAAAGCTGGGAAGGGCACAGAATATTTGAACAATCTAATATATATAAACACTATTAGTGATACTATTAGACTGTTCAAATAATTTTGTGCTCTTTCTCAAAGCAAATTTTTTGGTTAGGGATCTCAGAATTATTTGAACTACCGAATAATCGATCAAAAATACAGTATGATCCTGAAAAACCTTTAAGAGTTGACTATTACTTTGCAGTAAAAGTAGAAAAAGCAGCAGCAACTTCTAAAAGCTGTCACAAAATGTGGATGCGAGTGAAAGTTTAACAACCAAATCCAGAAACAAAGCGCGGTATTAAGGAAGTGGACCGTGAGGGTAACTTGATGACAGTGAAAAGAACGAGTTGTTTTAAGTAACTCTTCGTTTTTTCGAAGCGCAAGTATTATATGCTAAAGATAAAATCAGCGTATGTTAACATTGTATATCTGATGGTGTGAAGCTGATCCCGAAAAGTGGTTGTTTTGGATGTTTTTTGTTTTGAAAAAGTTGATTTAACCAAAGTAAAAATAATTTTACTATCATAGTTAAAGTTAGGGCTAAAGTAACGAATACGCTACGACTAAGACTAGATTTAGAATTGAGACAAATCTCTAGGGATAGGGCCAAAACTAGGACTTTGGGCTAGGGCTCTGGGATGAAACATAGGGTAAAGCGAAGGCTAAAAGTTGGGCTCTGGGCTAGGATTCTATGCTAGGGCTCTAAGCTAAGGCTTTGGGCTAGGGCTCTGGGCTAGGGCTCTGGGCTAGGGCTCTGGGCTAGGGCTCTGGGCTAGGACTCTAGGCTAGGGCTCTGAGGTAAAATCTAGGCTTAAGCTAAGGTTAAAATTAAGGTCTAGGCTAGAATTCTGGGCTAAAGTTAGGGCTAAAACTAAGACTCTGGCTAGGATTTTGGGCTAGGGCTCTGGGCTAAGGCTCTAGGCTAGGGCTCTGGGTTAGGGCTCTGGGCTAGGGATCTGGGCTAAGGCTCTTTGCTAGGGCTCTGCGCTAGAGTTCTAAGCTAGGGATCTATGCTAGAGCTACAGCTAGAGCTTTTGATAATGATAACTTAGTTATGAAGTGATCGTTTTATCAAAAATGACACTAATCTGAAAAATTGAGTATAGCAAATAAAAATCATCAGTATGCTGCGACAAATTAATTAGCAACAGAATGTCATGACATGTCTAAACAGTAGTATAACATAACAACAAAAACAGCTTTGAATTGCGACAAAACAACTTTCATTTTGCGAAAAACCTTTAATCGCTTTAATTTGTAGCATTCTGAAAAAGTGGTCATTCAATGTGAAAAAACGGTCATAGTAAATAAAGGAAACGCCAAGATGTCATACGATAATTGACATTCGTATGACATTCGGTCTCGGCGGAATTACTATATATGCAAATTAGGCCCGATAGTGGGCCGTAGATGACTTTCCTATTTCTGGTCTGGCCCGCTAAAAATAACTGACACGTAAATGCTTTGAGTATGTTATGACAGCATTAATGATACTTTAAAAGACCTTTAAAGACATACAAAAGAATTATATTATAGTAGACCCTTGTTATTTATAGTATCAACTTGTTCAAATAATTCTGTGCCTCTCTTCAAAGAAAATTTTGTTAGTTAGAGAGCACAGAATTATCCGAACGACCTAATATTATAACATATATCTACTACAATATAATTTTTTGGATTTTAAAGCAATAAGTCAATCAATATAGCCTAGAGACACTTAATTTGGTCATTATTTTTATAATAGGTATGAAATCCTTGACACATCTGAACAAACATTATCAGACAATAGTATTCACGTTTCAATATACAATAACTATTGCAATCAAAATTGTACAGCAATGTGTAAGGCTTAAGTAAATATTAGTCTTTGTAAATATAGATGGAAACGTAGGCCAATGGTTTAAAATTATTTTCTCAAATTTTCAAAATAAAACTAAAACAGTATGAATCGCCTGTGAACAAAATTGCCATTACTTCTATATTTTAGAATTACAAGAAAAAACTAGCCTAAAAAGTAATTAAAATTTTAGATTATTATATACATATATGCATATTATAATACCAAAGAAAGTACCCGATCTGCCCTGCTCTGTCTAAGTTCAAACTTTTTATACGAAAAGATCATGTATAATAAATACAAGACCTTCAGAGTTCAGAGAAGTACTAAAGCGCGCCTCCCAGTCAATCTCGAGAAAATCAAGATTAAAAACTTACGATTTGAAGTTCCTGCCAAATTGGCAATGTGTTTCAAGCTTATAAATTTGTCATTTTTTGACTTTTCATCATTTTTCATTAATATACTGTTAGAAAACCTTTAAATAAACCTACTTTTTTAAATTTTTAAGCGTGGTTTGGCTGCAAAGCTAAAAAATTGCTTGAAACACAATGCCAAAGTTGCCAAATTGACGGGAATGTCAAGCATTAAACTTTTAAAACAAAAAAGAATCACAGTTTATGAAAAGCCTTTCAAGACAAAAATAAAGGTCGAAAAAGTAACATGTCTTTTTCATAATGAAGTCTGAAGGTATTGTTAGGACACCTATTGTTTTACCTTTCTATTCAAATTTTAAGACAGGAGTTAGTGTAAACAATAATTTATAAATTATAATAACATACCTAAAGGTGGCTAAAATAACACGTTTTTTTTACAAAAAAGCAGTGTTACAATATCAAAAAAGTATTGTCGTAAATTTATGTTTGTTTGCACGTTCAAAAACGACAAGACTTCTAGTTAGTTGGTATATGAATAGAAAATGTAATTTTTAATGTTTGTAACTTAAAGCTTAGTAGTCTAGAACGGTTGTGGCTTAGTCAGTTGTGGCACCGACCAATAAAGCACCAAACTCAGGTTTGACCTCTTTGCTCCGCCTGGCCCAGATTCATTTGTAAATTACAAATCAATAGGTAGTTATAAGTGCACGAAGACTACAGCGTGCGCCAAATGACATCTAAATACAGGCATACGGTAGACAATGAAGACTTAACTTTTATGATTATACAATAAAAAAACCCGAAGAATAAGCTAAAATAAAAAATTTCAAATAATTTAACCGCAACATAGAGAAAACGACCGGTAAAGATTTGTAACAGAACTTTTGGCGCACCCTTATAGCAAGTTGCTTGGACTACACAGGCTTACAACTACATTCTGAAGTCTTGAGGAGCACCTCATCACGACTCAGTAGCTCGAGAAACAGAATCACCCGGATGAGATCAAATTGAAAACAATTACAATGGATTGAACGTATAAACTAAGAATCCCCTCCAGAACCCCAACCCAAACTTCGTAAAGTAGAAACTTTTCTCAAACAAAACAAAACGCATTAAATGCCGCTAAAGTTGAGAATCCCGACTTATGAGCGGAGAAAAGGAATTTCGACAAATTAAATTTCCTCAATTTGCATATTCCGCGGTAAGAGCGAATTAATGAACAAAGTTGGATTCGGAAAGGGTTTCAAGACGAAATGGAACTGTTTGTTTACCTTTATTACTTCGCTTTACAACAGTCGACTTGAGAAATGGCAGTAAAGTGAGAAGACTATAGAAGAGGAAAGACGTTCTTCTTACTAAGAATCATAAACCTTGGTGAAATATAAGGTTTACAGTGGTTTGTAGTGAAATAGAGTTTACAGAGAGTTACATTGAAGTATAGGGTTTACAGTAGTTTGCAGTTAAATATAGAGTTCACAGTGGTTTACTATGGTTTAATGTTGTCAGTGGGAATCCAAAACTAAAAAAAAATTAAGAAATGGTTAAAAAAGCATTGTCAAACAGCTCAAACAACAATTGAAAAGTTATTATATACGGTACAAAGTCAAGAAAACAAGCTATATATTGACATTGTTATTGATTCTTTTTTTAATTCATAAAAGATTGAAACATTCATCCAAAAAGGAAAAATTCGTCGAAAAAGTTAATTTCAGAACAATGCTTTGATGTGAGATGACTAAACTGCCATACAATAATACAACATATCACAAATACAAACCTTAGGAGAATAATATAAATATTAGAACAAAAAAAAGATTTTCGCGTTTTAACAGGGCTTTAGAAATTTTAATACATAAAACTTTTTCTTGACTTTACTAATAAAACCTACTCTTTTTTAAATTGATAAGTAAAATCGAATAGGTCTAACAGGTCCATGAACGAGTATATCGTTGTCAATATCTATAGTGAAGAGTAAAATATGAAATAAAAAACTAATAATATGACACTTACTTTTATCAGTTACTAGAAATTTAAAAAATTTGTTACAAATTCAAGATCAAAAGCCCTGAATCAAGAAAAAGGTAACATAAAACAAATCAATTAAAATGGCCATTAACCATCAACTATGCCTCAAGTAGATTCGTCAAAATAACATCAAAAGAGGTTGAACAAACACTTTTATAACATGATCATAGGTATGTTTGACCGTTCAGTTCGATCAACATTTTTTGAAGTGTGATCGAGGCTTTAATTGTAAGAGAGAATCAAATTGATAGCAAATTTTAAGACCTAACTTTGAGCCTGAGCTTGAGTCTGCATCTGAACATAAACCTAAACTACAGCTTTATCTTAAGCTTGAGGTGAGCTCGCGCTTCACGGTGAGTCTAAACTTGAGCCTAAGCTTGAGCCGGAGCCTGAGCCTGAGTCAGAGCCAGAGCCAAAGCCAAGCCAGAGCCAAGGTCTGAGTTTGAGCCTGAGCCAAAAAAAGCTTATACTTTACATAGATCAAAATATTTTTCCTCCCTTATCTACCCTAAAATGTGATACCATAATATTTTGTCCAATAGCGTGGAGTAAACGTCCTAAATAACCTTATTAAAAATGAAAACATAAAATTTTAAAAACTTCAAAATCGTGCAGTTTTTAAAAGTATAGGAGGGGGACGTTCATGAAAAGTAAAAAGAAAACATAAAGAAAAGATCTTGCCAAATTTTTGGTCAAACAAATCAAAACTTCTGAAAATGACGGGAATTGAAACTGAAAACCTGTCAAATTTCACTTTTCTCTTTTCAAATTATTTTTATAATTTGGTTAAAGAAGGGAGGGGGAGGAAAGGCATCGTCTTACTGTGTCTTATGCGATTGACAAGACGTATAAACGTAGTTTTAAAAATTTATCCTAACAGGTACTAACTATATTAGTATTTTTTTTGAATAGTACTTTATATAGAAGGTATATAGTACACAGTAGATTATATAAAAGATACTACACAGCCCTTTATATAAAAGATATTAAACAATAATTGAGATGAGAGCTACCAACCAGTAGTTTATGTGTAAGATACAAAACAGTATTTTATATATGAGGTATTGAATAGTACTTTATGTAGAAGATACTAAACAGTAATTCTTTATATAGAAAGTACTATAAGCAGTACCTGTTTACCTAAACAAAAAGGTCTTGTTGTTGTTGTCAAGTCCAATACAACTTTAAGAAACAACACTTTTACCTGAACAACAATCCTAATCTACGATGATAATGTTGCACTTTTGAGCGTCTTAAATAGCGTAATCGCGCTGTAGGTGGTAACAGCAAAACAAGCGAAGCAATTACAAAAAACATTGTCAATCTGTAGAGCTTAACGTGTCAGAACAAACGAGCTACTGCAGAAAGCGACAATTACATGCAATTTTCTTAACCTTTAGGCAATTAGACAAAATATGCTACAAGAAGAACGTTGTTGCTACATTAGTTTTTTTTGTAAAGTAGTTTATAGTACTTAAAGCAAGCGTAGCTGAAGGGTATAATAGGGCTATAGATAAGAGTAAAGTACAAAACTAAATCAAGGCTAACTCTCAGGCTCAAGCTCAAGGTAAACCTCAAGGTAAACCTCAAGCTCAGACTCAGCTTTAGGTTCAGACTCAAGTTCAAGGTGAGGCTCAAGCTCAAGCTTAAGGTCAGGATAAAGCCGTAGCTCAGAGCTTATGCTCAGATTCACGCCCTAGCTCAGGCTCAAGCGCAGGCTTAGGCTCAAGCTCAAGTTTAAGCTCAAACTCAAACTCAAGTATTAGCTCTAGATTGAGATCATGCTCAGGCTAAAGCTAAAGGCAGTGCAACATTAGAGCTTGTAAAGATATGAATAATGCCAAAGAAAAACCAAAATGTTTAAAAAAAACGTAGGTTTTTGTTAAATAACATAAACCCTAGATGACCCTTGCTTAAATTTTGTTTGGCACATATATTATAATGTAACTTGCTATACAAATTCAAAATTTTAAAACAATTTATCAACTATAAATTAACACAACATACAACCTTATATTATAATACAATCTGAATAAAGCCTTCGTCATTTGCAGCCCAACCTAATGACTATTAAAAACAAAAACAAGTTTCTTTTCCGCAAAATCCAATAACAAGATATCCAAAATTTAATTATTGTAATGTTTTGTTTGTTTACTGAGTGCTTTTACTAGCGTTTTATCTTTTTACAATTGAGCAATATCATAACAGACAACAACATGAACCCATTTGTGTTGCCTGCGGCTTCGAATCCATCGTACTACCGGTCGAGGCCACCATTAAAGCTTCGTCGAACACTCGTTTGAGGCCACGCAGAGTGAGGGCTGAGCAGGTGAGGACGCGGTTACAACCGATCTGAAAACTTGAGTATGAAAACTATGTTTTAGGTCTTCAAAATTAGTACTAAACAAAAACAAAAAATTGAAAAATTTGACTTGTTTTGTTTTTTGGTACTAAATAGTACTATAATTTAAAAATAATCAAATTGTATTATTTATAGTACCCAATAGTTCTAATTAATACAATTTTCAACAAAATAAAAAATTTTGTTTTGTATGGTATTAAATAGTACTATAACTAAAGAAAATCATCTGTAGTACCCAATAGTACTAAATAGTACTAAATTTTCAAAAATATAAAAATAATTTACAAAATGCGTCATAACATGTTCCTTGTGTCTTCATTAAATCAAAATTTTCATAAAAATCCTGGAATTTTTTATGGTTTCAAAAAAGCCATTTTAACAGCGTCAAACGAAGAGAAGAATAATATAATTTAGTCAGAACCAGGTCAAACACAACGAAAAGGTCAACAACATTATGTATAAATAATTAGAACTCAATGTTTTTTGAATTGAATCAGATTTTAGGTTTAAAAATTTAAATTTAAAATAGATATTTAAGTTCCCCCCCCTTCCCCTTCTCCGTAAAAAACAGTAGCCTTAGCCCTACATATCTCTCCCTTTTCCAACAAAAATCTACTTTAATCTTAAAAAACTCACCTCATGGGCCACCCTCAAAGCCTGTTTCCTATCAATCCTCTTGTCCAAAGGAGCCTTCTCAACCAGATCCTCTTTAATACCGACCAGTATGACCGGTGCTTGAGTGTACCGTCTTATCTCCGGAATCCACCTTCTTCTACACGAATCCAAAGACAGTGGATCGATTAGTGAAAAGCATAGTAAAATGACATCAGCCTGAGGATATGACAAGGTCCGTAGCTTGACCAGCTTCTCTTGGGTCGAACCGGTCGTGTCGAATAGGTTTAGACTGACTTTTCGCCGGTCCAGGATAACGCTAGCCGAGTAGTTTTGAAAGACTGTAGGCTCATAATCCTCGATGAATGTTTGTTGTGTGTAAGCGAATATCAAACTGAAATATGGTTCCTGTGATTATTCATAGTAATCGATTATGATCTTTTATATTTTGATCTGTTTTAGAAGTCAGAAAGTTTGGTGCACTATTTTGTCTAGAATTTCAAAATATTTCAAGTTATGTACAGTGACAAACATTTAAAAACTTTAAAATATCACGCTTAAAGCCTCAATGTTTTCAAAATTAGTAAAACCCATAACTTTATTGACAAAAAATTTTATAACAGAAAATATGTTGTGCCATCCAACAGAATAGAGCAAAACTTAATGAACTTGTGAGGCAAGGGCTTTTGGGACAAGAAACTTTCAGGCGATGATAAGAATTAGTCATTTCGCATAAAAATATAAATTTTTACTTAAAAACCCTAGGGAAAACAGTAACACTTGAAATGTTTTGAAATTGTTCTAAAAATTTCCGCCTCAAAAAGTCCCTGCTCCAAAAAGTTGCTGACTCCATTTTACAAACCGCCCAAAAGTTAGAAACCTTATTTGGTCTAAAACAAATAAACAGTGGTCAGTAGAAGCCATAAAAATTATCAAAAACTTCTTTACGTCAATTGCAAACAATATTATCAGCTTTGAACTATAATACAGGGTGTCCCAAGATTTTTGCGGAAAAGTAAAAGCTTGTTTCTCGAAAAGTACCAGTCCAAATTGGACGATTCTTTTTTTAGTACACTTGAAATTGCGGGCGGATTTGGTATTGGTACTTCGTTTTTTGATATTCGGCGGATGGTCGGCGGAGGCTACTTTTTTGCTTTGACCAATCCAAAACCTTCATTTTTTGGTTCCTATGTCACAAAAATTGACCAAGATACGGCCTTCGCCGATTTTCTCCGCCGATCGTCCGCCGATGAAATTTTTTGAACTGTAAACTTGATTAAATGTATTAAACAGCTTAAAATAACATTTCCATTTTTTGTCCGGTGAAAAAATATTGAGTTTGAGCGGAGTTATGGCCTTCGCCGTTTTTCTCCGCCGGTCGTCCGCCGATGCAGGGAAAGACATGTTTTGATTGGAAAGCGTTTTGACGAATCAGCAGGTGACATAGGAACCAAAAAATGAAGGTTTTGGATTGGTCAAAGCAAAAAAGTAGCCTCCGCCGGCCTCCGCCGAACATCCGCCGAATATCAAAAAACGAAGTACCAATACCAAATCCGCCCGCAATTTCAAGTGTACTAAAAAAAGAATCGTCCAATTTGGACTGGTACTTTTCGAGAAACAAGCTTTTACTTTTCCGCAAAAATCTTGGGACACCCTGTAGTTTAGTCAAAAATAAACTTTACCCTACCCTCCACCGACCATACTCTGGTCTTTCCTACTGCCCTTTACAGTGTACCCTATCTTTCTTTATCAACAGTGCCTTAGCTTATCCTACTCTACCCAGTTTTACCCTACTTTAAAGTTATTTTCAAAAAAGTTTTTACATAAAACACATGTTGTTATTGATAAAACCTTACCTTGTTTTGCCGACGAAAGAGTCCCCCACAACCACAATTTTGACGCCTTTGTCGAAACTCATGTACTTGACGTCTTGTTGACCATTATCTAAAACCCATTCACAGCCCGGTTGAAAAGATACAACAATATAATAGTACAAACTTTAACAAACGTCGAAACCCTGAGTTGTTCTGAAAAAAATCAAGTTTATTATAAACTGTTGGCTGTATTTTTTCCTTATATCAAAGTTGGCTTTAACGAGATACCACGGTAATATAAGTAGTCTAAAACGGTCAAGGTAAACTTAAAATTGTTGTATATTGATAAAAAAAAGTCTTGTCGTTTTTAGACTATGTTTCCTACGTTTAAAGGCGACAAGATTTTTTGTGTCACAAATACAATTTATACTATTATACATATATTATAGTAACATATAACATTACATTCATGTAAACTTCCGAAACCCGTAAAAACCAAAAGCAACACCCAAAACTCCCAAAAAGAAACACAATGAAACCCTCAGAATCCGTTTCCATGTTCAGGTCGTACGAGATTCGGAAAGACGGAAACAATCAGACCGTACGGGTCAAGACACGTCAGATCTGAGGTGCGATGAAGACGTGAAGGGAGAATCACATTCTCGAAGATGAAAAGGGCTCTTCGAACCGGCTCACTCGAAACGAATATTCATGAATTTCGACAAAAAACCCGATCGTACGAATGCCGGAGGAAATGTGACCTCCATTGCGCAATAAAGATTTTAAATTAAAATTTTGATGAGAGTATGAATCGGATTTAGAAATTTGATTTGGATTTAGAAATTTAATTCGAATTCGAAATTTGATGTAATTTTCAAAAAATTTAATGAAAATTTCAAAAAATTAGCTTGAAATCGAAAAAATTGGTTCGAAATTTTTTAGCGAATTAAAATGAGAAAAAGGGGTGGAAAATGTAATTAAAAGCTTTAATCATTGATTTAGTGATTAGTTTTGGAATGACGTCATATTGCTGAAGAAGAATGGTAAAAGGAATGTTTTTGACTTTTAAAGTTCGAACAATTTTAAAAGTGCTACCTAAAATATTATAAGGTACCGTTGAATCTTAGTAAACCAGTTTGCATGCCAAAAGTAAGTGGTAAATTGGAAAAATAACCACGAAAAACACAAAAAAAGGAATTTTTCAAAAAAAAATACAAAATAAATTTTTCCAAAAAAAAATTGTGAAAAAACGTGAATTTGGTCCCCCCTGTTGTTAAAAAATTAAAAAAATTGTTTTTAAATTTTTTGACCAAAAACAATTTTACCAGCTCTGATTACAAGTACTAGCTATAAAAACTTCATATATTTCCATAAAAAATAATATTTTAAATCATGTTGACAAATTGTTCACAAGATCCAACCACAACAACTTACAAACCCCAAAAACCTTGTTTTCAGCCAGAAAAGTTGAGTTTAAACGATTACTAATAACGCAAAAACACAAAAAGTAATAAACAGCTTTCAGAAGCATTAAAACAAAAAAAATCCGCGTACAACAAAGTGGTCGGGAACGTCGGTTAAACCGCTTACTTCCTCTCAAATCACAACACTTTGGGGGTATTTGCTTGAAAATCGAATTTTTACCATAGTAATCGTTGACGTAGGAAAATTGGAGGCTAAAGGCCTGATTTTATACGTATTTTTGGTAGTTGACAACAATTTTTTAAACCATATTAGCCTTAAAAATCAACAATATCTTCACCAAAACTCAATTAAAACCCTTAGCACCCCCCTAATCAAAAAAAATAAAAAACCAACGTTTGAACCCCCCCCAACCACTAATTTAAACAAGTTTAAGCAATGCTTGAAAACGATGATTTCAGAGTGACCAAGTTTGTTTGCCTGAACCCCGTCCAAACCTTGTTCCACTTTCACCCGCCTGACCTCGTTTTGCAGCACCGTCTCGAGGCTGTGAGGTCAGTCGAATATTCACCTTGGTAATAACCACTTTCACTCTGTTTGTTTTTCTTTTCCCGTCTCTGTGGTTACAACGATATTTTGTAGTTTTGTGTTGTGAAGGTATTGGTTGGGATTTGAGGTTTTAAATCTGATACTACTATTGATACTTTAAGGAGTTTTGGTTGATATTGAAGGTAGTATGATAAAAGTAATTTTAGGTGTTTATAGCTTAACATAAAGGTTTTTCTAAAGCTGATTGTGAGCCAAAAAGTCAATGTTTCAAAATTTTATTACATGTAAATTTCAAATATTATTATAGCAAGTTCAAAACCATCAATGCCTAACGTGCAGTAACTTTCAAATTCACGCCATCTAAAGGCCTGTACAGTACAGCCATGATCCCACAAGCCAACTCTTTGTCCTGCAGCTCCTTCCCCAGCTCAAACTTGAAGTTGAGTACCAAAGCAGCCAATGCTGACTTGTACTCAAGCTCAGCAAACCTCATTCCAACACAATTCCTTGGCCCAATCCCAAATGGCATCCATGTCAGATTGTCCACATGATTATTGATGGCCAAAAACCTGTTTGGATCGAATTTCAGCGGATCTGGCCAATACTCTGGATTGTAGTGAGTAAGATGTACTGGACATTGTACACAAACCCCCTTCTTGAACTTGATTCCCTTGATCTCACAGTCTTCCACACACTCTCTGGTTGTGAAGAATACGACCGGAGGATATCTTCGCAGAGACTCCATCATAACAGCCTCTAAATACGGTAATTTCATTAAAGCATCGTATGTTATATCAGTGTGAAAGTTAAAATTATCTGTCAGTTCATCGTATAAAGTCTGTTGAACTTCTGGGTTCTTGGCCAAAGCATATAAGCCAAATGATAAGGCCGTACTAGTGGTTTCATAGCCAGCCAATAAGAAGGCATAGCAGTTAGAAACGATAGTCTCGTCACTCAACGGAGGCTTCTGTAATGTGTAGAGTGTGAGGTGATAAAATATTAATGTTATGGGGTTGGGAAAATGTAATTATTTTCATAAGATGTGTGTCTATATTGCTTTTTCTGCATAAATTAAGAAAATTAGATATGATTATCAAGTGTAATATAAGTTCAAAAAGTTCAAAACTTCATATTTTTACCGTACCTTACCGGACCCTACTCTACCCTACATTGCCTTACCCTACCGTGCCATTAACTACTAAAAACATCCCTACCCTTACCTTCTGTGACCGCTGCCGTTCCCTGTCCTGTTCTAACATTAGACTGATCAAATCCTTTCGATTGTCACTGTCACTTCCAAACGTCCTCTTCCTTCTCTCAACAACTTCCTTTAGTCCATCTAACAGTACTTTTTCAGTCTTTCCTTCTCTTGTCCATGGCCTGATAAACTGGCCAATCTTTGGTGAAAAAAAGCCAACTAACATACCAACTGATTCTTCCAGGTTTATCGAGTTGAAGAATTTCTGGGCATTGATGTAGAACTTGTCAGTTTTATCCTTGATACATTCAGTTTCCATGCCAAAGGCACAGCGACCTATTACGTCTAACGACAAGGCTTGGAGCTCACTGAAAGTAAAAAATATGTTGTAAGAGTTACATAGTATTATTCATGTAATTTTGAGAATTTTTAAGTTCAGATCGTAGCTCATGATCTCATTTTTAGACAGTTTATTATCCATCATGTTTCTAATATAAAATTTATACTTACTTGTACATTTCAATATCATTTTCTTCTGAACTTGTCATACCTTTTAAATGTTCTACAAAGGCATTCACACGCTCTTCCATGATTGGAAACATCTAAAAGTTGCCTTTTGTATAAATTAACAGTGTAACCTATAATTTAAAACATATATATGCTTTAAAATTAAGTTTTACAGACCTATTAGGTCGTTCAAATAATTCTGTGCTCCTTTTTCAAAGCAATTTTTAAAGATTAGGAGCACAGAATTAACTAAACAGCTCCAAAGAAAACAGTAGTACGCGTTTTAAATTAAGTTTTACACATAAAAAACTTACAGCCTTGAGTTTTCCAGTAGTAAAAATAGGCGATATAACTGATCGTATATCTTTCCAGCCATACCCTTTTCCTGGACCCTCTCTGGTCATTTGTAATATGTTCTCATTCATTGGATATCCACCACCAAAGTGTTGGGTCTAAAATAATCAAGCGTTTTCACAAAAAGATTTGTATAAACATGCGCCAAAATGAAATGATATAACTTACCGGTCGATTAACAAACTTTGAAAACTGTTTAATGAAGACTTCATTGATAATGTCCAAATCTGTTGTGGTGACTTCAAAGTGTTGTCCAAGGTACATACCCACCACATCTCCGTATTGCTTTGCCATACGAAATCTCATATTGATACTATCTTCTTTACCGTTCTAAAACATACATATAGTCCAACTACTATATATATGTAGTACGTATAGCCTAAGTACTAGATAGTTCATATAGCCCAACTACCTTATAGCATTTCTAGTCCAAACGCTATATATTACATATTGCCAAAGTACTATATGGTAAATATGTCCAAGTACTACATAGTATACCAAAATAATTTTTGACCCTATATACAAGTACAAAACAAGCACTGAATTAAACATCACTAATACTGTAAGAATGAAATTTTTAACAAGATACACAGCTTAAAAAAAGGTTACCTTCTTCATATCATTGAGAATATAATTGACATTACCAAGCGGAAACTGAGTTGGTGGGCCAGGTATGCCCATCTTGTCTCTCAATTTGAAAAACTGAATTCTGTCCCTAAAGGAAACTCTTTTTTAATTTAAAAATGAAATATTGTAACATCTTTAAAATTAATATTTTGGTGTTACAAACTCAAGATTAAAACTATATATCACATAGAATACTACACACTCTATATAACTGCATATAGATCACTTCTGCCAAGTTTTCCCACTTTTTATGTATTATATAAACTCACCATGACCATTTCACAATAAGAATAACAAATGCAACCAGTATCAAACTTAACATTTCGGAGTGATAACTGAAAATAATTGATTTACTACATTAACCCAATAACCATAACAACGAAAAAATGATAATTCACGTGGTACGTCAAAACTTATCGAGTAAAGAAAAAATACAATAAATAAAATATTACAAATTTTATTTTTTTCGCATAAGATACAAGAAATAATTAAAAAATAATAAAAACCATAAACATAAACTAATATTTAGTCTCCAAAACCTCAAAATAACCTCAATGTCAACTTTCATAACTCTAGATAAGATAAGATGAAAAATACCAAAAAACAAATTTTTGGTTTTTAAATTAAAATGTACTTAATACATTGTATGCGGTAAATTCAATAATGTAAACGTTAAGTAAAACTGTTCTGTCAAGTTCTTAACAAAATAATGTAAAACTGTTCTGAAGGTTTAATTCAAGCTATGTTCAGAGAACATTTTAATCGAGAGAATGCCCAAATTCATTCGGGGTTGGCTACAAAACATAAAATATTTACAACAAGGCACAAACAACATGACGAAACATATCAAATACAAGGCTTGTTGATTGAATGGTTTGTCCATAGGTTCAAAATATCAGCCATTATGTTGACGATACCAAGAGATTGCTTACTATGACCAACTTGCTTACTATAACGAAAACATTTTGTATAACGCAGTCAAAACCTAAAAATAGTGTAAATACGGATATAACTAATAATACAATTAAATTATTTATAATTATATTTTACTAACTTAACTATTTCTATTCATGCCTCATCAAGATATCACGGTGAACAAGTTTATTTAATCAAGAAACTTTCTACAAACTGGACCCGAGCCAAGAGATGCAATCAGATGACGGTGATGCTGATAGTATCCACGGCAATCGAGACAGTAGAAACGGTCCAGTAGAATGCACACACGCTCGCTACTCAACTTCTTTTGGCACACGAAGCACTAAAATGTAAGGTTATTATAATAGAATAGTTAAAATGTAAGATTATTAGAGTAAATTATATTTAAAAAAATATCAAGATGTTTTTTCCAAAAAAAGTATTGTAAAATGAATATTATTAAAAGTTTGTTACAAAAAAGTTGAGAAAAGTAAGAAGATGTACCTCAAAACAATCGTCACAAACCATCCGCTTCTTGCGTGAGACGGCTGGTTTTTCTGTAGTATAACAAGATTCGCATCGGTTAGTACTCATGGTATTGTGCTTCCAACCGGTAACCTAGATTGATGAATTTTAAAGGTGATTCTCAAACTATTCCCATAAAAATGACGTTTTATTTTTTGTGATTTTTATACAAAAACTGATCAGGTTCTTTTTTTATTTTGACATAAAACAAACTTTGTATATTTTATATCTTTCTTAGTAATACAGTACTCTCTTTGTATAAGCAACCCAAAGGAACCGACATTGTGTTTACTTTAGGGGGTCGTGTCTTTTCATAGTGATTTTTAGTGGAAATTCACTTAGCGGGGCTAAATCCCTTGTTTGCTATACAAGAAGAGTTGCTTATACAGATGGTTCACTAGAGAGACCCCTGTATTAAACAGTCATTTTCCTTTTTATTTTGAATAAATATTTATTACCCGTATAGTACAATATTATATTTTTAATATACAAAATAAGCTTTATGCCTTGAAAAATTCAAATGGTTGCATTTTCAAGTCACCCTCTTTATCAAAGTAGACAATATGTGTTGTGATGGTCGGTTGCTGGCTAATTTTTAAAGCTTTAGCCATCTTCGGTTCCGGAGAATAATACGCCCATCGCATATTATATCTAAAGTTTACTTGGGCTCCGTACAACCACTTCAAGCTATCAAACTTGTACACTCTGTTGTTGATCACTTCAGCACCTATCGCGTCCTAAAAACATGACATTGAATTGTAAATTGTAGATCTTTTTATGTTGATGGAGAGAATGAGGGGAAGTGAGCTCTTGTTTTAGCTTTAGAAAACCACGCTTTTTTAATTATATATCGACAAATTTCATTAGCAACATAAAGAAAAAAGTAAAACTTACAAATCCAAGTGATATAGTGTGCTTGTTGTAGTCTTCGTCAGCCATTTTAAAAAAATTCTTCTTGGTAATCCAACACCAACATCACGCTTTTGCCATTTTCGAAGTACTTCTTCATCCAAGCGATGGTATCGTAGTTTAAATTTAGTTGTTGGCCAACTTCTTCAAAAAATTGGTTAACAGCGGACATTGTTTTGAATATCTAAAAATTAATAGTTTAATAATTAAAGCAAAAGCGATAATTTATAACTAAAAAATACGAAAAAAGGCTTTATTAATTCATCCACACGCGTGTGCACACGTATAGTCTTAAGCCAACTTTGTGTTGCCGTGTTGACAGGGACTGTCGTCGCGTCTTATAACGCAGCTTTAAAAGCGTTTTTTTACTTTTTATTATTATTCAATGTTACATTTAACATATGGTGGTTTTGTTTATGTTTCGTGAATATAATATATTGATTTAATATCGATTATGTTATAGAAATAAATTACTCAAGTGTGCAGACGATCTTTTAAAATTAAAAAACTTTTATTGGCTAAACCCCGTGAAGTAAAGTATTGCAAATCAATATTAATGTTTGTTTAGTCATGTATGTTATGGATGTTCCATTTGCCATAACTCTTCGTTCTGCCTCGTTCTCAAGTATAATGCCAATTCGTCACTGTAGAATCCTCTGTTGCTAAACCATTCTAGTCCAGTCAACAGTTCAATGTCTCTGACTCTCGCTGTATGTCGGTACAGGTACTCTAGGGGTTGCTGAAAACAAATCAAATTGTTTAATTAGTTTTGCCATGCGTTGGCTACTTTGAGAAATTTTTCAATTTTTTTGATTGAAATAAGCTAGGTTTTTATTTTCAAGTTGGCTAGTCTGTAGCATGAAAAAAATTGTTTAGACTGAACCATCCTGAGACATCGGGGTTGTTGTATATACTTACTAAGCAGTTTAAGTCATATTCAAGTAACGGTAACAAGAACGACAGTACTCTTGTCGTCTCGGCTTCTTCACAGTAACGTCCACTTCTGTGCCATGCGCTTTTACATCGTAGTAAAATTATGAAAACATGTGTCGGCTGTTTCTTTGCTCTACAACAGGCTTTGTGATTATACGTACCCTTTTAGATGACACACGTCGTTTGTTGAATTGGATTTTATACTCCCAAAACATATATTAACAATTATCAAAAACGTCATTGCTTTTTATAGCACTTACATGTTTACTATTTGATCATACGAATCCTGCAGCCCATTATGGTCAACATCATAGACTGGCCCAGCAAACATGACCATGTTTTTGTAATGTCTCTGATACTTTAACAATAATGCCAAGAAGTCTTTCCAAATGCCCTTAACAAAGCCGGCTGGCGCAGGAATCTGTCCTTCAGCCAAGTATCGTGAGTAATCATTGTCATCGAACAATGTTATCCATGATGAGTTGGATGTTTGTTTCATTTCTTTGCTACAGTTGTTTACTGTTGGTATTACTGCAGTCGGGAATGTTCTAGAATCTCCCAAGTCTTCTTCATCGGAATTCTTTTTGACTTTGGTATCAAACTTGAGATGCACGGTACACGAAGCACGGTGATCAATGTGACGAACTTCCGCATTTAGTAGGCTTTCTACGAATTTCGCTTGTTCTAGGTCTTTGTCGAATACTAAAGTGGCATTACATATTCCAATAGTGCAGAGGGTAGCTGAGTCTGCCCATTCTTCTGGCACTTGCATACGGTCCAGACGGCTGCAGGCGGTCTTTTCCTCTGGTTCTGTTTGTATCTGAAGTTTAAATGAATCTACCGTTAAAAGTAAGTGTTTTAGGGAAGGACTAGGATAAAGCAAAGTCAAGACTAAACTAAAGCAAAGCTTACGGTTATGAAATATTAAAGAAAGTAAAGGGCAGGGCCTTTATAGTACAAGGACTAAATTAAAGTGTAAGTATTGATAAAATAGGGGTATGACAGAGCCCCGTTTACCTTGAAATGACATCCATCTCCGCAATTGGCCAGACTGACGCCGAAACATTCAGGTAGGTCGATTTGAGGTGAGTTTTCGTAAGTTGGAGGATTTTTCAAAATGTGATACAAAGAGCCACGAGTACCATTATTTGGGGCAGCTATTGGCAGTTGCATCAAGTCTGGAATTGAAGAATATTAATTTTTTTTTAAATTTTGCGGTAAAAAGTTTTTTAAATATTAGGTAGTTCAAATAATTTTGTGCTCCCTCATAAAGAAAATTTTGAAGCTCAGATTTTTTTGAACAATCTAGGTACTATAGTACATGTTACACTTACCCACAAAGAGATTGTAAAGTTCAACGTTCTGAAATGGTGCTATTTCCAAATTCTTCTTGATCGAAGGCCCATATGCTCCAAAGATGGCTCTCATCGGTTTCAAAGCAAAGTCATAGCCATGATCTCCACGTAACGTGCTCTTTGCTTCACGTTCTTTGTTTCTGAAACAATTGTTCTTCTTCAATGTTTTCGTGGCGGAACCTAATTTTACTGTTCAAATAATCATGCGCTACTCCCAAAATGTGCTTTGAGAGAGGGCACAGAATTATTTGAACAACCTAATAATTCTTCATAAAAATTTTGAAAATTTGCATAATGTACTCACTTATAGATAATGTGTCCAATAGAAGATTCTAAAATAACATCGCCAACTCTTGGTGTTGACGCATAGTGATATCTTTTAGGTAAGGTATCAGGTGTGTGTACGTAATAGTATTCTCCTTTTTTACATCGAAATGGGTTTATCTTCTCTGTGATGTTAACGTAGCCTAAAATAATGGTTTTAAAATTAGAAAAAACACCTAAAATCAAAACAAAAAACTTCTTTAATTTTTTTTTCAAATACGATTTTATACAAAAACTATGATATGTCTTACTTTTGTCCCTCCAATAAAGATGGCTGATAACCCCATCAGTAGCAATGATATTATCATCCTCTACATCAATATAATCGTCCATTTTGATGTTCTCCTGTCTTAGTTTCTGCATTCCATGATCTGATAGTAGTACAATATTAACACAGCCTAAATATCCTTTACGGTCCAGTCGTGACAATAAGTAGTTCACCATAGCATCAATGTTGATCAGAGCTGTTTGTATTGTATCTGCATCTGTGCCATTGTTATGACCAACTCCATCAGGTTGTTCAAAGTACATACTCAGGAAATAGGGACGCTCGTCGTCTGGGAGCTCTAGCCATTCGATTATCTGGAATAAGTTGTAGGTAATAGAGTTATATTGTAATAGGTAGGAGTTTGGTAACTTTTGAGTGTAATATGCTCTGCATACAGATAAAGATATTTACTTTTTGACTTTAATAAAGGTCTTCATTGTACTTTATTGACCATTTTTTAGACTCAACTAGGACTTTTTTTACAAATTTACCTAACTAGGACCTTTTCACAAATTTGATAATTTTTAGTTTTTTGATATTGTAGTAGTCAAGTTTTTAATTTTATTTACTTCAACTATACAAAAAGGCATTATTTATATTATTTTATTAGTTCGCTCCGATAGTAACATCTAGACCCATTAGGAAACAAGCCACAGTGCTTTGTGCCATACGACGCTGAAGGATCGCTTTGCCAAAGGCTGATAGGTAGGATTCGTTGGCGTTTGGTGCCATATCCATTAGATACACCGTGATGAACATTGAGATCTAGAACATCAATTGATAAGAAATTTTTATATGTTATAATTTGAAAACAGAGGCTAGATTAGAGTAACGTATAAGAGGCAGCGAAAAATGGGGTACGTGGTAGGATAAGGCAGGATAATGCATAGTAAGAGTAGCGGAAGATAAGCAAGACATTTTAGGGTAACGTAAGGTAGGGTAGGGTAGGGTAGGGTAAGGTAGGGTAGGGTAGAGTAGGGTAGGTTAAGATAGGGTAGGGTAAAGTAGGGTAGGGTAGGGTAGCGTAAAGTAGATTATTGTAGGGTAGGGCAGAGCAACATAAAGTAGAATAAACCTCTAAAAACGTGGACCTACCGGTGTTTTCTCCAAGATGTTATTCTGAATCTCAGGTGGAATGTACTGTTTAGCATCGTCCAACTCTGGCGTGCACATTTCCGTCTCAATGTCGTATAGTCCAGGCTGCATAACATCACATTTACATGTTTCATCCAGAGACTCGGTCTTTTTTTTTAATGGAGATTCCGTCACGGTGATCCTGGACTGCTGACTCTTCATCTGGCGACAGAAGTCACAAAACACACTAAAATACAAAAATGAAAGCTAAAATATAGACTAAACTACATAAAAGACATAGCCAAAAAGCCACGCCTGACTCAAGAACAATATGACTTACCAAGACCCCTCAGTTTTGGCACAAGGACACTGATTAACCTTATCATCGATCTTCTTCGAGCAAGGCAAAGTCGGGTTGTTGGGGTCGGGAGTTCCTCCGATTCTCATTTCCACCTCAGCAATCAGATTCCTGATCGGCTTCATGATTTCCACGCCTTCTGCCTTGATTTTCACGCAGCCCGGGATCACCGGATTCTTCGGAATCAACTGTATTTTGTCCGGATTGAAGCGAATATGTGGTCGATACTTGCTCAGCTCGATTCCTCGTCGACTTAGGTAGACTGAAATGGGGCTGGTCTAGCAAAAAATTTTCAAAAATTAAAATTGAGGTCAAATGAAGGTAAAAGAAGGTTAAAACTAAGAAAAACTAAGCCATTCAAGTTGATAATCAGCCGATAAACTGATTCAAAGCAAAAAATCATCCTTAACACAGCTTACAAGCCTATCCTATCAAAAGATTTGTATAAATAGTAGCGTAAAACTATTTTTAACTAATAAAAAACACAATTATCTATGTTAACATAGACCAGTCTCCTCAAAATAATCCACCAAAAACCACTTACTCGGACTGCACTGTCCAGACACCCGGATGTTGACCTCGGCCTTGTCCTCCGCCACTATGGCCACTATTAATCCAAGTAGAACAACAAACACGTTCAGAAGGGTCATTCTAAACTCGGAAAACGTAAAATTCGAAAAAAACTGGATCTGGAGGATAATAAAAATGGTCAGTGAACCGAGGACGAGATAAAAAGTGCGCGGATCAGCCCTTTTTTCTGTAAAAAAGGTGAAAAGATGATAGCTGGGAGATCGTAAACTCGTATTTCACGGTGATCCTATCACCGATTGTGACATTGAACAGCGTGAAACTTTACAAAATGGTTAGAGTTATAAGGTTATTGAGAGAGGCTTGTTGATATAACGGTAGGTTTTTGATAAACTAGGTAACCCTTTCAAGATTTTTGATTAAAAATGGTAATAATAATTATAAACTATAGTAATAAGTAATAAAGTAGACCATATAATGCCATGTTTTACTAGATTTACAGAGTAAAACTTTCTGCTACATAACACAATTTTAAAAAATGACATAGCCAAGGCCCGAAGAGCTCTAAAGAGACATGAAGGACCCTACCTTAACCTACGTTACCCAACCAAATATTATAAAAATGTTAAATTTCACAAAATATAGCTAAAATGTCACGTTCATAAGCAAAATGATGAAAAAGCTTGTCATTCGCAAAACTTCAGTCAATAAATAGTAAGAAAAGCATCTCGAAATGACTAGTAATTTCATTGTGAGTCACGGTAATGTCATACTTTTATAAAAAAAAAGAAAAACAATGACATAAGTTACACGAGAAAGTGAGTAATAGCGACATATTTTTATGTAGATGTGAGTAATCAAAAAGGTAGCTTTAGGTATAAAGAAACCACAAAATTTAGATTTTTGGAATATCTTATTTTGCAGAAATTCAATATTTAAAAAAGCCTTAGAAAAATGCACCAGATATCTCTCGGCTTTTGGAACGATACCTATATATAATGAAAAAGCATGAAAAGTTACCGAGAAAACTGTTTTCAAAAACTGCTAAATGGTGTCAGCTAGCGAAATATTAACTAGAAGTATAATACATAGGAAAAACCATTTGGGCCTTCTCTTTAGTCCTGAGCTAAACGAATAGGTTGAGGGTTCAATCCAGCGTGGTTAATATTTTGGCGTTTTGCCATTATGAAAAGGCGTTTTGGCTAGCGAAGCAATATTTTACTTTAAAAAAACTACTCTTTAGTCATAATTTATGTTTTCAAATGGTTTTATAATAGAAAAGAATATTTATCAAAAAAAATCGTTTTTAAAACTTTAAGCTTTAATCATACATGAACATTGAGCGTACTGTAACTTGCTAGCCAAAGCCATATAGCAGTTTTTGAAAACAGTATTCCTGGTAACTTTTTAAGCTTTTTCATCTTATATAGGTCTTGTGCTTATGGCCAAGAAACATTTGGTAGAATTCCTTAGGTAAAAATTTGAAAAAACGCTTCAAACTCAAAATTTAAAAATTCGTTTTTAATCGTTGTGTACTGGTAAGTAAGACTATTTATAATAATTGCCGTGCCCTAGACAAAAACTAGCAATTCTGCATAATCATAAGAGATCAAAAACCTTTTCAAAAATATGTCATCATATTACCATGCCATCATTACATTCACATATGTTATTCACGTGCTCAAGTACAAGTCCAAAAAAACAAAAAATAATTTTAAAACAAAAAAAAATAAAAAATCGACCAAAACTGGCCATAAAAGCAAAAAAACCGGCTTCCCCAAAACAGTCGGAACTTAAGCTGACATGAATATAATATGTCTATGCACCTTAATGCCATCACTTCCATCGCATCACTTTCGAATCCGGGTCAGCCGGTCGGTCGCCCAGTAAGCGGCGCAAAACTTTTCGAAAAAACTTTCTCGACTCCCGAACGCTTTCGAATTAATTACCATGCCATTTGACAGAGAGTAATTACTGTTTTCACAAGAACTTGTTTCGCTCGGATCAAGATCAACAACAACATGAACTATTATATTATTACTATTCTGCTTTACTGTTTGGTTTGGGGGCTTTGGACTGTTGATTTTCAATTAAAAATTGAAAAAAAAATTTTTTAATTGATTTTTTAGAAAAGACTTTGTTATAATAGTTTGTGCAAATGATTAGCACATTCTTTAGTAAAATATTTTATAAAATATGTTGTTGGGAACCCCCTCCCCAAAAAAAATTTGAAAAAAAATTGAACGTGGTCCCCCCTGTGGATCTTTGGAAAAAATTTTTCGCAAATTGATGATTTTTTCGACCCCCGCCCCCAGACCAAAAGCTCCCACTCGGCTCTGTGTACATGTAAAAAATTTTTCGGATTCGCCCTGAAGAACAGATGGATCTACCCCATTTACTCAGCACGCTCCTCAATCGTTGTCCCCGGCTCTCACAAATCTTTTCTTCAACGATTATTGCCTGTTTAATCTTTAACATCTTCAAGAAACATAAAAAAAAACAAAAAAAATTTATGATTATGAAATATTTTGAAGTAATTTGACACGCCCTTCAAAATATTTTTTTAATTTTTAAATTTTGCATATATAATACAATTGTACTTTTTTTTGAAATACTAAATTTTACCATACATTATACAAAAAAACGTTAAAAATAAATATCATTTTTAAAAAATTATTACCTGATCAACTCGTTTTGAGAAGGCAATCGAGCTGTTGTAGTTCACAATGAAGGTCGGCCTGCCTCCGCCGATGAAAACTTCAGACCCGGGCCAGAAGAAGGTGGCCGACTTTTTGCCGTGCTTTTTAGCTGTGTTCCAAATCTGAAAAATTTAATTTTATTAAATATTCAAACTTAAAAAGTTTAAAATTTGGCTATTTTTTCAAATGCTTTTTCTGGCAATTCGTTCCCATATCACAAAAAAATCAATATTTTTCGTGGCGTTTCGTCCAAAACAGAAAATTTAATAAAAAGTTGCACAATAAAAACAAGTTTTAAAAATTACTAAAAACTATAAAAAGCTTACAGGTTCCCCATTAAACCAGATAGGATCCCTTGACTTTGGCGTAAATGGCTCTTGTGATATGTTAAAGTCCATAAATGTACTCCCAACAATACCATGACTTTCAGGATACAGTCCAGTTACTATAGCTAGATGATTTGGAAACGTTTTTGACGGAAACGTTGGATACATGTAGGTAGCGTGGCTTCCACATTGTAAAATCTTCGAAATGGCTGGAGTTAGTTGGCGCTTCAGATATTCCACTCGAAAGCCGTCTAGACTAATGAGGAGTAAGGGTGGGACGTCAAATCTGGAAGATGACATTATTTATCATTGAAGGTTTTTCGATAGGGTTAGTTTCAATTTATAAAAAATAAAAAGGCGTTGCTTCAGGCAAGTTAATATCCCAATGCTCCCGCCACGAAAACATTGATACGCGTACAATTGTAAGAAATTACCGAAAAAAAGTTTTTTTTGGGTTTATAAAGAAAATATAATGATTTATAATAATTGTACATATAATTTTATAAACCATCTTTATATCAAAATGGTCCCGCTACGAAAACCCTGATAAATCAATAAATCGTCTGAAAAGGTTGTATTTCCTGTAATTTTTTAAGAAATTACATTTTTTAAGAAAAAATAAAACAAAAAAAAGCTTCAAAAATAGTCTTAAAATTTAAAAAACGAAGAAACTTACTTTCCAGAACATTTTGGCTCACAAGTGTGTTGCCAGCTGATGTCTTGATTCAAAAACGCTGTATCTTCAACATATCGTTTGCCAAATGTTTTTGTAATGATTAATCCTACCAAAACGCCCAAAAATAAAAGTCCAAAAGCTACAGATATGGCTACACAAATGTGACGTTGTTGAAATTTGAAGTCTCGGAATCTCAACTAAAATTTAAGTTTATTACCTAAAAACTGGGCAAAATACACAGCAAACTATATATAAGCAATGGATTTAAAAAAGCACCGTATTTTACATCAAAAATTGTGGTTTTTATAATATATTATCATAGCAAGCTACTACAATATACAAAAAAAAGTAAAAAACGGCAGGATTAGGCTTGGTGAGGGCTAAAATAGGCAGAATTAAGTTTGGCTAAAGCTAAAATAAGCAGCGGTACGCTTTGCTATGGCCAGAATAGGCAGAAGTAGGTTTGGCTAAAACGGGCACGCAAATGCTTAGTTAAAACTAAAATGAGCAGTATCAGGCTTGAATAAAGCGAAAATGAGCAGGGGTTGGCTAGGATAGGTCTATAATAGGCAGGGGTAGAGTTGGTTAGAGTTAATATGGGCAGGGGTAGGCTTGGGGAGAGCTAAGCTCGAGAAACAATAGGCGTGTTTAAGGCTAAAAGGGTACTTTCTTAACACAATACAGAAACTTAATAAAGAAAAAAAATAATTAGAATGAGCATAAACTCTCGTATTTTACCCGTGGCACGATCGGTAGATCTTTAGGAACGGTTGGACTGTTGAGTGGAACATCCACCATGTTCGGTTTCGCTGCCATTTTGAGGGAATGTAAAACGAAAAAGACACGGAGATGGTGGCTCCAAAGTGGCCATGATCATAACTGTAGGCGTCTCTCAAGGTCGTATGTACATTATTATTCGTTATTAAGATAATGTAATAAGATTTTAAAAGTTTTGTCGCTTTTGTATTGGAGAAACAATAGTAATTGACGACAAGACTTAATTTTCTGCTTTATAATTAGGCTTTGATCAAGTGTGCGTCTATATTAACATTGGTTTTTAGCTTTAAATGTTTATTTTTAATTGAAAAAGCTTTTTTGTAACCTAAAATCTTAAATTTTAAAATTTTGAAATACGTTTTTTTAAATTCCAAAACTTTTTTGACGTTTCTTTAAAACCTAACAATTCCCGCCATACCAAAGTGGGTAATTACTGCTGATATTACACTCGGAACTTGTTGTTTCCGTGGACAAAGAATTCAACGAAAGGGGGGGGGGCGCGACCGGTTCAGACGGTCCGAAAACAGCCTTGAGGCGGGTTAATTATTCCGATCATACATTTGAATAAGCATGAAACTGTCTGATTTTGGGTAATAACGGCGATATTACAGGGTTCATTTTGGCACTTTTTACCCAATTTTTTAAAATTTGCAAGGAGTTGGGGGGGAGGTAAAAAAAATTCAATCTATAGAAACTATAAAATGTCGAATTTTTGAAATTTAAGTCTTTGACAACTTATACTTTTTGTTTCTAGCCTATATTTCAGTTTATTATATCTGGTTGTTCAAATAATTGTGAGCCACTTTCAAAAAATTTGCAAATTTTCGGAGTCAGGGGACACTGAGTTAGTTAAACAACCTAATATATTTAAAAAAGAGCTTTTTAACAATTTTTTGAATTTTTGATTTGTTACTATAAGTAGAATAAAGAGCAAAAAAGTTTTGTCGCTTTTTTACATTAAACTCAATGTACTTCAACGGCAAGACTTTTCTGAACTTGAGAATAGAAAAAATATTGTTAGGTTAGAGAAGGATGAAGCGAAATGTCGTTTTTTCTTGACTTTGAAACTTTTAAATTTTATTTTTTGAGTAACAAAAGTCTTGGCGTTTTTTAAAGAACAGATCAATGTATTTCGATGACAATACTTTTTTGCCATTTTTATGCTATAAAAGAGGGAGGAACAAGCTGATCCTAGCCTTGAGGTCTAGTCCAGGATCCTACGTTTAGGATGGGTCGGGGCCTACACGGCCTGTTTCTCACATCTAATGCTATCATATCTTCTTTATCAACTAAAAAGGCCTACTATAACAAGTATTATTGTATTGTAACATCTATTATTACAAATTCCAATCATTTTTACGTTATATTATACTAGATATTAAGCTACATTGTTCAAACTCCTCAGCTATAACAAGAATAGTTTAAACTCTCGATATTATTAAACAAACAGTTCACGTGTGATCTTTTTGACGCAACCTTTTCCCTCTCCCACCGAACCAAAGACGACCTTAGGGCGTAAAACCCACTGTACAGAGCGAGAGACAGCTGCTCTCTCCTCTCACTGTAAAACCTCTTAAATCGGCTCGCCATCTGGCCGCGGAAACAGAAGGGCCGAGGGGTTAGAGGGTACCTCCAGCTTTATTACTGGATCATCCTTGTCTAATTTCATATCGGTCTAATCGATGCGGTTTTTTTTTGAAAAAACGATTTCTGAAGATTGCTTTTTTGGAATTTTGTTTGTTGAGGGGATTTACATAGTTTTGGTATAAAGTTTTTTTTTGAGAATTAAGAATAGTTTTGGTTTACAAGAGTTTTAAATGCATATTGTAGTTGTCTTGGCTCTTTTTTATGAATTTTTTGCTTATAAAGAGTGTATATCTCATAAAAAATGTAATTTTACTCTTGTATTTGTTTATTTTTTTTTATTTTTACTGAACAAGTTGTTTATTAAGTGCCGACATAAAGTACCCGTTACTTTTTACAGGAAATTACAGGAAAAGTATGGCGGGTTCTTTATGTCGGCAACCAATATTATATATTCGTATACAACTAGTACTATATGATACTATTGTTAGTTGTTGTTTTAGTTATACTTGTTGTTAAAATAAATATTTAATCAAAAAATTGTGTAACAGAACTTTTGGCGCACCCTGCTAAAAGTTCTGTTAAATGTATTTTTGATAAAAAATGTCAAGTATTTTTACATATTTTTAATTAAAAGTGTTATTTATTACCTGTTCATCATAGTTTTTTGATAAAACATATTTTTTATTGCCTAATTTTCTTATTTTTTCTTACTTTTGGTTTCAGATGATAGTACGAAACTGCGTGGTGCTAATATTCCTGTCGACCGTTTCCTGTGTTCAAATTAGAGCACAGTCCTTCCTAACCCAACAATGTTTGGAAATTGTGAGTTTTTTCTTCAAAGTTTACGGAAATTATTAGAATTCTCGTGTAAACAAAGTTTTTGACGTAATTTGGCAAAGAAGTTTGAAAAAATATTTTGGTGTTTAGTTAAGATTTTTGTAAAATACGACGAAAAATCATATGCTTTGAAAAGCCATAAAATACGATTAAAAAAGTATCTCTACATTGTGAACCATCTGTATAAGCAACTCTCCTTATAGTAAACAAGAAATTTGGCCCCGCTATGTCAATTTGCACTAAAAAGCCTCTCTGTAAAGACAACACTCCTTATAGTAAACAAAAAATCTCGGTCCCTCGGGTTGCTTGTCTAGAAATAGTACTGTACAGATGATTCACTATATAGAGATACCACTGTATTAACTAATAGTATTTTATACAATGAACAGAGATGACGGACGAGCCGGCCCGTGAAAACGTTTGAGGCACAGCTTGGGCTCGGGCCTAACGTATGTACATATATACCTGGTCCTTTTTCTTTTTTTTCTTGAGCCGGCTTGGCCCGGCTCGCTAAAAAAGTTTTAATTTTGCCTACTTTTCATGCTTTTCTCCTGGGCCAAGTCTAACTTTTATACTCGGCCTGCTTCAAATTTAGCTCAAGGCCGGCCCGCCCCTACCCATTGTAGGATCGCAACAGGAAGGGTTTACACCGCTTGTTTTGCCTTCCTAGGGCTGGGCGGCCCGGCCATGAGCAAAAGTTCGGTTAAGCCGGCTCTAACATTCAAGCCCGGCCCGTTTCTTGTGTCTAAACGAGAGGAAGACTATATATGTAACTAAATAATTTTATAAGGGTAGGGAAGTATAGTAAAAAATTTTAAAGTCTAAAATACGCTTTTCAGGCATCAGAAAGAGACTGTACAGTATTCAACAAGTGTTGCGACTTCAAATGCAGCCAGTCCAACCAAGGTGTTAGTAGTAAAGAACACTTCTGCATGGCTTTATTTGGTCGTATTCAGCGTAGTGAATGTGTATGGTAAGTAAATTTGCAGTTTTACTTTATCAGCTATCCCTTGTTTATTAAATTCTGTAAAATTTAAAAAAATTTGAATTTTGCAAAAAAATTGTAAACGGAAGTGATGTCGTGTCTACTTGTCATACATACTTTTATAGATATGAATGTACCTATTTTTACAGGTAATGGCTGTTTATTAAGTATACCCTACCCTACCCTACTCTATCCTATTCTACCTTACCCTACCCTACCCTACTCTACCCTACCCTACCCTACCCTACCCTACCCTACCCTACCCTACCCTACCCTACCCTACCCTACCCTACCCTACCCTACCCTACCCTACCCTACCCTACCCTACTCTATCCTACCCTATCCTACCCTACCCTACCCTACTACCTTACCCTACCCTACCCTACGATACCCAACCCTATCTTAGACATTATCCATGCCTATAGCATTATAATACCCATATTCTTGAGTAGAAAAGGTTGTTTTTGCTTTGACACCAACAAAATGTTTACTTTGTTTTTCGAAATGTAAATTATATTACATGAACTAGTCAGACATGTGGTAGTCTGTGTTCGTTACGTAGATTCACAAGGAAATAGTCGCATTTTGGCTGGGGTAATTAGGATTTTGACTATAATTTAGGTAATGAATAATCTTGTCGTTTCTGACTACATGTATTAGGTTGCTCAAATAATTCTGTGCCCTCTCTCAAAGCATATATTCAAAGTTGAGGTGGGCACATACTTATTTGAACAACCTAATATGACTATGAAATGAAGGCAAGACTTTTTTGTTTTTACTACTGTAAGCACTTATAGTTTAGCCTAAAAATACTGTGCTCAAATTAAAATTTATGTTTACAAAACTCGTCATTAGACAAACTTTGTTAGTCAATTTAAGAATTTGATTTAGAAAGGTTAGAAGACAATTTGATAGTTTACCAAAAATATTTAAAATTTTATTTTTGGGCCTATTTTTTAAAAATTGTATAGTATAGAAAGTAAATAAATTAAAAAAATGTTACCCTAGACAGTTTTTAACGCTTTAAAATGATATTTAAATTTACTTTTTGCAAAGAACGTAATAGTAGGTTGTTCAAATAATTCTGGGTTTCTTAACACCGAAAATGTGCTTCGAGAGGGAGCATAGAATTATGTGAACAAACTACAGTACTCTCTATATATAAACAACCCAAAAGGATCGACGTTTTTTGTTTACTGTAAGGGGTGCTGTCTTTACAGAGTAATTTTTAGTGCAAATTGACTTGGCGTGGCAAAATTTCTTGTTTACTATAAGGAGAGTTGCTTATACAGATGGTTCACTATATAGAGAGACCACTGTATTAATAAAATTATACATAATATTTTGAAAAATTCTTTGTTTAAAATGTGATATTTTGACGTAGATCTTTGTTTACTATTCCAAATATTCTATATATTTACCTTTGACACGTGGTTAATCTAATCTATGTTTATATAAAACATTCAGCAAAACATATATTTAGGTAGTTATCTTAGATTTGTTACCTATTTACTATGTTATTCATGGCTATATTTTGATATTTTACCTTATGACTACTGATGTTTTAAAATTTATTTTGCACTTATGAATTACTGTGTTTTGAAGATTATATTTTCATGTTATATTATGTGCTAAAGAGTATATTGACTTACTATGTTGTTATTTTGCAAATAACTATGTAAAGAAGTTGATCTTTGAAACCAAAAAGTCAATGGCTCTAAATTGGCACTAAAATGTATAGATAACCGTTGAAAGCTGAAAAGTATATAAACGGAAAACAAATACTAAGTCAATGTACTAGCAGAGCATCTTATAAATAAAGCTTTGTGACGTCGGCTAGCTTCTTAATACTAAAAACAGATTTTTTAGGACAATATGTATTTAGTGTTTAGTATCATATTATTGTATGTAATACTAAAAAAAGCTTGGGTAGGGTAGGGTAAGATATTGGGTCAGCAAATTTTTGTCGCTTTTTAACGTCTTAAGCCCTGTAACTTGACGACAAGACTTTTTTTAAATATCATTCTCGCTATTTTAATGCAATATAACAATTACAAATTTTATTTTGTTACCTAAACTTTAATTTTATTACCTAAAATTAATTTTTTTAATTGATAACGATTACATTTCAGTAACTCGGCGACATCACTTCGAAAGTCGTCTCCCTTTGGCGTGAAGCATTTGGACATTGTAACTGGTGTTATGTTAATGTTCGCTGTTGACTTTGTCATCATGACCTTGTGTCTTTAGGTATTTTACAGGCATAAGAAGGAAAAGATTTTCAAAAACTTTTTTTTTTTGATTTTTTTATTATTGAAAAATGATTTTACTTGTTGAGAAGTTTTATATTGTTAATTTTAAAAAGTATTTTTAATCTTAAAAATTAAAAATTAATTTTGTGGTTTCTATTGACTTTCAAAACTTTATATCTGGTTGTTTTTTCCTATAATATTGTGTTGTATATCTCTAATTACTACGTGTATGCTTGTGTCATAACAAAAATATTGTCTTTCGGTGGTTTCTTCTAATTTTCATATCGATCTCAATAAAGTTTTTTAAATTTTTTATGTATACTATTAAACGATTCATAATGTTAGACAGGTTAATAGGTATATGAGAGGCAGAAAGAATGGCATAAAGACACATCAAGTCTACAAGTAAATCTAGGTTATGTAATTTAACTTCTGGGCTTGATATGACTTTTGCTTCGGGAAGTACGAGCGGGGGAGAGAAGGGTACTTTGAAAAATTACGATTTTTTTTTGAAATTTTTGTAGTTGTTAACACAACAAAACCAGTCATTTATATTTTTTTTGTTTGTATTTGTAATTATTTTTACTGTGTCTCAACGTTGCCCTACAATTATATCACGCTACATGACAGTATGCATACTATGTCATCAAGTCAAACGACTTTTACAAAGATCATAAAGTATTTATAAATGAAGCGTAGGGTAGAGCAGCGTAAGATGGGATGCAGTAGAGTAGATTAAAGTATGGTAAAGTAAGACAAAGTAGGTTAAGGTAGAGTAGAGTAAAGTAAGTTAAGGTAGTAGGACAGGATAGAATAAAGTAGAGCAAAGGCAAGGAAATTACTACGTTTATGTCAAAAAATTGAAATAATATAGTAAAAAGTTACTGAAACATTTTGAAGCAACTTACTTTATATTCTTCACACTTTACGATTGAAATTCAATTAAGTTACTCAGCTTTTTTGAAACTGAAAAATACTAAAGTTTTGAGGAATGAGATGATGTACAAGATGATACAAATTAATTTTTTCTTCTAGACTGCTGATGTAATTAAACCCTAAAGCAGTACCAGGAAACAAGTATTGCTTTGACCAAAGGTTTTACTGTTCAAAGGTCGAAATTTAAAATTTCGAGCTCGATTTCATCTATGGCGTATTTTAGTAGTTAGCTTGATTTTGAAATTTTTGGTATGTTTATATTGTATTTTAAACTTTTTTGAAAAAATCTTTTGGGGGTGGATCGTCACTGCCCCAGACATACGTTCCTTAACAGCCAATCTTGAAATGCCACTTTCAACCTAAACCACAGTTCAAAAAACGTGAAATACTGACCGTTTCCCTCAGATTTGAACGTTCCCCGGAGGCCACGAAACCAATCGCCCTCCGTTCGTGGTAATGGATTTGTTTTGGAAACTTAATGGTCTGAAATGAAATTAAAGCAATTCGTCTCCAGATTCCGCTACCGCTTCGAAAGTGCGAAGCCGGTGAGGGGAAAACAAATCTGGCTGAATGTCATTTGCACAGTGTTCCGCCGGCCTCATCAGCGTTTTTGTTTGGGACGGCACGGTAATTAGGCGCGTTTTCCGAATTGATTAGATATTGGGTACAGTCTGGGTATTATACTTGGGCTATTGATGGTATAGGTGGTGGTAAATTTACTATAAGGCTTTTATAGTTCAACTTGTTACCTTGATGACGTGATCTCAGGTTGTTATCTCGGAGGAAGAAATGGGGTGTTGATAAGGTATAAGATAGGATAGAATGGGGTAGCAACGTGTAGTAAAAGCGGTCATAGCCGTCATAGGATCTTTTAGTAACAACAATAGATACAATAAGCTAAAAACAGCTATCTTAATATAGAACACGATCAGTAAAGTACGTACAGCATGAGCAAAAGCCTAATGAGATTTGCGAGCACGCTATAAACACAGTAACTGCGCGGCAACAATAATATCATATATTGGTCATGTTTTGCAGCTACAGATTTTGAATAGGCGTTTTATACTGTTCATAGAGTAATTTTTTCTTTGTATATTTATTTACTTTACAGTTTTTATATATAGAAAAGCTTGTTTTTGATCACTTATGAATTTTTAAAGTTATATAAAGTAAACCATGTACAGTACTCTTTTTTATATGTACAACCCCAAAGTGACCGAAATTTTGTGCTTTCTATAAAAGGGGTTGTCTTTACAAAATAATTTTTAGTGTAAATTAACTTGACAAGGCCAAATGTTTTGTCGACTATAAGGAGAGTTGCTTATACAGATGGTTCACTATATAGAGATACCACTGTACATTATATAGACTACTATGTTTTTTCAATAAATTTAAAAAAAGGTTAAAGTTTTCTTGTTGTTTTCTTCTTTGCCTTCTTCTTCTTCTTTTTTTTCTTCTTCTTCTTCTACTTCTTTTTTTCTTTTTTTTATGTTTTTTCTTTTTTCCCAGTTTACTTGTTTTTTATACTTTTTAACAATAAACATGATACAGTACTTTTAGTCTTATATATATCTGAAAATAACAACTTTGGGCTGTCTTAAGATATTCATCGCATATTCAGCTAGTTATTATTATAGAAACCTGTACCACACAAACAATGAACAGGGAACTATATATATGCTTCAAAAGTGCTAAAAATAGCTTTTTTGATTGTACTTGACACTTAATTTCTGTATGTCTTTATTTCAAAATACATGGTCATTTGAAAATATGTGTTATTGCATTCATGGTGCTATATTGTACTTGAACAAAAGTGTTTAATAGATGAAGTCATGCATAAAGTAACGTACGTAGAAAAAGCAATCAGAACGTCTATTTTCATGTTTTTAAATTTATTTTTAAAAATTTTGTTTTTTTTGTGAGACAGTTGTTGCATTGGCAGGTTTGAGAACTAAGTAGCTTAGGAATGTGATTTCTAAATTTATACATCTTAAAGTAGATTTTTTGTTTTTAGCTTACTCTACCATCTTTTACCTTATTCTACCCTACTCTAATCTACACTACCCTACTCTACAGTACCATATCTTACCTTAATTTACTTAATATACCCTACCCTATCTTGATCTCCCTTGTATAACAACCATAATAAATCTAACCTGATTGTCACAATTCGCAACATGTCACAATCAGAGCTATTTCGAGTAACAAACAACAACATAACCGAGTTTGGAGTCATCTAAACAAAGCCTTCCTTATGGCCAGGAATGCCCTGAAGACAAAATCCGGGACGTTTCTTTGCCCGACTAACCGAATTTAACGGTGCGTAAGGGGAGGGCGAGGCGGTGGCCATCACGAGGAGTGTCCAAAACTTTGGTCTGACCTGCCCTGACCAAGCCCGCAAAACAAAATAACGCATTTTTTCGAAGTTCGTTGACAAGATTTAAAAAAAACTTACCAAAAATAAAATTTGCAAGTTATGCGAAAATAGCGTGGCATACGGTGGCGGGGTTACGTACGGTAGACGAGCGTGAAGTGGTCTTGTGACAACGCTTATGACCTGTTTCCGGCGTTGATCGTTGGGGTTTGGCGTGGTGATGATGTGAAGGGGCATGTTTGTGACATTTTTAGTGTTTTGGGATTGGTCTGGCTACAAAGTTGGCAACATTCGTTTGATGTTTATATGGGTATGTTTTACAAAAACATGACGTTTTTTCATATTTATGCCATTTTTAGACTTGTGTAACATTCGTTCAAAAAAAGGTAAAAACTTGAAACTTGATGAGAATATAGTTGAATATCGTAGCCTTTTTTACTGCAAGTTTTATATTTTTAAATTCAAAATTAAGGTTTTTATGCGTAAAATTTATTTTAGGTATAAAATGAGTTTAAAAACAACGTTTTGTGATGTTTTTAGGTATTTTTTGGTTCAAAGATTGCATGAATTGTGCCAAAACATGAACGGTCTAAAACCCTAAAAATTGCTTCCGTTTACTCACGGATCAAAATATTAGGTTGTTTATATAATTCTGCGCCCTTTCTCACAGCAAATTTTTGGGATTAGGGGGCTTTGACTTATTTGAACGTTTTTTTAGTTGGTGTTATAGGTCTCTGGAAATTAATAAGCAAACAGTTTTTGATACTATTATAGAAAAACTTCTTCTTTGGGTTCACTATCATCATCGGTGGTACTCAAAGAATCCATCGAAGTGGCACTTTTCAGTACTTAACAAAAAACTCACTTTTTTACATTTTAAATTTGAAAAAAATTTTTTTTGTGCTACTTGATCACTACCATACGTACTCGTTTTAACATCTACGCACTTTCTTCAAATTCAGAGTTTGAATCATTAGACTTTACGTTTTTTCTTGAAAACTCAAATTTGATTGCACTAAAAAGCGAATTTTAAGACCTCAGGGGGTTTGAATTTGAGTTGTACTTTCGCGTCCCGGAACTTGAGAACTTTGCTTTATTAGTTAATCAAAGTTGTATTGACTTTTTTTTGCCTTGAGACCTTTAAATAGACATTGTTTTAGGTTAGTCTATGATTAAAGGTCTTCAGACAATGATGAAATGGGTATTTTTTGAATTTTTTAGCATTTTTTTTTGATTTTTAAAATATTTTTAATTATGTTTACTGATTAAAATTTTTATATTTTGAGTCTCCCACTAACTTGGCAAATTTGGCATTGTGTTTCAAGCAATTTTTTGACTTCCCAAACAAGCTACGCTTACAACTCAAAAAATGAAGGTCTATTTAAAGGTTTTCTACTATAATATCAAAAGAAAATGATTAAAAGTCAAAAAATCACAAAATTATAAGTTTGAAACGCAATGCCACTTTGGCGGAAAATTCAAAACGTCATTTTTTAATCTCGGTTTTCTCGTGATTTATTGGAAAGCGCAATTTAGTATTTTTCTGGAAGCCTTACATTTACATGATCTTTCTATATAAAAAGTTAGTCAATCAGAGCGAAGCAGATTGGGTACCTTCCTTGTTAGTGTAGAATTGCTTTTCTGAAGCTTTACAAGGATATTTCTTAAATTATAGCAACCTTTCAAAGTTTTGTCGTTTTCTGTTTTTTCATAATCTTGTTAATTTTCCTACATCTGGAAGTCAAACACTAAAATTTTTTTTTTTTTTTAATTTTACAAATTATGCCTTTCCAAACTCGAAATTTCTCCAAAATCTTTATGAAAAGCTAATTGCCTCCAGAACTCAATCATTTTTGTTTCCAACACCTGTGTGTCTTTTAGGCTTAATTGCCGAACAAAAAGGCGTACAGCTGACTGGGAATCTAATTTGCTTGACCAACGGAAGTGTCAGACCTTTTTTCGGTCGTAAAAAACGGCAAAAGATACGACCAAGATTCAATTTTGTTTGAAAACTTTTTGGCCGTGTTCGTACTGAAGTTGGACGCAGATTTGGTTTGGACTGGTGTTGGGTTAATGGGGTTAGTACAAGGAAGAGATAGAATTAGTATGTAGTGTATTATAAGAGCTGTATATAGTATAATATCGTAATTTCACGTAGTATATTACGGGAGAACATTATGTATTAGGTCGTTCAAATAATTTTGCGCCCCCTCACATAGCAAATTTGCGGGGTTAAGGGCACAAAATTATTTGAACGACTTAATAGTACAATAAATTGAAGCAAATTTAGGTACAGAACTTTTTAAAATTTATAAAAAGTCTTGTCGTTTTTGAACATGAAAATCAGTCTTAAAAAACGACAAGATTTTCTTTTTTCTTTTCTTGCAAGTTAGAAGCAAATAGTATTGGTATATAAAAAAAGTAGTAGTATGTGCATGAAATAGAGTTAGTAGATAGAAATTAGTAGTTTGTTTAGTATGGGGTTGAAAAAGTGATGTCATATCTGTTTTTGAACTATTTGGTTTCTTAATTTCGCTATTGGTCAAACGATATAAAAGGATTGTTTACTATAGCTAAATATAAGGAAATGTACTCTTCAATACTTGGTGTTTTATGTAGTATAAATAAATATGTTTTTTTCTATTTTTTATAATTTTTAAAGTTAGTCTATCTAAGGGGCTCAGAACTTTGTGGACAATCTATTTAAACTAGCTTTTGTCATGTAAAATTAAAATATATTATACTAGAGGTACCTTATGTAACAATTAGGATTTCTTGGGTAATTTTAGTCTAGAAGGCGGTTAAAAATTGAAAAAATTTTTTTTTGAAATGTAATAGTGGATCATCGTTTTAGTTTTAAAAACGAATTGGGACTTAGGGCCGAACTCAAACTAAGGCCCGGCCCCTTTAAAGGTCTACTACCTCCACCTTTTGACCTCGTCAATTATTATTGCTTTATATGTTGTACCTTACTAATTACATTAAAATTAACCTTGTTTTTGGGTACATGTTACATATTTGTACGTGTAATTTCGTAGCCTAGACAAGAAAACGTAAATAGTACGTCAATTGGTCGTACTCTCGTTTTATCTGGCTTTTTTACTGATTTTATCGGTAACAAATTGAGTTGAAATTAAGGAACTAGAGGCGTTTTAGTATTAATTCGTATTTGTTTTAGTACGTAATGTTTTATTTTTTATTTTATACCTGATTGTTGTGCTGTTTTCTACTGTGTAAAGCATATATGGCGGGGTAAAGAGAAGAGAGAGAGTAGGGGTTATACAGTGGTCTCTCCATATAGTAAACCATCTGTATAAGCAACTCTCCTTATAGTAAACAAGAAATTTGGCCCCGCTATGTCAATTTGCACTAAAAAGCCTCTCTGTAAAGACAACACTCCTTATAGTAAACAAAAAATCTCGGTCCCTCGGGTTGCTTGTCTAGAAATAGTACTGTACAGATGATTCACTATATAGAGATACCACTGTATTAACTAATAGTATTTTATACAATGAACAGAGATGACGGACGAGCCGGCCCGTGAAAACGTTTGAGGCACAGCTTGGGCTCGGGCCTAACGTATGTACATATATACCTGGTCCTTTTTCTTTTTTTTCTTGAGCCGGCTTGGCCCGGCTCGCTAAAAAAGTTTTAATTTTGCCTACTTTTCATGCTTTTCTCCTGGGCCAAGTCTAACTTTTATACTCGGCCTGCTTCAAATTTAGCTCAAGGCCGGCCCGCCCCTACCCATTGTAGGATCGCGCCAGGAAGGGTTTACAACCCCTATAGTAAACACAAAATGTCGGTCCCTTCGGGTTGCTTATATAGAGAGAGTACTGCAGTATACTGTACAAAATTATGAGAGAAGTTGTTGGGAGGATTCTTAGAGTACCTTTCTGTCAGTTTTTGAAATTTTTTACTTTTTTTGCTTTTACCCTCCCCCATCGTTTTTTTTTCTTGTATCCTTACCGGCCCTATGCTCTATCTTTTGTGCTTTTACTCTCCGCTATCATTCATTTTTTTACATTTGCCCCCCCCCCTTTTCATCTTTTTTTTGCTTTTGTTCTACCCTTACCCTTCTTTTTACGTTTACCCTCTCTCATCTTCCTTATCCAGAAATCTAAAACATTGAGAATAGACCTTCCTCATAATCTTGAAAAAATTTCTTAAATGTTTTTTGAAGATTTATTAAAAAAAGTACAGTATTTTTTACTTTTTTTACATTACTACACGTTTTTTATTTTACTTTATTTTTACTTTATTTGCTTCTAAAAAAAACTCATTAAATTGCCCCCTTAATACTAAAATACCTCTAAAACCTCGCCAAACCCACCCGACCTTTAGCTCTTTGTTTTGCAACTCAAAAAATGACTTTTAAAGACATGACAAGGGTTCAAAAAACGTCTTTTTAAAAGCCAATTTATCCGAATTTGTTTTGAACTAACAAAGTTTGGGCGATGACATGGTTTCGCAACAGTTTCTTGGAAACAAAGTTCCTGATGGTTTGGTTCGTGTTTATATTCATGAAATCTGTTTAAGAATCATGGGCCTTTAATTCGTTTAGGGCCATGTGTCTCTTTTCACTTCGAGGCTTGTTTACGCGTTTCGACGTAAAATTATTTTACAGACAAGTTGTTTGGTATGTGTTATGACATTATCATACTCCTTACTCTGCTTGAACTTTTAAGGTTGAAGGTTAAAAGTTTGTTTTTAAAGGGTAGGGTAGGGTAGGGTAGGGTAGGGTAGGGTAGGGTAGGGTAGGGTATTCTGTCTGCCTTTTTAGCGCTCTTTTGGCCTTGGCTATGTCATTTTTACAATTATCATCGCCTTAATAGCATCACTTTTACAACCTGATCATTTCGCCGCGAACTGTCGTCACGTTCATTTTAAAATGTCATATTAACCATAAAATGAAATTTTTAAAAATACGGCTGTAATGAAATGTACTTAACATACGATTGTTTGTTGTTGTAAACGTTTCATTCGGATTAAAGAAGCCGCTTTGGGTGGGCTTCGTTAGACTGCCAAACGCTCTTGACATTCCTTTAAATATTCCTCCAAAAAAAACGTCTCCGAGAGTTTGGAACATTGGATTTGTCGCGTCATTTCCGCCATTTTCTGAAGCCGACCGGTTTCTGAACGGATCTGGACTTCCAAATTTAAATAATTTAAAAAATTTTTTAAAATTATATTTATCGAGTTTTAAAATTTATTTTATGTCTAAATTTTTATGATTTTGTTATGAATCTTATCTTTCAGAATCCATATTATGAACTCATGAATCAGAGTGCAGACAACTTCACGGACCCAGTCCAATGCCACTATGAGCCGCCTTTGTACTTGGAAGGGCGATTCTGGCTAGTCAGTGTGTTTGGAACATCTGTAGCCTTACTGTCCAGCTGTGAAAATGCATTTCTATTTGGTACACTGGTACAAAAGTAAGTTTTATAGCCTTTGTTTTGATTTTTTAAAGATTTTGAGCAATTTTAAGCCAAAAAACAGTTTTTTATCGACTTTTTTGCATTTTGTTACCTAAAATACTGTTTTTTAAGTTTTTAAAGTATTAAAATGACATTAAGTTACATATTATCATAGATAAAACCAAAATCATTTCAGAAAACAACACCGCAACTCCCACTGTCTATACCTCATTCTCCTGGCCTTCTTCGACTTCTTCATAGCCATTGCCTACATTCCCTTGATGTCAGTCAGTTTACTGGCTGATTATCTTGAATCCCCGCTACTATTAACAGCATGGTATCACTACATGAGGCCTATGATTACCATCTCTCACATAGCCATGAGTGCTTCATCCTTTCTAATTTTGGCGGCTTCATTTGAGAGATACTGTATCACTTGTTTGCCTGGCAGAATGAAGAAAGTCCAGAAACGGAGGCGATTTATAGCTTTGTTTGCGGTACTTACTGGCGTTATTACCAAGATTACTCTGTATAATGAGTTTGAGGTAGGTTTTATTTTCTTTGAGCAACCCTACCCTACCTTACCCTACCCTACCCTACCCTACCCTACCCTACCCTACCCTACCCTACTTTACCCTGCCCTACCCTACCCTATTACGACGTCTATACAATAATATTTTAGATAATCTTTAACAAAGAATGCCAAGGCTCCATGGTAGAATACAACCTCCAGTTGTCATCGATGGCTACAGAATACTACTATAATTTAGTTTGGAGATTAGGCTTCCGAAATCTTGTTACCGTACTCGTACCGTTCTTTGGTCTATTAGCCATGAACTTCCTGATAGTGAAAGAACTAAAACAAGCTAGCTCCAAGTTTCCTATCGAACAGAAGGCTCTCGATGGCACGATAGAGCTTCAGCCTAAGGTAATATGAGCTTCAAATGACTTTGAAATGTTGGCATTGATATGAGAAGGCCTTATTGATATTAGAAATTATGTTTTTTTATTTTTTTTTGTTTTTTTTTAATTAATATAACACATTTCAAAATTACAGTATTTTATCCTACCTATATCATACCATACTCTTTCCAGAACAAAGTTAAAGCAGCCACCATGACCCTCCTTATGGTCGTATTCACGTATCTTGTCTCCAACATTCTCAACGTCATTTTAACATTTTGGGAGTATTTTGACATAGCCTCGCTTACTTCAAAGTTCCTTGCCTTATATACATATGGAGTCGACACTGTGTCGATATTAACCATCTTGGCCGGAGCCTTCCGACTACCCATCTACGTGATATGTATGCCTCAACTACGAGGAGACTTTGTGTTTTACTTCAAGAAGGTTATTGGAAGGAATATCTTGACTGTAAGTTTTGTATATTGGTTTAAAAATGGCATTTTTTAATGCTTTTGGGTCCGATATAGTTCTGTAGCTAGAGGTGATTAGAGAAGAAAATATAAGGGGAAAGGGGACTCTCGAGCTAAAGCTGGGCAGGGAAATCAATTTTAACAAAAAGAGATGTGCAAGAACTACCTAAAAAACCATGATTACAATAACATTCAGGATGACTACGACCCAAAAAGACAGTTTTACTACGCTCCAATGTTGATACGAATAAGTGAGCTGTTGATGAAGTACCCAAACGTATCATCTGGTACTTCGATGGACTCGTTGAGTACCACTGATGATGACAATGAACCCAAAGACGAAGTTTTTCTATAATAACATCAAAATTTGTCTAACTATTAGGTTGTTCACATAATTTTGTGCCCCCTAATCCCGAAAATTTGCTTTAAGAGGGGAGCACAGAATTAATTGAACGACATAATAATAACCAAAAATATTATTATTTATTGTCTTTTTGGTAGTATGGTAGATACCGTACTATTTTCTCGGTTTTTACCATCTCAATCAGACTCTAATATAATATTGTCCATCACAACCATGCTTTAACATAATATTATGGATCAAAATCAATCTTTATGTACAAAAACCATGTACATATTTACAAATACCTCGCATATCTTATATTGTTTTTGTCTATTTATAAACATATATTATCTATACTTGCTTATACTTAATTATCAAGGGCGTGGCAAAAAGAGTTGGGTGATACCATAGCTCTAAAAGCTTTATTTGAGGATACATTACGTTGTTGTAGATATTAAATAATTTTAAAAGTAAAAAACTTTTTTAAAACTGAAAAAAAATTACTCTGCAAAATTTTTACCACGCCTTTCAAATGCCCAATTCCTCACAAATTTTACGACGCCCTTCAACCACTTATTACCCCACCCCACCAAATTTTAACACGCCTTAGAACCGCCGAATCCCCGAAAACTTTTACTACCCTAAACCTCCCTCTCTCACCCCAATCTTTTACCACGCCCGTGAATCGCCCTGTAAATAGCTTCGAATAAATGCTCAAATATTTATTTTGTCGGTTTTGTGAATCTGTAACAACTTCCGAAACTGCACCAGCTTGTTCTTCCACGACTTTAACAAGCTGATGTTAACGTTCCGCACGTTCCGCGCCTCGCGAACGTTCTTCACATTGGGCTCGTTGTCCAAAATTGAAGCCAATATAAACGACCGTAACAGGTCTCGTGCTGTCCGTGTGCCTCTTGGTGTACCGAATATCTGAATGCAATCTTCTTCGACTACGATTCGAGTTGTGGTGACACGCTCCAACTCTTGAAGTTGGGTTTCATCGACTAGTCGGTTGAAGTGCTCACTCCAGCTTTCCAGGCGGAGTTGTCGGACTATCATGGTCTGGAAAGAATAGTGTTAAAGTTAGTAAAAATAATACTAGTTTGTTCAAATAATTCTGTGCTCTCTAATTCCAAAAATTTGCTTTGAGAGGTGGAAGAGGGTTATTTGAAAACCTTAACAGTAAAGTTAACATTGTATGTGATTATTAAAATCTTAATTTATGAAAAAACTGAGTCATGAATTATAATAAAAAAAATTTTTTTTTAAACAAAACTTTCTATTGTTCAGAAAAGAATAAGAATCGCAAAGAATAAGCATTAATAAGCATTATTTTAGGCTTGATTCATTTTACAAAATGGAAAAAATCAAAATTTACAAGTTTTGAAGTTGCGGTAAGTTAGCATTGTGTTTGCTTTGATTACATTTTATTTAAAACATAAAATTCAAAGTAAAATACGGAGTGAAAGCCCTCGACAAAAAACCCGGGAAAAACCGATAAAATTTTTTTTAATTATTGCACGGTGAAGTGAAATTAACTGCACCGTGCAACATGACAAAACCTATCACCCATACCAACACGAATTCAAACGTCATTTTTAAATAATCCTCAAAAGTTCAAAACGGACATAAATAGTATACTTAAAAGAAGTTCCTCCTCAAAATGCAGAAACTTGTAAAATGACCAAACATTTGTTATATCTTATCTTTCATGTATAATATAGCAGCTGTTTCGTAAAATGATGGACATCGGCCATTTTAAATTTAAAAAAAAAGTTGAAATGAAACTATATAACATCCAAAACGTTCGTTAACTGGCTTTTGTTAAAATTGGCGGATCTCTGACATTTTTCGGGTTTTTGATATTACGCATGATAGACATCAACAATATAAGCTTAAAGTTGGTGTTTCTTGATGAAACTATTAATATTATAATGTTTATGTCTAAATCTTATGATAAAAATAAATTTCAATTAAAAATTTTAATTTTAAAAATATTAAAATTGAAGTATTTTTTTAAGTTTTGCATTGTTTTAGGTAACAAAAAAATTTAAAATTAAAAAGATCATCCAATCTTACATAAAAAACAAAAAAGCCATAAAAAAGCCTACCGTCTTGAGCATGTCGTACCAAAACTTGAAGTCGCCGTCTTCCATTTCAAAAAAAATTAAATTCGGAATGAAGGACCCGTTATGCAAAATACATCGGATATTGAAGGCCTGGGATCCGGTTTCATATCCACATGAACAAAGTCGTATTCATATCTTCCCGAACCAGGACATGGATATTACTCTGTGTCACTTCCTACCTCAAACCTGATCACAACAACATATAACAGAGTACTTTAATCGGGTTATACTATAATATAATTAACTATAAGCAAAATATATGATTTGATTAAACAGTGTATTATCTTGTAAAATACGGCATGTGTAAAATACCTTTACAACTCATATAACACACTTAAAACACTACGCCAATTGCTGCAAAATTTAAAAACAAACTTTTTAAAATTGTAATAAAGATTTTAACCCCAAATGCCGCGCTACGAAAGTAAAACAATGTAATTAAAGATGCATTATAATAAAACAGTACTTCAATCATTGTTTAATTTTTGTATTTTACAATTTTAATATCATATCATAGATCGACAATATGAAACTCATCAAAATTAGTTTCTATTACTACTATAAAACATTTGAATCAATAGTGACACTTCGTTCCGTTTGGTCAGGCGAATTTTTAGATAAATAAAATTCCTAAAAAAGTTTGAAGAATTGGCAAGTTTTGCTTTAAAAGCGAAGTAAACTACGTTCTTTTTCATATTTATTCTTTTTTACTTATATTCTGTTTGCCTTCTTTCATTTATCTATATTATTATACGTTTTATCAATAAAACCTTTTTTCAGTTTCAAAATGACTTTAGAAAACGACGAAGAGATGAAGTACGACGAGGACGAGCCTATGGACGATGATGCCAGCAGTAGCAGCGATGAAGAAAGTGAACAGGAAGGCGAAGAAGCTGGTGGAGATGGAAAGAGAAAGGTAGGTAATATACTATGCTTCTCATTTTGGGTTTAGGTTTATATTCCTGGAGTTAGTCGTCAACTGAAGGAAGGAGAAGAACTTGAATATGATCCAGCTGCTTACAGAATATTCCACACTTTTGAAACTGGTAAGATTGTGTTCAGTTTTGTTTATCTTACTTTTCGGTCTTTAAAAGCTGCGTTTAATACAGAGTTTTTAATATTTTTTTACTTTATATTACAGTTTTTTTTAATAAATTTCCTTATTCATTTCATTAAACGTTATTTTTAGAAAATCCTTGTTTATCATTTGATGTCCTAAGTGACAATTTGGGTGAGAAACGTGAACAAACACCTTTAACCTGTTATCTGGTTGGGGGCACTCAAGTTGAGAAGTTGAATCAGAATCAGCTTGTGGTGATGAGGTTGAGTAACATGTATGGAATTGCTGATGAACAATCGGACGATGAGGATGAAGACGACGAAGATGATGAGGACGATGAAGAAAAGGAAAAGAAACAAAAGGAAAAAGATCCCATTCTGACAGCTGCTGTCATCAAACATCAAGGAGAAGTCAACAGAGTTAAAGTAGGTTTACTTTGGTTTTTGTAATGTAAAATACGACACGTATATATGCGTCTTTTTATTAGTTAAAATTTTGAAAGGCTGTAATTGGATTATTGTTTTAGAGCCACTCTCTAGGACCAGCTGAAGTGTGTGCCGTTTGGAATTCGACTGGTAAAGTTCAGATTTGGAATTTGAATTCAGCAATTGAGAAGATTAATGCTTTGGAAGAGGTTAAGAAAACTGTCAGATTGGATTCAGAAAGACCTATTTTTTCGTTTGACGGCCACAGTGCAGAAGGTTTTGCCCTTGGATGGTCACCTTTACGTCCTGGAACATTGGCTAGCGGTGATAATCATAAAAAGGTACGTTATAGTCCAGTAGCGCCGTTTTTATATAGTTTTATGGCTGAGAAAACAGCTAAAACATGTTTAACTGACTACACCTTTTTTTAAGTTCTGTAAGTTCGGTTTTGCGGAAAAAAGACTCGTCTATAGACTAAAACTGTGGTTTTAGATATTCCTATGGAACATGAATGAAGGAGGCCAATGGTCAGTGAACCAGCGTCCTCTGATTGGTCATAATGACTCAGTAGAAGATGTCCAATGGTCTAACACAGAAGAAAGTCTGCTTGTTTCAGTATCAGTCGACAGATCCATCAGATTGTGGGATGTTAGAGCTCCAGCAAATCAAGCTTGTGTCTGTAAGGTTGAGAATGCTCACGAGAGCGATATTAATGTAGCTGGATGGAACAAACACGACCCTCTGATTGTCACTGGAGGTGACGATGCTGTCATCAAGGTCTGGTCACTCAAGAATATTCAGGTAGGATTTTAAAAGCTTACCTTTTATTTTCAGAGGTATAAGTTTCTGTTTGTGTAATAAATAATTATCTTTATGGTCCTTTGGTATTGTTAGAACACTATACATTTTAAAAAACTTAGAGGGTACATAATATTACTCATAATTTCAGTACGGCCAATCCGTGGCCCGCTTCAAGCACCACAAGAGCCCCATCACTTCAGTCGAATGGCATCCAGAAGATACTACAACATTCATGGCTTCGGGTGAAGATAACCAAATTACTTTCTGGGATTTGGCCATGGAAACGGACAGTGGAGCTGATGAGGATGTGGAAGGTATTCCACCACAACTATTATTTGTCCATATGGGCTTGGAAGAGATCAAGGAAGTCCATTGGCATCCAAAGATCAATGGCCTCGCCTTGGCCACAGCTTTAAACGGCTTCCACGCTTTCAGAACTATCAATATTTAATCAGATCCTTGCTTGTTGTTGATTTTTTCGTTAATTAAACTTGTTATTGTACATTCAGGTTGTCTTTTTTGGAGATTAGGAAAAGATAAGGGCTTCTAGCAATAATGTTGAGTTTCTACTTTAAAATCAATAAAATTGCTTGAAAATTTTAGACCGGGCCTGAGAAATATGAAAAACGAGCCGATCCTAAAAGATGGGCCCGGCCTGTTGCTCATTTCTATAAAAGACTAAAATTTTTTTTATTGTAACGTTAAGCGAAACACTTGACGCGTTTTACGAAAATAAACTTGACTCTTTTTTGACGTGTAATTTTCTCCTAGTTTTTTTGCTCGGATGGTTGAAAGTCCTACCAGATTCGACTTGTAGACCTGAAAATCATGTCCAGAAGTCTTTTTCTTCTGTTTCTACTGTTTGTCAGTACCAATGGAATCCGTTTCTACCTGGCGTCGGGCGATAAGAAGTGTTTGAAAGAGGAAATCCACAGAAACGTCGTCCTAACTGGAGAATACGAGTTCAGTGAAGCTATCGGATACACGACGTCGGTTCATGTAACTGACACCAGAGGACACACTTTGTACAAGAGAGAAAACTTTCCCGATACTAAGGGAAAATTCGCGTTTACCGCAGATGAGTACGACATTTTTGAGATCTGCGTCACTATTCACGCTAACCCAAGTGAGTTTTGCCTTCGAACTGGAGGGTTTTTGGCTTATTTTTTGAGTTTACGTTTAGGAAGATTGGGAGTAATAATATGGTACTGTTTCTGTAAAAATAATGGAGATATTGGTGGAGATATCTCACGGTCGACGTAATTTTGTTAAAAGGTCGAGATAATGGCTGTTTTTTGCAGTTTCCTCGAAAACTTGAGATTTTTTAAACTGAAAAACTTTCAGGCCAAGTCAAAATTCAACGTGAGATTTCATTGGTATTGAAGCATGGAGTTGAAGCTAAGAATTACGAAGATTTGGCCAAGGCTGAGAAGCTGAAGCCTTTGGAAGTTGAATTGAGGAGGTTGGAAGATCTCTCGGACTCTATCGTTCAAGACTTTATGTACATGAGACAACGCGAAGAAGAAATGCGTTCAACGAACGGTAAGGATTTTTATTATCTTGTTTTAGGCAAAAACATTTTTTTGGTATTAACGGCTGGTATTGATGGATCATGTGGGTAATATAAATGCATTTTGCTGTTTTTTGGAGATTTTTTTGAGGTTATAGGCCTAAAAAGAAGATTCTTAGTTACTTCTTTTAATAAAAAGGCTGACAATTAACGCTTTAATTTCAGAATCAACGAACACCCGTGTCCTATACCTCAGCGTCTTCTCGATGCTGTGCCTGTTAACGTTGGCCACATGGCAGATCATGTACCTCAGACGCTACTTCAAGGCTAAGAAACTGATCGACTAAATGAAGGTGCCTTTCTCTAAATACGTAAAATTATTTATTTATTTTTCAATGAAATAAGGGTTATTTTCTAGGTAATTCATTTGTTAATAAAAGTAGTGTACTCTGTATTGTATTTGCTTTTTTACATTGTTATAACATCAATACAATACTTTCTATATTTTTATTTTAATTTATGTCATTTTTGCATACTTTATTCTCAATTTTCTCATATAATAGAGTGTTTGAAGTGAATATTGACGCAATAAAAGGTGAACAACTAACATTATGTGGATTTGTGTACTAAAACTAAATTCAATCTCTTCCAATTTTTTACTAAAACATAGTAGGCTAAGCTATGACATATTAAATGGTGTTAAAGGTGTGATAATGATAAAAATGGCAATACTAATGTTTTCTTCAGCTTGTGTTTGATCATGATCAAGTTTGAACTGATTTGCAGAGAAGTGGATGGTATGTTTATTGATGTGATAGCAAAAATAACAAAAAATAATAATGGTGTGACTGTAAATGGACCTTTATTGGGGTTTTCATGAGAAATAGTGCTAAACATGCTGTTAAGGGTCAAGACAGATGATACCTAATGGGTGAGAACGTTGTGTTGTCTTTGGAACTGAATCCATTGAAGTGTAACAAATGTGATAAGGTAAAACGCTGAATTTTTTAATTATTACAACAAGTTTTACATTTTAAAGCGTTTTAAAAAGGGAAAAGTAGACTTGTAACTTTAAACATTGTTTAAAAAATTTTTAAAAAATCTGTTACAGGAGCTATCAACCCCGATTCGCCTCCCATGCCAGCACTGTTTTTGCCTTTCTTGCATTCAAGGCCACAAAGAATGTCTTACCTGCTCTCTCAACATCACTGAAATTCCATTACAACCGGATCCAATTTTGATATACCTACTAGAATCATCGAAAGAACAAACCGAACAATGTGCCAATTGTGACAGATCAGAGAATGTAATGTTCTTTTGTGAAACATGCCAGCAACCTTTATGTGATGAGTGTAGAGTGTTGACACATCAGGCCAAAATCTTCTCATCTCATCATATTTTACCGTTGGAAGAGAGTGGGAGGTTAAGAGGGCAGTTACAATGTAAAGAACACAAGTCACCGTTCGTACTGTTTTGCTCGGAGTCGAAGAATTTGATGTGTATTGAATGTTTTAATAATTCTTCGGTGGAGAAAAGGTAAGAAAAGCGGTTTTGTAGCTAAAAAGTGTCAAATTTTATGGTTGTTCAAAGAATTTACTTAATTTTTTGATGGAATTTGATTTAAACTCGCAACAAACTCAATACATTCATGATCATTTTGAACTTTTTATTTTAAAAATAATCTTAAAAGACTTTAATTTAATCTAAACTAATCTAAAAAATAATGATGGTACTTTTAGGAATCACTTCTTAAGCATCGAAGTTGCCCACAAGAACTGTCAAGAACGTTTGAATGAGAGCGTCAAGTTGTTGAAGAACTTCCAAAACGAGTTGAAAGAGCAGATAGAGGTCAGGAAAAGTGCTCAAGAACAAGTCAGCATGAGTTCGCAGGCTATTCAGCGGGAGTAAGATTTTTTTTAGCTTTATTTTCTACTAGTGTGATCAGGAGTTTGTATGATTTAGTTGCAGTAAAGTGTTTTTTAAAATTTTTTATTGAGTTTTAAAAACTCGTACTGATTTTTTGAAGTAAATTATGCTTTTAGAATTGAAGAACAATGTGAGATTATGATGAGCAAGATCAGAAGTGTCAAAGATCGTGTTATAGACCAAATCAAGATGACCGAACAAGATCGAGCAGGTCAAATCTTGAAGCAGATTAAAACACTAATTAATATTGAAGTAGGTTTGAAATTATTCTGCTTTTGTTAATTTTTCAAATTTAAAAACATTTTTTGACTAAAAATCTCGTTTTATCGTATTTTATAGATATTAATCATAAAAGATTAGAAGGAATATTCTAAACTCACATTTTAGGCCCCAATCAAGCTCAACCTCCTCAGCGCTTCAGTATTTTGTTCCTACGCTTCTCAACTCGACCTTCTTCATTCGTTCTCCTCTCTTTTGGAGAATATCAAAATTATTTTGGCACAAAAAATGGAGAACATTCCTTCAGACGGCTTTGGCAATGTTAACTATGTTGACCAGTTTGTGAAGGCTGTGGAAACAGAACTAGACTTTCCTCAATGCTCTAACAACAGCCAGAACATTCAGAGTAACATGAATCAACTCTCTTTGCAGTTGTTTAACAACAATGATATTGAGGATGACAATGACAGTAACAAGAGCTCGTATGCTTCGTATGCCTTCAAGAACATGGTAATGAGAGATCATAGTTATGCGGGTATTGAGTATGGACAGACGACGTTTGGAGAGCAGATTCAGAGGATTGAGATACCCTTAAAAGACTTTGTCAATGAGAGAAATGTCATTTCAAACAAGTTGCTAGAGATACAACAAGATATTACCAAAAGAAGGTGTTTGGTGGATAAGAAGATGATCGAATCATTGATAAATAACTGTGAAGCTCTCAAGACACGAGTGACAGGTCATCTACAGCTTGTTGATGAGGTCGAGAGCATACTTCAAGACCTGTGGATGGAGCAATTCGACTCTCTTCGACGGCAAAATGCCATTTTTCAGCAGAAGAAAGAGGAATACACCTCGCTTCAGAAGTTTTCCCAAAAGATCCTCGACACTGTGCTCAAAGTGCGCACTGTCAGTAGCTTCTTGGCTTCAGTAATCAGCGTAGTCGATGACAGACGATGTGGACCTACCACGATTCCGCCGATGGAACAGATTTGTATGCAGATCTTGACACTGTCTCCAGATTCCAAACAACGATGCGAAGCCATTGAGAAGGAGGAAGAGAACAGACGATTAGCAAAAGAAAAAGAGAAACAAGAAAGTGTGGATGAGGTGAAACAACTGCCAAAGGCTTTGAAGGAAACTCCGAGAAAGGGCAGGCCTGTGTCTATGATGATGATCGAGAACAGTAGGGATCGGCCGATGCTACCTGTCATGATGAAGAAGAAAAAGAGGGCGTTAGTTTTTTGAGAGTGACTTATATTATAGTAATGTTGAGTGGGATTTATATTATAGTAGTGGTATCTAAAATATTACAAAGTTGTTTTATTTGAATAGTTTTTGATTTTGATCTACTGTTTTACGTATGTTTAGGACAAAAAGTATTTGCCCATAAGATCCTTTATAAAAATTGTTATATTTTTTAATCTTTCTTATTTTAGAAAGCACAATTCTCAATCAGACGAAAGCAGTGGAATCAGAAGTCCATCTCCAAAGGATTTCTGCTCATCAGCTACAAGTTTGGATACAGTATCATTGAATACAATAGGTATATCATCAACGCCTTCTGTCAGCCCAATTGGAAGGCAAAAACAAGACGTATCGTTATTGCCTGATGATTTTTTGTTAAACGACGATCTATCAGAAGTTACAAAAGCTCCTTCAGTAGCTAGTGAAGGGCCTAGAAGGACAGTGGGCATCAAAACGCAAGGTTCACAACTAGATTCAGACAAAAATGCTGGGAAAACAACGGAAAATATGAAGGAAAGTACTAGTTGTACTAGCCCAAACCTACCAACAGCTTCAGTCAATGCCTCTACGGAATCAAACTCAGTAGCAGCATCATCAGGTGTTATATCATCAAGTGCTAATCCTACATGCCCGAGCCCAATAACCAAACCTCCGACAAGCCCAAGAACCCTAATATCACCACCACCATCACCAGTTGTCAAACCTAAACCAACAGTAAGATCGGTGCCACCAATACCTCCACCTTCACCACGGAGTGTAGATCTTGATTCACAACCTTCTACCCCAAAAACTTCACGAACGTTTAGTTACGGCGTTAGTATGGGCAATAACGCACCTTCAGAAGGCACACTCAAGGCGAGGGAGATGCTGCTACAGTCGATCAAAGAGAGAGTAAAGCGAATAGACTAGATATATTATGATAGGGTTTTGGTTCATTGTACAGTATGTTTTGGACAGTAAAAAATTAAAAAAATTTTTAAATTAATTTTGATATTTTGGTGTGAAAAATGGGAAGAGGAAGTCAGGTTTTATGTAGGTATAACAAAAAAAGTCAAATTGTTTGAAACTTAATCACTTTCATTTACAACTTCCTTGTAGTATGTATGACTTCGTAATGATTAATTGCTTTCATCCTTTATGGTCAGTTTTCACACGATAAAAGGGCATTAAAGCCGTTTTGTATTTTAATACACGAGAACAATGAATATATATCGCATGCATTAGTTCAACACGGCTCGAAATCAAGAAAATATTAAGCAAGCAATACAAACACGTTTTATGATATTATATATTACAGTATGCGCGGAATACCAATACACAAGCATAGTCTTAACAATGATCTCGTTCAATGATAGCCTTATCTTATCACTAGTACTATAGTTTCATTACGGATGATCTTAACAAAAGTTTAGTGATAGCTTTATCATTATCACTATTGCTTTATCACGGATGAGTAAGTTGCTGCGAAACCTTTGAAACATTACTAGTGCCGGACCTGGGGTTTGGATCCACCAAACTGTTGGCATTACTGACCATTCGCAACACTGTAACTCTGAAAGGCTTGATGAAGAAGATTGTGGCCAACGGATTCAGAAGCGGGATGAAGGCCAAACAAGTGTACATGAGGATGCCGAAGATACCACCAATGTCGATTCCGAAGAAGGTGGAGAAGCAAATGGCAATGGATGGGCCCACCGACGTGAACATTGGCATCATGGTTTGTACGAACAGTGTTGTTGCCAGCTGGTTCTGCATCTGCAGGGTACGGGCCCCAAACAAATGCTGCTTCTTGCTGATGGTTGAGACGGTTTTGTGAGCGAATATCATACACAGAAGATACGAAATGCCGAAGGAGACTACTGCATATCCAAGGTATAGCTGGGTGTAAAAGCTTCTCTGAAGTAAATAATGTCATTCTTACAAATTATACGTTAGATTGATAAGGAAGGATATAGGGTGGGGTGAGAAAGGGTAGAGTTTGGTATGATATCATATGGCACGATACGGTACGTAAAGGCAGTTTAGTGTAAAACATTATATATACTTTAAAAAAAAGTTTAATAGGAGAACAGACAAACCTCACCGTTTCAGCAATCAACAACGTAGGTAATGGCTTATAGTCGAACCATAACGTAGCATAATTGACGTCTGGCTTAGCACTGTACATGTATGACAAGTAGGTTACAACTGCGAGACCAGCTGCAACAACTGCTGACAATGCGTAAGCTATTGCCGTAACTAATACTGTCGGTGGGAACAAACTGAAAATGTATTATTTGGTCTGAGCAAGGTATTATATTATACATTAATCAACATGTTAAAGCATTATCAACCTTAACTTTGTTAAATTGAATGTAAAAAATTTTTTTGGTATTTAGAACGAAACATTATTAGATTGTTCAAATAATTATGTGCTCACTATCGAAATTAACTTCGAGAAAAGGCACAGAAGTATTTGAACATCCCAATATAATGAAAATGTCTTACCTATTGACACACATATAGCGGTAGAAATAGTTGGCAGGTTGAATGACAATGATCAGCCCTAAATGGAAAGCATATATGCCAACAAGTAAAGCTTGGCAATGGTACGACAATTGTCCACCAGGCCCATCTAATGCCAATAATAACACGTTGTCTTTTATTTTTCCGACCTAAAACAAGATAAGTTAGTTTAAAACACATAAGTTCTATGGAAGCACCTTATATTTATTAGGTTGTTCAAATAATTCTGAGTCTTTCTCACATTTTGCGGCTAGGGTGCACAGAATTATTTAAGTGACCTAAACTGACACAAATTGACAGAGTTTAACAGAACACTTAAGACCTACCAGTTGAAGCACACTTTCAGATATCAGAATCTGTGTATCGCACAGAGCACAGAACATTAGAATCATCTTGTAGTTCTTCAAGGGTTTATTTTTGATTTTAAAAATCAACACTAATAGCAAAGCGTTCAGAACACCTCCACCAAGTTGAATAAAACTTCGACAATGTCGAGAGAAACGAAGCCAAAAGTGGCATTGCCTCAGGGAAATAGAAGTGTCACCATGGATTACTTCCCATGCATAAAGGTTGTCTGGGGTCTCATCCATGGTTGAGGTCATACTTTAGGGTACGGCTGTACTGTAGGATACGGTGGCACTGTAAGATACGGTAGTACTGTAGAATACGGTGGTACTGTAGACTACTGTAATGCTGTAGATTACAGTTGCTATCTGGAAAACTAAGAAAATAAGTAAATGTAGTGCGTCTCGATTAACTAAAAGTATATACTAACAAGGAAAGTACCCTACCTGCCCCGCTCAGAATCAGGACAAAATTTCTATATAAATTCTTTGTACCACCAATAGTACCCATAAAAAATTTTAGCTCGCGCTTTTAAGTTTTAAATTTAAATTAGTTGAGATTCCCGCCAATTTGGCAAATTTGGCATTGTGTTTCAAGTACTTTTTTCGGCTTTCCAGACAAGATACGCTTACAACTTTAAAAATGTAGGATCATTTAAAGGTATTCTACTAGTATATCAAAGAAAAATTATTAAAAGTTAAAAAATGACAAAGTTACAAGCTTGAAACACAATGCCAAGTTGGAGGGAAATTCAAAATGTCATTTTTTAATCTCGATTTTCTCGAGATTTCCTTTAAAGCGCAATTTAGTACTTTGCTGAAGATCTTACATTTACATGACCTTTTTATATAAAAGGTTTAAAGTCAATCAGAGCGGGGCAGGTCGGGCACTTTCCTTGTAAGTCCACGCAAAAATAGTTGTTAAGAGCAAGGCTAACATGAAAGAGGTTGGTGCTATTGCTCACAATTGTACATTGTTTTAAGTACCGCCAATTACAGAGTAGAACCTCATAACACAGATAGATATAAAGGTAGTAAAACCAGCAAACGACAATTATTTTTTTTAAATTGTTTAAGTTTTCAAGTACCGCGAACGAAACACATTATCACAATTGTTACCAAATGAAATGGCAAAATTACAACGTAAAACAACTACATTTCTGTAGAATTATAGATGTTTGGTGTTATCTTAAATATGCACTTAGAAAAGTAATATTTCTTTATTACATACACATTTAAATAAGTCACTGTTTATATTAGGTTGTTCAAATAATTCTGTGCCCCATTCAAAGCAAATCTTCAAAATTAGAAAGCACAAAACTATTTGAACAACCTAATAGACATAGTTTATAAAACTTTGTCTCGCCAGCTATATTACATTCCTTATATATTCAATATCACACGTCCTCTAGAATGTCGTGGCATTTTATTAATTTCATATATCTCAACATTGTATTTATTAAGATATAGTTGTAGCCGTAACTAACGCACTATTGTTTACCATCGACAGATTAAACTGAATTTGTAGTATGAAGCAGCTAAACATGCAATAGTCGACGTCTGGATCCTGTAACCAAAATAATCAAATCTTACAAGAGAAGTGTCTTACCTCATTTTGGAGATATGAATCGAGACTAGGCTCATTTGAAAGCTTATTTGAATACAAATGCAAAAAAAAATTGTTGATAATAAACAATGAATATTCGACCTCTGGACTAACAAGGAAAGTACCCAACCTGCAACTCTCAGAATTAGCTCAAACTTTTTATACGGATTTTTTGTAGTACCAATAGCACATATAAAAAATTTTAGATTGAGGTTTTAAGTTTTGAAATTAATATATTTAAATTTTCCGCCAATTTGGCAAATTTGGCATTGTGTTACAAGCACTTTTTTTGATGTTCCGAATAAGATAGGCTTAAAAACTTTAAATTGCAGATTCATTTAATTCTTATTTATCATTATATCAAACAAAAATAGTTAAAAGCCAAAAAATGACAAAATTAAAAGCTTGAAACACTATGCCAAGTTGGCGAGAAATTCAAAACGCTATTTTTTGATCCCGATTTTCAAGACTAAACCGCAACTTACATGTTAGAATTTTGCATAAGATTTAACGTTTACATGATCCTAAGATAGCAATAGGAATGTTAGGGCCAGTGATTTGTGTGGACTGTCCGGACCGGACCAGGCTGAAGTTTTTCCGGTCTGATTCAAATTATTTTTTCATTCAGACCGGACCGCAAAACACTGGCCTTTGACACTTTTGTAGCCCGATTGTAAATTTTTTCACAAGCCTTTCAAGCCCAGCCCGGCCTGTAACTTTAGCTCAAGGGAGCCCGTAACTTTAACTCCCTGCGCGATCAGAAGGGCGGGTCAGGTTTAGCCTACACAGCCCGTTTCACACTCCTAGATAGTAAATTGTTGGCAAGGTCGAATAGATTTGCTTAATTTTTGTTTTGATGTATGAAGTTTGTTTTTAAAGAATTATAGTTATTTCAAAACAGGCAATACATTTTGACCGCAATTGTCAGACAATCTATAGTTGAAATCATATGTAATTGATTATAGCTGTAATTGTCCTGTTAATTTTGTATTTTACAAGTAATTTGTGTGTTTTAATTGCAGTTTACACTTTAGTAAACAAATCGGTACTGTTGTATAATTTTTTTAGTACAAAAAAAATTTTTAGTATAAAAACAAATTGTTGCATAAAGGTGTTATATCGTCTTTCGCCTTAGGTAATACACGTCAAAGCAGACCAAAAATTTTTTTATTAGGCCGGCTTGAGCTGAAACGAAAACAGTTTAGGCACATCAAAAAACCCGCTTTTCTCATTAGTCTGGTTTGGGAAATCTAGTCTCTTGGCATACGTCTACTTTTTCTGACCATAATTTAAGACAACAACTGCAAGCTTGGTTATTTGTCAGATGGAAATTGCTATAGCATAATTGGAAAGTTTGAGGCTTGACATGAGTCCCACCATTAGTCTTTTTAATCATCGTTCGAGTTTTTTTGTAGGCACCAGTGCCGCAAATGTACAGAAAAGAAAGAAGAATGCTCATAGTTTATAAGGCAGTTCTTTAGGTTTCTTTGTTTGTTTTTGCATCTTTCCTTTTACTCAACCTTTTTATAAATAAGATACTTTATTTTCTAACATTCTTCTCTCATGATAGCGATCGAAAGGGCAAATAACCTTTTTATTTCTTATTTTTTATGTTTCAATATTAAATTCAAATTTATTCATATTGCTCAAGTGATTATACTGAGGTAAATACGACGAGATTCGCAATAGTAACTTCAAAAAACAACTTTGAACATGACCAGCTAATTCTAATATTTAGTCGAGACGCTGAATGTAGAGTAATTTGGTTCGACTCCATTTTGAGCAAGTGAAAACATCTTCAAAACCGTTGTTCTGAACGGTCTGATGAAGAATATCGTTGCCATCGGATTCAGAAGCGGTATGAAAGCCAAACAAGTGTACATGATGATACCAAATGCACCAATGTTAACTCCAAAGACAGTAGACAGAGTGATGATCATAGATGGGCCGACAGAGGTAAAGACTGGGAGAACTGTTTGGACAAATAGAGTTGTCGACAATTGATTCTGCATCTGAATTGCTTTTGCTCCGTGCAAATGTTTGTTGTTCTTTAAGGCAGCTACGGTTTTCTTGGCGAACAACATACTGATGAGATACGAAAAGCCAAACGCGACAATCACGTAAGCCAAGTAGATTTGAGTGAAGAAGCTTCCCTGTAAAAGAAGGTAAGGTAACTGAAGCACACAATAAAATTAAAATTGTTAAAAACTGACAAGCCTACCACACACCCTATCCTTACCACTAGTATCCTTATCATATCCTTAACATTCATATCCTTGTCATTAATACTCTACAGTTTATTAAATTAGCCTTACCGTATCAGCCGGCAGAAGCACCGGTAACGGTTTCACGTTAAACCAAAGTGTACCATAGTTAAACCCTGGTCTTACTTTGGCACTGTACATGTATGAGAAGTAACAAGTAACGCCGAATGGTACTGCAATTAGAACTGATACTGCATATACCGCAAAGGCCATTTGTGGCGATAGGGGGAGCATCCTGCAAATTAAAAAATTATTCTGATAAGAAACACTTTATTTATTATTGTTATCACTTTTTCTATTATTCATGCCCCTCTCCCGCACTCATCTACCCATACCTAAATCCCTAAGCCTTTCTAAAGAAACATATCTATGTCAACACCAATGTTTTTTTGAAATTCCAAAGTAAATAACATATCACGAAACAAAAATTTTGCAACATATAGTGTAACAATGTTACTATGTTTCAAAAGTATAACAAAATGTATTACAATATGTTATTGATGTACATTATTACACTTCAAATTAAATTTTTCATAGAACATTATGAATTTTAAGTACCTTGTTACGCAAATGTAGCGGTAAATGTAGTTTGCTGGTTGTATGACAATTATCAAAGCCAGGTTGAAAGCATAGATTGACACTAAAATGACTTGTCCATGATACGATAACACATTGGCTGGGCCTTCCAGGGCTAATATTAACACGTTTTCTTTAATGTTGCTTATCTGGAAAGTTGTTTTGACATTATTTTATAAGTTCCAAATAATATAGACCAAGATTTATATTACTGTACATAGGCAAATCGTAAAGAATTAAGAATATTACAAATATAGTCAAACGGTAAAGTAGAAAAAAAAATTATGTGGTATTATTAAGTTGTTCAAATAATTCTGTGCCGTCTAATCCCAAAAATTTGCTTCAAGAAGAAGCACAGAATATTTTGAACGGCCTAATAGAGTACGCCTCTCCTGCAAAATCTTTTAATACAAACTCCTTACTAGTTGAACCAAGCTTTCAGAGATCCAAAACAAAGTGTCACTGACGGCGCAGAAAAATAACATAGTCCTATAATTCTTCAGAGGCTTCTTCCTGATGTTTAAGATCAAATATAATAGCAGAAAATTGACAATTCCTCCAAAAATTTGAATAAAAGTGTTGCAAACTTTGGAGAAACTGATCCAAAAGTAATATTCACCTTCTGTTGTCGTATCGTTTGTTAGTTCGACCTCCCATGCATAAGGGTTTTTAGATGGCATAGCTGGTGTCTATCACAAATTTTCGATAAGATACTGTAAAAATTGTAAAGTGTTTTTGCGTTTGTAATATACGTAAAGTACAGTATCATTAAGCCTTACGATACTGTAGAAAACCCGTTAGAGAAATGAAGCTTCTACAGGATAGGCACGTGAAACAAAACATATTGTGATAGTAAAACAATATGTAGACTTGTGACGATAACTCGGTCAGCATACAATATACGAAAAGTAACAAAAAACCTGTTATAAGCCGTTATTTATACCTAGAAGCTATCTGATAAGTTACACGTTTCTGTGGTATCCTCACAGCTAGAAGCAATAAACCAAATCGAAGCTCCCATCTTCTTATCTTCAACCCTGCACCAAGATGTCATGTTCAGTACATGTAGTTTTATACCTTTATACCGAACACACGTAGCACGTACGTGAGCATATAACAAAAAAAAATGTTAGAAAAACAGCCTTCAGACAAGTGCGTATTCCAATCAAACTGCTACATATTACGTTTTAAGACTTATGTTCCTGGAAACGGCCAGTTCGTTCTGTCGATTCGCGGAGAACCCCGTTTATACAATCGTGCCAACTACAATACCAACGAAAACAAAAAACATGAACGTGACATGATTTCGGCTGAGACTTTTATTACGTTCAGTATAATTGGCGTGGTTGGTGTAACACGTTTTATTATTCCATGCTATGTTGCAAAACCTGGTTTCGTGTTATTGACTAACAACGTATTTTGAAAAATTGTCACAAAAACTAAAAGATATAGTTACCAAAATAAAATCTTATAAAAATTATCCTCCCCTATCTCTACAGTTACTACATATCCACACACATTTTGACGTAGCAAATAAAGTACTACAGTTTACAGTTCATTAACCTATTTTCTATCAGAGTGATATTATAACGCAAATAGAAAATTTTGTCTCTTATAGTCAAGACTCTTGACTATAATAACATATTTGTCTAAAGCACGTTTCCAACGGGATACTCATGAAATTTAAAGCAAGTTGAAAATTGTAGATTACAAAGAGATTACATAATGTATGCTAATTAAAAGTGGTCTATACACAAGTGCATAAGTAAAACCTAAGATCAAAGATGTATGTTTCCGTTAGCTTTCGCATAAATTTATTCATTATTATCTGCCAGAGATTTCAATTAAAAAAATTAAAAAAAAGAATACAAGTAGAACAAGAAATGATAGAAAAAATAATAACATGCAGTATACAGCAAGTGATTATAACCTAAGGCAAGAAACAGACAAAAACCCAAAAAAAATTCAAAAAATAGCTTACAACTGTAAAACCACCCAAAAGCAACTTTTGCTAAAAATTGTGGTTTGATATATAATATATAACATAAAATGACATAAAAATCAATTTTTAATCATTGTAGTTACCTATGGCAAGCTAGGCAAAATACTTAAGGAATACTACGATAACTGGCTATAACTAACCATTTTATATTTTAAACTACAATTTTCAATAACTTTGAACTATAAAAATAACTAAAAAATACTTGACTATGTTAGCAAACTTATTATATACAGTAAACGCTCTTTAGTACGACCCTCGCTAGTATGACACTCTCTTTATAACAACAGATCTCTGATCATCTTTTGTAACAGAACTTTTAGCTCCTATCAAAAATTAATTGAATAGTGTGACATCCTGATTAAAATGGCACTTTAATGCTCCAGTCCCTAGAGTTTCATACTAAAGAGGTTTGATTGTCAGACAAAAACAGTCACAACATATGTTTAAAAAGTCAATTAGTATAGGGTTTCATAGACTTAACAGTTTTAAAAGCAGACTTATCATTATAAAGTGCTTAATTTTATTTAAATCATAAACAAATTAAGTTCTGACTCAATAAAAACTAACAATGTTCAGCATACCTTTTGGCACATTCGTATGCTAATTTGATTCTCTCTGCCACAACATCTGCCATTTTATATTTAGAGTTTTGCACTATTATGAAAGGTAGTATGATGGCAGCAAAAATAAAATGAAATGGTACTTCCGCTCGGAACATTTTTTTCATCTATAACAACACGGCTTAAAAGTCTACTATATTCATTTTTTATAATTTTCAATTGAACTTTTTATATTTAAAAAATATTTTTGTCAAAAATAAAGTTTGAGTCTTATCCTACCTTTTCAAAGTCATAAGGCATCGAAACCCGTCTGTCCTTCACACTCTTCTCAAACTGTAAATAGTATACCTCTAACAAATCATCTATATTCTCCTTCAAAACCTTTGCATCGGCCGAAACCATCAAAAACCTAGCCAAATCCGTCATGCCCGTGCCAAGTTGAAGCACCTGCCAGTCGAAGATGGTCAATACATTTTTGGTACATACTCCATTTTTGCGTTCGAAGAACATATTATTGGCCCAAAAGTCGCCGTGAGTTAGGATTGGCGGGATTTCAAAAGTTTCGTGCACTTTTAAAAGATTGGCGCTATATTTATCGTGAAAGGCCTCTAATTCTGCTCTGATTTCATTGAATTCTGGCACAATTTCGAATGTAGCTGAGGTGAACTTGAGGTGTTCTTGAATGTTAAGTAAGCCGGCTTCTAGTGATTGTTTGAACTCTTCAGGCAAGTTGTTTAAAGAAAAAGCATGGAATTTGGCCAAGACTTGCATTACTTCGGAGCACTAAACGTATAATACTATTAGTAGGTAGTCCATAACAGTTAAACTTAAAAAAGTGAAATAAAGAATACGTCTTAATCTACCTTAACATAGCCATTAAAGACAAAAACCAGTATTGCTCTTAACACCTCACTCAGACGTATACGTTGATATCATTAACATACAGAAAAAATTAAAAAACGACTTTTGTTGTTTCTAATAACGAGATTTTACTTTATAGTCTTCAAAGTATGTAATATAAGCTAACTTCAAATTTACGCATACCTGATCAAAATCCATACCATTAAGAACATCAGGCAAATAACCTCTGTCTCCGATATCTTCCACTAACATTTGACCATGGATTCCTTTTCTTAAATCACTGTTTACATACCCGTACATCTTTGGAAAGTATAATACGTCGCATTTTGGTGCGATATGTTGATGAAACAGGACTTCTTGGTTATGAAATTGATATAACGTTGTGGCCAAGCTTTCGTTCTAAAAAAAAATAAAAGTAAGTTCATGATCGGCCATAATATCTTTATATAATCCCCCATTATAACTTTAGTAATTAACTGATTGATAGAAAAGTGACAAGTGCTTAAAACCTATCAATAAGCCTACCAATAACTCACCCCTTCCAAGTAATTTCCATCCTTCAAAATCTGAATAGTAGGTACCTTCAAAATGATGTTAAAAGTTTCTTCTGTATCCTTAAAATCAAAAACAACCCTCATGACATATGATAAAAAGCCAGAGCCACTGATAACTTTAACTGTAGCATCAGAAATACCATATTCCTCTACCAGTCGATCCCATTTACCATCTTGACCATTCAAAGTGTCAGTTACCCATTTGAACGGGACTTGGGATGGTTTTACACATTGGTTTAGGTCAAACTTCATCTGAAAAGACTAATATTAGCAAAATACAATTTTTTAATAATATAACAATATATTATTTTTTAAATTTATCTTAACTTTTTTTTAATTCAATTCATTCGCTTTAAAAAACAGTTTTGTTACCTTTTTGTTACTTCAACTTTGTAAACAACAAAAAGAAACTGGAAGTAAATGATAAGAAACTTTGTATTATCGTTACAAATATAAACTACAAAAACAATATAAGAACGCAAAAATCTGCATCCGATAATAAAAAAAACATCCCATTTACATACAAATGTCTATGGTGACGTTTTATTAGATAGCAATCTTATCTGAGTAGGTGCGGTTACACATGACAGTAATTTTACATGTATATTTCAACTTTTGTATTATTATCAGAGTTTTATTATTTTTTTATCTACTAATTTTAAGTATTTAACGTGATTTGCTATGACCTCCTTGTAAACATTGTAATCTTGCAGACAAAATTTGCATACGCTAAAAGATGCTACAGTTTGTATTATTTGTGTTCAATGTACACTAAAAATATTATAGCCTTATTTATAGTGCTAAAATGTCGTAGCAAAACATAGCGTGACTAGTTAGTTTACTTATAATATTGTAGCTATGTAAAAAGGTAGTTTATGAAAACGTTATCAGCGGGTTACAATAAAAGCCTGCAAACCTTTTTTAAAATTAAAAACAAAAAAGATCAATAAATTCAATAGAAAATGTTTATTCATCCCGTTTATCATGTTCGTTTCAAATTTATATATCTTTAATACCAATTTACAACTTACTTTAGTTGTAAAAAATACTGAAAAGCTAAAAAGAGATCGAGGTACCAACTCATTTCCATGTATACGAATACATTATCTATGGAAACCTTTGGTGTGATTTTAAGGCGATAAAACGTTGATTAAAGCTCTTGAAACATCTGTTGAACTGATTCAATCTGAAAAACATATAACAATTTAAATAAAACGCGAATTTTTGAAGGTTATTGGAAGTAAAACCACCAATAACCATAAAGGCTTGTATAAAAACATAATGATACACTTTCTGATGACAACCACAGATAAACCTTATAATTCATGCTATCAAAGCTTCAGATGTCCTAAAATCCCAAAAACTAACAAAACTAATTACCTTTTTCATCTGAATTGATATCCGCGAGTCCAAATAACTTCCTTGAAGTGTCAACGCAGCCCAAATATGATTCAAATGTTCAGCATCAAATATTAAAGCACCTGTCTGTGTTTTCTTGTCAAAGAACTTGTCTACAACGTATTCAGGGCCAGCTTCCCCCAAAAATTTCTCCACCGCCATCTGGCAAAGCGCTGCGAACTCCTTCTGACTTTCAACTTCATCTTTGCGGTTTGAAAATTCTCTAAAACAAACACTTTTAATGTTAAGATCAACAGATTAACAATAAGAAATATTGTACCCAAACATATTATTAGAAACAAAAGTTTGTGATGAAGACTAATTTAGGTAATAAAATTCGTGTTTCTCAATTAAAAATGCATTTTATTACCTAAAACAACAAATAACTTACAGCTGAACTGTCAACTTCAGTAAATCATATTTCTTAGCCAATTCCATTATAAGTGTTAAACAACTATAGTTAACTACAACTTTAGCTAACTAAAACGCTTTCCCCAAGTTGATCAACAGAAAAAAAATTATTCGCAAAAATAATTTTTTCGGCGATCTGATTCCTATACCACTGCAGTTTGCGTGACATTTTTATACGATGAAACTTTTAATTAAAATTATTACTAACAACTATAAAATATTGATTTATTAGAGCAATTAAAACGTTGGATATTTTTGCAATAAAAAAAGTAATAAAGGCTTAGATAAATGTAATATGTTCAGCGTCCTCCACAAAGCGATGTGGCACAATGTAGTCCGGATCGTTCTTGATGGCTTCACGGCGACAATTCCTCACCCACTCCTCTTGGAAAGTGTCCGCCTCGTTGTTAAGGCAATCCTTAATGAACTTGGGTACCGGTTCTCCACATTTTTCAAGATGTTTGACCAAGAACTTGGCAAACTCAACGTCTTTTTCTCGATTAAAAAATGAAATCGCCGCTCCAGGATTTCCCATTCGGCCAGTTCGGCCAAGTCGATGAATGTACTCCGTAGGGTAGACCAATCCAGCTTGAGGCAAGTTGTAGTTGATGACCAGAGACACATTTGGAATGTTAACCCCTCTGGCCAATACGTTGGTGCACACGATGATGTCGATTTCTCCACGTTTGAACTGTTCTATCTGAAATTTTAAAACTACTCATTATATTCAAATTTCTAACTTTTGTGACAATAGTTATAGTTCTAGTGGCAAAAAAAACAAAAATCAGTTGTTTTTGTCAACTGAAGGTTAACCTTACCGTTTTGTTTCGAACTTGCATTGGAATGGCGCCGTTCGTTGAAGTAGCCTGATAACCTGCCTTAAGCAGGTCAATGGCCAAAGCATCAGCCTGTCGTCTTCGGCTGACAAAAACCAGCGTCTTATCAAGCCTGTATTTTCCATCAACCAATCTTCTACGTCCTTTCAAAATGGCATGTAGAGCGTCTCGTGGGTGGTACAACGTCGGTCTTCTTGAGTTGGTAAACTCTTTTTCTGAGTAAAACGTGCTGGCGCGGCGCTAAAATTTTCAACATTAAAACAAAAGTAATAAACACAAACAATGGGGATAAATACATTTAAAATTTAAAAAAAATATAATTAGTATAAAAGGCTTTATAAAACTTACCACTTCAACAAACTTTTGCACCACGCTCAGCACGGGCAGCTGTTCATCACCAATTTTCAGAATCACAGGGTTCGCTGCCAATTCGTCGTCCCTGTCCTTATCTGAGGTGGCGCTGTACATTAGCATTCTTGACCGGCCGTTTGTCGCCTTTAGCATTTCACGTCGAAGACGTTCACAGATCGCTCGGAACGTGTACTCCGACGTGAGACGGTCGGCTTCGTCCACAACGAAGTACATCGCTTTACTTAGCGAGTATTTGCCCTAAAATATACGACTATACTTTTGTACTGGGAGCACCTTATTTAGTGTTAAATTTTAAAACAATTATTTTAAAATCTGATTTTTTCTAAACTAAAGTTAGTTTTTTTAGATACACTTACCGTAGCGTTCTGGAAGAACATTGCCTCCAATCTGCCTGGCGTGCCGATCAGAATGTCTACACCGTTCTGTCCCCTGTCCCTCACATCATCAACCACTTCACCAATTGAGAACGTCACACCAACTGACGTTCCTTGGCAAAGTATAGAGGCATCTTTTGCCAATTGTAAAGCCAATTCTCTAGTTGGGGACATTATAATAACTTGAGGTAAGTTAAAGTTGGTACCTTGTTTAGTTGCTTTTTTATTCTTTATGATGTTTTGGATCAACGGTATCAAAAATGATGCCGTTTTTCCACTTCCGGTTGGTGCTCTGCAGATCAAATTCCGTGGTGTGTCACGGATAAAGGGGTAGGCGTATCGTTGGATGGTCGAAGGTCGGGTCACGTAACGTTTCTTGACGTTGGCAAACAATTTGGGATCGAGTGCCATATCCTCAAACGTTCTGAAATTTAACATTGGGGTTTAAAATATATATTACAGTGTTGCGGTAAGACTTTTTGCCAATTTACATTGTTTTTAGTTTATACATGTGACAATAATTTTTTAACAGCTTGATAGTATAGCTAATATAATACAATTACTGATTTCTTTAAAAAAGAACTGTTTATGATTACAAATCACAAAGACAAAAGTTACTGTAACTTACTCAATCAGCTCGAATTCTCCTGTGAAGTTGTCGATTGTCACTTGGCTGTCATCAATTTGTTTCATGTCCTGATAAAGCTGGCCTGCCTTGATCTCATCGTCTTGGTTGTCAAGTTCTTCTTCAGTGAAGCGAGACTTTTTTAACATACCCTTCTTGCGATCTAAAAGACATATATTATCATTCAAAATTTTAATACATTATTAATTTTTTGCTTACATACTGTTATTTACTTTACACATACTGTAATTTTGCTTTATAAATACTGTTAATGGCTTGTGAATTTCAACTTGAACTTTTAAAATTGTAAGACTTACACTCAAAGTTAATTCTATTATTTCTAGACGTAGCATAATCAGCTACTCCAAGTTTTCTTTGCCCAAAAGAAGGCATGGGCCGGTCAACAATGTCGAATTGGTCTCCAGCCCTTTCGCTTCGCTCTCTCATGGCCAAGACGTATGGGTCTTGTTCAGCATCGGCGTACTCGTCGGCGTACATGTTTAACGTAATTCTAAAGATAATGCTACATGAATTTCATATACGTGTTGTACTTAAAGCACGATCACGAATATAGTAAGTTTTTTCTCGTACACAAAGGATTTTACAAGTTAAATCATATTTTAATTATTGTTACATATATATGACTATAGTTATTCACAAGAGCTAAACTTCCACCCCACCCCGCCTTTATTTACAGTCGTAATTGCACAGGCTTTACATTGTCAATTCTTTACCAACATGGGTATTTAATTGACTATAAGTCCTATAGAACACTTGGTACAAGACTGGGTAAAGCAGTATCAGTATATCATTAGGTATGGACCAATAAAGCATTTGAAGTCTTCAAAACAAGTATAGCTTTGTTAGTTTTTGTAGTTGACTTTGTACATCTTTGACATCTGGTACGGTAATTTTAACTCACATTATCATATTGATCTTATATGATATATCTTGATTTGCAATTTGAACAGCACAAGTATTTATTAAATTTATTATTTAACATACTGGACTTTGTTCCAATTACAACTTATGTACAAATAAATAACACAAAATTTTATACAATATAAACATATCTACCGATTTTATTAAATATAACACATATATCACAATTAAATAAAATTAATATATATTATTAGGTTGTTCAAATAATCCAGCCCGTAACTCCAAATTTCCTTTAATAGAGAACACAGAATTATTTGAACAACCTAATAATAATATATATATATATAACACAACAGTAAGATCAAGTTCTTCTTCACACCAGAAGAAGTAGAAGACAACCGGACAGTTCGAGTCTGTTGTTTGACTGAAGATAAAGTCGAAACCTTCGTCCTTTTATATAAACGTTTTGTGTGCCGATTTATGACGATGCTGAAGCTCTGTCCCGTATTTTTAAACCCTTATAAAGGCCCTTTACGCAATTACAAAAGCACAGATAAAAGATTAGGTTGGTACATTAAATTTGTCTACCGATATATTTTTTGAATCTGGCCAAAACTGTATGATGTAGTTTTTAATACTTTACTCTTCTATGATATAATATAATACTTTCATCTACATCTGAAGAAACCATAACTCCTTGGCCACAAAATTTTAGAAACAGTAGCACTCTCAAGAACCTTGCAAGCCAAGATTAATATATTCTTTATTCATTGTAAAACAATACATTATCAACGTAAATATTACGGAATTTTTGAATTACACAGTAATTTTAGATGTATTATAAACTATAAAACAATATTAGCAAACATAGCCAAAAATAGGGTTGAAACATGTTAACTTTGAACTAAATCGTACTACACATAAGATGGATTACAGAAGTCAAAAGTTTACAAGTACAACATCTCTTATCAAGTTTTGATAAAATAATAGATTATGCCATTATAGACAAGATAATTCAAGCCCCATTCTGCCTCTCCTGATCCCAGGGATCTTGAGGATGACCTTCGTACTGTTCTTGCATGAATATACGATGTCCTCCATCTCTTCCATTCAATTTTTCCATTTCTTCTGAAGTCAATTCAAAATCGAATACGTCGAAATTCTGTCGAATTCTTTCTGGATTCTTACTCTTCGGAATCACCGCGATGCCACGCTGAATCGCGTGACGAAGAAGGATCTGAGCTACAGTTTTATTGTACTTCTCAGCCAATGATTTTGCGTATTTGTCTTCAAGAGGATTTAAAACGCCTTCTTTGGTTTCACGACAGCTGAAATAGAAGTTTTAATGAAGTATAGTAGGTAGGAAAAGGTAAAGTAGAGTATAGTAGGATAGGATGGAGCAGAATAGAGAAGGGTAGAATAAGATAGGATGTAGTAGGGTAAGTTAGGGTAGGGTAAAAGAGGATAGAGTAGAGTAGGATAGGGTAATTTAAAATAAGTCAAGATAATCTCAATGATGAGTAAAAAACCAACTTACTCCTCCTTCTCCTCAGTAATGTGAATCTGCGACCCAATTGGAGCATAAGCAGTAATCGCAATGTTGTTACTCTGGCAAAACTTTACCAGTTCAGGCTGTTGGAAGTACAAATGACATTCAAACTGTGCATCCTGAATAGGAACTTCAGCGGTCTGTAAAACATCTTTCATTTGTTGTTCATTGAAGTTGGACACTCCAATGGATTTGGCTAGTCCTTTATGATACACTTGCTCCATGGCATTCCAGGTATGTTCTGGGAGCACTGATGTGTCGTGGTCTTCTTTGTCTGGCTGAAAGAACCATTTGTGTAATTTTTATTTTATTTTCTAAATAATATTTATATATTAGGTTGTTCAAATAATTCTGTGACCCCTAACCTCTAAAATTTTCTTAAAGAGAGAGCACATAACTATTTGAACAACAAACTATAAATCATATTATAAATAAATCAATTCATGACATATATTGAGTAAGATAACCTGGTTCGTAGGTAATACAAGTCCTTGTAAAAAAAAATAAAACTTACCGTAGAGGCAATTGGATGATGGACAAGATATAAATCAACATAATCAGTTTGTAGGGCTTCTAGCTCTTCCTTTAGACACTTCTCAACATCTTCTGGTCGATTGAAGTTTCGTGGAAGCTAAAATTATATTTTAACTTATTTTAATGCCATATAAATCGCATTGACAGGGTCCCTTATTGTTTAGTTACCATACTAACGTCATAATACTACTTTAAGGTATAATCATATTGGAAGTAAATCTACAAACACTCTTGCTAAAAAAACTCTTTAATCGGTCTAATACAGTTATGGAAACAATAAACTTACTTTAGTAGTCAAAAACAAGTCAGACCGCTTCAAGTCATGATCCTTAAAGTATTCTTGTAAAGCCTTTCCAATACTCTTCTCGGTACCATAACTGTAAGCGGTATCAATCGACCGGTAACCAGCATCCAAGGCATTGAACACAGCTGTCCTACACTCACCTTCGGAGGACTAAAACACCAGTTTTATTAAAAGGGCAGCTATAAGAAGTCGTTTCTACTACACTTTAGTAAAAAGAAGGCTTTTCTGCTTGTTTAGTATAAGCAAGTAGGTTATTTGGGCTTTGATGGTGGAAGAGGTAAATTTTAATTTACTTTGTCAACATAGTTGTACATCTTTAATTTTTTATCCAAATCCACAATTAAACAAAATTTAAAGACTCTCTCCAATATTAACATGAGAAGAACTCACATCAGCCGTTCCAAGCCCGATTATGGGCATTTTCAAGCCATTACTGAACGTTAAACTCGGCATTTTAAAAAGACTGGCAACTCGAAACATACAAATAGCCAAAACTGAGCAAGAATCTGTTCCCTGGCTTGTTTTCCCTAAAAAAACATTTTGAAATTTGGGAGAAAAAATTTGTTTACTTGTTTTTGTTTTGTCCTCTGTTCTTTGGTTAGAACGGTGGAGAGAGCGGGGAGAAGGGAGAGGGTGGGCGGAGAAAGGGATTCTTTGAGGTCGAAAGAAGAAAGATAGGCAGTTTTGAAACGTTATCACAACTGGGTACAGTGAACTCTTGTTATCGTAAACACTATCGTTATGAAAAAGGTTTCTTTATTCAATTAGTTAGAGAATTCACCCGTTTTAGGCAACAATACCATTATAATAAAGCTCCCAATAAAGGCCTTCACAAGTTAAATCCAAAATCCTAATGGACTAACTTCAAAAATCAGGGTTCGAAATAACAAAATATATCAATAACTGCGATGACAACAACATATATATTATTCATACTTCAACATTTCTCGCTCTCAAAAGAAACTTTATTCAAAAGCCAATCTACTACAATATTACAGATACTTCTCCCAATCATTTAACCATAAATTCATCCCAAATTGCCACTGATAAGTTGAGTACAATGCTGATCTTTGCCCGCTTTTTCCAAGTTGGTACAGTACTGAAGATTGCCCGGCCAGCCCAGGGTGAGCGTCGACATTTTGCGATAACAAGTGCCAGTTTCGGTGAATTTAAAGTAGTCGCTTCGAACGGTACAAGTGGGACATTTGCCGACCAGTTGATTGGCCAGCACAACTTTTCCAGTCATGTTCTTTAGTTCATCAGCATCTGGTATTACTATGTACTTCTCTCCTTCGCCTACATTGCTGTCACTCGAGCCATCCAGTTTAGAGCCGGGACAGTCAATGTGGCCTTGAGATGGCTTTATACAATAGACACTCTCAACGTCGGTACAGCGTACCTAAAAAAACTACAGATTTATCTTCTCTAAAATTAAACAAAAAATAATTTTTTAGGTAACAAAACGCCTACCTGTTCATGTTTGTCGAGACAAGTTGGTGGAATATACTGGTCGGTTTTCAAGTGATGTAATCTCCATGACTGAGCTGCTTCTCCACAATATAATTCGCAGAAACTCTGTAAAATAACCAAATTATACAAACGAAGTCGAAACTTATAGTACGACTGCTCTTGAATACGTAGTTTACATTGATATAGGTTTCAAAAGTATATTAATATACGTTATATAGACACTTAGGTGCAAACACATTGATCTATAATGCTCCCGCTTCGCTTTATTACCTAAAAATTCAAAAACTTTTGTTAAATTCAAAAGGAAAGATAAAATAACCAAGAAGAAGGCTATAACAATATCACTATATCTTCCCAAAAACAGTTACTGTAACTTTTAACTTCTAAAACATTTTAAAAACCATAAAAATGCCACTTCCTCACCGTGTTGTACTCTCCAGGATCTTGATACGCGCAATGTTGGAACGAGATCTCGTCTCCACGCAGGCGAAGCAAAGCCTTGTCACGGCGGAAGATTTCGTTATGAATATAGGAACTGCGAATCCAGAAGAAGAAGAAGATACACAGAAGTATCAGCAACGGAATCACCACCGCCCCCACAACCACCATGCCCGTACAGGGCTTCCGCCGCAAGGCATAACGCAGAAACTTGGATGTCTTCCTTCGACTGGTCGACTGAAAGTAAAATTAAATTAAAATCTTCTGATTCTTATTCAAAATTCACCTAAATAAATGTTATAACAATATTAAACTGAAACGTAAACTAAGTGAGCGCATATTTGGCTATTTTAAGTTTAAAAAGTTGAAAACAACCAAATTCTGCCAAAATAGATAAGATTCAAAACAGCTTTTCAAAACAAAAATATTCCTTATAAAGCTAGTGAGACCATAAGCATCATAAACAGAACAGAAAAAAATTATCAACAACGGCCGAAAATATTTTACAAAATTCTTGACACTTCGTCCTTAATTTTTGTGACATTTCGTTTCAGCCAAAAGGATTATTAGTATGAAAGAATCAATTGTGAGTTAAAAGTTGTAGGTTAATACGAACAATACTCTTTTTATAGTTTTGTTAAAATATTGAAATTATATGATGGTTATACCAAAATACATAAGGCCATAAAGTATTGACGTTAATTTACATTGATTTTAATGTTAAAAAACGACAAAACTTTGTTTGCTTTTAATATTAGGTTGTTCATACAATTTTGTATTCCTTAACGCCAAAAATTTGCTTTGAGAGGATACAGGGTTATTTGAACAACCTAATACATCATTGTTCTCATGAATAACATAAGCAACTGGTCAAAAAATAGATGGAAACGTTCAGAAAGGTGCTGTTTATGAAAAACTTTGACTAAACAATTTAAATATACAGCTCACAAAAATTGAATTTTTAAAAAACTTACTGAAAGCTTACTATTCGAAACCATTCTGTCAAATCGGGAAAAAGTAAAATAAAGTAAAGAAGGAAAATAATGTGTGGATGGATTCTTGAATGTCCAAAACTTTTCATCTTATTTGAAAATTTAAAATTTGCATAATTATTCTTTTTTAAGCTACTATTCAAAAAAATACTTCTTTGCTTTTTCAACGCCATATATGGATAGATTGAAACATGAGGGGAAGGGGGATGATGAAGATTTGATGAAGACCGTCAGGGCAATCCATTGTAGTTGTTCCCAATTTGGCACCATCGCGGTCATTTTGTTTGTCGAGTTATCGAATCTTGATGAGGTGTTCTTTAAGAATTTAGACAGTAGTCGGAAGCTTGTGTAGGAAAAGCAAGCAATTTGTCATAGTCCCCGTGCACGTATCACTTCCTATTCATTTACAAATTTGTTCAGCTAGTAAAATATTTTTTGAAAATTCCTTCAGTTCTGAAGTATTTTCTAGCTCAGGTCCAGATTCGGATCTGCCCTGAGCCGAAGCTGCCTTGGTGCCAGAGCTGCATCGAAGCCAAAGCTGCCCTAGTGCCGAAACCGCCCCAAAGCCGAAGCTGCCCCAGAGCCGAAACCGCTCCAAAGCCTGGTCTTACTATGACAATCTCTTCTTCCGATCACATTATCCTGACAACGATCGTCCACGCTGCATTTCATGTTGTGACCATGGCGTAACCCCACCCTACCGATTCTCCGTTTATCTCCGTCGAATCTCCGAACAAAAGGTTCCGCTTTAGGTTTGAGACGAGTTCGGTTTTCATTGTTCATTGTTTTAAAAACTGATCGAATCCTGACCCTGACCTGATTCCGCCTCGCTCAATTAGCCCACCAATTCGACGCTTTTCATTAATTGGGTTTGATCGAGCGTTTTATCAATAATTAATTATTACTTATTCAAATGTTTCAACCAGTTTGGGTGCATGTGGTGGTACTGTAGGGTTTGGTATGATACTTGAGATTTTTTGGCTAGCCAAGAAAAGATGAGGTTGTATTAGGTTATTCACATAATTTTGTGCCCCCTATAAAAACAAATTTTTGAGGTTAAAAGCACTGAATTATTTGAACAACGTAAAACAACGTTAATCTACTGTGTAATCAAGAAATGACATGTTTTGTCTATCGAAAACTTGATAAAAGCATTTTAAGTTCATTGATTCTGTAGTTAATCAAAACTTCCTTATTTTTTCATTTACTTAATGAAGTTGTCGTCACCAAACATATTTGTGTTAATTAATATGATTTTGCACTTTCTCATCATACGACTGTTATTGTAAATACGTAGCAGACTTGACGGTTTACATTCCCCGAAAAGTCCCGCTCCCCGGTTTACTGATGTTTGGGGTATTGAAAAATGGTTTTTCAACTAATTCTGTGCTCCCTCTCAAAGCAATTTTTCGGAGTTAAAAGGCACAGAATTAGTTGAAGAACTTAATACTTTAAAAATTATATAGTATTGATCATTTATTCAAAACAAATTTTGAATTTTAAAGTTTTTGAACTTATTTGAAGTCGTTCTTGATTTAAGTTTAATAGGTTTTAAAATAAGAGTGACATTTATAAATTAAAGAAGTAAAACAATATAAAAACAGATTCTTTAAACTTCCTTTTTAAACCTTGTTTAAAAAATAGTGACGTAGTAAAAAGTTTGTTCGCTGTATTCTATCCAGATGTAATTCAACGTTTTCTGTCATTGTTTTTTATTTGTGGTACATGGTGTTACATCATATGTAGACATAAAAATCGCGCCGGGACTACTCTCCAGCACCGGTTCGTTTTTAATTTAGTATTTTGGGAACCCCCCCCACAGCAAAAAAAATTTCGAAAAAAGTTGAACTTAGTCCCCCCCCTGTGGACTTAAAAAAATTGTCGCAAAACCTGTGCCGATTTTTTCGATCCCCCGCCCCCAGACCAAAAGTCCCTGCCCGGCCCTGACTTCAGTACCACACTTTCCAGGTACTTTTTGATAGGAGTTTCAATTACAAAAGGCTGAAAGCTGTCATTATAAAGAATATACTATCGAAAGACATACTAAATAGGTTTAACTGTGTAAAAATTTAACAAAGATCTATTTTTCCCATTGTGCCACTTTTTTGTAATGTTTCGCTGTAGTAAATGTTTAAAACCGAACGCTTTCACATGTTCAGCCCATGTTCTAAATCGGAAAACAAAAAGGTTGTAAGAGAATGTGAGTAATGCGTAGGTTTATTACTTTGCATTTGATCGAATTACCACAACAATGTTTTTGAGAGATTTGTAGTCAGTTCACTTGAGAAAGAACTGACCAGACCATAAGTGTTTACTTCCGAAGAGTCACAACTTCAGGAAGTTTACAAAAATGATTTTTTAAACTATTTTTGGGAAAAAAATACAGAAACTTGCCTTCAAAATTAATGTTTAGTAGTGCTGGACAAGCCAGATGGACTTGTTTGTCTGCCCGGAGGCGGGAAAACAAGGGAACAACATTTTAAAAATTCGTTTTGAAAATCAACTGGGGGATCACGTTCAAAAAAATTTTTTTGGTGAAGGACGGTTTTCTAGTTAAAAAAAATATTTTAAAATGTTACAGTATGTACACCTCAAACCCGTAAGAAGTAATTTTATGTTACAGTACCCCAAAAGTCCGTAAAAAGTAATTTTATGTTTTAAAACGTTGGCGAACCATTGTTTATTTTATAAAGGTACCTTTAATTACTTTTGGTTGGCGAATTGTTTACTTTATACGTCGTGGACAACATTATTGTAACAATAATAATCAACTTAATCATTAGTGTCTTTGTTCTGGATTCAAAACGTTTATTAATAATGTCATTTCTATTTTTATTGTTTTAGGTATGGAGTTGATAGTTTTTTTTATTTCTAAATTATTATGAGTCGTTGAGGTCTTTCACGTATTTTTTAAAGTATTTTAGATAACAAATGAGTATTTTAAAGTATTATAAGTATATTGAACTACCCCTGCCTTACCATAAATTTAAAAACTGATAAAAATTTCATTTCAGGATGGGTCTAAAACTTGAATCCAGATGGGAACGCCGTATCCAGACCGGCACCGTGATGAAGTACATGTTCATCTTCTTGATCATGCCATTCCTCTCACTCGCCATCGTTGGTTACATGTTGTTTTACACTCAATTCTGGTGGACTATGGGTTTCTATTTCGTTTGGCTTTACTACGATTGGAACGTTGGAGAGACTGGTGGTCGACCGAACAGTTGGTACAGAAGATTGTACATTTGGAAAGCAATGGCAGACTACTTTCCAAATGAAGTTATTATGACTTCGAAGATTCCGAACGATAAGAATTACATCTTTGGGTGAGTTTTTGAGGTTTTTGTTATCTGAGATGTTTTAAAATTTGATTTTTTTAAACTATTTGTTACCTATTTTTAATAATTTTCGCTTACAATACCTTTAAACCTTTTCTAAAACTTAAAAAACAATAAATCTAAACATCTATTCCAGCTGGCACCCCCACGGAATCATAAGCGTCAGTGCCTTCAACAACTTCTGCACAAATGGCACAGGCCTAGACGAGAAGATGCCTGGAATCCAACGCTACATGGCGTCATTATCGTCCCAGTTTTACTATCCTTTCAGACGAGAGATTGTCACAGCATTAGGCGTCGTATCTTCATCCCGAGAAGGACTTTCAGCAGTGTTGAACCGCAAGGGTGGAGGTAATGCGGTGGGATTAGTGATTGGCGGGGCTGAGGAAGCCATGGAGTCGCATCCAGATGTATTTGCATTAAATCTCAAGAACCGCAAGGGATTCATTAAGCTGGCGTTGAGAACCGGCTCTTCGTTGGTTCCAGTTTACACGTTTGGTGAGACCGGGATTTTTAAGCAGGTAATGATTTGGTTATGTTTTCCTTGATTTTTGGTCTATTTTGAGATGTTATACTTAAGATTTTGAATCAAAATGTAAACAATTACCTTGATTTTCACAAAAGTTACCATTAGACTAGCAAAACGCTTAAAATTACCCCACTTTTTGTGACAAATCACCAAAAATCGTAAAAAATGCAGCAAAAAACAAAAAAAAATCATAAAATTCAGCAGATCCTGCCTTTTTGATCTCCATAAACGCCTTTAACACCATTTTCGATAGAAAATCATTCAAAGGTCATTTTGCAAGTAAATTCACGGTTCAAGAGAATGTGATTCCAGCTGAACAACAAGAAAGGAACACCACTCCGCGACTATCAATCACTGTTCAAGAAGCGGGTTGGCGTTAGTCCAGTCCTCTTCTACGGCGCCGGAATGCTCAAAGATACGTTCGGGATGCTGCCGTTCCGCCAGAAAATGATCACCATCAGTAAGGATACCAAAAATTTTGTCATATTTTAAAAATTGAGCTTCAAAACTACAAACTTTGATTTTTAATAAGTTGTAGTAAGCACCGTAGAAGAAAAAAACCTAACTTTTAACTTTCAGTACCCCAAAATCAAAATATTATTCTTCCCCTTTCAGTTGGACCCCCTCTGCACGTAGACCAAGTCGAAGAACCTACCCAACAACAAATTGACGATCTCCATGCAATTTACGTCAAAAAGGTGCACCAGCTTTTCGACGACAACAAACATGTTTATAATGTGCCCAAACACGTCAAACTCAATATCTACTGATCCCACAAATCTCAATTACATATACGGGTATTAAACTTTTTGAATTTTATTCCTAATTGATCAGATCGGCTTTTGTAAAGTGTGTATTACTGTATCCAACCCGGATTTCCATTTGCTGTACGGCTCCTCGTAGTTTACGGCTTCAGTGACAATTTCTGGGTCGACGTCGAAGGTGTTGAAAATTCTGAAAGAGAATATTCAAAAAAATAATCCTTAGTTAAAAATTTTATTTTAAGCACGTTATATTATTAAATTTTATAGATAATATACCAAAGGTTTATAAAATACTAAACTAAACCTTAAAACTTACTTTTGGTTCGCCCAGTCATGAGCATAAATAGCAGTTGCGGCTAAACCAGCTTGTAGAGCAATCAAAAATGGCATTTTAGGCTTCACGTACTTGGTAAACTCGTTACATAGAGCAAATGCTTCAAACAAGTTCCTGCTTGCATATTTAGAGTCATCTCCAAGTTGTCTCAGCAGCTGAAAACATTTAAAGTTAAAATTTTTCTAAAATTTAAAAAAAGAAGACAACTATTATATATTTTGCACTACAATCTTTTCAAATTCAAAAAAATAATACACAGTAAAAACGCTGAAAAAGTTTTTATCTTTGTTCAACAAAAACACGTTTCCAAGGCAAATTCCGATCGAAAGAAGTAAAAAACAAAAAAGCGAACAGCCGTGATCTCGTGGTGTAGTGGTTATCACATCTGTCTAACACGCAGAAGGCCGGCGGTTCGAGCCCGCCCGAGATCAAAGGCCTTTTTGGTGTTCATTTTACCAAAAAAGTAATTTTAACTCTTTAAACATCTATATTCTGCTTCAGAACAACTTCTACAGGGTGTCCCAAGATTTTTGCGGAAAAGTAAAAGCTTCGTTCTCAAAAAGTACCAGTCCAAATTGGACGATTCTTTTTTTAGTACACTTGAAATTGCGGGCGGATTTGGCATTTGTACTTCGTTTTTTGATATTCGGCGGACGGTCGGCGGAGACCGGCGGTGGCTAATTTGTTGCTTTGACCAATCCAAAACCTAGCTTTTCGGCTCCTATGACATCCTCTGATTCGTCAAAATGTTTTACAATCAAAAAGTGTTTTTCTCTGCGTCGGCGGACGATTGGCGGAGAAAAACGGCGAAGGCCATAACTCCGCTCAAACAATATTTTTTCACCGGACAAAAATGAAAGGTATTTTTTTGAGTTTTTTAACCATTTTTGAAACTTAAAAAAGTGTTTTTTTAAATTGGCGGACGATCGGCGGAGAAAATCGGCGTAGGCCATATCGTAGTCAATTTTCAATACTTTTTAACCGGACAAAAACTGAGGGTATTCTTAGTTTTTTAACCATTTTTATCAAATTATAAATTTTAAAAAAATCGGCGGACGATTGGCGGAGAAAATCGGCAATAACTCGGTCAATTTTTAATATTTTTTTCTGAGAGCAAAAATATTGACATCCTAAGGTTCTTCTCTACCAAAATATTGCAAATTCAAAAGTTAAATATTGAAAATCAGACGAGTTATAGCCTTCGCCGATTTTCTCCGCCAGTTGCCGCTAGTTAATTTTGTAAAATTAAAATGTGTTTGAGATAGGTATAAAACCCTAAAGAACACGTTTAGTTGTTGTCCGGGGGAAAGATATTAAAAACTGGCCAAAATATGACCTTTGCAAATGTTATCCGCCGACTGTCCGCCAATCTCAGAAAAATAACGTTTAAGTTTAAAGAATCAATAAAATGTTTGATAAACTCAAAAGAATACCCTCAGTTTTTGTCCGGTTAAAAAATCTTAAAAATTGACTACGATATGGACTACGCCGATTTTCTCCGCCGATCGTCCGCCAATTTAAAAAAATACTTTTTTAAGTTTCAAAAATAGTTAAAATGGTTAAAAATCTCAAAAGAATACCTTTCATTTTTGTCCAGTGAAAAAATGAGTTTGAGCGGAGTTATGGCCTTCGCCGGTTTTCTCCCCCAATCGTCCGCCGACGCAGAGAAAAACACTTTTTGATTGTAATTTTGACGAATCAGAGGATGTCATAGGAGCCGAAAATCTACGTTTTGGATTGGTCAAAGCAACAAATTAGCCACCGCCGGTGTCCGCCGAATATCAAAAAACGAAGTACAAATACCAAATCCGCCCGCAATTTCAAGTGTACCAAAAAAATAATCGTCCAATTTGGACTGGTACTTTTCGAGAAGAAAACGAAGCTTTTACTTTTCCGCAAAAATCTTGGGACACCCTGTACACATATCTTGTCCAACTAAGCACTTAAAAATAGCATAAACAAAAGATTTCAAACCTTAAATTTATCATTTCCATTATCATTCAAATTTAGTTAAAGTTATCATAAAAACCAAAAAAAAACTCACAATTCCATAACACAATATTGGAGATCCAATCAAAGGAAACAATGTACCAGTACATACACTAATCGTTACACCAGTTGACAACAAACAACTTGCACAAGGCTTCTGCGTATCCATGAACTTGCTCCTGACCAACACCTCCCAGAATCCATAAGACATAAAAGCAGAAGCGTAAAACATCACAAATAAAGGAGCTTTTGAAGTTGTTCGCATTGTTTCCAAAATACCAGCTTTAGGTTTATTGAGGAAGATATTGGCCGCAACTCTGTTGGCTAAAATTCATGGGTTTTTATATGACACTATAATTATGTATTACTTTTGAAATATACAAAATTGCTTCATTTCTTTCATTTTGTAGTTTGCAAAATAGATAATCTACGTTTACTAAAAGTTTCTAGCTTCTGGCTAATTTTGAAAAAAAGTTATGATCAAAATTGTAGTAATATCAATTATTCCATCTACTATAATATAAAAAGCTCCCGGAAACTTGTAAAAAGCTGTATTCACCCGCAATTTCTTCTAAAATCATAAAACAGAACTAAACACTTACTTATATAAAAACTTGAGAGCGCCGAGCCAAAAATTACAGGATGCTGAGCCATTTCCATAGCCCATCTCTCCGACCTGTATGGCCAATTCTTAATCACTTTTTGCATGTAATCCACTTGGTCTGTACTACTCATTTCTCGCAAACTCTTCCATAATCTTGTTTTTTGGATGTCAAAATTTGGCTGCCTAAACATTTTAGAATAAAAGAAACAAGCAACTTACCCTTTATCAAAAACATTAACTTCAGGCGTGTTGGGAATGACACTTGATGTCTTCCACAACGCCACAGGATCTGTTTCTTTCCATGACATTTAAAAAAGGTAGAAAATGTAATAAACTACCTCAATTTATCATAAATTTGAGTAAAACATAAAACTTATTATTTTTTGACGAAAAATTGAGTTTGCGACAGAATGCCAAGAAATTCGGCTGTTTGGAGAAAAATGCGCAAAAATTTCATATTTAAACATAACTTTTAAATAAAAATTGATAAAATGAAGAAAAAATATATTGACAATACCAAGTTAATATTTATTCATTTTTTATAAACTATTTTACAAGTTTAGTGTTCAAGTTTATTCAGTGACTATATACATCAAGGTAAATGAGCAGATTTATCCAGATTTGTCCTCGTCTTTCCTAATTGATTTGATTTCTTTTAGTGTGTCGTCATCTGCATGTCTTTTCTTTGCTACGTATGTCCTGAAAAAGTCGTTTTTATTGTGATAAACGTTTAAAAACTTTTAAAATTCATAAATGTTTAGATTTTGCACGGTGCAGTTATGAAAACCGCACTGCGCAAGAAGTAAAAATCTTTTTGAATTTACCTAATCTTAATAACTTGTAGCAAAAAGAATGGCAAATATATTTTTAGTAAAATTAAGTTTCAAAACGCGCCATTCTTTTCGCAGCAAATTAGAAAGAAAACTAAGACATTAGATATTGAGTATAGTTATGGAAATCAAACAAAAATAGCGAAATTTAAAAATTTAAAGAGTATTTTTAAATTATAACTCACTTTTTGGACTCTGCTTCTTTTACCGGCTTTGGGGGTGGATGGATTCGCTTGTTGGCTTCTGCTTTACTCAACTGACTAACTAACTTTACTTTCTCTTTTCGATGTGTACATTGTAACAAGACGCTTATTATAGGCTAAAATAAGGTGGTATAAGGTATTTAAAGGGTAGAACTAGTTAACTTACGCTATGTAAAATAAATTAGAAAACTATACTTAAGGCCTAAAGTAAGTTAGCATTTGCGATGTTAAAGCTAAAATAAGGACAAAGAAGCTATTCAAATGCAATATTTAAGTAATATAAGACATATAAACCCTAAAATAAATAAATGTAAGTTCATAAAACTACAACTACTTACAATTACTAGCGGAATATACAATATTTGATTGATACATGATGGTAATAACATTACGTTTCAACTAGACACGACCAGTTGGGCGTGGTAGTACAAAAGGAAGTGAAAAATCATTGTTTTGAAAGGTAATTTTTTTGAGAATTTTATTTTTTCCGATAATAAAAGTTTAAAAATACGATTTTTCAACCTTTACAGATGCCAAAAGTATAATTTTTTAATCAGAAAAGTTATAAAAACACGTATATTGTCATAGACAACAGCACTATTAACGTTTATAGCCGTATCATTACTGTACATGATAATATATATTCTCTAGATAACAACACTAAACAGTGTAGCAAACCCCAGTAAGTTCGCAAATGTCCTCAAGATAGCTGGAGACCCTGGTGAATCGTGCCAATTCATTCGGAGGACATCCGACCGATCCGAACGATGTTATACCGACCAAAGTGTAGAGACCATTATAGTCGACTTGTTGTAGTCCGGATCCAGAATCACCATGACAAGTCCGTTTCGAGTTCCAATTGGCTGGACTGAGGGATTTGGCACAGAGATAGTCCATGACTTTGGTCGGCATCTGGTCGGACCATGGAGCCGAGCACGATACATCTGTTTGCATCGGAATCTCACGGATCAGAGGGTCACTTTCGTAGTAGACTTAAAGTAACATGTTATATTGTAGAATTATATTATGGTAAAGTTGGTAATATAAAAAAATGAAAAAATGTTTTCTGATCCACCCCTAGACCAAAATCACCCCACCCAAAAAAGTAAAATCAAACACTCTTTTTTTCTTCTGGTTGACTATAAACAAAGTCTACAGTAAGAAAACTTACTGCTAGTCCTGCCCCAACTGATCGCAGTAACAACTTGTTGTACTGGTTGTGATGGAAATGGCAGACAAATAGGTAACGTATAGTTATCAAACTGAATTGGTTCGTCCAACTCAATTATAGCCCAATCGTGACCTTCCTGACACAATCCCATAGCAAAACCGTGATCTATAGCTACCATTCGGATCTAGAATAGTATTTTATTCAAACATATATACTACAACAGTGCTGAATAAGGGATTCTAATTTGGGTGAGGGAGTTGGATGAGGACGGGGAAAGGTCTAATGATCAAAAATATCACTAGAGAAGGCATATTCATTCTGTTTTTCAACAAAAACATATTTTAGGTTTTTTAGGTAGAAGGACTTTGTTCTGCGCTTACATTCTTTGTCTTTCCAATGGTATGTTCACAAAGGTTGTGCCTACTCAAGTTCGTATGCCCAGCTCGAATACAGTCATCACCGTAGGCTACTTTTCTAATCAGTACTTCACTGTCGTTCTTGTAGTTTGTTACTCTAAAACTTTCAAACTGTTGGGTTGTTCATATAATTTTGTGTCCTAACCACGCAAATTGGCTTTAACAGGGGGCAAAAAATTATATGAACAACCTTATATATACATAGTGTGCATGAAGACTAAAAACGTCAAACTTATTCCAAGAATATCTAGTATAACAGAGCTGAATACCTACAAGCACGGTCCAGGATGCCCAGCATCAAATCTCAAGAAGCCATGAGCGGCGGTTATGATATGGTACGGCGAGATTATGGCACCACCCAAGGTGTTCTTGCCCTGAAAAGATAAGGTTTTAAGAAAGATTTGTAAACTGTTGGGTTTCAAATAAGCTTACACTTTATTATAGTATGATTAAGACAGTTGTACTTTATTATAGTATGATTTAAAAAGCTTATGTTTTACTATAGTATTTATGCTAAAAAAGATTATATGTTACTATATTAGGATTAAATAAGGCTATCCTCTATCAAAGTTATTTATCTTACGTGAAGTGTAATTGAGACAGCCCAAGGGTATAACCTTCCATGATTGTCTTTAATTTTATGACCAGTCGATCTTCCACATTTTATAGCCAATTCTCGGCTTAAAGTCTCATTGATTCGTCTTGTTTTAGCATCTAGAAGTGTCTTGTAGATTATAAATTTGTCCAAATATAGGTGAGCCAACATTTTTTTTAAATTTACAAATAAAAATGTGAAATTTGGAAAAGCAAAAAGTAAGCTTTTTAGAATACTTTATGGACGATACTATGCCCTTCAATGATATGATACGGCTATTGAGTATATGTAATACTTTTAAAAATTAAAATTTCCCGCTTTGACAGGTTTATCCATAGTGAGATAATTTGTTACAGTAAGGGACAATATAAGGAAGGAGTTTAGATTTTGATAACTTTTTACTGATATTTGATAAATAAATTTTATTTTTTTATTATCATTTTAGTAAAATACGTCACACTAATTGCGTACTCTAGGTTTTTCTTCAAAAAAATTTTTCTTTTTACTTCGACGTTCGAATTTCGACCTGCTTCATTTTAAAGCGATTTTTTAAATATTCATAAGGCAAACCATTAACCGTTTTCAAAATATCTATAAACTTACCTTCCGGTATTCTGGCAAAGTAATTCTTGGCTTCTACAACCACCAACAACCCGACTAGCCACAACAACAGCACACATGTTACTTTCATTGCGATTTGAGTGAATCTCGAGGATTCGGTTTATGTTTTTGTCGCGCGACATTTCTTCTTGTGACTTTTGGAAACAGAGAACATCTCAGAAGGTTTGTTTCGAATTTCAAAGGATTGAATTTATTTCCATTTTAAAAAGTTCATCCGACCTCCTTCTTAGTTTGCTCTTCGAAACTTGGTTTTGCAAAAGATTGGGTGCTACTGTAATATTGGGGTTGGTGTATTGGTTTTCTATATATATACGAATTGACGTAGGGTAGGCTAGGTAGGGTAGGGTAGGGCAGGGCAGGGTAGGGTAGGGTAGGGTAGGGTAGGGTAGGGTAGGGTAGGGTAGGGTAGGGTAGGGTAGGGTAGGGTAGGGTAGGGGTGAGAAACGGGCCGTCTAGGCCCGGCCCAGCCCGGCCCTACGATCGGGCCGGGCCGAGTTTTTAGTTCAATCCCCGTTGATGTTTTTTGATTTTATTGGGTACTATGATCCATAAATGATCTGAAAAAACAATGTAAAGCCAAATTCCCGTCTATTTTTTAAGTTTTAAAATTTTTTAAAACGGGCCGGGCCGGGCCTAGAAATTTTCTGACCGGGGCCCGGCCCGGCCCTTTTCTCACCCCTAGGGTAGGGTAGGGTAAGGTAGGATAGGGTAGAGTAGGGTAGGGTAGGGTAAGGTAGGGTAGGGTAGGGTAGGGTAGGGTAGGGTAGGGTAGGGTAGGGTAGGGTAGGGTAGGGTAGAGTAGGGTAGGGTAGGGTAGGGTAGGGTAGGGTAGGGTAGGGTAGGGTAGGGTAGGGTATGGTAGGGCAGGGTAGGGTAGGGTAGGGTAGGGTAGGGTAGGGTAGGGGTAGGGTAGGGTAGGGTAGGGTAGGGTAGGGTAGGGTAGGGTAGGGTAGGGTAGGGTAGGGTAGGGTAGGGTAGGGTAGGGTAGGGTAACGTGAAATATGCCTTTAAAATTCTAAAAATAGCTTTTTAGTGCCTGTTTTGTCAATAAAAGCATAGACAATATAAGCTAACCTACTATTATGAACCAACCTATAAACCTACTATTACTATCTTTAATTACCCATGTTTATATTAAGTTTTGAATAAAAGACACAAGATGTTAATACGAACATGTGAAACAGATAAAACGCCCCGACCCTCGAGCAGTTTTCAGTTTTGATTGAGTTTTGAGGACTTTCGATGACGTCGTATCTCAGCTATCCATAGGTTGTTTTACTTACTTTTTACTACTACAGCTTTCGGTTTGTATTTTAAGTTTTTGTGGTATTCAAGGCGCTGGTTCTTTCAATCGTATTTTACATAAAAAAGAGTACGAATTGCTTTACAGTCATATAACTTTTAAAAATTTCATCAAAAAATTTAATTTTAATGACTTTAAATTGATTTCTATAGTTTCATATTGCTATCAACCTCAGTTACTATAAATAAAGTTAAAGCTGTTTTGTATGCCAATAACTTGTTATTTTACTATAATAAGTATTGAAGTTACAAGTAAACGTGCTTAAAAATACATTTGGTTACAACAAGTAAAATTGAAGTTAAAGAAAGATTAGTTTATAAGGAGTAGTTGCTTACTTCAAGTTTAATTCATAAGATAATTTTTGAAGATATTGCTTTCAGAATTTTTCTAAAGTTAGCTTTTGAAAATATTTTACTGTAGGTGTAGGGAAAAAGTAAAGTTGAAAACGGCTAAGCTAAAAAAGTTAGGTCTGAGCTTGAAAAGTGGGCCCGGGCGCAATAGGGGGGGGGGGGGTCGTTTTTATTTGTCATTACAATTGGCAAAAAAAATTTTCAAAAAAAGTGTGGATTTTTGGAAAAAACTTTTTCGACCCTCACCCCTAGACCAAAACTCCCCGCCCGTCCCTGGGCAAGGCTTAGGGCTTTTTGTCCTAGACGTTTTGAGAAAAAGTGAAAGCAAGTTGAGCCTAAACTTTAAGCCCCAGGCTTAAACTGGGCTTTAAGAGTAGGCCCGGTCAGGCTTGTTTCGCACTTCTAAAAGAAATAAGTAGTTACCCTAAACCTTTTTGGATTTCGTCTTATCTTCGCTACTCCCATAGTCAAAAATTGCCAGGTCTTTACTGTCTGCAGCCAAAGATTACTTTTTTTATCATTTCTCTTCTTTACTATATCATAAAAACTACCTTACAAGGCTTGATAATCTGTTGTAATACTTTTGTCAATTTTTCTTACCTAACTCTAGATTTAATTTTTTTTTCTACCCTACCCTTAATTTTTTTATTATTAAGCTTTTGATCACTTTCTTCAAAGTTCAAAATTCCCGTTTCTTTGCAAATATTAAATGTCTTGCGGCGACAAAAAGCCGTTTCGAATTTCGATCAAGGATTAGGCACATTGACAACGTACCTTGTAACATTAAGACAAATCGTTATATTATGTTTTTCATGCCTTTTAACACAGCCGTTTTTTACGGCCAATTTATGGCCAAATTGCAATGTCATTTCACTTTTTTGTGGTTTTATGTCAACAATGTGTTGTCTTTACAATTGGCAGTCATATTGTAAATTTGGGTTTACACTTTTAAGCCTAGTTACTTTTGTTTTAAAAAATTGTTTGAGGTAGTGAGAAAGAAGAGATGAGGACGAAAGAGGGGGGGGGGTGATTTTTTAAGTGTCATTTTGACAAAGTTTATAAAGACAAAAACTTAAAACCCTCTTTGAAACATTTCTATTTCAATATAATTGTATACATTTCCTTGTGTTTATCGCGTTTTGAATCTAATAGCCAATAAAAAAAGACTGACGGTCACTTTAGGCACTTTCATAAAATTTTCGAAATCTATCTTATTTTTTATTTTTACACTATTTTTCTTAGTATTTAGGGCTGTAAAAGCCTTGTCGTCCGTTTACATGTTTTTTTTGGTGATTTCAAAGCTACAAAACAAGTAGACAAAGTAGACATGAGTAACGGACTTGGGCCTGACTTAAATTTAGGTCGGGCCGGGTTGAGCAAAAATTTGATCGGACTGCACTTGAAAATGGGACTCGGCCGGTTTCTCATGTCTAAAGACAATGGCAGGGCAGAGTAAAACAGAGCCCAGCTTGGCAAGGGTTGATAGCCCTTGGCAAAGCATTGTAGGGCTTGGTAAAGTTTATAACGGCTTGGCAGAACACAAAGAGGGCATTTCTTAAATAATTTTAACATACGTCTTGTGGGTCGAAAAGTAGAAACAAAAAGATTTTTTTTTTATTTTTTAAAAAAATTTGCATGAAAATTTTTATTTTTTATAAAAAACTACCCGCCCAACGCTAAAAACGCACTTTATATTCTACACTTTGCAACTACTATCCATAATCCATCTTTTCAAATGTTTTGCCAACCCCTTTGTCTCGTACTGTCATACCCCTCCCCTCCAAAACAAAAGTACATTCCAAGCGGCACGGTACTTGAAAGGGTTTGCCACAGTGAAACGACCTGATCCATAATTTGAAACAATTGTTCCCTGGTGTGATTATGATGAATTGGCAATTCTAAACTAAACTGACGCAAATCTCCTGTCCTTCCTCTCGTTTTCGACACAAAAACGCCTCCGAAATGCATTCGCCGGCCAAGTTTAACCCAATTCCTCAAAGTGTAAAGGGGCTTTGTTGCGCGGTAATGCCAGATTTAATTAGGCCCCTGATTTTTCGTTTGTCCTTGATAAGGAACAGTGATAATTGAGGTTTTTAAATTTTTTTTATTATAGGGGATGTTCTGAACAACGGACTCTATTATAAGGTTGTTCATATTAGTCCTGCGCCTCCTTTCACAGCAAATTTTTGCGGTTAGGGGCCCAGAATTATTTGAAAAACCTAATATAACAAAAATATCTTATAATAAACAATTTTAAAGGCTTTGAGCGATTTGTTGTTATACAAGAGTTCCATCTGCTTTATAAGCCAACATAATTCACGCCAATTTTTTGGAGTATTGTACCTATTATAATATAAACTGTCATGTCTCCCCTTTTTATTTAGTAAAACACTTCCTTTTTCAAAATTTAATAAACGTTCCTTTACATTTTCAATTGCAACCTACAGCAAACTCATTAAACTTCTAAATAGCCGTGTATAAAGTGATGTTTCCCATCATTGAGATTACATTAAGCGCATAAATAATTTACACGGGCTTTATGACCTACTATGTTTCACGGAAAATACGAAGAAACGTTAGTGTTTTATACAAGTTGGCTTGCTTTTAGTAGTACTATATTTTTTTTGTTATATTTTTATACTTTGATCCTTTAGCTAATTATGATTAGTTATAGTCTACAAGAAATGCCCTACCTACCCTATCTCAACCTACTCGACTTTACTCAACCCTACCCTACCCTACCCTATGCTGTCCTACTCCGTTTCTCTTTATTTAGCCTACCTTATACTGCCCTACCCCCCCCTTCTATATGTTCTCCTCCTTCTACCCTTTCTTTTCCATAATCTACCCTACTCCTTCTTCCTCTTATTCCTCCATTATTCTATCAAACTCACCCCCCCCATTTTCTTTACATTATCTTACTCCTTTCCTTACCCTACTCTACATATAATTGTTTTATTTGTAGTATAAAACCCTTTATTTTGCATAAACAACTAATTTTTGTCCAAAACCCTTGTCATTTTGACCGCTTTTTCAGTTAAAACATAGAAAATGTAGGAATGGGCTTTATGCATTTGGTATGTCATGACTTTTTCAATAAAGCCCATCATCCCCCCGGAGGGGTGTTCTAAATCATTAGCCGACCATGTCTTATGGGTTTTGTTGAAGACGTTCTTCTGATTTCAACGAGTTTGCTTTGGCCGCCTTATTGACAATAGTACAAAGCCTTTCAGAATATTGTTCTTTGGGGGCTGCTATATTTAATTATTTTTGGGCTTTTATCAGTCAAAATTTTCGGAAAAAAATATTTTTAAAGGCGCGGGTTTTTAATCAGTTGAAAGTTTTTTTGTTTAAGGGTGGATTTTTTAGTTTAGGGGGTTTCTTTGTTATTTCTAGAAGGTGTATGTGGCTTAGATTATAAAATAGGTAATTTTTTACGATATAAAAGTAACAAAGGATACGGCAGGGCTCAAGACCGCAAAGCAAGGCAATGAAGAGCAAGGCAGGACAGGATAAAGCAGAAAAAAGAACGGCAGGGTAGGGCAGAATAAGCAAGGCAAGACAAGGCAAGGTAGGGCATTATGAGACAAGAGGGTGTATTTTACGCCTTACCCATTTTTTACAAGCATATCCTAGTTAAAAATCACCCACAAAATCACACGTACCCCCACTTCTTCCCTTATAGCATTTCTAAAATCCTTTTCACTATACTGCCCTTTTAAAATGTAAGTTAAAATTAGCTTAATTTTTTATATTTCAAACTTTCAGCTATTTTAACTTTAAATCGGCTTAAAATGTTAAAATTTTACCAAAGCAGTAATTTTAATCTAAAATACTAACCTTAAGCCCTTAAAATTCTAACTTTTAACTCTGTAAGCCTCTGAATCCGCGTGTGTTTTGCGTAACAAAGACTAATCCAATCGTTTCGACTAGTCTCGTTTCAAGTTGTTATTAAATATCAGAAGATTAAAGCGCCCTGAGGCTGTTTTTAGTCTCAAAACAAGCAGTTTGTAAGGCTTTTCTGTTTAATTAGCATAATTTAATACATTGACATTGGTAGGATATTGTTTAGCACCGTTTTACGTTTTTTACGGTTTTTCTTACAAGGGAATGTTACAAACTGTCCACTCGCTTTTTAAAACTGAATGGTACCATGTGAAAGAGCGTAAAAAGTTGACTAGAAATCTGTTTTCAAAAACTGCCAAATCGTCTTACAAGCCCGCTAGCGAGCTTTAAAAATCATTATTAAAAGGGCCTTTTATGTTCATATGCTTTATTTTCAATTTTTGTATGTTCAAAAAAATTTTTTTTAATTGTTTTATGTTTTAATAGATATAAGAAACAATTATCAACAAAAAAATTTTAGTTCTGTTAATGAAAATTAATTTGAATTTAAATTTTAAAAAAAATAAATCTTACTACCCCAAAAGAGGATCGAACCGGACCCGCATGATTGCGCAATCACGGCGCCTTTGACCACTCGGCCAATCGAACACACTTCGTTCCTCTCTTCGAAAGAATTCAAAAGAAAGCGGACGTAGAAAAACCATTTTAATAAGGAAAATTTTAAAAGTTCGCTAGCGGGCTTGTAAGACGAAATTGGCAGTTTTTGAAAATAGATTTTTAGTCAACTTTTTACGCTCTTTCACATGGTACTATTCATTTTTAAAAAGCGAATGGACAGTTTGTAACATTCCCTTGTTAGAATTTGTGGAACGATTAAGATGGTGTATATTCGAGAAAGTAGGGGTTTTAAGGGCAGGTTTATGGCTGGAAGGCGGAGGGTTACTCTTTAAAAAGGCTTGGGGTCGCGCCAAACCCTATCTTTCGCCTCGGCCTATGATACCTTGGTTTGGGCTTCGGCCCTCGGGTCAGGCCCGACACTTTTTTAGGCCTTGTATGAGGCCTCGGCTCTCAGGCCCAAATAGGCTGTCTCGGCCCGGTTTTTCAAAGTAGCTTCAGCCCGAGCTCTTCCAAATATATTGAAGGCCGGCCCAGTACTGAGGGTAGGTACGTAAACAAAGTGGGGAGGGGGAGGGGGGGGTGATGATTTAACATTTTTTTGCCCGGTGGGTCTACCACCCCCTATCCCACTCCCCCCCGTTGTCCCAAATTTAAAATTTTTTTTAATTTTGCTTGCTGGGTCTATCACCTGACTCCACCTCTCCCCTCCCCCTAAAATTCTCAAAAAAATTAAAAAAACCATTTTTAAACTTGTCATTCTGCATCAAACATAAACCTCAAAAACTATTACTGTAAATGCTGTCGTCGTTCGCCGCGTATACAAAAAACAGAGAATACCCGCCCATAAATAATGGCATCGAATTCGGCATTGTTTTTGGTGGATTAGGACTTTTTAAGGACAAGATCGATGAGGGTGTTTGGCTAGCGTCTTTTATGGCTACTCGACCGTCGCGATAGTATTGTTGAGCTTTTCTCAATCTCAAATTCAAAATTAAAATTTTGTTTTTCCGAAAAATCTTTTTTTTGAAAGAAATCAAGTGGGTTTCGGAAATGAAAAAAAAGATATATTGGGTTTAGGTAACAACATGAAGGCATGGACTGGAGGGAGCAGTAGGGTAGAATTATAAAGGTAGACAAAAATAGGGTAAGGAAAGGTCTGGTATTGTATGGTATGGCATGACAAGATAATGTAGGGTAGTATGGTAGGGTGCTGTAGACAAGAGTAGGGCAGGAATAAATAAAGTATCGGGTAGGGTAAGCTAGGATACGGCAAGCTAAGGAAAGTAGAGTAAAGCAGGGTAAGGTAGAGTAGGGTAGGGTAGGGTAGGGTAGGGTAGGGTAGGGTAGGGTAGGGGTAGGGTAGGGTAGGGTAGGGTAGGGTAGGGTAGGGTAGGGTAGGGTAGGGTAGGGTAGGGTAGGGTAGGGTAGGGTAGGGTAGGGTAGGGTAGGGTAGGGTAGGGTAGGGTAGGGTAGGGTAGGGTAGGGTAGGGTAGGGTAGGGTAGGGTAGGGTAGGGTAGGGGTAGGGTAGGGTAGGGTAGGGTAGGGTAGGGTAGGGTAGGGTAGGGTAGGGTAGGGTAGGGTAGGGGTAGGGTAGGGTAGGGTAGGGTAGGGTAGGGTAGGGTAGGGTAGGGTAGGGTAGGGTAGGGTAGGGTAACGTAGGGTAGGGTATAGTCAAGTAGAATCGTATTTTAACTTTATAAAATAGTATTTTTTGGTTTTTGAAAACGGGTTTGTTGTGTTTTGACATGTCTGAATAGTCTAATGGAAACGTCAAATCTGGCAGTCTTGCAACTAAAACCAACAAAAGTTTGAGATGTAAGGGAATTGTGCATAAAATATGGTGACGTTGGCTTTGAATCTTGGTTGAGGGTATTTTTAAAATGATCATTGTAATTTTTTTATTAAAGACAAACTTCACCTTTTTAAATAAAATTTAGTTTTTAAAAATAATTTTTTACTCAAATTAAAAAAAAATTATAAAAATATTAAAAATTGTAGTATTCAAGTTTATAACTGGCTTCTACAATTAAAAACGTATGTTTCTTATAGTCATCTTGAAGGTCTCTATCGAAATTGTACTGATATTACACATTGTCATCGTTTGCTTTATGCTTTGTGCCTTAAAAATATTATTTTTGTCGCTTTTGCAACATATTGTACTATGTAGAACATATAAATTGTACCATACTACGTTTATATTTTACTATTTTAGAAGACCGTGTGGTTATTTCAAACATGACTCAATTTGAAAAAGTCACAATAAACAACATTGTACTAGATAACTTCATCTTCTTTATACCTATTCGTCATTTAGATATTAAAGTTTAAAAAGTCTTGTCGTTTTTTAGCTTGTAAGCCATTGTTAAAAAACGACAAGACTTTTCTGTGTGATTGTTAGTTTTCTAGCCTTGAAAGTCTATTGTCCATATATCAACCATGCTTAACACAACATACTAGCCCTCCAAAACAACACTTTAAGCCCTTATCCCATCACATATTAACATCCATTCCCCCACATGTTAACCATCCCCACCACAAGTCGTTTACCATGTAAATCCGCGTAGTTAATTCCGTGACATGATGGCGCGACGTACTCAGGCATGAACATGTATCGTGTATTATGTATCCTTAACCCTAAATATCTTCCTTGCCCCGCTGTTTTCAGGCCGAAGACAAAGCGCGGAACGACGAAAACTCAGTGACCCTTGCAACGTGCTCTCACCCAACCCTGAGGGCATGTCTTGACTGCGATGGCCAAATGAATCTCGTACCTTTGGGCCGACTTCTCGAAACGGGTCGATTTTACATGTTCGTGTTGATGTGCTGTCTTGTGGTGATCGTCGAAGCGGGTGTTCGAGGTAATGAGTCGCCGTCGTTGTTAACGACGGCGCCGGCTTTTGAAGCACAGAATAAGCCGAGGAGGACTCCGATTAGGGTAGGTGTTGGCTCGATGCCGAGGTTCTTGTTTTTTAAATCTTTTTTTTCATTTTTAAGCTTTTACTAGTCAACTTCCGACACAGAATAGACCTATAAAACTATCTATATACAAGTAAACCTATATCACCACCTATACTATCCTTTCCAACTATCCCACCATTGATTCAATTTTAGTTTAAGATCTCAAAAGAATCAGCTCGAAGTCAGAGGCATATGCGTCGATTATACGACGACTTATTCGAGGACTACGAACGAGAGATTCGACCGGTCGTGAACGACTCCATGCCCTTAACAGTTGTCATTCAATTCTGGCTCAAACAAATTTTGAAAATCGATGAACGAGATCAGACAATCAAATGTTATCTATGGTTAGAGCTGTACTGGACAGACGAGCTTCTGAAATGGAATCCAGAAGACTACGGTGGGTTGGATAGGATGCATGTGCCATCTACAAAGATATGGAGACCGGACATATTGGTATACAACAATGCCAACATGAATATCGAGGACAACGAGGTGGAGACAAATGCCATAATCAAAGCGAATGGGGATGTTACCTTGTTCAGGGCTATGATTACAGACATTACTTGCACATTGTCGTTGAGCTTGTTTCCGTTTGATCAGGTAATGCTTAGGCTTAATATTCAAATTTATTTTGATCAAGTAAGGTTGAGGTTTAATACATATTAAGTTGTTTATATAACTCTTCGCCCCTCTCAAAGTAAATTTGCGTGGTTGGGGGCACAGAATTATTTGAGCAGCTTAATATTCAAATTTATTTGAAACCGCAACTTTTCTACTTTTTTTCAGTTAAAAATTTTAAAAAATAAAAAAGAAAAAATTTTATTACCTAAAAAATCAATTTTATGTCCTAACGCCCTAAAGCAACATGTTTGAACTCTGATTCTATGCACCTATGTAAAAAATATACTACTTTTTTAAAAAACAGGATTTGATAGTCCTTTCGTATGCTAATTAGCCCGAAATTAAATTTTAACGATAGGATTACGTACATCAAACAGATGTTTCATAGCATCCACGTTTGACGTAGGTATGAGGATGGAGAACACAATGTAAACATAAAGTTTTGTAGTTTTTGAATCGTTCTATCTATCACAATTTAAATTATCTTATCAAAATTTATGATTTTATTGTAAAATTCATAGTATACATACTAGGATAAACAAGTTTTGTCGTTTTTTAACGTGAAAACCTATGTATTCTGACGCCAAGACTTTTTTTTCCAATTAAAAATGAAAAAACATTTTATGCCATAATAATGGCATTATTAACCTCTTGGAAACTTTCAAAATTTCATTATTAATTTTTGAAACATTTGAAAGAGCACTCCTTTTTGTTGTGACCTAAAGATTAAGACAGACGAAGCAACAACTGTTCCACAAAAGTGTGTAAGATGACACTTCTTCCTGTAACTTTTTAAGAAAACCAAACTATGTCGAACTGAGAGTTCACGACGAAAAAGGCACAGGATATTGCGCACGCTGTGACAAAAAACAGCATCAAGAACGTTGGGAAACGTGATTGAATCAGGCTTCGAGAAAACCTTTAAAAACATCTATTTTGGGACATTTTTTGATGGTTCTAAGTTTAGCTGTAGTTAATAAAACCTCATAGCAACATAAATTAAAAGACTATAACCATATTTAGTATCCTAACCTATCTTATCGTACAAAAAACCAAATTTTGCCAATTTCAGCAAGTATGTTACCTAACCTTTGCCTCCTGGAGTATGGATGGAAGTAAAATGCTCCTATTTCCTTCAAACTCATCCGACAATCTGGAGTTGTACATTCGAAACACCGAGTGGGAGTTGACCGACTTCTCCGTCAAGATGTATGAGAAGCGGTACGAGTGTTGTCCGTACGCCTTCCCAGACATTACCTACTTCATGGTGCTCAAACGATCTCCGTCCTATTATATCTTTACGTAAGTTAATCGGCTTTTATCAATTATGGGTCTGGTATTACATTAATTATGATCGTCCTGTTATCACAATAGACCAAAGTTTTTTGAATTTTATTTGTACACTTTTTTGGCAGAGTTCAATTTCGTTGTGAGACCCAGAAAGGTTACAAATTTGGTCCAAAAGAGCGTCAAAAGGGTTTCATTGTACCATAAATACCACCTTCAAACCCTGCTTAACCCCAAATACCAAAACGAATAATAAAAATAGCTAATTTTAGGTTAATCATCCCATCAACTTTCATTACCGTGGTAACAATCGTTGGTTTCTTTACTCCCCACTCGACTACAGGAGAAAATACGGAAAAAGTCAGCTTGGGAGTGAATGCCCTACTATCAATGAGCATAATCAGTAAGTTAACCTTATTTTTCATTTCCTAATCTAATCCTAAACCTTTTTAAGCTTATATTGTAGTAGGTTTCATTCTCTAAATCACTTAAAACCACTATAATTTTAGTGATGATGGTCTCCGGTGAAGTACCAGCCACCTCCGAAGTTATACCTTTGATCGGAAAGTACTATATTGGACTAATCTTTCTTATCTTCGGAGCCGCCTTCACTACGACAATAACCTTGGCCTATCAGATGAGAGGAAACTCAGGTACTCCAATGTCAGCACGAATGAGGCATATTTTATTTGAACGGCTAGCCAAAAGCCCACTTGGTTATTGGTTCTTTGCAGTTCAAATTGATAAGAAACACAAGTTTGCTAATCGTGCTAAAGGGGGACCAAGAAATAAGGAGGTGAGTGCCTACTACAACATTGTTTTTTGATTTTTAGGACAGTGTAACTGCATTGAAATAATCTTAAATTTTAAGGCTGTTATCTGTAAGATAATATCTTCAAATTTGGAGCCAATCAGTTTAGCTAACGTTTAGTTATAGCTTTTATAAACCATATTGTAGTAGCTGGCTACCACTATACTCAAAATACCAAGCCTACTATCTAATCGACAATATAACAAAATTTAGAACCACACTTACATCTTCGACAACGTGTGTGTGCCTCCAATTGGTAATAACGTGAACTCGGACGGATTGAACTCGATCCACGTGAACTCGACTAATCCGCCAGTTGTGAATGCAAATGGGCTCAAACTAAAGCATCGAGTAATTAAGAAGGACTCGAAAAGGACGAAACTTATCCAAATGGACGATATGACCAACAACGAACTTGAAGTAGACAAGAATCCGTTGGTCGAAGCGACGGAAACCTTGATCAACGGACATAGTTATTGGACGAATCGATTGTACGATTGTTTGAGCAGGATTGACGAGTCGATTCATCGAAGTGAGTTTATGTTGAGATAGGGTAGGGTAAAGCGGGGGGGTAGATTAAAAAAGATGTTTTCATCGTTGCTATAAATGGGTCCCACAACGGAAGATTTCGCTGAAATTTTGTGGCGTTCTGTTTCAGCCAAACTTTTTTTATCGGTAAAATAATTTTCTTGCCAATTCTACCCAATACCAATTTCAGCGCATCAACAACGAGTGATCGAGTTCGAATGGGAACAAGGGACGCGTATCATCGAGCGTGTCATCATGATATTCTACGTCACACTAACGCTCGGCTTCGCGTTCTTCATGCTCGGCGGGTCGGGCGAAGACATACGCCTCACGGAGGAGGTGATGGACCGAGTGAAACGATAAGATAGTGCCTCAGCTACGCTCACAGTTTATTCAAATACGGAAATCAGGTCATTGATGAGATTTGTTTTTATATCTGCTGTCTCTTATCACAAAACGTGTCTCCAACGTTCCGGCGGCCGAACGTTGTTTTATGCCAAATAAGTGTAATAGAGTTTTATTGTAAGGCTTTTTGTGTTTTTCGGTTTATGTACAAATCAATATGGTAGGATAATGGTACTTAATTAAAGCCCGATTTAGTCGATAAATGATACAAACTTCTAGGTATGGTACAATATCTTTGAAGAGGTTAGAAAGGCAAGTGTAATTTAAAAAATGAGGGTCTTGGTGATATGATGAAGTTAAAGACATTGTAAATACAATATGATTCGTTAATACCTATATAACACTAAAAACGAGATTTCTACACACAAAATACAAAAATCAACCTAACATCTACTACAACATGATAAGTTATATGATAATACAACATATATAACTACAAAAATATCCTTGTACAGTCAGTATGTTTATTTTTCCAACTTTTTCTTCAAAGAATCCGGCATCGGCGGGAGTGGCGGACGTTCCAGATGTAGAGCCAGCTTCACCGTGTCGACGACGAACAGCTGAGAAGCTGCAATCGATCCAATCATCAAGATTCGGGTCGCCAGTCCGGCCCAAAGAACACGCCAGCCTAATTGTTTGCAGACCTTGGAGAACTCGGCGTCTGGATTCTTGTAGAGTTGAGATACGATCACATCTGGCGGATGGGAACAGATCGCACTTACTACGCCTGAAATTTGAAAATTTATGATTTTAGGCTTGGGAGTGTCAATGTAATTTGAAAAACTATGGTTTTAGGCTAGAAATTGGTATTTAAATCACAATACCAGGCTGTTCAATTAATTCTGTGCTCCTTAACTTCTAAAATTTGCTATGAGAAAGGGCTCATAATTATTCGAACAAACTAATATTTTTAAGAACATACCAGCCGAAATGCCAGCAAGAAGACTGATCTGAAGCTGTTCAGCCCTTGAACATTGAGCCTTTGGCTTGTTGAAGAGTTTGTGCAGGAAGTCGACCGCATACTCGTAGCATACAAACTTGGACACAGTGTACGGGATCTGAAAAAGAATTTTACTGAAGAATGTTAATCAATTGGGCGTCTTTATCCATTTAATGCAATATAACAAACTTTTATAAGAAAATTACTGCAATATAATAAGTGGCCACTGTATCTACTACAATGTAATCAATACTCTAAGGCTAAAACGCAATATTAATTTATAAAATCGACTCCTTTTTCAAAGAAATACTTTCAAAAATCCACTCCTAATATAAATTTTTTCCTAACATAAAATACCCTGCCCTACCCACCTGTCTCATCCAAAGGGCGGGTAATCCCTTGAACAAGCCGTGTGCACCTTCATCTCGAGCGATTTGTGGCAGACATTTGAACATCTGTGCTGGTGCTCCTGGTCGAGTTTGAGTACGAACCTTGGCCGCTTCGAACGGCGATAGTGCCACATCTCCTACAGCTTCTGCCAGGCCGGCAGAGGCGGCGAAGATGACAAGTTTGTAGTTGTAGGTGTGTACTGGACCGACTGAGTCTGATATCAGCTTTTTGAAGCTCTGAAAAAAAATTTTTAATCTAACAACCTCTATATAACTAATTATTCTGAGAATAAAATGAACTTGTTATACAGTAGTTACAGAGTAATTCAATATTTGGTAATAGTAACATCAAGAAGTTCAGAATTTACCTCATAAAATCCAAATTTAGCAAAGCCTTGAGCACCATAACCAAGCAAAGTCGGAGACCAGCCTCTGGCCAAACCTCGAATACCTTCTTCTTGCAACGTTACTCTGTAAGCTGTGCCTAGGTCTGGAAACTTGGCTTTGTCAACCTAAAAAGTCATTTTAAAATTTAAGAAGTTGAGTTTCATGCTTTAACTTACTAATTAAAAAGTCTTGTCGTCAATTTACACTGTTTGTCATGCTTGAAAAAGACAAGACTTTTTTTGAAAGTTTATGTTATGTTTTATGTTTTACAATAGCAAACGTAAAAATTTGTGGCTAATTAAAGATCAACTATTATCATATAAAAAAAGATCAATTATTATCATATAAAAAGCACAAATACCAACCTGAATCCTACACTTGAGCACATCCAACGGCGTACTCAACAAATGACTCCCGCCACAAACCAAAGTACCAGCCAGCCCAGACACGACCAAATACTGTGTCGTGCCCACTCTGATCATTTTCTCTTTCATCTCATTTTGCTGGCTAACCAGAATCTCGTGGATCACCGTACCCTTCACCGCGTCCGCGTACGATGACTTTTTCTTTCCGTCCGCCAACTCCTTCAGATCACAGTTCTGTTTCCGAGCGTAGTCCAGCACCTGATTCACGTTGATCCGGCTCTTCTTGGGGTCCTCGCATTGCATTCCCATGTCAGTGATCAGTTGAGAATCAGTGAATGTAATAGAAGATACGAAGTCTTTCCACTTCAGTTTGGAAAAGTCAGTTGTCGTCAGTGAAAGTCAGTTCAGGAAACGACCGGTCGATTGGAACGGGTCGTTTAAAATGCTTATTTTTGGTTGGGGTTTTTCAAATGTGCCATTTTGTAAGATATGGGTGTTTTTAAAAGTTGGAGTATGTTGAAGATGTTAAGTATGACATTTTTTTTTAACTTTTGGGGTGGGACTACTACGGCCAGGGTACTTTTGCTTTTAACTATAGTATATATTATCATAACTCAATTCTACAAACCTATCCTTAAACGTATGACATTTTCGTCACAAGCTACTGTCAATGTTAAGCCACTTGAACTACGTGCATATTAATCAACTTCGTTTTATGTTTTACATAGGATTATTGGCATAAAAAAACTTTTTACAGAACTTTTTACTATTCTCTTACTTTTCACTTTTTTTACTTTATAAACAACACTTTTGCAAAAAAGGTGAGTAACAAGGTTTTTACAGTCACTTACTACACAGTAAGTAATTGAAAATCTAAAAGTTTGAACTTTTTGTGCTTTTATGGTTTTAAAATTTGGTTTTTGGATGTTTATACTGCTCTTCGTTTATTTTTAACTCAAAAAAATTGTTTTTAGGTTTAGGAATATATTTAAAATGTCACAAGAAAAGTTTTGTCGTTCATTAACGTTCAGATTAATACACACTGACAACAAGCGTCGCCTTAAAATGATGTTAAAATGTTTCTTTTGATCTTTTTATTGACTGTTATTGATTTATATTTAGGCTCATAAATGCCATCCTAAGCTACAGATTTAAAACCTTGAGCTATATACATCAACTTCCGATCTACAGACATTAAACATTGCGCTACAGACTTGAAATCTCGAGTTACACATATCAAAATCTTGGGTTACAGACCTCGAACCAACCTCCAAATGTGGTCCATCCTGCCTTCCTGGATGCGGAAGGCTCATAATCAGCGGACGCGGACGAAAAAGTGCAAAAGATGTCGGCGAAGGTCTGTAAATATTCGAATAAGAGCGCTTTCGTTTTTTTGTTTGATCAGCTTGAATCGACTTTGAGAGCAGCTTCTAATTACACAGCGTTTAATATATTATATAACAACACTTTTTGGATGGTATCACTGGTTTTGCCTCTTTTTATGGATTTCTGATTATGTTTTAGGTGTTTTTATGTTAATATTTTTAAATTTACAATTTTTGTGTTAATATTTTTAGTTTTAAAGGGATTTTAAGTAATGAAAAGGGTCTTGAGGATTTTTTTGGTCGATTTTGGTATGGCTAGGGGGTGGAGAAGAGCAGAATCTACTTTTTTTTCTCAAAAAATTGTACATGCTCTGTTTTTTCAATTTAAGGTCAAATCTTTAGGATCCAGAAGTTGAAAGAAACAACTGAATTTTTGATATTAATATAGGAATGATGTGTACAAATCGATTCACACAGTCATGTGTTTTCGAATTTTCAATATAAATTTAGAAATCAAAGATTATTTTATTAAATATCATCGTCTTTATCATCGTAGATCTGTTGTAAAATACATCTCTTATATATTCTTTTGATAAACTATTTTTTAGGTAATACTTAATGATATTTTGTTCAAAAAAGGTATGTCTATTCATTGATTGTATAAGTAACATTTTTTTACTACCTTTCCTCATATTAATATATCAAAGTTGACGTCATTTTAAAATGAATTTCTCAATTCACGACCACTTGTATCGCGTTATCACTTATCTTTCAATTGACATTTTCGTCGAAGATAAATCGGTTTGTTAACCGATCTGAATTCTAATTGAACTGCCATGTAATCGTCTTTTCTATAATGATATGACATCCTATTTTATACTTTTTGTGACAACCCTACCCTATCCTACCCTACTCTATCCTACCCCACTCTGATTTACTGTACCTCAGTCTGCTTTACTTTAGCTTGCTTTACTTTACTCTGCCCTACCTTACCCTTCCTGCTCTATCCTACTACACTTTGACTTACCCTACCTTTCCTTACCTTACTCGACTTTACTTTGCTTTACCTCGGTTTACCTTAACTTCCTTTACCCGAACTTGTCCTACCATACCCTACTTTACTCTATCTGATCCTAGCTTACACTACACTAGTTAAAACTAGCTTACTTTGAACTACCTTAACCTAGCTTACCTACCCTATCCCACTCTACTTAAAATTGAATTTGTTAAAAATTTTTTTAGTGTTTTACGTTATTTTCAATTTTTTTTACTTCAACAACTTTTTTGAACAAAGCTAGTATAATATGTATTGGACCGTTCGAATGTCCGTTCTAATGTGTCTTCCTCGCCTCTACCACCTGATTGTAACCGCGCAAAAGGTCGTTCGAGAGAAGAAACCTCAGACACTTTGGAAAGTTTTCGAATCTGTTAAATCAGCTTTTTCCGTCTGATCGCGCTCTCTCGTTTCGGCGTGATCTCTCTGCACGGGCGCTATGTTCTTTTTGACGCTTTTGTTTTTTGTACAAAAGAATATTTGTATTCGAATTCCTGCCTCTTATCAGACCCTGTTAAGGCAGCCGATGCTTTTTGGAGCAATTTAAAGTATTATACAAGTGATCATACGACCGTACATTGTTTTAGCCGTCTTGATGGCTTACATATGACTGGCATAACGTATTGAGTTAGGATTAGTTGGGAGTGTTTGGTTGATTTAGTGATAACATGTTAGTTTGTGGTTTGAGTTAGCTTGTTTTAAGGCTATATTAAGATAGTTTTGAGATTTTAAAGTGGTTTATGATAAGAAAATCTCATATTATGTTAATAGTAACATTGATTTTTACATTATTTTTTGAATTTTTTATAAAATTATATATTATAGTAGAGTTGTTTTTAAAAAACTTATATTATAGTAGCTTTGTATCAACAAAATCCGTGTCTTGTAGTAGGCATTTACTATAAAGACGTATAATATAGTAGCCTTTGCGAAGGCTTTTGAATTGCTGATAGCGTGTAAGGTGCATATTGCCATTGCTATTTAACATTTAAGCATTAAGACGCTTGTTATTATAGTGGTTAAAGGGCCGGATATTGTCATTGCTGAGACTGGTCGATGCTAGTCAAAGATGAGGTTTCGTCGCAAAAAGTGAGTTCAAAGTAATGTGTTCCTCTTGCTTTGTGCTGTACGTGTGTTTTTCTTTTACTTTGCTACTTTCAAACCTTTATATGTATGTATGCTTACTGATATGAAGATTTGTACTATGTTTAAGGCAATATTTTGAATGGAAGGGGGTTGGGAGGGGAAAAGGAGAGGTGGAGGGGCGGGGTAGGGATGGGGAGAGTTCGGTCAGACAATTTGGGATTGAGAAAGGGCGGGTAAAAAACTTTGTTTTGACTACAACACATATTTTTTAAATCCTCTAAAAATCAAAGTTTAACAATTTATGAAAATTTTCATTTTTTAAACATTCTTCACTTTAAATCAGTATGTTTTATCACAATGTTTATAAAAAGGCAAGGCTGATTGTTTTGATTTCAATGCTCTTTGGTCAATATGAAAAGCTCAATAAATAATAAAAGCTTTGTACCTACGTATTTGAACTTGGCCTTTAAAACTATAAGATAACAACAAGGAAAGTGCCTAACCTGTCCCACTCTGATTGACTTCAAACTGTTTATGTAGAAAGATCACGTAAATATAAAACCTTTAACAAGTAGTAAATCACGCTTTCCAAAAAATCTCGAAAATCGAGATCAAAAAATTACGTTTTAAATTTCCCGCAAAGTTGGCATTATGTTTCAAGCTAATAACTTTGTCATTTTTTGATTTTTAGGAATTTTTCTTTGATATACTAGTAGAACACCTTTAAATGAACCTACATTTTTAAATTTGTAAGCGTAGCTTGTCTGGAAAGTCGAAAAAAGTGCTTGAAACACAATGCCAAAAATTCTAGGTTAACAGGAAACTCAAATATTTAAATTTTAAAACAGAACCGCGAGCTAACAGTTTTTATAGGTATTATTGGTGGTATAAAGAATTGATATAAAAATTTTGAGCTGGTTCTAAGTGGGAGAGGGTACTTTCTATGTAAGTCGGTTTTACTTTAAATTATAACTTTTTAACACTAGTTTTAGTGCTTTTTATTATGGCTAAAATTCGTACTTTCATATCAACTAAAAAACCGCCATTTCCCACCAATTTCCTCTCCCAATTACCCCGCCAATAAACTAAACCAGCCAAAAAACGTCTATAATAAATAAATCCGAAAAAAAACTTGGAAAATAAAGTTTGGGCAAAATTTTATAGCCTAAAGACATTTGGCCCGTGGATCGTGTTTTATTAGAGACAGAAGGTGTTTTCGTTTAAGCGAGGACGGCCCAAAAAGAGCCGGGGCAATGTTTGTTCGGCCGCTTCTTTCTGGATATTACACCTCCATGCTTTTTATACGCCCATTTCGGATTTCGCCTGCTTTTTTACGTTTACACTTTTAATGTTTAATTTCGTAGGGGTTTCGTGTGTTAGAGGGCATAGCGGTGTAGGTTTAGGTGGTTGAGGAAAGGGGGAGGGGGTTTGGAAGGGATGTGGAGGTTTTCGGAAGGGGTGTGGAAGGGTATGGTTAGAAGTAAGGGGAGGATGTTAGGAGGAAATGATTGGCATTGTTACTCTGATAAAAATTAGTATCCAGTTGTTCATATAATTATGTGCCCCCTATTAAAGCACATTATTACAGTTAGGGAGCGCAGAGTTATTTGAACGGCTAAATATTATATTTGGTTAAAGGTTTAAGCTCTTAAAAAAGTCTTGTCGTCTTTAAACATAGCTTTACACTTTCAAAAACGACAATATTTTTTAACGTTTCAAAAAGACCAAGTATTACCAAACAAATTTCAAGTATAGCCCTTTTATAAATTCTAGAATAGTCATTTATAAACCCTAGTATAGCCACATATACAGCCTAGTATAGCCACATGTAAACCTTATATGTATAAATACATATAAAACGTAGTTAGGTAAATCCTATAGTCATGCTTTGTTTTTATTGTTGTGTTCGTACTATGCCGCGGATTCAAATCCAATTTTCCTTTTTCTTCCGCGGATTTTTACTCGTTTTATCAGTAAATTTGCTCGTTTTGTTATTCTAAACGGTCGTATGATGTTCGCCTGCTTCGTATTTTAGCCATTGTTTTCTTTACTAGAGTATGAGAAATTATTTTAAAAATTAATTTTTAAGAGCTTGTTTTTGATTTTTTTTTCTAGTTTTCTCTTCACTTTTTGACCTTCCTAACACAATTTTATGATAAACCTAATTGTTCGCTTGCTTTTTTTCCCATTTTTAGCCAAAAAAAACTCATTTTAGTGCTTGTGCCACCCCTTGTTTGTATTAATTTTGCTTCTACAAGCTTTCGAATATACTTATACCACTAAAATCCTTATTCTCCCTCCAAAAATCTAACAAGCATCACTTCAGGAGCTCCTCGAAGCCTGTAAACACGGCACAAAAGATGGTCAGTGCGGCGTCGACGGCCGGCGCTACGGCCGTCGAGACCACGGTGGCCGGAGCAAATGTGATGGTAACTGAAGGTGGTAATGTGCTGAAAAGAGGCTGGGCACGTTTGTCGCGACGAAAGTCAAAAAAGAAGGACATAGCGAGGATTGTGAACGAAAAGGAAGAAGAACTTGAAGTTGAAAGTGAACACATTGACGAGCATCCATCAAGTAGTGGGATGAGCGTGTCACAGGTGGAAAAGAGGTCAGTTTTAGTTTGATTTTTGGGTATTATGTTGATACCTTTTTTAAAGATTCTAACCGTTTTTTCTATTATAAATTAATTTTACATTAAAATAAAACAAAACTAAGATATCCAGACCATAGGATGCCCGCAGGGCATTCGTTGGTCTGGTTAAATTGTTAAAGTAATTCTGTGCCCGTTTCATAGCAAATTTTCGGGTTAGGGGCACATAATTATTTGAACAACCTAGTAAAATAATTTTTTATAAAAATAGGTAAGAAAATTAGCAAAAAAAGGTTTTTCTTATCATAACAAGTTTTTTTTCTTCATTTTTTACTAAAAATGTCAATTTACTTTACAAATACATCCAGATTTACACCATAAAATTTTATTTACAATCTCCACAAGCCTACAGTCCTATATTACGTTGTTTTTTCCGAACTGTCAGATTTCTCATCACTACTTCCTTCTTTTTTGGTTGGTAGAGACTTCAGATCCACTAGAGCAAACTCATCGTCCCTGATACGATTGAGTTTTACCACATTGTAGGTTCTTCTCATGATTTTGTCCGCAAACTTCGGATTCTTGGCATCTGGTTCTGGTTTCGCGTCGGTGAATTCGTGTTCTGCCATCAGGCAATACGTCACAGCCGAGTTGATTTTGCACCGTTCCAAGCTGAACAAGTTTTCGGAACGTTTATCCAGCTCTTCGTCGGTCATATCCGGAGGGTCGTAGACATTGGGGTCTGGATCAAGTTGTTCTGGAGTCAGCTTTCTAATCATGGCGTCAATGTCATCCTTATTCAGGGCCATCTGAATTTATAGGGGTTAAAAACGGTTCAGGGGTTTTATGAAATTGATTAGGTTCATCATAAAGCCCTTCTTAGTTTACCTTAAAAGCCCTGAAGGCATATTAATCGTGCTACAACTTTTTAAACAGGAATTTTTTATATAACTCTTTGATCACTATTTCTACATAATTTTTTGATCATTAAAGCCACCTACCTCGACTCTTTTGGGTGGTGGTGGCTTAGGTTCAGTAAGTTCTTTACTTCCTTTTAGCTCTTCACTCTTTTGTTCTTTGCCACTTTTCTGATCCTTCTCACCATTCTTGGAATGCTTTCTTTTTGACTTTCTTATGACTCTGACCGCTTTCTGTTTGTCTGTTCCATCGTATTTAGTCGGCATTCTATTGATAAAGTTTTTGAAATGTCTCGATTTAAACTCCTCTGACGGCGATTCCTTCTTTTCAGCTGATTTTGTTATTTCTGACGATGGTGACTGGACTTCTGAAGACTTTTTGCTCTGAAAATTAAATTCTTTGCATTATGCTAAAGAATAGTTCGAATCAAAGTACTAATTTTTAGTTACGTATCTTAAAATTATACAAGTTTTAAATTAAAGTCTAAAGTAATATCAAAAAACTTATTTCAAAAACATTCAAGTTCAAGTCCTAAAACACAACTTACCCTTGTAACTTTGCTCGCTTGCTTATCCTTTTTGAGCTCCTTCTTGCTACAGGATGGAAACTCACAGGATCCTCGCTTCATCTTCATAGATGTAGTTGGCGTAACAGGTGGAGTCGGCTGCTTTTGAACTTGCTGCATCGGTCCCGAGTTTTGTTCTGATTGCTCCACAGAACTTTCGGAAATCAAAGACTTCATTTCAGACTTCGCTTCTGACTTTTCTTGCTTTTCGTCACCTTTCTTCTTGCTAAAAGGTTCAATATTGTCATGTAGTTTCGATAAGGTTTAAGTATAATATAAGAAATTATCAATCGAAATTGAAGACCATTACACATTAACTAAGGAACAGTTGAGCTAAAAAATGAAACTAGCAATTAAAAACTTACCGTTTGAAGAAGTTTTTGACTTTCTCAAGCTTCTGTTTCACGGTCGTCTTCTGGCTTTTCGGTTTAGAACCTAAAACACTATTCTATATACAAATTAATGTCACATAATAATAAAAATATGCCACAAAAGCATGGAAACTTATTTTTACAAACTGTTGAACATAAAACTTGAACAAAAACTTGATCAACCTTGGAGTAAAAGCCTAAAACAACAACAAGACATCAACAAAACCTTACTTTTCCTTTTTGATTTTTTGGTAGGAGGTTTAGCAGCATCCGAATCGACTGAACTTTCACTTGCATTTTTGTCCGCTTTACCCATGCTAACACCACCATTCGTAGAAAGTAAGAATTTTAGTAATGAAGATTGGGAAGAATGCTATCCATGCTCTTTTTCGAGCCATAGCTTTTGAAATGTGTGAAATCCTCATAAGAATTCACAAAAATTCAAGTTTCATACGTTTGCAAACCGAAAAAAGAAATTATTTAAAAAAATCTTTTTATTTTTCTGAGTCAAGTTGAACGTTTTTAGCCAATGTTCATTTTTAACAGTAGAAACTAAGTGGAAACTTTTTAAATTGTAACATTCAAGGGTTTTAAGAATTTTTTAATGTAAAGCTAACAAATCGTCGTTCCAACTATTTGTATTAAGCTTGTCAGAACGACAGAGTTTATAAAACCCGTCATGGCGCCTTCCGGAAGCTAATTTTTCCGCATTTTCGTGTACGAACAACGTCTTTTCTTTTGCATATTACACTCGAATTGATATCGAGAGACCATTTTATTTTTGCAAATATTATTCTTATCGATCTAACGCATCTCCAACTTCTTTGGGACTTTCTCGAGACTAATTTTCGTGGTTAAATGACCTTCAAGGCCAAACGTTGCTTCCGAACTTGATTTTTTTTTATTAATTTGTGGTTTGTGTGTGGTAATTTAGGTAAAAAAGCGAGGATTTAATAGCTTTTTTAGGTATAAATATATAGTTTTTTTACTTTATTGAGGAAGACAAAGTTAATACTTTTGTTTACGAAAAGTTATTTTTAGTTTAAACCTAAAATTTGTTACTTTATATAAAAAAATATGATTCACACGACCTTTAAAAGCCGTCGGATGTTTTTTATGGACTTTTAGTGGCTTTTACTTCGTTTTATAACAGTTTTATACTTTCTGGCATTAATTTTGAGGACAAATGGACTTACTTTTTATTAATCTTTATCATTTTAGGCATTAATCTGGCGTTGTTATCTAAAATTATGAGAATGCAGGAATGTGTTGGTTTTTTTGTTATTTACAAGCCAAGTACACTGCTTCTTTGCATTTTATCGTGTTATATGTAAAGTCTATGTTTACGAAATTTGTTTTTATATGAATGTCCAAAAAGTACTTCCATTGAATGTGGTTCCACCTTTTTTTCATATTCTCTTCGTGAAAACTTCGATTTTCAGCACTTCCGTTAAGGTCTTCCTTAATATTTCGTCCTCTTTTACTATGTTTTTCTTGTTTTGACACAATATTGGCAAGTGTTCTGGCTGTTTTTGGGAAAAGCCTTTGAATTGGCTTTTTGCTTAAAGTTTGTGGTTATTATCTAAAACTTGAAGATTGCAGAATTGCTATTTAATATTGTACTTTTAATTGGTATTGTTGGCTAATCAGCTGCTTCAATTCCTAAAACAAAATTGATTTAAAAAAAATAACTAACTTTGTTACCTAAAATTTGAAACGACTTTCGATTGCTATTATAATATCAGTTTTTTGACCACAAGTTATTACCTAAAACTGTAATTTTGATGTTGTTTATAAACTCGATTCCTCGTTACCAAGAAGTCAATTACCCATATTCCAGAAACTTTGTCAACCGGGGCATGGACCGAATTCGACGTTCATTCCGAAAGTCTTTACATTTGGGTAACAAAAACAAACTTACCGCTCAGGATGCTAATGATATGCCATCGGCTTCGACCGGCTCTGGAGGCAAGAGTAACGCATTTCAACCGGACGAATCTTCAGTTAGGAATGGATCTTGCTACTTTCAGGTTAAGGTAAGGTTTATATGTTAGTAAATCAGTTAAAAATTTGTTTTAAAAGCAATATTTTTGATGGTTTTTATGTACATAATCCTATAATAACGTAAATTATTGTTTTCAGTACCTTGGATCATGTGAAGTCTTCGAATCTCGTGGAATGGAAGTCTGTGAACACGCTCTAAAACACCTAAGGGTAAGTCTTTATATCTTATTATGGTTATTCGAAATTTAGAGTAAAAACCGAGCAGTAAAGGCCGTATTGTACGTATCAGGTGATTCTCTACGTGTGGTGGATCAAGAAGCTAATAGAGGCTTGATCGTGGACCAGACTGTCGAAAAAGTGTCATTTTGTGCACCGGACAGGTCAAATGACAAAGGCTTTGCATACATTTGCAGAGATGGAGCCACGAAGAGGTGGATGTGCCATGGATTCACGGCTACGAAGGAATCTGTAGGTCTTCGTAAAGCTTTTGGGTCTTAAAATGCCTTATTCTTTATAGGACGGTTTGGATTTGAAAAGCTAAATTCAATTAATATAGTGTATATTATTATAGGGAGAAAGATTAAGCCACGCCGTTGGATGTTCATTTGCAATTTGTTTGGAAAAGAAACGGAAACGAGAAGCTGAAATGGCAGTCTTTATTTCCGCTAAAAATCTGGCTGAAGAGGTTCAAAATGACTTTAATGGGTAAGTGTTAAACAACTTGCTTTATCTCAACTGAGAACATAAATAATGAAATGATTTTTGTAGATCTCGCCAAAACCAAGCCTACTCCTCCTTCCGACGACAATTGTCAATCGCAGAACGACGACAAGACCCTCAAAAGGCTATTCTAGCTCAACCAATCCCAGTTCAAACACAATCCTTAACCAACTCACTGATTGATGTTCAATCTCCATCAGGAGAAGACGAATCCTCTAAAAAGCCGCAGGTTAACATGGCTTTGTTCGAGAAACAAAACAGCTTCAGAGGACCGAGCAATGTAACGCTACCTAGCAGTAATCAGTTCAGACGATTCAACTCTTTGAGGACTGATTTGAATGGCAAAGCTGTGAGTTTAGAGGTATATATAGGAGGAAAATAGTACAATTTATGGTTTTTAAAGGATAAAACGATATATAGTTGATAGAGGAGCCTACTCGAGGAGCCTTGTAATTTCTAATTTTTTAAATTATTTTAAAGAATGTCTTGTTAAAATTTTTCAATATCAATCTTTTTATTTTAGTCGTTTGGCACACTGAAATCACTTCATAACGAGCCAATATACGAAGGAGATGAAGAATGGCCTGGTGTGAGCACACCTCAACCAACAACAAGTATAATACCTACGTCTAGCTCTGTAAACGAGTTCAACCATATTCTGAACGATTCGAATAAGGAAAACGGATTAAACAATGGCTGGGACCGCTCACAAAGTGCAATGTAAGTAGATTAACTCTTGTTTTGTGTTTAGATTCGAAAGTTGGTTTTGTTTCAGTTTTTGATATTATATTGACTTTTTTGACAAACAACTATGTATCAGGATGTTGGAAAAGTGTTGTGATCAATTCAAATAAGTTATACATTCATTGCTATTTTCAGACCCCAAGTATCTAACGCCGACAATTGGCTTGACGATATCCTGAAAAAGTCTGCTGCCTCAACGACGTCAAACAATAACGTGCATTATAATTTAGCCGACGTTCAGAAGTCTAAACCAATGTCAAGTCTACCCCCATGCCAACCTCCACCCCCACTACCCCCTCAGGCGGTGCTACAGACTCCACAACGATCCCTGTTCCCTTCTGATGTCACTACTTCAGCAACAACGACTCCAAGACTGTCGACTGACTGTCAGGATTCGATCATTGTTCAGAAAGTGCATCCAAGTTTGAATGGACTCTCGAACAATGCTGTTAACCTGCCCCCACCTGTTCTGCCAACTCCACTGCCTTCGAATGGATCGTGGAAGGCGACAGGGCAGGGAAACGTGTCGAACACATTAGGCCGAAATAGCTTGATAAACTCAACCACACCACAGATGACTAACCTAGCTACAACATCATCAAACCCTGTTGTATTCCCAAACACAACTTCTCAAAATGGCAATCTATTGAATCCAGCCAGAAGAACGTCGGCCGACAAGAGGAAGTCGATCGAATATCAGATTCTGGAGGAAACCGACGCTCCACCACAAAGCCCACCAAGACTAACATCACCACTAACACAAGAAGTTGACATCTTCGGTCAACCAGTCTTCAATCCTGTCAAATTGGAACAAAATCGACTGGATTTGCGGTCGAGAATGGCTTCAGATGCAAAGATTCAGAACTTTGCAGCTTCTTCTATGAATTCCACGAATCCTGTTACGAATTCGGTCTCAAACTCGATGAATCAGGCTTCAAACTTTACAAAATTGGCTTCAGAATCCTTAAAGATGAACAGTCTGAGTCAAGTGCCGAAGCTAGATGAAGGTCAGCTGGCTAGAATCGAGAAGGAGAAACAAGAATCCGTCAACGAACCCGACCCCTTCGACGTCCAATGGACTGATCAGGTCCTGGAGTCAGCCAGATCGGCCCGAGTTTCGGGTCTCAACAGGAATCCATTCAGTCAGGAAAGTGCCCCGGTCAACGTATAACATAATATAACATGTTACTCGATGTTAAACATAATATGCATTGTTATATTCAACTTATAACATAATGTACTTAGATGGTAGTTACCACAATGGCACTGCCTTTACGACACATTGTTTTTAACCTTCGCGGTATCTAATACAAAGTCTAAGTTTAGTTTCTATCGTATCCAATACTAATTTTAACTACACTTTCTACAGTAGATAATATCGATTAATTTTTGTCTATTGTAGGCACATCAAGGTCTAGCCTATAAAACTGGCCTGACCTAGATGAAAAAAAGTCTACAGTAAAAGTTTAACATCTCAATGTAAAAAGGTTTTATAGATATATATGTTCATTTTAAGCATACGCGTATTGTTATTTTATAGTGTATTCCCTCTCTCTCTGTTATACTAACCCTAAAATATATTGAGGTAGAGACAAGTGGCCTTAGTACATCTTCTAACAGCTAACCCTTTTACGTATTATCCATAGTATTTTGTTTATGTTACAAGCGAATAAAGGTTTTTGAAACGTAAATGATGGTTTTTGAAACGTGAACGATGACTTTATGTTATATTATGCTTGTAGATGAAAAAGTCATTTTCGTCGAGGTAAGGGACAACTGGAGACCTTTCATATCCGTTTACCTGAGTCGTCTATATCATTTTATCAGAGCACTATATCCCTTCATCTGAACCATGAGCTGCCGAAGAAGGTTGTTCTCTGAAAAACAGTTCTTCCGAATATTGTTTTCGCTTCCGCCCTCGTCCTGACACTGCCGATGAGTCTGAAAAGATCATGATCTTGTTGATTTATAATTTTAAAAAATTCTCGAGGTAGGCCATGGTGAAGGTTATTGAGCTCATTACCCTACCCTACTATGTCCTACTTTGCCATGCCTTCAGTTTTTCTAACCATCTCGGACAACCTAATATGTACTGAGCCTACCTTCCATAACATTCGGTTTTCTCTTCACGTCCTTTGTGATCGTGCCAGAACGGTCGATATCCGAAGGCTGAGGTAATTGAGTAGATTCTGAGATATCGGATCGTACTTGTGCCATTTCTGGATTCGACTGATTTGGGTCTGATTTCTTCTTCTTTATAAGTTTCAGTTTCGCCTTCAGGTCTTTGGCCTGGGCTTCCATTTGATCGGTTTGGTTTGAGAAGTCGTTATCAAAGTTATCTTGTTTCATCATTTGATATCTGCTTAAGGCTACTGTGCGCTGAAAAAGGTTTTGTAAGGTGGGTGAGGTTTTAAATTGAGTTTTAGGGGGGTTGACAGGCTAAAGATTCAAAAATCAAGTTTGGGAGGTCGGTATGTTACAAGCAAAACCTCACCGACAACTCATAAACCTTCAACTACTTACCGACAACTCAATAACCTTCAAATACTTTGGCCGATTGTTCCGGAACTTGACCATGATCACTATCATCAGCAAGATGGCTGTGATTGCTATGCCTGTGGCTATGCCAGCAAAGAATAAGATAAAGGTTATGGTTTTGACTGCACAATCGTGTGTATCCACTTCCCTGTGATTGTTTATGGTGCTGACGTCCTTCTTGAGCTTGGGGTCGTATATTTTGTCTGGATACTTTCTATGGCCATCTACTTCGGCCTAAAGTAGGGTAAAACATATGTTTTGGTACTTTAGGGTTTTTGATAGTAAAATACGAACAGGAATGCGGTAAATAGGTCCTAAAATAAGTTTTAAAAATCATAATTTAGGTAACAAAATACCAAAATTTTAAAACTCACAACCTCGACCGTTCGTTTAAACTCCAAATTTGATACAATACTAACAGTCATAAAAATCTCTTTGTAGTCAACATTGTCCTTGTTATACGTATGGTACATCTTTTGGCATTTAATTGGGACCGCCAGAGGCTCTGGCTCGGTATTCGAAGAATAAAAGTATACTGTATTGTTCACCGTGGTAATGTCTATTTCAATCTTCCACAAACTTGTAAAATTGTATTCAGCTGGCTGATCTGTACTGTGTTCCATCAGCGATACCCACACCTTTCTGTCATCTGTTAGGACTATCGAGAATCGAAGCGGACAATGGTCGAATCGCCAGTAGGCACTAAAACAATACTTTATGAAGGATGTACATTGAAGTGACATGAACATATACAAAAAATGAATTCAACTTTTTATAAAATCTATTAATTTGTCGTTCAAATAATTCTGAGCGCCCTTTCAACGCAAATTTGCGAAACTAGAGAGCGCAAAATTATTTGAACAACCTATAACAAGGTACATATTCCGAAAAAAGTAATAGAAAATTTTAGTTTAGAACCTTACTCAACCCATATTGCAGTTTCTTTCACCTCTGGTACCTTCGCCATGTACCACATTACCAACGTATCTTCATTTACTGTTTGAGTAAAGTTAACTTGCCGTGTTGTACAGCGGTCCATTAATGGCATGCCATTTAAACTGAAAATTCGTTAATTTATACTGACTTATTATAATTTTTATGCCCAAAAAATCAAAATTAAAAAAAATTTTTTAATTTAAAGAAGTTAAATACTAATATATAATAAGTTTAGAAGCCTAAAGAAGATATATTAGATTTATTACTCATTTATTAAACCCTCAAAACACCAAAATACAAAAAAAAAGAACCTACAACTCTGTCTGGCCACCGTGGCACGACTTGTCAAACAAACTAAACTCCTCCAAGGCAAATTGCATTAAAACAAGGGTTGGTAACATTAGTGTAGTCAACAACCATTTCATTTGCGCCGCAAATCGACCGGTAGAAAAGTAACAAAATGAAGAAAATGGAAAGCAACAAAATTAGTAAACTTCAAATTTTAAAAACGTTTAAAAACGAGCCAAGCCATTCTTTGACGTTTGATTTGTGTATGGACCTCAAGTTTTGTCCTTTTCAGTCTTAATGTGTGTTCAAGCCAGTTCGTTTCGTACTTCGATATAAAAAAAGATAAAAAAAACTGTGTAAAACTGTTATTCCGATATTACTTTGTCCACTCGACAAAATTTTGTAGCCTTCTCTTCCTGCGCCCATGCTTTTCGGCGCCTTTCTTTTCGTTTGAAATTTTATTTTTCGAACTTTTTCCTTCGGGGTTTCGAGGAGTGATTTCCGGTTATCGAGATGTTTTCTAGCAATATTTTTGTACAATTTTTATGTATTTTAAAATAATTTTGTTATTACATACACGATTTATAGCAAAATTGTTGTTTTTCTTATGTTTTTCTGATTCTTTGATGTTGTTCTTGCTTGTTTTTCATTTTTGAGCTTGTTAACTTGCTTTTTTTAACTAAATTTTTATATGTTTCTGCGGATATCTTTAACATATTAAGAGGGTTATGCCAGCCCTAGTTTATGTTGACTTTAATATTTTTAATGTTGTCTATATTCAGATGGTGGTCTCCTTTGGAAGTTTGGAGATTGAGACGAGTAACGATGATGGAACAACTGGAATGCAGAATCTTGATAGTGCGGATTTGTTTGAAGTAAAAACGGCGGCTCGGATAAGTAAGTTTGTTGTTTTTTGAAGTTTTATATTACTTTAGGTTCAAAGAAGGTTGTTGGCTATTGGGAAAGAAGCAAACTTTTGTTGGAATACTTGACTTAATGTTTTTCTTTTTTCAGAAGCAGATGTTGAGCTTCCCGAAGGCTTTCAGATCAAGAATCTGATTGCATTTCCGTTTGAAAAGACTGTGTATGTTGTCGTAGAACAGAATCTGTATGCACTGCGGATCGAGTCTGCTGTTCACAACGTTTTCGACAATGTTTTGTTACCAGGTTTGTTCATAAGTTTTTTTATTGTATATTTTTTAGATTTTGTATCTGATTACGTGATAACTCCCACCTTCGTTCTTCTGGTATTGAAGAATGGCACGCTGTTGTGCTTGAATTCTGATGGTTTAATGGACAAAAGCGTGAGTGTTTGAAAGGATTTTAGTAGGATTAGGTGTTTTGTGTTATAATTAGCTATACATTTGAGTTCTTATTGCAGTTTAAGATACAATTTACTGTTTTTTTTGCTATGTTATCTTTGTCTATTACAATATTTTATTATTTTTTATTATTTAGCTTGATTTTCTTAATGTTTCTTAATTTTAGTTTAACTTGCCGTACCGAGAAGGTGTAGAATACAAAATTGAATGGTATGAAACGAATGGCTGTGCATATTTTGTGGCTATGGCCATGTGCAACAACACAGCTGATATGGCTGTTTATGAAGTGTTTGATAAGGATGATTTATTTGATCAAATGATACAAGTTGCTTCTTTTTCTAATCTTGCAGCAGGTCACTTGGTTGTTACTGTTCAAGGAATTTGTGTTGTAAGTTAACTCACTTATAAGTTTAGATATAATAATTGATAATGTGTAGTATTATTTGGAATTTACTTAGACTTTGAAGTATTGAGCTTAACTTGAGTACTATTAGTTTCAGCAATATGTTATCCTTAATGTAAGTTGTAGATTCCAAATGTTCGTTCAAACGTGGCTGCATTCCTGAGTGCTCAAGAACTTGAATACGAAGATCCCACTTTGGCCTACATTCCTATGGATGATCGAATGCCAGCTGACGAAGCTCATACCTTCTCAAACATGCTGGCTCTACGTTACGATGGCTACATATATTTGAACTCCAGTTTTCCGCAAATTATTCCATCAGTCGAAATTGATTTATACAAGTTACATGCAAGTGTTCAGGAGTTTGAAATTCTGAACCACGAAGGCTGTCGAATGAACTTGAGGGACAAACTGGTGCTTCATTTACGTGACGATGATGGTGACTGCAAGTTGTATTACACAAATTTGTTGGGCGACTTTAGTTATGGTGTTGACGTGCCTGATGTCGTTGCGATTTGTTCGGAAATGACGATTTCTACTGATTTCGAGGATAATGTTGTGTTTGTTGAGGGAAATAGCATGAAAAGGTTGGTTTACCTTCGAATTTGGTGTGAAGATTATTTCAAATTGTACTGGGTGACATTCAGTCTCTTACTGAGAAGGTTCAGTGTTGCATTGGGAAGAGACAAGTAGAAACATAATTATACTCTTTTCTTATCTGGGGAAAGAGAACGTCGTATAGCTTCGAGTTTGTAGTAAGATTTACGGATCATATATTGTTTTTAAAGGAAATTGAGGCTAATATACGACTGTTTTAGCCCAAATGGTGCAAGAATGCGATTGATTTTTGAAAATACACCACAATGTCGACTTCAGAATCTGTTAGATAAGGAACGATTCGAAGATGCTATGGTTTGGGCTCAAAACTATGGAATGGACACGAGTGTAAGTTATGTTACTTTATGTATATATATTTATATTATAATTATTTTTTATTAAAATAATTATTATAATTTTAGGTTGTGATTATTCGTCAAGTTGAACATGAAATTCGGCTGATGACTCAATTCGGCACTAAAGACGAGGACATTGACAAGTTCATCGCTTTGCTCAGCGCATTACCAGACGAACAGAGCTTTGACTATGCATATGAAGTGATGATCTTGGCCAGAACCTACGAAAATATTGAAAAAATGTGGAACTTTTGCTCTGAGAGACAGGTTAAAGGTAAGGTTTTTTATTTTGTAACTTCAAACTTATATTGTTAAGAATTTGTACTGTCAGAAAGCTTTTTTGTTATTTAATTGACTTTGCAAGTAAAGAAAGTCTTTAAATAAATTTAAAATTTTTTAAAAACCTTTATAAACAACACTGGCATGTTATTATAGATGAGGATCTGATTAAACAAGTTCACTCCTTCAAGTACGCAGTCAACACGTACTGTGCCGTATACGAACCGAATGCCGACTTCTCAAAGTCAATTTGGAAAGTGTTTTGCACAAAGGAAAATCATTGGGAACTGTTCAAACAGCTACTCGAACAAGGCAAGGTTGATAGGGCCAGGTATTTGTGGCAAAGATATCAAGAGACGATGGATCAGAACCTTCAAAATCGCTTGGATGAGTTTAAGGATCTACTGAAGCTGTTGGAGCAGATCATTCGAAGTAGGACCTTTTTTGGATTTTAAAATGACTTCACATTTTAACGGCAAAATTTTTATTATTATGTTTAAACTAAAGTTCAAGTTAATTTTAGCGTAACTTTACTTATTTTGCCATTTTCAGATGACTTTGCAAACGTAAATGAAGTAATTTTGCTATTGGAAAAGGAAATTCTAAGTTCCTTTGCAACGGCCGGTACTCTACCTTCTCTATCACAATACTCGGATTCATTGTTGGCGTTTGCCAAGTTGATTGTGAATGTATTGGAGACGCATTCGAATGAGTATCCTTTCAATGCTTGTTTTGTGGTCAAGACTATACACACCTTCTTTATACGAATTGCCAAAGATATCGAGTCGGCTGATGGAAATAGAGTAGGTTTTGTTAAGGTGATATTTATTGGATTTTTTTTATTTTTGGGTTCAAGTTGAGCTTAAAAAACCAATTTTCGAATTAAAATGAACTTTTACAGAACATTTTGCCAGTTCAACTCGCCGAACTTGGTGTAGGCGCTTTGACCGAAAATTTCTTCACCGAACTCTCTATCTTATGTGACCGTCTCAGCACGCTGTGTCACATGCGGGAAAAGTACAACTTGAAGTGCTCGTTGGCCGATCTCGAATCTTCGACTTTGGATGATTTAGCACTGAAGATGCTATCAACCTTTGGCTTTGGTTTGGTCGATAATCTTCAAGTCTACGTCCAAACCGTCATCATACCGTTCTGCGAGGAATATCGACTGGACAAGGACGAAATCTTTCTGAAATATGTGGTATCCAAGCCTGGAAACCTTCAAGCTTGTCTAGTTTTGTGTGACATGATCAACGACAGTGATTTGTGCGCTAGAACGACGATGTCAATGATGAAGAGTTGTCCATTGACTAACATCGGATGGCCATTGGTCTTGGAGAAACAGGTGGAGAAGGTCATGGGTCGAGCTTTGTCGCATTCAATGTAAGGGATGTGTGTTAGATTGGGTTAAAGGCTAGGGCTTGGTTAATATGTTGGATTAAAAATTATTTTTTGGTTAAAAAATTATGTAATCTTTAAAATTTTGTAAAATTGATTACGTGTTACGTATTTCAGCCGAAACGGACTCAAATCTCTGCTTCTGAAGAAAGAAATCTGCATGTTGGTTGAGTCTTACTCTCTGTTATTACCAAGAAAGACTATCAGCGACATAAGTGAAAGTAGAAACTTGGCTGCCTTCTGTCTTGATGTCATTAACTCGTCACATTCTACCATGGGTAATCGTTTCGAAGATGTCATCAAACTACATCGTCTGGCCCAAGCTGACAAAAAGCTTTGTTTTGATTATGAAACGTTCTGCTCTTTGGTTGTGGACAAGTGCTTGATCAAGGAGAAGGTGGACTACACCTTCATTGACGATTACCTACGCTGCTTCAAGGACGCAAAGTTCAGGAAGAGTTTGTTGTTGCCAATAGTTACTGCTCAAGTGGAGTTGATGGGAACGTTACCGGCCGAACATTTGAAGGATTGTGTACGAAACGCTCTGTTCTTGTTCAAGTACCTAGAGCCAAATGATAAGGACAGAGTCGAGTTGGAGAAGAAAATGCTGGTTATGCACAATGTTCACAGCGCTTTCAGTATTCAAGTCACAAAGGACAAGATTGGCAACTTCGAAGCGATGGAGTCGGAGTTGTTGGATGCCATTTTAGATGCAGAGAATGATATGACATTCAGTGGGTACTACAAACTGTGCGACATGTTGTTGTTGGACATGAACAGATGTATTGGGCTGTTGTTCAGGGATGACGTGGTCAAGGAAATCATTGAAGTTGAGGAGCTGAGGTTGAAGTTCCAGAATATGGCGTGGTAGGTGGTTTAGTTGCTATTTATTGTATGAATTGATATATATATATAAAGGTTTTTAATATATTGGCTTAACTTTACATCATACAAATTGTCAGCTTATTATCTACATTTTGGATACCATATGAGTTGACTAGGGGTCTAGGGTATTTATTATCTTCTGATTTCAGTGAATTGTTCAACACAAAGTTTGTCCTGGCGGATGAACCAACCTCTATGATCAATGGTATCTACGTTTATTTGTCGTTGTTCAGTCAAAGAGTCATCAATCTGCACGATGTGCCACTGTTGGTAGAGAAGATGAAACATTTGATTACTTTCATCGAACTCCAGGTTTCATCAGTCAACAATTGTGCTCTTCATGCATGGTCAACGGTAAGGATTAGGCTTAAAAATATTATGTTTTTTTTTGAAAATTAAATTTTTTTGCAGTTTAGAATTGCCAAATTGATTTTAAAGCTATTGTAATATTGTCGGCTTTTAGTTGCTAAAATACGTGCACCTGGTCTCCAGTGTAGCCGCAGCGTTGATACCAGAACGGACAATTGATGAACTTGATGAAGCTTTGAAATCAGCCACTAATAGGTAAGTAATTCGCTTTGATAAATCAGTTGTTAAGGGAAATGGAGACATGTGGAAGAATATTCGAACGAGAGAGAGTCACTGACGCCAAGACTCTTCAGCTTATACTCAAATTGGCTGTTACTGTTAATAAGTAAGTCGAAGATTTTTTTGGTAATATTGGGTACTATAGAGGATATATGGTATCTGAACGGTATGGGAATTGGAAAAATTTTTGCCTTTTGTAAAGTTGGGGCGGATTTTTTTTGGGTTTTATCAGGTTTGAGTAGATATTATCAACGGGTCGGGCTCATCTTTTAGGCTTGTCTTGTTTTTTTTAGTTTGCTTAAGCTTGACATTTTTGTTAAGGGAGGCTGGTCTTAAAACGGCTTGTTGCTCATGTCAGTCTAGGTTTGACGCGGATTTTTGGCTTTAGCATGTCTTCCGGTTAGGCCTAAAAGAGGGTCACTCGGCCTGATGCGAAGCAACTTTCAATGGGGCCGGACCGAAAAATTGGCCTTTTTACCTGACTACCTGGGGCAGGGTTGAATAAAATTTCTGTGTTAGTTTATTTGAAATTAATAATTTTAAATTTCAGCGATACGTTCGAAGATGCTCGTTTGGGATTGTGGAAAGATATATTGATGAATCTGTTGAGCAACTTGTGCTACGAAATCAGCTTGAAAGCTTTTGCTTTGTCTGAAGAGAAAGGTAAGATTAACATTTTAATCTTTATACGGCTTATTTTCCAAAACGAGGAATGTTATAGGAATAGGTATAAGGAAGATTTTTGAATTTTTTTGACGTTTATGCATAGTTTCATCTCTTTTTGTATTATATATTATATTATGATGCTTATAAAAAGATTTGAAATGGTATAAATGATACTATTTATTGTTAAAATTTTATTTTCTTCAGCTTTTTTGACGAACGCAACTGTATTGCATGATCTGTATCCAAGACTGCTCGCCATTTACCTGGAGAAGTTGATAACGCACGATGGAGAAGAGTTTATCGGAAGAACGACCGCACTTTTACTCTGTCGTAATGCTCCAAACCCTAAGGACGCGGAAGCGATGCTGGGAGAAATGTTCAAGAGGTTTTATCAAAAACAACAAAGGACTTCTGCGTATCGTGTTATTGAGCTGAAGATGAAACTGGGCTTCATGAATGTGGACGATGCTCAGAAACAAATGAATGCCATCTTGTGCATCGACGAACTAGCACGCGTCGGCGTAAGCCTCTCCTCAAGATACATAATGAGTGGTCCCGCATGTGCGTTGGAACAGCTGGTGTCACAGTTGGTACCGCCGAGAGTCATCATTACCTGGTGCAAGTTGTTCAACATAGACGCTTTTGAAAGTCTAAAGACATATCTATTGCGTTTAATCGAAAAGTCAGTATCTGAAGAGCAACAAGACAAGAGAACGAGCACAGTCGCTCAAGTTCTTGATGAATTGAACAGTTTGGGAGATTTCACAAAACATATGGGCGACTTATTGAACCGTATGTTGAGGTCTGTCAACCCATACGACTACGAATTGTTGGAGACTGTGCTGAAGAAGTGTACGCTAATTTCGACAGATGAAGCTGTGACTGCTGTTTTTTCCAAACACTTGAGTTACATCAAGTTTTTGAAGTAAGTGTTTTGGTTGTCAGTTTCTTGAGATGATACTTAGACCACAATACAAATTTACAGTGAAAACACTCAATTGTCAATTTTCAGATCCGAATCAAGACAACAACTGATTGGAGACACAGAGATTGAATGGCTAAAAGTACGCAACTTTGATGGATACCTACAGTATTCGTCCTCCAAATCAAGATTACCGTATCAAATATTTGTATCGGACCAGGTCACTGACACCATAAAGAGCTTCTTATTGTACGAATTGAGCACGGAACGTCTTACAGTAAGTTGGCTTAAACTTTTTAATAAAAATGGTTACTTTGAAAAATTTTAGGTAATACTTTAAAAGTTCAGGTAATATATGCAATGTTTATCAAATTTTTTTTAAAATTTTATGAAGTATGTATTTAAAGAGTCTGGTCAATATTTAAAAATTTTAGGTAATACTTCAAACATTTAGGTAACATTTTGAAAAATTTCAGGCCTGGGAGACGATGGCTGAAAAATGTGCACCATTAGTACCATTCTCACTACCAACAGTACAACGAAGCGTCATTGTGGCCGATCTGGTTAGATGTTGCCAGCTGCAACAAACGGACACGGCCGCAATGTTTATGGCCAAGAACTTGTTGACCAACTCGGAGTACGCGGACAAGTACTTGAACACTATTTCCTGCGTCCTCAAAGAGATCAAGAATTGTAGGTTTGAATATAGGAAAAAGGCCTATTTTCAAAAGCTGAACGTTGTTTCATAATTTTTTAAATTTCAGCTTCTGTACGAAGCGAGATTCTCCGCTTCCTCTACGATGCCATCTTCAACATGCTGTCGGATAAGAAGAAGCAAATGGGAAGCAAGTCTACCCAAGACCCCTTCTTCAAATCTCTGGGACAAGCGCTGGGCTTGATCAGAGCCATCACTCATGGCTGCGAAATGCACACCTACCTCAAGAAGTACAACTTTATTTGTCCGGCTACCGAATCGCTGGTCGATAAGCCCAAAGAAGCCTGTACATATGTCATTGACGAACTAACGGATTGGGATAGTTGGGACAGTATTGGTGAGTTTTGGCTTGTTTTGGTGGTTTAAAGGCTTGTTTATCTAGCTTTTGTTGACTAAAATATGAAGTCGAAGCCATATGTAATTAACTTACAAAATCTCACGGTGTATGTCGTCCTATTTCCAGCCACCACTTTCGAATTCCTGACCGACGTCAGCTCCCGACGTTTGATCCACATGAAACTCTTCCTTCGTGAATACCTCAACAGCCAAACCAACCACAACCAAGCCTCGGAAACCAAAGACGACATGAGCACTTGCGACCTGAATATGAGTGCTGCTATGATGGACGCGGCTGCCGACGACTTGAATCAATCTGGATCACCGTATCTGGACAAGGAAGTAACTAAACTGGCAATGATTGTGAGCATGGTAAAAGACGAAAAAGAACTGGTCGAGGATCTGAACAAGAACATGGCATCCCCCGGTCAACAGGTCAAATGGATGTGTGTTCTGCTGAGAGCTTCCCTGATGATGGATGTGGATATTAAGAATGATGTTAGGTAGGTTTTATATATTGTATTGGGTACTTTTTTGACATTAAACATTACTTTCGATGTTATCCATGATCTTATCAATAGTAATGAAAGACTTTAACGTTTTAACTCTTCAGCGAACGCCTCAGAGCTGCCATTCAAGAGACCCTGAACAGCAGCGACGAAAGATCGAAACGGTTCAACTTTATCACCTATTGAAATATAAACTAAATTACTGTATATTTAAGGAGCTGTATCAAGCTAACCAGTGGTATTTAGCAAATAATAAACATTTTATACCATAAATTTGCTTTCATATATTTTTGCTGACTAAAATGAATTTACTACCTTTTTGCCGTATAAACAGAGTGAAACGCAAAAAACTGTAGTGGTTACAACAATTTATAGTTGCCTAGCTTATAAAAGGCTATGATCAATAGTGCGCTGAAAAATAGAGGAATGCAAAGTTTTTGATTACATTGTCTATTTCAAGTACAAATTTCTCGGCTTCTTTACATAGGCTTCCCGAAAAAACTATAAAACAACAAAATCGTTCATTCATGATAAAGAAACACCAATAATAAATATCAAACACAATAAACAAAAGGACAATTCGGGTACAATGTCGGCAATCAAATAAATAAAAGAAAGTACAATATATACAATTAAATAAATACAGGCAAATCAAGTACAATATGGACGATACAACAGTCATGGGTAATGGTTTATTCAGTAAGTCTGTACATGTGGCAGTAGCTTGATCATTCCTCCGATGGAGCGAACGCTTCTCCTCCAAAGATACCAAAGACCAGACCGTGAGCGAGAATGGCACCAACAGTGTACATAAGCTGGTACTTCCAAGCAGGAGACTGAAAGAGCAAAATATTCAAATTCACAAAGTATTTAAACACTAAACATCATGGGAGCAGCCAACCTAAAGAAAACGCTAAAAAAATATCGAAAAACTTACGGCCGTATCCTTGATCAACAATTGAAGCGTGGCGAATCCCAAGGCAGCGTACAACAACGACAACACGAAGCCGGCAAAGCTGAATCCAGTGATAAGTCCCAAGAAGATGTGGGCTCCGACTCCAGCTCCAAGTGTGGCACCCAACCAAGCGGCACGAGATGGGAACTTGTCAGCACCAAGTTGAGTCACCACCGCAATCAACATGGGCGTGAGGAAGGCCAATGGTTGAGGAGCGGGCAGGTAGCGTTCCGACACAATGTAGCCCAGAAGAAGACCCTCACCAGCGGCTCCAGCCAACAAATAAAAGTGGTGGTCGGGCTCACCCTCCGTACCTGACAGCTGACGGTACAGGAACGCCGGAACGATGATGTAGGCCAACAGACCGGCCGAGAAACCGTCAAAACACATTGCAAGCAATGGAGATAACATGTACGATGCAAGGAATGAGAAGACAAACTTTGCCGTTTCGGTCACTGTCAGCCATCCAAAGGTCTCCAAAACCTTGGCGGTGGGAATTTCTACTGTCGACTGAAAATTACATAAAATTAGGTAACAAAATTAATTTTTTATTAAAAAACGAAATTGGATACTAACATCTTCCCGTATAGTTATAAAAAATAGATTTTACTAATGAAATTTGGCAAAAGTAAGAAAAAAAGGGTTACGGTAAAATTACTGTAACTTTGAAAAAACTAAAATTTCAAAGCAAAATTAATTTTGAAAGATGGCCAGACAACCCTTCTAAAATACCTCTAAATTTCATAGCTCTACCTATACTTTTAATAAAGTTATGATCAAAAGCGTGAGGTACACAACTTTTTCTGCCTATGTTAATATAATTCTCCCGAAATTGAAACCAAAGCGTAAACAAAGAAAAAATGGTAAAAACTAAAATAGTAACTCAAGTTTAGCTTTAAAAAATGAAAAACAATAAGTTTTTACCTCCCATTTCTTCAGAAACAAAAAACCACCCCCGAAACCTAAAATAACCCACCAAATCCTGAAGACTGCCAGCCAGCGCGGTGGCCTTCTCGCTGCTCTGCTTCAGCTGCTCGGCCTGTTGTTTCAGTTGCTCTTGGGCCGCCGCGATCGACGCTGTGGATCGTTGACGAAGGCCATCGAAGGTGGTGGTCAGCTCCTCCTTGTACTTGCCGCTCAACTGCACGATGGGATCCATGGACATCTTTGCTGGAGTCTGAAGCCGTCCAACCGACAAACGTCAAAGCTCTAGTCGCAAAAGAAAACCGACCGAGTTTTTGGGGCTTTTATAGTCGTCGGAAACGCGTTATGCAAATTTAGTAAGTGTTTAAGGGGGAAATGTGAAATTTCGGGACAAAAATGGTCAAATATGAAGATTTTTGGTCGATTTTCACGTAAAAAACATAAAAATTGGAATATTTGTGGGAGAAAAATTTTAAAATTTATTTGTTTTGCAAATTTGAAAAATCAAAAATGCGCGAAAAAGCGAAAAAAGTTTTTTAAATGGGACTACAGGTTCTGAAAATTTTGGGAGCTTTTATTAACACTACAATTATGAAATTTCGCAGCATAACTTTACTTATGGGATATTCTAAACAAAATAAAAACGCCAAGCTGTGTGAGCTAGTGTAAATACCAACACGAAAACTTATCGAAATCGAAGCGTCAAAGTTGGAGGAATTTGAGCGTTGTTATATTTAAACTTGATTTGTGTTTTAGTGTTAGTTTGACTCATAAGAAACAAGCCTCATATTAAGTTTTGTGTGAAGAAAACTGTGGGTTACTCTTAAAGAGTATTGTTTCAAATATGACCGTAGTATTCTTACGAATGTACCCTGACGTAAGTAATTTCTAAAAGAATAATAAATTTTTTAATTTCTAAATTTAAATTTAATTGTTAAATTTAAAATTTTTATAAACAATTGATTTTTAGTTTTGGCAACATATGTTACGGTACACCAACCAAATGGAAGACATGTGTAGTTTTGCACAGATCAGCAGATACTTTTACAGAGTAACTAGCATAGACTTTCAGAAGTTGTGCTACAAAAATATGATTTGTCGATTCAAAGGCGAGACTTGGGCTACAGCCTTTTCAAAGTAAGTACAAGTACAAATTTAAAACACTTTGGAAGTTTTGTTGAATTTAAATTTTTTGAATATGTAAACTAAATAAATTGTTTTTTCAAAATTGAAACAATGAAAAAAGTATCGAAAACTCTTAAGCGACTAATAACATCTAAAATATCAAATTTAATTTTTCAATAATAAAAATGACGAAACTGTAATTTTTAACAAATTTAACTATAGAAAAGTATAATAATAAATAAAAATCCTGTTTTAGAGCTCTGTATCGTACAATAAGGTCCGGAATATTCGATAATCGCATTTCTAAAAATTCATCTTTTTGTCCGTATACTGGTTTCATGGCACTTGTGTTACAACAAAAACAGGTTTTACTGACCCACATACTACAGTTTTACATTGTACTACAGTAATGGTACCCTCGTGGATTTGTTAAATCAAAAGGAATACCAAGTTGAAACTATAAAACTGCCAGAAGATGTTCACATAAGTACTGCAGATGTTTTCGGCTACAGAAAGTACGTGGGCTTCGTGAATCCGCGGCGAGAGTTTGTGGTAATACGCAACGAAACAGGAAAGATGGATATTATATTCCAATCTCAGTTTTCAGACTGTAAAATTTGGCTCTGCGACGATATAGATCATGTTAGAAGATCACGTAAGCTTCGTATTTTTACAATTGAAAATTAAAACAGGCCCAGGACTTTAAACTTGAATTCTCAGACTGCGACATAACTATGCATTTTACTGCTGTCTTTTATCTTGCAAATAACATTGGGTATTTATATTAGGTTGAGATTAGAATTTCTTGAGGTCTAAACCTTTTTCTTGACTTTTCAGAACGTACTGATAATCAAATTTATGATATAAACACAAAGAAACTCATTTTCGAAGGTTATGGATATATGCGGCAAGTGGGAATCGACGGCATACTTTTTTCAATGCTTGGAAGGAACAATTATATAAGTTTGTTTGACGATTTGTCGGCCGAAAGGATTATTTGTAGGCAGAACCTCCAAATTGTTTCAAATGTTAAAGTTGTTTGTCAATTTAAAACTTCGATCTATAACGTGTTTCTTTCAGTTAGTTAGATTCAACCAAAGAACAAAAAAATATGACGTTTTGGATCCAGATGCCGATTACTTTCTTACATTGAGCCAGCATTGTCCAAGAAATTCATATTATCTACCTATCGTAACTCTCTATGACAAATGTTATCCGAAACGCGGTATAAATGTTATGGCGCATTTAGAGTTCTCTAAAGGTAAGGTTTATATTGAAAAAAGAAATGTTTCAAACAGTAAGGCATCAAAAGAGAATAAAATACAACAACCAGTGGCGTCGCTAGGGATTTTTTCAGGGGGGGGTGGAGACCCAAAAAAAATTTTTCGTCCACAGGAAAAATGTTTTTTTTGCGATTTTTCGCGTACAGGTACTGTGGAATTTTTTTTCGGATCAGCTTTGGGGGGGGGGGACCCACCCCCTTGGGCAGGGCATGTACAGGGGGGCTTTACAGGGTTTTACAGGGCATTTGTAAATTAAGTTTATAAAGCTAATAACAAGCGAAATAAAGTGCTTTATATCTATCCGGCCTCACCCCTGACCCTTGACTTTATTACCCTACCCTACTATACCATACCCACCCTACATAAAATTCCATACTGTACTGTACCATGCCCTATGCTACTTACTATATCATACTCATCTTACCAAACAAAACATACCAAACCTTACAATACTATACATTACCATATCATAACTTATCCTATCTATCATACCAGACCCTGCAATACCCTACCATACTATATGCTATCCTATCTACCATACCATATCCTACAATGCCCTAACATATATAACATGCCATACTCTACCTGACTATATTATACCATTTATCTTGCTTTATTTACCTACTCTACCCTACCTATGGGTAGTACACAGTAGTGTTGTATAAGATTGGATAAGGTAAGATATGATACAGTATGGTATATGTAGTATGTTATGGTAAGGTAGGATGTGGTATTGTATGGTAGGGTATGGCATGTTATAATATGTTAGGGTATTGTAGGGTTTGGTATGGTAGATAAGATAGGGTATGGCGGGGTGTGGCATATTAGGTACAATATGGTAGCGTAGGAACGGGCAGGGCTACAAAGGTCAAAGGTAGGGTCGGGCAGGGTTAAAAGGATCAGGGGTGAGGTAGGGTAGGGTTAAAATAGGGGGGGGGGGGCTGAAGTCGGGTAGGAATAAAAGGATCAGGGATGAGGTCGGAAAGAGCTAAAATGTTCAGGAGTGAAGTGGGGTAAGTAACATTACTTGTTAGACACTCAAAAATTTTAAATTAATTTTTTTTATATATGAAAAAATTATTACCGGGCATTTACAGGGCATTACCGAGCACGAAGCAAGCCCTGCCCGGTTAGAATCATGGGCCCTGCCCGGCCCGGCCCTGTAATTGATCGTAAAAATGGGCCCTGGCCCGGCCCGGCCCCAGGGCCGGGCCGGGTCGTGCACAGGGGGCAACGCCCTACGTCCAAGCCTGGTATATGATAAAGCGTCAGAAGCCGTATAGAGCAACTGACCAGTCTCTTGACGAATGGGTCCTCCAGTAAAATACGTTCTTTGTCAAATATCTCACAACAATTTGTGAGATATTAGAGTTAAAATATACTTTAATTTAAACTTTACTATTTTGATTAAAACACTTTTAAACTGTAATTTAAAAGTTTATTTATTATCCTTTCAGTGAAAAAGATCCTGCACCAGGCAGGGCCCAAGCGGGCCCGGTGCCAGGGCCGCAAATTGGGCCCTGCCCTGCCCAAGCCTGAGTGAAATTCAAGATTCTTGTGACTTTCTTTACCTGTTAGATGTAGTTTAACCTCAAAATATTAATTTTATTTTGAGTAATATAAGTTGAACATGTTATTTTTTTGTTTTTTCAAAGTTTGACTTTATATTTACCAAGTTTTGTTTCTTGTTTTATTGCTTCTCTTTTGTTTATTGTTTCTTGTAGTAATATATTTAAAAAATAATAAATACCTAGCTTTCCTTGAAGCTTTTTTGGTAAAAGAGAGTCTCTTATTGATCAAATGAGCGGGTTAATAGACGTTTCTGAAAGTCTCACAAGAGTTTATTCTGATTTACAAGTGCCAGACTTGAAGGAGCTGAAAGATGTATTGAGTAATGGGTTAAAAAAGGCTTTTGAAGGTGTTAAAGTAGAGGTAACTCAATGTCCAGGTAGGTTGCTTTTGATTTTCTAGACGAAAAGTAAAAATTGTTTTAAGATAGAAAACAATTTAGTGTTTTACATTATTAGGTTGTTCATATAATTTTTAACTTTAGTGTTTAAGTGTTTTACGTTTAGTGTATCTTACTTTACTTTCCTTTGTTTACTAATCTTAATTTGCATGTAACAATACATATCTTATGTTCTAGACTTGACCACAGCTCCTTACAAATTAGAAGGCAGGGGTTTATCACCAGATCTTCGAATTTTGAATTGTGGAGGCAATCACAACTTTTTTCCAAAGTTTCAACGACAAAAACAGTTTAACCTAAAGGTAAAAATGCGTGAATAAAATAGGGTTTAGGTATCTGAAAATCAATCCAAAAGTATAATATATATTAAAAAAATGGTTCTGCGGATACTTTGAAAAAAGTTGTGATCAAAAGCATGAGGTACACTACCTCTTTCTGCCCATGTTAATATAATTCTCCAAAAGCTTCAAAAAAGATTTTAAAAGCAAGGAAATATGATAAAAACTTATTACAGCTGTAACATACAAAGAATTTTCTTTTCAGAAACTAGCAAGGCTTGCTGAACTGCCTAATGGCTGGGCTTTTGGACCAGGAGCAGCTCCTCGAGAAGCTATCGGAAAGAACGCTGAACTTGTCATCAATGCTAATCTTGGGACCAATAAAGTGGGTTTTTTGAACGTATTTTACAATGAATTTTATGAAAAGTATAGGAACTTACAAAAGTTTTAAAAAAACAACGGAAAACATCTACTCTACCCATATTCTACCCTACCGTGCCCTATCCTGTATAGTAAAAACAAGTTTGCATCAGTTCATATTTATATTAGGTGATTTAAATGATTCTGAGCTTCCTAAACCCAGAAACTTTGCTTTGAGGGCACAGAATTATTTGAACTATCTAATACATTTGTTGGTAAACTTGATTCCTTTTGAAACTTTTGATTTTAGATAAATTGTCATCACGGAATGACAACTTCTGATGACAGTGGCTATGTGGAAGGTACCCATACTGATCTGTGCTTTAAAATGTTTGCCAATGTTGCTCTATGTTCCAATGAAGCTGGTCATAACGTTTGTAAGTGTTTTTATTATCAACTTACAAGGAAAATACTTAACCTGTTTTGCTCAGGGTCAACTCAAAATTTTTATATGTACTCTTTTTGTCACCAATAGTACCCACAAAAAATTTTAGGTCAAGCTGACAAGGAAGGTACCCGACCTGCAACGCTCAGATTTAGTTCAAATTTTTTCTATTGAAAGAGCATGTAAATGTAAGACCTTATGTAAAATCCTAAGTTGCGGTTTGCGGCCAGTCTTGAGAAAATCGAGATTAAAAAATCGCGTTTTGAATTTCCCGCCAACTTGGCATAGTGCTGCAAGCTTTTAACTTCGTCTTTTTTTGCCTTTTAACTATTTTTCTTTAACATAAGAATAAAAAAGCTTCAAATGAACCTGCAATTTAAATTTGTAAGCCTATCTTATCTTTAAAGGTTTTTTATTGAACATCAAAAAAAGTGCTTGCAACACAATGCCAAATTTGCCAAATTAGGAGGAAAATTTAAATATATTAATTTTAAAACTTAGAACCGCAAGCTAAGATTTGTTATGTGTGCTAATGGTACTACAAAGAATCCGTGGGGTACTTTCCTTGTGAGTTTTAAAATTTAAATATTTGAGTTTTCCGCCAATTTGATAAATTTGGCATTGTGTCTCAACGTTAAAGTAAAACTTAAACTATTGTTTTAGTAAAAGTGTACGCCAAAAAACGACTGGTCGATGGCAGCTTTACTCAAATCATTCAACGTATACTTGCTGAACATTACCCATCAGATCGTATGTTATGTTTGGCTGGGGTATGGCAGTTTGTGAGTGGAAGAGGACGCTTTCATGTCATGCCTGATTATCCGGAGAAAGACTTTGATAATGTTACTGATGTAAGGATTGACTTCTGCTTTTTTGTCATCAACTGTAGAAATTATTATCATATATAGTAGGTTGCTCAAATACTTTAGTGCTCTCTTTCAAACTAATTTTTTGGGAAGAGGGGCTCAGCATTATTTGAACAAGCTAATGTTTTATCAACTGTAAAATGTTATTAGATATAGAAGCCATACATATTCAGATAGCATCAAAATGGCTGAAATATTTTGAATTTCCTGCTCCAATGATCATGACTACGGTAATTCACAATACTGTACTTGACATGGAATTACCGACCGAACATACACATGGGTTCAGTGGTAGAGGATATTGTGGACACTATCACGGTGATGTGACTCCAGATGAAGCTGAATATGAAGGTTACTTCATACCAGCTGTTAAGGCTTACAAGTTTGATTGAAAATTGTGGTTTTAGGAGTTGCAGTAAACGAAAAACATGTTATTATACGTTTTTCAGTCGCGCTTTCCAGCCGATCTCGAAAAAGTCGAGATTTAAAAATTACGTTTTGAATTTTCCGCCAAATTGGCATTGTGTTTCAAGCTTATAACTTCTGTGTTAGAAAATAAAAATTTAAAAAAATAGTTTGGCAAATGTTTTTTAGGCTTAAAGTGGTTGTTTTAATCTTGTTTTTATGTTGTTTACAAGTCATGTTCTTCTAAATGTAAGATGCAACATTTTGATAAAAGGAATGAGCTGTCATTGATAATATAAGAGGAACGGCTGCTTTGAACCGTTTGCTTTGGTTGAGAACACTAATTTTATTCTATTAGAAATTTAAGTTAATTTTTCTTGAATTTAATGTTTTTTTAAGTTCAGCTTTTAAATACGGCCGGTAATTATTCCACAAAATTTTACATTTTTTTTAATTTTAAAATTTCAAAAATTGAAGTCAAATCCCATAACATTTCGCAATCTATCGCCAGAGTAAAGTGCACCCTATAAATTCAAGTTCAAATTGTTGAAAAGTTTCATTGATCGCTTTGTTGTTCTTCTGGTTGGTTCTTTTGTCCTGATCTTGTTCTCCTGGTTGGTTATTTGGTCTTTTCTTGTTTTAGTGCCATTTTTAGTACAAACAAGCTTGGAAGATGTCGAAACTAGTCGATTACTCCAACAAACTCACCAAAATCTACACGAATTTGCACAAACCTGCGTTAAAAGAGCTTTCTGGTGTTCTGGAGCGCGGTTTGAAGAAGAACTTCGCTGTGGCCAAGGTTGAGGTCACTAAATGTCCTGGTAAGGCTTTTTTAAATGCTTTATTTTGAATATTTTTTAATAGTTTTGAGCTTTGAAATGTCAGTTGTTTGATTAGCCTAACAATGGCTCAAGTTTTGATCAATACGTGCTATTATGTGTGCTACAAAAGTTTTGTCGTTGATTTGCACGCTTTTGCACGTTAAAAAACGACAAGACTTTTTGTGTTACTTAAAAATGTTTGAAATTGCAATATTTACATTGTAGACCTTTCAATACCTCGCAATAGTTACATAGTAGACATATTAGGATGTTCAATTAATTCTGAGCTACCTTTTAAAGCAACTTTTTGGGGTTAGGGACACAGAATTATTTGAACCACCTAAATTAATATCGTATTTACCTTAAATTATAAAAGTGTTTTTAGATCTAACAGCCCCTCCATACAACATGGTAGGCCATGGCATAGCTCCTTAGAATTGTCGACTGTGGAAGTCATGACAACTTTTTCCCCGTCTTCAAGCGTCACAAGCAGTTCAATATCAAGGTTAGTAACACGAACAATTTTATGTTTTTATTTTTGTTTTTCAATTTTAATCACAAATTACTTTAGACTTTGGCGAAGAACGCGGACCTTCCGAATGGCTGGGTGTTTGGACCAGGCGCTGGTCCCAGAGAATCGCTGGGCAAAAACTGCGAACTTGTGGCCAATGTCAACTTCAAAACAAATCAAGTAGGTAATGGTAAAGCTAAAGGCAAATGATTTATGGCTTTTATTTTAAAATATGTGGTTTTTCAAGTAATTCTGTCCCTATAACCTCGAAAATGCGCTTTGAAAAGGGGCACAGAATTATTTTAACAATTCAATACGTAGAATTGCCGTTTTGAAATATTTTTTAAATTATTTAGGTCATATTCTTGTCTAAGTTATCATATAACCTTTGAACAGATATGTAAAAATATCACATTTTAGGTTAGTATATTGTAACTTTACAAAATATGGCCTTTTGTTATCTTAATATACCAATATTTGTTTGTAGATCAACTGCCACCACGGTTTGATTGCTGAAGATGAGAAGAGTCATGTTGCTGGTACTCATACCGACCTTTGTCTTCAGATGTTTGCCAATTTGGCCATGTGCTCTGATGAACCGGCTCAGGATGTTTGTAAGTCTATGAAGAAGCTATATACTATTAAGTTGTTATAGGTAACACTATGTTATGAGAATATTATAATTATTTTCTTTTTTATATTAGGTTATTCAAATAATTCTGTGCTCTCACTAAAAACACATTTCCGGGATAGGGGCACAGAATTATTTAAACAGGTAATTTTGAAAATTTCAGTGAGAATCCAGGCCAAGAAGCGTTTGTCGAAGGAAGAAGGCAGTTTCACCGAGATCATTCAAGGTATTCTGGCCGAAAACTACTCTGACGATCGTATGTTGTGCATGGCCGGCATCTGGCAGTTTGTCAAGGGACGCGGCCGCTTCCATGTGGTACCAGATTACCCAGAGAAAGAGTTTGAGAGCTTTACTCAGGTATGGCAGGGTAAAATACGACGTGTTCTGCAATTGCAATTTATATTATCATAGTGTACATTACTGTTTTTACTCAGTTTTAAATTTTTTAATATAAAATTATTTAAAATTTCGAAAAAAATTAAAAATATAATTTTAGATCTTCGAAGAATGGCTCCACTACTTTGAATTCTCCGCTCCAATGACCATGACTACTGTAATCCACAGCTCTGTGTTGGATATGAATGTACCGGTTGAACACACTCATGGCTTTACTGGTCGCGGACATTGTGGTCATTACCACGGTGATGTGACTCCGGATGAAGCCGAATACGATGGATACTTCATGCCGGCTTCCAAGTTGTACAAATTTGACTAATACTATCAATGATGGTATATCAACGATGGTATCTTGTATCCTCTATTTGTATAGTAAATTGTATATTTCTATAGATGGTATAGTTTCTTTAATCATTGTAAGCTTACAACGTTATACATATAATTTTACTTTGGTGCTCTACTTAAGGATATGATATCTCAGCAAATATCAGTGAATGATGACATATTATAGTAAGTATTGGGATATAACGTCATAGTAAATATTTATTAACTTAAAATGTACAAATAATTAAAAAATACTGTAAGATATAAATAATATGACAAAAAGATAGTTCAAAAAATGATAAAAATATGTTAAAAACAATGAGACCAAAGTTACAATTGAGAAGCTTGATATATCTATAGGTAATGTAATCCCGAATGTTTTGTCAATATGAGCAACATATTAAATATGGAAAAGTAGGTACTATAACATGTTATTAAATAAAAAGAAATATTATAGGTACAATAACATACTATAAAACATAAAAAGGTGATATAATAACATATATTAACATTGATACAAAAAATATTAAAAAGTAATGTAGATACAATATTCACCTCACAATTGTCAGGTATCCACCTCAGGTACAATCATATAAATGTAAAAATATGGACAGATTAAAAGCCGACAATACTATTAGGTTCAAAAAATTCTGCGCCCCTTTCACAGCAAATTTACTGAGTTAGATGGCACAGAATTATTTGAACGACCAAATAATATTCTCGTTAAAAGCAAAACCACAGTTGTCAAGAAAGTTTTTTCGTTATTGTATATAATTTTCCACGTTGAAAAACGACAAGACTTTTTAGAATCTTAATATAACCATAAAAACCATTCCGTTGTAGCTACCACAACAATCAAAGTCTTGTGGATCACTATTCTTTCCTATATAACACTATTTACTCTACCTCAAGTTATTTCCCATCCATCGTCTCTCTACCTCAAGTTACTTCCAATCTACCGTCTCTCTAGTCCACTCCCTCATGAAATGCCATACCATTTTGAGTCTGCTGTGATTCGCAAATGGATATCGTTGCTCCAGGTCTTCGAACGAGTTGATCACAACTTCAGACGGCTCCATTGCTTGTGCCTCTTCTCGTTTGATCAGCCTTTTCAAGAACTTCTTCCCCAATGTTGTGTTGATCACTCTTTGCTCAGTGTTCCTGAACGTTCTTGGAGCGTCCTCTTCTTTTTCGGATTCAGATTCCAAGTCTTCACGTGAGTTGTCACGACTGACGTCGGCTAGATTACCATCGTCTGCTTGACGCTCTTCACATTCCATCTTTTCATCTAATGTGTCAACTTGTTTGACAGTTAATTTAGCTTTATCATTGCTAACATTAGCATCATTCATCGCAACATCTTGTCCACCATTAATTTCTGCACCTTGTTCATCCTTACCTTCATCACCTTCTTCAATTTTAATGATCTTATCAAAGGGTCCCACTCGTGCAACTGGTACATTCTTGTTCGTACTATCCGATATCGAAGATCTTTTGCTGCTGGTGCTGTTGCGTCGTTCACTTCTTTGACTAGGGCTTGGATTTATATTGTTCTTGGTACTGCCATTTGGACTAAGATTGCTTTTAGCACTGCTATTTGGGCTTATATTGTTTTTAGCACTGCCATTTGAACTAATATTGCTTTTGGTACTTCCATTTGCACTAGTGCCGCTCTTAGTACTATTATTAAAGCTTTTAGTACTTCCAAGAGGACTTTTGCTGTTTTTTCCTGAATTCTTGGCACTTTCAGAAGGCTTTTTGTCATTTGGAGTAGGTACCTCTAGATGATTAGCTCTTCCATCTGCAGTTTTGGACTTGGCATTGATACTTCCATCAGGTATTTTGTCACTTTTACAACTTTCACTGCTGTTTTTGAATGAATTTGCCTTCTTTTTGCCGTTGTTAACATCCAAATCATCCTGCTTTTTACTTTTTCCACTTCCATTACTACTGCTAAATATCTTCTCCTTGGTTTTACTACTACTTGAAGCCTTATTTTTGTCGTTGTTAGCACTTGAAGAGGTAGTATTGTCTTCTTTATAGTTTTTAGAAGATTCAGGTCGTTTATCACTCTTCTTCGTACCTGTAGGCCCTTTGTCAACGTTTCTAGAGCTTGTAGCCTCATTCTGAAACTCCTTAGAAGTCGATGGCTCATCTTCGTCTCTTCTAAACGCTCTTTTATTTCCAAGTCCACTAGTTGAAGGCTGATCCACCAAACTCATCAGAACTTCCTCAGGCGTCTCAACCGACTTCCTCTTCAATCCTTTCGTTGCCTCCAGAATCGGTGGGCTTTTCGGCGGTTCCGACTGCGTTTTAGTCTCACTTTCCTTCAATTTATCAACCGTTGACCTCGGAGGTTCGGTGTTTTCTCTGACAACTTCTCCTATACTATCTTGTGAGTTTCTTGAAGCCAATCGACGTCTTTTCGACAAGTTTGGGCATGATCTTTGGAGCTCCAGGCTTTTCAGTTGTTGATGTACAATATGTTTTGGATCGGTTCGTGGGTCGTAGCTTGGTCCATCTTTTAGTCGAGCAATAATGTCGTAGTATTCTGATAAGTTTATTCGTTTCCAGTTTAGCAAACTGCACAGATGGATGTTGAATTGGAAGTACATCTTGTGGTCTAGTAGTGTTTCTCGTTTTTCAGAAATCAGTACTCTCTGAAATTGATTTTATATTAAGTTATGTTTGCCCTTAACCTGAGTTCGTTAGCCAATCTGTGTAAATAATCAAAACAAATATAGAAAGTAATATCATACCATCATTCCAAAAGTCATCCTCGGTTGATGTAGACACCTGAATGTGCAGGAGAAGTCGTTCAACAACTTTAACAAGGCCTTCTCGTTGTCATTCAGGTCAATATACTCTTCGATTCTCTAAAAAATGTAATCATACATGATTTTTTAATTTCAAAGTTTTACTTTTTCATAAAAAACTGGGTTTAAAACAACAGACCTTATTTTGATACATAACAGTGTAAGGCTTGTAAGCTTGGGCATATTCGGAAGTTTGGAAATGTCGATCTAGTTCGGTTTGCGTTATTCCGAAGTTTCCACTGAAAAAATGATATTATACTACCCATATTGTCATTCTTGAACGTTAAAGTTAGCATAAGTTAATAACAAAGCTTCTTAAGGCCAAAAAAAACACAAATAGACAAGGTTTTTAAGCCTAACTGAGATTTATACGTTTAAGCAAACTCTATGTAATAAATTATTAAAAAATTGAAAAATGCACAAAATCCACAATAATACTACTCAAAACATAACAAATCAATCATCTTACAAATTGAACTTGCTGTTGAACAAGTAGTTATTGACCGAAGTAGCCGGCGGTGTCTCCCTTAACACTTTTGCTATTGACTTGACCACAATGAAGCAGGGTGGTTGATTCCAGGCGTCCGGCACCTTGACCAACCCTCCTTTCTTGTGTAGATTCTTACGGTAATGTCGCGTTAGGTCGTATTCATGAGATCCATCAAACTTTCGGTTCAATGACACTATTAGGCCGTGACACCACTCGTCTGGCTTCTTCTTCTTTATCAGTAAATGTTGCGGGGTTTTGAGCAACTTTTCCTTGAATTCGAACTTCAATCGATCGTGACAGGTTGATAAGTGGAAGAGGAAAGAGGTGAACAAGGTAAAGTTTCGCTTCTGTTTGCAGAGGAAGCAATCTCCTTTTGTGAATTTGAAAACATCAGCAGGTGGAGCTGCCTCGGCCGCTGCTATTGCTGCTGCTAGGGATGTTTCTGGGAGGTCGGTCTGAAAGATATTGTTATCTATAGAAATGTTAGATAGTTCAGATAATTCCGTGCCCCCTAACATCAGAAATCAAAATTAAGACTTTGAATGTCATACTATTTTAATGTAAAAAATTAAAAAATTTTTTAAATAAATCAACTCCCAGTACCCCTACCTCAACATCATACGGTTCCTCGGTCATTCTGAAGCACCACGCCAGTATTTTAGGCATTTTCTCATTCAGCCATCTGTCCCTAAGCCCTGGCTCGATTATGTCCAACAACCCAAGTGGTGTCCCAATCGAAACTTCTGGATTCTTCTGATGAACCCAGACTTCTGGAGGAGGTTGTTTGTTCAACTCGAATGGCTCTTCCTCTTCTACCTTTACTTTTACTTCTTTTGACGTTGATGGTTTCGCTTCTTCTTCTGCTTCATTTTGTTCTTCTTCATCTTCTGTGTCCGATAACATGTCACCTTTTGGGTCTACTATGATATTTACGGTTATACTGGGATGTTGTTCTGGTTTTCTGGCTTCGGCCAAGACTTTTGAGACCAGTTTTTCGTCTTTCTGCCATTCCATACTGTCACCGTCGATTCCGAGGTTGTCTTGAGGACTGAAAACGTCATTTATTGCTTTGAAATACCTTATAAGCTTTGAATCTTTGTCATATTCTTTAGTATAATATCCTAAAACCTCATTTTTAAAATATAAAACAATTTCTTTGTCCAAATTTAACCCCCCCCCCCTCTCTAATGTAAATTAAAAATGTCATTTTCTACCCTACCTTATCACTTTTAAGCCCAAAAATAATTTACAAAACCTTACATTAAAGCCAGTACAGCTCGTCCTTGTTTAACCTTGTGTCCTTCCCATTCTCTGTGCATGGTTGATATCTTCTTAGCCGCTAACATGATTCGACTCGTGCCTTCAGGAGCATCGTCCAAATGAGCATGAACTCGTGCTGGCACTGACCTCAACCTTCGTCCACCACTAACATTCATAGAATCTGTCACGAACTTGACCTTCACCACCAGGTACTCGTTTCTAAATCAGAATTAGTGCTTAATTATAAGCTTTTAGGCAGTGTTTTGCCGGACCGGTCCGGACCGAGGTCCGGTCAGGTCCGGTTGAAAAAAAAATTTCAAAATTTCAAAGCAATTTTTCGGAGTTAAAAAGCACAGAATTATTTGAACAATCTAATATTAAATAAAAACTGTCCATAGATTACAACAATCACCCTTGGCCTTATTGCCGTATTTTACAATATGTAATTAAAATTTTAGTATAGACCAAGAAAAAATACTACCAATACTTACTTTACATCACAATCGTTCATTTTGATTGGCTTCATGCCAACCAGATCGATATTCACCTTCAAATCGCTGTCCAACGCTGCTTCGAATGACGACCTGGCTACGCTTTGCTAAAAACAGACAATAATAATACACTACACAAAATTTTGTTACCTAAACATTGCTTTATAAAAAATGGCTTAGGAACGTTAAATTAAAGAAAAAAAAACGTTAATTTTAAAAGCGAAATTTTACAAAAAAACGCATTAAAACTTACAGTAGCCGAGAAGAATCCGTCAATTTCCCTGACTTGAAAACAATGAATGTAAGCTTTGCGACAATCGACCATTTGGTCATTTTTGAGCCTCAAGAAGACTACTGATGGTATGTGTTCAGTTAGAGGGCAATTGGCAAAGGCCGGAGATGCACTTTCACCACCTTTTAGCTTTTTCTGAAATTTTTCAATTTTATAATAAAAATTTAAAAGATCAAACTTTAGCCCATATTCTGATAAAAACAATTAAAAATATAACCACGTTACAGTAAAAACCCCAAAAAATAAAATTTATATACTTTATTACCCTAGGCAACCTATTATAAAAACTCAAATTTAAAGCTTCAAAAACAATAAAAAATAAAGCTCCAATAGCCTAAACCCACCTTCACCTTCTTAGGCATAGTACTTCTAATATAAGACAAAGTGTTCATCCTAAACGGCTGATGTTTGGGCCTGCTTTCGAAGCCAGCTTGATGAGGGAAAGTCATGTAAAAGTAGAGATCAATAACTTGTCGCATCCGGTTGCGAAAATCGTCCAACTCCTCGCCCGTATTGTTGATGTAGGGGTTGTCATTGCGTTTCGTTCTCTTGACGGACCCCCTTCTACCCGACATGCTTAAAATTGATATAGTATAACACAAAACGATCAAAAAAAGTTGGGTTATAAAAATAATATAAAGGAAGTATCAAATTTTAATAAAAATCAAAAAATATTGCCTAAAAACCCTCAAGCCATTCAAACAAACCACAAATCCCAAAAACAACATCAAAGTAATCAACAAGTATTCAAATGTTCATAAACATATCAACAAAGACCTCAAATCACTAATAAAACTTTATTTTCTATCTACAATATAAGTTATATTACACTACCCACAATGGACTATGCTGATACCCATAAGTTAATGTTTATAATCCGTTGAGTCTTCTATATCCGAGTCTAAAGCTTCGTTTTCGTAGGCAAAAAGGTCTGGCTCTTTCTTCCGCAACGATTTCTCCGCCATTGCTATCAACTCTTTGGCGTCGTCCGTGAGTTCCACATCAGAATCCGATAAGTCAGGATGGTTTGTCACCATCTGAAATTAAAAAAGTTTTATTTTTGAAAGTTTTTAATTTTTTAGGGTTTTAAAATTAATATAGCCTTTATAGTGTTTAGAGCTATTATAATAGCTTTAAGGTTATTTTTGATAACTTGTTGATAAAAAACCAAAAACTTACAGTTCTAGGACTTCTAATATCTTCTACTGGAACATTCCTCAACTTGGCTAGTCTTTCTTCAATACTCTTTATTTGATACTCGTGATATTCTTCTAAAACACCATTTATTACACAACCAATATCATGATTAACACTTCTAAATTTGATTGGACAAAAAACTTTTATTTTCAAAAGCAATACCCCCAAAACAATATATTCACCTATCCTTAACAATACATCCACCCATCCTCAACATTCCCCTAACTTACTATCCAAATCCTTGTTCTTAACAGCCGGATCATCCAAAGCCTTCTGTATAACATCATCTGCTGTCATTTTCTTGTCCTTTCCTTTAGAAATCAACGGTCGATTGTCACGCTCATCTGAATCTACAACCATATTCATTGGCTTCTTAACTTCATCTACTGAGACGTTCTTTATCTGAGCTAGACGTTCAGCAACCTCATCCTCAACATTCCGTGAAGATGTTGGCTTTTCGACGCTCTTTTTCTTTACAGCCTTCTTGTCTTTGTTACCATAAACGTCTTTAAAAGAGGCTGGCACGTTTTCAGTAAAATCTATCTTTTCATCCGGTTTTTCTTCCTAAAATTAGGGTAAGGCATAATATATTTTTATATTAACCTTCATACAATTATAGTATATAATAAGATATAAATACAAGTATTTTAAAAAAATCAAAACCATTACCTTGCCGTTGATCTTATTATAGCACTTTTCACAAACCGCCAGCGGTTTCGAACTTATTCGTTCAACTACAGCTTTCTTTGACATACATTTGGCACAAAATCCGTAACCACAAGACGGACAGCCATGCTAAAACGATATTTTCAATTACCGCGACTTAAAACATGCTAGTTTTGCTTTTAATCAAAGAAATTTGTTGCAAGACTTGCTTCTGTCGACTTTATACTTTTGCCATACATTCCAATCGTTTTAATACCTAAAACAACAAACAGCTACCTAAACTCTTACCTCCCGTTTAATCAACGAATACTTGGCCATACAATTCGTACATGGCATCTGAAAAACCTTCAAATCATAAAAATTAGCATAAGAGATATAGTTAAACAAGTAATAAATGGGTCTCACCATTTTAGGTAACAAAACACAAGACTTTTGATAAAAATATAACAAGTTTAATAAACCTAACAAATACAACAAATCTAAAATCCTTTTTCAAATACAAAAGCTTCAATATCAGTCATGTCGGCCCCGCACACCACAATGCGGCCTTGAAGTTCGTTGGCAAAGATTCCTACTGGATGGCCTAGACGTTGTTCTAGGAACTCTTTTAAATCCTTTTCTGCTGCCTAAAACATTAAGAAAATGTATTATTTAAATATACATATATAAAACAAACCATAAACATTTGTTAAAATAAATAATATAGTCAAATGTACGCATAAACGTAAAGTAATACATAATCTAAAATCCCATATTACATAAGATAAAAATTTAAAAGCAATTTTTTAACTCACAAAAACGTCGCCATAAACATTCTTTAGTGTTACTAATTCTTTGTATTCATACTGCATCGTCCTCACATCCAACTGATCCCTCTTCCGGCTCAAATACACCGCCGGCAAGTGGAAACGAGTTCGTTTTATGAAGTAAGGTAGATCTGGTACTGGATCTAAACTCAAAAGATGAATAAAACTACAACCTTTTACCTTTTGGCGGCCTCCATCCACTTGGAGTTACTTTTTGATTCGTTGGTGGTTCTGGAATCAGATCTCGAGGTAACAGCCGCTCTACCAACTTCCAATCAACATTTACTTCTTCAAAAGATGTGTAAGTCTCTTCTGAAAGTTAAAACAATAGTTTACAATCTAAAACAACTTAAATTGCACCAAAAAATTAAAATAATGTCAAAAATACTCCGTAAAATGCGTAAAAAAGTGTAAAAACCATAGATATTCGCTTACCTTTCTTAGGAACAGCATGTTTCCACGGGTCTTCCCAGACGTTTTCTTCTGAAGATGTAGACAAAAATCTGAAGCTGTCAGCAAGCTGTTGATGCCTTCTACATTTTGGTATATTTGAGGCTATCTTCCTTAACATCTTTCGGCCAAGTAATGTATTTATTATATTCGCGCGTTATTTTATTTTTCCGTAAAAAATTAATTTTTGCGACGAAGCGCCACTATTGATCGTATTTGTTACACTCCGTTCAGTTCAATATTGTGGAGGATTTTTTAAATGTTGTTGATGAAAGTTGTTGTATTAAAATACGTTTGGGAACTCACTGCTGAATTAAAGTTCAATTCAAAATTTTTTGTGTGATGTTTATGTTATTTGGTACAATTATTCTTTTTTTTAAACTAATCTGACTGCACAGTAACTTCAAAACGTAACAGTAACGTTTTTACGGTGTATTATTCGTTTGCCTCTTTTTTGTGCATTTGTTCACGCAAATCCGAAAAAAGTAAGTAAAGTAAAAACAGTGAGAAGCCGGAGGCGATTTAGATATCTTTTTTTGCGCGCAAAACCGGAATCTGCCAGCGACGATCGGAAGGCTATAATAACATATACAGGCGAAAACAAACTCATGCCAAAAACGACTGAAGCGGAAACACGTGAGATTGCACAAACGTTGAATGTCAAGGCCGATTCTTGGATTCGGGTGGGAGGATTCTGAAGCTGCGTGAAGAGTTTCACGGGTTTTGGAGGTCAGCTCACTTCGGGTCAGGGTGGGTTTGGGGGAGAGCCGGTGGTTTGAGGAAGAGCCAGTGGTCAGGGTGGGGTGTTTCTTTGTTCTGATTGTTTGTATTGTTATTTTGGATGTTTTTGGAGTTTTTTGTTGGTAAGTTTGTTGATTTTTAGGTAGCTATGAAGATGAATATTGAGGTTTTGACGTTGTTGTTAATCTCTTCAAGCTGTTTTTTTCAATATAATATTAAAGTAGGCAAGGCTCTTTTAGAAGTTTTTGAGTAACAAGCTGATTAGGAAAGGCATAATAGGGAAGTCATCATAACAGGGAAGAGCGGGCTAGGGTAAGGAAAGGTAGGATATGGTAGGGTAATGTTCATCACTTTTAGCCTGACGTAAACATCTTCAAAGAGGTTTTACCTGACGTTGGGTCAAAGATGGTCAGCTCGATAGCTACGAAAGTAAAAGAATGTTGTTTGTTGTTGTACTTAAGAAGGTGTTAGTCATAAGAAGCTACTTTCGTCTACGTGGGTCGGATATGATCGGTCTTTACTTTTACGTGAATTTTACTTTTTTTCTACTTGAGTAACACTTGAAGCGGCAAAAGGTAGAAATAACGCTATCTACTACAAGGTTGGGCTTATGGTGAGCCAAGCTTTTCATTCTGACATTATTTCATTTGACTCTTTGACATTACAGTACCAGAAGCTTCCAAATCTTTTAGTATTTTGCTATTTTAACTTTCATGTTTTGTTTTGACCATTAATTAGCAAAAAACTCGCAAATCCCGTAAGCTGATCAACTGGACTCTTGATCAGAAAACATTGACGCTAATTAAGTAATCGCTTCTCTTACGCTTGTTTTTTGGATAAATTCAGAAGGAAAGTGGATTTGGAATATTTGCCTCTTCAGAAGACCTTCTTCATGACACTTTTCCGTTCGGTCGCGCCGTTTTGTGATTTTTAAACGGCACCCTGAAGCGAATCCAGGAAAATCAAAGAAAACTTTCGATTTCGAAAAAGAGTTTCTAGTTATGGGAGTAAGGATTATTCAAAAAAGTAGGGCTTATTTAAATGTTTAAGTTATTTTCTAATTGAATTTTCAAGGGTTGAGACGTTTGTATGATTTATTTTTTATTACTTTGCTTGCATTAAGAAGGTTGAATTTTTATTTTTTGAATATTTAATAAGATATGACACTTAATGGCCTAGTTTAACCTTTTTTAAGATTGTTAAGCATAGTTGTATAAAAAAAGAAGAATAGTAGGTTTGACCGGACCTAAGTTGGCTAGCTCACTAATTTTTAAAATATAATAAGAAGACAAAAGAAAAATGTTTAGATTCAGAAGGTCGAGATCAAAAGGCCACTTGGAGCTTGGGAATCGTTGTGCAAAAGGTCAGAACTTATATAGTCCTCTTTGTAGGAAATGGTAGAAAGATCGGGTGGGAGTATGAGGTTAAAGCAGGATAAAGTAGGGCAAGATAAACAGTTTGGTGCCGGTCAGGAGCGGAGAGTAAGAGACTGGGTAGAAGAAGGAAGGGTAGGTTAGCATAAGGTAAGATAGAATAAGGTACGTTAGAGCATAGTAGAGTAGAGTAAAGTAGGGTGGGGCAGGGTGGGATGCAGTAGAGTATAGTAGGGCAGTGCAAGGTCATGCACGATGCGGCAGAACGTCTTTTCTTAATTTTTTTTATTTTAATATACCTACTACTTATCCTTTACTTTCAATAAACAATTGCGTCACTATTTCCTCAAAGTTTACCGAAAATGTCATCAACTCTTGATGACCAGGTTTAATTAATGACCTAGACCAAGTTGCAGGATGTGATTACGAAATACTTGTTACTCAATTTCCCCTCGTTCCAAACGGGATTTTAATGTGGTTGGATCTCGCAGATCTCGTCGATCACTTCTTAATCCTTGTCAAGTTTCTGTTTTTATGTTGATATAGGTTTTGATTTGTGTTCGCTATCAGTAATCTGGTGTTTTGTACTATATTTTTTCGATTTTTTTCTAAATTTTTTATGTAAAATACGAATAATACATGTCTTTATCTATAAACTTGACTTAAAATGACGCGTTTTAAAAATTAAAAAAAAATTTTCTGATAATTTTTAAAAATAACGCTACGTGTTGTTTCAGCACCATGTACAATCGCATTGGTGCTCCAGTATGGCCACCACCAACATTTCTAGTCCTATTGATTAACGTGTTGGGAGTTTCTGGACAAAGGGTAGGTTAATACTTAAAAATGGCTTTTTTGTAAAATATTGAATTTTTGGTAAAAAAATTGTTCTGATCAATGAAAAAAATATTAAATCAATGAAAAAATTGTAAAATACGTTCTATAAATTTAACTGAAACTTAAAGCTGAATTATTTAAATTTCAGGAAGGACTAGGTGGCCTCGGAAGTATAATATCATCACGAGATATCGCTGAAATCACACAAATCGCCACCAGTTTGGCAGCACAGACAATGAATACTAATTCAGAGCTACTGTAAGTTTATTCTGCTATTACTTATCTTTTGGTACTTAGAATGTTACCTAAACTTAAAATTTAATTTTATTAAAATTGGGATTTACAATTTGAAATTTTATACATCTCACAACCAGATGTACTATAATATTAATACTAGTATTTCACCCTTCAGAACAAAACCAGGCCGACCAGAAAGCCGCCAAGTGCCATTGAATGCTCGGCCATCTGAAATGCTGGGCCAAACCATAACCAATATGATGCAGCCAGCTACAGAACAGCTAGCCAGAGCGCTGAACCAAAATGGCGGAGTCAAAAGCCTCAATCCTAAGGCAAGAGCAGTCAAAACTGAACTTCCAGTAGCCGAACTGCCACTCGAAGATCTTTCTCCAGCTCCAAAACCCGTAAATTCTGGCCAAAACCAGGCCATGTCAGGCTTATTGGATATGGCAAATCAATTTCTAGGAGGCGGAAGAGCTTCCGCAGCTGAAAGAGGTTCAGCTGGAGCTAGTCCAAGAAGTGGAGGTATGCCAACGTTGAAGCAGCTGATCCCTGGGGCTATGCGAAACTTTGGCATCTCACAAGGCGATGGTTGTCTGCCATTTATGGGTGAGGTGATGCAGGCCATGTTCGGGAACTGTGTGAAGCAGGCTGATGAGAGGACGTGGGATGTGTGGGGCAAGGAGATCACGAACGCTTTGATGGGCGGAAAGATTGATCTGTTGAGGGCAAGGTAGGTTAATATTGGTTTGTTGGAGGGTAGGATAGTTTGAAATCGAAAATAGGATAAAATATACCTTATTCTGATCTAAAATAATATAAATTAGCTTTTTAAAATAAATTCAGGTATAAAAATGATATTTTTTAAATTTTAAATAGCCTTTAAAACGCGATTTTTGTAAAATACGAGAAGGCGATTTTAATTAATATTTTTCAAATTTCAGCAAAGAAACATGCAAAAAAGGAGCAGAACGAGAAGAATGCGGCAAGATCCGCCGTGCTGTGAGTGAATGTGACATTCTTGGCTCAATCCAGTTGGCCAGTAATTTTAAACGAGCGATCGAACGGTGCGATGAAATCTCCGGTATTATCGACCAAGTGAGTTTACAGTGCAAAGACCCTATGTCTTACGTTTGTTGCCTTACCCTACCTAACCCTACCCTACCCTATCCTACCCTATCCTACCCTACTTTACTCTACCCTACCCTACCCTACCCTACCCTACCCTACCCTACCCTACCCTACCCTACCCTATCCTACCTTACCCTACCCTACCCTACCCGACCCAATCTTACCTTACTGTAATCTACTTTACATTACCTTACATTACCTTACTTTGTCTTATATTACAGTACCCTACCCTTCCCCATTCTGTCTTGATCTATCCTATTCTACCTCTCCTATTTTACTGTACTCTACTTTGCTCTATACTGTCTTACACTGCCTTACCATATCTAACTGAAGCCTGATCTGATTTATTTTGTCCTATTCTACATTACTTTACTTTACACTGCTCTATTCTATCGTAATCTGACCTGGCTTTAATGTAGTCCGATTCAGGCTGCACCCGTAGTTTTGCCATATCAATAACCCTCTTAGTCTTACTTTATGTTGATCCTAGCCCCAACCTACAACTTAAATGAAAGTTTTTAAAATTTGAAAAGTTTTTATTTTTTTTTAATTACATTACCTATTGGACAATATTCTTTATCAAAAGTAATCAAATCAATAATCAAATCAATCTTTTTCAGAACCCGGTAACGTTGATGGAACAAATGGGCGGTTTTATAAACGGCGAAATGGCTCAAGGCTTTTTGAACAACTTTTTGGGCAAAAAACGCTGAGCTAGAGATCAATTTTGTTGTTGTACATATTGTTTACTGATTAAATTAATTTATTATGCTAATTAGTTTCTCTCCCAAATCCAGTCAAACAGGTCAAGTAAGGAATGACAGACGATAAGAAGATGAGGAGAATGCTATAGACATACGATAAGAAACGGTCAGAGGGGTTTGCTGCAACCAAAATAAAAAAATGCTACGCTTCGAACAGGTTAACAAGGATATCTTCTGTTTTTGCAATATAAACACCGTGATCTGAAAGTAGAAGTCAAAATAAAGAATGTCACCTTTGTTTTAAAGTGTGTTTCTTAGTTTAAGGATGTTGTTGTAGAGGGGCAAACCATTACTTTTGTAGGGTATAGTAGTGAAGGTGAGGTTAGACAAGTAAAATAAGGCAGGGTAAAACAATGCAAGGTAAGTTAGACTAGGGTGGGGTAGAGTAAGGAACTTTAACGGGGTATTATTGCAGGGTAGGATAGTGCAGGTAAGGTATGTTAAGGCAAGGTAAGGTATGATAGGGTAGGGTAGGTTGTTTATAGTTTTGACATTTAAACACCCAGACTAAATTAAATTCGTTGTTATGCAAGAAGCTATACTCTTTAAAATTGGCAATTGGTAAATAACTTTTTTAGGTATGATATAAAGCGACAAATTATTTTGTATGTAAGCCTAACTTATGTATGTTGAATTAATTATAAACTGGAAGGGGAGGGGAAGGGAGGTAAAGAAACAAAAGTAAAAAAATTTTAAGGGCAATACCTTTGCAATCAAAATCAAAAATTTTTTTACTTTGTTTTCTCTCCCTTCCTCTTAAAAGTAAAATTACCCAGCCAAAACAACATAAAGTATTATAAAACATTTGTCTACTTGATCTCGTCTTCTTCTCCTACACTTTCTTCTCCAGTGTAACATTCTTTTGGTCATTTTGTTTATCTAAAGTCGTTAATGTTTTGGCGCGAGAGTAGTCATTGTTGTTTAACCTAATTAATAACTCTACTGATCTGTTGATCATTGGTGTTCCTAATGTTATTATATAAACTAGCGGATATGGGAAGAAGAGTTTGATTCTTACAAAAATTGGTTGTTATTTTTGAAAAGTTATTGTATTTCAAACGGCCGTTATTAGTGTTGTTTTTATGCGTTTTATATAAACTTGGCTTCCGGCTCAGCTCGCCTAAAGCGTTGTTCGAAAGCCTGGTCTATGTTGGTAAAGGTGTTTCAGTTTATAGACGATCCAAGAAAGTTGATTTAGAACTGTTTTTGTGCTGTAAAAAATGTCTATTTTTATACTCAAAATAGAGCAATCATGGGGTACATTAATTGTTACAACGACTTAACTATAAAGAAAAAGATTAATTGTTGAAAAGTGCAACAAGAAACTTTTCAGAAAGGACGCTTGGCTCTTTTATTGAGCATGTTTAGTCGTATTTTAATGTTTTAAAGTCCTAAATCTTAACTCATATAATAGTAACTACTCTTGGTACAGGCCTTAACTCTCTATTTGTAATGTTAATTTTATGAGTATAAACTGGCTTGCTGGGTTTCTCACACCTTGGTCTTCTCGTTTTTCCTGGCTGTTCCTGGTAGACGTAGCGCGCTTGGCTTGGCTTAGCTTGACTTGGCTTAAACTGGCTCCGGCTGGGCCTGTTCTGGTCTAGATTGGTCTTGGAACGTATTTTACAAAAGTTTTTTTTTTAAATAAAAAAATTGTAAGTAAGAGCGATTGAGTTACTGAGTAAGGTATGCGTTGATATGTCAATGTTTTTACCTTTGTAAAAACTGTGAATAGTATACTTTCTGACCTTGAGTAGAATATGTTTCCCTTTCATTCTCATTATCAATTAAGGGTCCAGCTTGCAGATCATAAAGTTTACTTTTGTTTAACGAATTTACTGCAAAAAACTGTGGTTACTCCATAAAGCATGATTATAAAACTTATTTTACTTTAAGGTAAGTGATAAAATTAGCCAACTTACCTTATTTTTAATAGCTTTTGCAAGGATGGGTCTCAAGTAAATTCGAAATTTTTAAAAGAATAAAGGAAGGGGTAAATTTTTTAAAATTATATATTGTAAGTTGTTTTAATAACGATTGAGACCACTTAACAAAATATTATGCAATACCTTGTTAAACTTGTCAATGTGCTTCAAATGTTTTCTGTTTCTAGTAATATATAAAGCTTTTCCTAAAACTGACTTTTTGATGTCCTGAATTGTTACAAAACTAGTCAGCCCGTTTTTGTAACAATTCAGGAGATTAATTGCTCTGTAACAAGAACTAACATAATATGAAGGTGTAAACAAACCTATATATGACTAGATAAGTCTTGTGCTCCTAAGACTTTTGTTAAAACGTATATCTGTTGAAAGTGACATATGTCTTGTTAAAAGTGAATTTGATTACAAAAATGATAGAAATTAGAGTATAGTTTTTATTGTCATGTATAAGTTCTCTTTCATAATAATAGAACATGAGGAACGGGCCCGGCTCGACCTAAACTTGAGTCAAGCCCAGCCGGTTCCTCATATCTACATAATGAAGTCTTAGTTCAAAAGACTACAATGTTGAACTTCTGTTTTGACTTTTTAATCAAAGTTATTACATTTGCATTAAATATGTTAAAAGTTTTATTTTGTTTAATTGTTTTTAACTTTTTTTTCATTTGTTTTAAATTTCCTCGGGCTTTAAACTGAAATCAGTTTGAAGAGTTTTGTTTTGTAAAGGTTTTACATTAAAGATTGTTGTAAAGTCGCCATTTATACAACGTTCTCTTCTTTTGGACGTTAAACAATATTAATATAGACTTTGTTTGCTGTGGGTGTCATTTTTTTCACAATTTTTTTTTTTTTTTTTAATTATTAAAATTTTCAAAATTTTTTGAAAAACGGCATTTTTTTGTAAAATACGGCATTGGTATTAGTTTGTTTTATAACATGTAATACAACTCTTCCAGATGAAGTTGTTACTCTTCCTTATACCTTTCGTACCCTTCATTCTTGCTGATGACAATGTAAAAGAAATCAATGCTAAATGTAGAGGATTACTGAGTTGTGCAGTCAAAAAGAAGTGTATTCAGATGAACTACTTGATCAAACAATTTGACCAACAAGAGATCTCTTCTGACATGTACAATGCGTTGGATAAGGTACTATAATATAGTTTTTAAAATTTTCAGCATATTTTTATACTCAAAATGTAGCTATTATAAGGTACTTTGTTCAAAAAGTAATGAGCTATGACTAAAGCAAATTTTTAAAAAATCACAAAAAATAATGATTTAAACCCAGAATTTTTTTTGTGTTTTCGTAGTTTAATATCTAAGTAGTATAATATAGTACTGAAAAACTAAAACTAATAATCTTTTCAGGCAGTTGATTACGGTTGTATCTTCACATCCGGCTGTCTGGATGAATGCAATCGATGTCCGCTTTGCCAAAATTCAAAACAGCAACTTGTTGATGTATTGAGTGGCTCCAAAAGAGAAGAAGGGGGTATGAATTTCACAATAAAATAATAATTTTTTTCTAATTTAAATTTTTTTTTAATTTTCAAACCTAAAATTAATTTTTTAAAAAATTTTTTAATTTAATACCAATCTTTCTAGGAGAATGTTACGTTCTAGTAAACTGTGCATCCGACTGTGTAGCAGCCTCAGGCACCGACATCACCAAGATCAACTACTGTCTCCGCCGGAAGTGTGCCTTCCACTGTTTCGATGGAAGTTGTCAGAAGTGTTCGGCCTTTGTTACCCGCATCTTCAACCAAGTTTGTGTGTCCGGAGATCTGAGGGCAAAAGTGAAAAACTTTGAAGGACATTGCTACGAGATGTTCCGTGAGATTGTGTACCACAAGTTCATCAAGGAGTTTGAGGAAGCTGGCTCGGAGCCGTCTATTGGGAATCGACAGGGAAACGCGACAAAGGAGAATTGATTTTTAGGTAGTTGTACATTGCTTTTTTGATTTTTTTAGTTTTTTTTGATCTCATATTGAATAAATTTGTATATTTTTTGAGTTGTTTTATAATTTTTCGGAATAAAGCTTTTCGTGGCAGGACCCATGACTTTTCGTGCCAGGGCCCGAAGCTTCTCGTGCCAAGACCCAAAAGGTAAAAACAACCTCTAAATTCGACTTCAAACTAGAAAATCTTTATTACCCTCTAAACTGACTAATATTCAACATATAAATAAATTAACTAAATATATAAGTATAAATATGAACATAAACACTATAGAAATTTAGAATATAGTGCTCATATCATACTGCAGGTCAAACCACAGTAACATGAAGGAGAATATAAATATGAAAATAAACACTTGTATAAAGTAAGATAAAGGTGATATGGCAGCAGAACCGGCACAGAACGTCCACAAGCCGGCACAGAGAATGAGAACGGAGTAGAAGGCAATCCATTTGCATGACACGTAGCGGAAGTATTCGTCCTGAAATGGTTGTATATTAGATGAAAATAGGATTTAAAGTGTAATAGTAAGGTTTAAATTAAGCTCGACGACTAAAAGTTTATCTTTTTTCTATTTTAAACTTTAACATTAGTAAAAAGAGCTATGATAATATTGTTTATCAGTACTTTTATCTATTTTAAACATAATTTTTAATCATTTAAAGGCCATTTTATAGCCAATTTAGACCTAAATTATAACCATTGAAAGCCCAGTTTGTACCTATTATAAACCCAAACTCATCCTTACCAAAGTGCCTCGTCTCTTGTGTCTCCTCGTTTTGCATTGTCTATTCTTCAACGGTTTCTTCACTCTTAATGGAGCTTCCCAAACGGCTTGTCGAGCTCCTTCCCATGAGTTCGGACCGACCAGTCGATAAACATAAGGCAAGTTACCGCCCAAAAACAATCGCAAAAAGAATCGGAAGTCTGTATAGAAGATCTGAAACAATAAGGTTAGGATTTATAAATAATATAAAAACAAAAAAAAGTTTTGTCGTTTTCAGACACAGTTTTCAGTGTTAAAAAGTGACAAGACTTTTTTTAAATACAATATAACAAAAAATTTTAAAAATATTTGGTTTCCATCAGTTTTACAGTGTAAGAACCTCTCCAAATAAAAAAAAATCAGCCCCATTACATCATTTTGTAATATATATGGTTGTTCAAATAATTCTAAGCTCCTATCAAAGCAAATTCTCAAAATTAGAAGGCACACAATTATTTGAACAACCTAATAGCCTAATCGAATGTAAACCCTTCCCCTCCCCTCCACAACCCTTTAGATACCAAAACAATCTTACCTGCTGAAGATCAGGTTTGGCTCCAATAGCCTCAGCAATCTCATCCATATATGGCACAAAATCGACTTGTAATGTGTGTTTGTTGCTTTTAAAGTAGCGACGTTGCATCTGCTTCTTCTTGTACTCAATATCAGCTTTGCGAGTAAAGGTTGAAGGCAATGAACATCTACCTGCATATACTCGAGCTACCCATCTGGCCTAAAATTAATTATGCTTTTAAAATTTCAAATTTAAAGTTGCCTTATAAAAGGAATCCGTTGATTAACTAAATTTAAAAAATCACGGCCAGTATAATATTAGTATTAAAAGCCAGAGCCAAGTATGTACAATATTGACATTGAAAGCTAAAGCCTAACGTAACATTATTATTAACAGTTAGAATCATGTATAATATTAGTATTGAAAACCAGTCAAATATAATATGGGTTTGAAGACGTACCTGAATTTCCGAAATTGGAGCCAAACTTCCAATTGGCTGAATAAGTCCAATAACAGCCAGATCTGAAGCATTTGGAGGGAACACGAACTTGTACAAGTCTACTTCATGGTCCTGTAAGAGAAATTATTACAAAATTATTAAAAAAGATAACAAAAGAACATTCTTTGTTTGTGAATTACTAGAAAAAGGTAACACAAGACATTTCTGTGGTTTCAACTTAGATGTATTAAAAAAGTTAAGTAATAGTATTTTCTGTGGTCCCACCACGAAAACATTTATATAAGATAGCTTTATTGGAACTTGTTTTCCCTCTTCTAGAGCTCCAATTGGACCAAACGCCAAGTTGTTCATCTTTTCTTTCACCTTAATTTGTACTGAATTGTGCAATTAATTCTGTGCCCCTTTCATATCAAATTTTCATCGTATGGGGCACAGACTTATTTGAACAACCTAATAGAGTTTTAGTTAACATAAATGCTATTACAAGGTCGTAGAGTAGGGTAAAGAAAGATTACAAGGCCGAGATATTACCATAGATCCCAAAAGATCGTGTTTCAAACTCACATTGACTGGAATAATATTTTTAGGCGTCAAATATGGAAAGCCAAAGGTATAACCCGTGCATAAGATGATAACATCAGCATCGAAACGTCTTCCATTCTTCACAATGACTCCGTTGGATTCAAAGGAATCTACATCTTCCTGAAATTATTTTAGGTAACAAAACGTCTTTTTTTCAATTTTATTCTTACTTTAACGTTAACATATGTTTCTAACACTATCTTTAGATATGTCAATACATATCTTGTGTTTTTTAAACAAAGGTTGGCTTAAATATCTCATCAGAAGCTATATTAACCATGATAAAAAAAACTTACAGTGATAACAATCTGTCCAGTGCACAACAGGTTTGCCAAAGAGTCGTTGACAGTTGGATGCTGTTGGAAGAACCTGTGGGCCGGCCTCAAGCCGTACAAATCATGATCCATTCGTTGTTGAAGGCGATGCTCCATGAAGTCGTTGGCTACGCTCCATGGTAGAATCCTCATCAACCAGTAGTACAACCGACTTTGGAAGACGACATCATACGGCATACCAGCTTGTCCGACTCTGTTGAATATCCATGATCCTCGTCTTGTTGAGATTGTTACCTTCTTGGCTACTTTGGTCAGTTCGACAGCTATATCTAGAGCTGAGTTGCCTATACCTACTAGGAAGACGTTCTTGTCTTCAAAGCCCTTGAAGTCGCGGTACTCTTTGGCATGGATCACGCGACCTTTGAATTTGTTGAAGTCTGAAAGGGCATTGGTTAATATAGTTCAAAGAACTTTAATAACAAGATTTTCATGAAATGTACTGTGCCCTACAGTACCGTACCCTAAACTAACTTTTAGTACCCTATAACACATAACCTTATAGTATCCTACCCTGTAGTACCTTGTCCCAAAATACTTTGCCGTATAGTACAATACCCTTGAATACCCCACTTTATAGTACCTTACAGTACACTACCCGTACAATTTATAGTACCCAAAACCCTCACCTTTGAACTGCGGATACTGGGGAATAGAATGATGTCCAGTACACAACATCAACCGGTCGAAAAGTTCCTTCTTTCCATCAGCCAACTCAACCGTCCATGTTTTGCCACTAGTATTACGGTAAACCTGTTTTACATCAGTGTTGAACTGAATATGCTTCAAAAGATTAAACTTGTTGGCATAGTCTCTGTAGTAGTCCATGACCAAACTATGATGCATAAAATTGGGGTATTCTTCTGGAGGTGGAAAGTCTGAGTATGACATCATTTCCTTCGATGTGTTTACTACCGTAGACTTCATCACCGTTCCACCGTCCTGGAATTAAATAATTAGGTTGATCATTACAATATCAACGCTATCATGACAGATATAGTTATCACAATATAAATTACTGCTATTTATTAAAAGGGACTTACATTAGGTAAATCCGGTCGATAATTCCATAGCCCACCAATGTCGGACGTTCTTTCGTAACATACTACATCAAGGCCTTCTTCTACGCAAGCTTTAATCGAAGGTAGGCCACTAACACCAGCTCCGATAACACATACTCGTATTACCATTTTTAAGTTACTATATAGGTTTTACAACTACAAATAAATAATTTATTGTAAAAGATGCAGCTTCGTAACTACAATAAAATCAAAAAACGTAATCTTCTTGTGTTCAAAAAAGGGTTGTTAAGGCTCTTGATAGCTAGTTCTTTAACAATATTTTACATAGAAGACAAAAAAAGTTGTTTCAAAGGTGCTATAACAACAAATATTTGACAAATATTACTCTAGATAGAGTAATACTTTGATCAACTTTATATAAGTGATAAAAAAATAGCCGTATATCTTTGCTGTAAGCCGATCAGAAATCTAGTTATACCCGTTTTAAGCTTTACTTTTTAGCTTTTTAGCAGTGAACTTTTATAAAATTATTTAAAACAACATAAAAAACGCTTTCAGTTTCGCTTTAAAATGCCATTTTTACTGACCTCAACGTCTTAAAAAATGAATACTTATGATATAATGTCGTTTAAAATACAACAAAGAGAAAGAAACCTCAAAAACATGGTGTACCGACAAACAATATTGTAAAACAGCGTGAAGAAAGTCGTGTAACTCAACCAGAAACGTACGTGCCTTCTTCGCAAACCCCGAGCAAACGCGAATCTGATGGTCGGAATCCACTTTTCCCTTCTCGACACCAATCTCTTAACCTCGATTCGAACTTTTTAATCCGAGCGTCACTTCCCAAATGAGTAATAACAGTCAAATTGCGGGTTTCGGATGGCACAACTTTAAAAATAATTTTATTTTTGCCTTACCTTACCCGCCCAACGACCGTACCTATGCTTATCCCAAAATTTGTAAATTAAAAATAAAAATTATCACATTACTGTTTACTATCATGTTATTTATTGTTGTTGTTTTATATATTAATATTATCGTGCTATAAATCAAGATTTTGAAGAAAAGCTGGGATGATATCCTTCAATCGACGTCTTCTTTCCACTTCAGCTGGCTCTAATTTTTCAAACGATCGGCAATGCTTTATGGCAAATAAGCCCTTTATAGGTGGTGGCGTTCTTCTCAATTTCTCAAAAGGAACGTCAGATGGGAAGATTGGTGAAAAGTCAGTGTCCGTGTCTGCATAGCCATGTCTTCGGAATAGGGCACGAACAGTTTCATCCTCATTTCGGTGGTTTACTTCACCCCAATCCTCAACGTCTTCCATTTGACCCATCTCTACTAGCTCTTCCAATTCTGCTAGGTTTTCCATTATCCATTCATTCATTTCATTATCATATTCCTCATCTCGTGCTTGGGCTATTTCGTCCATCTCAACCATTTCAAAGCTGTCTGTTTCGTTGATTTCTAAATTGTCTGGTTCGTCGGCCATGTTTTCTGCTACCTCTTCGTCATCCTCTTCACAATCTGACTCCTCGCACACACCCGTCAAGTCTAGTTGTTCCATCTGATGCTCGGTGGCTTCCATATTTTCAGCTTCCTTTTGTACGTTCCTCATTTTTTCATAAACCTGATTGATATAGTCTAGGCCTAGTATCATGGAAGAGCACATAGGGTATCCTAGCTTTTTCAACATGCTTTCCTGCGTTCCCTCTATCTTCCTGAAACGATATTTAAGCCCCTCATTGAAGGGCGTGTGTAGTATCTTTACTGCCATTATTTCACCAAGAACATTTAATGGTTTACCTAAATAGTGAACTTCTCTGGCATATTCGCCTTGCTCCTCCCTATATACTAAAGTTTCATAGTCAAGATCTACCAATTCTCTCAAATAGCATATTTTGCTAGATTTTTTATAGTCTATAAGTTTAAACTCTTTAACAACACCATTATAGTAAAGGCCGTTTGCAGGGTCGGCATAAAGAGCATTTACCTCGTCAAGAATCGTCCTTTCTTTATAGTAGTGAAAGTGGTCTCCGCAGACGGGTTCCTTTTTTACTTCTTCTTTCCAATTTGGTGGATGGACTACAAAGTCATCATCATCTGAATCCTCATTAAAACCATCTGCAGGATTTGGACATCTTGGTTGATGTTCATTTTCTTGTTCTGGACTCTCGACAACCATTTCAAAGCTTGCTTGTTGCGTTATATCAATACTTTCCTCATTATCAAAAACCATGTTACCTAGACTTTTACTAACCCTATCAATATTGAACTTTTCCCTACCTACTTTCACACTTTGAGTACCTAAATTTTCGGTATTTTTCAAACTTATCTGATCCATTCTCTCTGTTTCTGGTTCAAGGAACATTACATTATCATTGCCTCCTATTCTAAATTCTTCCAAACTTACTTGGTCTTCCAACGCCATTTCGTCTTGTCTAAACCGTTTGCGGAGTTTCAAAACTTCGGGCACGGTGGATTGGAGGTCGGCTTCAGAAGCACGTCTTTTCTTGACTTCGGCAACAGAAAGTTCCATTTCGCATTCGATAGAATCCATTTTGTAACCTATGAAAGATAATATTAAATTTTAGGTCTAAATAATTAAAAAATTGAAAAATCAATTTAGTGAAAAATGACAAAATTTTGAGAAATTAAAGAAAATAATTATAAATAATGATACACAACAACAAAAACTTAATCAAATTAACAACAAAAATGAGAAATTAAAGTAGCAAACGGCTCTTAAAACAACCTTTTGAATAAAACGTTATAAATCACTTATAAAGGTTTAGCGACACTTTTGTCAATGTAAATATGAAAGCCAATCGGGCCATAAAACATGGTTGTAAACGGTTTTTTTCTCTATTTTTAAAGTTTCGTTGAAAAAAGTGTATGGCGTTATAAAGAAGAACTTGAAAAGACAATAATTTTACAATAGCTATAAGCTTACAGAACTAAATCCATCAAATTATTAGGTTACTGAGCTAAATGCACTATCTTATTAGGTTTTTCAATTAATTTTGAGTCCCTAACTGTAAAAATTGCTTTGAGAGGAACCACAGTATTAAATGAACAACATAATATTAAGTTACTGTTTAAAATTTACAATTAACCTAACTTACTTTATGTTATGAATCAAACAAGAAGCAGTAGCTGTTGAAATTGTAATGAATAGCTGAGCAGTTGAGAATGTAACTAATCCTCAAGTGAGCACTGACACAAGTGATGAATACTGGCACAGGTCGCTTTTTATAGTAAAATTTAACCGAACTCGCACAAAATAAATGTGACTACCCCCAGAAATATAATTAGGTGTTTAACAGCCAGTGTCAGTGGATTGCGCAAAGGTCTGGTAGATACTGGTTTTCGCACAAATATCAGTTATGCAACACTAGTAGGACGAGGAAGATGCGCACAAATTTAGGTTATCATATGTTTTCAAAGCTCTCTCTGCTTTTTAAACAATACCTATGTAGGATGAAAAAGCGTAAAAAGCTACCGGGAGTAAGTTAAGATTTCAAATACTTCCTTGCCTACCGAAATAATAACGGTAAAAAAGGTCTTTCGATAAGCAGAGGGATATTTCAATTTCCGATAAGCAGAGGGATATTTCAATTTCCTGGTTAGGTCCCGCAACGACTACTCTAAATTTAAACTTATAAAACTTCAAAAATTTTACAACAGTCCAAAATAAAATTTACTTTTACTATCAACTATAACATCAGAAAATATATAAAAGTACAAAATAATCAAAGTATATAAAACTAAAAAAGTACAATTAAAGCACCAACATACGTTGAATACGTATGGTAAAACTGTAGAGAGGCCCGTGTGGTTATGGCTCAATGAGCGAGAGACAATATTAACATTGAGTATAATATAAGAATCAATTTAACATCAGAAATCAGAGAGATATGTCTAAGTTTATTATACAATAATGTAAAGAGAATATTAACTATTACATAAGAATAGAGTAAAAAGAATACAAGTTTGTTCTATGGCTTCACTATTTACAGCTATTTGACTAGGAATCTATCTAAAATAAGGTCCAGAGTGGCACTATAAATTGGAAAATCTAAGTTAAAATGCCATTTTCTATACAAATAAGAACAAATCAAAGTAAAATAAAAATACAGTATACTAAGTTACACTATGCTACTAAAAAATTAAAGTCAACTCCTCAAAGGTATCAACCTAAAAGCGTCAAACCATCCACCAGTCAGTATGTTAAACATCCCAAAGTAGTCCTTGATCGTCATCAACAACGTTGTCTGATCATCGTCAACAAAATTATCGTTCAGTAAATCCAAAAATACTTTGAGAAAGAACATATTGAACCTTCGGATAGAGCTTCGATCACCAGCTATCACTCCACCACTGATTACCGTCCATTGCTTGCGGTAGACCAGGTCCAAGGTGTACCTATAAGTGGAAATTTTAAATTTCAATAAAAATTTTAAAAATTGTAAAAAATGTGAAATTACATAAGATTGATAAAGTATTTAAAACAACATTATCACAAGAAAAGCGGTATAATGTTGCCTATACGTGCGCAGGCTGCAGAATCATCGTTCAGCTGCGCCCTAGTCCAGAAACAAAAAGGTCGTTTCCCTTACAGTTTTCTTAAGTTTCGGTGAATCGGTGAAAGCTTTTACACAGTTTCTTTTGTCTTATTTGAGTATTCTGCATCAAAAATAGTATCATTGTTTAATTTTTTTCCAAAAAATCCTTATAGTTAGTCATCTAACGTAATATTTTAGTATAAAAACCAACTTACTTGGTCGATTTGTCAATTTCCGGTGTTATTTTAATCACAGTTATTTTATCTTTCGGTAGTTCTGGATCCCATAAGCTTTGTGGTATTATATCTCGTGATCCGTGACCTAAAACAATGGCATATTGGTTTACATTATTATTGATAACTTTTTATTGTAACATGGAAAATAAAGATCATAAATTGCTAAAAATTTAAATTTTGAATTTCCCGGTTAATATTAGTTTGTCTAAAAAGTAATGAGCTACTGAACTCCATGTGACTTACAAGACATAGCTTATTACTTTTTGTACAACCTAATAATAGTAAAATGATAATTTAAAGATATACGTTCCTTAATAATATAAATTTCAACTTACTATAACCAGCATCGACCCATACAAACGTATCAGCCTCAAAATACGATATCTTGGTGGCATTGTACATAAAGTAGGGTTTGGAGTTGACCAATATGTTGTAATCAGCGTACAAAGCTTCTGGATGTGACTTTACTTTCAGATCCCATGAGTCTTTCCAGTTTTCTTGTTCATTTTGTAAAATTTTCGAAATTTCATCCCGAAATTTGTAAAATGGCAAGTCGGCTAGGGTGATTTCAACCAGCTGAAATAGGGTTTTATGGGTAATATGGTGAGGAAATAATGATGCAAAATAATGCAAAGAGTGGCTTGATATTAGAATAGAGTTTTTTGCGGTCAAAAAGTTTGTAGAATTTAATTTTTGAAGAAATTTCGTCAATTTTTGGCCTTTTCTTCGAACTTTTAGCTATGTGTGCCATTATTTTTTAATCAAAACTTAATTTAGGGATCAATAAGATAATAAAATCAACTTCGCAAATATCTATGAAATCTTACCATACCAGAAAACAACTAAATCATAAAATTTTACCTGAATTCGATTCCAGCTCAGCTCTTGGTTGTGCAAGAAGTCCTTGGCTGCACTATCACAATATACAATAATCCTGTTTCGCATGCCAAGTAGGTCCATTAGGTAACTCAAATACAAATCATATGGTCTAGTAAACCGTTCCCAGTTCCCTCGGCCTATGTCTAGCAATGCTGTCACAATGACCGGCGTCTGAATTGAGGTATAATATTATTTAGGTAATATAATGTGTTATAATATATGGTTGTTCAAATAATTCTGAACCCTCTTAAAGCATATTTTTGGAGTTAGGGGCTTACAATTATTTGAACAACCTAATCTTAAACTTTCGATAAATTTTGCAATTTGTAAAAATATAAATATAGGTTGTTCAAATAATTCTGCGCCCCCTAGCCCCAAAAATTTAATTTGACTCTAAAATATTTCGTATTTTAGCTTCAAATCAAAAAAAGCAACTTACATCCCTCAACGGATCATCTTCCTGCGTAACCACCTGTTTCTGACGTTGTGGATGACGGCGGGATTCTGAAGACGTGTAAGCTGATAGAATAGTTCAACACAGTTTAGAAGGTCAACAAACAAAAGGTAACTATACATAAGGGCTTAAAGCTGTTAACACTGAGGGTTTAAAGCAGTTGGTGATACATAAAACTCAAGAATTTTGGAGAAATAAGGGTAAGACAATATTGTTTTAGGTAAAAACAAGGGGTTGATGGGTAAATTTAGATTTTTGAGGAGATAAGGGGTTAGAAATGACTATGAAATAGATGAATATGATTATATAAAGGTCATTTGTTCATAATATTTTATGTTTTTACTGATTTTAACAGCTTTTTTGGCTAAAGAATTGATAAAAATGTTAAAAAAGTGCTAAAAATAAAGGAAAAAGCTATAAAACTCGGTGAAAAGCCGATTTTACTAAAAGAAATTAGTTCTAAAAACGTTTTGACCAATATATAAAGCAAACAAAAGACTATGTAGGTAGAAGAACTAAAGATGCGAAGCAAAAAAAACCAAAAACTTATATTATAGTAGGTAAGACTAACTAAAAACACATATTATAGAAGGTAAAACGATTCAAAAGCATATATTATAGTACGTAAAACAAAGAAAAACACATATTATAGTAGGTAAAGCGAACGAAATGGAAAAGAATTGAAAGCCATCCGGACGCCTCGATCTCCTCCACCATCTACCGCCACTTCAGTGTTGACGTTCTGTTAATAGAGGTCAGACAGCACATAGCATCACTTACCGTACGTCTTCATGGTGGCCTGTATGTTCATGACCGGTCGTTTGGGTGGAGGGGGTGGTGGGATGTCCTCTCCCAAATTTGGAGGTTTTATCCGCCATACGGGTTCTGGTGTGTCTGGTACTGTTGGTACTATTTGGTTGGATGGTCGATGTCGTCCATATGGTATAGTGTGTTCGGATGGTGCATTTGGTACTGTTGGTACGGTTGGTGGTCTATATTTTTGATGGAAATGCTTGTTTAGTGTAGCTTGATGTTCTTCATGATGGTCGATTGGGTTCATCGACCAGTCGTCGTCACCGAATGACATTTCAACCGGTCGAACATCTTCATCATCGTCTCGAACTACTAGTGGGACTGGTAGGGGCTTTTTGGTGGTCTAAAAGTATTTTTGGTACTACTAGTACTGAAATATGCTTTATCGTCATCATATGTTATCAAAAGACCCTATTTTAGAAATTGCTCCCCCTTTTTTACCGCCTTCCTCTTATTTTACCCTACCCAATCTTTTCTTACTGTACCTACCGTAGTATGATCAATACCATCACCATTGCCTTGTTGATCTAACTCATCTATCAAGTCGTTCAATTCATCTCTAAAGTCATCATTCTTCAAAACCTTAGTTGTACTGGTCCTCCCAGTCGTAGTAGTGCTAGCAACAGTACTAGTACTACTCCTTCTTGTCGTATATACACCACTGTCCCCGAATCGACCAATCTGTTTTGGATGTTGCCGGTCGAACGTTGGGAAGTGATCAATTTGGATCTTCTGATGAATTTCATGATTTGTGGATTCGACCGGTAAATCAGCACTGATTTTGAAGAATTCTGTGCCCAACACTTCGTTCGCGTCAGTTGGTACTGGTCGATGGAGAAGGTCACTTTCGTTCCACGACATTTCCGGCGGTCGGTTTATATCTGGTCGGGTGGTCTGGAAAATGGAACTGTTACAGTACTACTCTACCCTACCCTACCCTACCCTACCCTACCCTACCCTACCCTACCCTACCCTACCCTACCCTACCCTACCCTACCCTACCCTACCCTACCCTACCCTACCCTACCCTACCCTACCCTACCCTACCCTACCCTACTCTACCCTACCCTACCCTACCCTACCGTACCCTACCCTACCCTACCCTACCCTATACTAGCGTACGTTATCCTTTACCCTACACTACTGTACACTTACAGTAACTCCAAACCTACCGTAGTTTTCAGCTCCAAACCTACCGTAGTTTTCAGGAAAATGGAACTGTTACAGTACTACTCTACCTTACCCTACCCTACCCTACCCTACCCTACCCTACCCTACCCTACCCTACCCTACCCTACCCTACCCTACCCTACCCTACCCTACTCTACCCTACCCTACCCTACTCTACCCTACCGTACCCTACCCTACCCTACCCTATACTAGCGTACGTTATCCTTTACCCTACACTACTGTACACTTACAGTAACTCCAAACCTACCGTAGTTTTCAGGAAAATGGAACTGTTACAGTACTACTCTACCTTACCCTACCCTACCCTACCCTACCCTACCCTATACTAGCGTACGTTATCCTTTACCCTACACTACTGTACACTTACAGTAACTCCAAACCTACCGTAGTTTTCAGCTCCAAACCTACCGTAGTTTTCAGGAAAATGGAACTGTTACAGTACTACTCTACCTTACCCTACCCTACCCTACCCTACCCTACCCTACCCTACCCTACCCTACCCTACCCTACCCTACCCTACCCTACCCTACCCTACCCTACCCTACCCTACTCTACCCTACCCTACCCTACCCTACCGTACCCTACCCTACCCTACCCTACCCTATACTAGCGTACGTTATCCTTTACCCTACACTACTGTACACTTACAGTAACTCCAAACCTACCGTAGTTTTCAGCTCCAAACCTACCGTAGTTTTCAGGAAAATGGAACTGTTACAGTACTACTCTACCTTACCCTACCCTACCCTACCCTACCCTACCCTACCCTACCCTACCCTACCCTACCCTACCCTACCCTACCCTACTCTACCCTACCCTACCCTACTCTACCCTACCGTACCCTACCCTACCCTACCCTATACTAGCGTACGTTATCCTTTACCCTACACTACTGTACACTTACAGTAACTCCAAACCTACCGTAGTTTTCAGGAAAATGGAACTGTTACAGTACTACTCTACCTTACCCTACCCTACCCTACCCTACCCTACCCTATACTAGCGTACGTTATCCTTTACCCTACACTACTGTACACTTACAGTAACTCCAAACCTACCGTAGTTTTCAGCTCCAAACCTACCGTAGTTTTCAGGAAAATGGAACTGTTACAGTACTACTCTACCTTACCCTACCCTACCCTAACCTACCCTACCCTACCCTACCCTACCCTACCCTACCCTACCCTACCCTACCCTACCCTACCCTACCCTACCCTACCCTACCCTACTCTACCCTACCCTACCCTACCCTACCGTACCCTACCCTACCCTATACTAGCGTACGTTATCCTTTACCCTACACTACTGTACACTTACAGTAACTCCAAACCTACCGTAGTTTTCAGCTCCAAACCTACCGTAGTTTTCAGGAAAAATGGAACTGTTACAGTACTACTCTACCTTACCCTACCCTACCCTACCCTACCCTACCCTACCCTACCCTACCCTACCCTACCCTATACTAGCGTACGTTATCCTTTACCCTACACTACTGTACACTTACAGTAACTCCAAACCTACCGTAGTTTTCAGTGAATCCTCTAACTCCTGTTTTGTCAACGTATACGGTAGCAAGTAGGATCGTAGTAGTAGCCTCCATAGTATAAACAATATCAACAATGTCACACCAACAATTATTATTAACTTTTTACTTTTACACAGTTTCTCGGCGGATGGTTTCCTTTGCCGATGCGAAGGAATTGTGGAGGGTCGAGGTGGTACTGAGACAGCACCACTCAGCTGCATCATCAGCGTGTCTCTGAAAAGAGGTGGGGTGCAATAAAATCTTATACTAGCCTTCTCTCCACCCCATAGCTTAAGTGTTTCCTTTCAGTATTGCCTACCCTGCCTTGAAGCAGGGGGGAGAGGTAAGCAGTACATTATAAAAGTCTTACTGTACCTTATGATCAACCCATTTAAAATTTTAAAAAACTTACAACTCGACCCCCTTACAGTTGGGCTCACATGTCTGCACCAAACTGTAGCCGTTGGGGGATACTGTAGACTTGGAAATGTTGGCTGAGATCGTGAACTTTGAAGTTGGACCCCTTGTCCTAGCTTGACGTTGATCAGCGATAACTTTGGCCTTTTTAACGGTAGAGAACGGTTGCTTTGCCTTCTGGAACGATGGAAAACGGTCACTTTGCCTGCCCTTTTTAACGCTACAGAACAATTCCTTGCCTTGACTTAGGACCTGACCACTTAGCCTTACCCTAACGTTGGCAAAAGCTCAACTCGCCTACCCCAACTCCGCGAATCACTTGGCCTCCCTTGAAGATCACTTGGACTATCTTGAGGATTGCTTGCCTCCCCCGAGAATCGCTTCACCTGCCTCGAGGATCACTTTGAGCACTGATATCAGCCTGAAAATTAATACAAAAACATCTGGAATTAAATCATCACGAACACCTGTTTGTAACACGTTTCGCCCGCAGGCTGTACATATGGAAAGGGCGGTTTAATTGAATTTCAAACATGATATTTGCGATCGCGCTTGATTAATCCAACGTTTTCCACAAACATAACCTCAATCGCGGATTAAAAGCTTGAGGTGGTTGCTGGGGAATAGGGGATATCATAAAGTAATGTAAAGTCATAAAATAAAAAAAAATCGTTAAAACAATAAAAAAAATTTTTTAAACTATTAGGTTGTTCATTTAATTTTGCGCCCCGTAACTCCAGAAATTTGCTTAAAAAGAGGCGCAGAATTAAGTGAACGACCTAATATAAATAGCGAAAAAACATAATATACAATAAAATTCATAATTTTTAAATTTAAATTTTTTTACCCTTTCCTGCTTTTTTGCTCAAAAAACCTAACTTCTCCTTCTCACTAGCCTGTAAAAAAGCCAAACCAAGTCCAATTTTTCGGCCCGGACCGGAGAGTTTAGAGGTAAAGTAAAGAAAAACAGGGTAGGGTAGGATAAAGAAGCAGGGAAGAACAAGGCAGAGTAAAGAAAGATGGGCAGTTTAGGGAAAAGCAAAAGAGGGTAGGGCAAGTCAGAGCAAAGCAGGGAAAGTAGAGTAAAATAATGAAAAGCAAGGTACGGTAAAAAAACAGGAAAGGACAAAGCACAGAGGGTAGTGCCAGCCCGGTCGCTTCAAATTTACTTTAGTCCGGCCCAGCCCAGCTCAAGGCCGGGCCTAGTAAACTCGCTTTTATAAGTACTCTCCTACCATCCTCCTAACTATCAAAGAAATCTTTCACTTTTCAATAATCATTTGCCAGTATCAATACAAAAATTTAAATAACAAAAAATCTTCCTAAAAATCAAATCTATACCTAAAATTTTAAATTTTATACTCAAATATGGTTAAAAACCATAACCTTTTCACCCTTTATGCATAACCAAAGTAAAAGTGATGGTGAAGATCATTAGGGATTCTTCGCGACGTTGTAAAAGAATATAAAACCCCGAGCGATTGAAATTCAAATGTCCATTTACAGATTTTTATGAGCCCAATGCATTTCCAATGACTCAATAACCAAATAAACCTGGAGAGCTACAACAATGTCAAACAATGTTAATATCAAAGAAAAGTACTCTTGACTTACCCTACCCTACCCTACCCTACCCTACCCTACCCTACCCTACCCTACCCTACCCTACCCTACCCTACCCTACCCTACCCTACCCTACCCTACTCTACCCTACCCTACCCTGCTCTACCCTACCCTGCTCTACCCTACCCTACCCTGTTGACTGTAGTGAGAGTCCACTAGGTTACTCCGCTCCCAGCCACGTATTTATTGTACAAACATTAATCAGAGAAGTGACAGCTCATGAATAATAATATAAACCACCAGAACACAAAGAAAAGATAAGGCTACGAAAAACATTTGCACTTTTAAAAAATTTTTATTACATTACATCACATTCTTCAAAAGATCATAGTGAATATGACGTTCATAATGAACTAGACTGAATATGGTTACCTGAATTACCCGGCGGGTTTAAATTTAAAACTAAGGAGTGGATACCTTATGTTCTTCTTCCAACCCTTTGGGACTAACTACTACTGTCTATAGAGGAAGGGGGAGGGGGAGAAACAGAAAAGGGTAAAAGAGTTCATACCTGAAGATCAATATATAGTTTGCTACCTTACCCTGAAACAAACACCAATTTTGATATTATGTTGATATGGTTAGAACAAATCAAGTCTGACAGTTGAGTAAACAAATAAATTTCAAAAACATCTATATTTGAAATAGACAATATATGCATTTAAAAATATAAAAAAGAAAGTTATGTATAAGTTTAAAAGAAAAAACACGAAAAATGTAATTGTACATGGCTATTGTTGTGTAAATAGTAGAAAAGGGCAACCAACAGTACAAGAAAACGGAAGAAAAACAGTAACAAGCAATTACAATGACAATAGTATAAAAAAGTTAAAGAATATAACCCCAGAATTAGTCATCGTAAATCGTGTAATTAAAAAAATAAATAATTTTTTAATAAAAAATAATAAAAAATTTTCTTGGGAAAGGCCTTGTCGAGCCATTTGCCTTGCCCTACCTCTGCGCTGCCTTGCCTTGCCTTGCTTTGCTTTTTTACCCTACTCTACTTTTCTTTAGACTACTCTGCCCTTTCCTGCTTGTTTATCCTACCTTGCTTTTCTTTACCTTACCCTACCTTCTCTGTTTCTTTATCCTATCCAACCCTAAATTCCCTTGTCTACAAATACAGCTGCAATGAAATATATTATAATAAACCCCTTCCCGGAAACAAAACCCCTTAAACAATATAATAAAACAAAATTCAGAAAACGCAAAGTTTATAGGCAAACACTTATTGATACACCCACTGATATATTTTTAATAGCATTGTGGTTTTAATTTTATTGCTCACACTATCACGACCACGAACAATTCCAAATATTCGAATGACTAACAATAACTAACAGAGATAGCAAAAACATTTCTTCAGAAGAGCGATCTGATGAATATCTTACAAGATCTTGTAATAAAACATTGAAGTAACAAACTTTGGATTCTAGAAACTAAACTTTTAAAACTATAAATGTGTTCATTAAATTAGCTTGAAAATGTAACTTCTAGGCAATTATATTTATGCTACTGCAATATATCTCGTAACAAGGAAAGTGCCCAGCATGCCTCACCCAGATCAGATCAAAATCTTTATATGAATTCTTTGTACCAAAAAAACAATAAAGTTAAAAGCTTGAAACACAATTCCAATTTAGTGGAAATTTCAAAACTTTAAAGTATAATAACAAGGCCAAAACTTTGAAACATTAAAACAACAAAAATAATAAAGAAATCAATTTGTTGCTATAATAGCTTGTTGTTGCTGCGCATCCTTATCAAATAATAGTTAATCAAACAACAAAAACAGCGATCGCCTTCCAACAATATCATAAATAAGAATGTGGAACGAATAAAAAAACAGTCTGTTTACAGCAATATTACAATCAAAAAAAGTAAACCTACTACAAATTTACAAATTTTGCAGAACTTATTTTACTGTAGACTCTACTTACAGTAAAAAATAAAAAACTAAAAAAAAGTTTTTATGTAGAAACCTCTATTATAAATACTAGATTGTTCAAATAATTCTGTGCTCCCTTAATACGCAAATTTGCTTTGAGCAAAAGCACAAACTTAGTTGAACAATTAAATATTTTTTTAAATGTTGGTCACAATTAACATAAACTCCTTGTTTTTACTCTTCGTAGTATAGTATTTGAATAATCAAACATTTGAAAAATGTAAAAAAATAGAAATTAATGATAAAAAGCCATCACCAAACGTTAATTATGCCATAATTCAGCAATCTATTCGAATAAAAACCGATAAATCAACTGAAAGTCTTTGAATTTCGATTTCAGAAGATTTTGTACTTTTAATCGTCGCGATATAGTTAATTCAATACAGTTTTTGTAATAAAAAAGCTGAAAAAAACGACTAGATTAAAGACAATCAGAATATAAAACAAAAGAATAAAAGTTTGACTAAAAAGTCTAATAGTTTGGCTGAAAATACAGTGTAATAAATGTCTAATGAAAGCCGGTAAGGACATATATTTTGGTTCTGAAATTAGCAAAGAAAGTATCCAATGTGCTCTACTCAGAATCAGCTGAAAATTTTTCAATGAATTTTTTGTACCACTAATACTACCCATAAGAAGTTTTAGCTCGCGCTTTTGAGTTTTAAAATTGAAATAGTTGAGTTTCCCGTCAATTTAGAAAATTTGGCATAGTGTGTCAAGCACTTTTTTCGACTTTCCACACAAGCTACGTTTACAAATTTAAAAAATTAGTTATAAACTTGAAACACAGTGCCAATGTAGCGGGAAATTCAAAACGTTATCTTTAAATCTCGATTTTCTCGAGATTGACTGAGATTCGCAGTTTAGTACTTTGCTGAAGATCTCTTATATTAACATGATCTTCTTTGAAGTCAATCAGAGCGAGGCAGGTCGGGCACTTTCCTTGACAGTAAAAAAATTTGTCTCTCCCCCTCCCCTTGCATAACTCAAATCGCTTTATTTGGCACTATAAAGTACCATTATAACAAAATTTTTTGTTAAAACGTACCGTAAAGCTCCCCAAAATCTTGCTTCCACCTCCTTAACTATCTATCTACCTATAGTATATACAGCTCATCCAAAAACCCACTTTATGCTAATTTTTCGACCCTGACTAACGCCGCCCGCTTACAAATGGAATATGAAAGAAGTGGGTGAAACCCGTTTCCGCTAAAACATTTGGAAGACCGTTCTTTTGTAGAATTATGACGAAATCACCACTTCACTCCCCCCCCCTTTCGAATTGGACAAGGCCAAGGATTATGAATAAGCGCGCAAAGGTTAGAATTTCTAAAGGGCGTGGGCTGTGATTTTTGAGGCATCTGAACTGAACTTTTGTATTTTTGACATGGATTGGGATTTTGGAGGTTGAGAAACGGTAAAAATTATCAGATTGTAAAAAAGTCGTAGCAAAAATAAAAAAAATTTAATTTTTAAAATTTTAAAAATTAAAAAACAAAAAAATTGAAACGGGGCAAAACTACCCTACTCTATCCTATAATACCTTACCCTACCCTACTCTTTTCACAAAAAAAAACTTAAAATTCACCCCGCCCTCGTTTTTTTTCTTATGTTCTGTCCTGTCCTGCCCAAGATTTTAAAATCAAAAAAAGTTTTAAAGCTGAGTGAAATCTACTTTACTTTAGCCTACCCAACCTACAATACCTTTTACCTTTTTTAATAAAAAAAACTCAAAGATCACCCCTTTTTTCCTTTTTTTTCTTATGACCTGCGATACCCTGCCCAAAATTTGAAAATTGAAAAAAGTTTTAAAGCTGGGTGAAATCAACTCTACCTTCTCCTACCCAACTGTACCCTCTACCTGTTTTTCCAAAAAAACTTAAAAGTTCACCCCACCCTCATTTTTTCTTATGCCCTGCCCTGCCTTCTTGTAGTGAAAAGGCTTTGTGAAAGAACTAAAAGCATCATTAGCTGTAATCAGTAGCTGACAAGAAACAGTAAAGAAGTAATGATAAAAACAATCAATTATTAAAAAAAACGTTGCGCAAAGATTATTGAGACAAAAGCCCTGAGGCGACGAGAGATAGGGGGGAAGACGGCTGTGGACACACGGACTGTCCTTTAATTCTTAAACAAACAATTCCGAAACGATCCCAGATCTTTTTTGACAAAAAATGCTGGATTTCGAATTTGAATACAAGAGCTAGATAAAAAATATTGTTATCTGTGCTGGGCGTGGTATTTTTGGTTTAAAGGATGGGAGGAGGCACGCTAAAGTAGATGAAGGTAAGGCTGGACAGGGTAAAGTAGGGCAGGAGAAGAGTAGAAAGTGCACAGCAGGGCAAGTCAGGGAACAGCACGGCAAAAAAGGCAAGGCAAGGCAAGGCAAGGCATCCCTTATCTCTTTCTTTAATCCTTTCTTATCCTCTCAATATTAAGCCATAAGATGTCGTATTTTACATAAACTACACCTAAAACCTTCAAATATTCCCTATCAAAATATAAAAAGACAATTTGAACGTCTGTTCTTATTTTTTGAATAATTTCTGAGGTCGCACATCTATTTTCGACTCCAGGAACCGGAATCAGCATCTGATTCAAACATATGAAGGAGAGAAACAACACTTGGACCAACAAAAAGCGCGTTCTATTGTTTTCGGAAAGTTCTTGCCAATTTGCAAATGTTATTTTACGGTTTTGACAAGATACAAAGTTGGGAGAGGTCTAATTTAGGATATACAATAGTGGGGGAGATACAATACTTGCTGAGATTATAGTATGAAAAAAAGGTTCGAAAAAACTTTAATTGTTGTAAATTATTATTAAAAAACTTTAAAAAATTTTTTTTTAAATTTTTTTACCACTAAAACTGCGCACCCGACCCTTTGATAAGAATGAGAGCAAAGGAATGAAAGCATAAATTTAAATTATCCATCCTTGAGTTTAAAAAAAAGTTTAAAAATTTTTTTGAAAAAAGTTGAACGTGATCCCCCTATTAACTTTCAAAAAAAAATTTTAAAGTTTTTCAATTCTCTAAAATTACCCCTCTCAAAATTGCTTTTAAAGTTGAACATGGTTCCCTCTGTCGATTTCCAAATTTTTTTTAAAATTTTTTTATTTTTTTGCCCTTAAACCAAAATTACCCTGCCCTAATTTTTTTAAAGCTGAACGTCTTCCCCTTGTTAAATTTAAAAAATTTTAATTTTTTCGCTGTTCAACCAAAATACTTCCTCCTAACCCTAACCAGTAAGTCTAACAAAAATCATAAGAATAAGCCCCATCAAATTATGCCATTTCCTCCTGAAACACTTTTCATTGCGCGGCCGTTTCCCCGAATTTCGGTCACTTTTTTCGTTTGAAACAGAATCGTGGAGAGTGGTCGGTTCCGGAGGTAGGTATCGGATGACATTGTAAGTCTGGACGCTTGTGTAAATAAAAGGAAATGTACATGATGAAAGTTATTGAAATTGTGCGCAAAGAAATGTTTTCACACTTGTTGTTGGTTTTTATGTTGTTATAGATGGTTTAACATGATATATTCATATGTATTTACAGTAGAATATCGTGAGCATAAGCATGTTTATAAGAAAATTATTGTCATAGTGAACAGGTAGTTGATACAAGCAATCAAATTTGCCTTCCTATCACTAATAATTATCAAAAACGTTACCATTATAGTTAAAAATGTAAAAGTAGCCAAATCAGTAATATTTATTGAAAACCGATATAAATTTTTGCATTACAGATACAATGTATTACTTTTTACAAAGTTGAGATTGCAATATACCCTTAATAGTAAGAATATTAACAATATTCCGAAAATTGAGCATCTTTTAGACTAAAATGTGACAGTAATGTACATGATCGTATCTTGGTCCTGTTATGATTGTATAACCAAATTTCTGACATTGTATGACCTTCAATTATATCTTCATAGATCAGCAGTAAATTGCCTAACGATACAAACCAATATCAGTCTTATTGGCTTATAAAAAGTGTGCCTTCAACAATATGATCTTATCCATGACATTTCTAGTGCTATATCAAGTCTTACAGTGCCTACTACAACATCATTTGTCCCTATACAGCTTTGACAGTTCAACACTGACCTTTGAAAGCCTATTACAACAATATCAAAGCTTAGATGTTATTGATAAGACATTATCAAACCTTAAAGTACCTATTACAACATCATGATGACCTAGATGAATATCTGGTAGTACAGTAAGCTTTCAAACCATTGATAATACAATAAGGTTCAAAAGAACTAAATATTGCAATAATCGTACACTACTGCCCCTAAAGACCCCTACAACAATATCTCATTCGAGCAAGTGCTCTGGTTGTCATCGTCATCATCATCGTTATCAAACTCACTGCACGGTGCAGTCTCTTCTTCGGTTATCTCTCTCGTCTCGATCAATGCTGTCGTAGTGAACACCGTGCTTTGTGTAGCCGGCTCTTCAGACGCGAACGACGATATATTATTGTGGGTTATCATGATGGAAGACGGTGTTTGTACCATGTTGTTGTTGTATGATATTGGAGTAGTTGGTGATCGAAGGACGTCGGTCTCTTTGAACTGCTTGACCTCGTTGTTGTTGGGAGTGATTGGAGAGACGACAGCGGTGCCGAGCTTCTTTTCCAACACTTTTCGACATTCACTGATCTTGTTTTCACGCTGAATATATTTTTTATAATATTTTAAATTGTTCAATTAATTACGTGCCCTCTCTCAGAGCAAATTTTCAAGATTGAGAGCACAGAACTATTTAAATGAAATGCCTAAAAATACCTAATAAAACATTATAACCCCCAGCTGCAACCAGAAATCACATTACAGTACTAGTACCTACTACAATATATTACACTTACAGTTTCAATTTGTCGTTTGAGTTCCCGGTTCTCCTTAACCAGTTGTTCGTAGCGAAGATGTTCAGACTTACTGACCGAGTTCTTCGATTCATTCCCGTTCTTGGCCATGTCTTTCGAAGCCGGCGTTTTGTAAATGTACATTAATTTAGGTACAAACACCAGGCCTAACGATACGAACGTGCACCATATCACTAAAATAGATAGTATAGATACATATTAAAGTACTGTAACTTCTGTACCACTCTAAAAGTCTTAGAGACATACATGTCTTAACTTATTTTACAATATCTTAGGCTTGCTTACCCTAACCTAACCTGTCCTTCCTACCCTACTCTAACCAATCATACACCACTCTTTACTAAACCAAATTATCTTACCCTACCTTACCGTCACATACAATATCTTACCCCACACTCCCTTAAATTAGCATACCCTCCCCCAATATACACTACCATGCTCTAGCTAAGCCCTACTATTCATCACCGTGCCATAGACCCACCCTTAATTTTTCCTCCCCCACCAACCACAACCTTAACCTACCGACTCCAGAAACAAACAAAAAGTTGGAATTGGGTTGATCCTTCAGTAGTAATGTTGATACTGGTGCCGCGACCAATATAATCAAGGCCAAGTTGTATAGCGCCAAACATACGAAACGAATGTCGTTCACAAATCGTATCTTCAAGTTTTTCGATTCGTATGCAAAGAACAGTCCAAAGATCAGTAGAAGGCCTTTGTAGCCGAGGAAGATTGCTGCAACATTATATTATAGTAGTTTATTAGCATTAGGTTGTTGAAACAATCATGTGCCCCTAATTTCAAATACTTTTTCTTTGCAGAAAAATTTCTTTGAGAGAGAGCACGGAATTATTTGAACAACCTAATATATTATTTAGTTTTGCAGACCGCAACTGACATTTTATACGATAGAAGGTGTCCAATATTGTCAGAATTATGGACTGTTTAATATGTATAGCTACTTAAAGTTTATATATATATAGTATAGTATAGCAATAAATACAACATAGTGGATCCTTATCATAAGAAATTCTATCATAGAGTGAAAAATCTATACAATATCAAACTGTAAGATATAAACTTACTAGTCCAAACATTCTGATGTTCACTTTCACAATATTCGAGTACGGGTAGTAGTCGAATATCCTCAGTCGGTCCACTTTGGGGTTCTTGTAAAGAAAATTTCTTCACTTTTCGTTCCATTGGATCCAAAATCATCCACAGGAAGGTTAAAGACAGATCTACTGCCAGTAAACAACCGACTACCACGTAGAAGCGGTTTGGAGGTATTGGCTGAAAGAGGGGAAGGCAAAATACAAAATACAGTAGCCTGTAGCAACTAACAAAAGCTCAACTATTTCAAACGGCAAACTTTTTTAAATTAAAATTTTAAAAATTTTTCGAAAATCAAAATTAAAAAAATGAAATTTCAAATGCCAAACCAATTAAAACAAAATGGAAAACTGCCAAACCACATAGAAATTCAAAAACAACAAAGCAAGGAAAGCCGTAATCACGAGGTAATTACTTGATTCAGCAAACATGGCCGCCGCGCGATCAACGAGATGTAGGCCTGGTTGGAGAGTTTGCGAAGGGCCGCGGCCACAAGCACCTGGCGGCCCACCAACGCCGACATCAGCATCCGAATACTCTCCCACGGACTGTGGTCCTCCTAAACAAACGGTAATCACTCTTTTGCCGTGCTGATTAGGACCCATATTTTAATTTTTTGAAAATATTATGCTTATTATGTTAAGTTGTTCAAATATTTCTGTGCCCTTCTCAAAGCAAATTTTCAGGGCTAGGGACACAAAATTACTTGAAAAACCTAATAATAAGCCGTATTTTACCCTACCCTACTATATACTACTTTACCATGCAATACTCTCTTTCAACCATCCTACCGTAGCCTCGTATAACGTAACGTACCGTACCCTAATCTACCCTGTCATAACTTACCTTATCATACCTTACTTAACCTACCCTACCTTGCCCTACCCTAACTTATCCGACTGTTTTCTATCTTACTTTACCTTACCATTCACTACCTTACTCTAGCTTCCCCTGTCCTACCCTATCTTACCCTTACCTGATAATACCAAAGTTAAAATTAAAAAAATTTGCTTACTCGCCCAATGTCTTTTAATGCCCTAAAAATTGCAAAAAAGATCCCTTTTGACCCCGACGTGATTCGAACACGCAACCTTCTGATCTGGAGTCAGACGCGCTACCGTTGCGCCACGGAGTCACGGGTTCGAAACTTTACGAAATTTTTAATAAAAGCAAATTTTTTAATCTCCTAATGTAAATGTAAAAATATTTTAGATTTTTAGCTTGACTTTACAAACCTTATTATCCCCTCTCTCCACCCTCCTCTCCTCCCCCCCCCCCTAAAAAATTGCAGTGACCTGAACCGTTTCAGAAGCTGGTACCACCACCACTACTCGTGAAAAAAACCAATCAAATCAAAGCGACGGTGCAAAAAGCAAGAAACGTAATTGTAAGATCAAAGCTAAACCTACTTCTTCCTTAACCGCTGCCACTTCTTGATTCTCTCGCGTGCCCATTCGATGGACAATCCAAACCTTAGCAAACATGGCTCCATATGACATGGTGAAGCCGACCATCAGGAAGGTTAGTTTTGACTGAAAAGTTAGGGTTTTTATTTGATGTGAATTGCGTTTTGGTAAGTTATGTAGTGTTTTGGTCCTGTTTTTATCATTTCTAAAACTTGAATAATTTTTTAAAAATTTTTACAAAAAAGGTGCCTTACCTGCCACACTCTGTTTTACTTCAAACTTTTTATATAGATAGATCATGTAAATATAAGACCTTCAGTAAAGTACTACATCCCACTTTCCAAAAAATGCCAAGAAAACCAAAATCAAAAAATTAATTTTTGAATTTCCCGCTATATTGGCATTGTGTTTCAAGCTTATAATTTTGTCATTTTGTTACTTTTAATAATTTTTCTTTAATTTACTAATAGAAAACCTTTAAATCAACCTACATTTTTAAATTTGTAAGCGTAGATTGACTGAAAAGTCGAAAAAAAGTGTTTGAAACACAATGCCAGGTTTGCCAAATTGGCAGAAAATTCAAATATTTAAATTTTAAAACTCAAAACGTCAAGCTAAATTTTTTATGGACGCTATTGGTGGTAAAAAGAATTTATATAAAAACTTTGAGCTGACTTTGAGTAGAGCAGGTTGGGTACTTTTAGTTATATGTACTTACTGACTTTCTTTAAACCTTTATTACACTCAAGTTATGGCTCTTGTTTTCACTGTTTTGAAAGTTTTCATTTATTTTACTATTTTTAGGCTTTTTTTTTGCGTTTTTGCTGAAAATTTTGACCTTGTTTAATCCTTCGTTAACTTTTTTTCATTTTTTACTCCTTTTCATCTTTTTCAACTAACTTTCCTCAGATATCCCAACCCTACACATCAAACTCCTTTTTGTCTATCGAAAACCGATGCCATTTTCGGCGAAAGCCGGATCATAAATAATATAATTTATCACTCGCCCTACTCAATAACTCTCTTACCGTAGACGCGAAATATCGACTTACATAACAAAATAAAGTAAACGTGCCCTTGGGAATGGTCATGTCATCCACGGGCAGACCCATTAAAAGCAGATTCAGAAGGCAGAACATACAGCCCACGATGAGGATCATGTTGCATTGGGGTTGGGATTGGATGATCACACCACGATAGCCAAACTTGATGTTGAAGATGAGGGTGGCGATGGAGATCAAGACGCCGATCACGGCGGTTAGAGCCACAATTATAAAGAACTGGAAGTTTTAGAATTAAAAAATTTAAAAATTGAGTAAAAGTAATAATTTAGGTCCAATAAAAGGCACATATAAACATCAAAAACATTAAATTTTCACATTCAAAGTTGTTGTTTTACTAAAAATCATGAAAATATTAAGATTTTGAGATAAAATAAGCAATAAAACCAGAAAAATTACCTCCAGCCGAACTGTCATAAAGCTTTCTTTGATGACCAAGGAATCTGGAGGTGGTTTTCCATCGCCAGCAAACTTTTCCTTATTAAACCAATCCCATTTTTGTGTCGTCGCATCGTAGTAGCCCAGCATTACGTACTTTCCATCTAAATTTTAAAAAAAATATTTAGGTAATACATTTTTGAAGATCCGTCCAGCCCTTTCTCCCGATCTCAATTTTTTTATAAAAAGTTATCACTCCTCTCCCTTTGATCAAAAATATTTTAAAATTAAATCTACCCGGCCTAGAACAACAGAATATTTAAACTAATAAAAACCACGCACGCCCCACATTAAAAAACACTGTTGTTAGGTTGTTCAAATAATTCTGTGCCTCTTAAGATCAAAAATTTTTCGGGACTAGGGCACCCAGAACTATTTGAACAACCTAATATCTCACAAAACTTTGCCAAAAGATAGAAATGTCAAAGTTACCTTGCATTTGCTCGATCTGACTTCTAGCAATACGATCTCCAGAATCCGAGAACATTACTTCGCCTGAGACTCCTTTGAATTTGGTATCCTTTACACAATCAAACAACCGGTCGGCTATCACTTTGTTGTTGTAGGTAAAGTCTTCCAGCTTTACTCCAATTGGCAGACTGTTTTGGGTACAGTTCAGGGCTAGTGCTAGGGCCCTGGAACGAAAATTTTTGATTTAAAAAAAATTTTTGTTTCCAAAATTAAATTTTAGGTATGAAATTTCAAAAAAAAAAACTTTTTTCAGGTCTAAAAATACGTAGAAAACCATTTGTATTCGCTTTATCGTTACTTCAAACCTTTCTCTTTGCCTTTTGACTACACATTAAAAAATATCGTTTTTATTCATTTTTCTTGTCATAAATCAAAATTTTGCCTTACCAAACAGCATCATAAGCCAATGGAGCTTCTGGGTATCCTCCAGTATTCGATGGTTGAGTTTCGATCTTTTTATTCAATCGTTCTTGAAATTGCTTCCCAGTCATGCCAGAGATGGCTGGTTGATTATCTCTACTCAACATTATACTTTCTGTCGTAAAATGGTATTGTGCTGCTTCTTTCATCTTAAAATACATTGTTATACATTATTAACAATAGGGAACGTATTTTACTACAATAGATTGACTTTAAACTTAAAAAATGTTCAAATATTATAGTTCGAAAATATGCTTTTTGTTACCTAAAACACAAGAAATTCAGCTTTGATTTACTGAAATTAAACTGTTCAAGTCGTAAAACATGAGCTATTATAATATATTATCCCAAACACCCAAATAACTTCCCCTACCTGCTCAGCAGTACAATTAATATGTTCATCCTTCGGAGGTATGTACCATTCATCAGCGTACCATCCAATAAAGAACCAAACATACTTCTTCCCATATAACCCGTGTTTATAAGCCTGACACAGCACTCGTCTAGCTTCAGTGACATAGAACAAGCCCACAATGATACGTGCATCTTGTCGTACCAACGTCTTGATGGCATCCCGGGGATCACCGTAGAAGCTTTGACGTTCTACACGAATATTATGTTGACGACATTGTTCTTCCAGGTCTTTGGCCGTGGATGTGAACACTTCTTCGACTGACTGTAGGATTGTGATTTTGGTCCAGCCAAATTTCTCGAACAGGCGGATTCTGGAATCAATCAAGATAATATTATAGTAGATTTTTAAGCTCGCTAGAGGCATTTAATCGGCAGAAACTGCATATATTTAAAATACAAAGTAAAAAGCGTAAACCCATCTTTAATTATGACATAAAGATAACAATTTCAGTTATTACTTCGATTTTAAGCTTTGAAAAGAGCATTTGATCACCTAAAACAACATCAGAAAGCTTTTAACTTTACCTCAAAAATTGCCAAACAAATTTTACTCAAAGACCTATCAAATTAATGCTTATTTCAAGCTGAATCTAGCTCAATTAAAATCAAAAAGCCTTCAATACTTTTTTGGAGAGTTTCGCCTTATTTAGATGTTCATCATCCTCTTTTTATAAGCAATATTACATGACGAATAAGTCTCAATTAAACATAAAATCGTTTGATAAATAAAATTTAAACCTTAAATATTATTTTTCAGCAAGTCTTTCAATAATTATTATCCGTTAAAAGTCAGTAAAAAGGAGTTAAATTCAAGCAGCCGGTTGCGAGAAATTTTCTTTTTCCTTGCTGCGGAATGCCAAGGTTTCTCTTGAGCGGGAAAGTCTTATATTGAAAACAGATATAAATTTTTGAAGAAATAGTTTTTCAAACCTACAATTTTAATTTTATCAAAAAAGCGTTTGAACGTCCGTTATTTTTCTCAAAAACTATACCTGCAAGCCCTTACCTCGTTGGATTTTGCATATTAGCTGAAGGATGTGTTCTGAATAAGGTGGGAAACCGATCACGGTTCGATAACGCTGGACTTGACGCTCCGTATGATAAAACAATTAAATTCCAGACTGGAGCGGCTTCAGCGACGACCGTCGTGACCGGCGAACAACCGGAGATCAACATTAACTTCACTGGAGGTTTGTACAGTAACTCGTATAACTGTTTGGCAGCAAGGCCTGGTTGGCACTGAAATTTTAGGCTTATTAATGTAGTTTTGGCCTATATATTCACTCTTTTGTCAATTTTTAATTTTTTGTTTCCATATCGAAGTGATAAGAAAGTCTTGTCGTTTTTTAACGTGCGAACACAATTAAATTGACGACAAAACTTTTTAATCAACTCACCTTAGTGTTGTGATTATGACTTTTGAGATGAAAGCCGGGCAGTACTTCAGGACTGTTGTTAATATCATGTAAAGCCATTTCAACCGCCGGTAAGCAGGCTTGGCCGCCGGGCCAACCGCCTGCGCCTGCTTCCATGGGGAACATAGAACCGATGTGAAGTTCGCTGAGTTCCTTTGCCTTGATCAACTGCAACAACAAGGCCAGCAACAAAGAGAAGAGGGCAGGCCGGTCTCTTCTCCATGACGCATAAAGCATCTGAAATGGCATGGGATGAGGTGAGTTATTATAGTTTACATTAATACAATAACATAATTTTGTTCGTATGATAGCGGGCACGATATAAATTGAGGAACCTTAGATTTTCGAATGATACTAGTTTAAGTTAAAAAAATTTGTTTTAGGTGCTATTTAGTATGATAGAGGATTACAAGTAGAAACATTTTGATTTACTATATAGTATCAGTAAATTTCAAAAAACAAAAAATTGCAAATTTTTGTGCTATCAAGTACCTTTTAGTACATAAAACACAAAAATTTTAATTATGATACTATTTACATTTGGCACCCTGCACTACATACTATTGAGCACTATGTTAAATGTAACACTTTTAACAATTTCCTCACCCCCCCCCCTTTACCGCCCTCTTATCCCAAAAAAAGTTCTATACCGCCCTCTTAGCCTAAACCTTATTAAAACTAGCGTTTAATCTGCATAACTATGTAAAAGAGTTAGCGGCCGAGTTGTTCCGTATTCGTTTTGCTCAGAATTTTGAAAAGAATTGCAAAATAGTCATCAAAAATGCAGACACCATAACCAGGGCTGGAGATTACCGACGCCTTTTTATTGCAAACCATTTGGGGCTTGTCACATACTCCAGGCAACATATTTGGATGGTGACAGTTATTGCGTTTCGAGCATAAAACTTTGAGATTTAGTCTTTGGTCTGGGGGGGGTTTGGTTTTTAATTTAGGTTCAACTGATTACTGTGGGTTTATTTTACTTTAGCCTAGTCAGGGACATCGCTAGAAAGGGGGGAGGTGAATCCAACCGCCGAAGCCGATCCAAAAAAAATCTACTGGTAGAGCACTTGTACGTTAGACATGAGAAATGGGCCGGGCCCGTTTCTTGTCTACTGTACGTGAAAAAATGGAAAAAAATTTAATAATGGCACAGGTTGGGCCTGTAGACCAAAAAATTTTTTTTTGGCTTTATCTCTCCCCCCGCCTCCCCAAAAAAACTGTAGCGATGTTCCTGATTCTAGCTTCTTCTACCCTACTCTTCCCTACGCTACCTTATTCTCTTATTCTACCTTACCCTACTTTAATGTACTTCAATCTGCCTTACTAGACCCTACCCTGTTCTAATTTCCCTACCCTTCTTTACATACTCTACTGTACCCTACCCTACTGTAGCATTACCTGACTAACCCTAACTTGCCTTATCTTGCCCTACCTTCCATAGCATCCTTTTTTCCCAGCTTTGCTCGCAACCTCGCAACTTTTATTATTCCATGCTCAGTGAGCACTATCATCATACCAAAACCCCCCCCCCCCTCGGACTTACCGCTCCATTCTTACTCATCTCATTTCACGCCAAAACTTTTTTTCATTTGAAACTTAAGAGGCGAATAATGTCGGACAAATGTGTGCAACAAGATGGAAAAACACACGCCCTATCTCCGCACCACGCCCGGCGCACCGCCCCGAGGGAATCAAGGATAAGCAGGCCCAAATCGGTTGCAAAATGACATGCCCCGCATTTGACAAATTGGCCGGGAAATTGGCCTAGAAATGGGGCCGCAGATTTATGACAACCGGCCAAAACAAAACCGAAGTTGGTACGATGCTCAGGAGCATGTAGAGGATCGTGCCGAAATAGCCTTTTGTTTTTTGAATATTCGAAATGACGCGCGGTTCTGAAAAAGCACTGTTTATGGCTGTTTTTTAAAAATATTATGCTTAACCCTCTCCCAAAAAAACTTTTTTTTGAAAAAAAATTAAACCTGATCCCCCCCCTATTCATTTTTAGGAAAAAATACAAAAAGTTTTAAGTTGGTCAAAAAAATCCCCCCCCCTGTGTTTTTTTTTTGCCCCCCGCCCCTAGACCAAGTGTCCGCTTGGCCCTAGCCTTTATTTTTCTATACTTGGCTTTTCGTCCTCCCCCTACCCAGTCCATTCTCCCACCCCCTCCCTTCTTTTCCTTATGCTCCCCTCCTTTCCTTCCCTTTTTTATCTTCCCCATGATTTTTCTCTCCCCTCTCCCTTCCCCTTCTTTTAATCTAGCCTTAACCTAAAAAATTAGCATCCCTAGCAACAGCCCTGTCCATGCCATAACCACTCCCAACTAACATTAAACCTACAACTTAATGCCAAAGACAATCGCCCATTAACCGGCATAATAACGCGCTTCACATACCAAGAACTACTACATAAATAATTAACGGCCGTAAGTGTATCCCATGTAATTGTAACCCTAATGGTTGTACGCCGTCGTCCATGAATCCCTAATTATATTCGTACAGAAAACAAACTTGTAAAAGTTTTTATTAGTAACAGGCATGTGCTTGATGGCATTTACTTTGCAAAGTTGGGTTTCGTTAGAGGGACAGTAAATTTTAAACTACTGTGGCGTTAAAAAATTAGAAAAAGATAAGACACAGTTTTTGTTGAAACTAAAAAAATTTTTTTTGAAAAAAAGTTTTTAGGAAAATTTGAAAAAAAAAATCATAAGTCAGAAAGATTATAAATGGCATGTATAACAACATTTCATTGTGATGAAAGGTAGAGAAATGGGCTTGTTTTTGAATGCAAAATAGTAATGTAACTATAAATATAAATTTTTTAAAATAAAACAATTTTTTTTCAAAACACCCCCTAGCAATCCCCTGCCCGTCAAATACGTCCTACAACAAAATGGAAAGATAAGATGTTGGTATCAGGAAAAAGAAGAAAGAATGGCCCAACTTTTGTTTATTTTCCAGCGGAACAAATAAACTCAAGACGGTATCAGAAGGCGGAAGAATCCGAAACAATAACATCCATAATGACATGTATAATATCTCATACGTAACGTATGGCTATGGCTCGAATCCGTAAATAAACTTTTTGCGTAAAATACATTGTGTACACTGTTTTTGATATATGTTTTGTAAAATACAGAAAAAGTCAATGGGGTTGTAAAATGGCCAAAAATAGGTTAGAAACTTGTCATCTCATATTGTTATAGTCATTAAAATACTTTTTTTAATTTTTCTCTGAAACAGTTCACTTTTAATTAGCTATAGTTCCAAACCAGGCTAATTTATAGGCCAGGCCGTCGAAACATTTTTTTTAACCGCCGAAAGATCGGCCTAGAAACAGATCTAATATTGCCCAAAAATAATCCTAAAAACAAGTCTAACACCGCCCAAAAAAACCTACAGCAAGGGTAACATTGCCCAGTAATAACCCAACAACCAGGTCTAACACCACCCAAAAACAACCCAACAGCCAGGTATATCTACGTCAGCACCTTAATATAACGTTCGAACTGTATCGTCATTACAACGAACCGTGTAATATAACCATTCAAACGTTTAAAAAGGTATGTTCAACATAGACATGAACGGTTTTGTCACATTTTAAAGTGTTCCTTTCATGTTTTAAAGACTTTAAGAACAAGAAACATTGGAAAAAAGGCATTTTTAGGTATAGTAAATGCTATTTTAATGTCATCTTATCAAAATCAGGTTATGAAAATCATAAAAATATAAGCCAATTGCTATAGATCTTGATATTTTAGGATGAACTTAGTAAAAATATAATTTATAATACTAAAAAAGATCATTATCTATGATAATATCCCATATAACCTTAAATTAAACCTAAAAATAAGCCCAAACTGTTAGTCCGACAAGTATAACAAGCCCAAAAGAAAGTATGACAAAATATAAAAGATCCAAAGAAGGTATGACAAAAAGATCCCCAAACCTAATACTATACTGATAATGAGACGCAGGGATTGAAGCCCCGGTGTCTGGAGCCTCTCGCGACCTTTTCCCTTCCCTTCGCACTCCCTTCAATTTCCGGCGTTGACCCCTGCGGCGTTAAGGCCCGCTCCCGTGTCACCCGTGCTCTCAGCATTCTTCAGCACCGTGCACTTCTTCCTTCTTCTTCTTCGTTGCCGAAGCCCGGCTTTCTTGTTCGTTCGTTCGGACTTGGCCATGCGTGCTTTCAAAAGTCTTAGAAAAGGGGGGGAAGAATCTCTTGGCGGGGCCATCTTTTCAAACGAGCAAAAAAACGCCTTTAAACCGGACAAAGTGGAACATTCAGAAGGCCTCGCAGAAACTGTTGCCAGGTCTTAAACGCTTCCGTCTCTTGGCCTGTCCCCCCTTTTCGTCGAGATCAATGCCGTCTCAAGTGTGACGCAACAAACATACGTATAATCGAATTTCGAATTACATGGAGATTAACACTTGCGGCGCAAATCAGTTTTAAACGTTAAAAATGGGGTTTTTAGGGGTAAAAGTTAGATTTTAAAAAACTGATAAAAATTTCAAAGATAAACGTAGTTGTTAAGTTAATACAGTGGTCTCTCTATATAGTGAACCATCTGTATAAGCAACTCCTTATAGTAAACAAGAAATTGGGCCCCGCCAAGTCAAGTTGCACTAAAAAAGCTCTCTGTAGAGACAACACCCCTTATAGTATACACAAAATGTCGGGTATAGAGAGAGAGTACTGTAAAAAAAACTTTTCAAATCTAACTTTTAAGTCAAAAAATCTAGCCAAACTCAAAGGTTATATCTAATTAAAAATAGCTACCCTACTCCAAAAGCAGGATAAAAAACAATTAAAAGTGTCTAACAACCTAAAATAACATCATTTCGATCCACTAGTTACTCATAAAACGTTCTATAATATTAAAAATTCAAATTTTAATGTTTATTAGTATTTGAAAGTAAACAAAACTTAACAAATAAATGAAGTAAAAGCTTATAAACCTTTATGATAAGTTACTTTACAACAGTTTAAAAACTAACATATACAAAAACTTCAAAACCGAACAACTCCAACAAGAAATACCTGAGTTTAAAATAGATGTGGCAAGAATGTCATTAGATAACAAGAATTCATAAAAAAATTTATAAAATTTTATTAAAAAGACAATTTAAGGTTAATTTTATTAAAGATAAAAGCCAGAAATTAAACTTTACAATATTAAAACAAAACAAATTTGAATTATATTTCTTAAAATTTACAAACGTAAATTTGTTACATTAAGAAATATAGTAGAAAAAAACAGTAACCATATCTTATATAAAGCTGTAGTAAAAATAACCGTACTATAGTAAAAAACCGTGCTAAAGACAAAGCACCCAAAATCAACATACTACAGAAAAACTAAACGTACTACTGTAACAATACCCAAAAGACCATAGTTACTGCCTATCCTTATTCAAATCAACCTCGTCCACATTGGTGAACCACTTGAATTGATCTGAATCACAATTGCGGAACTCGTTTAATGTCATGAGTTCGAGTCCGGCCATTTTCAATATCTTGGAGTATGTTTGTTGTCTATAGAACTTCTTGAAAAAGAGTTGGGCCGTCTGAAATTATATTATTCATCATAACGCCTTGCCGTGTTTTCACAAATATTATACTAGTGAGAGAAAAGTTTGTGTACTTTTATATATTCTACTACAAAATAAAACGTGTTTTTTATATTTTTTTATTAATATAGGTATTCTTTGTATTTAAAAAGCATGTTTTTTATAAATACAACGCCATCAGGATATTACACTAGCCTATGGGAATAGAAAACTAATCCATAAAAATGTTATCCTAGCTACAAAACAATTATCTTAGCCATAAAAATATTATGCTAGCCCACAAAAACCTTATCCCATTCCATAAAAATATTAACCACAACCATAGACCCACCTCAAAGTCCCCAGTCACTCGTTTAGCCACGTCCATTTCCATTAACATCGCCAGTCTGGTAGAGAACGTTTCAGCGAATGGAAGATTAATTTGAAGCTTTATCAAACCCTCGAACAGACTTCGAACGTAACATTGAGTGCTGGTTTGGGCTGTATGTGCTTTCAGAGTTACATTATCCACATCTTGATAGCATCGAACCACTTTGATGGCTTGGTGAAGAACTCGAACAACGTCTTCTAAAATGAAATGTATTATTGTATGTTTTGTGATAGTTATGGTTGATAATATCATAGTTACGACTGTTAGCATTGGTAATATCACAGTCATAACTTTTTGAAAACTTAAACTTTTATAATTTTCATAGTATTAGGTTGTTCAAATAATTTTGTGCCCCTCAACACCAAAAAGTAGCTCTAACATTAAGAACGACACAGAATTATGTGAACAACGTAATATTATAGAAGTTGTTATCAAAACCTTATATTTTAATCAAGAACTATTCTAAACAACCCGTTCCAAACCTAAAACAACATACCTTTCATGCCACCTCGATCCTCCGGCAATAGAGCTTCAAGTTTTGGATTGACAGACTCTAGCCTGATAGCATGTGGCCAAATCAAAGAATCAAATGGATAAAACCTTAAGGCTTCCGTTGTCCATTCGTAGTAACGGTCTCTTCGCTGAAGCAGATCATGACAAAACAATTGGTCGATTCGTTCCAATCTGAACAGTTTTCCTTTTCTTGTGGTGATACTTCCTACTTTGGCTATGGGCTGGTCTTCTTCTGCTAAAACTTGAAATTATTAATTATTCAAGTAATTCTCAGCCCCTAACCCCGAAGAGTTGCTTTGAGAGAAGGCTCAGAATTAATTGAACAACCCTAATAAAATTTTTCAAAAATCTCTTACCGATATTACTACTAGTGTTACTGCGGTTCTTGTGAGCCGTTTCGTAGAGTGATTTCCCTCTTACTTCCCATACTATCATATCCCACAGCTTTAAAGACAAATCTTTAGCGTTTCCCAATGAAACACCCCATGAAGTTTCATCATCAGAGGCTGCTTCGAATAAGTCTTGGTACCATTTTTCTGTTAGCTTTTCATCATTCACGAACATTTGAATGTTCTGAAAAGACATGTCATCAAAAAAAAAAGATGAAAAATTATAGAAAAAAATCATATAAAATGACAAAAATTATACCTAAATCAATATAAAACGGCAAAAAATACCTAAAACAATGTTGTACATAATCAAAGCTGTAAAAGACAAAAATGCCTATAACTTTCGTTCCTAAAAACCGAGGATACCTTAACCAAGTGATCAACTTACCTCATCAAAGAACTTTGTCAAAGTATGTTGTTGTGTAGTGTACATCCACAACAATCTGGCTTTGTTTAACACTGGTTTATCAGCTTTCTTCAACCCATCCTCCTTCCTATTCCCCTCCAAATAGTCGCACACCATAGCCGCCATCCACAATGTTACAATCTTCTTCTTACCAGCCACATACAATGGATTACCACAGTCAACAAGTAAATCAATCATTTGTTTCAACAAATCCTTGTCACCTTGCAATAGATTGCCCGCCACGAACTGCGCTCCCTTACTGTATCTTTTAATGTTGGCTTCTACTTGGAGTAGCTTTCCTCTCAAAAACAGATTCTCGGGCGATCTGTCTTCTGAGGCGAAGAATTGGTCAAACGTCCATTTGCTGAAGGCTGGCCAATGTTCAGCTATGTAGTCTTGATGTTTGTTTATAAAACATTGTTCTATAGTATTAGCTACAGTAGCTATAAGTTCTTCGTAGAATCCAGAGTTCTTGATCTTCGATAATGTAGCCATGTATCTGACGAGGAATCTGAGAAAGCCCACTTTGTGGTCTGAGCGAATTACTATTGTGTTTAGATGGGTTTTCATCAAGTCTTCAACGCTGTAGACGTCCTGAAATAAAAGATGTTGTTTTATATAACTAAAAGTATTTTAAAATCCTAAAAATTTATAAAAATTGAAAAAAAAATTTTAAATTTAAAAAAAACTATAATCATTTTTTAAAATTATTTTAAAATTTAGAAATTCAACCATTTTCAACAAAACCCTTACCAACTGTTCAACTGGAACCTTCAATGTCGCCAACAACTTTAAAATTACAGTTTTCTTCAATTGCAACGCCTCTTGCTTCTCTTTATCAGTAGCTCTCGAATCATGCATCCTCAAGGTGTTTAAAATACTTTCAATTTGAGTAACATCAACAACCCTCTTCAAGAATCCACTCGATGTTACTTTAGTCTCCGCTGAATTAATGTCTTGTTCCACAACTTCATCAACTAGATCAAAACCAATGTCTGTAGATGGTGCTTGGGCCTAAAACAAGGTGAGTACTAACTTTGTCAAAAAAGTTAAAACATAAACAAAAACAACATAAAACATACCATAACTTCCCCCAGATCATGGTCAAACTTCAGTGGCTGCCAAAAGTGTTGCATTCTGATGTTCTCCATCTCCACATACTTCTCCATGTCAACTTTGCCAGCAATTTCATTCACATTCGCCTGAGTGTTGATCATCTGCCGTCTTAGCCAGCCGGCTTCGTTTCGAATTTGTTCGTTTAGGAAAGGTAGTTCGTTCTTTTCGGTCGCTACTTTCCAAGCTGGAGATATTGTTTTATTTTCTATCCTCTATACTTTATGTAATATCATGGTAGTCATACACACAACCAGTAGTTAACCGTCATTTTAAAATCTATTACCTATCCCTGAAGCCCAAAATAACTTACTCAAAGCATTTTTCTCTCCAATCCGTTCCAATTTTAAATTCCAAAACTTTGAAAAACTGCCCAACTTCCATTCGAATGCCTTTTTGGTCATTTCATCTGGGAAAAAGTAGTTGAATTCGGTAAAGGCTTGTAGCATGGCTACAACAATATAGCTTTCACCTCGCTCTACATGCAATTTAGCTTTGTATACAATTAAATCAATCATTAGACTGTTGATTTGATCGATTGACAATGTTTGAGTTATGGTTTTCAGGTATCTGAACGCTGTTATTGTTCTTATGGCTTCGTCAATGTAGTGCATCTACAATGAGACTATTAGTTTATAATTTTTCTACTTTAATCTTGAAAATTTCTATGTTTAACTTAATATAACATCTAAAAATTGACATTGCTCTTGTCAGTTCAATACAAAACAACTTTTAATGTAGTTATATCGACAAAAAATAACAATCGATCAAAACCATGCTTAACATAGCCATTCCTTACCGTTTTAGTCCCAATAACGTTGAAAAACTTGAGAATCGACTTCCAAAGTTTAATTGAAAAGACGAAAGCTCCACTTTTGATAAACTTTTCAAAAATGAGATCAAATTCCTCCAAATATCCTTCTTGTTTCAGTCTTAAACTGTACTCCAGATGAAAGATTAGTACGTTTTCAAGGTCTTTCTTGGGCAAACTGTACAACAAGCCTCTGGTAATTTTCAGCTGTTCTTTTAGAAATTCTTCGACTTCATTTTCTGGTACATTTAACCGATCTGATGATTTTAAAATGTAGATTTCGTCCTGAAATCGAAAATTTTAAACTACAGTCAACTCCCGGTATAACGAATCGCAATAATTAAAAATCTCCATTGTCTTTTAAACATCAAAATTCAAAACTTAATTATTTGAACAACCTTAATATTTAAAAAATATTTTAAAACAAGCAGTAATTCAAATAAATTGATTACCTTTGTAGTCAAGAGCTTCAACCAATGTTCTGCCTTCATATCGTTGTTAGTAAGAGAAGTATTTAACTTTGTTAGAACAATATCGGTAAGATAATTGATTCGTTCGTCTTTCTGAAAGTAAAAATCGTTCATACATAATGTACTGATCAATGTAAATCGGCCTAGCCAAACTTGTGTCCCAAGCCTAAGATTTCTCAACCAGTTCATCTCGTAGACCAAGCCCCCGGACCACAAACTAAACTTAGTAAATCGTTATCATTTTCAAAAATAAAAAAGATTTTATCTCCAAACCTACAGTAGCTCCATCTTCATCCGCAGCGAATCGACACAACTCCAAGGAAGGCTCCTTTTGAACAACCTGATCCCACTCTCGTCCCATTAAACTCAACATTGCCACACTGTCTTGTTGCTTTTTCATCAGCTTCTTCATTCCATACACAACGCCTTCTTCATACTGTTGTGAATTCTCATCAATGACAAAATCGTTTCGACTGAATCTTTCCGGAATTTGACGAATTTTAAGAGAATACATCTGGAATTAGATTAGTTTACAATTTATATTTTTAACATTTGAATTTTAATTTTCAATCAAAAACATATAATTTCATTTATTAATTTGTTCAAATAATTCTGTGCCCCCTAATTTCAAAGATTTCTTTCAAAAGGAAGCACAGGATTATTTGAATAACCTAATAGAATACAAGACCATAAATATTCTAAAGCAAGTGAGTAGACAAGTCTATAACATACCTGTTTCTCAACGTATCTCAACTTGGGTTTAGTATCTGAATCAGAATTCGAGTTGACTTCTCCTTCTTCATCATCTGATGATGAGACTTTGTCTACTTTCAGTTTCTAAATAAAAATAAACTTTAAATATCATTTCATAATATTTTAGATAACGCCCAAAGCCCAAATATTATCCTCAATTATATAAAAATAAAAAGTGTGTTAAGATACCTTATCACCACCATTCATACTATCTTGATGTCGTTTCCGAGTGTCCTCAACCACCTCCATGTACTCTTCATCACTCGAATCATTATCGTAGAAGTCTTCATTGCCAAGAACTAACAAAGAATGCTCACTTTCTTCTATTTCTTTCTCTTTTCGTTTCTTTTCTTCCTCTTCTTGCCTTTGCTTTTCTTTATCTTCTTTTGATCGTTCCCATGCCTCCATCTGGGCTTTGAAATCTTCGTGCTTTTTGTCCTAGAAAGATAAAGCATAATTGTAAGTTTTAAAACCTACCGGTTCATATCTGCCGTTATAACGAGGAGGTGAACGTTTGTCTCTTCTGTAACTTCTACCGTCCTCTCTCCGATTACCCCTGCTGTTGTTGTAACGATTGTCTCTTCGTCTATAACATAAAAACTTAAAATAAAACTTTCAAACAATATTTAAAAAAATAAAACAACAAAATAATAATTAAAATCTTACCTATCAACACCTCTGTTATCGTACGGCTTTGTATTATTTCGTTCATCAATCGTATTCAACCGTGAAGGCCCTGGCATGTCATTAAAACCTCCATCTCGTCCACTATAAGCAAAATCATCTGATTGCTTGTATTCATAAGCCATATTATTGGAGCTTTGAACAAAGCCAGAAGGTAAAACATTGTTCCCAGGGGGAATGTAGCTAGAATATCCAGAAGATCCAAGACCCATTCCCGGACTTTGATCATTCGTGCCCCAAAAACCATTATAACCTTGCCCTTGGTTAACATTTTGTGAATTTATCGTTTGTTGTTGATTGAAACAATCCCGGTAATTAACCGAATAAGATCGGGGATCTTCCCTGCCAACCATTGGTTTCGAATTTGATGGAGCTGCAGTCGGTGCATCAGAAGATGGCGGAGCAAACGAAGGTGGTTGAACTGGCTCCAAGATTGAAGGTGAATGACCCGCTCCTAAACATAAAACAATAACCATAAAGATTTACTTACTTCGCAGATCTTGTTTCCTGGCTTCATCGTTAGCTGCACGCATTTGGGCCGCCCGTTCCCTTTTCATTTTACTCTTCCTCGCCATATGTATGCAGAAACTTCTACAGTTTTAAATATTCTTGAAATATATAAAGCTATATACTGATATGCGTTTGATTTTCTAAAAAAATATTGAAAATTCGTAAAATTCAAAAAAAAATAACATAAAAAGAGAAAACTTGACCTAAAAATGTCAGACTTTACCCAAACAAGGTTTTGTTAGACATGAGCAACGGGCCGGGCCGGCCCGTCTTAAAAAATTTTAAAACTTAAGAAGCTAAACGGAAATTTGGCTTTAAATTGTTTTTTTAGGTCATTTATGGATCATAGAATCCAATTAAATCGAAAAACATAAGCGGGAATTGAAGTAAAAAATTTTAAAAAATTAAAAAATTTTTTTCGGGCCCGGGCCCAATTTTCAAAATTTTCAAGCCCGGCCCGTTTTCGATCTTGCTCAGGCCCGGCCCGTTGCTCATGTCTAGGTTTTGTTAGAGTTCACCTCGATGAAGACCCGACACTGATGAAGACCCAACTTTGATGAAGACCCGATCGTCTTGTTAGAGATAAGTAAGGGGTCGGGCTCATCTTTTATTTTCATTTCATTTTTCTTTGGCCTGGCCCGTTTTCCATTTTGTCGCCAAGAGGAACATAACTTTTCTCATTATTGTAGTTTTTGGATTTGTAAATTTGTTGGAAAAGAAATTACTACAAACATGAAATTTTCTAAAACTATGCTGCCTTCCATGATCTACTAAAACCATGCTTTAGTTTAACAAAAAGCGGTTTTATTCTTGGTAAAATCGAATTGCCCTACTAAACAGTCTTTTCAAAAATTAAAAATCCTTGGTAAAAGTTCAAATTTAAAAATTTCAAATATAGAACGAATAAGTATTCACATTATTTATCAAGTCGAACGCGTAAAATTATGAGACAACTTTTAATATTCGATGAATATTATTCATGTTTTACAATTAAGGTTATTACCCAAAAAAGGAGTTATCACTGGTTAAGAAATAAATCGTTATACAACAAGAATTTAAAGTTACTTTATACAAAACAGGCATTAAAAGATAGATCGTTATACAACAGGGACCGAAACATAGATGGTTATACAGGAACCCATAATAATATAGACAAAACAGTTGGTTAGTAAGTTATAAAATGCACAAGAAGTTACAGTTCTCGACTGAATTCTCCATGTCCGCGGAAACAGAAGCGACCTTTCTTCACGGGAGAACACTCGTCATCCTCGCGAGGTGAGTCGATGGTGTGAGTGAGCTTGGAACGATGGAGAACGATAACGTTAGTGGTTATGGAGTCAATTTCGAATTGAGAAGTGGAAATCAGAGATTTTATCCTTTCCAATTGATCGTTACTTAGTGAACAGGTGTAAGCGATTTTGACGACTTTGAGCTTCGGAAGGTCGTGAAGTACCGCCGCGACCAATTCTGCTTCGAATTTGTTGGTTTGGGCGGTGAGGTGGGAGAACGACGCAAAACGGTAGGTCTTCAGAAGCCATGGAGTGAGGAAGTGAAGCTGCTTCTAAAAGGGTACATTAATGTTGACTCTAACACAACCTCAGGCACATCACAAGTCATTTTTTCCTAATTTGCTCTCCACAGACACTTACCATAACATTAAACTTATTGAGATGATTGATAAAGTATTCCGGAGTCAATGTACAAGAAGAACTCGGGAAGAACCGTTGTTGAGGTATGTTCAATTTGATTGTAACTTCTCCATTGTCATACGAAACTTGTTGGAACCTGGTCTTGTCAATGACAAATGGCTTTCTGTGGACTAAAGTACGATCAACCCGGTTCTTCATCTCTTTGTTGACCAGTCTGAGCGACAACAGGTCAGTTGTGTTCAAGTAGCCTCTGAAATTTTTATTTTAATATCTAAAATTACAATAAAAGCCTCCATTCTTCTAATGTAATCAAAAAAATTAAAATGACTTGATTTATATAAAAAATACTTACAATATTTGTTCCTTTGGAACATCTGCGAGTTGGAGAAAGTGCTTGAAAGTTTTAGGTCCATCCTTTCTCTTCAAAATATCAGTAATGCTATAGACAATCGACCGGGCAATGTGTGAAAAACATGAATCGTTTGGAAATCCGAAGCTAAAATTTTATAATGAATCACAAATATTACAAATTTAATGAAAAAACAAGGTAAAATACGTAGATCTTCGCATAGAAGCCATAAGTGTGTGGAAAAAGAATAAAGTAATTCACACAACAAAACCAAAATCATTAAAAACTTACTTATCAGACAAAAAGCTTTGATAGTAGTAAACTCCAGTCTCCATTCTGACAGCACAGAACAAGTCCTGATACCCTTGGCCAGACATGCTATACCTAAACTTTTCGTCTTCCAAATCCAACTCGTCGATCAGCCATTTCTGATAGAATTCGATCAAAAAAAACGCTCTGGTCAAGAATATGATTCGCGCTAATCTTCTACTTGTAACACACCATCTGCTGGTCAAAATGTGTTCTACTTCCTTCAGAATTATCAGACGCCATTTCTAGAAAATCGAAATCATATCTTCAAATATTGATGTGTCAACTTGAATTTAGAAAACTATCAAACCAAATACCGTATAAATCAAAGAAAATATAGATAAAACTATAACCAACAAACCAGCCTCCAAACACAGATATAGACTTACTGTTTCCTTCAACATATTAGGCAGATAATGGAACAACTGTCTGTACAACAACGCGCTCAGCTTCTTCTCGTCCTCACACAACGCAGATCCTCGGACCAAGTCTTCTGAATTGATAAAAACATACTTGCCATCGTCGCTGACCTTTCCCCTCTTCCAATCCATACAAATGGCACGACAGAAGCGGTCCGTGAAGACGTAAAACACGGATTTGGAGACCTTGATAACATCGTCAGGTTTAGGTGTTCGAATCAGAGATAGCGGAGAGTTTTGTGGTTCGTATTTAGCCCTACTCGCCATTGTTAAACACCACAAATGGCTAAAAAGGAGGCGTTTCTAATTGGTTTTGCTATAACAACGCCGAAATTCGCTGTTTTTGTCGATGATTATCGCGCGAACAGCGTCCGAACAACTGCGGGCTGCAGATTAAGATTGCTAGAAAATACGTAGCAACAAGGTTTTTTAAAAATAGAAAATGAATTTCAGAAATTTGCATATTTTCCAAATCTTGTCTTTATTTGGTTAAGCGGTGTGTTCCTATCATATTGTGGTAGGTATCAAGATGATGTCAAGTGATAGCTCGGCCTCTACGGCCGTTGGAAATACTGGTACTGCTCGTCAACATAGTCTACTTCACGAGGATGACACACAGAACGACATAACAAGCAGTAATTGTAACCCGGAAAAGTTTCACGAGGTTTTTGGAGTTTATCCATCAAATTTGGAAAAGGAAATCAATGAGTACGTTTCGAAGCGGGAGGCTGGAAATGTAAGTATGATACTGAGAGTGAATATTTTACAGTAGCTTACAAAGTGTTTTACTTAAACTTTTATATATTTTTATTAATTTGGTCAAAAAGTTTGTAGAATAACTTTGCTTTGTTATCTTTTCGTTCCCTTCTCATTCATTTAGCTTCTTCGCAGAACTTTTTGACCGCATTTACTAAAAAATGTCAAAAATATTTCGTATTTTTAATTTTCCAATCCATAAAATTTATAAATTTTATTATTTTTTATAAAGTACCGGTCGATTATGAATTTTAAGGGCGACGCTCAACCCCCAAATTGGGTCCAGCCGGCTGACTCAAGGCAGATTATTTGTACTACTACGACTTTGAATCCGGAGATCAATCAACAAGTTGTAAGAGCTAAACTGCCATGGACAAACAGAACGTTTAGATTTGTGGTTGACATTGCTTCGGTATGTTTTACAGGGTTGTAATATTTTTTTCCATGATTTGTTTCGTATTTGGTCCTTAACATAGTGCATAATTGTGCATTTTATAATAAAGTCGAGCAAGTTGGGGTATAAATATTTTTTATGTTTTCCATTGTCAATACCACTATTTACAGGTCATGGGACACATTTGCTACGCGTTTTGTCCCCCGATTCCATCAATGATTACAAAAAAAGTGGCCTTTCATCCTCCGAAATTACCCTTTTATTACTTCAAAATCACCAGAAATGATGGTACCTGGTTCCAAGGCAATGCCGAAGACGCATATGGATATGAAAATGTCAGTATTGAGCTGAGACCATTTGCCAATGAACAAGGAGAGACTTTTGATGGAGCCAAGGCCTTTTCCGTTAAAACTTCGAGGAAGACGTACTTGGCTTGTGTCAGAATCGAGTCCTCGCTTCAGCATCGTACACCTTCTTTGAAGAAAAAGGTAAGAATGTTGTTGTAGTAACTAATAATGTGAGTCAAAGGCTGTAATGGTCCTATCAGGAAGATAGATCAGCTGGATAATATAAGTTATAATTTGTTATAATCAAAAAGAGAATTTATTTCAAAAGTAAATGATTTCAAGTCAAATTAAACCTCATATTGCCCAAAAATCATTTTAGGTAATAATATTCTGCCAGCCAAATAGCTCCGACCTTGGCATGTTCGTTTGGAACCGAAATACCGCCGATCTTACTCTGGACAGGATAGCCAATCGTGTTGGCGTGGACATTATCAGTTTCGACTACAGCGGCTTTGGCATGTCAACAGGCCGTTCAACAGAGCAGAACATGTACGATGATTTGAACTCGGTTTACAATCATCTGTTGAAGGAAACGCCTGATGTTAAGGTGAGTTATAAGCATGCTGTCAATCTTTTCAAGATTAAAATTTTAAAATTTATGACTTAAAGGTAGAATACTTAGGCAAAAGTAATTTTTTAAAATTTTTTAGATTTTCCTAGTTGGATTGAGCCTCGGAACAGCAGCTTGTGTTCACCATGCCTCCTTGAACCCCAAAAATCTTGGTGGAGTTGTGTTACTGGCACCATTAACATCAGGCGTTCGAATCTTGATGTCAACACCCAAAAGAAAAGCTCCATACCCAGTTGATTCATTCAAAAGGTAATTAAAATACTGTTTTTCAAATTTTCATCATAATTTTTAGCATTGACAAGATTAGCAAGGTGCAAGCGCCAGTCTTTATCGCTCACGGTCTTCTGGACCACATTATTGCCTACGATCATGGAGTGTCATTGCTCAGACGATGCCAACAACCCATGCCGATTCAATTGGTCAAACATGCAGAGCATACTGACGTATTTACCGCATCCGTTTCCAAAAAAGTCTTCAATTTTGTGGCCCGCGAAGCGGAAAACTACGATCTTTACTACGAGAGAAGCCAAGTGATACAGGAAATGGACGATATTCTGAAGAAACTCGAGTCTGGAGAGCATAGTCTTACGAGTGAACAGAGCAACAGCAGTGTACGACCAGCTTCTGTAAGCAGCGAGGAATCCGAAGCTTTGTCGTTGTTGGAAGAAGAAATGGAAAAGTGAGTCAAGTCTTTCTCTTTCTTTTTTTCGCTTTTTGTACGCTTTATAAAGAGAAACGAAAGGAAAGGGAAACGTGGCCCTGTGGCGTAATGGATAACGCGTCGGACTTCGGATCCGAAGATTGCAGGTTCGAGTCCTGTCAGGGTCGAATGACTTTTTGCACTTTTTTATATTGTTTTTGGGCTTAAATTTGTTTAAATTGGAAGTTTTAGTATTAAAAAAGTTGAAACAGATTTTTAAAAATAAATAAACTACATTAACTTCCATTTTGGATTTAAAACAGGTGAAGAATTTTAATCATTTACAACTTGACCCCTTACTTATTTGATGCTTTTGGAATTTTAAAATAAAAAGATGTTTTCAGGAAGGAGATTGAAGAATCCATATCATCTGGAGATTCCACTAAATCAACCAGAGAGTACAATCATGCTGATCACGTCAAGTCGCACGCTCGTCTGCCTAAAACTCTTTTCGTTTCGGCTATCAAAGGAGGTCACTAATTATTAAATTTGTTGACAAATAAAGATTTTTATGTAAAACACGACAATTTTTTTGACGAACCTTGAAGGTTTTAATAGTATATTATAAAAAATGCATTTTCTAATGACTTTTTACAGAAAAATGCATTTTTTTCTTGAACTAATAGAGAAAATGCAAATTTCTTTGGCAACCGGCTGCCGCAAAGCGCCCGCCATGAATGCAGATGTTATATTTCTTTGTCTTCGCCATGTCTCTCGAGACTCTTTCCGCTTTTTCACATTCAAATGATAAATCTCCAGAATCCGGTCTCCAAAGGGGATTCGAGAAGGCCAACGTACTCTTCAAAAATAATGTTTTCCCTGTTCCAAAGTTCATAACATGGGGTTACATGTATTTTTGTAAAATTTTGGATAGTTTGGATCATCTACGAGTAGGGGTGAGAAACGGGCCGTCTAGGCCCGGCCCGGCCCTACGATCGGGCCGGCCGGGCCGGCCTTGAGCTAAAATTGAAACGGGCGGCCCGCGGGACCGGCTTGAAAATTGGGCCCGGGCCGAAAAAAAATTTTAAAATTTTAAAAAATTTTAAATTTTAATCCCCGTTGATGTTTTTTGATTTTATTGGGTACCATGATACATAAATGATCTAAAAGAACAATGCAAAGCCAAATTTCCGTTTATTTTTTAAGTTTTAAAATTTTTTAAAACGGGCCGGGCCGGGCCGGGCCTAGAAATTTTCTGACCGGGCCGGGCCGGCCTGAGAGAAAATTGAAAACGGGCCGGGCCTAAACGTTGGGCCCCGGGCCTGGGCCGGGCCTTAAAAGTGGGCCCGGCCCGGTCCTTTTCTCACCCCTATCTACGAGGTTAGGTTGGCTATTTAGAAAAGTTTTTATAGTTATTTTGGGCGTTAGTTATATTGTAGTAGAGGTTTTTGGAGAAAGAAAAGATTGACTGAAATGGGATTCAGATCATGGTTATCAGAGAAGTTGACTGCTGAAAAGTAAGTTCATTCGTATTTTAAAAGTAAAAGCAAGCATTTTTATACCTAAACATATAAAAAAGTTAATTTTTAAATTTTCAAAATTTTAAATTTTATTACTTAAAACCCTACTTTTCTCAAATAAAGCTGATAACATAATTTTGCGAACTTCCAGCCTCCAAAAACTTGGCAAAAGTCTGTTCAAAAAGCTGATATCGCCTCATGTTATCCTTGTCGTATGCTGTATCCTCTATCTTATCATTGGTGCTTTGGTGTTTCAAAGATTGGAAGGAGAGAATCTGATCGAAGCCAAAGCCAGTCATCTTCAGAAGATCGACGAAGATGGCAAAGCATATCAGGCCGCGGTAATTGAGATTGTAAATGATAATCCAGAATTGGCACGTCATCCTGACAGAAAATGGGTCATCCAGGAGATAATTAAAAAGACCAAGGAAAGGTTTGACAGATACGTTGATACCACCTACCTAGCTCACAAAAGGGTAAGTTTGAAAATGGCTTGAGATTAGGGTTTTAAAAGTTAAAAAAAATTAACTTTGAAAGAGATTATGACATTGTAGTAGGTATTGGTAAGGCTATTTTTAGATAGAAGGGAAAATATAAGTCCTCATTTACTTTTTATATTTTAAAACAAACGTTTTCCAGGTACGTCACGGTTTCGAAGACAATGCTCCATCTTGGGACTTTAAAAACTCTTTGTTCTTCACCACAACCATGTTGACATCGATTGGTTTTGGGTATGTGTGCCCCACTACAAGAGATGGCCGACTGTTTGCTGTGATCTACTGTTTGATAGGTAAGTCTTTTTAATTTGCAGTAGACTCTTCACTTTGAGCTTATTTTTATTTTTAATGTGATTTTATTAAATTGGCAAACACAGGTTTTATGAGAAAAAATTTCAAAAAGGCACTTAAAAGTTGTTGCTGTAGGGTACTAAAAGCTAAGAATATCCATTTTGATATGAAATTTTGTCCTCTTTGCAATTCTATAGGTCTTGTTAGATGAGTTACTACGTAACTTTGTAACAAGCAGTATATCATCATAAACCGCCAAAAAAGCTATTTATTTTTTGAACTTTTAAAGCATACAAAATTTTAAACTCATAGTTAAGGATCAATATTTTTACACAACATACTTACTCTATCTATCATTATTCACGCCAATTTCCATGTCTTTTGAAAGACTTTTGCAAAAGTTATGACATCTTTTAAGTGCGCATTCCTATAGTGAAAAACTGTGAAATGACAAAATTATTGCACTTTCTACCTTTGTTTAATCAATTTTATAAAGAAAAACGCATTTTAAAATTACGAAATTTTTTTTAACTTAATAATTAAAAACTTCCAAATTCCAGGAATCCCCCTAACCCTAGTAACAGTAGCCAATGTGGCCAAATTCATCTCAGAATCCGTCTTCTTTCTCCACTACGAAGTGTGGAAGCTGTGGATGAACTTCAAGCATCGAAACCGAATTCAAGAGAAACCGATACAACGCCAGAAAATGTTCAATGACAACGAAGACGAGCAAGAAGTGTTGGACCGTGTCAGGTTGATCAGATTCCCTCCGATTTTGGTATTCTTGGTGGCCGTCGTATATGGTTGCATAGCAGCGTATATTATTCAAAGGAACGAGAAATGGTCCTATTTGGAAGCGCTTTACTTTACCTTCATCTCTATTTTGACTGTTGGTAAGTGAAAAAATTCAATTTTAACGATGGTTTTCGTGGGTTGAGTAATATATATTGCAAAAAATGTTTTCGTGGTGGGACCAAAAAGTGTTATCAGATTTTTTATAACAGATTCTAGTAGTGATATCTAAGTAATTGTTAAAATTCAAGCAGGTTTAAAGCTATCTATTGATGTAAATTTTTTTTCAAATCTGTTTGGTACATTATTAGTGATATTCATGTTTTCGTCGTGAGACAAAAGCTGAACTAGCGATAAGTTGTCTACAATAATTACCCGCTATCCGAAGAGGTAAAATACGTTTTATATTGGTTTCTTAAATTATTTTGGAGTGTTTGCATCAGTTTTTGAAACATATCAGGTTTTATAGTAAGAAGATCAAGGCTACTAAAAAATAAACTGGTTTTGGTAAGGCCTACTACAATATAAACCTAAAGATTCTTTAATTTTCTATTGTTTCTTATCTAAAATTTATAAAAATTTTACAAAAAATCATATTTTCAGGCTTTGGCGACTACCGCCCATCGCCCGAAAACCTACTAACCGTGCTGGTCTTGATCCTCGGCGGTATCATACTCTCGACCATGTGCATGGACGTCGTCGGGCGAATGTATCTGAAGGAGATTCACTATTTGGGGAGGAAATTACGTTCGAATAATCCGTTTTACATGCTGCGCGAAGCTAAAGCGAAGCGTCGACGCAGAGCCATGGCCTCATTGTTGGCCCAGTTGGCCAAGGGAATGATCTTTGCACACAAACGATTCGATGAGCCGCAGAGGAAGAAGTCGCGGAAGGAGAAGCGACGGGGCTCTAAGATGTGTAAGTTAATGATTGGATATTAGAGTTTGGTGTTCAAAAATTTTATAGAAATTTGGTTTTTGAGGTCAGAAAGTGGTTTGAATCTGGATTTTTATTCATTTTTGGGGGTTTTTGGGCGTATTTTACGATCAAAAACGATTTTTTTATAAGTAATTTTAAGCCAATTCGTATTTTACTTTACTTTTTTTTAAATTTCGATTTCTACACAACTATTGGCCTAAATTTTTAACTTTTGTTGCGCACCATTCTTTTTGCATCAAATTAATTACAAAAAATGTGCTTTGAAAATGGAAAAAAAATATTTAAAATTTTTTTTAATTTCAGTACCAAACGATCAATTCTTGTTCGCTCGTCAAGCTCCAGACCCACCTCGGGACTGCCAAGTCATATCAACATCTGCATATTCTGTTAGGCTAGCTTGGGCCGCAGCGTTCTCAGCCGAAGCTGATGTTTACTACAACTTGAGATATCGGCTAAAGTAAGGTTTATAGGTCGTTTTAACGTTTTATCTAATGAATTAATGTTGAAAAGTTACCGTAAAATTAAAAAAAGGGTTTGAAATTTATAAATATTTTAAAAAATATTGTTTCAGGCCTAACTTTGTAAAGAAAAAGTGAAGATAAGTGTTGTTTATACCTAGTTTAACTATTTTTCCATAACTTTTACACGATTTATTAATTTCTAGGTATTCTGATGAATACACAAACGATCACCGTGTTCTGGAGATCAAAGGAATCACGGAGACTTCAGTCGAGATCATGAGCTTATCGTCATGTTCATTATATGAATTCAGGATTACTGCTGTGTCAAAGTATGGTGAAAGTAAACCAATACTTCTGGTGCAATATACAGGTAATTTTTTATTTGATTCTTTTCGGTATAAGGCATTTTTGTCGATAGTTTGGCTTTTTAAATTAAAATAAGATTTTTTGGTCCCACCACGAAAACATGAATAATCAGTATATTCTAATTAGAACCTCAACTAAGTCCTCAACATATTATGTCAAAGAAGTTGAATGCAAACACAATTGAACTTACCTGGGAACCTCCATTTCAACGGACTAACGATGTTAAGGTAGGTACCTACATCTATAAACCTATGTTACAGTATATTAAGATAAAAAAATTAAAACAAGGTAAATGTGAGTTACATTTTAAAGAGTATCTTATATTTTACCGCCCTTTTTGGGGCTCATCCAGAACAGCCCCCCATTCCGTTTCACACCCCCAACCGCCAGTTCGCACCCCCAGTGAAACCCCCAATCTCCAACTCCAGGTCAACCCGACTTGGCCGAACCATATCGGCAATGTCCGGAGTTGAAGGTTGAGGGTCGCGCGAGAGAGTGCTGGTCTACTGGCTGGCCAGGGCGGCGAACGGAGGAGCAGAATGAAGAATTTGCAAAATTTGCTGCCTTTTATACGCTTTTTCATTGATTTCGTAAAGGTCAATTTAAAAAGAATAATTTTGACTTTTTACGTGCCGGTTGTAAATTTCATTTTCTGGGGGTGTGAACTACAATGGTGGGGGTGTGAACTACAATGGTGGGGGTGCGATCTACAATGGGTGGGGGTGCGATCTACAATGGGTGGGGGTGCGGTCTACAGTGGGTGGAGGTGCGATCTACAGTGGGTGGGGGTGCGATCTACAGTGGGTGTGGGTGCGATCTACAGTGGGTGGAGGTGCGATCTACAGTGGGTGGGGGTGCTATCTACAGTGGGTGGGGTGCTTTGTAAACTACATTGATGGGGGTGCGAAGTAAAATGGAACCATTAATTCAAAATTCAAATTTATGTGAAAAATCGCAAGAGAAAAAAAAGAAATTTTCAATTTGCTTTTTGAAAATGATTTTTGGGGGTATGTTCTGGTTGACATCGGTGGGGGGTTGAAATGGTATGGGTAGGGCCCTACCTCTTTTATGAAACAATTGCAATTGTGAAATAACAAAAATCATATATTTTTTAAATGTACGTCCTTTATCTGTTGAAATTTACCATTTACCATTAGTTTCTGCTACATTTTGGTCAAAATAGTAGAAAAGTTTGAACATCAGGCGAAAAAACCGACCGAAAAACAAAAAAAACGAAATGAAACAAATTATCGGAAAAAGGAATGGATTACGAATCTCTACTTTGACTGATCGGTCGACTTGGGGTGGCGTGTAGGGGGCAGGCTTGGACGTAGGGCGCTGCCCCCTGTGCCCGACCCGGCCCGGGCCAGGGTTCATTTTTACGATCAATTACAGGGCCGGGCGGGGCAGGGCCCATGATTCTAACCGGGCAGGGCTTGCTTCGTGCCCGGTAATGCCCTGTAAATGCCCGGTAATAATTTTTTCATATATAAAAAAAATTAATTTAAAATTATTGAGTGTCTAACAAGTAATGTTACTTACCCCACTTCACTCCTGAACATTTTAGCTCTTTCCGACCTCATCCCTGATCCTTTTATCCCTACTCGACTTCAGCACCCCTATTTTAACCCTACCCAACCTCACCCCTAACCCTTTTAACCCTACCCGACACCTTTGACCTTTGTAGCCCTGCCCGTTCCTACGCTACCATATTGTACCTAATATGCCACACCCCGCCATACCCTATCCTATCTACCATACCAAACCCCACAATACCCTAACATATTATAACATGCCATACCCTACCATACAATACCATATCCTACCATACCATAACATACTACATATACCATACTGTATCATATCTTACCTTATCCAATCTTATACAACACTACTGTGTACTACCCATAGGTAGGGTAGAGTAGGTAAATAAAGCAAGATAAATGGTATAATATAGTCAGGTAGAGTATGGCATGTTATATAATAAGGGTTAGGGCATTGTAGAATTTGGTATGATAGATAGGATAATTTATGATATGGTAATGTAAAGTATTGTAAGGTTTGGTATGTTTTGTTTGGTAAGATGAGTATGATATAGTAAGTAGCATAGGGCATGGTACAGTACAGTATGGAATTTTATGTAGGGTGGGTATGGTATAGTAGGGTAATAAAGTCAAGTGTAGGGTTTAGTAAAGCTAAACAGGTCAAAGTTAGACTTGGATAAAGCTAAAGAGGTCAGAAGTAAGGTTGGGTAGGCCTAAAAAGGTCAGGGGTAAGGTCGGGAAGAGCTAAAAGGATCACGGGTGATGTCGGGTAGGGCGAAAAGGGTCAGGGGTAAGGCCGGATAGATCTAAAGCAGTTTATTTCACTTGTTATTAGCTTTATAAACTTAATTTACAAATGCCCTGTAAAACCCTGTAAAGCCCTGTAAATGCCCTGCCCGACCCGGCCCCAGGGTCGGGCCGGGCAGGGCCTGAAAACTAAAACCCTGTACCGGGCAGGGCCCAAGCGGGCCCGGCCCCAGGGCCGCAAATTGGGCCCTGCTCTGCCCTACGTCCAAGCCTGGTAGGGGGGCTATTCTGGATGAGCGCCCACTTTTTTAACCGCTCAAGTTTTTAACAACTGCAGAATATCAGGATTATACTTTATACAGTATTTTTGATTTTAGCATTACATGGTGTACTGGACGGATAACCCTTCGACACGACTGTCAGATTGGGAGAAGATTACCGTGTATGGTAGACATGTCACATTCCCAGACTTGAAATACGATTGGTTTTACATGTTCTGTGCTAATGCTTGTTTCCACGATGGCCAGCGATCTCCACTGTCACGAGCTTTGTTTGTCAAAACTGACAAATTGGAGTTCCAACATTGTTGTAGGTTACTTGTAAGGTTTGGAGGAGCAGTCAAGGTTCTGTTTTGTAAAAAGTAGTTAGGAATGTTGTAGTTACTAAGTAGGTATTAAAATAAAAAAGGTGCGAGGTAGGCCTGTAAAGAAGCCGGCCGGGACCAATTTTTCGGCCGGGTTTGGTCTTTCTTTAAGTCAAATTTTATGTTGCGGGATTTGAGCTGGGCTCCTGGGGTCTTAGTTTATTCCTCGGCCCCAAAAGTACAGGCCCGGCCCGACGTCAAATTTGTTTTGGCTCAGTGGGTCTCCTAACAATTCAACAGGGGAGAGGGTGGAAGTCAAAAAAATTTTTATTTTTTGATAAATTTTGAAAATTTTAGATGTTGGTCACTCTCAAACAGTCGAAATAATGGAAGCCATATTAGAACAAAACGAAAAACATTCAGAAACATCACCTCTACTCAAACGAGAATATGTTTCTTTTGCTTTTTGATGCCATCACGTCTGGGTACATGACTTACAGTATGTAAGAGTCAATTGTAATGGTCTGGGTCATGTCTGATATCTAGAAAAACTATAGGTTCTTAGGGAGAGGATGGTTATAGTAATGTAATGTAAAAAAGTATAATAGTAAGGACAATATCTTTTTCTTTTTTTTTAATTTCTCTTCACCATGACATTTAGAGTAATATTATGTTGTTCAACTAATTCTGTGCTTCTTAGCTTCGAAAATTTGCTTTTATAGGGGCACATAATTATTTGAAAAGCCTAATAACATTTGTAATATAATGCTGTTTCTTATTTTAACATACACAAAAGTGCCCAAAAGAGATGTTCTTTTAATCTTGAATACGATCATATCAATCAATTTCATAGTACGCTGATTGGAAGAACATCTTTAGGTATATTTGTGTATCCTAACATCATTTTATTCATTAAAAATGCCATTTTTAGTAAATAATATAATAATATGTATCATACCATATGTCATCGTATCTTTCCTGTATCATGGTATATTGTAATAGTATATAGGTATTGTAACTGTATATAGTTACGCATTACATTGAACGTCACTTTGTATTAGGTTGTTAAAATAATTCTGTGCCTTTTTTCAAAACAAATTTTTGGGGTTAGGAGGCACAGAACTTGTTGAACAGCCTAATAATAGTAAAGCCACAATTATAAAAGTAAAATAAACATTTATTACATAGTAAGATACCTAAAAACATCTTTATGACTAACATGCATGACATTTACATGTGGCAGAGGACATAATATAAATACAAAATATGCCATAGGAAACACATAACCATAGTAATACAACAAGATACCAAGCACAAATGCTGTCATTTCGGTAAAATACGGTAGAGATTCTACAGTAACCACAAAGAACGATGATTTTACAGTAATATATCGATGTAATACGATGTAACATGTATATACGACAATGTAAAAGACTACTACTGGCCAATTAATATATGCCGGGAGTAGTAATTGTAGGAATATGTTGAGTATTATGTAGGGTTTAGGTATAGTAATATGAGATGAATGGTGGTGAATATCGTATACTCGGTTGACATACGTTTTGTTGTTACTGTAGGCATCTTCAAGTAGATCTACATCAAGTTGTTCTGCTATTCTATCGTATATTGTATCATCTTCTTGTCTACCGTATTTTCGTATGTGAACGAAACTGACTTTGTTGTCGTATCTTGTGGGTCTGTTATAGCTATCTTTGTCGTTCTTATTATTATTGTAGATTATATTCTCATCGTATCTTGTATCGTCTATAAATTTGTCACTTTCTTCCAATCGTATGTCGTTCTTATGTTGTAGTAGGCACAAAGAGCTTATGTGCAGTACCTCAACAACTATTTGACCTACTGCTTTGTACATTATACAACGTAATGTGTTATATATTCGATTGTTGTATACCTTAACTTCAATATCAACTTCGAACACGGATAATACAGGAATCCACAAATACCACAGTAAGTAGAATTCGACAAAGGTGACAAAATTTAACACACAGTAAATGTTTTTCTTCACTTTTGTTAAATTTACATTGCCATTTGTACTAGTATTAGTATTGTTATCATTATCATGGCCGTTATCATGACCGCTACCAATATCATGACCATTACCATGTCTACTACAATATATTGTATAGCATGTCTCTGCCAACTTTTCTACTCGATTAGTAACCCAAAACAAACTTGTAAGAACCAGAAATATGTTGGAAGCAGTAATAGTACCAAGCCGCCATTCATTAGTACTTACAAAGATACCAAAAGCATTGAAAAAGTTTTGTGATATCAGTTTAGTGGTAGATAATATAATATTAGCAATAGTTATATGTTTGTAGCGGAAAATTAAACATTGTAGAAGTAGTGTGAGTGGAAAAGAAGGAAGAACGAATAAAGTTATTTTAGGGTTTATATACAGAGATACGAAGAAAATGGCAGTAATACATGCTCCAGATTCTTGAAAGAAGTCTGCCTGAAAAGTTTTTTTTTAGATTTTAAGGCTGATGGGGAAGAGAAAATGAAAAAAAAAAATAAAAAGAATTTTAATATAGAATCTAACTTACCAATATAGTGTTGTTTTCTTCAACTTTACTATAGATTGTCCAATAAACCAGCATCAAACTGCTGAACACCATCAAAATACCACATAACTCTAAGCCATAGTAAAGAAAGTTTTTGTTTTGATACGCCTAAAATAAATTTTGTGGCTTCTGATTATACTCTGCCCTACCCTACCCTACCCTACCCTACCCTACCCTACCCTACCCTTCCCTACCCTACCCTACCCTACTTTAACCTACTCTACCATATTCTTTCTACTTTGCCCTGCCTTAAACCACCGTACCCTAAACAATCTTATCTTAAGTCAATCAACCCTTCCTTCTTTTATTCAGTCCTACCTCTTCCTCTTCTCCTGACCAACACCCACCTCTTACTCTACCTTACTCTACTCTCGTAATCAAATAATGCCAAAAACCTACATTTTGCGTATCAATCATCAAATTGACCAAATCCACAGAAAACTTGAAGAATTGTGATTGTAAAACGCCATTTGCAAACGAAAATATGAAAACAATCCAGTCTTTACTATACATGTATACAAAGGTTAAAGGGAAGCATAAAGTGAGGTAATTCTGTTCGACTGCCCTTTCCAAACAAGTTTTACAAGAGTAGCTTTTCCAGAATCAAACTGTTACATTATACATTGTAAGTGCAGTTTCGAAAGTTTGAAAATCAAAAGAAAAATTGAAACGCTTACTGATAAGGGCTGGAATTGTTAACACTTACAGGTTAAACAGGATGGGTTCGTTAAATTTTTATATTTTTATGACTAAAATATTAGAAAAATATTGGTCATATAAATAATTAATGATTTTAACTTACAGAATCAAAGATACGACAAAGTATACAATTTCTGCTTGAAAAGCTGATGAATCGGAACACTATGTTAAATTAGAATCATATATAGATTTATAGATTGAAAAACAAAACTTTTTGTGTTTATCAAAAATACAATAAGCAATGTTAATGCAAAGTTTTAGCCAAATACACACAGTAAACGCTAAGTTACAGCGTTGTAAATCACAACATACCTTGATAGTCATGAAAGTAAGGGAACAAAAAATTGCGACGTTTTTGTTATTAGACCTACAAGCTTGAAACTTCTTGTGATTATTGGTTGTTTATTTTGTATTTTTAAAAAACTGTATTTTTTACTGTTACAGTAACTTTTTTAAAAGCTACTCTGCTTTAAATTTACCATATTTTACGTTTTTTTTTTCGATTTTATCAGTCGAAAAAGAGTTTTTTAAAGTGAATTGTTATATTTACAATAAAATTAATATTTTTTCAATATTTAAAACCATATTTTAACATTTTTCGATAAGCTTTTTGTTTTCTTATCTATTCTTTTTCTCACATCTTTCAAATGAAAAATTTTTCTTTTTTTGTAAAATTTCGAAACCAAAATGTTTAAAATTAAATTTCACAACATAAGTTTTTCATAGTAACATATACGTTCATACTTCTTCATTAGTGCCAGTCCTAACAACATTAAAAAATCAAGGCCAATCAATAGTGACATTCCGTTGAATGACAAAATAAATTCTCGAATTCTCTTCTTTTATATTTTTGTCTTTTTTCTTTTGTGTTCCTCGTTTTTCACCGTGCCCTATTCTGTGTGCGTGTTTCCCACAAAATGTTGACCGATCCTTCCAATTTACAGGTTAAGAATTTGGCTATATTGCACATGTCTTCGGCCTTTGAAGACGCACAGAACGTCCCACCATTGAAGAAAGCCAAACTGGTTGAGGCTGTTGGTAACGGCAAGGTAAGCGCTTGAAATTGATGTTATTTTGTTGTAAATTTAGGTAATTTTGACGTGGATAATGGAGGAAAACATAAAGTTTTTTAATTTTGTTAAGATGAAGAATGTAAATTAAAGTTTCCTAAAGTGTAAACATGGGGTTTCAAGCTAAAATACAGAGAAATCGAAAAGATTGACCTTATTTTTGGTTTCGTAACTAGAGAAAGTATATTTGCATGCCTGAATTAGTAAAAAGAGGTTTTGTTACCTAAACCGGCTTATTTACTGGGAAAAGCCGTTTCGTACCTAGAAGTCTGTTTTTTAATGCCAAGATGCGTCAATAAGACTATTTTTCATAAAGGAATTACGAAAGCATCTGTTTTTTATAGAGTTTGTTTGTTTTATGCCTAGAAGAATAAAATAAACTAGCTGTAAGCTAGCACATCTACTTCAATATAGTTACTTGTTTTTGAACCTAGATTCAATTTGATCTTTGCTTTTTAGAGAGTTTGAAAATAAAATTAGCACTTTATTTGTTTACTAAAATAAAGGGCTTCTTTTTGATAGCCAAATCTTATCTTTTTACGTTCTTCACATTTGAATTTGGTTTCGAATTGAAAACGGGTGTTTTTGACCAAAGAACGGTCTAACAGCTGGTTTTTTGCTTTTTTGGTAATACTTTTAGCTTGTTTTTGTTGTAGGGGTTTAGAAATTTCAACTTTTTAACTTATATGTCTTCATTTTGAGTTTTTATTTATTCATGGGGGTAGAAATTAGAGTTTTTAGTTATTGATATTTTCTTTCTTTTTGATTTTAGAAGGTTAACTTTGACTGATTTTTATTCTTATGCAAAGGGTCATTTTTTATATATTAAACTTTTTGCGATTAACCCTCTAATTTTTTAGGAAGTATCATCAGGCGCAGATATGTACCGTGCTCAAAAAGCTGCTGGCAACCCAGCCAACAATGGTGGATCAAAGGAAAACGCTGAATCTGGTGACAAATTGGACTCTAACTTGTATTCTAGACAAATGTAAGTATTTTACTTTATTTTTTACCTTTTTAGGTAACAAATTTTTGCTTAAAAATGTGGAGATTAGTGGAAATTAGTTTCTAGTATTGTCATGGTCTTTCATAGCTAATTTTTGCTTTAAAAGTGACATAATTTCAACAAAAACTAACAATAACAATTTTAGTTACGCTTTGGGCGAATCGGCCATGTACAAGCTTCGTCAAGCTCGTGTATTGATCTCAGGATTGGGTTCAGTTGGAGTAGAGATCTCTAAGAATTTGATTCTTGGTGGAATTCGTCATATTTCTCTTCATGATACCAAGAATGTTGAATGGAAGGATTTGTCAGCTCAGTATTACCTAAATGAAAGTCATTTGGGAAAGAATCGTGCCGAAAGTTGTTTTGCTGCACTGGAAGAACTTAACGATTCTGTTCAATGTAACTTAAGCACGGAAGAGCTCACTGAAGAGATTGTGGCGCAGTTTGATGTGAGTTTTTTTAAACTTTTTTACTTCAGTGTGTTAAATTATGTTTTTAGCGAAATTTTACTGCAAAACCTTAATTTTTTGACGGTTTGTAGTATATAAACTATGATTTTTGGCGTATGCTTGATGTATCTTATGATTCCTAGATAATTTTTTATTAGTTCTTTAATGTTTTTACTGTTTTACATTAACTTTTTAGCTTGTCGTCTTGACCGACCAAACCTTTGGCTACCAGAAGATTGTAAACAACTGGTGCCGTGTCCACAACCGCTACTTCATTTCGGCCGATGCTCGTGGACTTTTCTCGTACTCATTCGTTGATCTTGGCAACCAATTCAGAATTGATGATGCTTCTGGAGACCCAGTAAAAGAGATTCTCATTGAGTACGTTGACAGAAATACTGGCAATGTGATGACATTGGAGGAGAACTTCCACGGCTTCGAAGACGGAGATTATGTGACATTCTCGGAAATCAAAGGAATGGCCGAACTTAACAATTGTGAACCAAGAAAGATTACTGTTGTTAGTAAGTATTTAATTTTTTTTTGTAATTTTAGGTGTAATATTAGTCTTTTTAAGAGTTCTCTGGGGTATGAAGTAACAAAAACTATAGCATATCTTTATTTCAGAGCCAAACGTGTTCAACATTGGCCCAATCTCAGCTCAGTTCGCCGACTACATTGAAGGTGGACGTTGTAGACAAGTCAAGGTCCCAAGTTTCGTTGATTTCAAGACTCTGGAACAACAATTAGCCGAGCCAGAATGTGTTATCTACGATTATGCACACTTTGATGCTCCGTCACAACTTCACGCTCTATGGCAAGCCTTGTATATCTTTGAAGAGAAGCACGGTAGAGCTCCAGAACCAAGGAACGATGATGATACTGCTGAACTGAAGAAGTTATTGCCAGAAGGCAGTGGTGAAGTCGCTGATAGCTGGATCACGCCTTTCTCTTATCAGGTAACTTTTTGAGGGTTATATTCTTGGCACGATGCTTGTAGAAGATTGGTTTAGGTGTTGTAATGAATGCGACATTTTTCACATTTTCAAATTTTTAATCATAATTTTTAGGCCAGAGGTAATCTTCAACCAGTGACCTCTTTGATCGGCGGTATCACTGCTCAAGAAGCCATGAAAGCGGTCACACATCACACAACTCCTCAGAAACAGTTCTTATACACTCACCATTTGGAAGCCCTGCCAGGAGATTGGTCTCCTTTCAACAATGCCAAACTCACGGCCGAAGATTGTGCTCCGCGAAACAGCCGTTACGATGCTCAAGCCGCTGTATTCGGATGGGGATTCCAAGAAGCCCTTCAGAAGCAGAAATGGTTCATCGTGGGATCAGGAGCTATTGGATGTGAATTGTTGAAGAACTTTGCCATGATCGGGTTGGGATGCTCAAAGGAAGGGAAGATCAAGATCACCGACATGGATCAGATCGAGTTGTCTAACTTGAACCGACAGTTCTTGTTCAGAAGAAAGGATATGGGCGGAAAGAAGTCAGAAGTTGCCGCCAAGGCTGTGAAGTCATTCAATCCTGATATTAACATTCAGGCTTTGGCTGATCGAGTAGCTCCGGACACTGAAGAGATCTTCAACGATGACTTTTTCGAAGAATTGAGTGGAGTAGCTAATGCTTTGGATAATATTCAAGCTAGTAAGTTAGAAAATCTTTATTTGGCAGTTTTAGACGAATTTTTTTATGAAACGGTTTTTAGAGTATTTGTTTTGGTACTAAGCAGAGTTAGTACTTGTTCATAATTTAAAAATATTTCATTATGTTGGATTTGGTGGTTGTATATATTGTAGTAAACAATTATAATTTCAGGACGCTACATGGACAGTCGTTGTGTGTACTACCAGAAGCCACTGCTGGAGTCAGGAACGATGGGAGCGAAAGGAAACACTCAGGTCGTATACCCACATATCACCGAGTCCTACAGCTCTACCAACGACCCACCAGAGAAGGACATCCCCATCTGTACGTTGAAAAACTTCCCATACGAGATCCAACATACGATCCAATGGGCTCGAGGACAATTTGAAGATTTGTTCACGAATCCGGCCGAAAAAGTGAACCAATACTTGACAGACACACGAGGATTCTTAGAACGTTTGGAAACCATGAACCCAGGGCAAGCTATCGCTGTAAGTTTGAACTTTTATTGTTTTTGATGTCTTTTGCTTGATGTTTAGTTGATATTGTTATAAATTTAAACTTTAATGATTTTTTAAATAAGGCTCTAAATTTTGCATCTAATTTCAATTTATGACACCTTTTTAGGACCTGAGGATCTTGAAGCAAAGCTTGATTGATGACAAACCAAAAGCACCGGAAGATTGCGTTTTGTGGGCCTTGAAGACCTTCCAAACCTACTATCACAATGAGATTGCTCAACTCCTTCACAACTTCCCGGCTGAACAGTTGACGGATTCTGGAGTCAAATTCTGGTCCGGTACCAAGAGATGTCCTCATGTGTTGAACTTTGATCCCGAAAACACCTACCACTTTGACTTTGTGTACTCGGCCTCCATTCTGAGGGCTCAACAATACAAACTCATCCCGATTTTGGACAAGAGGACGATCGCGGAAATAGCATCAACCTTCAAGCCAGCCCCGTTTGTGCCTAGAAGTGGAGTCAAGATTGCTGTCACAGAAGCCGAAGCCAAGGAACAAAATGGTCAGGCTGGTGGAGATGGTAAGTATTTGATCCTTGCTTTATATTTTAGGGTCTTGACCTGTTTTTTGATAAAATATTTTTTTTAAATTATATGATGTTGATATACAAAGGATGAATATGAGAACTTCTTGACACCATTGATTTTAGACATGGACGAAACCGACACAGTCCTGGATGGCCTCAAATTGGCTCTGGCTCGTCTTCAGCTCACGAACAACGATCAAATGGAGATGATCGACTTTGAGAAGGACGATGACACGAATCATCACGTTGAGTTTGTGACTGCCGCTTCAAACTTGAGAGCCGAGAACTACGACATTGCCTTGGCCGATGCCATGAAGACGAAACAAATTGCTGGACGTATCATCCCAGCTCTGGCTACTACAACGTCAGTTGTGGCTGGATTGGTCGCCATTGAATTGTACAAATGTGTGGATGCAGATGGCAGAACCGCCAAAACTCCAGTAGAACAGTTCAAGAATGGCTTCCTGAACTTGGCTTCACCCTTCTACACCTTCAGTGAACCAGGAGCGGCCCCAAAGAAGAAGTACGGTAACAATGAGTTCACGTTATGGGACAGAATCGAAATCAAGGGTCCAGCTACCTTGAAGGAGTTTATCGAAGAAGTCGAGAACAAAACCGAACTTACCGTGTCCATGATCTCCTGTGGAGTGTCATTATTGTACGCTTTCTTCCACCCTCCGGCGAAAGTCAACGAAAGAAAGGCCAAGAAGTAAGTTTTGAAAGGTTTTTTGAGTTGTTTTTGTGACATTTTTGATTATTTTAGCGTGCTTTTTACGAAAAAGCATTTGAATATTTCATCTTATTTTTTCTATAGTAATATATTTTTTTTTACTAATTAATATTGTTTTAGCTTGGTCGATGTTGTCCAGGAAGTTTCTCGTGGGCCAATCCCATCGTATCGTCGCGCCCTTGTCCTCGACGCAACTACGTCGAACGAAGAAGACGAAGATGTTGAGATCCCTTACATTAAGTACATTATTTGAGCTAACCCTCCTTGTTTTCTACCTAACCTGTTCAACAACTAAGTTAATGTTTGTCAAATAAATTAATCTATTGTGAATCCTAATCTTTCGTCTTATTGTAAACTTTGCAATTTGTCAGTTTGGAGACAATAAAGTTTGTCATATTTGAGAATTCTCGAAGAATATCATTCGTTGATGATTTTAAAAATGAATACTTGGTACAAAGCTTGGTGTAAGAGGGGGTTCTACCCACTTTACGCCCACATTTATGTTATAAAAACATCTCTAATGAATTCAAAAGTAGGATTACCTAGAAAGAAAGCTCGTTTCTTTTATCAAAATAAATAATTTACTACCGCGTCCGCTAAGCATTGTACCAGTCCACGAACAACAAAACTAAAGTCAGCACGATCAGACAAAACAAGGCGATTACTCGTCGGCTAGCCGAGTTTTTGATGGCTTCCCGAATGAAATCATTTGCCTGCTCCAAGTTCTCCAAAGTGTGAATAGTCTTGTCGTGAATGATTTCAATGTCACGTTCTTGTTCCACTACCTGAAGCAACGTATTTTAAGGGTAAATAGCCACAGTTTTCTTTACCAAAAAAAATTTTATATTTTAAAATTTAAATTTTTTTCTGGTGCTTACTATAATACTCATACCTTTTCAGCAAAAGTTCTCTGTAACTTCTGGACTTCCGCAAATTGGGATTCGATCATTTCAATTTCATTAGTTCGCTGAGTGAATTTGTCATATATTCTGTCATTTTCTACTGTCAGTTGAGCCAAAAACACCGGGTCTACCTTTGTATCATAATTTTCTTTATCTTCTTCTTCGAAATCCATTTGATTCTGTTTTCTTTGACGAATTCCAAACGAATTATCATCTTGTTTTGAGAATTCTTGTTTGGCATCAATAAAATCGTCGTCAGTTGCTTCTTGCTTCACTGTTGTGCCATTTTCGGAATTCATAGTACTACTTCTTCCATTCTTGCTACTGTTGTCATTCTTAACTGTGCAGTCAAATTCTGTCTTAACCTTTCCACTACCTTCACTCTTAATGCCATTATTTTCATTACCAAAACCAGGTACACTACTTCCACCAGTCCTAACACCATTTTGTTCCTTCAAAGCCAATTTCTGGTCCAATTCGTCCTTTTTCAATTGCAATTCTTTTCGTTTTCTCTCATTTTCTCTTCTCATTCTCTCAATTTGAGGTCCAAATTTGTCCACCAAATTGCCCAATCTGCATATCTTCCCCAAATGTTGGGTTTTCTTTAATTGCGACGCCCTTAGGTCGGAAACGATTCGACAAACGTTCTCGAGGTATAGGCTTAACATAAAAGCCACTGCTTTAAGATGGAGATATTCGTCTTCGCGACGGAGGGTTTCGTCTGATTCTACTTGAACTTCGAGGTTTCTGATCAATCGGGAACATTGCTTCATCGCGGTTTCTGAAAATTTATATTATTTTATGTTTTTGAAGTTTTAATATCTATCTTTACAAAAACATTACGCTTTAAATGTCATCCTCAATGTACTCCTTAAGGAGCTCCTTTTCCACTTTTAATTCTTCCACAACGAAATCAGCTGACCTAAACACCAAAAACACTAAAAATCAACTTACCAGTATCATCATCGCACTGTTTTCGATCCGAGTCCGACATGAAATTGTCATGCCCATATACATTTACCGTGCTCAACAAATAGCTCTTCCTTTTCTCCAATACCAAATCCCTTAGCTCCCGGATATGTTGAGCAATTTGACGTGAATGAGCTGCATAAAGTTTGAAATTGTCTGAATTAGGAACTTTCGTTTCTTCGTCCAGCGTTTTCTTCAGAGCTCCTTTCATCTTCAACATTTTTAGGCGAGCTTTGAACAAAGCTGTGTTATCCGATAAGGCCACGTCTATGTCCATTTTGAGAGATTGTACTGAAAGTAGTAGTTGTTGTAGGTAAAGGTACCTTTTCCAATTAATTTCTATTACTTTTCGAGTAAATTATAAAATAAAACGTCACGTTAAAGGTGAAAAAAAAAACGTTTGTTTTGATGTTTCGTTAACAAAAAAATATATCGATTACTCAAAAAAATAATTTGTTACCTAAAAACCACAAAAAACTATATTTAATACGCAAAAACCTAAAAAATATTCACCAAATCCCCTCATTTATCTTCTTTCACCCCCCCCCCCTTAAGCTTTCCCAAAAAAATAATCACCCTTTTTTCAAATATTATGAACATGCTTCATTAACAAACTATCACAACAACAATTCCAACTACAGTAGTGTAATTTATTTATCTCGTGTTTCATCCAGTGTTAATGTTGATGACACAAAAAGTGCAAGACGTAATATACTTTAATGGACGTCTGAAGTGAACATAGACAATAAGATTACATGCAAAGTTTTTAAAAATCTGTTTGATAAATTAGAGAATTAAAAAGAACATCGAGAAATGGTATGCTACATCAGAAAAGTCTATACATAACACTGGAAAGGAGTTTGTTATGTTATAGATAGTAAAAGATGTCAAATAGGTTTCATAATTTACAGTAAAAACGCAAATTGCATCTTTTATAACTTAAAATGTAACCAATAAGTTACATCTTCAGGTAATGTAACATTTATGTACTACAAGGTAGATCCATTGGTTATTTCGCATTTTTATTCATTAAAAAATTAGCTTTTAAACAAAGATGCTAAGGAACCTCTAGATCTACCTAAAAACGTAACTAACCAATAGTACTAAAAGAGATAAGAAGAAACATACACCAAACAGTGTAAATACTACTACAATATTATTCTGGTCGGGACCATGGTGTACGTCCAGTCTTTTCAATTATACAAATTTAAATTAGAGAGAAAAAATGTATTTCAAATGGAATAATTGGTAGCCATTATCTACTTGTTTCCGCCGGCCCAGATCACAATGATGATGACCAGCAGGACGACAATGGTGCACATGATGATGATCATCTTGATATTCTTCCACCAGTACTTGCGCTTCAGAGTCGCGGCCGATTTCTCGAATTGAGAAGCGCCTTCCTGCAGAGCATCGGCACGATCGTCCAATTGGGACAGCTTCTGATCACGTTCTAACACCTTCTCCACGTTAACCTGAAAAGTTTCCATTACTTTTTAAAGTCATAATGTGACTGTTAATTAAAAAATTTTTTTCTTGCTCTACCAATAATGTACTTATGCTTCATGTTGTATGCCATTTCCCTCGTTATTTTATGTTTTGAATTCATTTTTGTTAATATTAACATAAAACTATTCTACTACCTATTCTATTATCAAAAACCACACAATTCATGTCAAAACTAATATTTCTGATGAATCACGAGGGTTTGTAAACAATAAATCCTTATGAATCACACGAAATTTCGCAAAAAAACTGCTTTAACTTTTCTTAAACCACCCAATTCTTCAAGTCGGAGATCAAATTTTACTTCCAAAAACAATAAAACTTCCATATTTTCTTAGAATTTGTTTAAAAATTAATAGAAAACTTCATGAAGCATCTTTTTTTCCAAAAGTGTTAGCATATCTTCATTAAACTCGATGAAAAAAGCAAAAACTTAAGTAAACCTATCATAACACCAGTCTTTCTTACTCAAACTAATCGAAAAAATACGGTTTAGACTAACACAAGCCTAATAATTTAGGTAAGACTTTGACAAATGCCACAACTTCACTAAAAACAACAAAAAAGTACAAAACCCTCACCTTCATGATGCCAACGACCTCATCGACCTGAGCTTGAGTCTGTTGAAGACGCTTGTTGGATGGGCGTGGGCCTTGGCCTTCCTGTCCGGGTTGCGCGGGTGGATCCATAGTTTGCGTCGAATATAAAACAACACCGACCGACGTTAGCCCTGAAAAAGTGGAAAATCAATAAAAAACGGCCCTTTTCCGTCTTTTCAGCAAAAGCCTCGCGGCGCCGAAAAAACACAAAAAAAGAGACACAATTCCACTTGGGCTCTTTGTTTTACGTCAACTACACGTTTGACGAGGAAAGGGAACGGCAAAAAACACAAACAGTCCGCGGTTAAAGAGTAATTATTCATTAAAAACAGCGAAAGAAAGTGGCTTGAATATCGCGAATAAAAGAGAGACGGAACGCCAAGATCTGTTAGCGTTCAAGAAGCGAGTTACGGGGCTTTTTTCTTATGAAAAATACAGAATTTTACAAAAGTACAGTAAAGTCTCGTTACAAAAAACCTCAAAACACTAACTTTTTGTTTCTTATAACAAGAGTTGCCATTATTAGCGTTAAAAATGTTGATTTATCTTATATAAATCAGATCTTTGCACAGTGCAGAATATATTGTATTACTATTCACAAACTGTTTAAACAAAATTTACAGGAATGTGTTTGTGAATCGAAAACTGAATTCACATAGAAGTTTTATATGTTAATCTTGGAATTTATTTTCCCCGGCCATATTTTAATATTTTGTCTGAACCTTTTTGCAAACACAGTCAGTTTTTACTGTGCAGAAATTCAAAAACCTGTTACACGTCAATAAACATCTTTTTAAGAAAGTGTTCATTTTTATAAAATTTAGTCTCTAAAATTAGAAAAAATAAAAAAACACCCAAGAACCTCCACTCTAGCTACTACAACAATACAAAGTCCCCAAAAAGGTCATTTTTTAATAAAAATCCATTTCCTAGTACAAAGGAATCTATGTTTACAAGCAATTCCGTGGATATTACGAATACAGAACAAACAAACATACTCGAAATAACACTACAAACAAAAAAACGAAATATAATTACCAGCCATCTGGGTATGTTTATCTAGTAAGCATGAATTTTTAAAGACATCGAATAAAGTATGATCATATCGAATGCTTGTTCTCACCTATTTCGAGAATAACATCAGATTTGCATAAATTTTGGAGTGGAATTTGGATTTTGAAACTTTTAAAAACATAGAAGATCTTTTAAAAAACAAAAGATTGACTGATTTTTGGGGCTTTAAGTACAGTTATTAGCTTGATTTTAAATGGTATTGACAAAGGCATCAAAATAATCATAACTTGATCTTTAGAACGTTTATAATTGAGTACAATGAACGCTTTATAGTTACCAGTTGAACACTGACTTTACATTATTTTTTTGCACTTGACTTTAATAATCACTAGCGTCCTCCCCAGAACATTAAGTAATCTCTACAAGCTTAAATAGAACCATTAATCCTTTAAGTACCCCAAATATCAATACTAATTTGTAACAACTGGAAAATCAATACCTAAAGCTTTAAAAACACTTGGAATCCTCTGTTTTTTTTTCAACCAAACCCAAGTTCTTACTAGTTCAACGCTTGTTTTCCAATCCTAACTCCAACCACCATTACCCACTCCTATTACAACTAACTCTCCATCCAAACTTCTCCATTAAACTTCTTTGTGACCGGCTTGTAATAACAGAACAGGACCGACTTGTAATGACGGAACAGAACACGAAGGAAACTCTAATACCGGAACAAAAAAGGGAAGGGAAGAGGTTGACGTGCTGCCAGAGGACGGGCCAGAACGCTCTTTTGCGAATGCTGTCGGCCGAAGGGAGGCCGCCAGTCGATATCGACCCGGGCCATAAAATCTGGCATTGAAAGTGTTTGAAAGCATATTCTCCCAAATATACATTAAATAATTAATTTCCGAACGTAAATAATAAGCGAGGAGAAAGAGAGTATATTAAAAATGAAGGGTTTTTACAGTATTAAGTGTTTGAGAGATATAAAGCATTATATTATAGTAGTATTTACAGAGTTTATAGGGTTTAAAGGCAACTTTTGATTAAAATAAAACCTTTTCAAAAAGTAAAATTAATTTTTAAACTAAAATATCCTTAAAACCTACTACTTAAACATATAAGCCATACCATGCCTCCAAAACACTCCTAAGAAGCCATCTTCCCACAAAGAAACCAATCTCATATTATCCTCTTTATCATACATAATACATCGATTACCTCATTCTCGAACCACTCTACATTCTGCAAATTTGTAACAAAACCATGACAAGTGCCCAAACGTTAGTCCTCTCAAGCGTTTTCAGCAAGAGAACCTTTTGAAGGGCGTAGAGCCTCCGGGCATTCCATTTTAAGGCCTTTCAAACTTCTTTTAAAGACAGCAATTAGTCCGCGTCCAAAAATAATCGCCGAAAATCAATAAATATTTCGTTTTGTGGATTGTTTTGCTATTGAAAACGATATTTGTTATTGTATAATAGAAGCTTATTAGCTTGAAAAGAAGACAATGTTAAGAGAAGCTTGTCAAAATATAAAATAAAAGTGCAAAACTAACTTTAAATTAATACAAAATTGTAAACAAATTCAATATTAAAATAAACAAGTCTTCTATATCGAACAGCTTATAAATTATGACACATTACCTCCTCTCCAGTCTAACGCAATGAACAGAAGACTGAAGCGAAGGAAAAAAACAAGAACTTTGACATTTCGTAACTTTAATATTGATTTACAATGTAATTACTCATCATTAAAGAAGTAGAAAACTTACGTTGCATAGTAAGAAAAAGGCTCCAATTTAAACTGTTTTGAAAAATATATCAGCCAACCCCGTCAAAAGCATTAACAACAGAGATTGCAACAAAATGCCAAGCTTTGTCAATGAAAAAAATTTTACGTTAAAGGTTTTACAGTTTATTGTAAAAATAATCTTAATTACTGTAATTAGTACCATTAAAAAAATCGAATTCGAAAAATTGAAGCCGAAAAAATTAGCTAATTGATTTGGCACTTGTTTGTTTTCGTTGTGGGACCTACTAAACATAAAAGTGGATTTTATTTTTTTACTAAAATTTGCAAATTATCAATCAATCAGTGAACTGTGTCTTCTTTATGGACTGACCAAATCTTTATCATACAGTTTGCAGGCAAGTTTTTTTTGTTTTGTTTATTTTTGCGTTTTTTTCTAAAGTGTCGTCTTTGTTAATATAATCTTGTTCGGAAGACTGATTCTAATTTGATCAAGATGCTTTCCAGCTCACTTTATTGCTAACCAAGATGGGTTTTCAGATGAGTTTGGTGTGGCGTCGTCTGTCCCGGGTGAATAAACGTGCTGCTAAGTTCAAATTTGTTTTAACTCCGAAAGAGCTGGTCTTTGATTGTGCACCAAAATGGCGGCCAGAAACTGTTGTGGTGTCTCTGATGCATCGGTAAGGTGGTTTTGTTGTTATGTTAGTGTTTAGGCGACGAAAGTATTTTACAAAACAGCGAAAAGTGGAATGGAGCTTTGATAACCCGAATCGAGCTATCATAATATGGCCAGAAGGGAATACAGACTTGGTTAACATGGTTACTACTTTGTTTAGGGATCAGGACAAGGATCAGTATGATGACAAGGTAGATTTTGGCTGCAAAGTTTTATAAATGAGGTTTTAATTGTAAAATTTATAAATTTATGTATAACACCTTGACTAATATAATATATATGATAATATTCGTTTATATCTTTAGGAATGGACGTTGGTGGTGGAAGAAGTGGATCCGAAAGGCAAGAAGAGACCTTTGGCAGCTATTCCCATTAATGTTAGATTGTTTATTACTGATTTACCTGGCATAAAAATGGAAGCAAAGTTTAAGTTAAGGCCGTTGAGAAAGGAGATCAAACAATGCACCGTGCAGATTGATTTACAAAGTGCTTTGTTGAGAGAAGGCACTATTAGGTACGTTTGGGTTTTGTTTTCTAAATTCTGAATTTAGGAATTTGTAAAATTTACAGTTTGATTAGAAGAGTTAAATTTTATATTCGCCAGGGTTTTGAAACTAGTTTTTGTTGTTAAAAACTTTATTTTAACTAATATTTTTTAAATTTTAATTTCAGAGAGGACGATCTACAAAGTTTAGCATCAAATGCATCGTTGGCAGATCAACAACTCGTGTCTTCAAGGGATTTGGAGAAGAACTATTTACAAAATGACGAGAAAAGTATATCACCGATAAGAGAAAAGGCTGAAGCACATGAAGATGTAACGGAAATCATAACTAAAATATCAGACGACATTCAAAAGTGGGCAAATTATACGAATGCCGAAGAACTGCCGGATAAACAAGGTAATTTAGGTTTATACAGGGTTTCTACGCATTGTGTTATTTAAATTTGATGTTTTAAAAAGCATTTGTGGCTGACGATATGTCAAAGTGACAAAAAATCTTGGAGATATTAAGGTAGTTATGCACAACAAGCTTTTTGGTAATTTGTTACCTAAAATTATAAAAGTAACTATTTTTTTTAATTTTTAATTATTTTAGTACAAAAACCATCTCAAAACGTCACACCAGTTCCAAAGCCAGAAAGTCCTGTGAAGAATGAGGTGCCAGAGACACCAAAACAACCTGCCAAACAGAATGTTCCACTGAAAGTAGCTGGGGAACCTTTGCTGGATTGGTGTCAACGGGTCACAAAAGGTTACAAGAACGTCCTTGTTAAGGATTTCACGTATGCTTTTACATTTTTTGTTTTGTTTTCAGGTAGTATAAGATCAGTTGATTTGATAAATCCTAAATTATAAATCAAATTTTTGGCATTGGAAACAATCTTTGATCAAACTGATTGTTACCTAAAATTTGATTTTAATAATTTTTGTTTTTCAGAAAAAGTTTCAAGACTGGATTGGCATTCTGTGCTTTGATACATCAATATCGACCGGATTTGATAGGTCTTTATGATAATTTGGAGTTCTCAGAGACGAACCAAAGCTACAAAAGGAACTGCCGGAGGGCTTTTGATGCTGCCAAGGAACTTGGAATGACTCGGTAAGTTCAATTTGAGAGTTGAAATGATTTTAAGTAACATTTTTATGTAAATATGGATTTTTGATTATTAGGTAACAAACATAGGTTTTTTAGGTAACAAAATAATATAGAATATGCTTTTTAGTTTTTTTGGAAACTTATTAAAAATTACTTTTTAGGTAACAGATTTACAAGATTTTTAAAGTCAGCTTTTTAGTGACATTGACGAATCAGACGTAGTAACATTGCCGGACCGAAACCAAATTCAAAACTACCTAATACAGTTGAGAAGCTTATTGGAAGATGGTATTGAAGCCTCAAATGGAGACCAAATATATAGAACACCACAACAAGAAGACTCGGACCATCGTATATCAGTTATGCTAGCTTTGGGAAAAGACGAAGCCGACGCGGCCGAAGGAATTGCCAAATTGAGAAGTCAACGGAAAGCAAGTATTGTAGGTTTTTGAGTAATTTTAAAATATTTTTTGGTGATTTTAGGTAACAAATTGACGTTTTTTTTATTTTTGTGTTGAAGTAGTTATTTTCACTCTAATTTGTAGTTTTTTTGTGATTTTTAAAATGAAATAAATGAAAAAGTTTCAAATTACAGCACGATGAAGACAGTTATGCATCAAAGACTAACAGCGGTATGAACACGCCTTTACTGAGTAGAAAACAATATAATGAACATAGCGATGACGAGCTGGACAAGTTGGAAGAAGTCAAGAATTTAGCTGAGTAAGTGGCTTTTACGGTCTAAAAGTTTATAGAAATTAGAGGGTTTGTTTAAAATGTGCATAGATAAATGGTTTTTGGTCAAAAAGTTTTGAAAAAATATGGTTTTTAGTCAATATAGTATTGCAAAATTAAACTTTTGACTTATTTTTAAATTTTTTAATATTTTTTGGACTATATGTTAGTTTTGAGCTGTAGTTAATGTAGATGTTAATATCAAATAAAAATTTTTTCAAAAAAGTTTTTTTAGTGATGTACATAACACTCGGTTTCCGAAGTCAGCTACTCTCGACCGTAAGGAACAGTTGAGACAAAAAGCGAGAGAATTACTGGACAATCCTATTATGACAACGTCAACGCCAGAATCAGATCAAGATCGTCAACAAAGACTTCAAGCTGAAGCAAGAAGGTTGTTGTCGAGCGTTGGGGCTGATAATGGCACAGGTAATTATTTTTTATGTTAAGAAGGTATTTTTGGGAGGGGAGATGAATTCTTAAAAAGGCTTTGATGATGTTATGGTAGCTTGATGTTTTGACGTTTTATATACTTTTTTGATTGTAAATGTATATTGTTTGTCGTTCTTTGATTAGTTACGTTATTGTTGTTTAGAAAGTTATGTACAGTACTGTATTGTAGCTGTTGTGTTTTTAGCGTCTGTAAGTAGTAGCCTTGGTGGACCGTTAAAAAGAAGTGCATCAATAAGGTCAAACACGTCTTTAGGGTCAAATACTGACCTCAGGACTTTGGGTATGTTGCGTTTTATGTTGATTTTAAAATTTTTTGCGATTTTGTTGTTTTTATTACGTTTTTTGTATGTTAAGGCACTGTGGCAATAGTTGGTTTTTTATATTAGTGTCAAGAATGGATGTTGTTTTGTAATGAGTTTGTGAATTTTTAGGTCTCGTACAAACTCAGACTAACTTCAGAAGCTTTAAAAAGGTTGGCCCGTCTCCAGTTTTGAATAGGAAACAGTGTAAGTACTATTGTCAGTTTATATTATGTTGTCAATGTTTGTAAATGCTTTATTAAATGTCAGTTATATATTTCTGTTAAATAAGCTTTTAAATATGAAGCTTGCATCTGAGCAACCTAATATGTTAAACTTATTGCTAGATGGTTTATGTTGTGGTAGTTGTAAAGAATGTTAAACCGGAGTTATCAATTTAGGAAATTGTCACAAGACAATAATGATTTTTAAAAAATTTTAAAGGTTTTTGTTAACTATTGATTAAATTTTTTTTCAGATGACACTCCAATTCTGCCTGCTTTCGGAAGGAAAAACAATGGAGTAAGTATTCACATATTAGGTTGTTCAAATAATTTTGTGTCTTTTCTTACAATTTTTTTAGTTAGGGGCACAGAATCATCTGAACGACCTAACACTTATTATTTGTACAATTGTATGTCTTTCGTATTGTACACTATCAGTATCTAACTTAACATGTACATTTTACTACTGTAGTAGATTTGTTTTGTTAACTTTTTGTTATTGATATTGTGACGTTATAACCTTAATATTGCTGTTTTAACTTTAATATTGTGTTGTGCAGACTCCGAAAGAAGACACATTGAACAACGCCTTCGATCGAATGAAACGGTTTGGCAGCATGAGGACCCAAGAACTAACCGACAGTATAACACAACTCTTAAACAAAGTAACGTTTCGTTATTATTAATATATAGTAGTGCTTTTTACTTTTCAGTAACACTATCTTAACAGTACTGTAACCTCAACGTTTTCAAGACAACGTAAATTTATATTGTTTAAGTGGTTTTGTACTAAAATGGATTTATTTATTGTTGTAGTGACATTTTTTTTTGCAGAAGTAACAATTTTTTTTTGATATTGTATTAGTACTTGTAGTATAGTATGTAATGTTGTAGTAGTAGTTACTTTTTAATTTGTTCAATGTGAGCGTTAACATGTTATGTTCAGGAGTTTGACAAACGTCTTAATACCTCCATCGAATCTTCTGACCACACTCCAACGAGAAAAGTCATCAGCCGAGCCGAACGAGACCTCCAAAACTCGTCAGATCCGACGACGGAATTGGCCGAGATCTCAGATCGAATGTCCCAAATCGAAAAACTTCAAGCTGAACTAATCCAACAGAAAATGGCAATCGAAACAGGAAGTGACGAGGAAACTCGACTGGTCGAAATTCAAATTCAGTTGACTAATGAGAAGGACGACCTGGTGAGAAGACAAGATTATCTGAATGTTTTGGCCGATTTAAATGAGACTAAAGAGAACTTGGAGAAGGTCACCAAGGAGTTTGATCTGCTTTGTGCTGGTGAGTTTGGGATGGATAAGATATTGGAAAGGATTAGAAAAGGGTGTTATCCAAAAATGTAATATTAATGTTTAATTACTAGGTCTTCAAAAAAGACTTGTCGTTTCTGAGCGTTTAAATACATTTAATTTGGCGACTATACTTTTTTCTATTTACAAATTTTATAAAAAGTTTTAGATTTTAATACTTTCATGACAGAGGTAATGCTAAACATACTGTTTAGTATTATGACATTTGTCAAAAAACTTTATAAAATTTGTTTTAGATGGCATAGCTACGACAGAAAACGAGAAAATGAGGGTAGATGACCTGATGAGCCAGTTGAAGGTATTGATGGATCGAAAAAGTGAACTCACTCAAGAGTTGCATAGAATGGAAGATGAGTAAGTTTTACTTTTAATTATAGTCTTTGGTTAATGGTAGATGTGGAAGATTCTAAAGAGATTTGACTGTACTAACTGTAATTTGGATTGCATGTTGCAAGAAAATAATTATTTTTATAATTCAATATTGAAATTTGATTTTTAGAGAAGAAGAGCACAGAGAACGAGGCCGTGCAACCTTGGAACGATCGAAGAACTTCAACCGTGGCACTCCACAACAACCTCTATCTGCTTCGAAAAGGCTCATGAACATTTTTACTAAAAACTGATTCGAAAACTTGAGGTTTTGATTCGAAAATGATAACGTTCTTATCTTTAAACTTAGTTAGAGGTCTGTCATCTGGCTAGGAAGCTAACTCTGAGCTCTAAGAATCTGTTTTATACCTAAAACTAGGCTTGAAAGCTTGTATGATGCTTAATCTTAGGCTTTGAGAAGAAACTGGCTTTACATTATCTATATTTCTTATAGTTAATGTAGTGCTTTGATATTGTTCTTACAGCAAAATGAATTTTGGCAGCTTTTAATATTTTTTAAGCTTTGTATCTAAAGTTTGTGAAGTTTAATTATACAATATTAGGTTTTCACATAATTCTGTGCTCTCTCGGTTAAAAAAATTGCTTTGAGAGGGGGCACAGAATCATTTGAACAACCTTATATTTTGATTGTAAAACTTGTCACAGCTACTCTCAATTCGATGCTTACAAAAAATGTTATCTAAAATGGTAAAACCACGGTCATTTGTCCAATCTTGCCGATGTAACATAATATATTTCATATGTATCCAAATATTGTAGTCCGTCTGATGGTGCGCTTTAAAATCTGGTGATCTTGTTGTATCTTCCTATTGCTGTAATACTTAATCTTTTTAAATATTAATTTAGTATTTTTTCGGTAATACTGTAATTTTTAATATCATGTTTATATTAGGCTTACCAAAAAAGTCTTGTCGCTTTTCAACAAAGCTTTGAACGCTTAAAAACGACAAGATTTTTTAAAAGTTTTCATATTTTTTTAGGTTGTTCAAATAGTTCTGTGTCTTATCTCAATGAAAATTTTAGAGGTTAGAGGGCACAGAATTATTTGAACATTCTAATATTTTAATTACTTAAATATTATGTTTAAATTACGTTTTTACTACTAGTCTTCCGAACCTACGTCCAAATGATTATACACTTGCATTTTAAACGATTGTAAGACTTTGTAACTTTTTGTATATTGTTCTTGATAGGCTTCAAAAGTTTGTCGATCTATATTATTATCTAAAAGTTTATTTTTTCAAAATTGAAATTTTGGTCAGAAAGTAGGTAGAAGTTTTGGTAAACGACTAAAATTACAAAGTTCTACGCACTTCTTGATCAGAAATGGATAGGAGTATAATTTATGAACTTTTGAAACCTAACCTGTATGCTTACTATTATTAGGTATTGTTAATATGGTATTAAAACATGCATTGAACAAATTTGGCATGATTATAAGACAAATTCAAAAAGGATTTTGTTTCAAAGTGTAGAGAGCAGAAAATGGGTATGATCGTATTGCAATCTTTGTTTATTATATAGGAGTTACACGTCTAAGATACTAAGTATAAATCTACTTGAAATAACGATCTTTTTCATGATTGTTGGGACTCCCTTAAACTCCATTACTTTTACTGTTCCTCGGTGTTAACCATGACGTCTGCCTCCGATGTTTACATTCCGATACCAACACATCTTTACAAGCATGATGCGCGGTAATACTGCAATCTTTACCTTTGTAGCTTGGTCGTATCAGACCCCAGAACACCTTGTTACAATGGATACAGAAGGTGGGGGTGAGGAAGGTGGTTTCGTGGAAGTTGTGTTGGAATCCGCGACGAAACTCGAGGCTCTGCTTGTTCAACGACTGTTTTTACTTTACAATTTGATAATTTTTTAATAATTTTATTTACTGACTAAACTTATAATATTCATATATTTAGCTAATATGCCCATTTATCACCCAATGGCAGCACTTTTGGTTATTTATTTGTTTCGAACAAAACAAATGGCATCATAATTTGGTTTTTATTGCTTTCGGAAGCGCGCGTAGGTGGCCAAAATAACATGAATTTGTGGGAATTAACAACTTTTTGCCGTAGGATCTAAAGAATACAGTAAAAAGTTGATAATTCACACAAATTCATGTTATTTTAGGTAAGGACGAATAATTTACAATTTGTTAAAGGTGTTAACAACAAACTAATCGAATTAAATTTGCACTTTTCAGCTTTTCAAAGTTTAAAAATTCATATTTTTGAATTTTTGATGAAAACACAAACTAAAACTTATAGGTTGTGGTGTAGTAATAGTAGATTTAATGTGTGGTAGGATGAGTTATCTCCGTTTAATTTGAAAACGAAAGAGGGGGGGGGGGGGGAAAATTAGAAATTTTTTTAGGTTAACAAGGGGGACCAAGTTCAACTTTTTTTCAAAAAAAAATTTTTTTGCGGCCGAGGATTATTTGAGCAGCGTTTACTAGTACACAACACCTAACCTACTATAATATAACGCTTTTTCTTGTGTATTCTCTAATTTACTTTTTCATCGTCTTAACATTATATTATAGTAAGCACCACAAAATAAGAAATAAAATAGTAAGATGCCTCGTCCAGAAAACATCGTTATTTTGTTTAATCAAGTCTTCGAAGGCTGACGAGACGATTACAATATGTACAACAACAATTTACTAGTCCCCTGCGGTTTGAGCGGTCCCAAAAAACAGTTATTTCTTTCCCGGAAAACAATAAGAATCTTTGGAGAACGTCGCTTAGGGTATGTTTTTTCTTGTAGTATTAAGGAAATTCAAAGTTTTTATGGTCGGGCGGGGTGAAACGTGATATTAAAAATCAATTTAGAGTAGAATAAGATAAGGTTTAATATGAAAAAGCAGAGTAAGGTAGGGTAGGACAAGAAAAGACAAGGTAGAGTAGAATATATGATAGGGTATAAGGTACGGTATAGGGTAGTGTATATAATAGGGTATAGGGAAAGGTATGGGGTGTGGTATAGGGTAGGATATAAGAGTAAAAGGTTGAATATGATATAGGGTATAGTTTAGCGTAATGTAGAGTAGGGTAAGGTAAAGTAGGGTAGGATAAGGTAAAGTAGAATATAATACGAAAGGGTAGAGTAGGGTAGGGTAGGGTAAGGTAGGGTAGGGTAGGGTAGGGTAGGGTAGGGTAGGGTAGGGTAGGGTAGGGTAGGGTAGGGTAGGGTAGGGTAGGGTAGGGTAGGGTAGGGTAGGGTAGGGTAGGGTAGGGTAGGGTAGGGTAGGGCTGGTCGAAACAGGGCAGCGCAGAACAAGGTAGAGTAGGATGGTAGAGTTGCAGGACGAAGCAAATGGTAGTGTAGGCTAAGTGAACTAGTAAAATGTAAGGCATTTTACTTTAAATTCAAATCTGATAGAAGTTTTCTATTTCAAAATTTTTTTTGAAGTTTGAAAAAAAAATAATTTTTTTTTGTCAAAAATCACCCGCCCTACCTCGATTTCACGTCCAAACCCCCAGCCAAACAATCAAAATGAGCAGTTTCTATAACGCAAACCTCGCTTCTGTTTTTTGTGTCCTTTTTGGCCGTTTTTTCTCTCGCATTGGGTCGAAAAGTCTGAAGCCGGGGCCCTCTTTTTCGCCCTAGGAAACGCCATATTTGGCCTCGAGACTCTCGAAAAAAGACGAATTCGAAGCGGAAAAAGCGTGAGGGACCCGCTGAAACCGTTTTCCCTCGGTTTCCCCCACTGATTTTGTGATTTTGTTTTGTTTTTGGCGTGAGTTCGACGGGTTTGTGAGGCGAATGTTCTTTGTTGATGTTACAAACAACTTGGGGAGGGGTTCAAGGAGAAACGTTTTGTATTTTTTTAAAGATACGAAGTAAATAGACATAGATTTTTAGAAGAAACGTAGTAAATGGGCATAAATTCTTTCGATTCTTTGAAGATATCAAGTAAATAGGTATAGATTTCTTGGTTTTATGAAAGGTTTGAAGCATTTTGAGCACTATTTTGTTGTTCAAATAATTCTGTGCTTCTTTCAAAGCAAATTTTTGGGATTACGAGACACATAATTATTTGAACAACCTAATACAACATTTTTTCAAAATTATGCTAACTTTTTTCTTAGCGACTTACTATAATATAATCGAAACTATCTATTTGCTCGTTCAAGTAATTCTGTGCTTCTTTCAAATGAAGTTTTTTGGTGTTGTTAGGCCTCGAATTATGTGAGCAATTTAATACAATTTTTTCTAAACTTATGCTAACTATTTGTCTTAGCGGCCTACTATAATATAATCGAAACTATCTATTAGCTCCTTCAAAAAATTCTATGCTCCTTTCAAGGGAAGTTTGTTTGGAGTTATGGGGCACAGAATTATCCGAACAACCTAGTATAACTTTTTTCAAACTTATGCTGTCTTTTTTTCTTAGCGACCTACTATAATATAATCGAAACTATCTATTAGCTCGTTAAAATAATTCTGTGCTCCTTTCAAACAAAATTATTAAGGTTATGGGGCAAAGAATTATTTGAACATTCTAACAGTTTATATTATAAAAGCTTTCAACGAGATAATAATGTGTTACAACTACTTTAACTACTTTAAAGTAGTTGTATATTGCTAACTGTTCTTTTAAACCAATTAATAAAAAATGTAAGCTTCTTATCGTATTGCCATTTGGATAATATGTAAAAGGATAACAAACGACAATACGATAAAAATACGAAAATGTTTAGAGTTATTTAACATTAGGTTGTTTCAAATAATTCTGTTTTCTTATCTTAAAAATTTGCTTTGAGAGAAGGAACAGAATTTTTTAAACAACCAAATAGTATTACAATATTTTTTGAAATGTAAAATACGAGATATTTTTCTTATTCGATTTATTTTTTTTGGTTTTAAATGTTTCACGCGTAATTTCAAAGCTTAGTTTAAATATCTGTTTACGAGCTGATAATTTTGATCCGGGAGGGCGTGGGTAGTTGTGCTTTCGAGTTTTTAAGGCAGGGTATGGTAGGGCTCTTCTGTATGCCTTGTTATAATACCAATTTTTTTTAGAAAAACGTTGAACAATAGTGTCACAAAAGTTAGAAATCATACTAAAATATCTAGTTTTGGCTACAAATCGGTGTATGTTTGTCAGCGATGGCTCGGACTTGAAACGCGACACAAAAAAGGTACTGGAATTTCAAAAAGCTTATCTTATAAATAGTTTTTAAAATTTTATAATAATTTCAAAATTTGAGTTTGTATCGCAATAGAATCAAATATTTTTTTTAATTTGATTTTATAAAAAATTTTAAAAAATTTAATAATTTTCTTTATAACTTATAGTAATATATCTTCTTCTAGGAATGAAGACCATTGGTCGTATTTCATGGACATTCCGAGCTGCTCCCACCACTCCGACCAAGAACTGAGGCCGTTTGAGCTCGCCCAGCATTGTTGCGAGTCCTTCGGTAAGTTAAAAAAGTTTTATTTTACTTTTCTTACATTGATAGGGCATAAGAAGATAATGGTAGTATAGAGGATAGGGTAGGGTAAGGTAGAGTAGAGTAGGTTTTTTTTGAATTATTACTTTGACGACGTGACCGCTTTAAACCTTATTTTTTGCATTTTCTATATACTTTTGGACCAATTTTCAAAAAAAAACAGATAAACAAGATCTTATTTTAACTAAACTTTTAAAATTTTACATTTTTTTTACTAAAACGTACTGTCAGTCAATGTATTTATAAATTGAAACGACGTCAATCGGTGGACAAAGCTAATCCCCTCTGGCCATATTTAAGTTCCATAAACAAAATGACGTTGTTTTTTGTTTGCAGACAAGGATGGAGAACCTCAAAACGAATTTGCATATTTCCTTTTTATGGTCGGCGAATGGCTGATGGACAACAAAGAGCTGATGGCTCAGTTCGTATCACTATATCAGGTGGGTTGGTCATGAAGGTTCAAAAGGGTGCTTTCTTTTTAAAATTGGTATGGCTTAAATTTTAAAATTAGGTTTTATGGGATTTGTGAAGCTATTTCGATACCTATTATAATAATATTGGAATTTTTTAAAATTTTTTAAAATTCAAAAAATTTTGTGAACTAGTAACATTTTTGTACTTTTTGACATAACTTTTTTGCTGAATTAACAAAAAATATGACATATTGCATCTTATAGATCATTTATGTTGTCAACTGTCTATCAGAATAGATTTTTTACATTTAGATGTTTTTGAAGTTACAGTAATTTTACCGTGCTTTCTTCTTCCAAAATATATGAAAAAAGTCAAAAAATTGTAAAAAACCTAAAAGTACATACAAATTTATGAACAATAACAAAAAAATTAAATATCAATACCAAAATCATAAGACTAAAAATATACTTCACTTCCTTCCCCTACCACAGTTACTTGAAGAGCATAGTAACCAAAAGCCATTAAAGTCATTGCCAACCCGAACTCCTTGATCTGGTATGATTTCTGGCTTCACTCCAGTATGTCTCTCATAAGTATTGGCAACATAGTTGTATCGAGGGTTTTGGTCTACCTTTGGGGTAACGAATTGATTGGCATCGTATTGAAAGTAGCGTTGAGCTGAGGTTACAGTCATTAGGAGGGAGCAGAGCAGCAGGCGGGTGTATATCATGGTAGATTATAGTGCTGGGGAAGCTAAAAGCTAAATTTTAGATTTTGATTTGAATTTTAACGTGATAAGGATTAAAAAACGAAATTCTCGCCCCGTGCCGCTTTTTACCCTTTAACATGTGCCCTTAGTACCTAACCTTTAGTTTGCAAGCCCAACAATCTTAGCCTTATATACAAAAGTAGGTAGCTCTTAAAACCCAAGAGCTCAACTAATCGGACGGTTAACTTGACTAACTTTTGAATGAACGTCGAAACTGGAAGTTTATGACTTTTATCGCTCCTTCAAAACTGGATATCCTGCTCTTTGAAGGAGCGAACGATAACATTATATTATCAGTAGCATGTTGAGAGATCAACACGGCAATAAAAGCTATTTTGAGTGTTGTTGTTGGGTGGGATGGGTAAAATACGTTGTGTAATTTTCTTTTCAAAAAAATGTGGGTACGTTATGAGTAAGGGTAGGCTAAGGTCAGGCAGAGCAGTAAGGTAGGGTAGGGTAGGAAATGTATATCTATGACAATAAAAATGACATTTTTCAGGAAAATTTTGACAGTTTTGGAGAACGGGTATGTTTCGCGATTGGATTCTGGATTCGATCGTTTCCAATGCATTTCGATGCCGATCCTCAGCTCTGCCGTTTCGTGGAGCGCCTCAAACAAATGGCCATATCCGACAAGCTACCAGATAACATTACCTCAGAACTCGACGTTTCTTCCGTGTAGGTTTTGACATTAGATTAGTACTACCAGAATATTAATTTTAGTCTTACTTACAAAGTTATGACATCTTTTTCATGATGTACTTCTATATAAAAATGTGAAAAATTGTACGTTTTTTTAAATATTATAGTATATAGATTAAAAGTGCTTTGTTCACGTTTTTAGTTTCCACACACGTAGTTTAAGCTCTAGAACTTTGAAATTTTAGCATTTTATACCTAATTCTATGTACAATATGATGACTTAACAAAATTTTATTATCTCAAACTAAAAACCACAAATCGACCAACCAAACTCATGTTAACTTCAAATTGACTCAAGTGTAATATAAATTCATTCCAGCCCATCCTACGAATGGCTACGCAACGTATCCGTCCGGAATCCAGTCTCACGTCATGTTAGTCTTTCATTCGAACAATGGAGCCCAGAAGATATCTCCACTTCACTTAGCTACATCGACTACAAGGTGTTGAGTCGGGTCAACATAACCGAGATCAAGAAGTATGTGAAAAGCTGCAAAATCTCATCGAGTCTGCTGTTGGAGAGGTCGATTGCCATCTTTAATGTAAGGTTATAATCTGGTACAATATATTTTTTAAATTTTGTTGATTTAATTGTTATAGATGGCATTACTTACTGTAGTAATGACATATTACAGAGCATCTCCGGCTGGGTGCAATGCATGATTCTAAGCAAAAACACCCCCAAAGAACGGGCCGAAGTGATGACAAAGTTTCTAAATGTAGGCAAGCACCTTCGCAAACTGAACAACTTCAACACTATGATGGCTGTGATTGGCGGTGTAACCCACAGTAACATTGCCAGATTGTCCAAGACCCACAATTGTTTGTCAAATGAAGCCAAACGAGAGCTGACTACCTTCACGCATCTGATGTCCAATACCCACAACTTTGAGAATTACAGGAAACTACTTCAAGATACTCATTCCAAGTTCAGGATTCCTATTATGTAAGGTTTTAATCTATTTTGGTCCAAAGTTTTGAAAAATATTTTGCACCGTGCATAATTTTAGAATCTGCACGGTGCAAGCAGATTACCTAGGATAATATTGCTTTTTAGGTAATACTATGAGCTTGAACATTGCCAAAATTTTTTCATAACCGTATTTTACTGTGGGGAACATTTTTGTAAATGTAAACTTTTTGCTTAAATTACTGTAGCATGTAGTACAGGGTGTTCCAAGAAAAAATGTTAAAAACTAACGACGTATATTTTTTCTCCCAACAAAGCTACACATGCCAAACTTGGCATGATGAAAGTTTAGAACCACAAGTTTTTTGTCACAAAATTTTGGATTTTTTAAGTACATACTAAGGTCGTTATGATTTTTTAAAAAATGTCCATTTTCCCCGGAATTACACATATTTTCCGTTGGAAATGCTTTTTTTGGTAAAATTTTCTAAGTTTTTGACAAATCTTTGGTTGAAAATGACATTTTTAGCCAAAGTTTGTGATTTTCAAATGTCGGCGGAGACTCGGCGGACGCCTAAATTTGCCGGCGGAGGCTGTAACTCGCTTCAAACATAACGGAGAGACGTGAAATAAAAAGAAATAGTTTTAAAACTCACAGATGCTAAGCTTGGCTTCAAAGGTTTTAAAACACAAAAAAATATAAAAACCTAAGAAAATGAATAAAGAAAACATTTTTTTATATTTATTTTGTAAATTGCACAAGTAACTTTTAAAATTTTAACGTTTTCATCTTTTTCTTTACTTAGAAACTAAAAACATACAACATACGAGATTTTTGCTGTTTAAGCTTTGAAGGAAATGAGTTTATCATAACTTTTGAACATAAATAAAAGTTTTTGAAACATTGCGTCTATTCCTGAACATTAATATCTTTTGATTTAGCTTTTTTTGCAAATTTTTTAGTTAGAGTTATTTTTAGACAAGCTTAGAATCAGTGAAGATTGCCTTGATAGTTATAAAACTAATGCTTTTTGTTTCATGTTTCTCCGTTATGTTTGAAGCGAGTTACAGCCTCCGCCGGCAAATTTAGGCGTCCGCCGAGTCTCCGCCGACGTTTGAAAATCACAAACTTTGGCTAAAAATGTCATTTTCAACCAAAGATTTGTCAAAAACTTAGAAAATTTTACCAAAAAAAGCATTTCCAACGGAAAATATGTGTAATTCCGGGGAAAATGGACATTTTTTAAAAAATCATAACGACCTTAGTATGTACTTAAAAAAATCCAAAATTTTGTGACAAAAAACTTGTGGTTCTAAACTTTCATCATGCCAAGTTTGGCATGTGTAGCTTTGTTGGGAGAAAAAATATACGTCGTTAGTTTTTAACATTTTTCTTGGAACACCCTGTATTAGAACTTTTTTTTCCAAACATTAGGTTTTTAGGGCCCTATGTGCCATTATTTATCTAAAAAAACAATATCAAACAGTCAAGTATCATACAGCTAGTACTCAGCCCATCATACCACGACTATTTATGACCTTTTGCTTCAATTTTCAGGGGAGTACATTTGAAAGACCTCATCATATGGTACAATACTCAGCCTCGCTTTGACAGTACCGGAACGATCACGGAACGACGGTTAATTCAGCTTCGAAACTTGTTGAACAACTTTCTGGGAGCTAACCGGATGGCTCACAACTTTCCCGAGCCTAATCTGGACCTTATCAATACATTGAAAGTGTCATTTGACATACGATACAACGATGGTGACATCTATGACTTGTCATTGCTGAAGGAGCCGAGGACATTACTTAATGTAAGTTTTTAACTGAATTTTTTAAACTTAAAAAATTTTTGTTTTGGATTCTTGTTGCAAAAAGAATGGCGTACCTTATTGTAATAGGTAATGGTCTGAGACGACATTCTTTTTGCATCAAGATTTAAAAAAGGAAGAATACAACCATGGATAAGATGAATAACATCCTTTTCAGTTCCAAAGTGCCAGGTCAGTAGTGTTTGCGGACTGGGCCAGTGGAGTATGTCCAGCACCAGATCCAGAGACAGTAAATAAACACATAAGTGCCATGGTAGAAGCCGTATTCAAACACTACGACAACGATAAAGATGCCTATATATCCGAAGACGAGTTTGCTCAAATTGCTGGCAACTTTCCATTTATCGACTCATTTGCGAAGATTGATGAGGACAAGTGAGTTAGATTACCATACCCTACTTTTCTTCGCCTTGCCCTGCTCTGGTTTGTCCTGCCTTGGCATTCTCTGCCATGCCCTTCCCTGCTATCAAGCCCTGCTCAGCCTATTACCCCTATTTCAAGCTATTATTAAGCCGTTCGATTAATTCTGTGCCCTTCTGACACAATATTGTAACCTCAAAAACGTTTCCAGGGACGGCCGAATCAGCAAGTCCGAGTTGAAGACTTACTTTCTATACCTAAACAAGCAGTCGTTGAACAAGCAGAGCCTCGAGTTTCGTCGCGGATTCCAACACAACTTCCACGAAACCACCTTCCTCACCCCCACCTTCTGTATCCATTGTAACAAAGTTTTGTGGGGTCTGATACGACAAGGCTATAAATGCAAAGATTGTGGTATTACCGCCCATCATGCTTGTAAAGATGTGTTGGTATCTGAATGTAGACGTCGAAGGCATACATCATGGTTAACACCGAGGAACAGTCAAAGTAATGGAGTTCAGGGGAGTCCTAACAATCATGGACAAGATCGGCATTTTAGGTGGGTTTATATTGTAGTTTAGATAACATAGTGGAATTGCTGTATAAAGAACTCCTATATAACGAAGAGTCCGTATAACGATCTACTTCAACATCTTTGAGTCATTCGTTACACAGGAGTTCCACTGTATCTATATTTTTGTTGTAGTACATTATTAGGTCGTTCAAATAATTTTGTGCCTCCTAACCCCAAATTTTTTCTTTGAGACGACGCACAGAATGATTTGCATAACCTAATATGAGTATATTGTTATAGGTATTGTGTTTGATTGGTTATTTTATGTTATTTTGAAAATACTAGATGTTTAATGATATCTTCTATCGATATTTTTAAATAAAAAGTACTATAAATCGTATTTCCGATTAATTTTCAGACTAAAAACCTACTTTAAATGTTATTTTAGACCAAATTTTGATCAAAACATACCTAAAATGAACTATATTTTAGTTGTAGTGTAACTTGTGTTTTTTTTTAGTTAAAATATTTTAAAAAAATAGTAAAATTAGTATAAAAAGCAGTATTGTAGCATATTTTAACCATGCTATAGCTTATTGGCATTATGTTGTTGTACTGGAAGTCTCTATCATTCAGTTATCGGGTGGCTTGGCTCTCTCTTCCTTCTCTTCTTTTAACACGCTCTTTTCCTTTTAATTGCACTTTATATTAACTTGCTATAGTACTATTGGAATACTAATATCATAGTACTATCATAGTACTATTGGCATACTACTATTATAGTACTATTGAGATAGTACTAGGACATACTTATTTGTACTTTAATATTAGGGCTTCAGAAAAGTTTTTTCGTTTTTTATCAGGAAAGACAGTGTAATTTGACGACAAAACTTTTTTTTGTGGGGGGGGGGTTTATACTATTAGGCTGTTTAAAAAATTCTTTATTCATTACTATCAGGTCACGTTACAGATCAATACGAACGGTCAGTACGGTGTCTGAAGAGCACTCAAACGCCGTGCCAACTAAACCGTTCGTGGCCACCGGCCTAAGGGCTTCGTTTCATCGACTGATTCGACTTCAAAGAAAACCACGAGCCGCTTCTGAGACTACTGATTGCTACAGGTATATGCTTATACAACTTGGAGTTATAGTACTAGGGCACACAATCAAGTGAACGGTCTAATATATATATTGAAAAGGATCGGGTCTTATAAAGCAATTGTGAAGGTAGTCGTATTTTAACAGGAAGTTACTAATGTAGAAAAGCAGTCTATTATGTCTCTCCAGTCAACAACAATGTCAATTTTTAATGGTTATCAAAAAAATGCCATTTTACAGCACAAGTACCGAAGAAAATGCTATTTTTTATTAAAACTATCAAATAAAATGCCATTTTCTAATGAATATTATCAAAGAAGATGCCATTTCTCATCAAAATTGTCACTAAAAGCGTCAATGTTTTTTGAAAGTTTTTAAAAATTAAAATTTAGACTGAAAAATGAAATTTTAGAAGGAACGGTTCAGCAAGCAATCCCAGTGACACTGATCTCACGTTGGCCACATTGGCTAGCGAAGAAGTTTTCGATGACGACCCAGATAACGAGCCCAAGGCTCCAGCTACAGTACGGTAAAGCGATGCTATCATACATGTCGACATTAGTGTCATTATGTAAAGTTTGACTAGTACTACAATCTAAGTTGGTACTAGTACTATCACATTAGTGAGTATCGTGTTATGACATAAGAGGGCATTAGTACCATCGTACTATTGAGTACGGTACTATAGCATATGTGGGTATTAGTACCGTCAGAAAAGTGGCATTAGTACTTATATAAGTCAGTATCGTACAATAACGTAAGAGGGCATTAGTTCTGTAAAAAAAGATAACCCGTGTGATTTTAACTATTATATTGTTGTATGTTAACTCTTACAGCATGTTATAATAAATTATCTTCTATGAACTTCAAGCATGACCCTCAATATCATATTTTGAGTTTTTGTTACCTAAAAACTCATAAAAACGATAAAAAAGGCTCAATATGAACTTGTAAATGATAACAAACACTTCTTCCTCATCTAACCACCGCCTAAAAATCTCAATATACCCTTGTAAATGATAACAAAAGCCTCCAAAACCAAACCTAATTCGATAAAAATATATTTTTAATATTATTTACACTAATATGTACAAAATGGTTACAACATGGTTGAGGAAACCGATGAGATCATGCGAAGATTGACCAGATTCTAGATCAGATGGGAGTGTTGAGAAGGGGACTTGGCACAGGTGCTGGTCAATTGTACCGCACTGGAGGGCCATGCAATCTTGGCGTCGTGCCGTTTGTAGGCAAAGAGGTGAGGTTTGCCGGTATCGTTCAGTTGTTGACGGATGGCATCGGGGCATTCGTTGGCGTTTAGACAGGTCTCGTAGCCATCGTAGAGGACACATCTGGAAGAATAGGTAATATTAGCAAGGATTTGGTAATGTTAACAAATACTTTCATTATTTTGACTTCGAAATGCAACAGAAATTCAAAAAATTTTTAAAATAGTTTACATCAAAACATCCCACTACCTACTATAATATAAGCGAAACACCCAAAAAACCTCAATAAAAAGCCAAACTTACAATCCATAGTCTTCTGGATTCGTAATAGCTAGCTGATGAGCTATTACTCGGCACAGCCTAGCTACATTCATTTGTGCGACCGCTGGGAACGTATGGTACTCAATAGAACCCTTTTGTTCGTCTGGTATAGCTACGCGAATGTAGGCGTCCGACGCTTCTTCTATACAACATCGAAGGCTCTACAAACATTTTTATAAAAATATAATAGGCTTGGCCATAATAATTTGAATAATACTCTGTAAATGCCGTTATGTAACAGCATTTACAGAGTAAATAATTAATTAAGAAATTAAGATATTACTGAGTAATAACCTAAAACAACATACCGATTGTGGAGTGCTAAAGTTGGGTTCGTTACTCATAAACTTCAATCGTTGAATACTGTCCAAGTTCTTCAGGACATGGACAGCTGATAAGAGGGTTGATAAGTAATAGGCAGCATCGCCTGTTGTTAACAATTGCTGTGGTAGTAACTCCCACATATACCATGCTTCTACTTCACAAGATACTGAAGATGTTCGTGCTAACAAGAATACCAACCATCTGATCAGTTCTGAAATAAAAAATTATTAAAGCCAATAGTTTTAAAGGTAATATAAACCTTGTTCTAGAGCTTTAAAGGTGAATAAGATAGTGTAAAAGCTCTGTAACTCAAAAACTAACTATAGACAACATAAAGGAAGATCTTTCTTAATGTTGCCTAAACCAACAGCTAGCTGTATTGCCAATACAAACCATCAACAGTTATATTATCCTTCACAAAACTCCCTAAAATACCAAAAAATATCAAAAACCATACCGTCAGCAGCCGGTAGCTTCTTGGAGCTTCGAATCAACGACCGGTTAGGTCCCACCACGACATTCAGCGCCTTCAACAAGTTCTCCAGCTTTTTCAGTGGAGAGTAATGGCTCTGCATCTTCCTCAGACAGCTCCTGACCTGCTCCATCTTCTTGGAATCCGGAGCGATCGTGCCTTTCGGGAAGCCGAGCTGTTCTGGCCGCATCGTGCGGACTTTGGAGAGATTGGCAGTTAACGTCTCGAATGAGCCATTTCGAATGTTCTCACGGCACATCAGGTGGTATAGATGGGGCTTGATTGGGACTGAAAGAAAGGATAATATTAATATTGATATAAAACCGGTAATTATAGGTAAAGTAAGTTTTTAGCTATAAATCTAGTATTTTTGTTACCTGAAACTTAAATTTAGGTAACAAAAAGTCTACAATTTTACAAAACCTTAATTTTGACAATCTAAAACCAACAAGCTTATAAAAATTTTAAAAATCTTAAACTTTATAGCCTAAAACCAAAACTCAAAATTTAGGTAACAAAATCAATTTTTCCATCAAAAACAACTCTCCGAATCTCATAAACCAACATAAATCCCTTACCCAACAATATCTTGTGTAGAACCGCCTCCAGAATCGCGTCGATGTTCAGAAACTCATTCGGATTCAACTTGGAACTCTCTTCCTCAATAACTTGTAGTAGATCGGCCTCTCCGTTCTTGACCAGATAGTTCTTGATTCCATTCAGAAACTGTCGGACATTTCTTATCACAACATGAGGATCACTCTCTCCTGCATCAATTGTGCATTCGATGAATTGCTGTAAAGTTGCTCCGAATGTTGTTGTAGAATCTGTAGCCAGTTGTTCGACGTAACGTTGGATTCGGAATCCTGGGTCTGGCATTCGGTCAGTTGAACGGAGACGAGCTGGAGAGATGGCTGGAAGAACCGAGGGTAAGGTCATGGAGAGTTCGTCCATCGAGTCGCAGAGGTGGGACTGAAAACTTAAATATTAAATTTGAAAAAATTTAAAACAAAATTAAAGATGACACATTTTATAGACAAAAGCTTATACGTTAACATATTTATGAAAATCTGTGTCAAGACAAGTAGAAATAAAAGGATATGAGTAAATGCCATATTTTCTTAACATGCATTAACAAAAAAATCAATTTTTTGAAAAAGAAGATGACACATTTTCTAGACATTCTACAAAAATAACGTTTTCCGTAAAATTAATCAAAATATTAGTTGTTCAAATAATTCTGAGCCCTTTCTCAAAGCAAATTTTCGTGGTTGAAGGCGCATAATTATTTGAACAATCCAATATAAGTATTTTCTTTATAACTAGGCTTTGAGTCTTTAATAACAATATAACTGATCTCTCACCTGTCCATACATTCCTGGTGTCATAGCTCTGTGTTTCATGCTTCTCGTGTCCAACAATGGACTCATAAACCTGTAATCTTCATTCACATTCATCAACGAACTGCTCTTTCCTCTTCTCGAGTCGAAAGTGCCTGGCTCTGAAGGTATCCTTTTCGAGACTTCGGTCCAATTCCTATTGTCATTTATGGTCAATGGTTCTGTTTTGAAATTGTCGAATTGTTCGAAATGGTCATCTGAATCCGGAGCGTCGTCTACGCTTAATGGTACTTCTTGTACTTCAACGTCTGAGTTGGAATGAAGAGTTTGGTTGGGGAATGAGGTCTTGGAGCAGGTTGAAGCTGCTGAACCGGCTGAACAGGAGAGGTTATCGTCTTCTTCTGCTATCGTCTCGTTGGCACAACATTCTGAAAAGAATATATTACTATCTAGCGTCATTGTGGCTTTAAAAATAGAAGTTTTAAAGCTTGATTAAAGAAAACAGTTGAAATATGAAGGATAAGATGCTTTTTTTGATATTATTTGTAAAGAAAAACGTTTCCATTTGCAGAAACCAATGAATAAACTAAAGAAAAATAAATTAGATAAGAGAGAACATCTGTTTTTCTAATTAGAATTTGATTTTCAGCTAAAGAAAAGACCAAAAAAATCGTTTATTTAACATAATATAAATCTGAAGTAAACCAAAAAATTATTTTTTTTGCCGAAAGTCAAACCATAACCAATATTTTAGCCAAAAAAAGCCAATAAAACTAGCTTTTTGCTTTAGTTCAACATTATTTTGCCCAGAATATCCAAAAATCTCTATTTAGCTTTTTTTATATTATTACCTAAAACACAAAAAAAACTATTTTTCTGATCAAAACCTGCAAAAAAATTAAATTCCTTTTAAGAACTTTAAATTCACACTTTAAAGTGCATTTTCCTTACCCAAATAAACGGCTTTAGCTTTGGCTTTGGTTGGTTTTTCGTCGTAGAAATGTACAATATCGAGAAGATTCTCCCATGCATTCGAATCCCAAGGTTCGTTGAATACCGTGCCTGCTACACTAACACAATCATCTTCTTCCAGATCCTTCTTTTCAAAATTTTCATGGATTTCCGCGTATTCAGAAGGCCGTTGAGCTTCTGTATCCATGAATTTGCAGAGAGTTCGTTGAACTGGTTGAGGTTTTACCTAAAATTTCATGGATTTTAGTGAGTTTATCAAGAGTTTTAAGTTTTAATTTTGTTGTTATTAAACAAATAATTGTTTGTAAATGTTTTCTAGTCTTCCAGATACCTTAATATAAAAGTTATCACCCATTAAGACCTCGAAAACCATCCCAAGAATCTTCTAAATTGTCCCCAAACAAACAGAATATCATTCCAAAGCCTGTTCTTTTTAAAAACAAGAGTAGAACATCCATATCTAAGGTATGACAACACCGGGAAACAGGAAAACCGTTCAAAGCCGGATCATCTCGCTTCGGAGCCGGCGGGCCTAATCAAGCATAATTGATGGTTTGCGCAATAAAATGCATTCATATCAATATTATATTGGTCAAAAACTTATTGAAAAACGTATTTAGAGATAAGTTAGGATGTTTTTCTTAGTTTTCTATATACTTTTTGACCAGAAAAGTTGAATAAACCTCAAAATATTGCAAAAAGTTGGTGTATATCAATTATAAACCCTTTTATCTACCTTTTATTGCCAAGATATTAGCTAAAAACCTAGTTTCTATGGTAAAAACCTAAAAAACCTTCATTATCAAGACAAAGAATTCAATATCAAACAAAAATCCCTAATAATAAAGCTACAGCAAGGATAATATAAATGAACCCAAATATTAATGCATATTATCCGGTATTTGCTCTACACTTCAAGCCAAATCGTTTCTTATTATTGTTTTTCAAGTGGAAAAACCCGGGAAATCCGACCGGTAGTGAAAGATCGTTCGCCCCCGAAGGTCAAGACGGTCACTTGAACCATAAAATTTAAATAGCCATAAATAATATCACTTTTTGCGTTGAGGTTCTACAGTAAAAATAATATTTGGTTGTTCAAATAATTCTAAGCCCCAAACTCCAAAAAAGACTTATTCAAGTAATTCTGTGCCCCGAGGTCCAAAAAATTGTTCAAAAAATTCTAAACCCCAAAGTTGTTCAAATAATCCTGTGCCCTCAAATCCTAAAAATTTGCTTTGAGAAGAGGCTCAGAGTTATTTGAACACCCTAATAAATAGTTAAAGCAGCCATAACTTAAGTTAAACTAAGTATAAAATCAAGTTGAACAAACCATAAATTTAATTTTAAATTTAAAAATTTTCCGCGAAATCGAGTTTTTTAATTTTAAATTTTGAAAGCAAAAAACAAAAAATTAGGTAGTTTAATTACTGTAAAGTACTATAATATAAATGAAAGTTAATCTAGCGTGAAATTAATAAAAAATTCACTAATAAATTTAAAAGCCCATTAAGCCTAAACCGTATTTTACAAAATCTTAACTTTGTGACCAATACTTATACAAAAAGTTAAAAGTAGGTCAAGAAGTAAAGCAAAATAAAAAAAATTTTAAAATTCAAAAACATACCCTCTCTCCCCACTAGACCTGAAAAGAAGCCCACCGGGACCACCCCGATCTCAACAGAACCCAGGCCGGGCTGACCAAGCTGAAGAAAGACGACATAAAAAGGGTAGGACCGGCACACGTAGGCCAAGGAGCGGAACCCAAACCAAGGACCAGCCCATGAGCCAATTAAAAAAATGATGCCCAATCCCTTTACAGATCTACTACCCACCCATTTTTTTATACTAATCCCTGCCCTCCCCCAGCAAAGTCCCAAACAGTCACCTCGCCCCTCATCCATCCCCTTCTCCTCCCCCTTACCCATCCCTCTTCCCTCCTAAAGTAAAACAACTGTGCTTCCCAATATGACCGCTCATAACACTAATGTCACTCCCCACCCAATGTAATTCCTTAATTAGTGCCACTTACTTTCGCGACGTTGTGTCTACTTTTGAGCTCTTCGTTGACGGCTGACCAGTTGGTGGAGACTGGATTGGTTTGGCTACTCGCGTCTTCCTGATTCTTTCGCCACTGTGTGAAACGGTCCGGTCGATTTGTGGTCGATGATAATTCGGATCGTGGTGAGATGTCGAGAGCTGTCGAGGATTCTGAAGCTTGTGCTGGAGACAAGTTTGCGGGTTTGTATGATGAAGAGTAGGTTTCTGAATTCTTCGGAGAGTTGGTAAAGTATTCTGAATCTTTTGAGCGTTGGTAAGGTTGTGAATCTTTATATGATCCAGTATAAAGTTCTGAATTTCCGACACGTTGATTATAGCCTTCTGAATCCTTTAAACCTTGACCATAAGCTTCCAAATCCTTACTGCGTCCAGTAGGATACCCTTCAGAAGCCTTCAATGATCCAGTATAAGATTCAGAATCTTGGTACCGTGCTCCAAAGCCTTCTGAATTCTTAGAACGGTCTGAATCAAAAGTCTTGGAACGATCGCCAAAAGAAGCAGAAGCCTTAGATTGATGCACACTTCTGGGAGATTGACTTTGAATCCTCTGAGACGTGTTCAATAATCTAGGTGATGAGGTTTGATAGGGTCGACGTTGATAATCACCAGCCGCCGTAATTTGATCCCTCAGGCTGTAATCGTCCTTGGAATGGGTCGATGAAGTTGAGGAAGTTGATGATGCCGAGGATGGGAGGTCTCTGAAAATATTGTCATTATAAAGTGGTCAGAACTCAAGCTATAGTCGTCAAAATCAAAATTCGTACTTTTTGCCTCAACATTCGTATTTTACAATTTTCCGCAATATATACCTTTACTGAAAGGTAAGACATTATATTATAAAGTTAAAAAAAAACTTAATTATACATGACCTAGACCAACTTTTTAGTAAAAATTTTATTTTCACAACCTAAAATTCACAAAATCAAAGTATGATAAACAAAATGTGTCAACAAATCTATAAAACCAGCTTCTGCAAAACTCGAAAATCAATAAGAATTCTTAGAATCGGCTCCGTTTCATCTCGCACCAAATCCGTTTCACGAAATCTCGCCAATTACGTGACCTCAGGTTAATCGACGGTCATTTAAAACTATTATGAAAAAAAAAGTTCTATTCATACTCATCCTTTTATATTATAGTAGACAGCATTTGACTAAAAAAGAAACCTTTTACTATTTTAAAGATTGTATTGGGTTTTTCAATTAATTATGTGCCCTATACTTTTACTTCTTTCAAAAATTTAAGTCCCTCTCCGCCGTTTATGTCCTCAAACCACCTCTCAATTACAAATTACTTCCAAAAACAGCCTAAACCAAGCATTACATTTTAAAATCGAAAAAACCCCGCCCAAACCAAGTATAATATTTTTAAGCAAAAATCCCCCTCCACTGCCAAAAAATCGTCCTCCCCACGACCTTTCCCTTCTCAAAATTCGAAAAACCAGTATTCGTTTACAAAAGTGAAACAGTTAATTCAAAAGTTTTTTGTCGCACTTTTGTCGCTATTAACCTCGTGAGCCCTCTCGACCCAAGGTCACAAACTGTTTAGCGTCCGGCTTTACGCAACCGAAATTTCGGAAAAAAACGAAATTTGAGCTCAATTTCAATTTTTTGACTCATTTTTTAATTTACAAGCCATTTTCAAGTTTTAAACTGATTTTAAAAATTAAAAAACAACAAGTTTAGGTAAGACTGGTCACTCAGAAAAGCCACTTGAAAAAGCCTCTCCCTCCCCTCCTTAAACTCAGCAAAAATCAGAGAAATGTCCAATCGATCTGAACCTTGATCGATGCGATTTGGGATTTGATTGGAACGACGGCGTCGTGCCAATAATGCTCTTTGAAAGGTCGATTCTTGGTTTGGGAGCGGTATTATTTGTCTTATTATTTGTTTTCGGGCAGTCGATCCGAAGTCATTTTTAAATTTATATAGGAAGGACCTTGAGGAGTCAACCCTACTGTCTAAATGTATTTATAATAACATATTGTCCAAATATTAATGAGCCAAAAAATTATTTTTTGAAATTAACAGGATCATCCGTATTTGGACAATCTGGTGATAAAAAAGTAAGGCCGTAAAAACATATTTCAAGGTCACTTATAAGCCCACTTATCGATATACCAAACAAAAAAACCCATCATAAGTTTTTGAAGAATCATATAAGTCTTGTCACTTATTGCCATGCAAAACTATAGCCAAAAACGACAAAACTTCTTCACCAATTAAAAAAAACCATAATATTTTTCGGATCATAAAGTGCCATCCAAAACTAAAACTATTTTTTCATTACATATAAAGAATGACTGCGCAATAAAAACTGTATTATAAAAGGTCACCACAGCCGTTTTAAAGCTATTCAAAGCAATGACAATTAACTTGGACTATACAATTTTTCAAAATAATTTTTTTAAAATCTAAATTATAGCTAATTGCACTTTTTTAATCTATTTTTATTCCATTTTCGATAGATTGAGGTCTCATGCACTTTTTGGAAAGGTTTAGTGTTATAGAGAGTTTGGATATGAGCTGTCATGATGTTAAGTAAAGCCGTCCTTAAAGGTCACAACCAAAGCAGTAGGTGCCAAAGCCCACAAAAAATTTTTGTTCTACCCTCATTATGTTAACAACCTTAAAAAATATTTTAAAACCATTAGAAAATTTAAAAAATGCATTTTACAGCTAAAGCCTTCCTCCCAAACAAAAATTGCTCATGTGACAGTACTCTTACCAATTTTTTATCATAATTTTGATTTTTAATAATAAAAAATCAAAAAATTTACAAAGTTTGACAAAATACCAGTCCTTTTCAAAAGCATGCACAGCTTGCTACTTAAATTTTACAAAGTTGAGTAATTTAGCGAAAACAAGAAACTTGATTCCAAACATGACCGTATGTTCAATGTAATACAATCGGCGTATGTTCGGTTTTACAGTGCGCTTCTTTTTTCAAAAAGTAGGCAAAATTAAAATTTTTCTCAAAAAGAAACCCCTTTAAAAAATAGCAAAAATATTTTTTAGGTAATAAATGTCTAGCGAAAGCAAAAATAACCGTATTTTAGCCTTCTTCAATGTCATAAATTAAAAAATTAAAAAAAAGATTTTACCATTAAATTTTGATCAAAAATTTTATTAAAACCAAGCAATTAAAACGCACGTATTTTACCCTTCCAAAATCTCCAAATCTCAAAAAACATTTTAACTATTTCCCCTTTTATCACGCCCTGCGGCGTTAATCTTTGAAATCGGATTTCGGCCACTTCATTTCCCGAGTTTTGCGTGTGAAAAAGGTTTGCACACGGGGTTTGCCATCTCTTGGCCCATATGGCCAAACTTTTCTCTAATAAGACTGATGACTCTGCCCCTGATTCACTTACCGTGGTAACGTCGAAGAGAGCTCGGAATTATTCGGAGGAATGCGTACGAATTGGCGTTGGGGATGTTTTCGGCGGACGACCGGCGTGATTAGGCCTTCGTTTATGGTCTGGAATGGCTACATTAATATTTTCAAAAACTTCAAAAAAAATTTAATTCGAAATAATGCCTAAAAATAAAAAAAATCATTAAAAAGTGTCATTAAAAATAAAAAAAAAATAAAAAAAAAGTTTAAAGTTTTTCAAATAATTCTGAGCCCCTCCAACTAAATTTTCCATGTCAGAAGGCCCAGAATCATTTGAACAACCTAATATCAAATTTCAAAAAATTAAAAATTTTTTCAAAAATCAAAACAATTTTAAAACCACCCCCACCTGAAGTTCTCCATTGCCATTTCGACCCAATTTAGCCGTTGGCGCTTTAATATTCTCATTGTCACTATTTTCATTTTCATTCAAATTTGGTACTGACAGCCGGTTGTTATTGTTCATTGATGATTTCGCCGGTTTGTCTTCGTTCGAACTGTCATTTTTAGCTGAATAGGTACTGGATGAGGAGAATGAGTTGTTGTTGTCAATTCTGCAAGAACAGTAAATTGAAATTTTAAAACTTAAAACTTTTTCAAAATTTAAAAATATTTAAAATTTCAAAATTTTTTCCATTTTCAAAAAATTTTTCAAAATTTAAATTTTTTTCGCGTTTTAAAAGTGCAAAAACCTACTTTCGCATTCGCATTTCGTCGATGCACTTCTGCATGGCTTCTGCATTCAGCCTACCGTGGGGTGGGACCATTGGTGGTACCGCCGTGGTCGGAGGACTACTTTTGACAAACGTGGCTGACCGTTCTCTAGTTAACGTTGACGGTTGATAGACAGCAAGTCGATGAGCGCTTAGGTCGGTATTACCCCGTCTTAGGGGCATCTTTCGAGCCTTTATTGCGTTCACTGAAAGTAAGTTTTATATAGTATTATATGGTAAAGTTTGAAGTTAAAAATGGCAGTAAGAGAACATTAAAACATACCTTTTGCCTCAAGCTTATATTATACTAGATACCTACTACCTATCTTTTGTCGATTCAATGTCCTTATAGTAATTTAGCAAAAGCTATTCTTAAAAAGAATATGCAAAAACAACGTACTTTCCCCGTAATTACTTCCCTATCCTCTAACAACCTTTTTCGTTACCTAAAATCATCAAATTCCAAAAAAACCTTTAAAGAGGCTTCTTAACTACTTACATCGACTACTTTTTAAAGAGTAACGAAACAAAAACACCAAAAATACTCGTTAAATGCTCTCGAAAGTACAACAAAAGTGTCCTGAGAACGTTAAGCTCGCTTAAAAGTACAAACCTGCCCCAGGGCATTGGGTTTAACTAAAACAGAGCCTTAGGGGTTTGAAGGCAAATTATAGGTTTTAGTGGTATGCCTATGACAGTACTTTAATATACATTTTATAAAACAGACCATAACAACTATACAAGTGCCAAAAAAACTCTTGTCGCACAATCATGAAGCTTTCCACGTCAAAAAACGACAAAACTTTTTTAATACTTGTTCCCAAAATGTACATTACAACCCTCATACTCATAAGAAACAAAACAAAATCAAATTTCAACCAAAAATCTCCGTAAAACCCAAAATTCGAATAAATTTAGCCCTCAGGGCCTTAAGTTCGCATAAAAGCCGCCTTTTCGACTGCGATCTAAACCTTTCGGATCCCAAGAAATGCAAATAAATTGAAACACTTACTCTGTTCACACATGTCGTCCTTCGACTTTCTCCCAATCACACCAGGCCTGGGCGCAGGCTGAACCAATTTGCATGCAGGCTGCACTCCAATAGCCGTCGGCTGACCAATCCTGTCTTTGGTCAAGGGTTGTTGGCCGACTCTCTCCTTTGAATTCTGTTGGCCACGGAATGATAACAATCTGTTTGTGAGTCCTTTCTTCAACGACGCTGCCGTCGATGATCCGACTGATGAGATTGATGTTGTTGATGGGAAGGTCTTTGTGATCACGGGCCGGTCGTTGGAACGGCCGGAACGATGACACTGGTCACAGTTGGGAGTCCAGTCTGAGCTCGACCACAACGAGGCTTCTGATTGACTACTGAAAAGAGCATTTTATAGTGAAAAATTTTAAAAAAGATTAAAAAAGCCTAAAAAACCCAAAAATTTTAGTTTTACCAATCGTATCTAAAGTATACTGCCATTTTTAACATGCTATATACTCTTATATGATTCTGTAAGGCTTTTTACATCATATGTTTCTATGCAACGTTTTTAAATTAGTCAGAACCTACTAAACAATCAACATTTTATAGGTATAGCCATCAAAATTCTCCAAAATGAAAATTTTTAAAATAAAAAATCGCTTTCTTCCAAATTAAAAAAAAACTACATCCCTCTAATCATAAAAAATCATTTTTCAACATTCCCTACACATTTCATTTGTCCCAAACCTTAAAATTAATTTTAACTTTCAAAAACCCACCTCATCCACCCCAAACCACAATAAACCCACAACCCCCTGCCACGCGTAAGAACGTTAATAAATAAACGACAAACGTTCTCTCAAAACAATTTAGTCACGTTTAAACGTTGTATTCCCCTAATGTTGGGGTACCCGCAAAACAAACCGCGAGAGCAAGCGAAAGGTGCAAGGGCGAGGGGTGATCCATTAGAAATATAATCTGAAAGGGGAGAGGACAAGTCTTGCAAATCGCATAAAGGCTTCATAATTCAATACCCCTCGCTCTAAAACATCCCAAATTTGCATATTTGATCCGGATTTTTGAGTTAAATGTTGAAAATAGAAGGCTTTGTAAAATCTTCAGGCATAGTATAATAGTAAAAGAGTGAAGTAAAATAGTATTTTTTTCATAACTTTTTTTCAAAAATAGGTATAAAGGTAAAATTCTCTAAAATGGTAAAAAATTATATTGTTCCTCAAACAAAAACAAAAATTTTTGAAATTGACGTTTTTTTAAAAGTTACAGTAATTTTACTGTACCGCTCCCTATCTTGTACAAATTAAATAAAAATTTTAAGAAATATAATAACGCGTTTTGTCGATACGTAAAAAGTATATAAAATTTAAAAAAAAAGTTGTAGAAATTACCAAGATTTCAAAAAAGTTTCATGTCTAATCTTCCCATGTCAAAAAGTTGTGGCAATTTAAAAGCCGAAAAGCCCAAGAAAGTTCGATTCCGCCGAGAAAATCTAACCTTTTAAGTTTCAAAAGTCTGTGATTTTGCTGCCATTTTCGATAAAACTACAAAACATTGCAAAAAAACACTCTTTTTCATAGCTAACAACATGGCAATTGTCGTTTTTCAAAAACTAACAAAATTGTTAAAAAGTAGCAAATTAATGAAAAACGACTATGTCAAGCCATACTTCCAACCCAAAATCTCTCTAAATATAGCCCTTATCAATTATTATAATCGCAATAAAATAATAATAATACGTTACAAAGATACTACACCTATACCTTCCATACAAAAACCATTTCCCCAAAATTTCTATAGTAACACTTACAAAACCGTATCAATATGTTTTGAATTTGATCAATAATAATATCACCGATATATCGCCCCACCCAATTCTTTGTAAACAAGTAGCTTTTACTGTTTTTACTCCAACAATAACCTTTTACCGTTTCAATATTGCTTTAAAAATAACATTCCTACCGTTTTGCTGGATGTTATCTAATGCTCAAAGGCTATAACCTATTGGAATCAGCAAAAGTTTAATATATAATAGAATATCCAAAAGGTTAATATTGGGTTGTTCAAATAATTATAGGCCCCCTAACCCCAAACATTTTCTTTGCAAAAGAGCAGAATCATTTGACCAACCTATTATAATATAATATTCAAAGACTCTAAATTTATTGTAATCAACGAAAGAGTAATACAGAAAAACCAAAAGGTTAATATAAGACCCATATTGAATAAAATGACATTTGCAAAAGCTGATTGAAAACGCCTTAAAACAATTAGAAACGTCTTTAATTAGTAATCGATTAACTTTGGTCTTAATTCAACACGTTATGTGACGCGATACGACCAGGTTTTGCAGAGCAACATCGTTACATTGTGATGTGGAATAAGCTCACAGTATATGAGGGGGGAAGGAATAAAAAGGGAAAGAGTAATGGTTGTTCTTGATTTAAAAAAAAACAAAATTTTGATTTGTATCAATTGGCATGTTGCTTTAGGTCCAAATATACCAAAATTTTTTAATTTTTTAAAAATTTAAAAAATTTTTAAATTTAAAAATTCTTCTGCAATTTCAAAATATTTTAACTTCGACCCGTTCCTACATCAAAAACATATCAAAATAACCATAAACCCACCTAGAAACGGTCCTTTTGATGCCGGGAACAAAGTAATCTGATTGTACTGTATACCCATCCTTGGGGTCGTAGTTGTTGTTGATGTTTGTGTTTGAAGAGAACAGATTTTTGAAAAATTTGGTAGGTTTCCGCAACTTCTGACCCTTCTCCATTCGCTTCCGTGTTTGTGGAGAATCGGCCATACTGATGCCACTGAACGCCGAGTAGCTCTTTCGGAGTTGATTGGCTAAAACAATATAAGTAAACACCTTAAACTCAAAACCTGTTTTATTATACATAATATTGACCCCAAAACACCTCTGATAACACAAGAAACCCTCCTAATCACATCAAAAACCCTACCGTTTCCACTACAAGCCGTTCCCATCTGAATCCGGCTCTTTTCCGGCTTCATCTCAGTCGAATAATCCTGAACTGTAGCCGTACCCAACCTCAACGTAGACCTTCTTCTCGTCGGTGGACTGTCCAACTGTCTAGCGTCGAACTCTTGAGCTGATCCACACATACTCTTGGACATTTGAAGCGATCGAACCGAGAATTGATCGCCATTTTGAGTAGAACAGTAGGATGGGGGTCGATGCGGTCGTGACATCTGACGAGACCAGAAATCTGAAAGTGTAAAATACGTATATTGACGGTAAAAAATGTCTATATGACCAAGAAAGTTTGTTTTCAAACAATTAACATTAAGAATCCAAAAATACTCGCAAATCCGCAATATATTACACTAGAGCCCTAAACCCAAGCGATTCCCAAAACATTTTCTCAATTTGCAAGCCAAAACAAAACGAAGAGTACAGGGATCTCCTGACCAATTCCCAATTACAATCGTACAAAGCCATTTTCTCAGCGATTTCCGGCTGATCCGGATTTCCATAAACTTTTGTAAAGTCTAACTTGAAATTTCAAAAAAAAAAGTTTAAAAAACAGAAAATTCAGAAACTTGCTTATACAAAAAAAGTCCGATTTTAAAATTTTTAGATATTTAAAAAATTTTTAACTTTTCAAAATTTTTAAATTTTTAAAATTAGCGTTAAAACCCAAAAACTAACTTGTAAAATAAAAAAAATTGGTCAAAAAGTTCTTAGAATCATATGCACATCATCAACAAATCATATTTTTTGATTTTCTATAAACTTTTTGACCCCAAAAATAATTTCTAGACACTTTTTGACCAGAAAAATAATTTCGATACACTTTTCGACCATAAAAACACTTTTTAGATTTTTAACCAAAAAATTAATTTGCAGCCAGCTTCTGACCAAAAAACAATTTCTAGAGACTTTTTGAAAACAAAAACCATCTCCATAAAATTTCCGTCCAAAATCCAAATTTCAAACAAAATTTCGAATCAAAACCCAAATTCAAATGAACTTTTGCAGAGATTTAAACGTGCAAAAAATCGATTTCGGGCCGCCTTTTGGGCCAGTTTACAACCGCTGAAGGGCAGGTCAAAAGAGAAAGGCGGGCTGAGGTGAAGCCGATGACACGCCTGTTGGTATGTCACCGATCATAAGAGCTCTAATTTATTGCGAGTGCATAAACAAATCACAAAATTAAGGTTTAGGGGGTGGATCTGCCAAAAAGAAAAATTTTAAATTGAAAAAAATTTTGAAAATAAAAAAGTGAAAAATCCACCCCTGCCCAAAAATTACGTTATCTAAAAGCTTACCTATCTTAGTCCAATATAATTAGACATAAAGCCTCAATCTCACATCCAAAACCACAAAAAACAACAGAAAATCACCCCTACCACTGTCTTAAAGCCATTAATATACCCACCCCTGCCTTTTATCAAAAATCGCCGTAACCCAGCCTTACAGCCACCCCTACCCGCGCCTTTACCCCCATTATCCCAACACCCCCAAAGTTTACATAAAACAAAACAAAAACCAATCAATGACCTTAAAACCTAGCCTATAATAATATTGAATGAAGACGTTTGGATCTCCTTGACGTATCGCAAAGAAAAAAGAAGTAAAAACATGTTGAAGGTCGTGTGGAAAACATTGGCGCGCTCCAACATTTTACGACTTTTGCATGTAAATTTGGTGGAGGGGGGGGGGTGAGAAGTGCTGAGCAATAAAATCGGAGAGACAAGAGTGGACTAATCAAATAAACAGCTTCCTGATAAAAACATTAAGTGGACTGCGATTTGCAAATGTTTACGACTTTTGGAGTGGTCATTCCGTGGGAGGTTAGGTGAGTATGGTTATGGTCATTAAGGTTTTGGTTGCCATCATGAAGGACATGGTTAAGGTCATAAAGCTAATGACATTTCCGTATCAGATTCATAGTGATAAAACAAAGTTTTATGACTGAAAAAATCAACCTGATCAAGCCTTCCCAAGAGGTAACCTTAACCACAAATTTTTTTTAACCATCAGACAGAATACCCCTCCCAAAAATCTAAAAAGACCTCCAAACACCCCCCACCCCTCCACTCCTATCAAAAACCCCATTCCCCTCACCCAGCCCTACCCATCACTAGTCATTAAAGCTAAAACAACCCCGCTTTACCCTTCGAAAGCCGCAAAATCAGAACATCCAGAACGACACGAAAGCACGTTTTAATTAGCTGGCCATTTTTAAAATTTTAATTAGCCGGCCATTCAAACACGCAAAAGATAAATAGAGAAGAGCCCGGAGGGAGGAAAGGTGTACATGATGATTATCAGCCCCACAGATCAACGTGGAACCAAGAGGATGGGGTTTGAACTAAAAATATTCATAAACAAGATGTAGAAGAGTATAACTAGACTGTAGAATTAATTTTGGTACCTAATTTTTTTACTCTATTAAAATGTTTTTGAATTTTCCTGATAGTGTGACAATAATATAAACCACAGTAAACAACCTCATCATAAAACAAAGAAAATTCAAAACTTTTTGATACATTACCACATATAGGTACCAAAAGCTATACTACAGTCCAAGTTATTTTCTAGTACATCTTGTTTATGCATATTTTCGGTTTACAAACAAATCTTCGTTTACGTTGATCTACGCGACTGATAAGCATATCATGTATACCTTTTATCCTTCCGAGCTCTGTTCTATTTATCTTTCGTTTTTAATAACGACCATTAATAGGCCACAGTAGATGCACGTTATAATCAATGCCATGGCTTGTACTGTTAATCTCAAACAAAATATCTGTGGAGCACAGAAAATCTACTACAACATATAAACTAATAGCCTAAAGAACTCTATTTTTTCAGTCTAAGTTTTTTTATATAAAAGACTATAAAGTCCTACATTGACTACTGTAGATCAAACGAAACATAAATTTTACTTTAAAAAGTAAAAAAATAACTTTGTCCAAATTCGGCACATATATATTGTAGTTAAGATCACAATAAACAAGCCAAGTGACGCTATAACATAAACCAACAAAAAACCCGTGAAAAACCGTTTTACTATACAATTCCCATAAAACACAGCTTTCAATTGGTGTCCCTTTACAAACCAATGTCATAAAAGTGACACTCAAACCGCAGACGAGCTCCCGGACGATGACCGCGAGAATTCAACCGGTAATTGGACCGGTCGGACGCGGTGTTCAAGGTCGCCGCAATCTCCTAATCTGCTACTGTTTGGAGTAAAACTTTGCGAGTTTTGCGAAAACGTTTAGATTGGAATCTTGAACGGTCATTAGCAATATTGTTTCATAATAACATAATGTTATGTTGTCTACCTCATTGTGAAAAAATTTTAAAAAAGTAAAAAGAGAAGCATATTAGGTTGAAAATGTACTACAACTTTATATCAGGTTGTTCAAATAATTATGTGCCCCCCTCTTAAAGCGAAATTTCATAGTTAGGAGACACAGAATTATTTGAACAAACTAACAGTTTCAGAGGAAGAAGCAGAAGCAGTCCCAACGAAAAAAAACTTGTTCAACATGATCTCCTAGACCATAGCAAAAAACAAAAATTGCCCCTCCTTTCATAATCACCACCACCAAAGGACTTCTTCTCAACCCTAGACCTAAATTATGACAATAATCCAAAGAAAAGACACGAAAAGCTATCATAACAATCTTATTACTCACTCTTAACAATCGTATTACTCACCCTTACCTACAAGTTCATTCCCACAAAACTTGAGTACAGTAAAACAAGAACCTCCTTCAATTGCCTACCCCATTAACCTTGCAAAAGACAGTCTAAACAACCTTGTTACCTACAAAAAACAACCCCAACTCATAAAAAAACTAGATATTACTCGAAAATGAGAGAAAACAACGGCTAGATATCACTCAAAATAGAGAGAAAACCTAGAGACTATACAAAAAGAAGAGACCGTAGCGTCTTGAAAGAATCCGCCAGATACGTTTTCACAATTCCCATACAATAGTTGGTGTTCGGATCGGTTTCACGCTAGGAAAACAGCTTTTGTCATCGGATTAGCGGGAGGGAAAACAACCCCGCCGGCTTAATCCGGGAGATAATTGGGTCGTGAACAGATTTGGGTCACTAAAACCTTAGCCACATTGTTTCATTATAACAAGGTGGAAAGGTTGTTTAATCGGTATTGTAAAATTTGTTTGATTGTTTTGTTGGTTTAGTAGTTTGTACTGCTGTGTTTTTGAGGTTTAACAGTAAAGTATATAGACTTAGCCCTAAAGACAGGCCTTTTTAAGGTTTAACAATAGCGTACATAGAACGAGTGTGACCGACCTTAGAATAGCCAATAATGCCATTTTCAAACGTACCTCGAACTTTTAAAGGAGGTTTTGAAGAAGAATAAGGTTCGTTTAGTATTGTTATGTATTTTGTAACCCAATCCCTATATTATTTTAGCTAATATTCAGCATAATATTATAATACAGAGAAATAGCCTACTATAACATGCCCTGCCTACTACTTTTGAGCCCAAAATCAACCTAAAACTAGAAATTTAAACCCTTAACATAACCCAATAGAAACACAAGACATAATCCTACAATAAGAAGCCAAAAAATCTTTCACAATGAAGCCATATTGCACTTAATACACCATTATCAATATTACACTAGCAATTTGTTCAAAAAACCTGATCCCCCTGTCAAAGCAAATTTTCGGAGAAAACAAGCACAGAATCATTTGAACAACCTAATATAATTAAAAAAAGTTGTCATAACGTACTTATAACGTATACTTTCTTATATGATCTTATGTAGGCACAGAATAACAACCTAATATATTAACCTACCTATTGGCCCAGTATAATAATATTAACAGAAGATTTAACGCTTTTAAAAAGTAAAAAATTTTGCACACTTTCCCGTCCAAAAAGTGTCTTCGAAATCCTTCAAAAATGTCATAAAAACAATTTGATGCTCTATGTCATGTTTTAGAAGATCAAGAGCGCCCATTCAGCTGGTGATCCATCATGTTTCAAGTAAATTTTGGCCAAAAACAAAATGAAACTTGGGATTTTGGACTTGAATTTACAAATTTAATATTTCGAAATTGCAAAAAAATATTTTACTGTGCATTTTTACTGTAAATATTCAAGTTGTACTACCTAGTTTACATAATCAAATTATGCAAATTTTTAGCCAAAAAACATTAAAAAAGCCCTACCTGGTCCCAGTAATGCCAACTTCTGCAGACACATCAACGAATCACACTGTAGAATCTCTTCAGGCAGCCGCAGGCACGTCACTATCCCGTCACTGAAACAATAATAGTCGTATAACAATATAGTGCAAGGTGTCGGTCCACTGGTAACGACCGAACACAATTTTGCATAAATTCATTTTTGATTTTTTTTTAAATTTTATTTTTCGATTTTCTTGCGACAAAATTTTGTCTTTTATTTTTTCGTCCGACACTCTCTCGTTTTTTGCACTGTCCCTAAACGTCTCTAACCGCTCTCTCACTTTTGTGCCGTCTCTCACTTTCAGTCGTTTTTTCGTTTGACAAAAAACTGTAAAGGCAGGAAGAAGTAAAAAAACATTCCTTTTCCAAAAAATGAACTATATAATACAATATTTGACTATTAAAAAGGATTTTCATATCTAAAATCTTTTAAAAAAATTTTTTTAATCTGACGAAGTTGACATTGATATCAACATAAAATTGACTATAATCCTATTGAAAGATTAATAAAATTCATCCAAAACTAAATCAAAAATCACTTACTTTTCCTCATTTTCTAGCTTTGATTTAGAACTCATTAAAAATTTTAAAAAAACCTGGACAAAACTTTGTTTTATGGGTAAAAAATGTGAAATTTTATGCATTTCCAGCAATGTTTATGGAAAAAACGTACAATCAGTCGGTTTTTTGTACTTTACCGACAAAATTGAAGTTTTAGCTGGTTTTAAAGCAATATATAGGTTTATTTTATAAAAATGGTTTATCTTAGAGCTTTTGACGGTCAAAAAGTTTCTAGAATTCTGAAGCTTGTAGGATTATGTTGATTTTACTGTCAACATACTTCTAAAGATCGCTCTGTTTCATAAAGCAATTTTAACTTTATAAGCAAGTCTTACCTATTTTGGCAGTAGTATTGTATTAAAAATGGCAGGCTTTTGAACACTTTTACCGACTTCTCTAATCTGACGCCATTTTTGTATTTTTCAATTAGGTAATGACGAACTTGTGTTGGACTGACTTTGATGCTCAATGCCATTGAATCAGCACGACTGGACGATCTTACAATGAAGTTCTGAAAAGGAAATCTTATTATGAAGTTCCGTTTTTGATTTGGTAAAGGTAATGTTAAATTTTTGACTAGGTTTTGAAATTTTAGGTAACGTTTGGCCAGAGGTAACAATGGAGAATGTAAGATAATGTAATGGATAGGCTTGGTAGCTAAAAATGGGTTGAACAACAAAAAATAATGACTTAAAAGCATACCCCAGGCTGCATAACTTGTAGTAGATGGCTAACAGTATGTCGAGATTGGCCTTGTAGGTACCAAATCGGATGAGAATAAATTATTTTCTGCCATAATAGCTGGTTTTGTTCTGTTTGTAGAGGAATGGACATACGTAGGCCTTGTAAATTCTCTTTTTGAACATTGTTCTGGTCAAGTAGTACCGGAGCAACCAGGGATTCTAGGTTAAACTTTGGTCTTTCCTATAATATTGAGGTTTCTATTAGGTCGTACGAATAATTTTGTGCGCCATCTCAGAGCAAATTTTCGGGGATAGGGGGCAACTCACGTTCAAATAATTCTGTGCCCTCAAACCTCAAAAATTTTCTCTGAGAGGAGGCACAGTAATAATTGAACAGCTATCCATATTAACATACCTCATTCGATGCGGCAATGACATCCTCCAGCTTCAGACTCTTGGACATTCTTCGGTCCCGGAGCTGGTCATTCGCTGCAAAGAAACGCAATTACTGACCTTTTGAGGGGGATTTAATCCGAAATTTTTGGAAAATGTTTTGCCTCAGGAAATGAAATTATTGAAATGCACTTTTTCATATAACAAGATTCTATTTGAATACGGTTTACGGCACATTAACTCACCGGAAATGTCATTAGGTGGAAGCGATTGTACGCATTGAACAGCTCGCACTGGTTGAACATCAACTGTTTTGTTACCTAAAGATTGGTTTGGATCAATATTGGCATTTTGTCGTTGCTCTGTGTCAGAGAGGCTGTGAAAGAACGTTGTAGGGCTTTGAAAGATTGTTGTTGTGTTTTCATTAGATGTTGAAGCACCGTGGTCATCTTTGCTTTCGAATTTTTCTTCACTTCCAAAGCCGTGAGTACTGTTCTGAATATCAAATGTTGTTGTGGAATGCCTCGAGGGCTTTGAGAAGTCAAAGTACTGAAGATGCGAGGATTCACATGTGCAGGCTGGGCTATCTGGCACTTGTGAATCTAGCTCATTCTGATTGGCTTCAGTAAAGAAAGTTGAAGTACAATGTTGATCTTTTTCGTTTACTTTCGTACCTACTATAGGTTGTTCAAAGCTTGATACTGAACGGTCTACAGTAGGTTGTCTAACACTTTGTGCTGAACGATTTAATATAGGTTGATCAACCCTTGGTACTGTACGTTCTACAACTGGTTGTCTAAAGCTTGGTACGATACCTCCTACTACAAGATTATGCCTTGTGGAAGGATCATTACGTGTCCTTTCTTCTTCTCTGCTTCCTTTTGATATTATCTTTGGTCGTTTGATCTCGAAACCGCCATTGACATTACTCTGAACATTCTTATTGCCATCTGTCTTCAAATCTTCTTTAATATTGCTTTCCTTAATGTTGTCTTCATTAAGGTTGACTTCCTTATTATTTTCTTCCTCAAAGCGTTCATTTTTATAGTTGGCTGTCGGCTGATCATCTACCAGCCTACGGGCTGACATAAACACAGTCCGTGGCTTCGGTAGAGGTCTGGCTGCTTCCATTTCACCGCTTTGGCATTCTAAAAAATGAAATATTGAGTTTTAAAATTGGAAAAGTGAAAAATGAAGCTTGTTCAGACCCGTAAAAATTTAAAATCAAAATATTAGATTGTTCACGTAATTCTGTGCCCTTAATACACATAGTAAAACTAAAAATTATAAATTTCTTTAAAATATTAGGTTGTTCAGATAATACTGCGCCTCCTAACCCCAAAAAAATTACTTTGAAAAGAGGCTCATAATTATTTGAACAACCTAATATTCACTTTTTAATTAAAAATTATTGTCTAGATCAGACATCGAGCAGAAACTGATCCGAAACCAAAGTCAAATAGAAAAAATCGCCTAGGGCCTAAGACAATTGACCTGGACATTCTGACCGGAGGCATTAATTACATGAACATCCATTTATTTCAAGGCAAACACAAGAGAATAGGAACAAAGAGCTCCTGTTTATGCCCAAAGTTCCGATTGTGTTTTAAAATATTAAAATTCAAAAATCAAGGCCAAGGAACTGCATATAGGCAAGGAGTTTTTGTAAAATAGTTTTTAAAAATCTTTAAATTTACTACGACAAGGCATAAAATGACAGTAAAACGCATAAGATCAATTTCTACCAAAAAATCATAAATCTTGTAAACTATTAGGTTGTTCAATAATTTTGAGCCACCTCGCCCCGAGAATTTGCATTGAGAGATGGCTCAAAATTTTTTGAACAATAGGTCATTAAATTCGCATAAATTTTCTTTCAAAAAATCGCATAAACTTTCTTTACAAACATATAAAGACCCAACCCATATAGAGCCCCATTAAACGGCAGCGACCTTATCCATAACCATTTAAGGACATTAATTACGAGTCCATTCCAACCGCTGTTCTCAAGGTGGAGAGCGAACGTTTGCGAAGCGCCTTGCTCAAAAGCGGATGACTCAGAAGGCTGACCAAAATCAAAAAAAGCCCATAAAAAACCAGGAAAGAGGGGGGTAAAATCGACGATCAACCCGATCTTCTTCTGGACACTTGTTAAGGGCCACGTTTCGAAAGGTGGTTTTGGCCCAACAAAGGAATTAGATTTGGGGCCAAAGCTTGGACAATGGTTTGGGAAAGTCGTCTTCCGCAGAGGCTTCAAAGTTGGAGCGGCTAAGCGAAAACAGATGACTGGACTTGATGTTTTACTAAAATTGATGTTATAGTGAAAAAATTATGTTTAGTTATAAGGCTAAAGCTTTAGTTTCAGTAAGGCTAAGGGTGTTTTGGCAGTTTAAATTACTATTTTGTTCAAATAATTCTGTGCTCATTCTCAAAACAATTGTTTTGGGTTAGGGGCCCTGAATTATTTGAACAAACTAATCGTTTTGAAAGTTGACAAAACAGCTTAAAAGTGTCTAATTAAAGCGATGACTAATTAAGGATGATCAACATAAACTGTGTATAAATATTTAGAGACGAGAATAGTGAGAAAGTAGGCGATATTAGTCATAGCCATGTCTAGGTACGATTGCTCATAGGCTTTCAATATAGGTTATTTAAATATTGTACACTGTGTTTTTTACCTAAAGGCATTTGGCTCATTTTTATGCAAAGCTGGGTGGGACCAAAATTTAATTTTATTATAGGAGGAGCAGAATTAAGTGAACGCCCTGATATTACGAATTTCTGGTCTATACCCCTTACCTCGCTACTTCCCTGCTCCATACCTCTTTCTTTTCTAATTTCCTGTTCTATATCCTTGCCCTTTTACTCTCCGTCCCCATTCCCCTTACTCCTCTATATACCCCTCTAGTAGCCCCCTGTTTCCTTTGTAATTCGAAAAAAAGTTAAAATTTAAAAAGCCCAATTCACAATTTGCAAAAATATTGTTTTAGACAGAAAACAAGACATTCGAACACCACTCTTCATTACGAACCTTATCAACTTTGTAATAAAAACAAAATCACAAATCAAAACATGACAAATAATCCGAATCAACTCGGACGCGTCTTTTTTACGTCAATTTACAAAATTTATTGACTAACCTCTTCCTTATCCTATAATTTTTTAAATAATTGAAAAATTTTAGCTAGTCTACTAAGCAGTACAGAAAAGTCTTGTAAAGAAGTCAAATTAAGGCCAATTTTTCGCCACAGCTTTTTTCAAAGGTGTTTTGGCCTATATAACTCGATCTGATCCATCTATTATACAGTGGTACCTCCATATAAGGAACCACAGTATAACAAAAAAAATCTCCCGCTTTTACGTTTTAAAATTAAAGAGTTTTAAGTTTCTGTCCATTTGACAATTTTGGCATTGTGTTTCAAGCCATTTTTTTTAACTTTCCAGACAAGCTACGCTTACAAATTTAATAATGTATATAGGTCCAGTTAAAGATTTTTTAACAGTATACTTAAGAAAAAAGCTTAAAAGTCGAAAAAATAACAAGACTATAAGCTTAAAACACAATGCCAATTTGGCGAAAAATTCAAAACGTAATTTTTTGATTTTAATTTTCTCAAGATTGGCTGGAAGGTGAGATTTAGTACTTTGCTGAAGATTTTATATTAACATTATCTTTCTGAATAAGAAGTTCAAAGACAATCAGAGAAGGTCGGGCATCTTTTTTTATGATAAGAAGGGCAAACGGAGTTCCTGAACCATCATGACAAATTTTAGTTTTTTAAAGGAAATTACCCCTACCATTTACCCTACACCCGTCGCTGTAAGCGTCAAAAAGATCCACTTACATAAAATGACATAAATTAACTAATAAACCGAGCCATTTAATTTAACAGCTCTAAAAAACCTTTGCCAAACAACAGATGTTTTTGGCACGAAGGACATGGTCAGTTTCGAGACGAATCACTCACTTACAACAACACACTTATCACTCTTGATTCACGGAAATGGTTATCACCAAACCTATATACAGTTATCACTCGTCAAAGTTATCAACCACTTGTTATCAATCAATTCGAAACATGTTTCGACAGGTATATTACCCGAATTCGTCAAAGTTTAAATTCTTTTTAATTTCTTCATAGTTTAAATTCTTTAAAGTCCGAAAAGGTTAATAAAGGTTAATATAAGGCATAAACAACTTGCTACAACAGTATAAAAAACGTATAAAGTCATTTTACTGCAGTTTTGTACAAAAATATCTTGCTGAAGTGAGAGTATATAAGGCTGATTGATAGAGACAAAACAACTATATCAATGTTACTTTTTATGTATGGTACGTGTCTTGCCTGGAGGTGTAATTATAAAAGTTTAATGTTTTTCAGCCTTCAATATGCGGTTTTTTCTTAGACGGTCAACTCCCTTTTACTACCAAGTTACAATCTGGTCTTTAAAACAAGATTATTGTTTATTGTTTGGTTTGGTGGGCGGTCGGAAAGTGCGTAGAGGTTTTTTGGGTTTATATGTGTAATTTTTTTTACTTTGCTACCAAGAAACCTAGTAAACTTAATATAAATTATGAAAGTAAGCAGCGTAAGCTTTATTTCGACTAACCCTACTTACTATATTTTTTCTAGCTGACCAGGATAAGGTAGATTGTTTAGAACTATAACGGGGTTGAGCTGAATCAAAGCCAGAGCGGTACCAAAGCGAAGCCAAAGACGGGTTAAAGCAAGTCGGAAGCCGTGCTGAAGCCGGGTTGAAGCAAGGCCAAAACCAGGCCGATACCGCGCCTAAACTGAGCTGAATCCTAACCAAAGCCGGGCCGAATCTGAGCTAAAGCCAGGCAAGAACCGAGCCAAAGCCGGGCCAAAGCCGGGCCGAACCCGGAAAAAGCCAGGCTACAGCCGAGCTAAAGCTGGGCTAAGGCCTGTCAGAAGCTAGGCTGAAACCAAGTTGAAGCAGGACCAAAGTCGGGCCGAAGCCTAACCAAAGCCGGGCCAAAGCAAAGCCAGAGCTGGGCCTAAGCTGAGACGGACCAAACCTAGAGCTTCCTTCTAAGCCTTAAGGGTATTGACCAAACAATGAATCACATAAAAAGCGTGCTACCGTCTTTCTTTTTTCTGTATTTTGTAGTAAAAAATCATAACATTTATGAACGACTTGTTTACGTTGAATTATGGCGTTATTCCAATCGGTTTGGTCAGCGTGATTAAGGCCGTTTTGGAACGGTGGGAATCATCATTCTTGCTCCGTTTTGACTTTTGGCTTTTAATTGTAGACTAGGTTACTCATGCCAATTTGAGACATTTTTTATTGAATTTTGCTAGATTTTAAAGCGGGCCTACTAGGCCCGGCACGAGTTTAAATGAAACTGGATTGGATTGGGCTAGTCTGAGCTTAGCTGGGCTGGGTTGGGCTGAGATTGCCTTGGGCTGGGATTGCCTTGCCTTGCCTTGCCTTGCCTTGCCTTGCCTTGCCTTGCCTTGCCTTGCCTTGCCTTGCCTTGCCTTGCCTTGCCTTGCCTTGCCTTGCCTTGCCTCTAACAGAAGTTTTATGCAAAATCAAGATCATTATGAACCCTTCTTTAAATTTTCATAATATGACTTTGATGTAGTTTGTGTTTGTTCGCGCAAAATATGTTTTGTTTTCTACCTTGACTCGACAATGACCGTATCTGTCATGAATTGTAAAGTGAAAACAATGTTTGATTTGATTAATTTCTCGTGCTTGAGTTTCATTGAAATATGTGTTCGTAACGAGATCATGCTTTTTACGTCTTCCGAATTCCGACAGGCGTATCACGGTCAGGTTATCAATGTTTTCTAATACATAATTTACTTTACAATCAATATACGTTCGAAGTTGGTAAACATTTTTTCGGTTTTTGAAGCTTTGTGGGTGTATATTATGTAATGTTCGTAAATGGTTTTTGGAATATTTTGTAACGTATAGTTAAGTAAAGGGTTTCTATCAATGTTCTTGAATTTAAAATTCCCGGCTTTATAGCTAGCTTCGGCCCTACCTTTTTTTAAATTTTTAGCTATAGTTGTGAGTCCAATTTTGTAGGCAGAGCTGTGCCAGCTCCGCAAATCTTTAGTACTGAAATTTTGTAATTTTTTCTTCATTTGCGGCTTTGCTTTGGCTTCAGCTTCGCTTATATTTAAATTTAAGCTACGGTTTTTTGGCTTAGTTTTGGAACCTGAGCCATGCCAGTTCAGGGAGTTTTTAGTACTGAAGTTGTTGTTTATTTTTCTATTCTTAATCATAGCTCATCAAACATTTTTTTTTATTTTTTTTGCGTTTTGAAGCCTACAACAAGATATAACATATACATATATAAAGCCTATAAGACCTACATAAAAACCATTTTTCTAAAACGACATAACTTCTAAAACCTTTTCTCAACTTGACTATTTCGTAACCCTTTCAATACGACGTAGAATGCGTCATCATGTCATCTCTCTTCGCAACAAATAACATAGATATTCCTTCTAGAAACCTTTTAAAACTCCAAGCTAACTAGAGCTTTCAAAAAGACCACAATACAACTTAAAAACCCCAAAACAACTTTGTAACCACAAGATAACCTAAAATTTTAATTTGGAATCAAGTTTAGATACCGTAACCTTGCTTCTCATGTTTATAAAAACATCAATCAACTTCATTGATCTTACTGAGTAGCTTTGTTTGGAAGTAACTGGAAGCGCTTTTTTCTTGTTTTCAGTGTTTTTAAACTATGCTTATCGTTGATTAGGATTGAACAAAAATTAGTTGTAGCTCAGGGTAGATCTGATAGAGGAAGGGGGAGGGGGGGGGGGGTGAGGTCAAAGGAAATTTGAAAGTGGGCCGGGCCGCTACGAATCAGTATATGTGAGCCTGAAGACCGATACAGTTTTGCTCATCGGGCCGAAAGGTTGGCCCCGGCTTAGTGCGACCTCTTTACAAATCTAGACTAAGATTTTATAATTCTTTATTGCCTCAGGGAATAGCTAAAAAAAAGATCAAAGCAAATTTAAAAAGAGTCAGGCCGAGCCAGCACGTGTGGGCGCAAGGCGCAAGACCTAAAAGAAAGCCCGGCTTATTAGATCAAAAAGTTGAGCCACCTTCCTTTACAGTCTCTTTACAGACCTAGGGTTTTGGGTTGACTTTTGAACTTTACATTAGATTTATTGAATATCAATACTTACCTTTGTTCTTTAATACTTCTAAATAATTACCTAAAAAATAAATTATTTTAAGTTTTTCTACTTCAAAAAGTTTTGTCATTTGCAAATATTTTATAATGTCGTGTGCCGCTTTGACTCTCTGTGACTAGAGCATAGAGCAAGTGGGCAAAGTTGTGAAATCAGTGAGTAATCCTATTTGTTGAATATTTTTGGCTAAACAGATTATCCTATTTTGTTGCTTGTAGAAGATACGGTAAAGCCAGCGTCTTATTATAACGACATATTGTTTTTAGGGTTGGTTATACCAATACTATATCATTTTTAGTAATACAGTATAACTCTTGTATAACGATCTTCTTTGTAACGTAGTTTCTGTATAACGAGTACTTTTAAACCGTTGTTTACCAAGACATAGTGCGTTTGAATTTCCTATAACAAAAACTTTTTTACAACGAAAAAATTTTAAATTTGATTGCAATTTTTTATACAGTAGATCCACTGTATTATAAGTTTTACTTTAATTCCTCTTTATCTTGTTAATCTTAAAGTTGTGTTTTTAACAACTGTCAAAGATTAGGATACTATCAAGTATTCAAAAACTTAAAATAACGTGTTGACCGGGGCTTAGCAACTTAATAACGTTAGGAACTAGAATTCGAATGCTAATTAGTTTAATTTTTATATTAAAATCGCAATATATAATAAACGATTCTAGTTTACAACGTATTCTACTTTGTTACGCAAATCTCTTACTGAGCGTTTTTACATACCGTAGGACTGCTTAAGATATAGGTTGATTGTAAACTATAGATAGTGTTAAGATAGGGTATTGTAGGGTTGGGTATTTTAGGGTAGAGTAGGGTAGGGTAACGTAGAGCGAAGTACCGTACCATGAGCTTAACCTTGCCAAGATAAAAGAGGTATAAGTAAGGTGTATATGTTTTGTTGTTGTTTTTAATAACAAATGATCTTTTAAGCGACTTTTTACTAAAAAAATGTTTTACTATTCGCCTATCACTGATCAATTCTCTATGTGATAAAAAACTTATTTTTATCAATTAGAAACATGACTTCCGGTGATCTCCCTACTATACATATGTATAAGAACCTTGTACTCACGAGGAGAATGTTGCAAGTCTGTAGAGAATTTACTGGAATAACCCTCTTTAGTATAGACACTCTTTTAATTCCCTCTTTCCCCAACTGTTAGTCATGGTTACCGTAATCATGTGATGGTTCGAAGGCGGGTATTTGTTTATGCGTTCGCGTGTTTTAACTGTAACTGCCATTGTTTTTAATATACTTTTTTCGAATTTTCTGTATGCTTTGTATCTTCGACGGACATTTATATTTGAGCTTTATGTAGACAATGTTCGGAATTTGAAGTTTGAATTACAGTAAAAGCATGCTTGGGTACAACTTGTTGGCGTTTTGTTGTGTTTTGTTGATAAACCCATCGGAAGGCCGGTACTGTGGAGAAAAGTTGATGCAAAAGATGAATACGCTGTGTACGAAGCAGTTGGATTGTATTAATGTAGAACCGGATTTACGGCAGCCTTCAAGTAAGTGTTCTATAGTTATTTTGTCAATTACTTTTTGCATAACAAACCGTACAGTAAAATACAGTTTACTATTTCGACTTTTGTTAAAAATTTTAAAAAGTGGAATTTGGAGCCAGAATCAGAGCTGCAGCCATAGTTAGAACCAGAGCCGAATCCGGAGCTAAAGCCGGACCCAGAAATTTTAAATGTAGAAACTTTGTTGATAAGGTTTCTCAAAAATAGTTAAAGTTTTTAATTGATTACCTACTGATATCAATTGTTACTTACGAAACACAATATTGTAGGTGAAAACACAATATTTTAAGCTTTGAACCGGTTTTTCAAATATTAAACCTTAGTCGAACACGTCATTGACTACATGTTCTGTGATAAAAAAGTTTATTTTTACCTGGTTTTTACTGTAATTTCAATTTAGTGCAGAATTTCTTAGAAAATGGAAAAATTACTGTTTACTGCAACAAACGCTTATTATTATATGTATAATCAGTGTTTTGCCCGGACCGGTCCGGAGCGTTTTTCACTGGTCCGGTCCGGCGATTTTTTGGGTCCGGTCCGGTCCGGTCCAAACTTCAAATTTTTGGGTCCGGTCCGGTCCGCAAAAAAAATTTTTTTAATTTTTAAAAAAAGCAAGGAGCGCTAAAACTGCTTTCTTTTTGCTTAAAAACTCCTAAAAATATGTTTTATTTGCAATTTTTAAAACAGTTTTCTTAAAATAAAAAAAAAAATTTTTCCGGACCGGTCCGGAGCTTTTTCTTCGGTCCGGGTCCGCAGGTTTTTGGGTCCGGTCCGGTCCGCAAAAATTTCTGTTTCGGTCCGTCCGGTCCGGCAAAACACTGTGTATAATAATAATGAATGCCATTTTTTGCTAAAAAAATTAAAATTAACCAAACTTTTTATTTTATAAAAACTTGTTTGCTTACTTGTTTTTGTGTTGTTTTAAGATGAGTCAGTATAGTAAATAGTAGTTTTTATATGTTGGTTAAACTGTATTTGAGGAACAACCACGCAAGGTTTGTCTCGTGATTATGTTGCACAAAATACACGTGTACAAACATATGAGATCATATGGTATAGTTAAAATAAGAGTCAAATAAAAAAGCTTAAAAGTAGAGCTGAAAATAGCTCACTAAAAGCTCGGTTAAGCCTCGGGCTGGGCTAAGCTTGTTTTGGCTGGGCTGGGTTAGGTTAAGCTACCTAGTTTTGAGCCGGACTAAAAAACTTGGTCTGGCTTTTTTATTAAGCCTACTTAAAATTGAATTTTAAAAAAATTTTAAAACTTTACTATAATATGGCTAATGCACATAAGCTTTTCAGTGTTTCTAAGGTGGTGCTGTAGCCAATCAACGTGTACTGAACTGGATCTCAAGAAGTTTTGTTGTGGTTTAGTGTTGAAAGCAAAGCTTAGCCTAAATCAAACATAAGGGTAAGTTTTTGTAGCCTTACAGTATCTTTCTGTACTTTTTGGTACCCCTAGTAGCCTTGGAGACTTTTTTTTATAAATAATAGCCTTTTCAGTATCTCTTTGTACTTTTTGGTACTTTTTGTAACCTTTTGTGCTACTATTAGCCATGGAGTACTTAGTTGTATTTTTTTGTATTACCATTAGCTTTTTAGTACCTTATACTACTACTGAAGGAAACTTATTTATTAGAGTGTTAATATGCCATTAAATGCTACTGTATTTACTGTAATACAGTAGCTATAATTTATTTTCTAATCTATTTACCCAATTAGCTTTATTTTCAAGTAAAGCTTCATTGCCTACAGTATTCTGCTATCTACAGTAATATTTTTGCAAAACTAAAACTAAAACTTTAACTTTTCGAAATTATTTTTAAAATTCGAAGCTAATCACTATTAATTACGAACTTGAACACAGTAGTCATAATCCCGAAAATGTTACTCATCTGTTGATCAAGTAAGTCTTTACTACTCATGTCTTCATCAGCAGATCTCGTTTGTAATATCCGGTCGTTCTTCCAGAAACAAGCCGGTTTCTCGCCTCGCGAGACCTACTTATTGCTGACCGCATGGTATTATCAATTAGCATTACATTATGTCCACCACGACCTCGATGATGAATCACCAAAGAAAACAGTTTTAATCGTTATTGTTGGTACTCAGATCTTATTGTAATATGTTATGTTGTGAAAGTATATCTTATTGTTATGTATTTTTAAAGTTTTTTGATATTAAGTTGCGTAAAAAGTTTTGAGCCCCTTTTAAAATATGATAGATTTTTTAAAACTCAGGAATAAATTAATATATATAGGCGTTTGTATTACATAGAAGACATTTTCTTATATAAAGTTAGGGGAGGGGTGAGGGGCTCAACACTTTTTACACAACCACAGTTCTTTAAGTTTTTTTCAAATAAATTTTTATAAATACTCATAAATATTATTAAAAAATAGTATTAAGTTGTTCAAATAATTCTGAACCCTCTCTCAAACCAAATTTTCAAAGCCAGACAGCGCAGAATTATATTAACAACCTAAAACTTTAAGAAAATTATGATTTATTATATACAGTACTCTCTCTATATAAGCAACCCGAAGTGATCGGCATTTTGCGTTTACTATAAGGGGTGTTGTCTTTACAGAGTGATTTTTAGTTCAAATTGACTTGGCGGGCCCAAATTCCTTGTTTACTATAAGGAGAGTTGCTTATACAGATGATTCACTATATAGAGAAGCCACTGTATAAATTAGTCCAAATTGAATATTTAGAGTAAGATACATAGTAAAATAAATTTTTTTGCAATTTCAAACATTATAAATTTGTCAATTCAAGTCCAAAATCCGTAGTTTCGTTTTGTTTTTGGCCAAAATATACTTGAAACATGATGGATAACGAGCTGAATGAGCCTTCTTAATCTTCTTTTGTTTAAACAACTTACTACCATAAGCTTAACCTTGGCAAGAAAAACAGATAAGCTTTCATTTTACCACCTTTGTCATAGTAAACCAACTTCATTTTACTACCCTTGTCATAGTAAACTAAAACTTTGAACCCAATGTCAAATTTGAAACACTTAAATCCCCTTTTGTCACCTTAATAGCCGATGCTCAACACGCCGTATCTTCGCAAAACCGATATAATCCTTTAAAAGTAAAACCTACAAATTGGGAAAGTAACCTAAATCGAACGAATCTATGTCAATCATCCAGCTGATAGATATCCCACAATCACTTTCGGAATGTCGGCGAAAGCACAGGGATGGTCGAGCAACGTTGAACATCATGTTTTGCGGTTTGGCAAGATGTTAAAAGTGGCATATTGAACAAAAAATTAAATTTTAAATTTTTTTTGAAAAATGCCTAAGGAGTTAAAAAAACAGAAAGAGGAGGGGAGAAAAGGGGGGGGAGAGAATTGAAAAATGAGGGAGGGGGAAGAAGTAATTTTAAATTTTTTTGTTTAAAAATGGTGCCACCTTTAAATTTTAAAAAAAAAATTCTTTGGGGGACCCTTTCCTGCCCCATACCCCACAGGGCATTTTCAAACTAATTTTTTTTGTGAAAATTTGCAAAAATAAGCCTCTAAGTACATACTTTCTTGTGTTTTATATCTTTACTGCATTAACTTTCATTTTAAAACATTTTTGAAAAAAAAACTTCACCTAGCCAAGCTTAAAGCCCAGACAGCCAACGCTTATCCCGCCTCGAAGCCAGACCCTTTACTGCATTAACTTTCGTTCCAAATTTGGAACTGACATATTAAGAGTGATAGCCCAGGTGAACAGATCAAGATGCCGAGAAGGCGATACGGGTCAAGGCTGTTTGGGTATTCGGTTAACTGTGTCATCTCGACGGACTTTCAAATCTGGCGTGTCCTTGAGTCGCGGCGAGAGCGAAAGTCGTTCGTGCACCCGGATTCGTTCGGAAACTAGTTAGCATCGTTGCAGAAGTTGTTAGGCAGTAACACTGCTGCCTATATTTTACAAGTTTATAGTGTTATATAGTCAAAGTGCTGCCCTTTGCTTCAAAAAACATTTTTTTTTGAAAAAAGTTGTGCTTGGTCCCCCCTGTTAACTTTTTTTTCAAATTTTACTTTTCTTATCTTTGCTAGGCTACACTACCACTCAGACTGTTCAGGCCAAATCACCACCCAGGCCGTCGACAATCTGTCTACATATGTACTATACATATCCCTGCCATTTCAAACCCCTACCGTTTGTTACTTTTGCTTTTACTGTGTTCTAACGCCTTTGATCAATACCTTTATTTGAAACGATGTTGAGAAATCGTATAGTATTCGAATGAAACGGAAAGCGGATTTGAAGAAAAATGGAAATTTAGATATTGAAATGGGAATTCAAATTTACCGTGTAATGGGTTAATACATTTACTATAGGAACGGGATTTCGACCGGTTCATTTATTGTAAAATGGAGTTTTAGTTTTTGATACAATATAATGAGTATAGTCATCAAAATTGACTTTCATTTAAAACATGCTTTGTTTTAGGATTTTTAGTACTGTTTTATACTGAAGAATCATTTTTTAAACATATTTCATTTATTAATTTGAACCAAAAGTAGCGGGACACTTTTCATCTGTTTTCAATTAAGAGTGTCCCATTACTTTTGGTTCAACCTAATATGTCAAATGATTTTAAAAATTGTTTGTTGGCTTCACTATTGGGTTGTTCAAATAATTCTGCACCACCTTCGTTTAAAGCAAATTTTTCAGGTTAAGGGGCGCATAATTATTTCAACAACCTAATATAATTTTTAAATAAATTCTTGTTTTGGTCTTTGATTAGTGCTTTGATCAAGACGTTTACCTTTAAAAACTTCAGGATATTCACCTTTATAAATTTTAAGGCATTAACCTTTAAAAGCCCGATAAGTACCTTAATTTTAATTTTTTGCCAAAAAATTACATTATGTAAGAAAACGATGACTAAAGTGTTATTGCAAGCTTCCTCAACAAAAACATTATTCTAAAAGCATCTCGAGGTAGATTGCCTTGGCAGATAGTAACCAGCAGACGGTATCTCGAGAGATCTCGTTGGCGCTGGTGGTGAAAAAGGGGGGATAAGGTAGCGACGACGACGACGAACGGCACAAGATTCATCGCAGCGATTGTAGGTCAGCGGATTGTTTGACCAGGTATTCCGCCCGTTTAAGGCTGGCTTCTTTCTTTTCTTCCAAAATATATAATTCACCGTTTTTTCGAATTCCAATAGCGCTTATTTAGAGCAGCCGCGCCGATTCCTGAAGATTCGGCTGGGGGGAGGGGCGTCTCCAGAAGATACTCTTACTTCTTTATCCCAGAATCCCGTCCCCCCATCTCTCCGCACCTCAAGTGAATATCGTTAACATCGGCGCCGGAGGTTATGGTTGTTTTAGGTCGCATTTGATTTCATTTATCCCGCAAATTGACTTCTTCCGGTTCACTTTTACGGTTTTGGCTTCAGGTAGTTGATCCTTGGGTTGTAAGGGTAAAGTAATTGGTCATTGTGATGCAATTGTAAGGTAGAGAGTTATTGGGTAGTAATTGTAAAGCAGAGCGCTATTGAGTAGATTGTAAGAGCCTTTTTATATTGTACTAGCTCTAAGGCAGTTTGTTTTTTACTAGAATGATTAAAGTTTTCAATTTATTAATTTGTATAAAAATTAATGAGCTACTAAGTTCAGTAGCTCATTATTTTTTATACTACTTTATATATGAAACGAGATTATATTTTTTTTTTAATTTCGGTTTAAAATTTAGGTACTAGAAGGCACCAAAAAAGTTTTGTCGCTTTTTGACGTAAAACTGTGCCAATTGACGACAAAACTTTTGTAGTGCTCTAAAAATCTAATTTTTTAATTTTTTTTTGATCTTAAAGCATTTTAAAACCATCGTTCTATGTATTGAAGCGTTTTTAAGTTTGGTTAATATCATGTCTTTGTGTTAAATTTTTCAAACTGTACCACTTTGTAGCGAATCCCTTTGTTGGACTGTGCCGAAACGGGAACAACAGAACCGAGTGTAATATCCGTCCAGTATGAGGCGCTCCGAAGCCCTCCGTCTGGTTTTTTGTGCTTTTTTAATAAATTTGGTCCTATCACGTGAGTTTTTAAGGTTTAAATTGGATAACTCATTAGTACTGACATTTTAGTTAAACCAAAAAAAATTTAATTTTTAAAAATTTTTTTAAATCAAAATTTAAGAAAATCAATAAAAATTTTTTCAAAATTATTTTTAAAAAATTTTCGAAAAAAACATTGATTTTGTTACCTAATTTACTCTTATCTACAGAAGAAGCTGATCCATGTAAACGACAGCCATTCCGCGGCCGATGTCCCGGCAATGGCGCTAACGGTCAACCACAACGATCTCAGTTCGTATTGCGTTACTACTTAAGAAGCGGCGAATGTGTTTCGTATCCATACGGTAAGCAAACATCATAACGTTTTTGGGAGATACGCTTTTAAAGTGGCTTTAGTTCGAAATTGTGAAGAAATTTTAAAAGATTTTTTAAAAATTTGGCTGCAAGTTGACTTTTTAAAATTCACTTATTTTGTAAAATACGTTCAACGTGCTTTACAATTTGCTTTAAATACAGGTTTTTACCATCCAAAAACATTGTAAATCTCCCAATTCTAGGTCACTGTTCCAACGACGAAAACGAGCCAAAACTGTTCCGTTACAAGGAAGAATGCGAAGATTCTTGCATCGGAAACAAAGAAATCGTCGAAGCCACACAACCTCCAAGCTCCGTCCAAACCTACGCCACCATGGCTCCAGACAAGTCGGAATGCGAGAAGCAACGTGAAAACAAGAACGGCGGCGGTCTCGTCAAAGGAGGCTACGTGCCCGAATGCGAAGAAAACGGATCCTTCAAGCCGCTACAATGCGAACAAGACGGATTAACCTGCTTCTGCGTGGATCGTAGCGGGATCGAGCTGCCCAACTCGCGTTGCCAGCCGGGTCAGCCCAAGCCGGACTGCGAGAAGATCGCCGCCGCACCGCCGATGCGCTCCAACGAGTGTGGCGGTGGGGTGGATGCGGGACCGTGCCAAGGCCACATCCTTCGCTGGTTCTACGACGAAGCCACGCTACAATGCAAACAGTTCGACTACACTGGCTGTGGAGGTAATGGTAACAACTACCCAACTGAGGTCGCTTGTAAGCTACGATGTGCTCCACAAACGCAGTCAGAAGAACAGTTGTGTCACAGTGGCCTTCCACTGAAGAATCCCGAGGGAACGTTGGCCGACTGTTCCAGGAGCAGCTGCCCAACCGGCTTCAAGTGCAACAACTTGCCAACTCAATCTGTTTGCTGTCCGGATGTTGAACGCTCAGAAGCCGGTGTCTTGGATTCTGGAGTCAAGGCCAACATCTGTTCACTGCCAAAGGAAAGAGGACCTTGTGATCGATATGAGTTGAGATTCTACTACAGTCCCGAGCTCAAAGAGTGCAAGTACTTCTTCTACGGAGGTTGCGAAGGCAACTCCAACAACTTTGCTTTGAAGGACGAGTGCGAGAAGACTTGTGCTTCTGGAGCTTCAACTGTCAATGCTGGTGAAAGTGTCCCAACTACTACTACTGAAGCCGAAGCCAAGGTTGAACAGACTGAAGAAAAGACTGAGGTCCCAGCTGTCACTACTGAAGGAATCCCAGAAAATGAACCAGAACCAGCTCAGACTACATCTTCAGCTGCGGAAGACACCACGGTCGACCAGACTTTGGTCAAGTTGACTAAGGAAGAAGAGATCTCTCAAGACAAACAAGACGAGAAGGCTCTGACTGAAGACAACCAAGAACCTCGCCAAACTTCTGAATCTGAAGCCAGTGAAACCTTTGAATCTGTCAATCGGCAAACTTCGGAATCCGACAACCCAAAGACTTCTGAAAACCAAAAAGCTTCTAAATCTGAGAACCAACAAACTTCTGAAGCCGAAACTCAACAAAGGGAAACTGAGACTTCACTTCCAGATCAACAAGAGATCGACAGTGAAGTCAAGGCTGAAGCCAAAGAGACTGTAGAACAAGTTGACAATGAGCCAAACAGTGTAGAACAAGTCGTGGAAGAGGCTACACAACGTGCTTCTGAAACCAGACGTCCAGTAGAACAAGCTGCCTCTTCGGAATCTGTGCAGTCAAGAAGCCAAGCTACAGAATCAAGAGATCGCTCTTCAGAATCTAGAGGTCAAAGCTCAGGATCTCGTAGCCAAACTTCTGAATCCAGAACTCAATCAGAACAAATCAGAAGCCAATCGTCACAAAACCAAGGCTCAACTGGCCAATCTTCATTCAGACGTCCAGAGACAGTACAAACCAAGCGACCAGCCCCAACCACAACTACTCCAGCTTTACCATCCAACAGATGCCAACATCCTCAAGATATCGGCTCATGTGGAGGACGATTCGAACGTTGGTTGTGGAACGCCGACAAACGCATCTGTGAGACGTTCGTCTACAGTGGATGTGGTGGTAACGGCAACAACTTTGGCAGTCGCGAAGAGTGCTTGAGCATCTGTCATGTTGAAGGTGAGGTTTTAAAATTAAAAAAAAATTTAAAATCATAGCTTCCTTTTAAAAGCCAAAACTCTACTATAAGCCCCTTATAACCCTCCTCCTTTCAGCCGTCCCCAAGGTAGACCCCAAGGAAGTCGACCTCGAGAACGTCTGTGACCACGACATTGATGCTGGCAACTGTGGCAACTCCTTCGTACGCTTCGCCTTCGATAAGGAAGCCAACGACTGCAGACAATTCAACTACGGTGGCTGTGGAGGCAATGGCAACAACTTTGCCAACATGAAAGAGTGTCGCAAGAAGTGTGCTGGCCGTGTACAAGGTACTCGTAGAGGATCAGCACCCGATTGTAAATTTTCGTTTCTTTCTTTGAGTATTAACGGCGGTGTAAAGAAAGAAACCACTTGTTTGGTGGGGTAGGGTTGGTTGGTTAGGTGGGATAGAGTTAGTTATGTGAGGTAGAGTAAATTGAGGAAGGATATGCTAGAGAAGAACAGGGAAGGGTAAAATGAGGCATAAAATCTTATTTTAAGATAGGCTAGAGAAGGATATAGTAGTAAAGTAAGGAAGAGAAAAGATATGACCATTCTTGACAGCAAGCTAGAGTAGGTCCTTAGTAGATATATTGATTGAACTACCATAGTTAATATAAAGCTATAGTGACATCGCGAGGTTATTTTTAGACTAGAGCAGGGTTCAAACTATGTTACATAGAGCTACTGTAACTTTATTCAAGTTTATATAATAGTTAAAGTCCTCAAACAACCTTAAAAACCACTGCCAACCAACCCACCCCAAACAACAATGCACTACCACCACGTTTTTCATTTTTGCACTTTTGTTACCTTAAGTTACCTCCTCCCCACTATTTTTGTTCATTTTCAGCCGCCGTTCTGCCTGAAAACCACTGTGAACATCCAGTGGATGTTGGAGAATGTTCAGGAGTCTTCACCAGATTCGCTTACAACCAACTGACCAACGACTGCCAACAATTCACTTACGGAGGTTGTGGAGGAAATGGCAACAACTTCCCTAACAAGGCTGAGTGTTTGTCGTCGTGTGCGAAAGGTATAACGGTTGTTTGTTATAACAATATTTGAGCAGTTTTGTTGTTGATATACGTTATAATAGCTATTATAACGGATTATAATAGTGTTCTTGCTTTAGTTATTTGAATATTGAGTTAGTTTGATAGTTATTTCGTTAGTTTTTGCTGTGGTTTGGCTAAATTTTTGAGAATTTTAAAGGTTTTGAAGTGTTAAACCTCTAGAATCTTCTTATATTTTCAATATTTTAAGTTATTTTGCACTGAATTCAACAAACGATAGTAAAAAAAATAATTAGCAGACTATGTACTACACTACTATCCACTTTTTTTAAAATTTACTTTGTAACTTATTTTTGGCACTAAAACCTAGGTTTAAACCTTATTTCTTTAGTTAAATGCCCACCAGAACCAGCCTGTGACACCACTCACTGTCAATTAGTTAAGGACGCTCATGGATGCTCGTTCTGTAGCTGTCCACCACCACCATCCATCTCTCACCCACCACTTTCACCACGTATGTTAAGATGCACGATGCCATCCTTGTTTTTTGACATTGACTTTCTGAAAATAGGGTTTTTAGTGTCAAAAGGTTAAGAAAAAGCTAGTTTCGGTAATAAAAGTTTAGGTATAAACTTTTTAACAAAAAACTATAAATTTTAATAATAAAATTATAAAAGTGTTACCTAAAATTAAACGAAAAAAGACCTTTTATTGCCCCAAAACTGAAAATTATTACCTAAAATTCAAGTTAAACTTGCATTTATCTAACTCACCTTATTTTAGCCCCAGTGATCAAGCAAAGAGCCCACTGCCCTCCATTGGACATCCAATCTTGCACTGACCCATGCATCATCTTCACCAACCGTGAAGGATGTCAAGAATGTGTGTGTCCAGTAACTCCACCAGCTCCAATCGGCCGTCCAAGTGACTTTGTTGGTCGACCAAGTGAATTGGGAAGCCGACCAGGAGATTTTGGTGGTAGACCATCTGGATTCGGAGGAAGAGCACCAGCTCCACCATCTCCACCTTCTCCATCGTCGCCTGTTGATGTACCACCAAAAAGTAGGTTGATTTTAATGAGTTTGATCTCGCAAAATCGAAATATAATATTGTAATTGGACGAAGATATTTTTGCAAAAGTTTAAAAAAGACTTTCTGGAAAAATCCTCATGGATAATATAAATTTAGGTCTCAGAACGAATAAATTTGTTGTTTTAACGTCTCAAGCTAATTTTTTCAAGGAATTCTTGATGCGTAATTTAAAAATTTATGTATTGTGATACTGTTTTAATATTTCTCAATTCTTTTTTTTTCATTTTTTTCTCCAAACCTAACACAATATAATCTTATCCTTCTTTTCAGTCCAAAAACAGCCCGTAGTCGAAGGAACTCGAGTCCGTGACAGTGAAAACGACATTCGCGACGAGATTCGCCCTCAATCCTTCCCAACTCGTGAGTTTGTGCCAGAGCCAACTCCACCACCAAGACAACATGTTCACGTTGAAGAGCCATTTGCCGAGATTGGTGAACAATGTACTCAACGAATGGACCCTGGACCTTGCAGTAACTTTGTCCAGAGATGGTTCTTCAACCCAGCTCAAGGAGTTTGTGAGCCATTCCAATATGGTGGATGTGCTGGCAATCGCAACCATTTCTTCACCGAAAGAGAATGTCAGATTCATTGTCAGAGATTCGCTGCTCCAACAAGTAAGTTTTGGCATTGATTTTTACGTTGTTTAAAATTTAAACATAATGTTTGATGCCTTTTCACATTCACAAGTCATTTTTTATACTTATTTTTTAATCACAACATCTCTTTCTTTCACATCTTTGAAGGAAAACACCATTTCATACCTTTTTTAATCACAAAATCACTTAAAAACACTTTTTTACCTCACTAAATGCACGATATTAGGGACCGAAACCACCACTGAGTTTGTTGCACCATCACGATTCACAAATGAGCACTCGGCTTCACAAGGCCGTGGCTTCGAAGCCTCACAGAACGAACGATTCGAGACTGTTCAGCTGAGAAGACCTGAACAATTCGATCGTTTTGCTGGTCAACAACAATTCCGTCAAGGCCCAAGACTGAACTTCCAACAAGGAGGTCAGATTGGTACTCAGGGAGGTCAAGGAATTCAAAATCAACAAGTTGAAGCCGGAAGAATTGGCCAACACGTCCAACAACCAATCCACGTCCCCACTCCTGATGGTCCTCAACATATTGATCTGCCTTTGCGTCGTGTTAACCATCAGCCACAGCCATTCGCTCGACCTGAACAAGGTGTCATCGTTCCACCACGTAACGGTCCACAAGGTCAAGAACAAGTTAATGTTCCTCAAGGTCAACAAGTTGAAAGAACCCAAAACCAACAATTCGAGTTCATTGAGAAGAGCTTGAACAATGGAAATGATTTCGGAATCGACGTGCCAAAGACCGTGCCAAGGACATCTGTTCCATCTGGAGCTGAGTTGAAGCAATTTGGAGCCAATCTTGACCAAAGTCTCGAGAAAGGACATATTGAACAGGCTTCACATCACGTTCAAGAGTCTTTCACAACACCACGAAACGGTCAGGAATCACAACAAGGTCAAGAGTCTTTCACTTCTTTGAGCACCGACTCCGAACGTAAGCCAAACACGCTTAATGCACCCAATTTGCCTTCTTCTGTTTTCCAACCTTTTGAAAATTCACAAGCTGGCAAAGGCTGGCGTTTCGTTTCCAAAGCACCGCTTAATTCCGAACACGCTGCACAAGCCTTTGGCCGGGAAAACGGACAAAATGCCGGACAAAACGGCCAAAATCAAGGTCCAAGAACGGCCCTACCCCGCCTTCTCCGCCCTCTACCAGCTGATCCAGTAGTTCAGAAGCAATTCCAAGTCACTCAGCCACCACCTCAAATCAACTTTGCTCACGATGCCAACTCCCGACCAGTAGCTCACGCTCAACTTTCGGTTCATGAAGCTTCGTACCAAGCTGATGAATCCGAAGACAAACAGCCCGGTTTCAACCCTGGCCAAGAGCCAAGCCGTGACAACAACCCATACGCTGCTTCCAAATCACAGACTCCACTTCCAAACTTCAGTATTCCACCATACAAGCAGCCGGCCAACATTAACGACCAGTATATCCCACCACAGTCACAGCCATCGTATCCTGGCCAAGGACAACCTCAATATCCAGGACAAGGTCAGCAGCCTGGTCATGGGCCACAACCGCAATTTCCAGGCCAACACCAGCCTCAATTCCCAGGCCAATTCAATGGTCCACAAGTCAACAACCAACAGTATATTCCACCTCAGCCAGCTACCGTAGGACCCAACGTGAAGCCCACGATTAATGAAGTTGCTAACGGTAACCCATGGACTTCTCCAACTTTGGCCCCACCAGTTCAGCCTTCTGAACCCAAGTCGGAATACAAGAAGGCTAAGGATCTGGCGCCTGCTCCATCTGCTGCAACTGAAACTCAATTCCAGACAGTGAAGAAGGTGGATGTTGTCGAAGAAGTTGCGGTTGAAACTGAAGAACCAGAAGCTACTACCGTATCTAAATCTGTAGCTACTACTGAACCTAGATCTGAAGCTACTACTGAATTCAAATCTGAAGCTACTACTGAATCAAAATCCAGCATTGAAGCTGAAATTGTAGCCGAATCAACTCACAAACTTAACATCAAGCCAATCGCTGTTACTGATAAGCCAGAAGAAGTTAAAACTAGAGCAGCTAAGCTAGAGCCAGTCCTAGGCAACGTCATTGACAAAGAAGGTCACGATGAGAAGGACGTTCACGCTGGAGAGTTCAAGCCTTCAGAAGAGGTCAAGAGCAAAATGTCTGTAGCTTCAACCAGCTTCGATGGTAACGATTTTCATGAGAAACAATCGTTGGTGGAGCTGACTCACTCGACCCAATCCGAAAAAAAGTCGGTCGAAGAGAGCACGCTGGCTTCTGAACATTTGATTCCAACAAGCGAGGACTTGGATCAAGATAAGGATTTGTTAGAAGTCGCTTCTGGCCAAGAGCCAATTGAACTTCATCGTGAAACTACTGCATCTGCTTCTACTGCCGCTTCAAGTTCTGCTACTGCTGCTTCAGAAGTTTCAAAGACGAAAGCATCTGTTGCTACTACCGCTTCGGAAGCTCCAAAGACTTCTGCTTCAGAATCTTCCCAAACTTCTGCTTCTTCAACTTCAGTAGCCTCAACCTCAGTAGCCGCTAGTTCTTCTACGACAGCTCATAGCACCGTCGGTACTTCTGCTTCAACCACGGCTCACTCCGAGACCCCAGCTTCTACATCACAAGCTACATCGTCAAGCATTGCAGAATCTAGCACCGTACACATCACTAAAACTCATACTGCACCATCAAACACTGTGGCACCAACACAAGGTTCTTATTTTTTTGCACGGTTTTGGTCTAACATTTTTTATATTACACTAACCAAGTTTTTATCTACAATTTATTTTACAATATTATAGTAGATATGTTAATATAAAAAATATTTTAACCATACTATTTTAGGACAAACTACCCCAAGACCAACCACAAGCAGAAGAATTGAGACGACCAGAGTAGAAACCACTACTCCAGCCCCAACTACCGCCCGTCCAGTTCAACAAGGTATTCAGAGCTTTGTGGAGAAGCCACTCCCAGCTGACAAGGTTGTTATCCAAGCTCCAACTGAAGCTCCAGAAGAGAAGAGCACCTACCCAGCTGAACCCATGACTACTCCAGACCCACGTCTTCTCACCCAATCTACACTAGGAAGAGTACTACCTGGTGGACTAGACCCATACAGCCGGAACGGTGGAAGACAGCACGGTGTCAGAACCAGCCAAGACGAACCATCTGAACTATCTGACTCCAATTCACCAAAACCAATTCAAGAGTTGGACGAGGTGGCTAGCCACTTTGCTAACGTCGCTGCTTGCCCCAACCACAAAGATCCTCTCAGATACGACAACAACGACGTCGTGCTGTGCTTGCCTGGCCGTGAACAATGCCCAGACAACTCGGTCTGCTACTTCAATGGTCTCGACTTCTTCTGCTGTCCAAACGTTGACGATCCTTATGACAACCACGTCTTCGGAGGCTACGACGGTGAGGAGGAGAAGCACGGCTACAAGAACACCTTGAACATCAAGGCCATTCCAACCAGAGCACGTCGTCATGCACAACGTGACCTGCCCCCATCCGCCTTCTCTATCGACCACATCACTTCACCTTTGAGATTCGACGGTCAACCACCAAAACAAATTTCTCGGGCTGGACTAGCCAACCAACGTGTCAACCCATGCACACAAGACGTACAAAAAGGCAGTTGTGATGGACAACATCTGAGATACTTCTACGACATCCACTCGGACGACTGTAGACTGTTCTACTTCACCGGCTGCGACGGCAACGAGAACAACTTTGCTACACAAATCGAATGCGAACGACGATGCAAACTCGGCCCAATCATCGAGAAGCCAGCTCCATCGGCGTCAGATGACAAAACTCCAGCTGGACAGTGTCCAAATGGCCAAGCTCCATTGGGAGAGAACGCTCCAGTCCTTTGTGGTAACCAAACCGACTCCATCGGATGCCCAACCGGCTACTACTGCCGTCAAGGACCTCCAGATGTCTGTTGTCCAACCGAAGTCGAGGAAATCAAGTCGGTTAACCGTGACGTCAAGCCAGTTGTCTTTCCTCAACGTCAATGGGGTGATGTCAGAAGAAAGGAACGTGTTCAGTTTACGGTAGAGAACCGTGACGCCCTTCCAGTCAACGTAGCCGGTGTCGCCACCAAGACTCAGGACAAAGACTTTGACTCCAGAATCCCCTTGGATGAAGCCAAGTCGGAAGACATTTCCCAGGCCAAGCAACCCGAGCTCTTCCCCTCCAACATGTGTCCAGATGGATCAGATGCGTTGAACGGTGAGGGGGGCAAACCCATGGTTTGTGGCGCTGGTTTGGGCGTGGACGGCTTCAAGATGTGCCCCCGCGGCTTCTACTGCTCCATGGATGCGGAACGTAACTCGCGGCTGTGTTGCCCGCTAGACATTCAGTCCAGCAACGTACCACCACCACCAGTCGTGGCCCCATACCTCGGCCATCGACACGCCAATCCAGGAGAAGCGATCGGCCGCGGCTCGCTGCCCAGTGATTTGCGCAGACTCAGGAAGGCCTAATCCTAAGCATCTAACTTATTAAAAAAGGGTTTTCGATTCGGAATACTTAAGATTAAGAAGTGTTTTCAATGGCCTCCCTTATCCTCAACTCAAATCTCGTTCTACATTCCAGCTTGTGTCTTTAGTACTGTTGTTATCGTTTATTTCGTTCATTAACTGTGTACAAATATCCACTTACATTTGAATTTTCGATTTTGTTTGTTGTGGAATAAATATTTTTAAAAATTTGACTTGATTCCTTGGTTTGACATCACCCCAAAATTGGTGAAACGCCGGCTAAGTTGACTGGAAGAACGAAACGGTTCTCTACCTTGAATTGAACCCGTTGCTTAATTCTGACATCACCCCATTGACGTTGAGGAAACAATACTGGCTTGAAGTCACGGTTAATCGACTTGACTTCATCCAATGGGATTCTGGAGTCAAAGTTTTTGTCCTGAGTCTTGGTGGCGACCCGGCTACGTTGCCTGGAAGAGCGTCAAGGTTTTCTATCGTGAATTGGACCCGTTTCTTTCTTCTGACATGATCCCATTGACGTTGAGGGAAGACTACTGGCTTGAAGTCACGGTTAACCGACTTAACTTCATCGACTTCAGTTGGACAACAGACATCTGAAGGTCCTTGACGGCGGTAGTAACCGGTTGGGCATCCGATGGAGTCGGTTTGGTTACCACAAAGAACTGGAGCGTTCTCTCCCAATGGGGCTTGGCCGTTTGGACATTGTCCAGCTGGAGTTTTGTCATCAGAAGCCAATTGAGCTCGGAAAATTTTCTGTTTTAAAATTTTTTTCAATAAAAAAGCTGCGAAATCAAAAAAAAATAAAAAATAAACCAAAAAATGAAAATTATGCAAATTTCCAAAAACCAACTCAACGAAAAAAGGACAAAAGAGCTGTCGACCAAATTCTTCCATTCATTTCTCGTTGCAAGGCCGGTCGCGACAACATGGCAATGTCGCCCATCAACAGCCAAGGGCTGGACGCGCACGCCAAGGTGGTGAGAGCGTTCCATTCGATGGAACAGTGGCTTGGCGGCTCGACCGTCAAAACCGAACACATTGCCCAGGGACCGTCGTCTACCGTCTACAAATTGTATTCTGGAAGGTTTGTTTTTTTTGCTTTTTTTTGGGGGGGGGGGGGGGAGGTAAAAAATTTTAATTTTTAAATCCACCCCCTTTCTAGCCCGAAAAAAACCCTCCCAATGTCATGTATAACATCAAATCCGTTTCAGATTCAACTCGGACGTTGCTATGAAACTCGTAAACACCACCGCCTTACCGCCCAACTACGAATCCACCTTTTTGCAGCGAGAAATCGAGATCTGCCAGTCCATCCGCCATCCCTTCATTTGCCACACCTTTGGGGTTTATCAGCCCCACAAGACATTGGTGGCCTTCGTATTTGAATATTATCATGGTGGGACTATGTTGGACATGATTCTGAAGAAGAATAAGATTCCTGGTTGGTTTATCGTGTTTTGGGGGGGGGGGCTTTTTTGGTTTTGAAATTTGTTTTTTTGACTTTTTTTGAATTTTTTAAAATTTTTTTAAAATTTTTGAAATTTCAAAATTTTGAGTTTTATAATTTGTTTTCCAGAAAACCAGTCAGCAGTAATATTTCGTCAGTTAATCGAAGCCTTGCGCTACTTGCACGAAATGAATATTGTACATCGTGATGTAAAACTTGAGAATATATTGTTTGATAACTTTGGCAATGTCAAGTTGGCCGATTTTGGGTTTGCCAGGAGAATGCATTCGAAGCTACAGAGGTCCAAGTCTTTCTGCGGCACAAAGTAAGACTTTTTATACCTTTTTGTAAACTTTTTAATCTGATATGATATAGAATGATATGCGTATACTGTGGTAAAATATAGAATATTTTACGAAATTTAGTAGGGCGCGGTGGGCTACGATTAGGGCTAGGGGTAGGGCTATGGCTAGAGCTAGAAGCTAGAGCTCAAAGTAGGGCCAAGGCTAGGGATAGAGCTAGTCCTAGGGCTAAAGTAGGACGAACGTTAGGGCTAGACTATAGGCTAGGACTAGGGAACTTCCTGATTTGTTTTTATGTTTTCTAGGAACTTTTTGACTGTACCCCAGTGCCTAGTATTCAACTTTTGATGTTTAAATAATCTTTTAATTTCAGACCTTACTCATGCCCGGATGTCGTAATGAGAAAAGAATACGATCCATACGCTAACGACTGGTACTCTCTTGGCGTTGTGTTGTACACATCAATCAGTGGAAGGTGGCCTTATGTGAGTATTTTTGGATGTATTTATTAATTTTATTTTTCATCCTACTACAATATGATTTTTAGTCAATTATGGTTTTAAGTGTAGAAAAAGAGGTATTTGAGAGAGCTAACAAGCTTTTCTTACCTAATTTTATGCTTTTTAACCTAAAATATCAAAAAATGTTTAGAATAGCTTTATTTTGCTTTCTTAAATATAAAATTTTTTATTTTATGTCATTCTTTATCATATGTATTCCTTTTAACTTCAATTTTTTTGTCATTTCCAGAACCTTCAAGACATCGACGAAGTTACCAAAGGCGGTAGCTGGCCTCACATCTGGTACCCTCCAGAGCTGTTCTCTCCAGAAGCGGCCGAGCTGCTCCACTGTCTTCTGAACAGAATTGCTTACATGAGACCGGACTACCACGTTTGTTTGACCAGTCCATTCATGAAAAAGTATGGACAAGGAATAGCCAGTCATCCCATTGTAAGAGGACCCTACAATGCTCTGGCTTGAGCTCAGGAACATTTGATGAGTAATGTTACAACGTCCAGTGTCTTGGCTTCGCATCGTGAATGTTCAATATTTCAATATCTTGGCTTCCTGTCATGTCCGATATTTTCATAACGTACTTATTTTAAGTTCAATGTCCAATAATTTCTGTGGAATATCGTTTTTAGTAGAATAAGCTTTATCTTTTGTATAATATCGTCATTTTTTAAAATGCTATTCATTATGATCTCGATGTTCATTTTAAATTACTGTGGTCTTCAAGCTTTTGTTATCTTTTTGTGTGTTTTGATAGTAAACTTTATGTTTTAGTGTATATAACTTGTTTGGGTGTGGTTGGAAGATGTAGGCTGGAGCTAGGGATAAGGCTAGAGTTAAGACTAAAGCTAAGGACAGAGCTAATGTTAGGGTTCGAACTAAGGGCTAGGACTAAAACTAGGGCTAGAGTTAGTGCGAGGACTAGGGCTTCTAAAAAGTCTATAGTCTTGCAAATACGTACATTATCTTTCCTCATCAGATTCATGCCATTTTGAAATATATATTTCTATTTTAAGCCTATATAATATAGTAAACAAGGGCATACTGTCTGTCTCATAAGAATGAGACCATATCACCGTCTCTCCATCTCATAAACCTATGACAATGTTTATAATGACCTATCAGTAATTTAGACACACTATTATGACTACAAATTGATATTTTTTATATATTTTGAAAAATATAGTGATACCCTGTAAAAATATTAGTATGTGTTGACTTTAAAGGTCAGTTTGTTTCAAAACCTATAATTTATAATGTTATTGTTTGTTCTAAAAGTACAATATTTTTTTTGATTTTTAAAAATCAATATCTAGAAAAAGTGGACTTGTAATCGCGAACAGTCAAAGTAATCTATCACTTTGGTCAATATTTTTTGCGCCTTTTGTCTAGGTTTTTAATCGAAGGGTAACTTTTACAATCATTCTTATAGGTTAGGTACAAAATAAAAAAGGTTTTATCTATTGCTTGCCATAAAGAATTTCAAGTAAATATGAAAAACAACCAGCTTATTCTAATTTATCCTTAGCTCTAACAGTAGTCTTAGCCCCAGCCCTAGCTACAATCGTAGCCTTACCATAGCTTAAGCCCTAGCCCTATACCTAGTGTTCTTCCTATCTCTAGTCATAGCCCTGCCCCTAGCTCTATCCCTAACCCTAATTCTAGCCCTAGCTCTAATCGTAACTCTCCAACCATAGCTCTAGCCGTAGCCCTTGCCCTAATCTTCGCCCTGGTCCTAGTCTTGGCTCTTGTCTTAGTTCTATCCTTAATCTTAGCCTTAACCCTATTCCTCGTACTGGCACTAATTATAGTCCTACCTCATGTCGATTTTGTAACATATTCCACCCTACCACATTATATACTTTGTATGTATCACTCTATGTTTCTTACTTTTTAATCCAGTAGACACAATAAGAAAATAAAAACATATTATAATGTATGAATCCCAACAAGTGTTACAAACCCAGACCGGAACTCAACAACAACACTTTTTCATCGATAAACTAATTCAAAGGAAGTAAAATGTAAGTTGCTGTAATGTCAATAAGATAAAATGTGATAATCGGCTGTTTTGTCTGCTAACCAATTAGTCGAACGCTCTTTACAATCTAAAACAATATTATTTTTCATATCAAAAGATATATTTCCGGTTAATTTGAAAGTAAAAACTAAAAAGCTTCAGTATTCTGTTAGCCTTTGCTTGTTGTAAATTTACACTGATTGGTTTGAGAGAGCTAGGGAGAAGGGAGGAAGTTATATAGGTATCACTATACAAAATTTTTGAGTACTACAACCTTTATGATAACAGTATAATATAAGTAGTACACCATGAAAAATTATAACTCGACTTTAAGTATAAATTTCTATCATTTTCAATACATTAATAGAAGAATTAGAAACCAAAAGTGACCAGATCTTCATTAAATTGTCATCAAAACAATGTAATTTAAAAATTTTACTTAACCTTATCATAGTCTACCATGAAATAGAAAAAAACTTCCGTGGTAACTTCCTTAGCAAGCAGAAGTTACAATAGAGAGTAATCAAATCATTTTACGTTCCTGTACTTTCGTTTATTGCTTCCTAAAGCCATAAATTGCTGAAGTACAACAGAAGGTGAATTGTGAAAGAGCAGAAGCTTGACAAAGAAAGAATAAAGAAGTATAATATAACAAATAAACTTTAAAATTTTGCATGGCCTTAAATAGAAATAAAAAAAATTTAAAAATTATAATGTGACCATTGTAGCTTGTACAATAGTGTACCATTCAAAACTCTAAAAGTAACTTTTGCTATAAAAAACGTAACATAATGTAAGACTTACAATAAAATGCTACCCCACCTTGCCTTGCTATTCCTTGCTTTGCCTTGCCTTGCCTTGCCGTGCCTTGCCCTGCTCTACACTACCCTACTCTATCTTGCTCTACCTTACTTGACTATACCCTACCCTACACAATGCTATTCTATGCTATACTACCCTACAAAGCCTACCCTACTCTACCCTATGTCCTACCTTTCTTACTTACTCTCCTACCCTACAAAACACTACCATATTCTTTCCTTATCTTACTTACCATCTTACCCTAATATACCCTACTCTATCATACCCCATCTCATTACCGTACAAACCAATTACTCTGTCTTACTCTTATAAAAACTGCAGAGTAACCTGCTATTTCCTGTAAAATTATGTTTCTAGAAGCCTTGCACTTCAATCAATGTAAAAGCATCAATAAAAGTGTAACTCTTCTGAGATGTTTGCAATATTCTTGCAATTTATGTAATATCCAATCTTTCAACTCTTCCACCCTTTCCATTAGTTGTGAATTACAACTTTTAAAGATAAATAGTACATCAATAAGGTCAAATTACTTTTTCCCTAATCAACAATTACTTTATCACTGGAACTGTTTGCACGTGCATTTCCGCCATCAGAACGTTACAACACCCGCCGTTCTTCTTTCTCTTTACATTACGTAACAATTACTTTTTATCAACCTGGGTTGTTACAAAAGCAAATTCAAATTAGTGATGTTGTAGTAGGTAAATTTAGTTACCTTTTAGTAGTAAGTGAAATTAAAGTTTGCAATATAACTACTAGTAGTTGAATTTGCAAGGGTTTGCCTTACTAAACCCTTAACTTCTCTTACTGTCTCACTTTGTTTCCATACACCCTCCCTCTCCCCTATTGTTTGTTCCTGCTGTCACCGGAACCTTAATTCAAATTTAATCCTTAACTTTGTTAATGTTTCAAAAAGTAACAAAATTGAGTTCAAAGGGCACTGTCTGGTACGGTCTAACAAAGTCAAAAGAACATCTTGTATTTACAGGATTGCCTCTAATTAAGATTGTCCTGATTTTTCCAAGTTAGTCAAGCAATCCTTGTTCTTTCCCAAAACAAGTTTTCGAGGTTAGGAGGCACAGAATTATTTGAACAACTTAAAAGTTTTCAAATTTTCAAAAATTACTGTAAAATTCAATTGTACAAGCCGAGCAATCAGAGAAAAAAGTGACCTACTCAAAAAATGACCCACAATCGTATAGAGATCTGATCTGCCCTGCACTGGTTTGTTATAACCATAGCCTGAACTACCTTGATATCGCCATAGCCTGAACAGGCTTGACATAGCCGTTGCCTGCACTGACATGGTATAGACAAAGCTTGCACTAGCTTGGTTTAGTCATAGCTTGAACTGGCTCAGTATAGTCATAGTCTAAACTGACTTGATCTGACAACATATTGCTATAGCCAGTGTAAAGGAACCGTTCTCAAGATAAAGGAAAAAGTTTTAAAGCATTTTACCCTATCTGTACCTATAAACTTTACAAAATTTTTATGAAATCGACAGTGAAAACAACCTTTAGCTTTCATCATTTTTTCACAAATAGACAAACAAATCATAATAAACGACAAAAAATGAAAAATTGTTTAACAATTTTTTATGAAAATTGAAATTTTATATAAAATTAGTCATCAAGATGCTTATAAACAATAAAACTTTGTTTATACGTATCTTAATTGCAAAATAAACCTAACAAGGTGTGAAGACGGTCTAGACAGAAAACCTTTATTAATAATACCTATAGATAACAACAAAAAAAAGTTCATATAATAAATATTATGTATAATATTATAGTTTCAGACTGCGCCAAGTCAGTTTTAAGCCTAAATCTACCCAAAATTTCATTTTTTAAAGCCTCAAACCGTGACCATTCTATTAATAACACTCAACCTAGACTATTACTTAAAAAGGATGACCCAGTAAATCCTGACTTCAAAAGTTATAAACTATACCTCCAAAACCTCCCATCATTGACCCTTTTTGCCAACCTCTTATTCCAAGAACCACCAATGTCTCAATTACAACAAAATTGACTCGTCGATTTTAAAGAACGGCGGGAAAAACGTTGTAAACCGGTTCCATCTTACAATTACTATCCGTTTCTTTGTGAAACCTCTTGATACGCACGAAAAAACAAAAAACTTTGCAGCAATTACTTTGTATTCGTTGATTGTAAAATCCAGTGCAAAAAAAGCAAGATCATTAAAGAAGACGAACATAAAATTGATTACAACTTCCGACTGTCCATTGGACGGTCGTTGTAAGGTTGTTAAGACGATTCGCTGTAAAGTGTAAAGACTTTTGTAACTTTAAAGAAACGAACGGTCAAAGAACGAAAAAGAATGGCTGGATAGGAGAGGCGAGAGAGTATTTTGCAACATTGTCGATTTCGTTGGTTGTTAACGGTAGTTTTAACCGCATTAAGTGGTCGACAATATTAACCACCACCTGACAGAGAAACAAGATTAACAGACAATGAAGAAATCATGCACAAATTTAGTCTTCAAGACTTCATAGTTTTCAAAATTAAAATTTTTTTTCAAATTTTTATCGCATGCTAGGATGACAGTAGTAAAGTAGAGTAACAAAGCAGGGTAAAGAAGAGAAGATGAAGTAGAGCCAACTAAACCTGTAAAGGAACCGGCCCAGTTACCTAAAATTTTTCGGCCCGCCCTACGCGCAAAGCCTTGTTTTAAAAAAGACAGTTTTTAAAATTAGGGTAAGATAATATAAAGCAAGGTAAGGTCAAGTAAGACCAAACTAGAGCTAAAATAAATCAAGAGTAAAGTAAATGCAACACTAAAGTAGGGTAGAGTAGAAGATACCAGAGTATAATAAGTATAAGCAACCAGTACGATCAAAAATAACAATCAGGCAGTTTAATCTTCCAGTAAAAAGCCAAAAATCAGATCAAGCAGCCTACATTTCATAATTGTAGACATATATGTATCACGTATATTATTGTATGTTCTTTACCGTTCATATAGTCTGACCCCACACTTTTTGCTCAAAAGCCGTAATATTAAGTTGTTCAAATAATCCTGTGCTCCTTCTCAAAACAAACTTTCAGGGTTAGAGGGCACATGATTATTTGAACTACCTAATATAAGGTATTCTACAAATATCTAGTACAACAATGCTCCAGAATGTAATTTTTTGCCTAAAATTCTTATTTTTCTTATTTTACCCTACCACAGTGAAGGTATACCACCGCTTCACCGTTCTTATTGTTCCAATTGATTTACCTGCAAAAGTATCATAAATTTTAAATCAAATGTTGTCATTGATTGCGCACTATCTGATTTATTGTGGAAATAATCACTTAACACTGCTCAATGGAAACTGTATCAGCGAAAGGGAACGGAACCCCCTCCGCAAAGGTCCGTAACAAAAAACGTTCGACATTACAACCGGAAGACGGAGTAAAGATGGACAACAACAAACGGTATGGGTAATCGTAAAATGGCCATAGCTCGTTACACAGCTGTTGCCTACAACAACAATCCATCCACTATCAGCTGTGCCCGCCTCCGCGGCCGCAACGTTCGCGACGCCGCCGTGACGTTGCGGCACGGTGGAGTTAAAGGTACGGAACGCCCATTTCCGTTCCGTTCGAGGCCTTTAAAACCTTACCGGCGTTCCCACCATCCACATTGTCAGTTCATCGAGCTTCCAACCAAAGCAACCATGAGCTCCTCACTCACTTTGTTCGTACTCGCTCTCGTTCTAGGATACTGTAAGTTCTACTTTGCTATTTCGATTTAGTGGTGGTTTTTGAAAGCAAAGTACTGTTAAGTCAATAGTACCTTATCATTCTTGAGAGCCTTTACAGCATACTTTAACCTTTTTCTACTACAATATTATCCTGTATTTCAACCCATGGTTAACACAGTGTATGTACGACACTTAAAATCAATCACAATATCTTTTCAAACCCTATATTTATATTTTTTAGCATCTGCCTCTTCTCCATGCCCCGAAGGCTGGAGGTATTCCCCATTCACCAGCAAATGCTACAAACTCTTCTCAGACAAAACCAGCTGGACCACTGCCGAATACAAATGCGCCTTCCAAGGAGCTCACCACATCTCCGTTCATGACGCCACTGATAACCAGTTTGTTGCCGGTAAGTTATTCTACTAAACTTTTCCCTTCTTAATCTATTTTTTTGGAAAATAATGCTCAATGATTAGGCATATAAGTATTGTACCTACATCAATACGTTAGGCAGAGTCTTTCAGAGCTATACAAACCTTAAAAAGGTCTTCTTGTTAACCTTGTTTTAACTCTTTTTGTACCAAATTCTAATCAAAACCAATATTCAGAGCTTGCCCGTCAAGCGAACATTGTCTGGCTCGGAGCCGTCCAGTACGGTACTGACCGCGAGTACACCTGGGCCGACCACACTCCATTCGGATCCTTCGAGAACTGGGAGAACGGCCGTCGCCCAACCTACCACAAGGGCAAGAAATGCTCGAAGTTCGACGGAATCACCGGCAAATGGATCCAATCCTGCTGCAAGGTCCCAGCCGCCTTCATCTGCTCCAAGCCTGCCGCCGTCCTCCCCGACGCCATCATCGAAGACGACACCGGCATCAACGAGGACTTCCGCCGCACCCGCCTCGCCTTCAGAAGACGTGTCTGAAGGGTTGCTAATGGCATGAAGGGTGTAGCTTCGATTCTCAGGATTATTTAATTGCGTTAGAGAGTTATTACTGTACAAACAAAGATGTCATTGTTGCGGACCGTAAACAATCTTTTCCGAATGTCCGAATATTGCATGCTTTAAAAGACCTCATTAATAAACCAAATAAAACAATGTTGAATTTATTAGTTTTTATACCTAAATTTCTCTTTTAAAAATTATTATTGATCTGTAAACAATATATTTTGCCATTGCTTTAGCCAGCAAGTAGACACTGTTTTTGTAAAAAAAACAAAATGAACAAAAAAGTTTTGAATTTTGAGGTACAGACGACCCACCGCCATTCGGTACCTGTACCACCTTAGTTTGTATCATCAGATCAACTTGTACCACCCCCACCATAAATATTATGTTAGGTTTTTCAAACAATTCCGTGTCCCCAGCTCCAAGACTTTGCTTTGACTGAGGGCACAAAATTATTTGAACAACCTATTAGTTCTTCGCCTTTTTCAATCCCAAATCCGCTCACACCTTCTCCATTATTAATATTTATTATTAGAAATTCGTATTTTTTGTACAACAAATAAACCAAATATTGTTAACCGCGTTAGATGAAATAACAATAAAGCTCGTAGTTTGAGACACCCTTTGGTTGGTTATATTTCGATTTGTGTTGGGTCTTGTAAAGCCTTTTCTATGAATGAGTGTTCAAGCAGTTGGGGAGCGTGCCATCGTTGGGAGGGGTCGATGCGGAGCATTTGGGCCAGAAAATCGGTCAATTCTTCCGATATCTAAAAGTTTTCTGGGTAATTTTTGTATGTTTTTGAAGTTTGTATTTTATGTTTTGTCGCATTTACATTTTTTAAATAAAATTAACAAGAGAATACAATCTCATAGTAAAAATTACATTTAACTCATAAATACAAAGCTATTAAGATTAATTTTAAAATGTAACAAAAGTCATGTCGTTTTTCAACCTAAAAAACTAGGTTAAAAAACAACAAGACTTTTGTGACATCCTAAAATGTCTTGAAGACTGCTTTAAGTTTTCAATTTAAACCTAGCTTTTATCAATATTTTCGTAATTTATAAGCCGTATCGCTCATGAAGCCATACCTAAATCAATACCCACTAGAATCACCCAGCCCGCAAAGCCCAACTACTGGAATTGCACCAGACATCCCTCGGCTTTCAGAACAAGACCTATATAGAATGAAAGAGCATAAAAAGTGAACGAGAAAACTGTTTTCAAAAACTGCTAAATAGTCTTGTTGGCGATATTAGCGTCCAAAGAATTTTCATAGGGCAACCCTGTAACCCTTCTCTTTCATCCTCGGCAAGAGGAATGTATTGAAGTTCCTTTTGATCGAGTGGTTAAGAAATTAGTCTTTCGTGCAGAAGGCGGCAAGTTCGAGCCCCACCAACTTCATTTTGACCTTTTGTCATTATGACAGGTGTTTTCGCTAGTCAAACAATAATTTGTTGAAAAAAATATTTTTAGTCATGACTTTTGCCTTTAGGAACTAAAATAAAATATTTGTGAAAAATAGCATTTTTCAAATTTCAAATATGTACCTTTAACCATATAAGAATATTGAGCGTACTCTAACTTGCTAGTCAAGGCCATTTAGCTATTTTTGAAAATCATTTTCTTAGCAACTTTTTCTGCTCTTTCATCCTATATAAGTCTCGTTCTAAAATCCTAGGGATACTTGGTACAATTCCCTAGTAAGCCTAAACACATCCTACTACAATATAACAGCAAAATCACTCAAACCCATAATGTCCTTCCACAAGTGTTAAAACCAATGTTGTAACTTTTTTTGTGTAAAAAACAGTCGAGATTTGTTTACTCTTTTTTGTTTCCGCTGCTTTTGTGGGTATGGAAAAGTAAAGAGTTTATGTTGTAATAGTTTAAATTGTCAGTGGAAATCTTTGTAAAGGTTCATTTCCGGCAAGTCTGTGAGATTGTATGTGTTCTCTGTTAATTACGCAGTATTTTGCTGGATTTTGCAATTGCCTTAGAATTAGAAAGTCTTACTACTTTTATAAAATCATATATTACACAGGAAACGAGCCAGTACACTATGGTTTCTTACTGAGAATAGTAACTTTATGGTGAAAAAGTTAATGAAGTAAAGTTCATTTAAATATGTATCTACTATTTTATCATTTTATCAATTTTTAGGCCTTTTAACACCTGTACATTATAAACAAATTTACTAAAAGCTGCCTGAATACCTACTATATTAAAACCTAATCAAAACAACCATTTAAAACCCATATTACACATAAAATATAATCTTATAAAGAAAATCTTAATGTAAAAAATAACAAAAACTAATTTAAATATCAGCACAAACCAAGCCTACCTTAAAATCATCTGGTATTTTAGGTGATGAAGAAGACTTAATCCTTTGTATAGCTACAACAGGCTCGTCCTCGTAGAAAGGCGGCTCTCCACATACCATTTCAATCACTGTGATACCATAGGACCAGATATCAATGGCAGTATTGTATTCCTCTCGGCATGCCACCTAAAAACTTATGTTATCCATGATATTTTACTAAGTTTTTATAATTATTCTATGTTTAATGCCTAAACTTTCGCACCCAAAGTCGCATTATAATCGTATTAGCATGTATTTGCAGCACGAACTAATTGATTTGGTTTCAAACGATTATTACAACTTTAAACCAAGGTTTACCATGAAGGTCGCGCGACATCTTGGCTCCGACCTTTGGGTACTCAAACACTTGTTACAGGTCATTACACGCTACATTTATGTGTGACATCTAAAGGTTTATGGCGCAGTAAAACTTAAATTTACACTTTTTCTGTTTTTATCATAAAAATTGTCGCAAATTTGAGGAAAAAGTGTGTTTGCTTGTAACATCATATTTTAGGTAATAAAACCAAAAATTTTAAAATTTTTCTTAACAAAAGTCAATGCCGTACCTTTTAAAAGCTAAAACAATTTAAACTAATAAAATTCAAAGCCGTGTTAAACAACCTATCAAAAATAAGACCTACTACAACATACAACATACCTCAGGAGCCAGCCAGTATGGAGTACCAAGCAGTGACTTTCTCCTCGACACTTCCTTTGTTAATATGCATGAAAAGCCAAAATCGCTCAATTTGACAATCCTATCGTGGGTAAATAAAATGGAATCTGATTTGAGATCACGATGAATAACTCCAACTCCATGGAGATACGACAATGCACCTAGTGTTTGCTTAGAGATCGTTGCTATTGAGACTTCTGTTAGTCTAAAACAAGGTTATTTAAGATCAAACTAACTTTTTTTTAAATTTTTTAAGCTATATTTACATTTTTAGATATATTAAAGTAAATTTTTGGTGTTTTTGTCCATTTGCAATTAAATATTTATTATTGTTTGTGTTTTCTTCAATATAAAATATCAAAATTTAATGTTGACAACACTTTTGACACTATATTACACCTTAATAGCCCATTAATTTGTTACTATAGCAACTGAAAGAGTTCCAAGCAGCAAAAAATGCTTCTAACCTCACAGTATTAACCCTTTTACACTTGATATCTCGACTATTTTAATCCTTTATATCTAAAACCAAATACCTTTAGCCATTCTTACCTTTTCTGCGACAAAAAGCTAGTCAAACTTCCGCCGGTAGCCACTTCCATCAAAATCCACAGTTCTTCATCCACAACATGAGCACTAATCATTTGCACGATATTCTTATGCTCACACTTGTTCATCACATTGACTTCGTTTATTAGTAGTTCTGGTCGTTGTTGAGTTTTAATCACCATTCTTTTCACTGCCACATTCCGTCTTTTACTTGACATGTAAGCGTGAGATACGGTGCCAGTAGATCCTCGACCCAACATCTTGATATTGCACAGGTCGTTGCGAGGATCGGTATTGTTTACTATCGTTAAGAGATGCTTTCGTACCTAAAATACAAAATCAGCTCAAAAAATGTACACTTACTTCCTTAGGAGTAACCGGGGCACGTTTAAATCCATTGGCAGTAGGATCTGAGGTATTAGTATGTTTCGAATTTGAGGGTAAAACAGCACATTCAGGTTGAGATCGACTGTGAGATACGATTTGAGATCGAGTTGGAGATGTGTAACCGTTAGATGTTAAAACTAAGTTTGCTAAAATTACAGTACTTTTAGAAATATTAAGGTTTTCTACTCACTTTAGCTCTAATTATCTAAAACAACATTATCTTTAAACTGTTTGTAAAAATTCTTTACCCTTAGCGCAAAACCAACTAAAACACATCCTCAACCACTTAAAAACCTACTTATTGAAGATAAGTTTCTGTGTAGAACGGGCTCCGTAACGATGAGCCGTCCTCTTTTGTAAAGCTGGTCCTTTGATGAAGCGAAAACTGATTTCCATTGCTAAACTTAAGATACAATAAAGAACTCAAAACTTACTCTTGGCAAACCGCAAATCTCGCCCGTATCATCGTTAACTTCAACATGAATTTGGTGCTGAAAGTTGAAAGGAGCGGAAATATCAACCTTTTTGTTCTTCTGGCTGTGCCATAACAATTTCATCTATCGTTATGGCAGAAAGAAATCAAATAGCCTGAAATTAGGTAAATTAGCATTTTCTTCAGCTGAAAAATTCATTTATTCTGTTGAAACGTACGAATTTATCTCGTTCTCCAATCTAGCGTAACCCGAAAACCCATTTGCAAAATTAAGGAGGGCAGAGAATCCGATTAAAAAATACTTGAAAAAAGTTTAATGAGTCCAATTTTAAAGTTTCAAACAGAAAAATACCTCTTTTTAATTGTTTATGAACAAAACTTCATAAACTCCAAAGCATCTCTGGCCAAAACGATTTTCCTATATTAACTTAGCTATATCTAAAACATTTAAAATCCCTTTAGCTCTTATCTTTCCGAAACCCCTTTAAAATATATTCTAAAGAGCGTTAAACACAACGAAGATGCAGTCTTGACAAAGTCCGAAGCAAAACTTTTGACAAAGACTTTGGGCCGATAATTGCAAGTCAAATACGAAAGTGAATATCGGCCAAAAGTCAAACAAAGATAATATAGTTGAGAAAGCGGCGAAACAAAGTCGAATCCTATTAAAAATGTATTGAATTTAGAACGTTGATCATATTTGTTCAAGGTTAATGTGCGCGCGCAACGTCCTCATGGATTTTGCGTGCGGAAAATATTCCAAAATCGGTTTTTTGACCGCTTTCGTAGTATAAAATAACACAGCTGTCTGCGAAAGCCAAGAAAGAATGCAGTCTGCGCCCAGAAGAAAAAATATTGTTTGAGTTTGCGCGTTTTGCCCTGAAAATCAGGGAAATCGTTTTTAATAAAATAGTACGTGCTTTTCGTCGGAAACTTGTTTCAACGACATTTTTTCGATAGATACCAATTGAAATTGTAAATTTTTAATTGTAAATTGTAGTTAGTTGGATTTTTGAGCTTTTTTTATATTATTTTGCGTGTTTTTTGTGTGTATAACCTTCTACTTTGTGATATATAACTGTTCTTCGGGATGTATAACATTTTTAGTTGTAAATTCTTCTATCAAACTTTTTTTTGCAGACCATGAGTTTCTTTAAGTTAAACAAACTCGCAAACAATGTAGTTTCCACCGCTTCCAGCATTCCATCTGTAAGAGAATACATCTGGAATTAACGTTCGATTCATTTCAGTTCGCACCTTCTGCTCAAGCCAGTCCTATCGTTTACGAGCACGACGTCAGCGGAATGCAGCGAGTCAACGTCAAGACCGCTGTTACTCAAGGAGCTCGCTATGTCTCGACCATCCCCAAGCCCACTACTCCAAAGCCATCGTTGGAGGAGTTCGATCCTCTGAACCCAGGAGGCTGGCAATTGGGAGCCGGTGGCAAGATCTTGCCTCGTCTTCCTGAAGGTACTCGTTGTGGAAAGTTGGTTATGGGAAAGTACGGTTTGTACGATCCTAAGCTCCGCAGACAAGTTGAGGAGTTCTCGGTATGTTTTTAATTTTGTTTTTGATAAATTTAGGTAACAAAAGTGACATTCTGTCTTGAGATTTGAATTGATGGGGTTTTATACATTAAAAATGGCGTTGAAGACTTAAAAGACTTAGTATCATGAAGAAGGTGTTAACTATACCTTTCTTCTTGGCATGACTACTTTGATTTTGATGCTGACGTAGCTTACGATTCTTGAATCCGCTCGATCTTACTTTTTTATCAGTTTTTAGCTACGTTCTTTGTGTTCTCAATAACCATTTTAAAGATACACATTTATTTAACACCTAAACATCTTTCTATTACATTTCATCAGAACATAAGTTAACTGAAGTCTAATTTCAGGCTGGTTTGGACGCTGGAAGAAAATCAGAGGAAGCATCTCCAGTTCACGCTAAGCACGCCAAAATCTCCTTTATTCTTTCTCACATCTGTTTCTTGCTCGGCATCTGGAACTTGGCCAGTTTGGTCTACGGCAAACCATTGTGGCCATACCCATCTGACTACAAGGCTCCAGGAGCGGCCTAAGATATGTCTTGTTTAGGTGGAAGACATTTTTATGATTGATGTTCTTACCAATAAATGTAGTGAGTGTACGCAAGAGAAAACTACTGGTCATTTTGGGTAAACAACATGACATTTTTTTTGTTAGGGCGGGGTAATATTTTAGGGCGTTGTTTTTTTTTATTTATTATGGGAAGTTAGCAGTTAAAATGTCATTTTAGTGAAAGGAAATACAGAAAATATGATTTTATATTTTAAAATTCATAAATTTTTGTTGATGTTACCTAAAATTATCTTTTTTTATGAGTATCAGCATGTTTTTTGATTGAACGGCTGGAAAGGTTGTTACAAGGTCAAAAGAAATCTTACCGTACTTTCGGCTCCTTTGTATACGATGACATTGAGGTAAAGCAAACAAAAGTGGTACGATTACAAATTAAACGATAAACATACGAAATGACGCGTGAAATGGTGGATTTATTTGACATGTAATTTTTGACACGTCTAATGCATTCACCTTTACGCGTATTATCCTTCCTCAAGCGCCTTGATATAACGTTCTATCGCTTTTGTTGCTAATTATGCGTCTGAAAATAGAATTTCTTTCGTTTTAATAAGCTCAAATGCGAAGCGGGCAGATTAGCCATCTAATGGTGTAACTGTTATATAAGCGGCCGGTGAAATAATCTCCGAAGATGGGACATTCCTTTCTTTGCATGGCCACTCATTGCCTTTAATTCGCTCAAATGAAAATCGAGGCGCAGCTTTTTTTCTTTCTTCAGGGTATGGGGGGGGGGAGCGACATCCGGTCCAGCTGTGTGTCGTATTGGTTATGTTGACAGGTAGTGTGGCATGGTTCGACAAAAGTTGTGGTTAATTACAGTTGTTTGAACGATGCTTACTTACAATATTCTTAAGATTATAATAAGATGTTGTTAATTACAGCGAAGTATAATAATTTTGATTACATTTCGTGAGCTATTAGCATAATTTTTAATTTCTTTAATGCATAAAGCTCATTGCACTATAATAAGATGTAGAAAAAAAACAGCTAAAAGCCAATGCAAAGCAAGAGTCATAACTTATGTTTGATAGTAATTTGTTTTTTAAGTCTCAAGTGGAAAATATATGTAAAAATAAGGCAAACATGCCAGAATTGAAAACATTAACTTAAAATTATTTCTTTTGTAATGCAAGCTGATGAATCTTAAACTTGGGAATGTCAGTTGCTGTAAGTTTAAAAAAAAGGTCAAGAAATTCATTTTTTAACGAAAATACAGGTAAAACCTCTTTAGTATGACCCTCGGTAGCTATAATATCGCTATAGTGACACCGGCAGTTTTTAAAATTTCAAGAAGTATTGACTTGAAAATTGATTTATCAAAATTCATACGTAGACTCAAAAATAATATAAACTTTGCTTATGTTGAACTAGACTTTTTATACCTTGCAACATTTGCTATTATTGTCATAGTTTAGCGGCTGTTTTATATGTTCATGATATGCTGTTTGAGGGTTATGGCCATTCAAATCCCAATTCCCTTCGGTGCGTTAATGACCTCGAAATATCAAAACCTTTTTCATGGACTGGGCCGTTTAGTTTCGGTCATAATCCAGGTAGCTAATTTGCATATTATTAAGAGTTTTTGAAAGTTGCGCATCTTGACCGTGTCTCCTTTGGCTAATTTTAAACTTAAAAGGGCGTAAAATAAGCTTATTATAATTAAAGGTAGGTTACTTTAGTTTAATAAAAATTCAAAATGGTAAGAAAAAATACTGTTTCGTTGAGTACAATTTGAATATATTCGAATTTTAATATATTTAAAACTTATATATAACTATATTAATCTACCTATTAATAACGGGCTTATTCACAGCTTGAAACGATCGCTTTTTTTGCCTAAAATGAACAGTTTTCTAGGCCAAGTGGCCGCGCCATCAATCCACGAGGATTAGGCCGTTCTGTGGGTTGCCTCGAGGGCACATTCCTCGGTCGAAATTATAAGGCGCCAAAACCGAATTTCCCGCAAACTTGATTCCGGGTTCCGTTTTTAATTTCCCCGCCAAAATGCTGACTTATGGGCCCGGTTTTCAAACTTCTTAAACGGCCCAAAGCGTGGCCATTGGCTGATTTGCAATTTTTGGCCATTTCCAGGGATTGGAGGGGCTTAATTTTGAAAAGTTTTTTGAAATTTTTTAGTGGTTGGGCAGGACAGGAAAGTTTAATATAAATGTAGGGTAATTTAAGGTATGGTATGGTATGGCGGTAATGTAGAGTAGGGTTAGTTAAGTTAAGGTATGGGACAGTAGGGTAGGATAGGGTAGGTCGGAACATCCTAACATAAGTAGGGTGGGATTCGGTAGGGTTTGGTTGAGTAAGGTAGGGTAGGGTATTGTAGGGTAGAGTAGAATAGGGTAGGGGAGGGTAGGATAGAGTAGGGTAAGGAAGTGTGGATTAGGCAACCGTTGGGTAGGATAGAATTGAGTAAGGTATAATCCATTAAGGTAGAGTATATAAAGCTAGACCAAACCAGGTTTTTGCTCAATTACATTGTTTCAAAAATCAATTTTTTTGTTTTGAATGCCATTCTTTTTTTAATTCTCAGAATGCGTTTCTCAAATCATGCCAATGGCCCTTAAGCAAGCTAATTTCGAGGCACGGCTAATGACTTCCAACGCCAGTTTTATAAGCGTGCTCGGACTGTTAAATAATCTTGGCGGCCGAAGCCCCGACTCGATTTATGGCCACTACTTTTACATTGTCGGGCTTCCGTATTCGAATTTATGAGAGAAATCGGAGACATATATGGCACATTTATTCGCATGTCGCCCGCTTAATAACTCGGTATTATGATCGAGTAATTTATTTTATTAACAACAAGGGTTTGGGAAATTTTTTTTTCAATTTTTGAAATTTTAAGAAAAAATATTAGGTTGTTTAAATCATTCTGTGCTTTGTTTTGAAGTAAATTCTCGGGGTTAAAGGGCACATGATTTTTTAATAGTAATTTTTGGCGAAATTGCTTGGAAAATTCAAAAAATGATCTTGTACCATCTTATAACAGTTTGTTTTATAAATTCAATAGCATTAGCATGGCTTTGTGTTTTGTTATGTACTTGAAAACAAACAGATTATTAAGCCATTTAGAAAAAAATTCATATTTTGAATATTACTTGGCGAAGAACTGTTATCTGTACTAGATCTACTTATTAACAACGGGTTTACCGGAGAAAATTAGTACAATACTTTATATTAGGTTGTTCAAATAATTCTGGGCTTCCTAATTCCTAAAACTTGCTTTGAGATGGGGAACGGAATTATTTTTATAAGCTAATATAAAATTACATTTTAAAAGTTCTACAGGGAAACGTTTGTATAAGGACCCGTAGTATAATGGAACCCATTTATAATGAAGAACTTGTCAATTCCTGGCTAACATTACACAGTGCATCCAAACTCCTATACTATTCATAACGAGAAAATTTTAATTCTTATAGCGGTTTTTATACAGAAGTTCCACTGTATAAAAAATATGGTATTTTGGGTTCATAAAAAGCCAATTTTCAAAAATCAACTTAAAATTCTTGACCATAATGTGCTGTTTTCAAGGTTCTGCATTCAGATTCCGAGTTTTATGTGCTTCGCATTCTTAAGAGGCTGCGGTCACTTTATTGTTTAGGTATTTTTGGGCAATTAAAGTTTACTTTTATAGTAATTTTTTCAAAATTTTTTTTTATTTTTGGTTACATTTGACTTACTATATCGTTTTTTAGTATTATTCTTACTATGGAGCATCTATAGCAAAATTTACCTAAAGGTTTTAAACTCTTTAAAACGTGTTTTATGGGTTTATCTCGTCGTTTTGAAGCTTCAATACTGTTGATTCGTACTAAAACTTATTTTCAGGTCAATTACAGCATAATATGTCAAGGTAGATTAATGTCGTGAAGAGGGATGCCTCTTCTGCTGATTCTGTTGTTTGCACAAATTGATTCGATATGGTCCTTGAAATGTTTTTCCGGTGATCCTGTTTTTAAAAACGAGTGTACCTCATTGTCATACTGCTTGATGATTGTCTCGCGGTGAGTTTACTATAGTCTTTAAAACAATGACATTGTTTTTACGGAAACGTAGACCTGGGTAGGACAGGGCAGAGTATGATATATAAAAGAAGGGCAGGGTGAAGCAGCGTAGGGTATGGTAGATATAGAAAAGACAGGGCAAAGCAGGGTAAGGATAATAGAGCAGTAGAAACTTTCCAACTGTTATGAGTAAATATGTATTTTATTTTCAGATCCGGTCGATCCCAATGGTCGTGCGACGGGAACGCCTTCAGTCAAGTCTCATTGTGCTCAACTCTCGGCCTTCAACAAGATGTTGAAGAAGAAACAAACCTCAACGTGCTAAGTCCTCGGAAACGATACCCACTGACTTCTGAAGTCATGTCTTCTCGTTCAGAAGGTACATTGGTCCGATCACCTTTTGAGTCTTCGTCTGGTCGATATTCTGGCTATCGTCGTAACTCGCCGTACCCTCAGAGTATCAACAAAGGCCGGTGTTTTGATGGCGGAGATTTGGGTCGGATTTGTTGTTGTTCGGCCGACTTTTGCAATCAAAGCAGCCGGTTGTCATTGCCATTCACACTTATTTTTGTTTTGATGAGTTTTTTCTTGATTAGGAATACCTAATAATGACTTTTGATTACATTGACTGTATAGTATACTATTACTAAGTTAACTGTATATTGTATTACTCAAGCTACAGTTGTATATATTGCGTATAGGTTTTGTTTATTAACATGACGACAATATAATCGTGATTAACGGTTTTATTGTCGTATGAAAATGGCATAACAAAAAGTAAATGAAATGATACTATTAGGTTGTTCATTTAATGCCCCCTTTCATAGCTTGTCTTCAATGTTAAGGGGCACATAATTATTTTAAAAAATTACTATTACTATTTGTACTGTAATATATTACGTAGTAACTGCTATATTGGTACTAATAAAGATGTCAAAGTAGTTAAAAACAAAAGTTTATCAAAGCCCTCACTTAAGTCTCCACTATACAGTCTTAATATTGTTTTTAATCTTTTACGATTTAATTTTGATAAAGTTTTAATTATAATTTTTTATTGTAATATACAGAAGCTGTAAAAAAGTTTATAAAAACGATGTTTAGATTAATATTCATAAGAAATACGTTTAAAATATATTTTAAAATTATTTTTGATTTACGGTTAACTTATGATGACATTTTCAAATGGATTAGTAGTTCGTAATAAGGAGGAAACAAAATTTGTTGGATTTGAAGCCTGAAACTGTAAACAGAATTGGAAAAAGTTGAAAACAGTTGGAGATTAGGAAAACTTACAACATTGTTACAGACTATATATAGAGTATCTTCTGTGAAAGTACGGTAAGGTATTTAGGTACAGAAGGTGTATATTTAGAAGGATAGTTGACGTTAGTTTTTATGTTGTAGCTTGTCAGAATCTTAGAGTAGGATAGTATAGCATAGAATAGGATAGGATAGGGTAGGGTAGGGTAGGGTAGGGTAGGGTAGGGTAGGGTAGGGTAGGGTAGGGTAGGGTAGGGTAGGGTAGGGTAGGGTAGGGTAGGGTAGGGTTATAAATGCTGCTTTTTTAAAACTTATAGTGTATGATACGACAAGATAATACTTTATTAACACTATCTTGATTATATAATATACAATAATATAGTTACAGCACCGTAATACTATAATCTTTCTTACTCCCATTCAAAGGCAGATCAAAAATAAGTGGATCATAGTTAGTTTCCAATTTGTGGCTACAAATAGAAGCGTTAACAAAGGTTGTCACTCCATTTGTACTAACACCATTCTGTTCATGTACATGACCGAAGACGTGTAGTTTAGGCTTGGCTACTTTCTCAACAACTTGTAAAAGCTCAGCACAGCCCCAACGTCCTTCGATGTCATTGAATTGATCTTGATGACCTAGTGGAGGAGTATGAGTTAGTAGGACATCAATATTAGCTGGAACTTTGAGCCATTCTTGTAAGATGGGGTTACCACGGGCACGGTAAAAGGGGAATTTGGGTAAAGGATGCCAGGATGCTCCATAGATTTTTAGACCTAAAACCTGGAATGAAAGTTTGAAAAATTGATGATTTTTAGAAACTTACTTCAACAAGTTTATCATGAAGCACAGTGACATTTTTTAGCAACTCGTAGCCTCTTTTTGTACCTAACCCTACGTCATGTTCGTATCGTAATGATTCGTCTTCTGTGTCATCAAATCCTAATTCATGATTGCCAGCAACAACTAGCTTTAGAGGGTGTGGTAGTGATCCCATTAGTTGGTCAAATTCAAGTAACTTTTCTTTTAAGCCATTATTTGTGAAATCACCACAGTGTACTAGGATATCACCATTGGGTATCTTGGGTAATATATTGGCAAGTCTTTCATGAGTGTCGGATATACACACTATACGGGCTTTGTCATCGCTTATTGGGGTGTTTAAGCTAAAAAATATTATATTATTTTAACTTTTTATAATTCACTTTTACAATTATAAGTGCTTGCAATGTAAAAAACTTTAACTTTATTATTTGTCAGTTTACTGTATTTTATTTTAAGCCCGGTTCCCACACAAACCTACGGTAATCTCTCTTCCACAATCTTGTGATCTCGTTCTTTACTCCAGTACAAGTTCCAAAGCTTATCGGGGTGCTGTTCACGGCTATCCACGGCCAGCGTTGACGTCATGGCCTGTAAACGACAAGGATTAGTGGCCTCAAAACCTCTCCCACACAGTACACCCCTGAACACTACTTTTCTAATCAGTTTGAAAGGAAATTAAAGCCACCAAATCCCCTTTCATTTCGGCCGTCTTCACTTACAATTCCCTGCCATTTCGATTTTGTTTACCGAGTTTTGTAGGAAGGTAGTGATGGGTTATGGTTGTAAAAATTAAATTTAAATTTTTAAAGTTTACTGCTGTTTACCAAAAGGCTATTTTACCCCAACCCTACCCTACCCTACCCTACCCCCACCCTACCCTACCCTACCCTACCCTACCCTACCCTACCCTACCCTACCTTGCCGTGCCGTGCCCTGCTCTACCCTACCCTAGCCTACCCTACCCTACCCTACCCTTCGTTTCTATTATATACTTTGTTCTATTCAGTCCTTCTTTACAATATAGTCATACTGTAAACTCTACTATAAATACATTTCATTTTGTGTGGAAATATATATCTAAAAATTCATTCTTTATCAATGCCAATCTAAGTAACAAAGATATTATCATACTTTACACCGTCGCCCTCCCTGAATACCTAAAATGTTTCTATCGTAATTCGTAACTCTCCTCACATGCTTCTTCATGCGTACTCTCACGCCAGACGTGCTTGTGTTTCAACGTTCTTTTCGCACTCTAAAGCTAAGAGAGACTTTTGAGACTCTGTTCAAACTAATCAATCTCTAAAAGCTCGTTGAGATCAGTTTGAATTTGATCAAAATTCATGACGTCTCTTCACTTTTACCTGCACCCTTACTGCTTTTTATGAATTCTTACCTACGCTTTTATCTTTTTTGTATTATGCTACTCAAAATTCGTTGTTTTCTTTATTTAACGTTACTGGTAATAACTTATAAAAGATTTTAAAATTTTTTTTAAATTTTAAATAACAAACATAGAATTTGATAAAAAGTGACAAAGCTACTTTACATTCCTGCCACTTTTACTGCACTTCTAATCACATTTAACAGTCAAAACTTAAGTTTGCATTAGAAGATGTCTATAAATATAAATTGAATTAAACAAAAGAGCTTGTTCTTAGCATATGAGCCTAGAAACTACTACCTATCCTACTCTATCTTACCCTACCCTACTCAGATCGAACAGGGTAGTGCGAAGCTTAAAAATCATGTTTCCAAATCTGTCTGGTTAATAAAACAACACATGTTTCTTCTAATTAACCAATATTTTGCCTAATTAAGAAATTTACCTTCCAATTAAGTAGCAATTAGTATTACTACTACAAAAAAGTTGGACTTTAGTGTCATGTGTTGTCTTTTAGAAGCTTCCTTGTTGTGAGACAAAAGAAAAAAGACCTTGCCGGCACTACATCCTCAACAGTCCGTTAGGTAAACATTTCAAATGTAGTGGAACTGAGCCCACAGGGTTCAATTTTCTTGTCTGTTTTAACTTTTTTTACTATTTTTTGTCATTTTCTTATGACAAAATGACATTAATACAAGAAGGTTGTTTTGAGTATTTTAGTTATTTTCCATCACTTATTGTGGTACGTTCTTGGTTTTTACTGTATCAAAAAAGCTTATATTTTGATTTTACAGTGTAGTATAAGCATTTTTTAAATCTTTTTCGTCAGTTTCTTGCTTTTGTCGTTAAAAAAAATCAAAATCAAAATTTGAATTTTAAATTTTGCGGGCTTTTGGCATTATGTTTCAAAGCTTGAAATATATACTTTTTAAACAGACAAACCTAATTTTAAACTGATTTTTATATTCTAATTAGTAAAACCCATCAAAACAAAATTTAAAGTAAATTTTCCTAAATTTCATATGACTTTCAATAGTAATGTAATAGCATCAACACCCGACTGTCACAAAGCGTACCAATGTTTGTTGTAATTTCAAAGTTCCCAGAGTTCACTAGAGTCAAAATTACGTAGATGTTCGCTTTAAATACCTTGTGGTTTTTTTGTTTTTGGCTTATATTACACATGACAGTAAGCTGTTTAGGTATTCCTATAGTTTGAGACATATAAATCCATATCTATGGGCTTATAAATTATGCTAATGAAGAAGAATTATCTTATTAAAAATTAGATAAATATATTAATGTGTCTTAAGAGCGAATGTACAATCTTCAAGTATTAAGCTTTAGTATTATGTTGTTATACACAAATACTATAAAAAGCATTGAAACAATCTTATGAAACTGTTTTCTCGATAATTTTAATCTATTTACAAACATGTGCTTTTTCTATACCTAATCTTTAACAACACTTTTCTCTTCCCTACAATTTACATCTGTTTTCTTCTGATTAAATCAAGAGTAACACTTGACCTTCAAGTGTAACATTGTCAATTTGATTTAGCTTCGAGAATTGTTAAGATAAACTAAAAAAGGAACTAGAATGTCTATTTCATTCTTTTTGTTTTCAAACATTGATATAAAGTTTGTTTGTAACAAGTTGCTACGGTGAGAAAAGCACTTGACCCAGACCAACTTTTTTGGGTCGAGTCTTTTTCTCAGTTTATTTTATTTTTTATTTTTCTAATTAATTTTTTTCTGTCTGCCACTTTTTTACAGTTATTTTCCTTTTTTTACAGTTAATTTAACTTTTTTACTTTCATATATGTTGCTTAAATCTATTTACTACCCACCTTTTTCAGTCAATTTGCAAGTTGAAACGGCACAAGCGCGAAATTGGTCGAGAGTCGTTGAGCCTAATTGAATTATTGGACTTGTTTTACAGAATATGAATCCAATGAGTAGAGGGAGATTGAGTGTGCAGGCATTCAAAGAAATTATTAGCAAAAAACAGCGGTTTTCCGTGATATTTCGATGCGAAAAGAGTAAATGAGAGTGAGAGAGCGTGCGAAAGAGGGAGAGAAGCGGGAAGAGGCTAGAGAAAGGGAATGCGAGAGAAAATCAAGATAGCTTGAAGAGAGCGTACGAAAATGAGAGGGTGGTTAGACAAAGCTATACAAAAACGAAAATATAGCACATTATAGGAGAATGTTCTACCAAATCAGACTCAATACGATGCTAAGAGACCGGTCAGACGAAACGAGATGTCGGAAGTCAGTCGGGGCGAGGAGGGGGCTTTAAGGAGAAGTTTCGGTGGTGCGTACCCACCAGCCATGTTTATTATCTGACGGAATTTGAATCTTTTCATCGAGTTTTTAAGAGTTCTTCTCTCTTTTAACACCCGGCGGGCCTAGACTGGAACACCGTACTTTTACCGGTCACATGGCTCTGTCGAGTTGCTGAATTTGGAGTGGAAGGCGGGTGTTTCGTATTGTTTTTGGCGATTTGTGGGGCTTTTAGTTATGGCGTTGTAATTGTGTTACTGTAAAGAATTGAAGTGTTTTAGGGGTTTAGATGTGATGGTGAAAGTGTGATAAGGGTGTAGTTGTGGTTGTTGAAGTGTAGAGGGTAATGCAGGGTGAATAAGGGGTGTTTTTGGGATTTTAGAGACTATTTAGAGGTGTTTTTCTTCTAGAAGCTTAATGTTTTGGCTTATATTAAGGCCTTTTTTGGTTTTTTGTTGATTTTGGAGCTTTTTTGGTTACTTTTTGGAACTTTCTACATAGTAAAACAGCTTTTACTTTGTTATAACCCGTGTTAAAAGTTTATTTTAAAGTTATGTTATCAATTTTGGTAGCTTTTTAAATCCAAAAACCTTATATTGGGTTGTTCAACTAATTCTGTGCTCCTCTTTCAAAGCAAAGTTTTGGTGTGACGGGCACAGAATTATTTGAACAACGTAATAAATTAACATTCACTTCTTTACAGCCATAATAACACCTATATTTTACATTGTAAAACTTATTGACAATCAAAAACTTGTTCTTGTATTAGTCAAAAGACACTTGTGTTAACAAAAAGACTGTTTTATAAGCCGTTAAAATGTGATAAGGATGTTGTGGGGTCAAAATGTTGAGACGTCGGCTACGATTTCAATTGGCTTTGTCTTCGATTTATCGATTGCGAGTTTTGCGTGATCGCTGTTTTTACAGCGCTTTTTATTTTTACTCTGCTTCATATTTTTACTCTCACAATTATTTTTTACTCTTATAATTTCTTGAGTTTTCGGGTTTTGTCAATTGGTTTAGTTAACGTGCACTTCGAAGAGGAAAAACGTATTTTTTTGGAGGTATTGGTAAACGATTTTTGAAACTGATAGTTATAGTTAATGAGTGCTTTTTAAAGGTGTTTTTAAGGCGTCTGAAGCTGTTAATTGCGGTTAACAAATACTGATTTAAACGTTTTATGCTTTGATTATCTTCTTTTTTTCTCAATTTTAAAATGTAGTTTTGAAGTTTAAAATTGCGTTTTCGGCTTAATTTGTAGTATAATATAATGTTATGTTAACATGATATTATGTTTTGTTTTTTCTATTTTGTAGTTATAATGAATGTTGTAGTATCTTCTGGGTATGAATATTGTAATAAGGCTAGAAATTGTATGTAAAATGTTGGAATAGTACAATATATAATGATAAGATAGCGTGACAAACAGGTGTCATCAAATATGTCACTGGGTATTGATAATAGGACGTCATTTTGGTTTTTAACTTTGGAATTTAAAATTATGTATTATTTAAAGCTTCTTTTTCTTGAACTTTTGGGTAATTTACTGGCTTTAGAGTACTAATTTTCTTACTTTACTATGTATAGTTATAACTAGAATTACTATTTTGATTCGAGTTAAAGTTAAGCTAGTAATTCTACTTTTTGGTTATCATTATATCAATTATTTTGATCTCTACCTACCGAGAATTTACTCTACATCATCATAAATTATATTTACATACTCATTTCTGCCAAATTATTACCTTTTTTCCTCTCCAACTCTCACTTTCTCCTTCAAAACACCTACAATTACCTTGTTTTCGGTCCCAATATTGTAACTTTGGTCATTAACACACTCACAAGTATGTTATGTTGGGCTTGGGCGATACGCAGAGCACATTTCTAATTGATAACAGCGCTGTGGAGAGAGACAAGTCGCTGCTGATAAGTTTTCGCGTCGACTTTATCGATTGGTTTTCTTTCAACGACAGCCTCTCGTCGTCGCTTCATTTCGGTCGATTTTCGGTTGAAATTGGTGGGAGTTTATTGATGAAAAGGTCGTTAGGGATATTTTTATGGTTGGGGATGTTATGATTATGGGTTTTGTGGGAAATAATGGGGGAAAATGAGTTATTTTTGAAGGCTTTTGGGTACTTATTGATATTACACTTGGTTTTTGAGTGGTTTTGTGAGGTGATTAGGGTCATAAGTCGCGTTATATGGTTTGTGACAAGGTTTTAATGTTAATTAATTTTGAATCAAGTTTATTTTTTATTGAATGAAGGGTTTTTTCGTTATGTACGTTTAACTTTTGTTTTGTTTCTTCTAAAGAATGTCATTTTGGGTATGATTTATAGTGAAGTTATTAAAATTTTGAATAAGGTTTATGGTTTTATATCTAATTACATTTTCAAAAAGTATTTTGCCATTTATTCGTGTTTAATTTCGCATTTTTTACGAATTTTTTATTTTCATTTCACTCCCAATATCCAACCGCTAATATCCAAATTTCCAGAAATTATGGCCAGATTCAGTGACGACGAGTCCAGCCGCGACTCGTCCCTAGTTTATGGCGAAATTGACGGCTGTGACACGAATCGAAAAAGGTAAGGCACTGTCTCCAGTGTAATGTCTATTTTTAGGAATCTCGATCGTCGCAGAGAAACGTCGCGATATGCGGCTCGAGATCGGCGTGGCAAAGAAGCGGACATCTTCTCCGACTTGAAGGATGTGGTGCCAATTGTTGATGAAAGCACGGTGACACACGTAGACAGAATCGCCTTGTTGAGGGTGGCTTCTACCATGTGTAGAATGAGGAGAAATGCGGGGAAATGTAAGGATGGGGCATTGGTACTGTTTGTAAATTAAGGTTGAAATTATAATATAAGTTCAGGGTAAGGCCATTAGTCAAAGATAAGGCTTTTTCTTGTTGAGAGTTTAAAGATAAAGCCATGTTTTTGATGTTAAAGCAAGAAAAAGATGGGTTTTTGGATAAAAAATGAATAAAATAATGTTATAGTAGACAAAAGTAAGTGAAGAGCCATGTTTTTGGATAAGAAAATGAAGGGTAATATCATTCTTGGGTAAAATACGGATAATAAGGCTGTTCAGAAATTTAACATTAGGTTATTGGTATGTTGATAATGTCAGAATGAAAAATATGTATCAGAATGGTATTATGTATTCTTTGCTTTTTAAAACGCCAAAATTCTCATTTTTGTTACCTAAAATAATTTTTTGTTACCTAAAATAGGCTTTTTGCGTACACTAATCTACAGTATCTTTCCTTCACCCGTAGTACGTACAATAACATCTTACAATAGGTCGTATAACACTAGTTTTATTGTAATGCCACTTCCTATTACGTCTTTAAAACTCTAAATATCGAATGGTACTTTAATACGCTTACGTACACGGTTACTGTATTTTGGTGGTGTATTTTCGAAACATCTCATTACCATGGTAACACACAAAGTACGTCTTATAATACCAGAAGACTGACTAATGTAATCTTGAATACATACATAATAGAACAGTGCAATGGTGTGTTTAATACATATTACAGTGTGGTAGAGTGTGAGGAGATACATGTTATTATACATTGTCATAGAGTGTGAGGAGATTTACATACATAATAGGTTGTTCAAATAATTCTCTGTTTTTTTAAGGCAGATTTTTGAGGTTAGGGGCACAGAAGTACTTGAACGTTACATATGTAGAACCTAATATACATGTATATCTTCTCACACTGAGGACATGAACGTACATGATAGTGAACTTGTGATGTAATATTGAATAGATAAGTACATTCATGTTGCCGTTTAGTATTATAAGGCCAATATAGTACAAGAAAGCGTGGAGACGATGCTAATTAGTATGAGGTACTAAATGTAGTACTATCAGACTAACGACCCAATGGACTCCCTATGGTCAGAATATCTTGTAACATCAACTAGTTCAAATAGTTCTGTGCTCCCACTCAAAGCAAATTTTTGAGTTTAGAGGGCACTGCATTATTTGAACAACCTAATATAACAGCGATAAGTAACATTAGGTAATGAGACCGTAGTTGGATGGTTACGTATTAAAGGGGGATAATGTGTTAAAAGTTCAACCTACAGTAAGATGATTAATAGGAAGAAAACGGCAGAGTAAACAGTAATCTTGAACAAGGACGTTACTTTGTTCGAAGAGTGGGTTAATGTTGTCATTATATTGTTTTTGAATTTTTGAGAGATTTAGGTAACAAAAAATTAGGAAAACTAGATAATTTGAGTTTAAAATTGATCAAGAAGTAAAAAAAAATACATTGACATTAGAATAAAGGAGTAAAAAGGCAAGATCTACATGAAAACATGGGTAATATCAACATTAAATTTGAAAAGATGGATAATAAAAACTTGAAATTAAAATTTCTCATTGAATGTAAAATTTTAAATTGATTAATGAAGCTAAATTTTAAAAATTTCAGTTTTGGAAACAGAACTACCAGCCGAGAACCCAGACACACATTGCTTCACCGAACAGAACCTTACAGAATGCCTAGATGGCTTCGTACTACTGGCAGACTCCGATGGTACAATATTGTACGTCAGTGAAAGCGTGTCTATCTTCTTGGGACTGACTCAGGTAAAATACGATCCTTTTAGCTCGATGTTTAAAAAATAAAAAAAATTGTTACCTAAAAATGTATAGACATTTAAGTTTTTTAATATTATAGTATATTAAGAAGGTAGTAGTAATACATTAGGTAGTTCCAATAATTCTGCGCTTACTTATCTCTAATTTTGCTTTGAGAAGGGGCACAGAATTATTTGAAAATTCTAGTAGACCAATTTCATTATGTTATAGTAGGTCGTTGGTGAAAAAAGTTGTCTTAATTTTGAAAAACGTATTACTTGTTTAAATAATTTTGTGCTCCTCTCAAAGCAAATTTTGGGGGTTAAGGGAACAGAATTATATGAACAACATACTAGAGTTAAAAATTTACTGTAAATTTACAGCGAACGCGGAAGTAGTTTCGTTCGATATCACGGGTCATAAAGAGTAAATTGTCATAGTTACCAATGATAGATCACGAAAAACAAGTTTCAATACGAAAACGCACTTTCATTGGCTGAAAAGCCATCAAAAAAGTAGGGTTAGGATGGTTAAATTGATACAGATTACTGTAAAATGCGGTTGTAAAGAGCAAAATACAGTGTTATACGGTGTTGAAAGGGAATACATTAATGTAAAGTTAGGTTTAAATGATGGGGTTTAATAGAGTTTTTGTGTAGGATAAAAGTATTTTTTTAATGGTAATTGCATTAAAAATTGATGTAGAGGTTTGAAAATGCAAAAAAATTTGATCAAAAATTGCAAAAGTGCAAAAAATGTTAGTTAAAATAAAAAAGCAAAAAAATGGATGAAAAAATTGAAATTTTGATGTTTGAACCCCCTAATGACCATTATTAACAAAAAAATTCAATGAAAATCGACTAAAACCTTTATAAAAACAACCTACAAACCCAAAAACCTAAAAAAGTTGCACAATTCGATAAATGTTCAGAGATAGACGAGCTGCAATCTAACCGACTCAAAATAAAAAGACTGAAGGTTTTCGCATTATAAGAGACGAAGGGCGAGCAAAAACAGTTTATACATGATTTGGATGCTGCGAACGTGTTATTCCTTAATATCAATTCGAAACTGTTCTTTCAATGTCGATTTATGGTGCTGGGGTTGTGCGAAGGGTGGATAATATGAGAGGTTGGGCTGGGTTAGGGTGGTAGCGTAAACACAATGTTAGATGGTTTGGCTAGGTTAGGGTGGTAGTATAAACATGGAGGGAGAGTGAAGTTGAAGGGATTGGGATGGGTTTTTAAGAGCCCGTTTCAAAGCACTTTACTATAAACAACTCTAACCTTACATTAACATACCAACATAAACCAATCAGTAGATATTACCTACGCTGCGCATGGCCTTTCTTAACATCATATAGTTGAATTGAACTAAAAATTGAGGGCTTATCTTAAGAAACCATATGTTTACTTCATCTAGCACTGATTTCTGCGCCGAGCCTAACAGTGTCGATCTGCTTGATTTCTAGGCGCGGCTCGGAAGCCAGAGATAACTGCGGTAAAATCACTTTAAAACGCACTTTAACCAGACATTCTGACAGACAAAAACTTAATATTACCTTTTTCAAATAATTATGTGCCCACCAGGGACGTCGTTTGGGGGAGGGGGAGGGGGCACAAAATTACTTGAACAATCTACTAATATAAACTAAATTTCAAAATTAACTTACTTAGTTAAAGACAGCATTTACTAGCTCCAAAAAAGGGAATCAAACGGAAACAGCCTCGGCTTTTATACCCGCAAAGTCCGCGCCCTAAGGCAGTAAGAAACGTGCAAAACGAACGAAAACGCGCAAAACAAAGGCCCAGGTCGAGATTTCAACGGCCAAAACAACGTGTGGATGGCATGAAAAACAGGGAAAGAGGTGTTTTTCGTATTCCATGTTACAATTAGCGAGCTGATGAGGTTAAAAATAAAGGAAACTTGTGTTGAAAGGAAAGATGTTGGGGTAGAACGTTGGAAAATTAACGTTTTTGTGATAGAAAAAAGGACAAAAGTTCATTTTTGATGTAGTTTTGGGTGTTAGAATGGTTATATTGTATTAAGATATGTAGAAAATAAGCCAGGCTATCTTAATGTACTATGATATATTCAAATTTTAACGTTTGTAGCCTTTTTTCTTTCATAAAAGTTTGTTTTCTTTAAAAAATACCTAAAACTATATGATTTTTTTCAGACAGATCTAGTCGGTCGCTTCCTAAAAGAGTTTGTTCACAACAACGACTACGATGAGCTTATCAGAGCCTCGACTACATCAACAGAAGTCAGTGACACAGCTTCATCGTTGGACGAATTCGGCCGCTACATCGTAGTCCGTATGAAGACTGTCATCTCCCCACGTGGCAGAAACCTGAACCTGAAGTCGGCTCTATTCAAAGCCATTCTATGCAGATTCAGAGCCGTGAATACAGAGTACGGTAGATTGTCCCTACTGTACGGTAGCTCAACTCCAGCTGGCCAAGGAAACTCGATCATGTTGGCCAATGCTTCAGTCAAAGGGTCCGAAGCCACAAACGGCGTCTACATGACCAGACACACGTGTGACATGAGATTCAGCTATGTCAGTGACAGTCTGAACTATCTGTTGAGACACGATGCTCGTAGCTTAATGGGAACATCGTTCTACGATATTGTACACCCGAGTGACATGATGGCTGTTGCTGGATCAATGAGGGAATTGTTCCAGAAAGGACATTGTAGAACACCGTTCTACAGATTATTGGGATCCAACAACTCTGTAGCATGGGTTCAGACCGAAGCTACCACCGTGAATCACACTGCTCGAGGTCAAAAGGGACAATATGTCTTGTGTGTTCACTCGGTCATGGGGTAGGTTTTGGGGATTTTGATGGTTTATATTGTTTTATATGTAAAACTAGGTTTATATTTACTATTTTTATACCGAAAATGTTTAAAATTCGATTTGTAAGCTCAGTTTTGGACCTAAATTACCTTTATATCATCTATGTTAATATAATCTCGTTTAGGATGCAAAGCGAACTGGACGCCTGGAACGAGCCGGTGGTGGACGCCCAAATGGCCGCTCATCCGGCCGTCTGTGTCAGCGCAATCAAACGCGAGATCCCCGACATGGCCGAGTACATGGGCAAACAGCCCGAGTTCGTGGATTGTGTGGACTTTACTCCACTGATCGAGCCCGTCATCGACGTCAACTACGACGAGTTCACCAACATGAACGGAATCCGCGGACACGGTAATGAGTTTGAGCTTGATGAGGGCTCGCTTTACGCGGGTTTGAATGGAAAAGAGCATGGCGGGGATATTGTTATAGGTACTAGTGCGAATGTGGCAGATATGGTGGTTGATGGTGTGGATTTGGGGGAGAAAGAAGGTGGTAAAGAGGTTGATAATGATGGTGAAGTTTTTGTTGGAATAATTGATGGTGGGGATATGGACAAGGGAAGAAATGACCACGAAGCCATTAATAATGGAGCAAAGGATAAAAGTGGCATGGTTAATATAGAAAATAATAACGGAATAGGGCACGCCGAGAAGAATAAAGAGCAATATTGTAGTAGCAAAGAGAAAAGTCTTGATAGAAATGGGAACCATCAAGAAAATCACGATGAAATACAGACTCTGGAGACAAATTTGTACGAAGACTACATAGAAAAAGCTTTTGAGATTGATAATGTGAACAAAGTTAATGACATTGAGATTGTCAACGATGCTAATGTGGAATTTGAGGTGTCTGAGAAGGTAGTCGAGGTAGAAAAGCTCAATAATATGGCTAATGAAGTAGAAAGAAGCTACAACAATATAGAAGATGAAGTAGAAAAAGCCTATAACAGTATGATAAGAGACGCAGATATAGTAGAAACTCCAAGCAAGACTAATAACACTCAACTTGACGAAGACTGTCTGACCGATCTAGAGGACTGTTGGAAGAATCCTCACATTTGTAATACAGAAAGACGTCAATGGAGCTACAGCAGCTCTTCGGACGACCCAGAAGCTCATGAACATACCTCAAGTGAAGATGACGTTGTGATAATTATTCCAAAGAAAAAGTTAAAGAAGTCCAAAGGTAAAAGAACGACCAGAGAATGGGTAAAGCAACTTCGCAACTCAATATCTGGAACTGTCAAATGTTCTGAGCGAGTTTCTAGTTCAAACCCTTCAGGAAAAGCTACTAAAACATGTGATAGATCAAACACAAAAGCTTGTGACAGATCAGAGACGTCAAACTGTACCGAACCAACCAGCTCGGCAACTCGATGTTGTTGTTGTGGAGCTCGAAACGAGAAAGAAGTCTACGAAAAGTGTGTTCAGAAGGCGAAAAAAGCGGTGCCCACCTTTCCCATGTCCTTTTATCGCGATCTCATCCAAAAGGTGTTTACCAGTCCGTCACTTTCGTGTTATCGACCATTTGTGCTTTACTGTGCCGTCCCATGTCGTTGATGTTGATCCCCGAACATCCCCAAGGTCCCATGCTCTTTTCCTCGATTTTACAGTGTTTGGCGTACTGTAGGAGGTTTTACAACATCTAAAATATTGTAGAATCTTCTACGGCGTCTAAACAATACTGTAGAATCATAAAAAATGTTTTTAACAATACACTCCTTAAAAATATTAACCTTGAAATTTCAGAGAAGAGAAAGAAGAGCTTCGACGAGGTCCTGGACTGGCTCGTCCGCGACGAAGCCGACAGTCCACCACCCTACGCCAGCTTCTTCGAACAACAGGACGAGTGCCGTGCCGACCCCACCAGCTCAAACGAGTCCTTTCGTCAGCCACAGTACAACCGAGGATACCAACAACAACAACAATTCAACCAAGGCCAGTACCCACAACGAGGCCGAGGATTTGGTCCGGCTTCGGCCGTTCCCATGGCTCCGCGAGATCGGACTGAACGTCGAGCCCCTTCTGCCCATCGGCCCATCAATGCCGATGGACGAGCACCTGCAGGCGCTTATGGACAAGATGGATCAGGCTTCGGTGCCATGCAGCGCGGCCCAACCTGCCTACAACAACAGGGAATGGGTGGACAACAACAACCAATGGTCGGCCAAGGAATGTCAAATGGCTACGGACCAGGATACGAGCGAGGCTTCGACTTCAGACAAGAATCATTCAAACCCGAGCAATCGTTCCGTGCCGAGCCACGCCACTCACGATTCTCAACCCATCTCCGTCGCGAGTTTGGACTCGGTGAGCAGGCCGACCTGTTGCGCCAACAACAACAACAGCAACCCACCAACCCTGGTGGAGCCGCTGCTGTACGTGCGCGGTCAGCCAATCCTGGAACAGTACCCGCCGCTACGTCTCCAGACCTCTACATTGTGCCCGGTCCTCAGCACCGACCTGCTCCTGGACGAATCCCTTCCGGCTCCCCTCTGTACGCCGCTCTGCGTTCTGCCGGTGATCAGAAGCCGGCGGCATATTCTCGTGCGTCCAGTGCCAGTTCCGGTCGCTCCATGTACGATAGTGCAGCAGCCAGACGCTACGCGCAAGCGTCGCCTGCCCCTCGCCCAGCCAACCGCTCTCGCTGCTCCTCCACCTGTTCCAACGCAGGCAATGCTGCAAAGCCTCGAGAGCAGCGGCCTGTGAACGTGAACCAACTCCCTGCCGTGGTTACCCCACCCTGCCACGCCCTCGAGTCTCCACCATCTCAACAAATGTATCAGGAGTATAATAACTATAAGGAAGGACCGGCGTGCAAGAAAGCCGCCTATGGTAATGATAAACCAATGTACAAAGATGAATATGGAAGAGACTTTGCTGGTCTGGCGCCATTCGTTCCAGAAGACGACTTCTTGCAGTTGGAGGATCTGGATTTGAAGGTAGGTTTAGAGGTATTAAAATTTAAAAATTGGATTTATAGTGATAAAAAATATAGAAATTGTTAATTTAGGTAGGTAAAAACTTTAAAAGTTTGAAGTTAGAACGATAAAAGAAGCGGAACATAATAAAATTAGAAAACCGATAATTTCTGTGGCTTTTCGTCGAACAAAATCTGTTTTCTTAAATTTCGGAACTTTTCACTCGGATTTTGAAATATACTAGAAATGTGATAACAAACAATGTTATGTAGGCCAGAAAATAAATTATACCATGTCATTGTAGGGCGTGTTCCCTGATGTCGACTTCTCCGAATTCTTCCCCAACGACGCCACCCCTTCGAATCCGGGCAGTGCTGGCATGATGGAGCAACAAAAACAAACTCCACCATGCTACGATGACATGTATCAACAAGGTATGAACATGCCACGCGTACAAGAAGGTCTGGTACCCGAGAATTGGAGAATGGGTAAGGATTTTGGGGAATATCATGGTTAATATAGTGGTTTGTAGGGATATTGAGGTAGATAATGAAGGTTTTGGAGGTTTTAAAGGTGTTATTTGAGATTTTTGTTAGTTTTTATGAAAGGTATGGTTAGTATTGAGCTGCTGGTTATATTGTAGAGGTTTTTGATGTTTATTTGACCTTTTTAAGGCAGGCATGGTTAATATAATATTGTTGGGATACCTAGAATACTTTAGATAGTAAAATTCTGTAATGGTAAAACAATTTTTTGTAGTGTTATACTACCATACTTCATTAAAGATGACATTAATAACAACTTTTTTCAGCCGAAGCCGAGCTATGGTAATACCATCTTTACCTACCTATATATCTACCTACCGTATTCAACACACTGTTCCTCCCATTATGTCATCTAAAGTATATTCTTCAAGTAGATTGTAATCCATTCCTCTTTTTTACTTTATCCGGTTGATTTGGTTTCATTAAATGGGTTCTTTTTGTACATTAGCGTTACAGTATCCGCCTAGTTATTGTCAAACCCAGCTGGGATACTGTTGTCTTCGTGTTAGTTGTTCTTTAGATTGATAATTTCGTAGCAAACGTATATTATTGTGGTAAACGTATCTTATACTGAGCGTTTTTATTATATTATCCTAGGTTGTTCAAATAATTCTGAGCCTCTAACCCAGCAAATTTGCTTTGAGAGGGGGCACAGAATTATGTGGACACCTAATAGAATGATTCGATTATATTATAGTAGGTTGTTCAAATAATTCAGTGCTCACTTTCAAAACAAATTTTTTGTGGTTAGGGGCACAGGATTATTTGAACAATTCAATAATAGCTTGGATTTAAGTACTTTCGTTTTCTTTTAATTTCTGGAGGCGTTTGATGCCATATTATGTAACTCTGTAGTTGGTTATGAGTTACTTTGTAGTTTAAAATTAGTTTTTTGATTTTGTAATTGGTTCTTATTACCTAATTTGATATTATTCTTGGAGTTTACTGTATTTTTTAAAAAAGTAAGTGATTGTTTCTCTTAAAAAGTAGTTGATTGTAAGTTTATACTGTATTTATTGGGAATACGGTCTACTTTCTTCATTTACTCTATGTTTTTTACTACTATATTATGTTTTTTACTGTATTTTTCTTAAATTACTATAACTTTTTCTTTTTTGTCATTATCTATTCGTTTCTATTCTTTGTTTTCCCTAGTACAAACGCGTATTTTACTATTGTAGACACATCTTTATTCGTAGATAAACAATAAAACTATACATTGATAAGGTAAGAACTGTACAGGTTGGTAAAGGGGATTTTATTTCATGTATTAGGTTGTTAAAATAATCCTGAGCCTTCTCTCAAAGCAACTTTTTGGGGATTAGGGCACATAATTACTTGAACAACCTAATAAATCTAGGTATATGTTACTTATGTTTAAGGTAGAACAATATATTAGGTTGTTCACATAATTCTGTGCTCCCTCTGAAAGCAAATTTGCGGAGTTAGGGGCACAGAATTATGTGAACAACTTAATACAAAAGGAAGAAATTAGTTTTGTAAGGCAAGAAAGGCAATATTTTAACCGGTATGCCACGGTAACTTATCTGAAATACGATGTAACTGGGTTGTTATAAAGGAACGATTAGTGCAATACAAGTCTAGCTGTTAACTAGAGGTCTAACATAGCTACATGGCCATTTCACAATGTTATCACAGCCTAACAATGTTATTAGAATTTAACACAGTGTTATCATAGCCCAACAGAAGGTTATCATAACCTCAATCTATAAAGCTCACATTGATTACAGTGGAAGAGGATGGGTTACAGTGAGCGGTCGTTGTAATACGTTGGTGGTTTTGTGGTCGAGCATGGTGATTGGGGTTACCGATCGAAAGAACCGAGGATTTGGGGCGTTGTGTCTTAATGTTGTAGGTTCAGGAGATGTTATGGCCGAACAGACGACTACTAGTAGGAATAGTAGCATTAGTTTGGGTCTGAAAAAGTTGTTTTGTTAATGTAAAGCTTTTTTTGAAAGCTTAAAAGCTGTAGTTAGGAGAACTGATTAGAGGTTATATTATACTTGGCTCTTTTTACAATATATTTTTTTTAAATTGGGTGGGGGGGGGTTAAAATTTTATCTAAACACTGTTTCTTTAACCTATTATATATTGTCATAGATAGAAAAGTTTTCCTAAAAATTGAAGGTGCCCGACCTTCCCCGCTGAGATTGACTTAAAATTTTTTTAAAAAGTTATTCTGAATAAAACAGGTTATGTGCTTTCCTTGTAAATATAGCCATACAAGTTTAACTGAGCCCTGCAGTTTTATATTATACATGTGTTTTAATGTTTTCACTATATACTATTTTAGCTCATATATGTTTTATCGTTACTTTTCATAAAATCGGAAGATTAAGGCTTTTAAAAATAGGTTAATCTTGGCTTTCTGGGATTGAAAAACTCTATAATCGGCAGTTTTTACTACACGATGGGTTTTGTGACAAAATGCTTCAAAGAACCATGTTTTTCAACTTTAAAACGAAATTTTCAAGTTCAAAAATAAATTTAAAAAAATGAAATAGTGTTTTTTTTCATTATTTAACTATTGCCAATGACACGACTAGGACTAGGCTAATTGAGTTGACCGAACTGTGAAAGACAGTGATCACCGCAATTTAAAAACCATTTTACTTTGTAGGTAGTCAAAGTAGAATTGTTTTTACACCGTCAAAGTAACTAGTAGCGATTACTCTTTCGTCGACTTGTTTTCCCGCTATTATGATCTTACTATCCACTATATAATGGTGGTTAAAAGAAAGTGAAATGACCTTCAAAACACTTCAAAATGAGTCTAATTTCAATTCAACTACTATAATATCGACGGAGTACTACCATAAAATGAAAAGAATTGCTAAATGAATGGCTAGAACTCACATTAATCGATCCATATTTCACTAGGCTATTCGAGTTGACCGGGCTGCGAACGACGGCGAACGGTTTTATAAAGAGCAAACTGTAAAAAGAGTAATGATGATCGTCAAAAATAAAACGCGCCGAGGGAGAAAACCGCGCAACAAACAACAAATTACTCAATAGAATAGTAATTACTGGGAAATGGTCTTGTACACTACCTGGTGTTACATAAACCCCGTCGACCGGTAATTGACATACTATTCAGGGAAGGTGTCAACGTTAGTTGCGGTAAAATTTTAAAGGGTTTGTAACGGGATAAATGAGTTTAAGAGTACAGTAAAAATAGAGTGGTAGGGTGAGGCAGAATATTGTAGGGTAGGGTAGGCTAGAGTAAGATAAGGTAAAGAAAGGCAAGCATGGGTCGGATAGTGTATAATGGGAAGAGAAAGAAGGCATCGGATGGGGTAAAGAATGATAAAGTAGGGTTTAGTAAGTTTAAAGCTAGGGCTAGGGCCACGGCCATAACCACAATCAGAGCGAGAGCTGGAGCCGAAACCTAAACTAGAGCTAAATATAGAACTAGACCTAGAGCTAGACCTAGAGCTAGAGCTAGAACCTGAGCCAGAACCTGGGATTGAGCTAGGGCTCAAGCTAGAGCCAGAACCAAAGCCAGAAGCAGAGCTAGAGCCACGTCCTTACCCAGAGTCACAGCCATAGCCCGAGTCAGAGTCAGAACCTGTGCCAGAGCTAGGACTAGGACTAGGTCTAAAATACGGTGAAGTAGAGTATCTTGTTGTTATTGTTACTCCAAATTTAAAACTACTTTCAAAAGATTTTTGGTTTTGATTTTTCGCTAGAATACATAAACACTCAATCTTAAAGTAAATGTTATTGTAAAGTCATTAAACATAAAAGGATACAACAAACATTGAAGAAAAAAATAACTGCAATATACATCTTTAACAAAAATGACAGAAAAAGCTATTATGAATAATTTTGTGAAAAGGTCTTCTTTTAAATATCTTTTGTGCCCTTATCAACTTACCTTTAAACGTACTGAAGCAGAAGTGAATGTAAAATAATTTTTGTTTTAGAACTCAACCTTAAGTAAACAATTTTCAAACTTTAAAATTATAAGGTCATCGTACTTCCCTACAAAACCAAAAAGCCAAGTTGAAGTCGAAGAAACGCAGCGAAACCCGAAACCGGCTTCAGATGAGTCCAAGAAGCCGTGGCCTTGGAAGAAGCAGGGGGGGGGGCAGAGTCTTGAATTTCAAGTGTTTACGGCGAACCCCCCCCCCCCTTTTATGTGGATGTAATACGTATTCAGGAGAACATGATCCGAACGAGGTCAATCCCAGTGAAAATACTCGAAAGGTTCAGCGGTTTTTCATGCCGACCAGTAATTGAGGTTTGTATGTACAAGGATCAACCGCGCTCTTAAAGGGGTGAGAGTGATTGGGGAGGGTAAATAATTGTAAATGATACCAAGTATATACTGTGCTATTGTAAACGGAAAAACCGGCGAAAGTTTGTGAAGAAAAAACGGATGTGTCAGGTATTTGTATATGTTATAGTGGTGTTTACACCTCTTCTCAAAAAAATTTTATTCTCTCCTCCCCTCCCCCTTCGCTGCTTAAAAAACTAGCTATTGAGACAACTACTATCAAACATTGTTTGTTTTTGTAAGAAAGTGCGACGGTACCTATTAATTAAAATAAAAAATTTATAATTAAAATGAAAATTATAGTCAACAGTCATTAAGTTAAGACAAACAACCACTAATACATGATATTTAGAATTTTTGGTTAATTACTGAACTTCCACTTTTTATTAGTCTTAAAAGGTCTAATCTAACTTCACTATATCCTACCCTACTTAGGCTTGTCTCGGCTCTTATTGTAACGTTACGTTAGCCTTCTCTTAGCTTTACTGATCTTTACTTCAGCCAAACTTTGGTTTTATTCTACTTACCTGGCGTCACTATAGGTTTGTTTTAGCTTAAACATAGCTGTATTCTAGCTTTACCTTAACTGTTCTCTAGCTTGAACATAGCTTTACCTTAGCTCTGCCTTAGTTTTTACTGTAGCTTTATTTTAGCATCACTTTAGTTTTACCCAGCTCTTTTCTAGTTTTATCCGAGCCATACCCTAGCTTTAGCATTATTCTATCTTAATCCTATCTTAGTTTTCACTTTAGCTTCAATAGCTGTACTTCAACTTTGCCATAACCCTAGCCCAGCATTAGTTTAGCTTTACTCTATTCTTGTCGTAGCCCTATTGTAATCTTACTGTAGCTTTTTATTCATTCTACCGTAATTTTTTTCAGTTTTATTTAAGTCTTACTTTAGGCTTACCCTAGGCCTATTTTAGCCTTACCATAGTTTTATTCTAGTCTTACCAACGCGCTACTCTAGCCTTATCTTCACCTTACTTCAGCCGTACTATAACCCTACTTTAGCTTTTTTGCTTTACACAGCTTCTGCAAGATTCTAGGTTTTTTCTAACAAAAAATCTTACCATACCCTACAAATTACAAGAACTACAAAAACAACTTTAAAACCAATGTTATGCCTTACGAACCGTGAGCTTTACAGACTCATAACTCCGAAGAAGCAACTGTTTTCTCCTCAATTTTGTAAGTCTTGTTTTCCAAAACCAATATTGTAAAAGTCAGCTAACCATAAACAAGATGACATAATCAACGACTACGTTTTACGCTTCCAAAAATAAGCTTGTTATTGGTTTTTCCCAAAAAAAAGTAATAGTGGTAGTAGAAAGAACACATAAAGTTTATTTAACTATCAAATATACAAGCAACGACGTCAAGGTTAATCGACGTTTAAGTGAGAAAGTGAGAGTTGGAGAAGGTCGGGACACTTGACATGATACGTTTGAGGTGTATCATTAATTGTGGGGATGGTGAGGGTAGTTTGTGGTGTACGGTAAAGGCACAAGGTAGTAAGAGTTATTAGAGCTGTACGGCGTAGGTACAAGGTAACAAAGGTAGATAGAGCTGAACGGTGTAATAAAAAGGAAGTATAGCTGTATAATCAACTGTGATACAGTACTATAAATAGCATAAAGTACCAAAAACTGTAGACGACATTCAATACCATCTAATGTAAAAGTATCCCAAAAGGTACAGATTGCATTATGTAGCCGTACTGTGTAATATAGATCTTATACCGACCAATATAGGTGTTACACTAAGCAATATAGATCTTATGCTGACCATTATAAATTTTATACTAACCAGTATGTTACGTGATGACACGCTTAACGTCTTCCAAGTGGAGGAGTGAAAGAAGCTGGAGGGTTTAGGCCAACTGGAATAGCTGGAGCTTGAGCTCCAGGTCCAGAAGGCAGCGATTGAACCGGGGCTTGAGCATGAGCAAACAGGTTTTGGAAGTAGGGCGAGTAGCTGGTAGCTGGCCACTAAAAATTTTAACATAAATTATGAAACGTGACATGGTAAACTATATCTTTTACTTTTTTTCAGCCGATTCTAAGCTGTTTTTTGTTTATAAATGTCTTTTTCTTCATCTTCTTTTTTTTTGCTTTTACTTCTTTTTTTTCTTAGGTATAGTCAATTATGTTTTGCATAAAAATTAATTTTTTTTCATTTTTGAAATTTTAGAATAAAGTTTCTTATAAAACAAACTTACAGCAGCTGGTTGAGCGTTAGCACATCCAAAAATGGCCAAGGCAACGCAGAAAGCAACGCTAAAGACATCAAATTTATAAAATGCAACTTTTAGGTAATATATCAGCCAAATTTTATTTAAAAAAGTAATTTTCAACCCTAAAAATAAGTGAAAAACTAGATGTAATAGTAAAAGACTACGCCTTCCCTTAACAATAAAAAAAAATTCTGAAAATTTCAAAAAATTGAAATTGGTTCCCCTTGTGAAACAAAAATTTTTTTTAATTATTAAAAACCCCGCCGATCTATCAATCAGATTATTCAAATAGTTCTGCACCCTCTCTCAAAGCAATTTTTTAAGGTTTGAAAGCGCAGAATTATTTGAACAATCTACTATAATATAAAAAGTCCTCAAAACCAAAAAGAAACTTGAAACTCTCAAAAACAATAAGTAATCAACTCACAATACACTCCTGAACATGTTGAACACTGATGATGATCTCCAACCCGCTGATGGCCGCTTTTATACGCTGCGTTTCATTCCCCTCACCTATTGTATTTTGTGTTTGCGTTGGGGCCAGCCGGTTTGCGCGTTCCATTTTGGGCCCCAACCAAACAGTTTTGTCTTAGGTTATTTTGGAACTGTACCAAAGGTCATGTCAACAACAACATACGCTTTGAGTTGTGTTGACAACGATATTAGCATTGGCATAAGTAAAATCTTGAATTGCTCCAAAGGACAAAATTGAGCATTTTTTTGAATTTCAAAATGATTTTTTCGTCAGAAACTGGTTGCTATATCACTATACCTAAAGTTTTCTTATAAAAAAATTATTTAAATCATTTTCCAGTTATTTTAACACCAAAAACAAATCCTTCTTCATTATTTTCTTTAATAATTTAAGTTTATTTACTCTATAACTTCAATAAAAAAGTAAAAATAGAATGTTATACAGTCAAAACTCTTTAGTATGAGACCCAAAGAACCGGACCAAAGTGCCAATATTACCAGAACGTCACACTATCTAGACAATTTTTGATAGGCGTTCTATTACAAAGGACGTCGAGAAAGCTGTTCTATAAAGAAGGCATCGTACTGTCGGGAGTCATACTAAAGAGGTTTTACTGTAACTGACAACACAAATAAATATTTTAATAAATATCCACAAAAATGTAAAATAATATGGAAAACAAACTCAAATATTAATAATTATATCAATGTAGGTAAATATAACCAGTAACTACAAGAATTAATAATTCTTTGGCTTAAAAAATAACAATAAGCTATATAATCAAGTTGAATTAATAGACTATAGAATATAAAATTAAGAAATTATTTTGGTACTATAATAAACAGTACCTTATTAAAAATAATCTTTTCTAGACGTGTATGGTACTTTGATACTATGGTTAACATGTTTTCCTATAGATATATGTACAATAGAGTGTTCTTGAAGTCTCACAAAAATCTTGTCATTTTTTAACGTTTAAAGCTTTGTACATCGACGACAAAACTTTTCTGTCAACCAAACAACTTGCTATTTACTGTTGTAAATTACTACAGTAAATTACATAGTATACTACAATAAATTCCATATTGTAATACAGTAATCTAAGCAGTGTACTGTTGCATGTACTTTTCTTTCAAATTCTCAGCTCCAATCCATTCCTTGAATGCCCTGAGGTGTTGATGTGGTCGTTTCGCCCCGAATCGAGTGCAAATTGTCTTCTCGCCCGGCATTTTAGTACCAACCGGCTCCAGAAGGGTGCACCGTACTAATTGGATGCAGTCGTTCGAGAAGATGGCTTCTTTTTGCACTCCGTAATCTGATAAACGGCTCAGATGCGCCAGATCCGACGGCAATGCCCTTAGGGTGAACTGGAAAGAGGAAGTGGTAAATTGAGTGTATTGGGCACACGTTTAGGTTTTGATATTGGCGAATGATAAAAAGGGTTAAAAGTTGTGTATATCTTTGTTTATTAGAGTGTTTTAGGCTTAAAAATACAAAATAAGGCATTGTAGTCTTAAAACTATAAAGTAGAGTAGTTTAGGTTTAAAAACAAAATAACGCATCTTAAGCTTAAAAAAATATTACACCTTAGGCTTAAAAAATAAAGATTTACCTATTTTTTCTATAAAACTACATATTATAGTACATACCATAATGCCAAAGAGCTTGTCGCTTATAAAGCAAAGCAAATTGACGACAAAACTTTAGCACCCTTTAATGTATACCTTAAGCTGCCTTTTTAAATGCTATTCTTATCAAATCAAGCTCTTCAATCCCCTGTGACACCCTGAATTTACAATACTATAAAAGCCGCGCCATTCTTTTCGCATCCAAGTCAAAAACTAAACATAAGCGAAGAGAAACGGGCCGGGCCTACTTTTGAACTTTTAGACCCGCCCCAAGCCCAGAGTCCAACTTTTAGGCCCGGTGCCCAAATTTTTAGCCTGGTTCGTTTCTCGCCTCTACATAAGGATTAGACATATATACATTTAATAAAGGTCAAGGAAGACTTGATAAAAAAGGCTTACCTCTGTCATTTGAGGAAATAAAACCCGTTTGTGATTTGTCTGTTTGCTACACTTCATATGTAGTTCTTCCTGTCCTTGCTGACCAATTGTATCTACATAGCATTGAAAAGCGTACCATCGACTCAGCTTTACCGAACTCAAGGCGGCTACTATCATTTCAGCCAAGGCTACGTCTATCTAAATCACATGGTTTGAAGTGGAAGATGTCTTTTTTGAATTTAAATTTAAAAAGTTTTAAAAAAATTAAATTTTGTTTTTAAAAACAAAAGAGCTAAGTTTTTGTCGATTATAACAAGAGTGTTCCTTTTACAGTCGTTTTACATAAAAATTAAAGTAAAACTAACCTAAAATACAGGGTGCGCGCAATGTTCTGTTACACGGTTTTTTAATCAAATATTTATTTTAACAACAAATATAACTAAAACAACAACTAATAATAGTAACATATAGTACTAGTTATAACATAGTCAATGTAACATATATGTAACACAAAAACCGTATCACAACTTACCGTTAAGCACCGTACAAAAGGAGCAAAGAATTGAATCATGTCCCAAAGAGAATATACATCTTTTGACGTCCATCGATCATCTACCATTATGACAGCGCTACGTTCGTCCAAATGGAGGTAGATATTTGTCTTCTTGAGCTGGTGAAAGTCTTCTGGAAAGAAAATTTTAACTTTTGAACCTTTTTTAAAATTTACCTTTTTTTGTAGTTTTATATTGTTCAAATAATTCTGTGCTCCTAAATTCAAAAATTTGCTTTGAAAAGAAACACAAAATTATTTGAGCAATCTAATGTTTTTGCTTTTTAAAGTTAAAATATGTAAAATACGAGAAGTGTTGTTGTTGTAATTTTAATTTATCCTTCCTTGATTTATACCTAGTGTTGTTAAAGCCACTTTAAAAGCTAATTCTCAATTTTTATGTTGATTTTCTCATGTACACAACCACTCCTTCCCCCATCCCTCAACAGCCCTTCCACCCCTCGACATTTTTGGTTCCCAACCACCTACACTTCCTATACCTCTAAATCTTGTGTCATAAACTTTAAAAACTCATGTTGCAGATATAAAAATGTACGTGTTAAAGACGAATAGTAAGATAAGCAAAGATTAGGCCAAAATAAGCTCAAGAAAACTTTACAGATTAATTCTTGGCCATTTTGGAAGTCAAAGTTGTAAAGTAATTGTGATTCGTCATGTTAAAGTAATTATTGGAATTACAATTTTAAATACAAAAAAATGTCATACTGTGTCATGCTACAGTACAAAGGTTATGGAGCAACTTTTTTTTTATTTTTCAGCTTTTTAGATACTGTAAACTAATCTTGAGCTATTGAGACATTGTAAACTAAGTTTGAGCTACATCGTTACTGTAAAGTAATTTTGAGTTATTTGGATACTGTAAAGTAATTTTCAGTATTCTTTGGAAATAATAAGAAAGCATTTTGTAGATTTCAATTATTATAATTAGAGAACAATATCATATTAAGTATAGATAATAGTGCTGTGCGTCTACAAATACAAAAAAAAGAGAAATATTTACTGTTTACGTGTAGTTATATAGTAAATATAAGCATTATAACAATAGTTATAATATTTAAAGAAATTGAAAAATAACAAAAAACCCCACTCAAATTACCCCCTCCCTACCCTGTCTTAACTGAAAAAAGTTTCCATGCCCGCTAGAACCCACCCTCCTTACAGTACTTTTCATGCCCATTTCTAAAAACCCAAACAAATGCTCTTTTTACTCCTCCTTACCATCATCATACCCCCCCCCCACCCATCTCCTTACCATCCTCATACTACGCCCCCCCCCCTTACCAACCTCATACTCAGTAATACCGAATTTAACCAAATGAGTTCTCTCTTTAACCTTCCTTACCATCCTCATACTCCTCGTTAGCCAGCTGTTCAGTGTCACATCTCAACAAGTCCAAATAAAACAAGGCTTTCAACCGGTCGGTTACAATGTCATTTAGCTGTCGATTAACCCGCCTCAAGTTCAGAAGATCAAACGGACTCAAATCGGAGCAAATCAGTGACCTGAAAGTGTAAGATCAGTGAGCTCTCAAACGTTTTGAGCTTGTTATTACTATAAAACATGGAAACTGTCAAAATTATTGTTTTCTCTATCTATCAAACATATGTATATCTATCACAATAAACATTAAACCCTTTGTTTACATTTTTGCAGCAAGCAAAGCTTTGTAATATTGTTTTTGTAATAAAATACGTAAGTTGTAGTTTAAAAAGCAATTTTAAAAATAAGGCCTACCATATTTCATTGGGCAACATAGTCTGACCATCTGATCGCTTGTGGTACCTTCTTGGACTGTTTCTGAACTCCTTGAGTTTTGATCGCTTCCCAGCATTTAAAAAGATAACCAGTGATTTCAACGTCCATAATGAAGGCATTTTAAAATCAAAATTGAATTGAAAATTGATAAGAATGTTATGATCAGAGTTCCCAAATCCAGGCCAGCTCCGGTTTCGGGAATGGAGCCGGAACTAGAGCCTAGACGACGATTTTAAATTTAGAAACTCTGATTATGATTACTACTCAATAAAGCAAAAAATCACGTCCATAAGATATATGCTTTTTCGCGCAAAACGACACACTTTTTTTAAATCTACAACAACATACTATATATACAGGGTGCGCATACTATATATACAGGGTGCGCAAAAAGTTCTGTTACAAAACTTGTATATTCGTCTGTTCATATAATTCTGTGTCTCCTGACTTCAAAACTTAGCTTTGAGATGAAGCACAGAATTATAATATTTGAAAAACCACATATTTAAGTTTATCACGGTACAAAAATATAAGTCGACTGGAAAAGATTTTGGAAGCAGGAGGTGGCGAAATCTAAGTATTTTAGGAGGCGGTCAGTCATTTTTTCCCTCTTTTTTGACCCATTTTTAGGAAATGTTATTTAAATAGTTGTTTATGATACTGCAGATGGTTCTGGTTATGTTTTTGTTGTTAAAAGGTTGTTAATAAACTATATATAAAATTTGGTCCAAATCGGTTTACTCATTGCCACTTTAGTAGGGCGCTCAATAATTTCTGCGTGCAGTATAATGTTAGTATTAGTACTAACTATAATAGCACAGACCAACTACTATAATATAACATTAAATAAAATCGACATTTTTTAATATCAGGACGTCATGTAAAGTATGAAAAATGACTCTTAATACACAAAAAGCTTCTGAGTACAAGGAAGACAAAAAAGATTGTAAAAAAATGATTATACGACAGATTAAATGTCAAAGTGCTGTAGTAAAAGATGACAAAATTTAGTAAAATAAAAATCTGAAGTTAAAGCTAAGTCTAGGGCTTATAAAAATTAAAAGCAATATATTACTTTACATTCTCCAAATTATGTATCACTACATTTTACATTGAAGTACTCAATCTATTTAACACAAGTTCAAGTTTCCCACTAAGAATTAAAGTATTATCCACACCCTTCGTACTTTGATACTATTACATCTATTACTCCTATAAGACCCACCAAAGTAAAATGTAAAACTTTTCGAATATGTTGTTCAAATTACTGAGTAAAAACCCGTGGGATTTTGGTTTATCGCATCATTTACCCGACTCACATATTACACATAATGCGGGTGTTACAGCTAATCAGCAATTATGTTAATTTGTTGGGTTACGTAGCAAATTAACATAATTTATGTGATAGCAATAGGGGTTACAAGTTGTTTAAAAGTAAGCTAAGGCTTAGGCTTAAACTATAGGTCTAAGGCTCGGGCTAGAGATACAGACTAATGCTAGGGATACGGTTCAAGTTAAAGCTATATCTATGGTTAGAGCTAGGCTACAGAAGAAGAAAGTAAAATCATGATATCTCCCCTTCAATACCAACCTTTTTTCTTCTTTGCTCTCCCAACCCCACCCTGCCTCCAAGCCCAACCTCACCTCAACACTAATTGTACGATATGTTATACAAAACAGTATCCAAAATGAAAGTCTAACAGTTTGAACCAAAACATCCAAATTACCCATTTTAAACTAGACAGAACGCCATACTATAATCACATAAAACCACAAAAATACATATAATCAAATTGCTTCGCCATATCAACCCAATTCTCAGATATTAATGAAGTAAGCCATTTTAAGTGTTTTTAACAAAATTAAGCCCTGAGGGAGGGGATTCGTAAAAATAGTAATTCAAAAGAGTTATGCATAAAGAATGCGATTAGAATATATTCGAAAGATTTCACACAATAAAAGACCCAATGCACTAATGTTATGTGATGGCAGAAATGTATGAATGTCATGTTATAGTAGCTACTTTATGGTGGAATCACTAATTTTAGGCCAAAAGTCCTTACAAATGGGTAGTGCTAGCTTTAATAAGGTTTTCCAAAAACTTTTGCAACTTTTTTTGTTTTTTTAATAAAAATAAGAATCATAATAAAGTATGGCATTAGATATTGAGAAGGTGGAAAGAAATGACACCATTGTTTTTAAGTTTATGATAAGAAGGAAGTTGTGAGTACTTGAGTCTATAATATTAATGGCTTTTGGCATTGTAGAGTGAGTTCAAAAGTTCGGAAGAGAAACAAAACATAAGTTTTAAGACTGAAGTATGAAGCAGACACAAAAACTACATTTTTCAAATCAAAATTTTGATAATCGGAGATAGAAAATAGAACATAACGAGTAGCTGAAAAAGGGCCAAAGTAGATCTCAAAGGCAGGAAACAAAGCAGAGCATTTAGAATTTGTCGTGCTTAGCTCTGATCCTCCAAATCTAGTAATAACACTAAAAAATATTTAAAAAATTCAATTTTATCCCCATATCCTGTTGATTTAAGCAAAAACTTTTAAAAGAGACAATACCAATAAGTATAATCTAGGATAGAATGAGGTAGAATACGGTAGAGTAGGATGGGGTTAGATAGCCAATAACATCCCATAACAGTCCTTACTCTAACTTACCTTATCCACCATACCATCTACCCACCAAAAAAGTTTTAAAATAGAGCCTAAAATTATAAAACGCTTCCTTTCCAACCTTTAATCGTATGTTTCCTGCGTAGAAAAAATATTTTCAAAATTTTTGCTTAGCAATGAGACAATACAAATATTATTTTAAAATAATCGTATTAGAATCACTTGAAGTCAACTTTTTCTTCTTATTGTTAACTTCCTACCTCTCTTCCTTAAAGTTAACAATAAAAAGTAAGAAAACATGCCAATTCGACTTACAGTCAAAGTAAAATATTTTTAAATCTTTCAATATGATTCTGTTTAAAAGTTTGAAACTAAAATTTAAATCTATTTTTAAACCGATAGAGTTAATAAATATTCAAAATAACCAAAGTTCAATAAAATCGAAGTGAATTCGTACAGTCAGATGATCATTGTAACAGCCAAAGTTTGTTCTATGATCTGTAATAACGGTTTTACTTCACCTCGGGACATAAAGTAGCATTGTTATACCAAAAATCTATTATAACCCCAATATGAGCCTCATACTGCCCTAAAATATGAATACAATAATAACACATCTCTGTACAAATTAAAGTGTAATATGATTATACGTCTAATGAAACGACTATCAGACACAACATGCAATTTGTAAGTCAACAAAAGTGCATTCGAGTTCAATTTGTAAATTTATTACAAAGACACGTTACACTTATGTAAAGTACATTAATTAAGCAAACCGTAAAAATTGTAACCAATAATTATAAGATTTTGTACCATGACTATCATAGAGCAAAGGCTAGAGTTTAATCTTTAGATCAAAATTTAAATCTTTAGTCATTGATTCACCCTTTACAGTATCATGTAATAGTCAGTATTTTTACTGACAGTGCACGTCATATATTTATTATTTTCTCTAATTTAGTATCGTAAACAGAAGAAAATAAAGCAGTAAATGATTCAGCTGGGCCTAAAATCCTTAAAACAATTATTTAAAATTTATAAATAGTAACATTTATAAAACAATCTATTAGGTAGCACCATTTACGGAGAAAGATGATACTACTGACTTTAGCAAAAGGTGGTATTGTAAAAGAGAGGCTAAAGTGGGCCAGGCTTTGAGGAATAACACGGATAGGAGGTATCCCTTACCAAAGAAATGCTAAAAAAGTTGAATGTAGTCTCACTGTTGATTTTAAACATCCGCCCCGTGACTAAAACGTCTATAATTCACCCTACATTACCTTATCCTATATTACCATATATTACCCTATTCTACACTACCCTGCCTTTCCCTGCCCTATATGCATGGTGCGCCAAAATTTCTGTTACAAAACTTTACAAAGTATATTTTGAAAATACTAAAAGTAATGTTATCACGATTAAGAACTTATAAGCCTTAAATCTAAATTTAGACTATCAAACTTAATCTCAAAACAAGCTCAGAATCCTTGCAGTACTTTTAAAGATCTGTAAACAACTAAAAAGTGAAACATTTTCAAAACTTTTTGTAATCAAAAAAGTGTTAAAAGACTCCATTTGCCATTCTTAAAACACAGTAAAACTTATGTATACCATAACTCCTCTATAACAAACCCTATTTATAACCCCAACGCTTTAGCCTATGTATCAACCTCTCCATAATAAGAATGCCATTTTCAAATCAATTAAAGTTAATAAAAACCCCTCCAGACTCGAGCAAATAAAATAAAACTCGAGTGAAATTAATTTCCATTACCAAATTGGGCGTTTCCATAAACAAAAAGCCAAAACTCTCATTCATTCATTAAAGAGTCGAAGCACAGCCGGCTTCGAATGTCGCTTCGTATGTCCGTATCTCGAAAAGATTAACAAAAAGCGATTAGAAAAAGTTTTGGAACGGTCCGAGTTAGACGTTCCGTGCGCGTGAAGACTATACGAGATTGCTAAGAGTATAGAAGAATAAAAAATACCTTACATTACCCTACCATACACTACGCAACCCTGCCCTACCTTACACTACCCTACACAACCCTGCTCTACGCTACTCTACCCCCCCCAGTCTACCTTACCTTACCATGCCCTTCTCATTACAGTACAAACGTTACCCTACCATACCCTATCCCATTACAGTAAAAATCCATAAGTTATGCCAAAAACAAGAACGTTTACTCTAAAAAGCAAAACAAAACACTTATCACAGTAAATATTTTACAGTGGGCGGGTTTTAAAAGCAAAATTAGTAATAGTAGCTATAGCAATATACTTTGCGCTCGAAAAAACAACAAAAAGAGTTTGGGAATAACAGTAAAAAGTAATCAAGAGCTCGGCTTTGATTGACCATTACTATTAAAAATCGTGACAAATGTATTTAGGTAACAAAGGTTCAAGTATTTTTTGAGGCGGGTGCTAATGTAAGCCTACTAATTAAAGATAACGTATTAAAAAATAGATTTGTGGTCTAATCTCTTAACTTATTACCTACTTTAACCAAAAAAATTTAACCCCCCCCCCCTAACCCCACCATTAGGAAAGAGGGGGTCAATACCAATGTCACCCTAAAATCACATCATACAATACCCCATAAAAAAGCCTAAAAATAGCTAGACATGAGAAACGGCCCTGAGCAAAATTTCGATCGGGCCGGGCCTAACATTCAAACCCGGCCCGTTTCTCATGTCTAAAAATAGCTGTCAATGTCAACACTTCCAGCTAGTTTACTCATTTGAATTCTTGAAAAGTGGCTGTACAGGAAGTAAAAGTCTCACGCCTATCAGTTAACGTGCCAAAACGCCAAAACTAACAATTATCTGGAAGAAGCCCCACATTTACTTTGAAAGCTTTCTGAAGTCTTTGTACGATTACTTTATTATCAGATTACTTTATTATAAAACAGCTTCAGAACAAAAAACTGGCTAGAAGTTCGTCAGAATTCAATGTTAATGTTACGTTGAGTGGGGCAACATATATTCAATGGCATGACATGTTGTATGAATTCAAGGGCATGGCATGTTGTGTAGTACAAGTCAATATTATGTTTGTAGTGCAAAGAGATACAACGGCTTACAGAGACATGCAACGTCCGGTTGCTCTTTAGACAAGAAAGTCGATAGATATGTGGTTATTCAAAAATAACACAGTAATAGTAGTACAGCTAACTATAACATTGTAGTACCCTAACTATAACAGCAAAACATCGTATTAAATTATTCAAATAATGCTGCGCCCCGCTCAAAGCAACTTTCAGTGGTTATAGGCACATAATTATTTGAACAGCCTAATATAACAACAAAATAAAATATTTTGATAATAAGGCAAAAATCCACAGTAAAAGAAAGTCTTATTAAAGGCTTTCTTTATGCAGTCTATTATAGGCATCAGTATATTATAATAGAACGTAGGCGATACTAAAAAAAGTAAAAACCTTTTACTCAAAGAACGTGTGAATTTACAATATTATTTTTACATAAGAAGCAGTACACGGATTTAAAGCCCACTTTTGTTAAAACGAAGTGCATTACCATTCACAATATTATACGAAAAAAATGAATACGTTACTTTGAAGCAAAACGTATGTGATAATGCAATATAATCTAACCTTTATAATATATATTATAGAAGACTTCAATGCTTAATAGAGGAAAAGAAGAGTTTTTTAAATACTGAATATAATTTTAGGTAACAATAATGAAGTTTTATCTAAAAAATAATTTAAACGTTCTTCATTTTACATGACTTTACAAAAATGTTTCCTAAGAATCTTAATTTACACCAAATTTCATAAAGTGTTACCTAAAAACCTAAATTTAAACCAAACTCCACGAATGTTACCCGAAACTTGTTGAATACGCACAAAATTTGGCCTTTACAATAAATTTTAACCCTTTTTTTTACTTTTAACTGCTTCAAAACAGCTTTTTCTGTTGACATTAACCTAAAACATTAGACAAAAATATAAAATACTTACCAAATCTGATTGACCGCTGAGAACGTCCATTTAAAATAGGTATAAAATCAGTTTTGAGGCTCGAACATGCTTTTACTTTGACAAATTTGTCCAAAATCCCTCAAAAAATTTTAGTCTAGCTAGACGTCTAGAAGGAGAAAGAAATTCGGCCGCAGATAGGACTTTTTTTATTTTTTTTTGAAATTCAACTTGGCGCGCCTTGGCGGGACCAAATTTTTAAATTAAAATTTTTCTGGTATCAGCTGATGTAAAATTAAAAAAATATTTTCTTTTGTGACATGTAATTTGGGCACAAAGATGCACAAAAGACTATGTTCATGTAAATGAGGGAATTGTTATTGTTTATTCAGTGGGATCGGAATCTAAAAACTATTTTTCTGTTTTTGTTTGAATTCGAATCATTTCCATGTTGTAATATTACTAAAACAACGTTAAAATTTGTGAAAATGGAAAGTGACACTTGTTGGGTAAGTTATTTTACATTTTTTAATTTAAAAATTTTTGAAGATTATTGAAAAAGCAACTTGTCACATTTTTATATTATCATTGATCAATATTTATGTGTTCAGAGGCGATTTCCACTAAAAAGACTAGCCCAGATTGGAATGATTGTGTCAGTAATTTTACTACTCTTCTACCTAACTTCATCTTCATCTACTGTCAATGAATTGTCGGATGTCGAAGCTTACAAAGGCCCCAAATTGAGGTTTATGAGTTTCAATTTGTGGTTTACTGGTCATATGGTGTCAAATGGATTAGAGAAAGTGGCAAAACATATAAAGAGGGTTGATCCTGATATTGTAGTTCTTCAGGTGGATTTTTACTTTTTAAATATTAAAATATAAACTTGGATATTTGGTGAAAGTCAATGTAATATTAGACATAACGTAGGCGGAAACTCGTCTTAAACCGAGCTTCGAAGAAAAAAGTGTGAAAAACCTAGGTAATACGAGACTGAATAAGCGGATTACAATCCAAACAATGATGATGAATATTGTCTTTGTTATTTATGATTATCCCCTTTAAATGGAAATTATATTTTCTTATTAAAATAGGCTTTTCTTTATGAGAAACACATAGAAAACAAATAAAATGTTATTGGCCGTAGATAGACAAAAATTTAATTGAACGTAAAATGTCTTTAATAAAAACTAATTTTACAGGAAATTCAAACAGTATACGAATTGGACGAGTTAATGGACCTATTGGGACCTGGATGGTACGGTTCGTTTAGAGGATGGTCTAGATACGCTGATGATGCTATTGTCTCCAAACATCCGGTATGGTCTATGAAACCTTTTTTTCATGGCGTATGGGGTAGGTAGGGTGGGGTATGTTAGGATGGATTAAATGGTAAAGTAACTTTTCAGTTCAATTTCACGAATTCCTTCCAATTACAAGCTGGATTTGGAATAGAGATCACTCCGGCTAACATAAGTAAGATCAGAGTTGTGGGCTTGCACTTGGATTGGCACAGTATGGGTAATTATGCGACCAGTAACAAATTGGTAACTAAAATGGAACAAATCATGGCTGGAGAATCAACCCCACCTATTTTTAGTAGGTTTAACTTACTTTAAGGTAGGATAAATAAGAGTAAGTAACGCTAACGTATAGCAAAGTTGAGAAAACTAGGGTAGTGAGTAGGCTATGATACGGTAGAGTAGGGTAAGGTTAGGGCAAAATAAGGTAACGTAGGATACGGTTGAATGGAATTGTGATGCTGACTTAATTTGACTTTTCAGACCGTGTAGACCAGATCAAAGAGCTTTTAGCTCACGAAACCTTCAAAAAATGGGACGCTGAAAGTGAAACCGTACCAATATTTGTCGCTGGTGATTTCAATTCGGCTTCTCATTTGGATTGGATGGAAAATCGAAAGTGAGTAATAAAGTTTTGTATAGTTTTAGATTTTTTATCATTTATGGCCAAAAGTAATGACTATATTATAGAGAAGAACATGGTGGATGGGTGGTAGAATGGCCTACGACCAAGATGTTAATGAATGCTGGCTTTTTGGATTCATACAGAGAAAAACACCCTGATCCAATTAAGAAACCAGGTAAATGACATTTGTGTTAATATTATTTAATAATGAGCTTACTATAGAAAAGCTATGGTAAGGGTGTACCTAAGTAAAATAAAGTGTACCTAAGTAAAATGGAGTGCACCTAAGTAAAATAGAGTGAACCTAGGTGAAAAGTAATATAACCGAAGAATAACTTACCTAGCGTTTTTGTTAAAAACACTAAAATAAACTGAGTTGAATCGAATACCATCACATTGGGCGTAACCGAAGAATGAGCTATTAGACGGTCTTCTATCATGTTGTTGATCAGTCCATCGCATACGTGCAAAGATTGACGCCGGACGATGGTAACCATAACATCATGGTGCCCGTTTGCCAAAATAATAAATTAAGACCCACCCGCCAAGTATAAAAATCAAATAATGAAAACGCTTTTGCTTTCGACCATTCTTAAAAATTTGCATAACCGGGTAGTGTATTATATTCCCTCACAGAGTAGTGTATTATATTCCCCAAGGATGTGTATTTCTTTACATTAGCATCAAGTTTTGTTTATAAAATTTTAATTGTCTGTTTAATTATTTTTGTTTTTAGGGCATTCCTGGTCGATAATCCAAAAGAACGAGTTTGAATGGAACTTCACCATCCCAGAGCCTCAAGATCGAATTGACTTTATCTTCTTCAAGTCCAACTATGTGGCGGTGAAAGATTCTTATCTATATGGTGGAGATGAACCTCAGAAGATCTGGCCTAATTATCAGGAAAACGATTACCCAAGTGATCATTATGCCATGGTAACTGACTTTGTCTTCAAAAGCTGAATATTTGTTGGCATGGCGGTTTATGTACTGTGTATGGTACTGTATCAGTATTAGTTAAATGAAAATTGACATACTGTGGGATTATGACGCTGGTAGTTAGTCTGTTTTATAATTTGATGGCTGCTTTATTACAAAACGTGTATTTATATGGTAAAATAAAAAAAGTTGATTTTGAAGGTCGTGAATAACAAATATTTATCTTTTTTAGGAATATAAAGGTCACAAAGTAAGCGCTTGGAGGTTTGTTTTTGTTTTTTTTAATTAACAAAGAGATCATGTTTAACAAAATATGTTTTGCGCTTTTTTATATGAGTGTTAAAACAGAACTAGTAACTTTAACTTATAACTTTCCAACTTGCTTTTTTTAATTTGATGCTTATATATCTTATTATTGCAAAAAAATAAAGTTTATGTAAATGAAAATGTTGTTATTGTTTATACCGTAAGGTCAAAATCTAAAAACTTATGTTTTTGTATAAATTTATATCACTTCGATGTTGTTTTATTGCTAAACCAACGTTAAAACTTGCGAAAAATGGAAGATGAAAGTTGTTGGGTAAGTTATTTTTCAATTTTAACTTTCAAATACAATATTTGACACCTTCTGAACTTTGAAAAACAGTTTTTATACAAAAAATCGCATATTTTGCTATACCTTCGGTTAATATATAGTTGCCGTATTTCAGAGAAGCCTTTTAATAAGGCTAGCCCAACTTGGAATGATTGTGTCAGTAATTGTACTACTCTTTTACCTAACGTCACCTTCATCTACTGTAAATCAATTGTCAGATGTTGAAGCTTTTAAAGGCCCCAAATTGAGGTTTATGAGTTTCAATTTGTGGTTTACTGGTCATATGGTGTCAAATGGATTAGAGAAAGTGGCAAAACATATAAAGAGGGTTGATCCTGATATTGTCGCTCTTCAAGTGGGTTTTACTTTCCTTTGATTATAATGTCTATTATTTTAAATACTGTAGCATAAAGGAGGTTTTTCTTGTCACTGGTTTTACGACTAATAATATTATATGCACCAAGTAATAAAAAAATTAACATATAATAAAACACTATGTAACAAAGAAAATCTTATCACTTTACAGGAAGTTCAGACAGTATACGAATTGGACGAACTAATGGATTTATTGGGGCCAGGATGGTACGGCTCATTCAGAGGATGGGCTCAAAGTCCTGGTCAAGCTATTGTCTCCAAACATTTGGTGAGAAACCTAAAAATTTTATCTTATTGTTGACTCTTATTACAAAAAAACAGGAAAGTAGCCTTGTCTTTCTCATAGTAAACATAATTTTGCCATTTAAGGTATCATCTAAGCATACTCTGAGAGTTCGTATTTTAATTTAATCACGTATTTATACGCAACTTTAGCCAAAACTATGGATTTTCAGTTAAATTTTACAAATTCCTTCCAATTACAAGCTGGTTTTGGAATCGAACTCATTCCAGTCAACATGAGTAAGGTCAGAGTTGTGGATATGCATTTAAATGCTAAAAGTTTTGGTAGTTATGCGGCAAATAACAAGATGGTTACAGAAATGGAACAAATCTTGGCTGGAGAAGCAGGTAGGGTAGGGTAGGGTAAAGTAGGGTAGGGTGCAATAATGTAGGGTGGGGTAAGGTAGGATCCGGTAAAGTGAGGTAAGGTAGGATAGAGTAGGGTAGGACAGGATAAAGCTAATTTAAATTTTTCAGACCGTGTAGAGCAAATCAAAGAGCTTCTAGCTCACGAAACCTTCAAACAATGGGACGCAGAAAGTGAAACAGTACCAATCTTGGTAGCCGGTGATTTCAATTCGGCTTCCCATTTGGATTGGATGGAAAATCGAAAGTAAGCAATAAAGTTTTATATGATTGTAGGTTTATGACGAAGTTTAAACTATTTTTTAGATCTTTTGTTAGTTGTGGCCAAAAATAATGAATATATTATAGAGAAGAACATGGTGGATGGGTGGTCGAATGGCCCACGACCAAGATTTTAATGAATGCTGGCTTCTTGGATTCATACAGTGAAAAACACCCTGATCCAATTAAGAAACCAGGTAAACCAGCTTCTTAAAACAATAACGGGCTTACGAGGCTAAGGTATTGTATTACTTTTTTTATTTTACGAAGAAGATAGAACAGATAATATAAAAAAATATGACAAATTTTGTTTTAAAATTTGAATATTTTTTGCACAATTTCAACTTTTTAAAGGTATTTGTTATCTTCAGGTCATTCCTGGTCAATAATTCAAAAGAACGCGTTTGCATGGAACTTCACCATCCCGGAGCCTCAAGATCGAATCGACTTTATCTTCTTCAAGTCCAACTATTTGGCGGTCAAGGATTCATATCTGTATGGTGGAGATGAACCTCAGAAGATCTGGCCCAATTATCAGGAAAACGATTACCCAAGTGATCATTATGCCATGGTAACTGACTTTGTCTTCAAAGTTAATACTATGTTTGAATAAACAGTGATTGTACTTATGTATGCGTTCTAATTAACCGCAATTTTTTGATGATGATACTGTACTTTAATTGTAAATTGTAAAATTGCAAACTGAGGAGATAGAACAGTAGTCGAGATACCTAAGTGTCTCTTTTGAAATGAAAAACCTAAGACGCATGCCAATGATTAGTACCAAACGCTTTAATGTCTACGGTTCAAAAGAGACACTTAGGTATCTCGACTACTGTTCTATGTTTTCGGTTCTCAATTTTACAATTAAACATTAAATTTGTACTAAGCCTATGTTACAGTAAAACGTTTGGTACTGGTCATTGGCATGCGTCTTAGGTTTTTTAGTTCAAAAGAGACACAGGTATTTTGACTTATATTGACACTTATATTAATCATGTATTATATAGCAATATATTATATAGCACGGAAATACTTACATTACTGTAACTCGACGAGTAATGGACCTACAGTAGAAAACGATACAGATTCTAAAAGCTCATCACAAATGACATCTTATGTTGGTTTTGCGGCAATAACTAACAAAGAGTTTTTTTGTGGTTATCGATCGTATATTCATCATGTATTATATAGCACGGAAAAATTTACATTACTGTAACTCGACGAGTAATGGAGCTTCAGTAGAAAACGATACAGATTCTAAAAGCCCATAAACAACGACATCTTATGTTGGTTTTGCGGCAATAACTAACAAAGAGTTTTTTTGTGGTTATCGATCGTATATTCATCATGTATTATATAGCACGGAATTACTTACATTACTGTAACTCGACGAGTAATGGAGCTACAGTAGAAAACGATACAGATTCTAAAAGCCCATAAACGATGACATCTTATGTTGGTTTTGCGGCAATAACTTACAAAGAGTTCTTTTGTGGTTATCGATCGTATATATATCTAGTGTAATATGGTACTCGTATACTTTGTTACACTGTAACTTGACGGATAACTGAGCTACAAAGACAGTCGATACAGATTCTGAAAGCCTATCAAAAATGGAGTTTATTATGCTAATTTAAGGCTTAAATAACAGACATTTTGTTTGTGGTTGTCGATCGTATATATATCTAGTGTAATATGGTACTCGTATACTTTGTTCACTGTAACTTGACGGATAACTGAGCTACAGAGACAGTCGATACAGATTTTTAAAGCCCATCAAAAATGGAGTTTATTACGCTAATTTAAGGCTTAAATAACAGACATTTTGGTTGTGGTTATTGATCGTACATATATCTAGTGTAATATAGTACTTTCATCATGTATTATATAGCACGGAATTACTTACATTACTGTAACTCGAGGAGTAACGAAGCTACAGTAAAAAACAATACAGATTCTAAAAGCCCATAAACAACGACATCTGTTGCTGGTTTTGCGGCAATAACTTACAAAGAGTTCTTTTGTGGTTATCGATCGTATATTCATCATGTATTATATAGCACGGAAATACTTACATTACTGTAACTCGACGAATAGAGATTTATTTTTATTTCTGCAGTACAAAAGATTCATAGGTTTGGCTACTTGACTTTAAAAAGGACCAGTTCGCCCATTCAAATATCATTAGCATTCTGTCACAAAAATTCGACGTTCATTTTTTCCACAAAAAACCTGAGCATGTCGGTCCCAAAATTGGAAAATTCATTTTGACGCCGACCCACTCACGTTTTTTGAGAAAAATGATTTTGATTGAAATTGCCTGGCTGTTTTGGTACCTTGTTTAACGTTTAAATGCAAAAATCATTTTACTTGTATACTCTCGTCGTATCTTATCAGTTCCATCCATCGTTCAAAGTGACCTTCGCTTTCTATTATTGTTGACAATGTTATTTAAAACTTTAACTTGGTTTGTAGTACTATTTAGCTTATCTGCAATATCAGTTAGTGGAGCAGCTGAAGCTTATAGTTTTTCATATGTATCTTCTGGCTCTTCTAGTATATCTTATAGTAATTCAAAAGGTAATGGCGGGGTAATGGATGATGTACAATATCCAGTCAGGATTATGTCGTTTAATATCTGGCTTTCTGGAGATAGTGTAGAGAATGGTCTCTATAAAATTGCTAAACATATCAGGCTTGTCAATCCGGACATTGTGGCAATTCAAGTGAGTTATAGGCTTTTTAAAACTTTTTTTTTATATTTTTTTACCTTGTCCTTTTCCAACCACTTTAGACCAGAAACTAGTATTTAAAAGAATGTAATGTCATTCTTTATAGGAGCTCAAAACTGGAGAAGTATTATCCAAACTCTTGACAGAACTAGGTCCAAACTACAAAGGTGTCTATCATAACACTTCTGATTACTCCGACACTGCCATAATCACAAAGCATAAAATCAACTATGACAGTACTTTTTTGATACCAGCTGGAGTAGGTACAGAAGTCATTTTGAACACAGGAACGGCCGTGCGAATTGTTGGGCTACATTTGGCTTACAAAAGTTATGGACCTTATGCTGCCTATAACAAGCTGGTTACCAATATCAAACAAATCATGGCTGGCGAGACAAAGCCGGATAGTTGGAGTAAGTATTATATTATAGTACACATAGCTTTCGGCTAGCTTGGCTTGAAATAGTCAGTAAGCTATTAATAAAGGTCCGAGTCGTGGTTTGAGCTCTGGTCTTTACAGTCACATTTGTCAACTTAGTCTTTATCAAATTTGTTTCGGTTCGGCTTAGTGAACTTCTTTTTAGATCTAATACGGCATAACGAAATAAGGTACTGAAACTATAAAAAATCTTTTAAAAAAAAAGGTGCCTTCCCCTTAAAAAAATGGTATTTGGTACCAGCATGCTAAAAGTTGAGTTTTAAGAATGTTAGTATCAAACAGCAAAAACAACAGCTAAAAAATTTTATGCTGAAATTTTTTAAATTTTAAAGATTTTTTCATGGTTTTGGAACTTTTTTCTTGGCTACCGCTCTAGGCAAAACCAGAATTCACGTTTACAAAAATAAGAGAAAAGCCAAAACTTGAACTTTCAAATTTCAAAAACTGGTTTATTTTTTTTACTGTAACCTTTTTTTTAAATATACTTTGGTATTGTAAACATAACACTGCGATATGCTATTTTACGTTGCAATCTCTCAACTGTAATATATATTTTTTTAATTTTCGAAATTTTCAGGCAGAGCCAGGAATATTAAAGATTTAATTGCCCACCCTTCTTTTCAAAAGTTCTCTTCTGATTCAGATAAAGTGCCATTTTTAGTCTGTGGTGACTTTAATTCACCTTCTCATTTGGATTGGATCAAGGAAACTGAGTAATTATTTATTGTTTAAATTTATCAAAAAATATTTTAAAATTTTGTTTTGTTATGAACCGTATTTTACATCCTTTTGAAATTTTAAAATGGTTAAATTAAAAAAGTTATTATTTCTGTTGATAATGATTAAAATTATATTCTTAAAAAGTTTAAAATGAAGATTTGATAACAATGTAATTCAACATCAGTTACTTCAACAGTAAAACGTCTGATAAGCCTATTCACAAATCGATGATAAGCCTTTGCTTACAGATCAATTCACGGATGGACAGTAGAATGGCCGGCCACAAAGTTGTTGTTGGATCAGGGCTTCAAAGACTCATTTAGGGTTGTCTATCCTAATGTCACTGAACATCCGGGTATGGTAATTGAAAAAAAATTTAAACGTAGTTTAGAAGGCTTTTATTATAATTATCACTAAATAGCTATCAATTGTTTGTTAATTTACTTTTGCAAAACAAAGCAGAGCATATACAATAAAAAAATTTTTTTAGGTATAACTTGGTCAACAGTGAACAAGGCTCCAGAAGAATGGGATTATACAATCCCAGAGCCTCAGGATCGAATTGACTTTATAAATTACAAAGGTAGCCTAATTCAACCAATTGATTCCTTTACTTACTCTGGTAATGAGCCGGTACTGCCCATACCCCATCACAAAAACAACGATTATCCTTCAGATCACTTTGCTTTAGTCACTGATTTTGAGTTTGTTTAGTATAAAAATGGTGTTTTACTGTAATATACCATTTTACTGTAACTTTATACAATAATTTTGTACTGTGACTTAGCTAGTTACTATCTATTTCTTAATTATCTTTAAAATTTTGAAATTATGGACTTTTCCTTACTTTTTTATATTACAGTAGACAAACTTCAATCGATTATGTCAATATTTACCAAAATTTCATAAAAATTTACATTTACCCGTACATAAATAACACAAGGATTGAAATGTAGCATACTACGTGTAATAAAGATCGTCGAAAGTCAGTGGCCCAAGCAGATTCTGACGAATTATCGAAGCTGCGGGAGCTTCTTCAACTGACGTCGCCGTACTCAACGAGTCCTCCTCCACTTCTTGTTGTTGTACCACCGCCCCAATGGGGCTTTTACGATTGTCGCGGAGTTTTTGCGACGTTTGATTTAATTCATCAACTGTTTCTACTTCTGCCAGACCTAAAAAGACTGGATGAGTAGGGTTAAGTTGATATAGAGAAGATGGCGTTCAAGGTGGGTAGAGTTGGTTGAGAGTTCTAGCTTTTAAGAAGCTTTCCAGCCCTCTAATTGTTTTTTAAGGTGATAATGGCTGTTATTACTAATTTTGACATAATGAGTTTAATTATTTTTTTAGCTATTTTGTTTTTTAAAGCCAGCGTCCTTATTCTAGCCTAGACCTACTGCTGCCACACTTTTATGCCATAACTGTTTTTACAAATTAATTTGACATACAAAAATTTACGAAAATTTAGCTTGTTCCTTTTGATAACGATTTACTAAAAGCTAATTTTGCTACTTATAAATTTTAAAAAGTTACAGTACTTCCGCCATACCCCTTACGTTTCCAAAACCATTTTTTAAAATTTAAATATGTTTTTATATATAACAATTGCTACAAAAGTGTAATATAGTATTTGTAGAGCATAAAAAACTGTACATACTGTAAAAGTGTCGTGTTCATACCTAATTTTATGAAAAGTTATGGCAATTTTAAAAGTTGAAAATCAAAAAAAAAGTTTGATTCCGTTTGAAAAAAGGTGTAATTTTCACATTCAAAAAGGTCTTTTCTAAACATAATTTGAAAAAAAAAGTTTAAATAAATAAAAAATCTTTTTACACCCCTTCCCTTCTCTCTACCTCTATTCTTAGCCTTTTTCTTGCCCTAAAAGTTTTACTTTTGCAGAAAAATCAGAGCAGGGCAAAACGAAAAAAATCTCAACTAACTCTCCCCCTCACAAAGAACGCCAAAACATTTAATTAATTCTTCGTTTCTCTGGCACAGCGTTTGTAACATTAGTTAAAGCGGCTGGAAAATGGAACGTAAAAAAGCGGCCGAAAATAATCGAAATAACCGAAATGAAGCCACAGAACGGAAAAGAAACAACACGTACATTCATATATGCATAATACGGTCACAAAAAGATGACCACCTCGTCCGGCGCTTTCGGCGATTCTGGAGATTCTGGAAATTTGAATATTGAGATTACATTACAACGTCACAAGGATTACGGTAAGATTACGGTAGGTGAGAGTTAGGTTAAACGTAATGACAGATTTGAGTGGGGTTAGGTGAAGAAAGTGAAAATTTTAGGTTTGAAAAGGAAATTGAAGTTTAAATTTTAAAAACAAATTTTTTTAAGTTTGAAAAATTTTAAAAATGTTGTTTTAGCCTATATTTTAGCCTATAACTTAATAGTTTTTAGTACTAAAACATTTTCGTTTTCAAAAATTTAAAATCAATTTAAAATTCATTTAAAAATGTTTGGCATTCGAAATGTTGCTTCCTTTGTTATGTATTTACGATAATATACATCATATTGTTGCAAAACAGTTTTTGTCCATTTTTGATGACTTTAACGAAAACATTGTTTCAAAAATTTAAAAACAGAAGAGTGATAAGTTTAAAAGATCTTAAAAGTACTAAAAAATTATTTTTAAATAAAAAAATGAAAATAAGAGCTACGGAGTAAGTACAATATATTAAAAATTATAATTCAGTATGAGAAATAGCACTTTAGTATAAATTAATATGATAACAAAAACAAAAATTGTAAAATATTAACTATAACTCTCGAGATAAATAAAAAAAGGTTATTACTATCACTTCACATAACTAAATAATTCCAAAATGAAGAGACTAAAAACAAGTTTTAGTACTGAAACTCAACTTTGTAGATCGCAGTACTATGTTATACTGTACTTTAAAATTAATTTATAAGGTTAAATAGTTACACTGTACTATCTATTAAATTGTTCAAATATTTCTGAGCCCCCGTACCCCCAAAGAATTGCTTTGAAAGGAATCGCAAAATTATCTGAACAACCTAAAAGAGGTTTAAAACTCATAGTATATGTTATGTACTACAATATAAAAGGTTAGTATAACTAAAAGGTAATAACTGAAAGAAAGATGTTATAACAACCTCAAAAACGTAAGTAAAACTCAAAATGTTAGTTGAAATTTAAAGATTGTTATAGGTAGAAAATATGGAAGAAGATGTTATGTGCCGTGTAATGTTCATTTTAGTGCAAATTTTGATAGTTTATATAATTTGAATTCATATATATAATGATAAGTACTATCTCAATCTAAAAGTTTAAAAACTTATAATTTTAAAAAAGAAATCATTAGGTTGTTCAAATAATTTTGTGCCCCCTCTCAAAGCAATGTTTTGAAGTTGGAAACACAGAACAACTTGAACAACGTAATATAACAATCGAAAATTTTTTTTCAAATTTTTACTTTTTTCCTATCTCACCATCTAATATCTCTCACCCACCACAACCGTATTACCTTTTTCCGTCAACAACTCGGCCTTATCTTCGGCGTGCCTCGAGGCACTGGACCCACTCCTACTCAAACTCTTCGAATTCGAATTCACAGTTAATTGTTTTGACATTGCTTGTTGTTGCATCGCTCTAGCCACAATCGCTTTAAACGTCGGCTTCAGACTCGGCGATGTTATAGGTGGTGGAGGCATGGTAGACAAGTTACTCACATTCGAGTTCTTGTGGATACTTGTTGGTGTTGGCGAGGGGCCACGTGACGAGCCCTTTCGCATCGATTTCGGCCGTAACTTGTCGATGGTGGCGGCGAAGGTTGAAGTGAGCGGCGTCTTGAGTGGCGTCTTCTGAATCGGCGGCGGCTCTTCCGGATTCTGGAACTTGGGCTTTCGCCGCATACACGAGCATATCACACACAGGCCGAACGTCAGGAAAAACACTGAAATTGCGTTTTTAAATAGAAAATACACTAAAAGTTATATTTTTATTAAATTGTTCAAATTATCATGTGCCCCGTCTCAAAACAAATTTTTGGGGTCTCGGAGCACAGAACTATGTAAACAACCAAAATAAAGAAAAGCAATAAAAGCGAATTTTAAAAAACCCAAAAAAAATTAAATTTTCAAAAAGAAAACACTAAAATTAAATTTAAAAAACTAGGTTGTTTGTTTTGAAACACGTCTTAAAAAGCAAATATGTACGTATTATACAACTTTTCACGTGCTAAAAAGAAGAGCATGTGATACTTAGTGTTAAAAAGAGCTTCTTGGAAACTTAAAAGTAAAGTCCAAAAAACACATTTTAATTTTTTTTAAATGATTCATGTATTAAATTTTATTTTTCAAATGGTACTTATCATGAAAATAGTTTTTTTTGTGAATTATTGTTAATATTAGCTAATTAATGCAAAAAAAAATAAAATTGTGTTTTGTTAAAAAAATACCATCAAATTAACGTTTTTATTAAAAAAACGTGGTTTGAAGGCTTATATCCGTAAACTTTTGGCTTTTCTGGTCAATCAACAACAAGGAAAAAAAATTTTATATCTCAGTTATTGAAAGCTTAACGTGTGTTAACTAATGTTCAAATGAAGTCCAAAATTTCTGTTATTAAACATCATAAATTATATTTTAAAATTATGGCCGCTTCTTAAAAATCAGTTTCTATAAAATCAATTTGCTTCCAGGTTAACACTTGATTTAATAATACAAAGAGCAATTAATTTTATTACTGTCACACCTCTTTAGTATGACACTCAAGAGACAGGTTTAAACCTTTCCTTATAACCAGAATGTTACACTATATGTACTTTTTGATAGAGGTTCTAAATATTACAAAGGGCGATCAAAATGCTGTCGTTATAAAAAGGTGTTACACTATTAAGTGTCATATTAAAAAGGTTTCACTGTATGTCAAGTCAGTGTTTATTTAAAAAAAACTTTTTAAAAAGCTGACAATTTAAGCCTATGAGAAAAACTGACAAAATAAGCCTAAAAAGCCCAAAAAAATTATTAAAAATGTCCCCTAAATCTGAAGATTCTTTATTCATATTTTTTTAAATTTGAAGTTTTACTCACCTACACACACGCCATTCATTAAGAAGAACCCGATAAGCATGTCCATCTCTCCCGGACCATCTGTGTAGTCTTTGGACCTCATTTCGGTGTAATCGATGGCTTTGTCCGGCCGTAGGTCACTGAAACGTATCTTCTGTTATATCTGTTATATTTAGCAAAAAAAAATCTTGCTCTGGTTAGTATAAGGTTGTTCAAATAGTTCTGTGCCGTTTTTGAAAACAAATTCTTGGAGTTATTAGGCGCAGAACTAAGTGAACAACCTAATAGTTGTTAATGGTAAAAGTCAATTTTGACATGTTATGACACTTTACTTAAAAATATCAAAAAGCCCTTAAAATGGCATATAAACCATTAGAAAACGTCAAAAAAGTGTTTATCCCTAAAATGTCCAAAAGTGTGAAACATATAGACGAGAACACTATCAAGTTATAAAACATGTAGAGACGTTAAGCACAAATATACATCTCCGAAACCCGACCCTCTCGTGACACTATAAGCGAACAGCTGCCGAGTGTTACAAAGTCGGCATGAACATTCGCGTTTTGATGTTCTTGACACATCGTGTTCTTTTCATTAATCTTTGATTAAATTGCCTCAATTTCTCATATTCTAGCTGGTTTTTGCAGAGGGTGGTAAAGCATAACGTGCTTTGCTAGGAACATAAATTAATTTTTGTTATCTTAGGAGATAGAGTTAGCGTTTTTTTAATTTACAGTGATATTTTAAAAAAAGAGGCAAGCCTAAACTTTAGGCTAAGGGTGAATCCAGAAGTGAGGCTAAGGCGGACGCTATAACTCATGCTTAGGCTAAGGCTTAGGCTCAATCTTAGGCGAAGGTTGAAACTCATGCTCAAGCTCATGCTCATGCTCAGGCTCAAACTCCTGTTCAGGCTTAGGCTCACGCTCAGGCGCACGCTCAGGTTTAGGCTCAGGCTTAAGCTCAGGTTCAGACTGATGCTTACGCTTAAGCTTAGGCCCACGCTGATGCTTACGCCCAAGCTCACACTTTGGTTCAAACTGACGATCAGGTTCACGCACAAGTTCACTCTTTTACTCATGCTCAATCTCTGGCTCAGGTTCAGGCGCTCTCTCACGCTCAAACGTACTGTCTGGCTCAGAATAAGGCTAAATCTGTCAAAAACAAGATAAAACCTATTTTTCCTTCTAATACCACAATGTCTATCCACCTTTGCCAAAGTCAAAAATTAGCAAAATATAACTTTGACACTTCCTCTTTTACATCCCCTAAAGCTATAACGTATTCGTGCACAAAAACCTTCAAAACAAACACAAAATGGCATTCGAATAAGGATATACACCTACACTCCGAATGTTTAGACCTTGATATCCTGAAGCGTTAAAAACAAACGGCCAAAAAGAAAAAACAAGAGCCGAGATGTTATTCAACTCTGCTGTGTTTGAAATTTACTCTGTAATCTTCTTTCGGCCCTAAACTTGACTTTCTTACTATCATAGCATAGAGAGGCAGGGATAACATAATAGAATTTAGTTGAACTTATTTGAACTTTGCCAAAATATTATAATAGGTTGTTCAGTTAATTCTGTGCTCTTTTCAAAAGACATTTTTGAAGTTAGGGAGCAGAGAATTATTTGAACAACCTAATATACAGGTTTTTTGAAGTACTATATAAGCATAGAGTTGTTGTTAGTATGGTTAGGTATGCGCTTAGAAAAATATATTAAGTTGTCTAAATAATTCTGTGCCCCCTGGCTCAGAAAATTTTCTTTAAAAGAGGCACAGCATTATTTGAACCGTTTAATATGTTGTAGCTTATAGAAACAAGGTTAGTACACAATATGTTATTTACAAGTATTATACTATATAGTACCGACAATCTAACAACCTTACTCAGAGCTCTGATTCTTTATAATCGCCGTAGCTGTTTCATACTGATAAATCATGGTATATAGATTGGATTTATACCTTTATAACAACGCTTGTACCCAATTTTAGGCTGCTATATTAGAGTAGAGTATAGTACTCAACTTAAACTAGCCAAGAAATATATTATGTTATTCAGAAACAGTACGTTATAGTACTCAGAAATTGTAAGCTGCTTTAGAAAATTATAGCGTAGTATTTAACAAATGTAAGCAAAAACTAGAAAAGCAGTTGATAATACTCGCTGAGCCAGTAGTACTCAAAAAGAAACTTTAAAGAAGCCGATAGTACTCAAAATAGTACTCGAAAGCTCGTTTGAAAAAGCCGGTAATACTCAAAACAACACTCAAAAAGCTGTTTAAAGACAAAAAAGAATAGGAAAGTAAGTTATAGTACTCATAGACAAAAGGTGGAGGATCCGTCGCCTTCTGACGTCAGTCGAATCGGGAAGGCACGAAAAGTTTGTCAACCCAGCCAAAATTCTCCAAAGAAACCATTTTTGGGAAAAAACAAAAGAACATAGCCTCGGGGCAAAGGCGAAAAGGAAAAGCCAACAGAAACGACCGGATGTTTGTTTATTCACAATCTATATTAATATCTGACTAATCAAGGAGAAGGGCGGATTCAATATGACAAGTGGTGTTTGATCGGTATAACATTGTGATGATAACATATTATATTATGGCATGTAATTTTAAGTTTGGAAGTGAGGAGGGGGGAGGTAAAAAAAAAAGTTAAAAAAAAGAAGGCGGGGGGGGAGGGGGGGGGGAAAGAGGAGGGTAAAAAATAAAATAATTTTTTTCACCAAAGCAATCTATGGCTTATATTAGCTTGTTCATATAATTCTGTGCTCTCTAACTCCAAAAAATTGCTTTGATAAGGGTCATAAAATTATTTGAACAACATAATAAAATGAAACTTCAAAAAAATTAAAAAAAAAACATAATAAAGAAACAATTATCACTCACTCTTCTCTGCCCCTCCCTACCCTAAACTCCTTTCCTATTCCCCTCCGGCACTAACTGCAAAATTTTAAGTTCAAAAATCCTAAGCAACAATTTTGAAGTCAAAAAACCAGTGGTTACTCAAATATGTCAATAACGTTTTGCAATACAACGTTGTGAGAACCAACCTTTGCAAACCGTAGTTTTTTATAAATTACATACAAAGTAAAACTGCTCAGCGAGTGTTAATGTCTGGTAAAACTTGTGTTGATAACAGAGTCCTAAATGCTTTTTCTAAACCAGTAATAAAACTTGGTAGAGATCCGTATTATGACACCATGATTTTGATGACCAAGATTAGTTATTGCAACTTAAAAAGAATCTAGTGCAAAATTAAAATAGTTTAGTATAATAAAATCTACCTACTGTAAAGTAAGAAGGCAAAGGCTGTCATTTTATATTTTTACCTCATTTTAGATAAAGAAAGTATCGTAAAAAATAAGACAGATGGGTAGGACAACTTAATCATTTATTCGTTTTTTAATTTCTTTAACTATAAAAAATTCTGAAGAAAAAACAAAACAAGCAATGTTAAAGTGCAGTCAAAACTCGCTAATATATAAGACTCCGCTTTCAACGCCATCTAAAAAATTACAGTGCTTCTTAAACAAAAAACCTTAGGATATAACAAAACCCCGCTACAAATAACTATTTGTCAATCTCCTTGCAATTTGTTACATCGGAACTTCACTGTATTGCTAAAGTAATGTTAGAATACCTTCATATATATAATGTTTTTGTGATTATAGTTAAATAATTTTGCTAAAAACAATTACATAGTAACAGGAAATTGTCATGATAATAATATGCTAATAACTAACAAACACAAAATTATCCGACAATCTATACAAGACAATCTTTACGAGCTTATTTACGTCATTTTTAATATCTTTTAAATTCTTTCGTAAATTTAAGCCTATACGACGTAGCATGACAATTATGCCTTAACTGTTACAGTTTTAAGTAACATTATAATAGTAAGGGTTATGATACTTACTGCTTATTTTTTTGAAAGCGATTCATAGTATGATAGTACGAAGTTTAGTAAAACAGTACCGGTTTTTTAATAGAATTTTAGTACTAAGTTGTACTAACACTCTAAAATACAAACTTTCAATATTGTACTGATATTGATAGTACGACAATATGATTTGTATCTGAGCTTTTAATAAAATAACCAGTAGACGAGCTAACAGTAATACTGTATTTAAGTTAAAGCCAAAATAAATACAGTAATATTCTGCAGCTTCAGGATAAACACCTAGTTAGGATCGTGGCAAAAGCAAAGTAAGTGCCGTATTTCGAGACGAGTAAATAATAAAAGACGATTTTTGTTTTGCTGTTGTGCCAACCTCAGATTTCCTTTTACAACTCGAAATTGAACGCTAATGACATATGAAGTGTTCGTGCGTACAGTACTCAAAAATTTTTCAAAAATAGTATCTTTATACCTAATCTGGTTTTCTATGTTAAGTTGGCCCGAGACAAGTCAAAGTAAAGACTTCTAGATATCAAAACTACTTAGGTAGAGTAATTTTATATAACCATGCTATCGAGTACTATAGTACTAAAACAAGCCAAAATATCTCTTCATTAGGTTGTTCAATAAGTAATGAGCTACTAAACTGTATATCAGAAAAATTTTTTTTTGCAATAACAACTACTTACTAATCGAAATGATAACGCTACCAGTAGTATCAGTCATAATAAGACCAATACAAAACGAAAAAACTTGACCTTAATCCCAGAGCCAAAACACATAGCCCAACCCTTGCACAAACTTACTGTAAAAACGTAGAAACATTTGTGTCTTTCTCCATTGTAATGCCCATCTTGCTGTTAATAAAATTAAAATTAATCTAAGAATGGCAGAAAAAGGCCCATTCCGCGCGCATTTGGCCTTCATTGTTCGGATACATTCTAGTAGGCAAACAATGTTCGTACTTACTGGAGAAACCAAAGAATTCCAGATTAAAACATGTTTTAAAGACAAACAATACATTATTTTTGATTTATGTTAAAACTTAGACCCTTTAATCTAAAATATCTTTTTGATAAAAAGATAACAAAGAATGTGCCGATCTGCCCCCTCTGATTGAGCTTTACTCTATAAAAAATTAGACTTCATTAACTTGAAACTTGTTATTATATAAACGAAGATCATATTAATACTAAA